CTTCCCTCTTAGGGTTCCATACCCATTCACGGTACGGGTCCGACATTTCACATGATTGAGAATGAATGATCGGCCTTAGGGCGCGATTTCAGCTTCCCCGGAGTGTTATATAAACCCCTCATCATGGGCGGGTTACTAGGAACAATATCTGCAGAGCCGCACTAATCCAAAGAAGATTTGCCTCTCCATCTGCTCATGCAGAAGAACGCCGATCCCACACGCTGGATATCCGCCGTGGTTCGTAGCGAGATGCATAAGCCATTTAGAAGGATATCTGGCGGGAAAGGTGGCACGGCAGACATGGGGGGCCCGCTATGCGCTTACCGGACATCGCCGCTTTAAACTGCACCATGCATGCGAAAGCTGGAAGTGCGCACGTACCCCCATGTTCTATGACACGTCAGGATGAAGGGTAATCGCTCGCTTCGTCCGACGCGTGAGTGGAGTGCGCCACGTAGTTCACCAATACCACACCCGAGCGTTTCCATGAAGCTTCCATCCCTAACTACTCGCTCCACGCCGTTTAATTCTACCTCCACATGATAGGCAATCGTTCTTCTCGTGTTTTCAATTCAGTGCACGTCAGAACAATCCAGTTTGACTGGTATATTCTTATGTCTCCACGAATTCCTAACGATCTTAATTTCTCTTTTGATCTAGATTAACAATAGAGTACTGCTTATGATAGTCCTAAGAAAGGGGGACTCAATTCACTGATAACGTTTGGAGATGGTACAGAAAGGCAGAACATCCAGCATCTAAACTCCAGCATGTATCGGAGACGAAAAAAGGAGAGATCGTCAAAGAACTTGACTTGGAAATAGGTCGATAAAATTTATGAGATTCATGACGAGTCTTAAGAGCTCAATTAGTTAGCTTTTAGCCATTGGAATGGCTAACAATATCATGTTTCTTCCACTAAGTAAAGCCAACGTTCAATGGATGCAAAAAGATGATAACATGGACCCAGCATGATCTGCTTTTAAAGCGGCAATAAGCTTGCTTCCGGTTGATAGGCTTGGCGTTCCGCTGGGCCGTCCCGTAAGTCATGTGGAGCCGGGCGGGAAGCTGCATTATCCGGGGGTTGCGGACCATGCCATCTTGCTAGCGCTTGTCTCATGATCATGCCTGCCGCCTTGCATCAAGCCAATTCTCCCAGCTCTCGGCCAGCCCGCCGGAATACCGCCGAGAGCCAGCAAAGCAATTATCGAGAGCGCCCACGTTGCGGCCCACAAACCAGCCTATTGCATCTGCCCGAGGCGCTGCTCACCTGCCTACGATATGCCGATATGGAACGCCCGTTCGGAGCTGCTTGGGACGTCGATTTACTATTCGCGAAACCCCACATCAGCATATGCTGTCGGTGAGACGAGCGAAGGATTGTGCGCCTACCGGCCGATTGACCCATGTCTACTGCCTCTTTAACCTGGCTGCAGCGGACACTAGGCGCGACACGCTCTGGCTGGTCATACAAAGAGAGAGGACAATCTTGTTTCGTATTTGGCCCTTGTGTGGGGTCAGCAAGACCGGAGCAATCAGCCTTATCGGGCTGCTACCGTTCACAGCACAAAGCCAGCAGGTGTCTTGAAGATCCCATTTTTGACTCATTACTGATAGAATCCTGGTGGCCGCGAGAAAATGGAGTGCCGCCATGCCGCTTTCATTGGACCACGGTGCGCATTTGACAGAGCTTGTCGCATGGCGCTATCAGCACCAGTAGAATGCAGAGCACCAAGAAGCGTCAAATTAATCCGGGAATGCAAGAGACCTAAGGTGCCGACATAGTCTGCAGACCGGATCATTATCTTCATGTGCTCCTTCTTATCACTGGTCATTCAACTGATCTTACTATGCCGCCATGCCATGAGAAGGCCTATCTCGTACAGTGCTTCCACTTGGATGTAAGTGCTGCGATGTTGGAGATGGACGAGGCGGACCATCAGCGGGTTGCTGGAGAGCTATCTGCAGCCCATATGTTCCCCCTCACCAGCGGCCCAACCCCGGTGTATCCACAACGCATATGCCGATAACGCCCAGATATAACCATTTGTTTTCCACAAATGTTCTTGAACTTTACCCTGCTATTGATCACTAAGTCACAGCGCTACAATTACCACATACCATTTGGAAAGTATCTACCTCCATAAAGAGGTGTAGTAAAATTGATATCATCAATAATATTTCGTGATTTGTACGAGATGTTTATGAGAAAAACAAATAATATGAAATCCAGCGGGATTTTGAGCTGCGCAGAATGGAGTAGAAGTAATATCTCGACAGTCTGGGGAAATGTGATTGTATAAGAGACCTGGTTCGATAGGAGATACTGAATAAAGAGGGAGAGAGGAAAGTAGCGGCTAGGCAGGAGTGATTCTGCAAGATTCAAGATTTTACCTGCCAATAGTAATGGAAACGTATTCAGTGAGCTTATCCTTGTCATGAGAGCTTGTTCTTATTTTATTTTTTTTTCACCAGCCAGATTCACTCCGCGCATATGAGATGAGGGTCGGAATGTGATCTGGGGGAACTATACCCAAATCTTTGACTTTGACGTTATGCTGAATGGGGTGATGAATGGCAAAATTGACACGAGAAGCAGCTGTTAGAATGACCGATGAATCGGCAGCATTGATCGGAATCGGCATCTTCTGCAATGCTTGCTCGCCGGGGATATACTGAGGGCGTGTCCCGGTGATGTAGACAATGGCATGCGTTTGTGGGTCCAATCCACGTTTGGTCGTAGCACGTCCTCCATATGTTGAAACCGGGCTTTATCGGTTTAGTCGGGACAGCCACAGTGAATTTGTGCCGCGGAACTCACCAGGCATATACGAAGCCTCTTGCTTCTTTCACAACGATGAAACGTCGAATTTGGCTGAACACTTGCTGTCCGAACAAGACAGTTGAGATGTTGTCAACGTTTCTACTGCTCGGGTTTGTTGTCGCTCCCAACGGCTCTGTGAAAAGCACTGAAAACATCTGGCTCTAATCAATAAAGGCCAAATTCAAAAGAGGTTTTGAGCTTACTCGACCTGTCGTAAAGAACCTGCGGCCTTGAATCATGTACCCTGCAGCCTATGATTAGCGGATATACGGGACAATGGCTAACACTCACGAACCAGGATCCAAAGATTCCGAATCGATTTCCCCTTGATTTGTTAGAATCGCTTCTCCCAACACCTCTTCCGGTATTTCTATTTTGCATCAGTGCTTGCATTGCGCCGCATTCATAGAACGCTCATACCGGGCGGATTGGGACGCCCGAGTGCCGAGTCGCGTCGAATAGGCGTTTGCGGTACGGTTTGTCTACACCAATCGATCAGCAAGGAGGGCTCGCTATTTCTGACTCGGAAGGAATGGGGCCAGCTTACTGTTGGCCGGCCCATATTGGCCTCCACTCTCCTATAGGCCTGTCAGCGATTCCTAAACTACGATAGCATGGCCGTAGAAACGCGTACCCCCTTCGTACACATATCTGTAGTAGTCATTTGCCTCTGGGCTCCACACCCAGTCTTTAGTTGGATCGTTGTCCATCGGCGGCAGCTGGTCTCGTGGCTTCGTGTTCGGGAACGCAGAGCAGCTCCAAGCAAGCTAATATATCCCTCATCTTCCATGACTGCTCGTCGCAGAGCCGCACTAAGCCCGAGCTGAGGTGGCCCTCCGTCTGTCATCACAGCACCGCTGATCCTGCGATAGAGGACTTCTTCATTGGGCAATCAGAGCGTGCATGAACGCCATAGGCGCTGCAGCAGTCCCCGCATCATGGGTTCGGCATTGTTGTACAGCTCAGGATCGGCGGGCGAGGATGATAACCGAGGAGCGCCGCTTTAAGCCACCCTTGTTTGCGTCTTGTGCGATGAGGTACGTGCGCCAGATGCCGTCGCACGGCTGCGGTGAGAAGACAGGTGTTTCCGGCCCCTGGAATGCAGCCACGTATTTAATGGCGCACGCGAGTGTTGCAGCTATACCCCTGGCCTTCTTGGTCTCTACCTCTCGCTGTTTTCTTTGGAAAAAAACATGCGCGAGACCTTTCTCTCATGCCGGCGGCGTCGTCATGCAAGGCAGAGTCAGGATGTCCGTCGGTGGCATCCATTCAAAGCAGAGTTACACGTTACGGCAAGCGACATGAGTGTGCTAAACTAGAAAATTCTCGGGACTAATATCCTCCCTTAGACATGCCGCGAAGGACACGCTCGCAGGAGCATCAGAAATTAGAGTGTCCCAACAGTTCTCAGCGCAAAGACAGCTTGTCCGTGGATTCGGCCTGCAACCGCCGGTCCTCAGAACCTCTATGCACCAAAGAAGCCAGCAGCCCCCCGGTCAGCCTTGCACAGGATATGTCCTACCAGACAGAGGCAGAGCGGTCACTGACGAACGGATGGTCCATCGAACAGCACACATATGACCCTAACGAATCTCTATCGTCCCAAAATAGTCGTGGGTCACCTTCTCCTTCGGTTGAAGTGCCAAGGATCAACGTGTCGTTATCGGATGGAGTGGATCTACAGGAGCTTGCAAGCCGTCGGTTACCAGCCCACTGTTCGAAGAACAACGACGAAGCAAGGCGGGAGGACTCTTCCGTTGAAGCCGCGGGACAGGATGGAATATCTGTATCTCAGAATGAGCCTTTGGACAGTCTCGAACTGCAACCACATCAACAGCAACAGCAACAAGAACAACCGAAACCACCTCCTCCACCACCACCTCCTCCTCCACGTCCTTCACTCCCTTCTCTCTCAATACTTCCCCCACCACCCCCACCACCTCCTCCCCCGCCTCCTCTGCATCCGGGTCAAACTGCACTGGCTACAGCCACAAGTACTACAAACCCGCGGGTGTTATCACCGCACCTTGTTCCCCCACCTCCGCCTCCGCCTTTTCCGCCTCCTCCATCTTCGTCCTCAACATACCTCTCAACCCTTTCGCAAATCCCGAGATACCCCCAGAACTATGGACAGTCTAATATACCGAGCTTGCCCTCTGAACGTCTTCGCAGATTCATGGATACCCTGGAAGAGGCGCGGACTCAACAAGAAGACCACCAGGAGAGAAGAGAACAAGCCTTGACCGAGCGCCAAAACCTACAGACAAAGAGAAAGGAGCTCCGGCAGAAGCGGCTCAAGACTCGTGACGTCCAGGCCAATCTTATGAGTGAGTTTCGCAAGATATGCTTGAATGCTAAAACACTCGACCACGAGACCATCTTCGAGCTTTACGACGAGGTCGAGAAGGCGCACGATGAGCTTGGAGTAAACGAGGAAGATTACGATGAGGAAGAGCGGCGGTACGATGTCTTGGAATATCAGTGGACAAAGAACGAAGGTGATATCCTTGGAGATCTTATTGAAGACATTGAAGAGCTCGACATAATCCCGCCCCGTGAGGATAAAGCCGAACCGGACCCAAAGCCTGCCACCACTCCGGATTTCTTCTCCACCCAAGATGCCTTCCCAGATTCCAATTCAGGAACCAATACAACCACTGAGGAAACCCAGCAAGACTTTACAGACTGTAGCTCAAATGATTCTCAGTACGGAATAGCCGAGATTGCCAGAGGAGACCAAGCCGGCAATTATACCGATCCGGACATGGAGGAGATACCCCCAGAGCATAGGAGCCAGCTTTTGGATTCCATGCGGCAAGTTGATATTACCAAGGGAGCTGGACTTCCCGAGGGTAGGAGAGCGTCGGAGCCCGTTAGGCCCCAATCGGACTTTTTACGGCCCCCAGTGACAGCGCGGCGACCGAGAAGTGAGGCTGACCTGGCAGCTGTGGAGCCACGTTGGCAAAGTATCAGGTCTCATGTCAGCCACTGGATACTGGACAGCCTAAAGGGATCCCTCTTCCAAAAGGCGCTTGCCAAGGCGCAGCTTCCAGGGGAGAGCCTCGATGAAAAGGCCTGGTGGGGTTTACTCAAAAGCGTTTGGTCCACCGATGCGGCCAACGAAGGGCCGGAAGCCGAAGAAATGGAAGACGAAGTGGAAGAGGGAGAAGAAGCGGCTGAGGATGAAGAGGACGATTACTTCGAATCAGACGACCGAGAATATGCATTTCAGCGAGGCATTCCAGGCGGTGAATGGAGTTAGGATTGGTTCTTTCACGAGTTTTCTCATGATACCCTTCCCATGTACTATTTTGAGGCTCAAGGGCCTTCACGATCCAAAGAATCGGACACTTCACATGTGCGCTGCACGATCTCCGATATCACGAGCTTTTGCGCGCTGCTTTAAAGAATCTCTTTTTCGGTCTAATGTCTAAGGTTGGGTGGTTCCGCATCCTCAAACCGCGGTCTCACCTGATTGGTCTGGTCTCTCCCGCTGGGCCGTTCCGCTGGTCAGGCGGGGCCGCGCGGGAAGCTGCAGCGCCCCCAGCTACCCATGTTATCTTTCTTAGCGCCGGTCTCATGATCTCTCCGGGCGCCTACTGGCTGCCTTCTTTGCAGGCGGCCGGGGACACACAGACAAAACGCAATCTATCGAAACAAGCTCGAGACTACGGATAAAAGCCTATCATTAGGCCTCAGCCCGGGGGGCCGCGGCTTCCTAGCGCTGCCTGAAAGTCCGTCCGCTTGACGCGCACGCCGGGGGTAGGGGGTGGGTGGTGGAGAGTCGGGTTCACTATTCGCAGCTTCCCACGTCAGCAAAGCGCTTCCCGCCCATTCGGTGAGACGTATGTGCGTCCGCCACGGGTTCGCCGCGGAGATCGACCGACCCGTGCGTGCAGTTGTGTCCCGCGCACCCTTCCCTTTTAGCCCTGGAAGGAAGCGGACGCTAGGTGCGGCACGTTGTGACGCTGTGTGACTGTCAGATGGCGCCGTCGCACAAAGGGGACGGTGCCAGGGAGACAGCATCGTTTCGGAATCCAGCTTGCTTGCGGGTGGCCGCCTGCCGCCGGAGATCAGCCTTATTGGGCTGGCTGCGGGACCATCCCTGTCGTGCAGCGCCAACCGACCGTGATTCTTTCTCTGGCGGTTATCGCTCCTCCGTCTGCCTTTCCGTTGACTCACTTGCTGATAAATTGCTAACGACTGTGGAGAAGAAAAGGTGGAGTTGCTGCGTCCTTCATTGGACTGCAGTGCAGCTTCGTTATCAGCTGCCAGCAATGTCTGCAGCGCTGCCGGATGCCTGTTTTTCCCACGAGGCAACATGTCCACCTGACCTGAATCCTCGCGGAGAATCAGAGTGCTGACGTGGATCCGGCATCCAGTCTGCCGGACGCCAAGTGCCTCCCCTGGTCTCCGTTTTCACCACTGGCTATCCATCTCAGTTTGCTACACCGCTGCGCCGTAAAGCAGCGGAGATTTTCGGACCAAGGCTACACTTTCCCAGCGAACCAGGTGCCGACGTCTGCGAGTAGCATGGCGATTGGCGTTGCAGTTGATGCGAGGTAGGTTGCATATCCGCCGTGCTCACCCCACTCCCGCATATCTGAGGGCCCTTTCAAGACGCTACTGGCTCGAGCAGAGCCGCACTCCATGCTTTTGTGCGGGGTTGAACTTTCTGGTGCTCCTCAAAGACTCCAATCCAGAGGCACTTCACTTTCTCTCTGCTCACCGCAGGCATGCGGCGAAGCACTCAAGGCAGCTTGTGACCCCATCATCAACATGCACCTCCGGCTCTCCCAATGAGCAGCAATTCGCCCCCGGATCGGAGATGGACTCGAGAGCAGGCAGATGTTTAAGGCAACCTTCTCTGAAGACGAGCTGTGTCTCATCATTTGCCTGAATATATGCAGTGAGATACGCGGCGTTATCAGCTGGCACAGCAGCCCTCCTATCTCGTATGAACTTCTCTGGTGGTGATCCATGGCCGCGGCAGGCTGATACGGTAGCAGTTCCAACCATGGTATCAGACCTCAAGTCTGCTTCGAAAGGAAAGTCTAACGCCAGGGTCATAGGATGCTCGATATAACTGCCTAACGAGGATTTTCAAGAACTCGGGAGTCACCCATGTGCCGCGCTCAGATCTATCAGACCATTCGTCAGTTCGATCATTGTGATTACGTGAGTGTTCCTGCATGAAGTACAGAGTCGGCATCATCGGTACATGTTCTGAGCTTCAAATGCAGATCTCTCTGGAATGAGTATGACAGCATCCTGCCGAAAGAGACTCCTGCTGCATTTCGCGCACGCCAATGCAGATTTGAGCCTCAATCGTTTTCCAGACGGCAAATTACAGCAGTCTCCTTTTCTGTTAAAACATGTATTGGCTCAAGTCGTCGGGCATGGTCAGCCCTGCACCAAAAGAGAAGTTCATGCTTATCGACACGTGCATACCCGTCGAAGAAGGTAAAACTATGACATGTTCGGCATATCAACAAGCCGAAACCCCCACGAACTAGCACCTGCAGGCATGTATCGTTCCATGGTTCGGACCACGTGCTGCTCACATGAACGTTGGACGGTTCGCGTCGAAGTGACGGAATCCTGCGGTGGCAAGCCAATCAAAAGTTCAAGGTAGCGAGGCATGAGAGCTATCGGGCTACGTCATGGTTCAGACCCCGCATTACAGGGATGGCAGCAAGCAAGGCAGTGAAGAACGTTGGCATCTCGCGTTAGCTGCGGCAGCTACCAGCCCTGCAACGGTCGCGACGGGTAGGGCCGCTTATTCGCGCCATAGTCGGAATCCTGTCGATCGCGCGTGTGATAAGAGCGGACCTGCGAGCCTGACGTACTGAGACACGCCAGCAAAAGTTCGGGCAGCAATTGACCGGCAAAGGCTACAAAATAGGGCGGCCGATTCCCCTTTAAATATCCCCGTCGGCCGCGGCAGCATCTCCAGACCAACGTGTCGAATCCCGCTCGACAAGAGCGCGATCTTGCAGGGCCACGCTCGGATTATAACCGATGACAGCGCACAGCCTTGCCGGTACCCCCGAATTTAGCATCACGGTGCAGCTCAACCACCGATCGCTTCTCCAACCAGGCCCGCACGTGCTTGGCCGAATCAGGCCGCTCGCGAAGCACGAGAGCCTTCCAGGTATGCAGTGACGCAACGCTGCATCCCGGAGCTATCCGCGAAAGCAGGTTTCACAGCCGGCGAACAGCTGCACCCAATGGTCCTGGCGGGATGCCCTCCGGCAAACAAGTTCCATTGCCTTTGGTTTCATCGAGCTTCCCTCGACGAGGCAGTGCAGTGTTGGTTTTTCTTCCTTCTCTCTCTCCACGCGGGCCAATGCGACCGATTGGCAGGAAGAGAAGGAGAGATGGGAGAGAAGGCGTTCTCCCAGCCACAAGGACGACTAACAGAGAGACTAGCAACACGGACTTGCCGACGGTTTTTGCTTTGCCGCCCACCCCGCGTTGCGACGCACCATCCGGATCGTCAGATGTGCGCTCGCGCGCGCGAAAAAGCGCACGCGGCGCTTGCCTCTCCACCAACCGCATGCCCTCTTCGACCGGTGAAGCTGTACAAGAGCATTCTTGGGAAAGATGATATCATAAGATTATGCCTTCGTCGGGCCGCCCGGGTGGCGGGAGGCAGGAGAAGGCTGCCGTTTTGTTTTATCGGGCCCCCCGGGCGCTGCGCTTCCTTCGTGATATATATATCCGTTTTTCTCGACTGACCGCGCCCCGCTCGGAGTACGAGCATACAGCCGTCCTACTCTGGCTGAATCACCGACGGTACTACTGCTACACCGACGAGCTGAGAGGATCAGGTAATCTTTCTGTCCCAGCCGGCTGCGAATACTCATGTGTATGCGCTGGTAGCGCTGATGAAACTTCATGCGTGTATGCGCGCTCTGGTCAATGGCTCTTGGCCATTCTCTTTGCTCTTATTAACGTCAGGTTGCTGGGAATAGGGGTGCGCGAAACCCTACGACTCCTCCCCCTCTGAAAGTTGCTACTACTACGACGAACGGCAACACAGTCCCCCCCACTTCTCCCACTCCTCGTCACAACCGCCACCACCACCACCAGCAGGCAGCAGCAGCAGCCCCCACAACAAAGAGAAACAAAAATCACAACATCTACGAATTACCACTACCCTCACCCCCGCCACTACCACCACTACAAACACGATGCAGCGACGCGACGCCACTACCACTGCAGCCAAGCCCAAGGACGACGGCCGCCTAAGACGAGGCTCCGCTGAAGACGTGCGGCGCTTCCAGGACGGCGACGAGGTAGCCATGGCCATCGAGGACCGCGGCCAGGTCGTGCGCGCCAACTTTGTCGTGCGCCGCGGCCGCCTTAACGCCCAGGAGGGCCGTTGGGAGTACCAGCTCTGGCACGAGGATGGCACTGCTTATGACTCTGGCCATTGGTTCCGTGAGACAGAGCTGAGCTAACAAGGCGATTGGCACAATGCAACGGTGTGAATGGGGGCAAGAATAAAAAATAAAGAGGAGCGGGCAGGCATGAGAGAAAGAGACGGAAGGGAAAGAAAGAAAGAGCAGCAGGCAGAAGCATGACTGGACTGGAAGTTTGCCCCGGGTGGGTGGAGTTTATTTTTGTCGCCGTCCTGCCGGAGCTCGGGGGGCCTTTTTCTTATCTCTCTGTGTGTGTGCGTGCGTGTGTATGTGTTTTCTCATTTTGTTTGGTCATGTTTGTGATTTGATAGACGGGACGGGGGGGTTGTGTGCCGCTTCCCGCTGGTAACGCCCACCGCTTTTTTATTTTTATTTTTTTTTCCTTTCAATTCTTTGGACCCCTCCCGACACTGTGTCGATGTTGTACGGCAGAATATGCACCTGCTAGCATGAAATGTAACATTCAGCCTACACCCCGTCTTCTGACTCATCCCCTTTTTCATCCAATGCTCTCTGGCGTGGCACTTGTCTGCCTAACTTTTCCCGGGGGGAAAAAGCTGCCCTATTGCTTTTCCAGGGTTCTGGTAGCGACACACATGCCCCTGACCCAGCGACCTGTGGGACCCACTCTGGACACCCTTGCTGCATAAGTTCTATCGTAGCCAGTTACCGGAACACTGGTCTTGACATCGGGACACACGGCCTGTGGCATGGGGTCTCCATGCGATCAACGTTTTGCTGCTGGGTTGTTTTTCACGGCGGTCCGACTTCTGGCCTGCAGTAGGCGCGCTGCAATGTCCGGTGCTGACTGCGGCGATGGTTCAGCTGACTGGGCGACACATCGGGGAGGTGCGAAGCATGGGTCGAGGCCAATAAGTGCAAGCGCTAAGAGTGATTGCTCACAACAGCCGACGAAGGAGAAAGAAAGAGTCGGATGCGATCCCTTGTAGTCTTTTCGGGGATATCATTCATTAACAGAAACGCCAAGGCAGGATAAGCAGCCATCCGATATGCATTATCGTTGATTGGGTCTAACACGGGACCACGTATTGGGCCCTGCGAAAGCGGAATGAGGTGATGACCGCCTGACCTGCATCGACGTACGTCATGTTGCTAGCTTTCACTTGTGGCTGGAGGCTCTGCTCTCTCGTAATGTGTTTACTGTATTGAGGGGTTTCCCATGGTATCAATTTTTCTACATACCGAACGAAGTCCTAAAAGAAGAATAATATCATAAACTACAGATGTAATTATAGCCAAATTCACGGGAATCGTCCCTGCTCACATTCGAAGTTTGTGATACGTAATATATGTGACCGAACCAGCGGTCAATTGAAGCGTATTTGATCGTTTCAGGATTGTTTCGGAGATTTTTGAGGTGGCGGCTGGGCCTCATGCGATTGTATCGAAGCGAAGCTGGATTGAGACATGGCTCGCTTCTGTCCCCCTTGTTGCTCGTCAGTTTCTTCCCAAAGCCCGAGAAGCTCAAGCCGCAGACCTGAAGCGGGATCTATCCTGGACCCGGGACTTGAGTCGCTCTGTGCCTGTCCGCTGTTCGGAATCGGCTCGCCAATAGTATTTTCAGGGGGCTCGGCAGTGACTTGCGCTTCCTCAATCCATTGGTTGATTCTGTCTCTGGGGTTTTCAAGATTGGGCAATGCTGGCATAGCTCGTTGAGGCGTATGGGGACCAGCTGAGATGGAAGACTGCTCGAGTCGTTCCCTTGAGTCTGAAGGGTGTGTCCAAGATAGAGCTCTCCTTGGCTCCTTCTCAGACGAGTTCCTCGCGTCATCGTCGATTATTGGTGGTGGTGGCGGTGGAGATGCTAAGCCAAGCCGAACGCACTCAGCCTTCAGCCTGTTCACCTCAGCTTTGGTCTGAGTTAATTGGCGTTGCAGTGACTCCTTTTCTTGTTGGTACTGGTTGTAGAACTCAAGATCGGGAGGAGAGATTGGCTGCCCAAGATTGAGCCTGGTTTCTCTCTCGCCGCGCTCAAGATTAAACGTCTCATCGAGTTCTGCGAGTTGTTCCTCAAGAAGGGGGACGTCCGAGCTCTTGTCATAGAAAGCCTTTAAAGTCTGCTCCCTTGAATCATTCTCTTCTTGGCCTGAGGAAGATTCTTCTGCTGGTGGGGGAGTACCAGGCGCTTGTGCTGTCTTGATAAGGGATGGAAGAGCAGTCCGAAGGTTTCCAAAGAACTCGTTCTCTTCTTTGCCCAGCTCGTATTCAAGCCGACTCAGTCGTTGTTCGAGATCATTGGTTTGTTCCAATTGCTCTGAAAGGTTATCCTGCACGCGCTTGATGCTACTTATTGCTGAAGACAATCGAGTAACATGTTGAGACGCTGTATCAAGATTCTCGGCTTGGACCAGTAGTTCCTCTTGTGCTTGCTTGAAATCAGAGATGCAGCCTTGTAGTTCCGAACGTCGTCCAATCAATTCGAACCGTGTTTCGATAATGTCTCCTCGCCTTCCTTGCAAATCAAAATGCCGCTTGTATAGACTCTCGTAGTCATCGCTCGCCATTCCTGCACTCCTCCGCTGATTCTGCGTGGCTGCTTGGCTCTTGACTTGCGTTTTGGTTGATGGAGAGTGGGGTTTCCTGAGTATTTGCGACTTTTGATTCCAATTGAAACGTAAACTGTTCGGCTCATGTGTATCTGGCGTAGTGCTCGCTTGGGATGGCGCATTCCATTCAAATATTGCATTCTTGGGCGAAATTCAACATTGGGCTTTCGTCTTCGGCGGTTTAATTAGCGACACTCGGGCATTTTTGCATCGTATGGCCGCGTTGGGCAGTAAGTATATAAAGGTTCGCTCACCTGAAAAATTTGAGCCGTCTCCTATAGCTGGTCAATCTTGCACATGTTAGGCATCGCACGTCATGGCTGCTGACGGAGCCCAAATTGAGGCGTCGGTGGCGCCACACGAGCTGAATGGAAGCAAGTTGGGCGGAATGTGTCGGGCAAATAAACCCGACGGCTGTCAACTTGTGTGACGGATAGCAAAACCTGCGGCACGGCCCGGCCGGACCCAGGCAGGGGTCGGATCATGGGTCAGCTCGCTTCAGTGTGACAGCTACAGGAGTAATCACATGGTCACACAATGTCGGCTTGAGACTCTTGCACCCCGCTCGATAGGCGCCAACCCACCAATCATCCAAATATTTTGTGGTGCCATGTGCTGCAGATCAGCATGCTGCCATGGCCAACAAAGCCTGCACTGCAGCCCTCACACACCATACCGAGCCGGGCGCGCAGAGCCGCACTCCATTCTTAAGACCTCGTGTAAGCTTGCACAAGGCCTGCATCTCTAAAGCCCAACTGTCCAGACCAGCCCCCGTCAAACCATGTCTGCGCCCGAGTGGCAATGGGATGCCAGTCACCAGGCCTGGTACTACTGGGATCCCGTCCAAAACCGTTATGTCTGGCAAACCCAGACCAACAATGAGGAAGAAAACCAGGACAACAATGTCGTTTTGACCACTGTCGAGGAAGGAACGCCAGAGCAAGTCACAGATCCTCGAGCTCTACAGTCAGGAATCATAGCTCACAAGAGAGTTGGTGCACGAGCAGGTGACGCTGAGGGGCTTGATCGACGTAAGTGTAATGCGATGCCGGGTAAATTCATGCTAATCTAGATACTGCAGGGTTCGTCAGACACTACCCAGGCAGGGATTTCTACAAGGTCGGAAGAGTTTTCAAAATCCTTTGGCCGGAGCCAGCCGGAAATTGGCATGAGGGTGTAACTTTCGTGACTGGAGCATACGGTGAACAGATTTACAACAAGATTCGTTGGTTTGTCGTTATCCGGGAAGGGCAGGATTGCTGCACTTGCCTGTATGTGAATTCTCGTGGAATACCAAGAGCCTTCTACTGACCCTTGTATACCTCCAGACCAATCCAGACGTACAATAAGCAAGGGGTAGCAAAGCCAGGAGTCATCAAGCCGGAACACTCTGTCGCGTACACCATTGACACCTATCCATACGTTCCTGACTGGGAGGACCCTCGCAGGGAAATGCTATCGCCAATTCCCGTCATTCCCATCGATCCAGCACAAAACAAGATGCATCCCATGTCTCGCCTCAATTACGCGAAAGTATACACTGTGGAGCATAACGTCAAAACCCTTGATTTCGGTTATGTTCCTCCCGACATGGTTGCGAATCTGCAACAGAACTTTCTTACTGTCTTGCAGGGACCACCATCTCCATCTTCAAGGAGGACGGCTTCAAGCGGGTCTCACCAGTAGGCTCCCTTCAAGCGGCCTTGACAGGCGGACACCACAGAAAGCAGAACTGGATCCACCCGAGTGCAAGGCTTGTGACAAATGGAGATGGCGGGTGGTGCGATGTCTTTGAATAACGTGTGACTACAAGTTGCCAGGCCATATACGTCAGCGCTATGAACCAGGTAGTATTACTGAATGACTGTGCTTTATTTCGTAAACTTTTTATGAGTAACGAACCACCTTTTTCTAGAGTGTGATTCCCTACGAAATTTGGATTTTTCCTTGTATATAAATCGATGACGCAATGAAGTTTGTTGCTTTGCATTTTCCACTTGATGAATTTAAAATTTGTGACCTCTTTCGAAAGATCAACTAAATGGCATCGCTGCCCTCTTCAATATCCAAAACGTATTTTTGCTGGCATGGGCGTCTCTGCGTTCACAGCTCATTGAAGGATCTTGATACGCTCTTCACTACAAGTATAAGCATTCTTACCTCTCCATATATACAGAGGGGTGCTGCAGCAGATAGCTAGCATGAAGAATAGCAGGGCTCCTAGCTCTGCCCTGGGAAAATGGGCATATGTGGGTAGTTGAAGCTATCGTCCGGACGTGTATGTAGAATTTTTAATTCGACATTCTCGTCCGGACGATAGCTTCAACTACCCATGACATGAGCAAAAAACAAATCCACGCTAGCTATCGGCTACAAGAGGGGACTGTAGATGTGGGTCCGCGGCGCCTAGTCCGTCCCACTTCCGGAAAAGAAAAATTGTATCCTAGGCTCAGCACCACCACGACCCGCATGAACAAGGGCATGGGATACGCTCTATTAGATTGAAGAAAGTAGCAAGTAATTAAATAGAATTTAATTGATAGGGGACTGAAAGAAACACTACGTAAGAGTCCCTGGGGCGTGAGTTGCACCAGCAGCGAGTTTGGTTCAGCTATCAACCTTGTCAATCCCCATGAGCAAAAAGAACAATGAGGTCTCTCAGTATTGCATTAGTTTTCACTACTCAGGCGTACTTACCCCGCCCAGACCGTGTCGCGTCATGGTGATGGAGTTCCGCCCAAAAAGAAAACTCAACACCACAACCACAACAACAATCAAGCTATCCAGAAGCAAAAGATAAACTCTCCGACGGGGAATCGAACCCCGGTCTCCCGCGCTTGCTAGAGCAGATGCTTTGACAAGCGGAAATCATCACCACTAGACCATCGAAGATATCGAGCTCCTTGAAGGAGCTGATGGTGTTGTGTGAAAGTCAGGTCGACAAACAAACATTATAAAACGAAAGAGCGCCTTCAACTCTGTAGAACTACAAGAGAGCGAGTGTCCAAATGTAGAGACGGGTCCAGATTGCAGAAATTTTGGCGTGGCTCCAATATTGGTTCGGCCGCGTGGCCAGTGCGCAGAGAAGAAAGCTAAGCAGACAATGCGCGGGTACACGAGAACATATAAACAAGTTGGCTTGATAGATATCAGAGCCTCAAGAGAAGCTGCATGTACCATCTGCAAAATTTGCTGATGATGCAGACAAGTCAAATGAAGTGTGAGATGATGAGCGCTGGAGGACAGACAGGGGCCGTGCGCGGGCGGTGAAGTTCTGCCAACCCCAGATCCCAAAAAATGTCGTCGGCCGCGACTTTGGCGCAACAACACCATCACTCCGACTCGATTGCACCATGGGTAAACGCAAGCTGAACGAACACGACGTTCCCGAAGACGCCGAGGTTGTTGCTGCCTCGACCCAATCAGCCCAGCCCTCGCAGCCTTCTTTCGACAATCTCGGCCTCGACGCCCGCCTGCTGCAAGGAATCGTGCGCCAAAAGTTCTCGACGCCCACTCCGGTCCAAGCCAAGGCCATCCCGCTCGCTTTAGAGGGCAAGGACATTCTTGGTATGCAGCTCCTACTCCAATTCTCCTTCGACTTGCTAATCCCCCACAAGCTCGCTCCAAGACCGGCTCCGGCAAAACCGCCGCCTACGTCCTCCCCATCCTCCATTCCATCCTCAAGCGTAAAGCCGACGCCTCCTTCACGAAATGCACCTCCGCCCTTATTCTCGTTCCGACGCGCGAGCTGGCCGGCCAGGTTTCCAAGACAGTTGAAGCGTTCGCCACCTTCTGCGGACAGGACGTGCGCGTAGCCAATCTCACGCTGCGCGAGGATGATGCCGTGCAGCGCGCGCGCCTGGCCGACTCGCCGGATGTCGTCGTCGCCACTCCGGGCCGCGCTTGCGTCAACTTGAACGCCGCCGCGCTCGTGCTGGACCGCCTCGCGCATCTGGTCATCGACGAGGCTGACCTGGTTCTGTCGTACGGCTACGACGACGACCTGGAGAGTATCTCCAAGTCCATCCCCAAGGGCACCCAGACCTTCCTCATGAGTGCCACTCTTAGCAGCGACCTAGATGACCTTAAGGGCCTGTTCTGCCGCGACCCTGTCTTGTTGGAGCTGGATGAGGAGGATAAGGACCAGGGCAAGGTCAGCCAGTATATTGTGAAGTGTGCCGAGGATGAGAAGTTCCTGCTCATCTACGCCATCTTTATGCTGAAGCTGGTTAAGGGCAAGGTCATCGTCTTCGTGGGTGACATTGACCGCTGTTACCGCTTGAAGCTGTTCCTCGAGCAGTTTGGCATCAAGAGCTGTGTCCTCAACTCGGAGCTGCCGGTCAACTCGAGGATCCACGTGGTAGAGGAGTTTAACAAGAATGTTTACGACATCATCATTGCTTCGGATGAGCACGAGGTGCTGGGTGACGAGGACAAGAAAAAGAAGAAGCGCAAGGCCAAGGAGGGTGACGAGGAAGAGGAGCAAGACGAGGCGGATGGCGAGAAGGAGGATGCGAAGGAGGATGCTGCAGACGGCGCGGAAGCAAAAACAGGTGACGACTCCACCGAACCTCCCAGGAAAAAGCGAAAAGGCAGGAAGAAGGACAAAGAGTACGGAATTGCGCGTGGTATCGACTTCCAGAACGTCTCGCTGGTCCTCAACTTCGACCTCCCCACCTCGTCCAAATCCTACACCCACCGCATTGGCCGCACCGCACGCGCTGGCAAAAATGGCATGGCCATCTCCTTCGTCATTCCCAAGGACAAGTACCGCAAGCACAAGCCGACGTCAATCGAATCATGCAAAAACGACGAAGAAGTGCTAGCCAAGATCTCCAAGAGCCAGGAGAAGCGGGGCAACGCGCTGCAACCGTACCACTTCGACATGAAGAAGCTCGAGGGTTTCCGGTACCGTCTGGCGGACGCGCTGCGCGCCGTCACGCGCATCGCGGTGCGCGAGGCCCGCGCGCGCGAGCTCCGCCAGGAGCTGCTCAAGTCGGAGAAGCTCAAGCGCCACTTCGAGGAGAACCCCCAGGACCTACTGCACCTCCGCCACGACGGCGAGTCCCGCACCGCCCGCCAGCAGCCCCACCTCAAGCATGTCCCCGAGTACCTGCTTCCTGCCGGCGGCAAGACGGAGGTCGAGCGCGAGATCGGCTTCGTCGGGTTCCGCAAGGATGATGGGAGGGAGAATCGTATCAGGAAGGCTCGCGTGCAGAATCGGTTCAAGGGTAAGGGCAGGATTGCGAAGACGAAGAAGGCGGATCCGTTGAAGACGTTTAATGCTAAGGGGAGGGGGAAGAAATAAAAGCGGTTTTTTTTTTGGATTAGGGGGAGAGGGTGGTTTTGGTTCTTCGGAGGAGTGGTAGATTGTGTGAGAATAAAAGCATTCGTTGTATGTCGGCGGGTTTGAAGCATTTACGGGCGTTGCGCTTTGATGGGAAAGCGGGAGGGTTATCATTATATCATGGAGTAGCTGAAATGGAGTGATTGCTTTGTGGGCTTTGCGAGTGTTGCTGTTGGTGTGATTGTGAAGTGAGGTGATGGTGAGGAGGTCTTGTACCTCTTGTGTGTCTGGTGGGATGAGTGACATGAAGTCATTGTGCGTTTACTTGGGTATATTGCTGGTATCAGAATTAATTTACGAGGCCAGCAGGTTCGACTTACTTTTTGCGTGACTGTTGATGATTGGAAAGTGTAGCTCAGTACTTACAAACATAGCCAAACGATCCCAGAGCAGCATTACCGGGATATAGTCTTGAGTAGCTGTGAAATGTGGCTAACTGTGGACGCACTACATCGGTTTTGTCGAAGGTCAGCATCCTGATACCAATTTCCCTTTCCGCACATGTGGGGGCATACAATCTCAAGCACCTTCACCAGTGGTCCTGGAGCGTGATTTCCATCTTACTACTGTAGACCCTTGCTTACTATCACATGCCGTTGTGGCAGTTGAGTTCCACGTGAGCGAAAGCTGATGCTGCTTCCTCTTCCTTCAGAGCGCGTATAAATATACTACCCTATACAATCGTGTTGTTCTTCACTCGGTACAAACGCCATCTTTTCACTCACGAAAAATACAAAATCATCACTCCTGATAACCAACTGTCATTCAGAGCGACTCTCGTTGTTTTGTGTCTTTTCTGAAAGCAGCTTGCGAACTGATCCGAGAATCAATGGACTGGCGAGGATTGCTCGCTCACTGTAGTGTGTTAAGCTTCAGCAGCATCATATTTATATGATGCGCTAGGGCATGAATTGTATAGTGCCGAATGGCAGCAATGGCTTGTTGTGACGAACATTGAATGTTTGCTGTGCTGCAGTGATTTTAAGCCAGCATTGACCCTTCGGGCTGAGGAAAACGCCGGCGCGAGCGGCCTCCTTCATGATTTTCCAGTCTAGAGCTCTACTTCAAGCATAAAAACCTTGTAATCAATAGTTCTGGTAGAATTAGGGGGCTTTGATATCGATTAGCGGAAGCCAAGTGTTAACTCATGAGATAGCGGCCTCGAATCAAACACTGGTGTAGCCGTGATGGACTTGAATAAATAAATCCCTTCATACCAAACGAAATCTCGGCAATGCCATTAGGCAATCTACTAGTCAGTGTTTAACTTGGTGCTATAGAACGCTTTAAAGACTTCGCGCCTGACGTTTTCGAGTACGACACAGACGAAGGGGGTGGGATTGTGGCGTCAGTGATACTATTTTTGTAAATCTGGAAACCAACGGAGTGGAAGTATTGTCACTATCCCACCTCTACCAACACTCCAATCCTAAGGGCACAAAGGAAAACTGATGCCATCGGCTGGACCCCAAATCGGCAACTCAAAGCCTTACGCAGTTCCGTGGTTGACATTGGTGAACAGTACCATTCTGGGTGAAGGCCGGATATAACAGCAAGTTTCGGGAATTGGAAAGGAGCATTTTTAAAAAGTGGTGAAGACGGATCGAGAACGTCAAATGATAGAAATCACGCACATAGCTGAAGAAATAAAGACAAGCATCAGAACTTGGTGAAGGCCAATGGCTTAATTTCCGCATTTTGTTGGTCTTTTCTTTTCTCAAAATACTCCTCACAAAAAGCCGTATAAAGATTCTGGACTCTTCACGCACACAGACTATTGGAATACATGACCATGCTTTCTCTTTGGGTGACGAAAAGGCATAAGTGACTGGCTATTTTTGGACAGGAAGTTCCCATATCGATGATGCACGCTCCGGTGAGAACCGACAGCCTTGTGGGGCAACGAACGACCGAGCTTTGACGCATTCAGTTCGCATGCTCTAGACCAGATAGCATCGGGACGGTCTCGATAAGCGTGTATCCGTCACAGGGTTAGGGAAGCTTCTTTCCGGTGAAGGCGGCGGCTGCCGCTTGCCATCCTTCGTAAAAGACTTTGATCGCGCCATGTTTTGTACCTTGGTCCCGTAGGGCTGGCGTGCGGCGCCATGTGCCAGCTAGGAGGATATTGCTACAGCAACGAATGATAACGTGCATATGGAGATAATGGAACGGGTCTAAAGATATGCAGAAATCCTTGACTTGACAGTCTTTGTCTAGTTCGGTCCCAGGCAATGGTGGTTGAGCCTTTCCAGATGCGGGCAGCTCGCAACGTTGCGGATTCGCAAAGTTAGAGCGGGATCGGGGTGGAACAGGCTACCATCCTAAACAAACAAAGCAAGAGGGATTCCCCCGCATTTGAAGAGTGGGCGACTACGGCGCCCGACAGCCATGCGAAACCATGATGCGGGAAGGGCTGAAACGCGGGAGCCTAAGTTTTCCTCCGTCAGCACTACGAGGCACCGTCCCAAAGCATGCGGAGAATAAAGTCCCCGTTGACACGGAAGCGCCGACGGTAGTAGATGTGGGAGAGCGGCAAGAGCGGTTGGTGTTTCGCAAAAGAAAGACCGACGGCGTGCCGCATCCTGGGGGATCACCCCGGGCCCAGAAAGCCATGTGGCTGGCCGGGCTAGCTGATAGCGGCTCTGGTGGGGTGCTAACAATAATAAAGTGCAGCAGATGGTTTGGAGGCATCCCGTCTTTAGGTTTAACGGCGGAAACTGTTCATGCCGGAGCGGCCGAACGACACAAGCATCCCCCCATCTGCTGGTTGCCACAAACTCAGGCCCTCGCGTGGGCGAGACGGACAAGTGTCCGCGGTCTAGACGTGCGCAGTGTCGAGGCGAGGGATGTAAGGCCCGCGGGTGGAGACGGGCGATGTGGATGATTAATATCGAATTCCCTAGATCGGACAAAGAGTGGTACAGATATTAGTGCATGCCAGCCACGTGCAGTGAAGATCCCCAAGATAGAGCGTAGGAAAAAGAAAACCGAGCAGTATACGCGTCCCGCAGTAGTCGGTTCTGCAAGCAGGTGGGGAAAGGGGGTTCACACAGCGGGATCCCCTGAAGCTGCAGGAGCATATGCATGGCGGGACCGATCTGAGGAGCTAGGGGGCGGGAGTGAGGTGGAGGGCGGAGCTGTGGCCGGGTCGCTGTACAGATAGTGTACCCTACGTAGTGGTTGCGTCTGCGTGTGAAACAGTGGATCTGCTCCACAGCGATCGAAACTCCAACCCCCCGAGTCTGGGCCGCGAAGATCCGGGAGTTGCAGGATGGGGAAGTCAGACCACCGAGAAATTGCGGTTTGCGCAATGTGGATCGTCGACGCTGCGAAGACAGGAGTCTCACCAGCCACACGAGGGGTGTGCCACAGGGCGATGTGCGATCGCCGTGATCGTCCGTTGCAGTCGGGCCCAGATCCTGGGTAGCGGCAATCCAAAGTCGACTTCAGCGTCGCGTCGGGCGGCCATGTTGCTTACTCGCTCAGGATGCAGCCACTGCGCCGAAGACTCAGGCGGCGTCTGCAAGGCCGACAGCCTGACTCGGGCTGCGACTCGCCGGCCCGCCGCACGTCGACGCCGACTCTGCCTCACTGTCGCAAGCAAGCAACCGCCGCAGCCTCACACCGCATCGCCCTCCCCGCTGTCGCCGCTGTTGCCGTTGTCGCGCTGGGCGCACCTCTGGAACGGCACGTCGGGCGGCGCAATGCCCCGAAACCCACAGGTGCAGCCGCGGCTGTGATGAGAAAAATTTTGCCCGCCTCTTCATTTCAACCTTCTCGTGTCCGTATTGATACTCGACGATACCACGTGCACACCGCTCCAAACCAGATCCGACCAACCACACGCGCCTAAACATAGCAGCAGCTTCACCGTCCAAGCTCCCATGGCCCGCAGCGCCATCCTCACCGTCCGTCTAGCGTGATGACCGGCAGACCCTGATCCATGGCGGGTGCTGAAGCCCCGTCGTGCGTGTGCGTGTGACGAAGCAGAAGAAACACTGATGCCGCCAGCCTATCGTACCTGCGATCGCCGTCACATTGCCAGCGCGCAGACGCCGACTATCGAGAAGCAAAGCTGAGTTGCGTCAGCCCGGCGACGACAGCTCGGCCCTGATAGCCGTAGCGCCTCCTCATCAGCGGCCAAATCGCGCGGACCGCAGGCCGCCCGCGGCAGTTGCGCCGCTAAGGTACCGCCGAGCCGTCGCCCTTTGCTCCCAGACGACGTCGATACGCAACCCTCCTCCAGCATCTGCTGCTTGCGGCCATACTGTCGTGCTCCTCGCATCCGTGTTCCGCCGAGCACGAGCCGTGGGCGTGACCACGGCGAGCTGATGCCCATCAACGTGGCACTGTCGTCCACACGGCTCAAAGAACAACCGCCGTCCAATGCCACAATCCATGGCTCAGTTCCTGGCGTGCATAACTCTTCTTTCCCTTTCCCCGCGTCCACAACCCGGGGGAAAGGGGCCGCTCGCTGGAGATGGCTGGAACCTTCAGTGAGATGAGCTGCCCCATCCCAAGCCAAGCCACTTACGTCGCGGGTGGATGTTCATGACCGTCCCGGATGACTGGCTGGCCCCGCCGCGCTTTTCTCTCTGTGTCCCCTCTGTGTTTCGTCACGCCTCGCGTTGTTTTCCTGTTCCTTCCAAAACCCACCACCCCCTTGTTTCCCCACTTCCGCCTCGTGTTGTGCCAGGGCTGCTAACAATAGCACCGATCTGCCCGCCAAATCCGCGATCGGTCGGCGCGTGCGCTAGCTACCCGGCATCACCATTGCTCTGCTTCTGGACGAGACCAAGGGGGCCAAAGATGACGAGGGGTGCTTAGTGGGCCGGTTATTATTCTCGGCCCCTCGGCCTCCGCCTCTGATACTGCTGGAACTAGTAGTATGCCGCCTGGCCTCTTTCAGCTTGTGTTGCAGCTCATGACCACCGCCTCTGAAGGACAGCGTTGATGGGGGAAAGGGATCCCGAGCCAAGAAGAACAAAAAAGAAGGGCGGGGAAGGATAGTTTGGACCTTGTGTGTGCTCCCGGAGGAGGGCCAGCGTGATAACTGTCTGCACATTGCCGTTGTCCGTCTCTTGGGTCCTTGGTGGATGGCAGCAGACAGCTTACCTAGTAGTATTGGCACCATGCATTTGTTTCTGCATGCATGCATGCTGTCAGGCATTTGTGCATTGCTTTCGCAAGCAATGCCACGCATTAGGTAGCACATTGGTGCAGGCACACACCCTTCCCGGGGTTGGACACACAAAAAACAACCCCCTTAGCCCCCGTTCTCCAGTCCCACCTGCCCCCCTCTCGTCCCCCCGCCAACGCAGAGACACATTGCGGAGTGCAGCAGCACAAAAAGGCCAGCAAACCTCCACGTCCAATGCAGCGTGGTCCAGGTGGGGCCAAAAGACCGCGGCGGTGCTGGCTCCGGTGCCTTGAGAGGCCAACATGGCACCACCCCAAAGAAAAACGCTTCTCGTCGTCATCATGCAGAGGCGTCCTTTAGGTTTAAAGGATCTGGATTCAACCTAGTCAAGGGTGGCGGCTATACAAACAAGGCCCGGGAGGAGCCGGGGCGTTCCTCTCGGCGTTTTCCCTTGGTGTTCGTGTTTAAACAGACGCCGCAAGGGACGAAGGAACGCGTCACGGGCCATTGTGCCCATCTCCTTCCTTCTCCATCTTGTGCATGTCGTCAGCGGTGACATGATCGTGGTGTTGAAGCATTCGCTGGCGAGCGCTGATCGTCGTGACTATGACGGATGATGATGTTGACGGGATGCACGTACCTCCTGTTCAATACTTGCTTCCTAGTCCTGATCTGGCCTTACATCTCGGTCTTATCTCGCGCCGCCTGTGAGCAACCCGGCTTTGCTTTCCCCCCCTCTGCAGCCTCGTGCGTGCTGTTCGTGCATAATGTCCGGCCGGCGGCCGGTGGTAGCGTAACAGCATCGTCAGCAGCAGCAAATAGGGTTGGCGTGGAAGGAGCGGGAGAAAAAAAACAGGGTCAGCCGCATGCAGCAGGGCCAGCCGCAGTATTGCAGTAGAGAAGCGGCTGGCTGTATACTGCTGCGTGTTGCGGTCTGCGGTCACTCACTTACTGCATCTGTATGCGTGCCTTACACCGTGCAAGGGCAATATATGCGTCCTGCGTTTACATTGATCCATTCCCCCACATGCGCCCGTCCAGACAGGGATCAGGGAACGCTATGTACACAATCCCAAAAGCGTGGGGAAGGTAGCAAGCGCGGGGAAGAAAGGGTTGAGGTAAGAGTAAGTCTGACACCGTTTGCTTTTCCCTGCCTTTGCCTGCTCCAATCACACGGCCGACGCAGAAGCCACCGAGCATTAGTGAGAATGCACAGTATATAGACTGCAGGCCGATAGGGTAATTCCGGAGGAAGTGTCGGAGCCCGTCCGGCTGTGCAATTGTGCGGATAGGATTCTCGGGGAGAGAACTAGACCAGAAAACCAGAGGGGAAAAAGAAAGGGCGCGTACGCGCTCTCTCTCCCGTCTGCTGATACTTGGCGATCATTCATCTGCCATGGTTCGATCATGAAGCAAACGCCGAAGCCGCGGTGAAGCCCATCGCCGCGAGATCTTCTCAACGGAACGGAAGAGGCGTGTGCACAGCCAGGAAGAAAAAAAGCACAGGTCCAATGGTGAGAGCAGCGAAGCGCCCAGAGACTGGAGAGCCCAAGCTTCCAAGGGTCTTTCGCCCCTCTTTGCACGCCACTGCCAGTCATTGGCGCTGGGGATCGCGGTCAGCGCTGTGCTGTGAGTGAGCGTGCCACTTTTTTTTTTCTTGTTGCGTTGGTGCCTCGGCGCAAACACACACAGAGCGGATTGTGGATGGCGCAATGCAATTAATCAGTCGGTGCGTCACTTGCGCGTTGTGGCTGTCGGTTGGTGCGTGAGGGGGTTGCGTCGCATGAGTCGTAAAACACACCCCATCCCTTCCCTCACCCCCGGTCTAGAGTCGGTCTCAGAGAGTCCGCGCGGCTCGGCCTCGGCTATTGCCTAATCCTTGCACCTGCTTCGTTTCGCTTGTCGTGCGCCTCGCGATGGCAAAAAATTGGGCAAAAGCTGCAAGCGATCGCAAAATCATGATCTTCGATGTGCGTGGTCCTACCGCCGCAGGCTATTGTGTTCTCGTTCGTTCTGCGTCTAGGGACCTGCGGTGGTTTGCCGCCGTCGATCAGCGGTATAGGAGAAGTCTAGACCTGTCGCCCAAAGGCGGATTTTTTTCACACTTGGGCGTCTTCGGTTCCCGGGGGCTCGGGTGGAGAAAGCAGGGAAAAAAGGCGAATGTTCGGCTTCGGACTACTGGGGACCGGCGAATGGTCAGATGCTTTCGTCGGGCACGAGTGCAGTCGAACCAAGGTATGCACGTATGCACCCTGCTGCTGGGTAATGCAAGGTGCGACCTGCCTTCCACTACTCTGCATGTGAGAATAGTGAACAGAGTGTCGGTAGAGGCGCGTGTGAGCTTCAATGTGACCTGTAGTTTTTGCTCGCCCGGAGCTGTGGTTCCGGAGGGGCGCCAGTTCACGCTGCAGAGAGTAAGCGGGACGACTTGCTGTTTTTGCGTCGAGGTATTTGTCAAATTGTAGTATCAAGTACTAAACAGGCCTTATAATTTGGAATGGGGATATCAATCGTGAAGAGAAGATGGCTCAAAGAAGAAACATGATCTCCTGGCGCCTGCGCCAGAAGAGGAAGGTATTGGAAGAAAAAAAAAACGTGCGCGTCCGTCCCGCTAAAACCCAGATGTGCCCCGATGTTTGCCTCGTTGCCCTCCCAGCGGTGAAAACCCTTCCCAGCGATAGCGTCGTGTCAGTCGTGAAATCCCCCGTGCGCTCTCGTGATCCCAGAAGCTAGCCGCCATGGCGCTTCTACTTCGTTTCTTTCCTTTTCCTTCGTGGGGTGACCATCCGCCTTTCCGATGCCAGAGACCGTTAAAGGGAATGACTGGCTCCTGCGCCCTGGGAGGGGGCGCGGCACGGCGCAGACCATCCGGGGGAGAGGAGTGTGGACCGGGGACCAGGGGAGTGATATGGTAGTGTGTGAGTTGTGAGCGTCCAAATTGGTGGAGTCAAAGTTGTGGAGTTGTGCCCGTGCACATGTAGCTGGGCGGCACGTCTCATCTGCCCTTAGCAGTGGAGGCGGCGAGAGAGGCGAAAGAGGCCGTCATGGCCGAGTAGGAGGAGCCGGTTGACGAGACCGAGGAGGCACTGGGCGAGCGCACCGGGGCCTGGAGGTTGAGGGTGATGCACGAGGAGCAGCGGCCGTTGGGAGAGTTGCAGCGGCCACGGCAGCCCCGCTCGTAGTTGGCGCAAGAGAACATGGTGGTGGTAGTGTTGGCTGAGGTTGGTAGCAGTGGTGGACAGCAGCGGGCAGCGGCGGTATATAGTAGTGGCCCAGGCGGGTGATTGGCGAGTCGGTGGAGCTTTGCCTGAGTCGAGGACGAGTTCTGGAAGGCGGCGATGGCTCGAAGAGGATGGGGGCTGGGGATATATTTATCTCTGGGGCGGGAGGCGGTGGTAATTAATGCGCAACGGGAGCAGGGAGCAGGGCCGATGATGTAGGTGTTGCAGTGGCCAGGTGGGAAATTCAGGCGCTTGGCCGGTGGGGGTCTAGGGCGCTTGAAGGACCAAGGAGGCTGCAGGAAGGTGACGCTAGCAGCGCGGTGCAAAAGCAGGGCAGCTTTTGTGAGCGGAGGCCTGTGCGCGGCCAGATGCTTGGCTGTGATTGCAGGGCGCACCCTCAGCTAGCGGGAGGCCGCATAGCTGTGAAACCCGCGCGAGCCCAGACTCCAGGCTCTCACGTGCCGGTGATCATCCGCGCACCTCTGCTTCCCCAGATCGTCTCTAATTCGCGCGCAACATGACCCTCACACCACATCGACCTCGAGAACCTTCGCGTGCCGCGCGAGGCCGAGCGTGCTGCGCCCTCGGGTTGCGCGGATTACGGCTCGTGGCTCATCCTGCCGCTGCGCCTGTTGCCTAGAGCTGCCGTCGACTCCGTTCCGCTGCTGACGCAGCCCGCGTCTGGTTTTCATTAAGACAGAAGCTGTTCCCATTCGCTCCCCCTGTCCGCTCTGCCATCGTCGATCCGCCGTTCTGTGGTTCCGCCACCGCCCGGTTCCTGCATACAGCGGTTGCGCTGCGACAATGGCTCCGCCGGCTACGCTGTGCCGTCTCACTCCGCCGACGCAAGCCACCGTGCTTGGCCGCCTGCCGCCTGCGGAACGAGCAGACGCCGTATCCGGGCTCCCGCCGTGGCTGACTGCGTGCTCAGCCTTGCTCGCATTCATGGGCCCCGGCCGACGCGGCGAACCGCTGCTGACGCTCGCCCGAGGCTACCGTCCGCTTTCGAGTCAGGCTTGTTTACCCATATTGACATCGAATTTCAATATATCTCGAGCGCCAGTTTTCTGAAACCGGCGTCGGAGAGGTGCACTCAATGGACGGTCCGAGAAAGCTTGTCCCGCTGATAGCGTAGTTCTAGAACGATTTTCCTTCATCTCAGATGCCCAAACGCTTGCGGTGGAGCCCCGTAGCGAGCTTTGCCGACCCACGCCAAGGCACATCGCTCGATGCTGCGACGGCCAATTGCGCCATCCTCATTGGAGCCGGGAAACACGCACACCTTGTTTCGCACGTGGATCTCATCAAATCAACCTCCAATTGACGGTTGTGTGGCAGCCGGCCTGATCCCGCCGTTTCTCCGATTTTCGCAGCGGCCGACGCGTTACCTTCCTGTTCTGGACCATCTCCAGACTTCCATTGCCGAGCTGCACGCTTCACCTGAGCGAGCAATTCGCATTCTTCTTCAAACGCTGCTCGTGCTCCGTAGTTCCCGCCACCAACAAACGGTCCGGTCAGGGGAGATTGGGTCAACGGGCGTGACCGCCACGCGAATCGAGTCCCCACGTCCCGCCCAGCTTCTCGTGTCTTTTACCTTCACCGTCTGTGGCATCTCTGAACAGCAGATGGCTCGTCCCACGACGATCCGGCTTGCATGATCTACTGACCCGTCGAAAGACCGTTAGGACTCGACGTCTCCAGCCCAAGCATTCGGCCGCTAACGAGTTACGCCGCCGCTTCCATCGTGGTCTAGTCCGCCTCATGGTCCCTGCTCCCCACAACTGCCACCGCCGCCACCGTTTTGCCCTGCGCAATCCTACAAGGCACCCCGTGTTTCCCATCGTCGAACCGCTCGGGTCTCAAAATAACCCTGCCGCACGAACGGCGTCGAATCAGCCAGGACCTTCGCTGCCTGAGGACATCGTGGTCCCGGCGTCTCCGCCTCAGATCAAACATGCCATTCTGACTGCGCTAATAATGACTCCCCCTCGGGAAAGCTTCGACCGGCCGAGACCCTCTCTCTCATATCCACAGCCGATTCAGCGTGGCTTGCCTTGACGAGATCCACTCTGCCACGCTGCCCTTTTTCCTGCCCAATTGTCCCCGGAAAGGAAGTCAACTCCGCCTGTGTTGCCCGCCGTAACGCCCGCCGTCATGGCTAGACTGCGCTGTGCCAGCGGCATTTTCAGAAAGCCTCTGCCGCTTGACGCCCGATGTGTTGACGCGGCCTGAACGCGGTTTTTCGACGCAGGTGCCACTCTTTACCGCCCCTGTAGTCGATCTTAGTGCACCTTCGGCTATCTCTGCCTTTGTTTTTATTTTTCATTCGGGCCTGCACTAAGTAGCCGATATCGTGTCGATCACGAGGTGGTTTAAGAAGCTTCGAGATGCTACTCATGACGAGGACGCCCGGACGATGTACCTGATGCGGCTTAAGCTCGCCCAACGAAAATGTGATAGGAGTCAGTCACAAATGGTCGAGGTATAAGTCGAGGGACGGTCGGCTATTTTTGATTTCCATATCTTCCAATGGTGGTGTCAGAAGCTTCCTATGTATCTCTGGTAATTGAAGTTAACTCTGACCTCCAGGCTTCAAGGGCTCCGTCTTGAGCATCACGGTAGGAATGAACGCGAGAACAATTAACATCGTCCCTGGTCAATCTCAGCTGAAAGACCCGAGAACCCGGGCTTAGAGTCATGCAGCACCGTAACGCTGTGAACGTTATATGATTTGCTACTGCTGACAGGATACCCTCACAACGATCCGGACTTAAAGTGTAAACTTGAAACCATAATCTGCTACTCTGCTGGATCAGTTGACTCTGTGGTTTCGGCTTCTCACAGGAAATGAGGGCCGTGAGTCATCAATTTCACCGCTCGAGACGTGTTCAGTAAGATTTTACATTCGTTTCTCACGGCGAAGTGATGGCGGTGAGTTTCGGAAAAGCTATTTATATCTATCACAATTCTCGGAAGCTTCGTTTCTTAAGTTATCTTATGATTCTTACTTTATTATCTTTCTCGGTTACTCAGCTCTTTCCCCCCTTATCAGCACATAATTCAGCACAGCGCACATAAAGTCTTGCATATCTTTGCCAGATTCCTGCCATTGGGGTTGGCAGAAGGATGAAGTAATATCTCCTATCGGTTTTGCTGTCCGTGTTGCCCAAATTCTACCAGCGTCGGCACCAGACGAGCAGTGTTCTGCCATGGCCGCAAACTATGGTGGGTGGTCTCGTGACCGCCAAGTGAGATTTTAGTTACCCTAGGATATAAAACCCAAGAAAGTTCCAATATTGATAAAGCTGATCTAAAGGTATCGATAGAACCTTCGGAACCAATGATGTTCATGTTCAAAGCTAATTTGTGGACAGGATTCCAGCTTCGAGCCATGGAAAGCAGGGCTGAGGCCCTGAATACGGCAGTACAACATGCATACCCATGTCTCTCACGCTATATTACTTAGCTATATAGGTGAAATACAGCCTGAGCAAAAGACACTCTGTTAGATAGACTTCTAACCTAATTTTTGCTTTATTGTTTTTCAGTTGGGAATCCACAAGTTGAAAACAATGCCATTTCTTGTATAATTCCTCGATCATCTGCATAAACAGAATGAGTTCAACTCCCATGTCAAGTCTCTCCAATAGCGCTGTGAATAAAGACTACCTTCGAGAAGATATCGAGGAGGGCGCTCACGAACAATCCAATGCCAGGCTCCAATGGCCCGACGACGCGAAGTGGCCCACTCCAAAAACTACCATCAGGAAACTGCGAGGCCTGATAGATGCTTTCTGGCTGTTTGAAATCTCAACTTGGATCATTAGCGCCGCAGCCACGTCCACCAGCATCATTACCCTCCTCCGATACGACGGAGAACCCATGCCACGTTGGCCATTCGGTCTCACTATCAATGCCGTTGTTTCAATTTTCTCCTTGAAAATAAAGACGGCCATGGTGGTTCCAATCGCTACAGGAATCATTCAACTGGAGTGGCTATGAGTTCAGAAAGCGCTCACTCCAAGACATGCAAACCTTGGATGACGCCAGTCAGGGATCAGGGTGTTCTGTAAGCCTCATATACAGAAAAAAAGAAGGCCTGTGAGTTTTACCCAAATTGTCTTGAGTTGCTGGCTTTACTAATGAAAAATCGCTACCAGTCATCTTGACCTCTCGGCGCACTCGTCACACTTGCTTCTTTGGTTGTCGATCTGTCTATACAGCAAATTCTTACCTTCCGGGGAATCTTCACGGTCCCTCATACACAGGATCGAAAGATTGAAAGCTAAAGGGGGGAAATGGAATGGGCCGTAGTGGAGGGCGTCAATTACAATCGAACCGATGCGACCCAATTCCCAGTGGGGGTGGTGTGCCTCACCGGCACCTGTCATTCGCAAAGATACGGTACCTTGAGGGTCTGCCACAGGTTAGAGGATGTCAGATGGAAAATATGTGGATTGAAAGGTGATCATCCCATACAACGCCTGCAACTGCACTCTCCCGGATGGCCATTTCCTGCCTGTCAATACTACCGATCATACCGATCAACCATTTCCGAGGAATTGGACCGGGCTTTCTCCCAATTTTGCAGGTAGCACAACCTATTAACAAAATGACCGTGTCTTAGAGACCAACAGCCATTCCACAGCTATCTTTCATTAAGAAGCAAAATAATAGTGGAGCCATTTCCGCCACTGAATTTATGATGGAACTGTATGATATCAGCAAAAGAAACTTATATGGCGGCTGACTAGCCACAGATGTGTCAAGAGCTATGGAGGATATGTCGAAAACCGTATTTTCCAGGAACAGCTTCTTTTGAGTTGGCCAAATACGACGGTGGACACAGCAAACCATACGCTAGACCCTGATTTACACCCCAAAAAAGTTTTCTTCATCAATCATCCTCCACGGCTCAAGAAACCAAAGACACTGAGACTGCCTTCTTTAGGAATGCTCGAGCATCCTTCACGACTGGTATCGAAGAAGGGATCACTGACAACTCAGCGCTTCAGCAGCTCTCAGGTATCTGAACCAGTTCAAGAACAACTCCAGAGCCATGACAAGAAAGCATTGCTATCGTTTCGACCAAACTGCTCAGAGAACTACCGAGCGACGGCTAGGAGAACTCTGCCGAAACCTCTCGGAGAGCAAACACATGCATTCATGTCCGCTGGCGATGGCTCGCGTTCCCTTTAGTACTCCAAGGCACAACTCTGATATTCCTCCTTGTAACAATGTTGAAGATTCGATTGGCCAATACAGAAAATTGGAAGTTGTCACTGGCAGTTTTCCGATGTTGGTTGTTGGGAGATGGTGATTTCAAATTGATGGAATCAGACCGACTTCATGAGATTGATGAGACTGTGGCTGGCGTCAGGATTATTCTGAAGCATTCGGAAAGTGGTCATACTCCCATTGTACATACATAGCCGTTGATCAATATTCCATTGCTTGTATTGCAGATGTAACTTATTATGTTCGGATGCTCCATTGCACTATGAATGCCAATATCCGTCATGACTGACCACTACTACCATTCATCATCATATCACCACGTCCCACCACATTAGATAAGCAAAATGATGCCGAAAGTTTGGCCTCATTGTAATCCACTTAAACATGAATAAATGGCAATCATCTTGTGTAGCTGAATCACACAGAGAAGCTACAACACAGTATGAGCTCAATGCTCCTGTAGATGTCCTATTTTTTCTAAATAGGAGAGGAGAACTCTGAGTTGTTTTCGAGCGAGAAGAGACGTTGCACAGTTGGGTCCATATATTTGCTCTACATGAGGCGCCAGATGTTGCCCATTTGACGTCTTCCGTGCCGGCCGGCCATGTGTGCGTATCAGCAGGCTGACTGCTCACCAAACAGGCATGCGCGAGGCACTAGGGCTGATTTCCTATGTCCCCGAGTGCACGAAGCGCACGCGGAGATAAGAGGCCTCGAAGAAGCACGAGGCGTTACCCTGGCAGGTGAAAGATTGCTCGTGTTCTCAAAATTGAAAGAGGATACGATAGATGCAGCTGACTGCCTCTACCTTCCATTATTCGGCATTCACCGTCCGCCATATGTGATGTTTATAAGCATATCTGCTCATCCATCGATCTGCTTCTCCTCCACAGAGTAGTCAGTGATAGCCACATTCAGACCCTGCTCTTCACACGTTCCTCCCTGAGAGGAAATTACTGAAACTTTGCTCCCGCGTTCTTGCCCTTTCGCCAACAAACTTATCTTTTCCAACTTCTCTCGACTGCAACCATTCCCGAGCCTCACCATCATCACAGCATAATGATGCCGTCCATAACGAAACCCAAGGCTGCACCGCATCACCATTCCTTTCTCCGGTCCGCCATCATCACCAACAACCTCTACTCCATGTCCTGTATCCAGCCACAGAAGAAAGGATCAACGAAACCCTCCAGTCTGAAGCCAAGGCATGCAACGAGAAGCGAGCAGCCGGAGTCGGAAGAGATCACACACGACTCTGGCAACTGCTGAACGAAAGTTGTTGCAGTCTTGGAGTTAAGAAAGCTGGACGAGGGACCAAGGGGGCAGGCTATTTAAATTGTGCAAATCTGGCAAAGCATGACGACCCTCATGACCAAAATGACAGACAAACAGCGTGATCGATTGACGCATGACAGATACGCGCATGCGCACGTATCAATTCTTCTACCTTTAGCCTCACCCTCGCCGCGCGTGTCGTGTAAGGCTCGTGATACATTTGGATCGACCGCCTATCATCCACCACGAGTGGCACAATTGGTTACAGAAAACCCATTCTTACAAGCATGTAGTACAAAGCATCTCACGGCCGCGGACCCTCGCGTTTCGACGTCTCGAAATTGTTGTAGCACCTGAGATTTGAGCCCACATCCACCTCCAGAATCGTGTATCAGATGACCATTGAAAAAGCTTCCAGATATCCAAACACTGGGAGAGGTGCATCATATTCTGCAGTGACTTGAGACGCCAACCGTGAAGTGTATTACCTACAAATATCAATTTCGCTTTAAATTTGCACAAAGACAACTCCACGATGTCAAAGACAGAGTATTGCTAAATTCTGATCTCACGTCGTCTGTACCAACACTCATTGCAAAAAGAAACCCTTTCAAACAACCTTGCACATCCCCAGCTCTCCCTAGTCAATCAAACAGCATTCACGAGACCTCTCAAGGTCCGTCACCAGCTCATATTTCAGATCATATACATATTGGATATCCTCGCCTAACATACCATAATCTCCACATACAGAAGCACTCACACAATAGGAGGTTCGTAGCCAAAAACACCGTTTTTCTTCCTCTAATAAGAGCGAACCAGATAAATCCAACTATGCCTCCTTTGAATTTTTCCCTTCCTTACTCAGGCAGCCCTATTTTACTGCTTCTTCTTCACGCCACCGGCCTGCCTGGGCGCCGAGTACAGCCAAAGGGCGACGAAGCCCAGCCAGCCCGCGACGGTGACCCAGATGCCGGCGATCCAGGTCCAAGCGCCGCTGATGAGGTACGAGCGCGGCCACTCGTCGTGAGCGAAGTGGCGGACAGTAACCTCGCGCTTCTCGTCGAGGTTAGTGAGGAAGGGGCGCTTGTAGTTGACGCGGAAGTTGAAGATGCCGTGCTGGTCGGGCAGGCGGAAGTCGGTGGTGAAGATGGTCGAGTTGGGGTGCGTCGGCGACGGCGGGAGCGCCTTCAGCTCAAGGCGGTGGAAGGGCGAGAGCATAGTGAATTCGAGCTGGACGGCATCACCGGCCGGCGGGACGAAGGGCTCAAGGTGATCCTCGACGTATTCGGAGACCTCGATTTGGAAAGTCTGCATTACGCGTCAGCGGGCCGCCCGGAATTAGTGGGGCTTGTGCAATTGTACGTACCACGTCATTCTTGATGCGGTAAATCTTGGGATTGTGCTCAACGACGTTCAAGTCAGAGCCGTTGATGCCGGCGGGAGCCGCACCCTCGTTAAGGAAGTGCTGCAGGCGGCCGACCTTGAGGACGCCAACCTCCTTGAAAGTCCAGGCAGTGAGCTGCTTGGCAAACTCCCTGTTGGCAGTCTTGCCCTTCACGCTGTTGCGCTCAACCTTGGCGTCGAACCAGGCGTCCTGGAGCATCTCAGCCGAGCCGAGGACGGTCAGACGAGCAGAGTTGCGGCCCTGGAAAGCGGAGACGAGCGACAGCTGCTGTCCAACAGCGAACGGGTCTTCGACGGCCTCAGACTCCTCCTTGGGGTTGTAGACGTAGGCGGTGCTCGGGGCGCGCAGAATGGGGACCAGCAGCGGGCTATCGTTGCCGAGCGTGTGGCCAACAGCGTGTGGCACAGCCAGGACACCTTCGCCAGAGAAGAAGTTCTTGATGCCGGCCTTCTGCCTCTGAGCGCGGTCAATGACGAGCACATCGTGCTTCTCGGCAGCGGAGGCCTTGTCGTAGTTGAAGTGGTCGACGGTCAGAGCATTGCGGTCGGTGGGCAGATGGATATCGAACTCGAGCAAGACGCTGACGACCTGGCTGGGAATGGTGGATTCACCGGACAGAGCCAGCAGAATGTTTCCATCCTTGTTGACAAAGTCGACGAGCAGCTGGGGGGCGAGGTTGGGGCCGAGGCCCTTGGACTTGGTGGGGAGGAGCACGACATGGTCGTAGGCGCGCTCGCCGAGCCTGAACAGCGAAAGCGAGTCGTCCTTGGGCGATTTGAACGTCAGGGAGAAGCCGCGACCTGCAGAGGGACCGGGTTAGCCGTGGGCAAGCTCCCGCAGGATGGGGAGGGCAATTGGGCGCGGTACCAGTGAGATCGGACCAGAATTGCGAATACTTGTCCTTGTCAGCTTGGTCTTCGAGCACGACCAGCGTCCGCGCACCGGCGGCGCTGAGGGCGCTGGCAATGCCAGCGAGGGCGATCAGCAGGAGCGAGGTCAGCCACTTCATTGTGCTGGCAATGGAGTGGACGGAAGAGGCAATTGGCACGCTGCGTGTCGTGAGCTTGTAGGGGAAACGTATGCGGAGACCGCGTACGCAGCGCCAAGACCGGGGAGCTCTGACGCCACGGAGAATCCCACCCTCCGCCGCTGCCCGCAACCACGCCAATCACCGCCCGCGTAGTCAGCAGACGTCCAACTCCGACCTCAAGACCACCTCCGCAACCCGCATTGCGCCCCCCGCCGTCCACCAGTTCCGCCTGCGCCTCGCCCGCTGCTCGCTTGCGACCGCCGCCATGTCCACCCCGCGCTTCTGGTCCCAGCCCATCCGCTACCTGCGTTGGGCCTCCCACGAGAAGCCCGCCATCTTCTACTCGATTGTCGTCGGTCTCGCCGGTCCCGCTACCATTGTCGTCGTCCCTCCCGTCCGCAGGCTCATCGGCGATGAGGTCGGCCGTCCGCCCATCCCATTGACCTATCCGAGTAAGTGTGCCCGCGGAACACGGCCCTGGAATCGATGCGCGTAGGGAGATGTGTAGGACGGTGCCGAGTCTACATGGGGCATTGGAGATGGAGAAAAGGCTTCAATCAGGGCTCCGGCTGACATGTGTATTTTGCTAGTCCCCAAGGGCCCCAGGCAGATCCCCGAAGGATACGATGACTAAGTCGACCGAGCAGTGGATGGGTTAATACTGAAAATAAGAATGAAAATCGGGGGCAACAACCTAGATGCAAGCCATCGCCGCGGCTGAGAGTATGAATAGAGGTTGAAGAGCGTGCCATCCGCTTGGCAGAAGCCCGATATCGAGACCAACGAGGAACGCGATTGCGTGTGGTCTGTACGTTTTCTTGTACACCAATACCGAATTTCATAGTGCAAGATTCTGGTTAAGCAGTGCTATTTCTTTTTTTTTCTGCACAATACTCCACAAAATGGTCCCAAGTCCAGTGCAATCCGGGTAAATTCCACTCCTCAATTTATTTCCAACATTGGAGCAGCAGCTGGTCGCCATTTTCATAGCTGCTCAAGTAGTAAGTTTCAGTCCAGACCTCGTTACCAGTCCAGCCCAAAACCAGTAGCCCAATCAGAATTCGGACCAACCTTTTTCGTTCCGTCCACCCTCAATTTCTAAGATCATGTCGCATCCGGAGTCTCAAGGATAAGCGATAAAGTCCTCAAACTCAAACTCGTCTTCCTCGGCTGGAGTAACCTTCAGCTCCTCCTCCAAACGGACCCGCTTGCTATCGTGATCCGAGGCCTCGTGGTCGGCGTCCTTGGTCTTCCACGGGGCATTCCGAATCTCGATGGTGAACGGCGTCAGCCTGTTCGCCTGCATCTTGGTCTGGTCCAGTCTGAGCTTCGAGATCATGATGCTGTCGACCATCTTCTTCAAGTCGGCCTTCATGTCGTCCATAATCTTGCCCACCCTCCTCCTCCCACCCGGCACCAACGGCGCTATCTTGGCTTGCTCCACCGGATCACAGAAGCTCCCCTCCCAAATCTTCTTGTAGAGCGAAAACCCGCCATCTCGTGCCCTCATCCCCTCTCCTTCGCGGAATCTCGCCGCCAGCCATTGCGACCATAGGGTCTGAGCTTGCCAATGAAACACGTCAGGCTCGTGCTGCTTCTTCGGCTTGCACTTGTCCTTCCGTTCGTCCCACCTCAGCTTCTCGTGCTTGTACGTGAGCAGCCGTTCCTCCAAGCGCTCCTTGTACGCCTCGAACCTCGCCGACTTGCGCGCGCACAGCTCGCGCACCTCGGCCGGGAGCTCGCCCTTTTCCTGCTCGCTCCACTCGCCCGTGGCCCAGCCGCCGACGACGTGCAGCGCCGCCTCGCGCCAGATGGGGAGGCTGCGCAGGCGCGCGCCCACCTCGATCCACGACAGCGGCGCCGCGCACACGCTCTGCCACAGCGTCTGCTCGGCGCCCAGCAGCGCCAGCTCCAGCGGCGCCAGCACGCTGCTGCGCAGCTCCAGGTAGTCGACCACGTCGAGGATCGTCGATGCCGCCGAGATGATGTCGCAGAGGTCGGCGCCGGCCGTGGTGGCTGTGGTCCGGCCCAGCTCGTAGTCGTCCATGTTGACGTCTAGGTCGTCGTCAGGGATGGGGGCAGGCATGCTGCTGCTAGCATGGGAGTAAAGATGGATTTCGTTGCCGTATAGCGCGCCGAAGACGGAGAACCAGGCTGAGAGGATGGCGCGCGAGGCCGGGTCGACGCCGTGAGAGGAGAGGGTCATAGATGCGCGGGGGGCGCCGCGCTCGGAGATGGGGCGGCCGTTGGCGCCGATTTTCTGTGCAGTTCGTTTTAGCAAATCGAGGTCTCATTGAAGGTTACACACGCAGAGTGGTTGGAAAGCTCACGATCACGGCTAATCGTCCTACGTTGCCACCGGGGGTGGGTGTGACGTCGACGAGTTCCAAGCGGTGCCGAACACTAGTGCCCTCGCTGAGCGCCTTCTTGTTCAGTATGGCCGCATGCTCGATTGCGAGCAGCTCCGAAAGCTTGGATGATCCGCCGCGGAGAACGTCGGCATGCAGCTTGAGTTTCTGCGCTGGCGTGAGCACGATCTCGACGTCCCCATTGCTAAAGGCTGGGAAAGTATCCGGCAGAGACCGGGCCGATGGAGTGAGCGATGTCATGGCTGAAGTGTTAGGTATGTGTGGAGTGGTTGTTGTTGATGTGCGGGTTTGCGTGCCAAAGTGTGATGTGGTGGGTGTGAAGAAGTTCGGGGGAATGCAAGAGAGTCGGATATATATAGTGAAGGTGCAGGTTCCGAAAGCAGTATTCCAGGGTCCATGTGTTCCTAATGAGTGATCTTTGAACATTCACGGGCAGTTAAAGCAGCCTTCGGGATGAAATTGGAAAGTACGACCTGGAATACATCTTAGACAATAGCAGACTGTATTAGGCAATCACTCCCTAATATTATCGGCTTCTTCAAATTCAACTACCCTCTGGTGATATCTCTATAGAAACAGCACTTTCGCGCTATTATAAGCATGCTTACTCTTACACTACGAGTAGCAATTATGCCTATAGCGGGTAGTTATTGCGTAGATAGTAATGATGCGGGTAGTAATAGCGTGGGCGGTAATAGTAATAGTGATGAACACGTTGGTAATGATAAACACGTTGGTGATGATGAACACGTTGGTGGTGATAAACACGTTGATGATAGCGAATACGTTGGTGGTGGTGGTAAATGCATTAGTAGTAATCTCGTTAGTAGTGACTTTGTAGGTGAGGTTAATTAGTACGTTAATAGTACTGGCTTAAAATCTCTTTAATTTCGGTGTGAAAGAGACGTAAGTGAGTTCTCGGGCGGGATTGCAATTCTCGAAATAGAGAAGTCAAATTTGTGGGCGCCTTCTATTAAGTGATCCTTAGATATTCGCGGGTAGTTAAAGCAGCCGTCGGGATGAAATTGGAAAGTAAGACTTGGAATACATTTTAGATAATAGCAGACCGTACTGGGCAATCGCTCCCTGATATTGTCCTTTCGAGTTATGTTCACGTAGATCACCGGCTTCAATGGAAGGCACGAGGGCTTCTTTCTGACCCGACACTGATGTTCCTTTACTCGCTTACAACGCGCTCACAAAAGTTGGAGCATTTCAGTCCAAAGAATACAAATAGATAGTAGAAGTAGAAGTACTGCAAAATAAAGCTCCAGAACGCACCGACAGCCCTTGCCTTGAGTCCAAATGGTCCCGAACCCCCGAAAGTAAAAAAACGAAGAAACTACAATTAAAGAAAGTAAAACCCCCCATCTGAAAGGCTCACAAGAACGCCCTTGACCGAATAATGACCCTTATAGTGCCCCTCCGTCCAATAGAGACGCCTGGCCCCCGATTGTTGCCATCATCGTCATCGTCATCATATCCATCATGATTCCCACCCTCATTACCACGATACCCTCCGCCCTTAGCGCCTACCAACCCCTCCAACGCCTCGTCGTCGTCCATAACGACGCTGTCTATTCTCGCGCTATTATCATCATTGCCACGAGCAGCCGTCCGGGCGACGACTGCTCTTCTTCTTCTCTCCCCGCTAAGGGCGGACCCATCTACAAAAAACTGTTCCTTGTGCCGTTGCTCGCGCGTCTCATGCTTCCCCTCAAGCTGCCGCTGCCGCCGGGCCCGCCCAGCGCTCGTGGCGGCTGCAGTTCGCTCAGTAGCTCGGCGTAGCTATCGCGTCTAGAGCCGCCGCCCGCGTCGCTCGCACCACCGCCGTACTGGCCGCCGTTGGGCACGCCGAGCGCGCTGCGGCGCTCCATGCGCAGGCCCTTCCAGCCCTCGAGCTCGCGCTCCACGCGCAGCCGCGTCTCGCGTTCCTCGCGCAGTTCGCGCTCCGCGCGCTTGGCCGCGAGCTGGTGCGCCGAGTCGGATGACTGGAGCTCGTCGATGGTGGATAGAAGGGTGGAGATCTTCTCGCGTGCCTTGTTGAGGTCGTCGCTGATGCTTGCGTTGGCCTTCTCGCGGCGCTCGATCTGCTGCTGCAGGTCCTTGACCGTGCGGTCGATGGCGCGGTTGGCGCGAGACTCGGTGTTGCGCGTGGCGTGCGCTTCCTCGAGAGACTTCTCGAGTTCTTGGATGCGTCCGTGAAGATACTTGACGTCCTGGCTGGCGGAAGAGAAGCTCTTGGTTTCCAGGTCGATGAGACGAAGCTGCAAGTCCTTGAGCTTCTTCTCGAGGCTGGCCTTCTCCGTGTGAAGCTGCACGTTCGCCTCACGTTCGGCAACCAGGTCCTTCTGAAGCTCCTGGCCCAAAGCCTCAGCACGCCTCATCTTGCCAACAGCAGCAGATGCAATATCCTCCTGCTGGGCGAGGCCGGACTTGAGTTCAAGCAGCTCGCGGTCTACTTCGGCGGCATTCCTGAGGCTGGGGCTCTCGCTGCGGGCGAGCTCATCCAGGCGATCAGCTGCCTCAGCAAGACGCGACTCGAGTCCCTTCTTCTCCTTGAGCAGTGAATCGCGCTCCGCAGAAACGTCATCAACCGAGGTTCGGAGATTCCTAACTTGAGAGAGCAGGTTGACAATCTTGCCCTGGGCTTCGTTGTGCGCGTTGACGGCCTCGTCACGAGAATTGCTGAGGTCCTGCAGGGTCATCTCCAAGCGGCTCTTCTCCTTCGCCCAAGTCGAGCTGTTGAGGATTTCATCATCCCACTTGGCACGCCAGTCCTCAATCTCCTCGTGCAAGCGACCATTCTCTTCGCGCACGCGGATGATGTTCTGGCGTTCCTGCTCAAGCTCCTGCGAAAGGCTCGACAGCTCAGCCTGGTACTTCTTGCGAGTCTGTTCCATCGACGCCTCGGTGTCCTCGATGTCGATGGCACGCTGACTGCGGTAGTCCTCGAGCTCGTTTTGAAGACGCTTCTTGCCCTGGAGGGCAGCTTCGAGGTCGGCAGAGAGGTCCTCGATACGCTCCTCATACTGCTGCGTCTGTCTTTGCAGATCCTCAATCATGTTGTCCATCTGCTGGCGTTCGGCCATGATGCTGGCACACTGGTCTTCTGCTTCGCGGGATTGTGTCTTGGCGAACTGTTCGGCGCGAGACGCCTTGAGAACGGCAATCTCAGCTTGCTCAAGTTTGCTGAAGTACTCGTCCGCTCTGCTCTTGTAAAGGTTGAGACTGGACGTGACATCGAGAAGCTTGGATTGCTCGTTGTCTAGCCTGATCTGAAGGTCAGAGAATTCCTGCAGAAGCTGGGAGTGGTTAGCAGCCTCCTGCTCGCGTTCGTAGTTCACATCATCGAGCTCTCCACGCATGTCGCGAAGCTCCACCTCCATCTCTCGCCTAGTCTGCTTCAGCTCATCAAAAGCGGTCTTTGCGTCGGCCAACTCGTTGACGAGAGAGTTGTGCGACTGCAGAATCGACTTCCTTGCCTGCTCCTGAGAGTTGAGAAGATCATAGAGCTCCTCGTACGACTTGGTCTGGACTTCGGTGAGCGAAAGCTGGCCGTTGCGAAGGTCATTCTCCAAAGACGAGACCTTCCTTGCTGAGTCGTCGAGCATGTCGTGGAGGCGGAAGTTCTCACGCTCGAGCTTCTGCATTCTTCGCATGCTAGGGCTCTCCTCCTCCCAGTTCTTGGTAGGTGAGCGGTCCAGCTGGTTCTGCAGATGGCGAGCGCGCATCTCCGACATCTGGAGCTGGTTTTGCACCATCTCAAGCTCGGAAGCAAGATCCATCTTGTTGTTGAAGGTAACAGTGTCGACGCTCTTCTCTGACCGAGCAGAGTCGTGCGTGGCATTGCTGAGCTGTCGCTGGGCGAGCGGGGTGCCGTTGGGGGGCGTGAACGGGCGCTTGTTCTCGGAATCCTTTCGCCAAGCACTTGTAGGGTGTCGAGGGGGTGCTTGGTTCAGTTGGTTTTGGTTCAGTTCGTCAAGCAGAGCGCGTTTCGAGTTGGAGTGTCTGGCGTCAAGATCGGTGATTTCTCCATCGTAACGTTCCCGGAGCTCCTCAACCAAGATCTCGGCATTGATGGCCCTCTCGTTTGCTTGTCGAAGAGCGATTTGAGCAGCGTCAAGCTTCTTCGCCAGGTCAACAGCCTTATCAATGCCGGCCTTGGCCGACTCAAAAGTGCCCTCCCCGTCTTCAGTCGCATCAGGTTCGAAGACCTTGCGAAGAAGCACAAGCTGATTGCGGCATTCTGCAAGTTCGCCCTCGGCGTTCTCGAGAGTCGACTGAACGGTTCTGTTGTTTGCCTGAGCTTGCGTCCTCAATTGTCTCTCCGTCTCCAGCTTGCGATTCGCATCTGCCAGTTGAAGGTTAGCAGTCGAGGCCGACTTTTCGGCATTCCGGCTGGCCATCTGCTCCCGAGTGACTTCATGGTTCAGGTCCTCCAAGCCAAGGGAAAGCTTCTCTTTCTGCTTCTCGAGGGACGTGATCATAAGCTGGGAATCCTCCACTTGGCGTTGGAGCTTCTTGTTTTCCTCCTCGAGCTTCGCCTTCTCATTCGTGAGTTGAGAGATTCTCGTACGTTGGCTTTCACCAGCCCTGGAGTTGGATCTGGCAATGTCCAGGTTCTTCTGCTGAATCTTGTTGAGCAGGGCGCGGTTGTCGTTCTCAGAGGCAGAGAGGCGTCCCTTGATGGTGACAAGCTCGCGCTCAAGGCGTTCCTTGTGCTGATCATTGTACGCCCGATATGTGTCCGACTCTGCGATCATCTGAGTAAGGCCCTGGACTTCATTGTTCAAGCGAGTTCGTTCGGCTTCAAGCTCCTCCAATTGAGCGTCCTTGGCCTGGAGCTGCTGGCGAAGGGCAGCTTGGCGCTCGTTTGCTGCCTTCACCACCATTTTCTCAGCACTTGCATCGGCCTCCAATTTTGCCTCTTGGAGCTGGAGATATTGTTGCCGGATCTGTCGGAGCTCATCCTGGTAGTCCTTCCGTTCCTTTTCGGCAGCTGCCTTGCCCTCGTTGGCGCGGCGGAGAACGTCTTGCTGGACATACATCTCCTTCTCGATGGTAACCTTGGCTTCTTTCAGGGAGTCGAAATCGCGCTTGAGCTCGTTGAACTTATGTTCGCCAAGCATCTCCACGTCATCCCTAGATTGCCTCTCCCGGCTAAGTTCGGTCTGCAGCTGGAAGAGTTCGGCTTTGAGGTCCTCGAGCTGCTGCTCAAGTATCTTGCGGTCCTCAATGGATTCAGCGTCTTCTGAAAGCTTTGCCTCAAAAAGCCTCTTTGCATCAGCAGCCTCACGCTCGAGCTGAGCTTTGGCCGATTGCATAGCCTCCATCTCTGCCTTGACCTCACGAAGCTGGGCTTGGACGTTCTCATGACGTGTCGTCAAAGACTTCTTCTCGGTATCGAACTTTTGCCGGTCGGCCTCATACTGCCTATTCTCGGCTTTGAGGATGGCGAGTTCGCTGTCTTTGCGTCGGACAAGGTCTTCATAACTGGTGGCGCTGTTCGACAGATCCGACATTTGCTTCCTAATCTCGCGGTTTTCGTCGACGAGTTCCTTGACTTGCTTCTTAGCCGATGTGAGGTCCTTGGTTGCAGTCGCCAGCTTGATATCCAGTTCTTGGTCGTTCTTGAGCATTTTCTCCTCCAGGTCCTGGAGTTTCTTGTCTTTGAGCGAGAGGTGGCTGTTGAGCATGTTGACCTCCTGTTGAAGCTTCTCCTCGGCCTCAGTCCTTTGATTCCGGGAATTTTCAAGGTCAGAGACCTGCAGTTCCAACTCCGTGATTTGGTTGACAAGCTCCTGCTTTTCAGCCTCAAGCCTGCTGATGATCTCTCCGGCTTGCTCCAATTCTTTTCGCCACTCGTCAGCTTGTTCTTCGGTCTTCCTTTTGGCAATCATGAGCTCGCTCAGTTGCTCTTCAAGATTTTCGGAATCCGCCTCCGCCTCAGCAAGCTTTTCAACAAGCTCAGTCTCGCGAGCTTGAAGACGCTTGAAAATTTCCTCCTTGTCAAGGGCCAGCGCACGTTCACTCTCCAAAGTCTCCTGGATTCGCTGGATTTCGCCCTCCGCACGGCGGCGTTCATCCTCAATCTTTTGGCGCTCAGCAAGTTCAGCCTGACGTTGTTCTTCGAGCTGCGCAATCATTTCGTCACGCTTTTTGACTTCTTGAGCTTGTCTGGTAGCACCAAGAAGAGGGCGCATGCGCACGAAAAGCTGCCACCAAGGGTTCGCTTGAAGGTCAAGGTAGACCTGGAAGTTGCGCTGGATGACCCGGGTTGCTTCGGCCCTGTAAAGCCGTTTGTGTGCAATACGCCTCTGCATGTATCCGCGTGCAACTGACTGGAACCGGGCCACTATCTTACTGATCACAACGTCGCGCTGCTCTTCAAGCTCGGCCAAGACGCCTGCCCTAAAGAAGACCTTGGTAAGACCAACGCGGTAGAAAGACTTGTCCAAATCGAGATTCTCCAGGATCATCTTGGCTGCAACCTGTCCCTCCAGATAGCCTCTCGGGATGTCTTTGCAGAGAATTTCGTATCGCTGACGGAACTCGGCGAAAGTTAATCTGTTGGGGAATCCAGTGCGTGCAATACGAATACCTTCAAGCACACCATTGCACCGCAATTGATCAAGGACAAGTGGTGCGCTGAACTGCTTCGGTCGCTTCTTGTGGTTGGGCAGGATACAGCGCACAAAGTGAGGGTGAGTGGAGTGCAGCTGGCCCATGAGCTTCGAAAGGTTCTCCTTGTGCCTCTGGGCGACAGTCCGGAAAAGGCCCTTCTTGACCCTATTGCGTGTCGCGCCCGCCTCCTCTTCTGGGTCAGCGCAATCGGCGAAGAGGTTGGCGATGTGCTTTTCAGAGGACGAGGCAAGCAAGCGGGTGACATTGTCGTTGAGGGGGTCCTTGTTCTTTTCAAGCCAACCTTCTGTCGAGTACTCAACTTCGGCCGCGTAGTGAGTGAGCATGAAGCCCTGGCGGAACATCGAACGTCTGTACTTCGGCGTCTTCCGGTCCCAAAGTTGGTGAAGCTTTTCCGTAAAACTCTTGTCGGTAGCTTTGGGCATGACAGAATCCTCGTCAAGACAGGAGAAAATACCAATGGGGTTCGACACTTCGATGAGATCAATGGTAGGCTGCAGATCCCGGCCGAAGTCGATGAACTTCCACTCGATCTGTTCTCTTGCATACTCCTCCTGCTCCAGGACGAACATGTGGTGGTTGAAGAACTGCTGCAACTTCTCATTGGTGTAGTTGATGCACAGCTGCTCGAAGCTGTTCTCTTCAAAAATCTCGAAACCCGCGATATCCAGGACACCGATAAAGTGCGAGTCATCAGAGCCAGCATTGGAGCGATCAAGCTGCCGATTGATTCGATCCACCAGGTCACCAAAGGCGCGCTCGTAGATACCTTTTGACAGTGCATCGATTGCCAAGCGGACCTGCTCCGGTGTTTGGACCTTTTCGACCCATTCTCGGCCAGCCTTCACCCGTGGATGCAGAAGAGCATTCTTGAATGGATCGACAGGGATTCCGAGCAGACGGGCAACTTTGTCGGCTTGGGCTTCTGCATCGGGATCCAAAGCAGCTTGGTCAGCCCGGAGACTCTCCTTGATCACTGTTATGTTTCCGAGATGAAGAACTGCGGCTATTGTTCTGAGAATCTCATGCTGCTCCTTGTCTGAGAATCCCATGACAATGAAGGCTTCGATCAAAGAATTCCATTCATCCAAGTCAGACACTCCACTGATGGTATCATTTCCGTGCTTGGTGTACTCGAAATCTTCCAGATCCTTGCCGTCCAGGAGGAAGTCCTGCTTCATCTGGGCGGTGGCACCCTGGAGAAGTTGGTAAAAGACATGGTAGCTGCGCTCGTTCGGGTTCAATCGCACGACTCTCGACTTCTCCAGGAGGTACCAGTCGATGTAAGCACCAGCAATCTGACCAGCGCGCGTGAACTCGATCCTGATAAATTTTCCAAATCTGGAGGAGTTATTGTTTCGGACTGTCTGCGCATTGCCAAAGGCTTCCAGGATGGGATTGGCCCGAAGAATCTGCTCCGACAAGTTCGACATTTGCTGCCGACCGCTGACTCTCCTCCGGCCCGGAGTGTTGCCATCGCTGGTTGCCACAGCTGCCAGATACTGAATGACCTTCTTCGTGTTTTCGGTTTTACCAGCACCGGATTCACCCGTTACCAGAATGCTCTGGTTTTCACCCTCGTCGACCAGATTCCTGAAGGCCTCGTCGGCAATGGCGTAGATGTGCGGCTTAGTGTCCTCCCGACTCCGGCCCTTGTACATGTTGATGTAGTCACGCGTGTAGATTGGCAGGGGGCAGTAGGGATTCACAGTAACCAAGAACAGGCCCGAATACGTCTGCCTGATAGTCAGATAGTGTTCAGACAGGGTTTCGTGCCATGACTTACGTAGATCAAATCAGCCTGATACCTCATGTGGAGGTTATGCACTACCGATGGCTCGTTCAGATGTGTGAGCTCGGCCATGTCACCGGCCTTGTCGAACTTGGCCGGGTTGACCTTATCGACTGTATCTGCATCTACGGTTTGTTGCTGTTCGTGAGGTCAGCCTTCGCTCGGTAAGTGGGTCAGGGAGAACACGTACCTCGCCATCGTCGCACTGCACAAGCAGATTGTTTCCCTCAAGCTCCTCGACAACCCATCCGCGCACAAAGGCCTTTTCCGGGTGCCGAAGCCAGACATAGCGCTTGCCGGCGAAGTCGTTTTCGCCGTCGATGCCGCGGACGAGCTGCGGTGCGTTCTGCATCTCCTCCGACTTGATGAACTTGGGGGCAAAGGTACCGCCGGCAAGCATGCTGTTGCGATGTGAATTTGACCGAGCGCGTATCGAGCCATCCCGGGCGGGTATTAACGCGTTGGTGGACTGAGCCCGAGCGTGGGACTTTGTGAGGGCAGGCGACAGCGGAGTGGACAGGTTCATAGACGGCGGGCGACTCGAGGTGCCCACCGGGGTGGGCGAGGGCGAGGCTGATCCTCTGTTGAACGGGCTGGCTCTCCATCGGGAGCCGTTCGGCGTGGGCGCGCTCATGGTGACGCAAGGAACGGACGAGAGGCTGTTTACCGGAAGTGGGTATCAAGACAAAAGCGCATACCGCGGGCCTGCTCGCAGGCAAAACGGAGAAGCGGAAGAGGCACAAAATCAGCTGCAGTATGTACAGGGCTGCATGGCCGTCGGCAAGCGTGGGTGCGTCAGTGTCTGGGGAGCGACGCGCAGGTGGAGAGGCGGACGATCAGCCGGTGCTTGTGTTTACTCGGTGCTCGGGCAACAACCATGACGCGCTAGCGCACCGACACATCCTGCTACGTAAGGCGGTGTGCAGCCCAACCGTGGTCGTGCCAGCGGCGATCGGGCGCTCTCCGCCGAAGCGCCGCCTCCAGAATCTCTCCTCCCGTCGATTTCGACGCCCGCCAACAGTCTTCGTGACGCCTTCCTCCATCCGTTCATCGCCGCCCAACGCCAGAACCCTCGAGCGCATCGCGCACCGCGCACGTGCTCCCGTCCTCGTCGGAATCGCGCAGGCTGCTCCATCGCCTGCCCGTCTGCGACGAGTCTTCGTCGCACGCGTCCGTCGCCTCGCTGCATCGCCTGTCCACTGCCCATTCCTGCTGGCTTGGCGGTTCATGCGGCTGTGATTCTGGCACCCATGCATCGGTGTCACCTCGCATCCTCGACACTCGTAGACATTTGCTTACGTGACCTTTGTTGCTGCTAACGCCCAGATCCGCTCCGTCGCGACTCCGCTATGGCGAACTATCCGCCAGCAGCGCCCTTTTTCGGCATGCCGCCATATGCTCAGGGTTTTCCCTCGCAGAGTGCGCCGCCGCCGCCGCCGCCTCAGAGCGGCGGTCCTACCTATCAGAATGCACCGCAATTGCCGCCGCAGCAGCCAGCTCAGCAGCAGGCGCATAGCTTTCAGCAGAACGCGTCCCTTCCTACCCCGGATTTCCAGGCGCTTGGCCTGAACTCAACCCAACTTGCGGCTCTTTGGCAGCATGTTCAGAGCGGCGCTCCTCCGCCTCCGCCGCCTTTTCCGCCTCCGTTCACCCCACAGGCCGGCTTTGCCCCTCCGCCGCCTCCGCCGCTGCACTTTCCACCTGGCTTCCAGCCTCCAGCTGTGCCTTCGTTTCCTCTCCCACCTCCACAAGCACTTCCCGGGCTTACGCCAGTGCCGCCGCTGCCTGGTGTGCCTGCGGCTCTGCCTGCCTCAAACAACAGAGTAATGGAAATTGTCCACGGGGACAAGGAGGAGGGGGAGCTTAGTGATGAGCCTGGTTCCCAGGATGATCCGGGGCGCTCATGGTCACGAGAGGGTCACCAGCGCGCTGGAAAAGGTGATTGCCACCGTCCTAGACATTCCGCAGCTGTGTCGAGTGGCCTAGAAGGGCGCTCGAGCAACAGCGACCGGTCTAATGAACCTAGCCGCACTGACTTTGAAGTGACTGTAGGGAACGAGAGACACGGTAACGGCATTCCTACAGACAGTGGGAGACCGAGATCTTCTCAATGGTCGGGCCAACTGCATAACCGTCCTCCCATCCATTCTTCGAAAGACCATGCATATCGCGATAGTCACGCCAAAGTGACACATAAAACAACAAATACTGAGGCTGCAAACCTCGCGAGGTCGCAACCTACCTATGCTTCTAACGAGCAAGCTGGTTTGGACAAGACAGAATTTGAAAACAGGAAACAACAGGCGGAGACATTTCTTACCATCCTGCACAACTGTGGATATGGACATGCAGATCTGCAGAAGTGCGGTCTTGATCCCAAGCTGGTCAAGGAGGCTTGGACGTCGCTTGGATTTCCTCTTGACCAGCAATCTCTTGACGGTAGGCGCAGCTCTGCTTTGGAGTCGAGAACTGAGCAACCATCGCCTTCGTCACAGCCCAAGACTGGGCCAGCTTCAGCTCCAGTTTTGCCAGCGGCACAATCGGCGCCCTCCACTCAGCCTGCAGCTAGACCTCAGCCTACTGTGGGTACTGCGGGCATTAACAAAGCAACCGCTGGCCCAGCGGCTTCTTCGCCTACTGATCGGGCGGCGTACATCGCCCGGCTCATGGCTGCCAAGAACAGCAAGGCCTCTTCGAAGCCGTCCGCTGTGGCGACCTCTGCTACTCCGTCCCCAGCGCCTGCCTCTATTGCTGTTGCTCAAGCTCCGTCTCGAACCGATTCCGCGACACCGGCGAAACCGCAAGAACTATCGAAGCAGGAGGATGCCGCTGTCACAGATCCTGCTGTGCTAGCAGCTCAAAAGAAAGAGGCACAAAATGAATTGTTGCGGAAAAAGATTGAGGCACTCAAGATCCCAAGGAAGAAGGCCGAGGAAGAGGCTCGAGCCAAAGCTCAGGCTGTAGCGGCATCGCTGAGTGCCAGCAGAACACCATCGAGTTCTGGTGCAAGTGCGGCAGCCATGTCAAAGTCTGAGATTCCTGTTCGCCCTGCTCAGCAGGAAACAGCACCAGCCGACTCAACACCTCGTAAAGATTCACAGCCCTCCCCGTCAATGCCGCTGCAATCTCCTGGGGGCATCCCTGGTCTGTTTATGACTTCAGCCGCTCCTCAGGTTGCCCCTAAACCTACCCAAGATCCCCCTATCCCGTCCGCAAACAGAGGCCGCAAGCGCCCAGTAGCATCGGATTTCGAAGATTTGCAACAATCTCGGACGCCACCAGCTTTCAAGCGTCCGTTTGGTCAGAGCCAAAGTGATCACGAGCAGGTGATCATTGAAGTTAGTGACGACGAGACAGCGGGAAGCGTCATGGACATCGATGAAGCTGACGAACTGCAGCCTTCTGCTCAGCCGTCCGTTCAACCTCCTAAAGGAGGAGCTAACCGCAACCTGCCTCCTCTAACCAACTTTCCTGCCCGACCGGGCTTCAGCAGGCAAGGATCGGCACACTCAACTCCTCCTGCTCAGCCGCCCATACCCGCCGCCAGAGTTGCTGACCTGAAGCGCAAGGAGGAGGAACTTGCTGCTTTGAAGAAGCTCATTGCCGAAAAAGAACGCCAGCGCCTGGCCAGGGCGCAATCTAGTCGAGCGCAGACACCGGCAACTCCCACGCACCAGCCCTCTCAGGCTCCCCAGCTTGGCTCTAGCCCCGCAGCGAGTGCACCTGTCAATAGAGGGATAGCACGAGTACAGCCAGATGTTCGCTCTGAGTCGGTTAGCAGAGCAATTACGCCATCTGGGGCTTTGACAAGCGCTCCACAGTCACCAGCAGAACCTGACTGGAAACGACGAAGAAGGGCGGAGATCCAATCTGGAATATCCGCATTCGACGCCGATCTTAACAGCAACATGAGCAGACTAGAGCAGCTACGCAGGGAGATGGAGCAGATTGAGGCCGAGAACAAGCGCCGACAGCAAGAGAAGGAGTCGCTGATCAATGAGCTTGAGGGGCTCGGGATCGATACGGAAGGCATGCCACATGAGGAGCTTCAGGCGAAGAAAGATGAAATTATGCATCAACAACAACAAGAAGCCAATGCAGCAGCTGAAGGTAAGGCATATCCTTTATCTTACTGTATTGTCATCAAATATCTGACCACCATTGCAGCGCTTGCTGGAAACTCTGCCGCCACTTCCAAGGCTGAGGCAACAGATTCGCCACAGCTGGCCTCTGTTCGAGATGTGCACCCCCCGATTGCGGCGTCCAAGAACAAAGTTGCTTCGGAAAGCTCTGGGGACCGAATGTCCATGTCTGATGGTGAAATCGAAAATGAATCGGACACCACAGAAGCAGAAATGGACATGTCCGATAGCGACGCTGAGAAGGAAGAACCCGCTCAAATCCAGACGGCATCTAACGCGGAGATGATTCAAGCCTCAGAGGCTCTTGCAGAGCCTGCAGTCACGGAAGAGACCCAACCGGCAACTGCTTGCCCCGCAGAGACATCTGAACAAGAAGACACCGAGGACTTTTATTCTTCTGATGCCCGCCAGGAAGTTTCCGCTTCTGCCCCCGAAGCACAGGCTGTCCAGGCGGACCACTCGTCGGCAGAGAGCAACCAGCCAAGCCTTCAAGCGGATGACTATGCACCACCAGGCGATATCGAACCGCAATCTTCTGGGTCCGGATCTACTTCGTCCAGCTCATCTGAATGGGACCCTCAGCTGCAAAGCGAGGAGCATGGGACGGGGGAGCTGACAGGCGTAGCCCTGGAAAATGAGGGTGACGCTCGCATGGAGGCCTTTGAACCCGTGCCGGATGTTTTGCAGCCGGAATCTACGAATCAAGATGTGACGGACGAGTTGCAGACCGGCGACGCCTCGTCAGAGGCCATGGACGAGGACGAGGACGACTATGATCCTTCAGACATGCTCCCTAATCCGTCGCCTTCGGCCGCAGCTAGCGACTATCCAACGCCTCAAACATCGTCCACTGAGGCCATCGCTACACAGGCGGTGGCCCAATCTGTTGCTGGAAGCCAAGCTTCAGGAGATTCGGGCTCGGGCTCAAGCAGTTCAACGTCGCGGACTCCGCAAATCTCCATCATTGCTGATGACGTGGTGTCTGAGCTTCAAGGACAGGAACCTGCAACTACAACGAACGACCAAAGTGTATGTCGACCCTACTAACGAGTTCCGTCACTGATACGTACTCAGGCGCCAGCACCTAGTGACTTAAGCAAGCACTCGTTCTATACACCTTACGAAAGCCCTCTCAAACGTTTCAAAGCGTATCGCTACCACCCGCAATACTCACATGACGTCTCAGGTGGATATAGGTCGCTTACTTACAGCCACGAGATCGATGCCATGAAGCCGGTCTGTCCGTTTGAAGCAGCCGGGGGCATATGTAATGACAGTGCATGTGACGGACAGCACTTCCGCACCATGGGCATCAGTGGTGCGTTAAAAGGCCAATCAACACAATCTTCCCTTCTCCCCGTAGCGTCAGGCAAGACCACTAGCTGACGTAGGAACACGATGTCAACAGAGGACAAGGTCCTTGTCCAACTGGGGATTGTGAATCCCGGGCGAACTCCTGAGGAACAGGAGAAGTGGAGAGCGGACCTGAAGCAAGTGCTGAAAGGTCTGCGTGAACAAAACGTCAAGGACGCCGAGTCCGTGGCGGCGGCAATTGCGAACTACCGGCGAGAATTCCTCCAGGACCCCAGCAGAGTGCTCAACATTTGAGACTCGTTCTGTGGATGTAGGACGACGCAGGTGACACAGACCCTTATTTGGGCATCTGGGGCTTCCCTATCCTGAGATATCGATTCCCAGATCTGCTGTGATATTGCCAAGCTCGGATCTTCTTCTCCTATTCCTACAGTCCCCATCCCTTTCCCCATGGCAGGTTCACGCGCGATACCCTTCGGCAAGAAGGAAAAAAGAAGACGAGAAAAAGAACAAGAAAAAAAACAAAAGAAAAGCACAAGGGGGTCGAGAGTGGAAGCAAGATGCTCGTGACGAGCAACCAAAGTAGTTTGGCGTAATTGCAAAGATACCCATTTGCATGGCAGGCGTTTGGTATCCATTCGCAACCCCAGCATTCTGGGGGGTAATGGCGGACAAAAGCGCGACAGCTCAAAGCTGTTGGTTGAACGGACAAAGGGAACACCAATCCGTATAATGATCGGGCGGATTCTGTACAGCATTCAGGGTGGAGCATTAAATAAGTAGCATTTCCATAGCCTTGCAGGTAGAACTGATCAAGGCAATAGATGATTTCTTAGGTTACAGCGTATCATCCTCGGTAAAGGCTGGGCTGTGGAAGAGTCTGGACGTGATCGACGAGAGCCACGGCGGTCTGTACACCGAGCTCGGTGGAGGCTTTCCGGAGGAGAGTGGAGGTTTGGCGCTTGGGATTCCCTCAATTGGACGGAAAGTTTGCCGATATGCTGGAGCTGTTCTTCCCCGCAAGTCTGACGCATCCCACTCCCCACATGCTGCACGTAGCTATGTCAGCTACACCGTGTAACGTTCCGTAACCGGCGCCTGAATGAGAAAATTGTTCAGTGATGGGGTTTAAAAGGCCGGTTGACGCCGTGTAATGCCCACTTCCAATCTCAACGTCCGTCTTCCTTCTCGTCCCAATACCCCCACCAGCTGTTTCCCTACAATCTAGCAGAGATGGCAGCCGCCCCAACATCAGCCCCACTGCCTTTCTCGGTCTCTGGTAAGACCGCAATCGTAACCGGTGCTGGCTCTGGTACGTTCCTAACCACAATACAATCATACCCCTCATCTCCCCACTCTCAGCTTCGCCTACAGTAGCACAATGGCAGAGTAGAAAAAAAAAGAAAGTTAGATCAGCAGCTAACCACATCCCCCTAGGCATCAACCTCGCCTTCGCACGCCTACTCCTCTCACGCAACTGCAACGTCGTCTTCGCCGACCTCTCGCTCCGGCCCGAAGCGCAAGCCCTCGTCGACGAGTACTCGACGCCGTCAGCCGAGTCGCCGCGCGCCCTCTTCGTCAAGACGGACGTATCTTCGTGGCCGGCGCTGCGGCAGCTCTTCACGGCGACGCTCGCGGCCTTTGGCGACTTCGACATCGTCTGCCCGGGGGCCGGCGTGTACGAGCCGCACTGGTCCAACTTCTGGCACCCGCCGGGCTGCTCGGCGGCGGCGCGCGACGACGTCGACGGCGGCCGCTACGCGCTGCTCGACATCAACGTCACGCACCCCATCCGCGCCACGCAGCTGGCCCTCTCCCTATGGCTGCATCCCGCACCAGCCGCATCAGACTCGGATCCTTCTGCTACGAAACAGCCCGTCAAGGCCAGCCCGCTCAACCCCAAGCGCGTCGTCCACATCAGCAGCGTCGCCGGCCAGGTGCCCAACTTCAACGCCCCGCTGTACGCCGCCAGCAAGCACGCCATCTCGGGCTTCGTGCGCTGCCTCGCGCCGCTGGAGCCGACGGCCGGCGTGCGCGTCAACGCCGTCGCCCCCGGCATCATCCGCACCCCGCTGTGGACAGAGCATCCGGAGAAGCTGGCCTTCATCAACCAGGAGACGGACGGCTGGGCGACGGCCGAGGAGGTCGCCGAGGCCATGCTGCGCTGCGTCGAGGAGCCGGCGTTGGTGGGTGGCTCGATTTTGGAGGTGGGCAAGGATAATACGAGGACCGTCGAGTGCTTCAATGATCCTGGCCCCGATAGGGACCCGAAGAAGGGGTTGATCGTGAGTAATGGTGCGAAGGGGACTGAGGAGATTTGGGGCTGGTTGGGGGATGAGGCGGTCTGGAGGCTGAAGGATAACTCGTAGATGGGAATTAGGGTTGGGGTGCGGTTGGCATATCGAAGGGAACGGTAGGATGTTGTAAGTTGAGATAGCTTGAATGTACGCATTTATGAAACCCATTTTACTGTACTACTCTTTCAACATCGTAATGGACATAATCTTTGATGGAAAAAAGACGGTCAACATAAAGTTATGCCATGGAAGAGAGCTGAGTCAGGCTTGCACATTGAATGTTTGTATTGAACACCTTACGATGATGTACATATAACAGTCGTCAGATTAGTCAAGCCGCCCCAAAATTAATGAGCGGCACCAATGAAAGTGTGAAAGCAAGGTACACTACTATACCAACGCTGACTTCGACCCAAAGACGCCGCAACAGCAAATATTCCTGGGCGCATGACTTGACAGAAACGATTGGAGTGTAATCCGGAAGGCAGAAAGCCGATCATTGTGCCCTTGCATGCAGACGATCTTCACATGGTAGTGAGTGGCCGTCCAATGAAATATCTTGAAATGACCGCAGGCACCTGTCACTGGTTCTTTCATCCACATTCCCTGTCCAAGCCTCCGGAAGGCTGTCACCCTATCCCGTGTCTAACCTTCGGATGTCTGTCGGCCGAAGCTGGCACCTCCGGCGTACAGAGACCGGGGTAGTCCAACACACGAAAGATTCGGAATACTTGCTCAGGGAAACAAGAGGCGGTTCATGGATAAGTCTGATACATAAGCTGCTGTATTCAAGTCGATTTGCTAGAGCTAACGCTCCATTTTTGATAGACAAAAAAATAACGTGGAACCAAGAGCATGCAGCAATACGTGGTTTACGTCCGTTGCATTAGCTCTGGGGGTATTTATGATAGAATAGGTAGAAGTTAGCTGTACATCAAACGAATTTAAAAAATGTACTGCTTGTTCGGCCCATTTATTCATGGAACCACCGTCGATCCGATAAGATACTCGCTATCATGACACCACCATCAGTTATCGATCGTTTGCATATGTCCAGTTAACCACATAAGCCTTTTTGACGTCTACTAGTAGCCGAGAGAACATTACCGTGTTATCTATCGACCGAGGGAGTAGCTGCCGAACTATTTTCCCATTCATCCGCCAGACCAAGAAATGTCGGTCCGCTCGATCGGTATCACATAGCTAGAGCCAGCACACATATAGGCGCGCAATCGGAGTTCCAAGATGGACATTGCCACTCCGCCTTATCATGTCTCACCGGTGTCCAGATGACCGGAGCAAACCACCATGAATGATAGCGGAGTTGGGTGGATTCCTTATCATGCCCAACCACTTGCAACTCCTGCCGGACCCTTGCGATCACGCTCAACAGCCTGCGCCACCCACCACATTCTAGAAGGAGACAAACCTCCGACAACCGGACTTTGGCGTCGTCCTCGAACTCCGGCTCACACGCACAAGTCCGGAACCACCTCAACAATCCAATCCAAACCCACCGAAACCCTCCGTACCCAAATATAAACACACATAAAACACATAGCAAACTCCGAAGAAATGACAAAACGTTGGCCTGACGCGTAATATTTCCAAGTGGTATATAGCCTGATCCCTCCACCACTCATCCTTCGTTTCTTCCCACCTTCCGGGTATCCGAATAAATAAAACTCATGCTCATTGGCTGCCAACATTCCTTTCCTTCCCTCCGTGCGAGAGCACTGTAGCCGAGCAAAAATGCAATAATCCCGCGCCGCTATCCCAAATGAAGAAACTCCACATGTCGTTTTCCCCCCAGTAAACCGAAAAAAGTTGAGCGCCTCGCTTTATGGTACGACGATCGGAGACAATGATAGTAAAACATGGGTTATTCGCCGTTCAAAAATATTTGTACAAGAAATAGAAGAGAGTAGCTAGCACCGACTCATCATGTGCTGGATGCCTCTCCGGTCGCCGGAGATGCTGGAGGTTGGCTACCGCCGTTCTCCTCCGCCACAGCGTCCTCCGTGCGTTCTCTGGCGGGGCCGATGGTCGTCACGCCGTGCTCTCCGCCGCAGCCGAAGCTCATGATGCGGACCTCGCAGTCCTCACCAGCGGAAACGAGCTTGGAGTCGCTCAGGCCGATGCACGTCACGGGGCCGGCATGTCCGGTGAAAGTCCGCTCGTGGCGGCCTGATCGCGGATCCCACACCTTCACCATGCGGTCTTCTGCTCCAGAGACGAGCCGCAGCGTATCCGCTGCGATGGCCCACACGCCTTCGACGTGGCCGAAGAACGTGCGGAGGCAGCGGCCTGTCGCCACACTCCAGAGACGAATGGTACCGTCGAGCGCACCGGTGATCATGTAACGCGGCGGCTGTGGACGCTGTGGTTGATCAGGGTAGAAGGCTCTCGCCTCGTCTGAAGCATAAGGGGGGGTTATGGGGCCATTAAAGTACCGCAGCATGTTTTGGGGATCTGCGTCAGGAGTCTCCGCCTCATGATCGTGATCTGAGTGAGGGTCGACGTCCTCGTCGTCGAGTTCGAACTCCGGCGGCATTGGCAGCACTTGCTGCACCTGCCCAACATGGCCGTGGTAGGTTTTCAAGCATCGTTTTGTATCGAGGTCCCACAGCCTGACGGTGCAGTCATCAGATGCCGAGAAAATAGTACGTGAGGCCCCGTCGATCTTGACCGCATTGACCCAGTCCGTGTGGCCCTTGAGGTTGAAAGTGGATTTGTCGGGAAAGTTCCATACCCGAATAGTGTGGTCCATGGATCCAGTCGCGAGAATGTTATTGGCAAAGTGGAGCGAAACAATTCCACCCGTGTGGCCGGGAAAAGTCCGGAGCAGTTCACCGGTCTTCCAATTCCAGAGGCGGATGGTGCGATCAAGGCCACCACTGAATAGGCGGTTGTCTTCGAATTGCAGACACCGCACGCCCGCGGTGTGGCCGGTGAGTGTTCGAATTTCCTCACCGGTGTTGATGTCCCAAATTTTGATTGTTGCATCATAGGAACCGGTCGCGAGGATGTTGTCATCGAACTGCAAGCACATGATGCCGTTCGTGTGTCCGCGCAGGATCTTGGTGCTGCAGCGTCCGTACTTCCAATTCGTACCGACCTTGAAACGGTCCTTGTAGACATCTTTCCACGGCCGCTTAACGCGGGGCTGGAATGTAACGTCCTGTGACCCCGAGCTAGGTCCGGCAGTGCAGGTTCGTTTGGCAGTGCTGTCGGAAGAGTCATCGGAGATGCGCCGCTTCAAACTACTAGGTCCAGGGCTAGGGCTGGCGCTGTGACTTGGGGCATCGCCAGAGTTGGGTTCACTCGGCTCGGCCAGTTCGTTCAGTCCTCTTCCCGTTGCCCTGAGTTGCATCTGGCGTTTCTCGGTCCGCAGCCTCTTGGCCTCAAGTAGCGGTAAGCCCCAGCCGCACTTAGTGCACTTCCGGTCAATGTGCTGCTCGCACATTTTGTGCCAGACGACGTCATCGTCGGCAAGCTGTCGCCATCGCCGGCTCACTTGCGCGGCTTTGCACAGCGACGTGGTATCAAGATAACAGAGGATCTTGAAGCCAAGCTCCGGGGGAAGGGCGGCGAGGAAGTCGATCTTGATCAGATCGCGAACGGCCGCAGAGACATAGGACAGCTGAGGGAAGCAGCACTGGGCGAGGATGCCCTGGAGCATCAGGTTGCGATGCTTGGCGGGGGCGGCAGAGAAAAGGGACCAGACATGGGCGATGCCCTGCTGATCGGATTGCGACAGCATCGCAAGCTCCTTGTGGATTGTCAGCATGACTCGAGTTAGTGTTGCTCGGTGTAATATACCTTTTGCAGCTGCTCCATGGACGGCTCGTTGGCTTGTCTTCTGCATTTCACATCGGGGCGGTGGCGGTAGCAGTACTTGGTGCTCGATTTGTTGCTCATGGCCCTGGGCTGGGGAGCGTTGCCGAGAGGATTGTACTGGCTGGGAATGTGCTGGGCCAGAAACGGCTGCACGGTCTTGGCAGCTTGCTTGCTGGTGGAAGATATGGATATCGAGTCGTCCTTGTCCTCGGCCTCCTTGTCGGCTTCGTCGCTGCCAAGATGGTGTCGCGAGCGCGGTCGGTCGTGGTGGTCGTGTTCCCAAGGCTGTCCGTCGCGGGTCTGGTTCTGCGAAACGTCTCCCAGCTCCTTTTGTGGCGGATGGCGCAGCGACAGTCTCCTGGCAGGTGGAGCGTGCGGGTCGTGGAAAAGCGACGGCGAGGCCGCGGGCGGTTGCGAGCTTTGCGCCATTGTTGGGTTTGCAAATGCGCACTGTTCGGGGACGGCGGCGCAAGGGGGTATTAGAGTTTGAGACGTGGTTCAGGCCATACGGGATCGCTGTCGAGATTGGCGGAATGGATGGCGTGCGAGGGCGGAGTTGGGGCGGACGGGGAAGCGGCGATGCGATGGGGATGCGGGCGGTGCACCTTGGGCCAACGCAGAAGGCTATTGTGTGCTCCCTGGGGGCGTGGCACGACAGCTGCAGGCGGGAGGGCCTTTATTTCGGATTGGCGCAGACTGGTACAGGCTGTATAGAGGATCGGTGGCGTGCTTGAAGGTTGCAAGGCCCGAGCGGTTTGAGCACGCAATCGTCGCGGCGATGGTGTAGGTCACGTGCGATCAAGTCATCGTGCGAGTCTCGGCCACCACGGTGCAAACTCAGCAACAGTTTTCGCCAGCCCGGTGGCTAATGAGGTGACGAGCCTGTGCGATGCGCGCGCTCCCGAGTGGTTTCGGACATGTCTCGCAGCGCTTCCGTCATTGCACCACCGCAATTTGCCTTTCCGGACTTTGATTTCGATGGATCGCGGCTTCCGTCGGCGCTCGCACACCTCTCGCGCGGACCGGCAGCGATAGACCGCCCGGGTGCCGATCCGGCTAGTCAGTCCGGGGAAGTGGGAAGCGCCTGCCAGGGTCCTTGCAGCTCAACGCCCAAGCACACGCGCCGCGCCAACACCAAGCAGCTCACCACAGCTAAAGCACACCGCCGTGCTGCCTGCCAGCACGCGAGTCCAGCATCCATGTCCTAACAACACCACCGGCTCCCGTCTCTCCTGCATGACATCATAGCTCCCTTGATGGCGTCCCCGCAGTCCCCGGCTGCCTCCATTGGCAGTCTCGACAACGGCCCGCCGTCCCTCGAACAGCTAGTTGCCCACTTCGTCAACGCCAAGCGATCCCTAGCCTCCATCCACCATGTCTGGCGCGCCAACGAGGTCGTCACCCAAGCTCGCCAGCTGCTGGAAGTCGACGCCGTGCTCACCAGCAAGATCGTCTTCCTCCGCCGCGGGCTCGAGGACCAGACCAAGACGCTGAGGACACTGCGCTACGGAGTGGATTTGGTGGGCGTCGAGGGCCACGATGAGTTCAAGGTACCCACGCCCCCAAAATAGATAAATGTGGACTGCCTGATAGTAACAGCCCTAGGAAATGCTGACCAGCCTTGACGAATCGTCGCACCACCTCCACAACACTCTCCACCTGCTGAAAGAAACACCCATTCACAGCACCCTACAACCCCCGGGAACGCCCCAGAAATACCTGTTCGATTTCATCGATTCGTCCAGCGTCGATGATCTCGAAGCTTCCCTACGCGCCTGCATAGACCGCACCAACGAGGCCGACTCCGCGCTGGCTGAGACGATCGACGCTTTCGGAGCATCGCTGGCACGCCTTGATGATGCCATCGACACCTGTCCACCGCCTCCAGATCCCTCGCCCTCGCCCCTGCCGCCCTCGTTTCGCCAGCTCGAAGGTCATGCCACTGAGACCGCATCGCTCCTCCAATCCCTTGTCCGACATTACGATCTCTGCGTCACCGCGCTGAAACACACGGAAGGAGGCAACGAGGCAGCGACGCGCGCGGCATCTGACGAGTCTCCACTCCCGAGCTCTCACGACCTGCCCCACGATCTAGACCCCAACCTACATGTCAACCTAGACCAACTGGACATCGATGTCGCGAGTCTGCGACCAGATGCCCCACCTCCGCCGCCGATGACGGAGGCCGAACGCGCAGACATGTTGGCGGTGCTGGCGAACGATGCCGCCGAAGTCGACGATGTGGTGGCAGAAATTCGGGACCGTGTGTCCGATATGGAAGCCCTTGCCGGTGAGATGGCCGGCCACATTGAGGCTCTTCAGGCATCATACTCGGCACATCTCCAGGCTTTCCGCCTTATGGCTGATGTCGGCAAAGAGGTTCCTGAATACCTTGCCAGTTGCCGCACCTTCCAGGCCCGGTGGGGAGAGGAGAAAACTAAGATTGAAGAGGGCATGTTGGCCCTTGAGGGTCTTCGAGAGTTCTACGATGGATTCCTCGATGCGTATGATGGTCTGCTTGTTGAGGTGGACAGGAGAAGACAAGTTAGAATCAAGATGGAGATCATCGCACGGGAGGCTTTGAAGAAGATTGAGCGACTCCATGAAGGTAAGTGATCACGCACGTTGAAAGTTTAGAATGCCCAGTCTTGTATAGATGTGGGACTCAAGCGAGAAACCTGACAACTAACTCATCTCAAAGATGACCTCGCCGCGCGTAATACTTTCCACGTTATGCAGGGCGAACATCTACCCTCGGATATTTGGCCTGGTCTCGTAGACCCGCCGCCTCGCTACGATATCGTAGTGTCGTCCGACCGCGACGCAGCACCCTCTGCAACCATGACCGGAGACAAGCAGAGCAGGCGCCAAGCCGAGGTTGAAGAGATAGAGAGACGCATCCGGGACATCAGCATCCCCGCACTTCCTGACGATGTCGTTGAAGGAGCCATCCGTCGGATGGAAGAGCGACGCGCGTGATGCACTCGCAGGTTTCGAGTGATCACCGGCCACTAACTGCACGAGGGTAGCTGCAGTGTTGACATCCCGCACATCATCTTTCATGACCATTCGAATATGTTGCCACACGCAGCGGGTTGACTTAATAGTTTGTGACACATCAAGGCGCACGGGGTAATAGAGTAAGGATAGGGTCGTACATTGGGCACGTAGGCGAATTATGGATTCACCACTCACTTTTTGCAACAAAGCCAATATAGATCGGAGGCAACGTTGGCGCCTGAGGTCAGATTTTCTTATTTGAACCTTGGAATAGACCGAGAATACGTTTCAGCACACATCTTTTGTATACATGCGCGCTATATACCCTTTCTTCGACAAACAACATCCTGGATATGCAGAAACAAAAAAAAGAGAAAAAAAAAAGAAAACATGACCAGTCCATGTGTCTCATTCAGGTGTAACATGATTCCCAAGAAAGAAGAACATCAACGCCTTTGGATGCAATGCCAGACCGCATTTCTTTTTTTCTTCCATGCCCCATATCCACCCTCCCAGAGTTTTCTCCCACATCAAACTGGACTTAAGAAGGATCGAAAACGATGCCCGGGGAAAGAAATCAAAAAGAAACAAAAGTACGATACTCAAATCATCCCTCATTTCTTGCCCCCCCTTCCGCTGTTCTTAACAAGGTTCTTCTTGACGTGCTTGGGCATCTTGGTCTTGCGCTTCTCGCGCTTTTCTTCCTTGACGGCCTGCTTGTGCGCCTTCTTCTCCTCCTTGTCCTCGAACCGCCTACCGCGCGGCGGGCCCTTATCACGCCACTCCTTCTTCCCACCTTCTTCCTCGCTGTCCTCCTCATCATCGTCTTCCGAGCCCTCCTCATCTTCATCGTCATCTTCCTCTTCGGCCCCCGCTGCGCCGTCCTTCTTGCCGGCGAGCAGGTTCTGGTAGACGAGCGAGTCGCCCTTGCCGGCGCCGACGAGCTCGGCATCGCGCTCGACGTCATAGACTTGCTCGAGAGTCTGGGGGATGTACTGCTTGCGGAAGACCTCGTTGTCAACCTCGTCGTCACGAATCACACCGTCCTCGCCTTCCGCCGCGCCCTGCTCAGCCCGCTTCCTGTACAGCTCCTCGAGGGTCTCGCGCATGCCATCCATCTCGGTGCTGGCCTCGGGGTCGGTGACGAAGGCGAAGACGGTGCGGTCGGGCAGGACGTCGACGCCACGGGCGCCGCCGCGGAAGAAGTCGGCGACGTTCTTGATGTCCATGCGCAGGAACTCGAGGGCGCGGGGGTGGTCGTGCTCGACGGACTGGGAGACGTCGATGACGCAGAGCTTGCCTTCGTGGTAGAGCAGGTTGTACTCGCTCAGATCGGCGTGCACCAGGCGGCACACCTGGTACATCAGGCGCATGTACGACAGCAGCTCCAGGTACAGGTCGCGCCACCGGCGCTCGATCTCGTCGGCGTCGCTCAGCCCAAAGTCGGCCGCGACGTCGCGCAGCCGCGGCGCCGGCCAGCCCTTGCGGTCGCCCACGAAGCCCATGACCAGCACGTGCAGCCGCAGGTACAGCGGCTGCGGGCAGGGGATGCCTGCTGCGTGAAGGCGCTTGAGGTTGCGCATCTCCTTCTCTGCCCACACCTTGACCATGGCCCGGTTGTTGCTCTTGCTGTAGCCGCCGCGGAAGCGGAACTCGCCCGTCACGTATTTGTCGCGGTCCTTGAACACCAGAATGCTAGTCTTATACACCTTGATAGCACGGTGGATGGGCGGCGCCCCGTCGTCCGGGATGGACAGCGCGTGGTACACGTTGGCCTCCTTGCCCGTCGACACGCAGCCGTGGATCTCGCTGACGATGCCGCGATTGATCATCTGCAGCAGCAGCATGCGTGTGCGCGGGTCCAACACCTGCTCCGACGTCGCCCGGTCTGCCCTGTCCTTGCCGCCGTCATCGTTCTTAGCCTTGCCCCCGCCGCCGCTGAAGCGCGTCTCGTCGAGCTTAATCTTGCTCGCGTGCACCGACAGCGACCGGATCTGGTCGTCAATCGACGCCTTGGTGTTGGCCGACGGCTTGAGCGGCGCGCCTTGCGGGTTCGTCTTGGGCTTGTACGCGGCCGGGATCGCCGGGTCGTTCAGCTTGCGCTGCCGGTTGTACGATTTCGTGAAGTCGTTCGGGTTGCCCGAGCCGAGGGCGTCGGCGGCGAAGTCGTCGTCCGCCTCCTCGTCCGAGGCGTCCTCGAAGATGTCATCGTAGTCGTCGCCGTCCGAAAATTCGTTCTCGCCCTCCGCGGACGGTTGCGCTTGCTCGGTCTGGGGTGCGGCGGAGAGGGACACGCCGCCGTCGGCTTCGGGCTCGTAGCCTTGGTTCGGGACGTAGTCGTGCGTGGGCTCGAGTGCGGCCGCCGGAGAAACGTCCTGGGACGCCATGATGGCGCAAATTTGCTTGCTGCGCGGGGTGTGTGATCTCGATCTGAATACGAGATCTGCTGCGCTTCAATCGTCCAGAAGTTGAAGAATTGGCGTGAGTTTTTCGAGGTGGCAACGCGACATACGGGTATCGATTTCTCAAAAAATTCATGGGTTCGGCGTCATACATTTGGGCTGTGCCCCGCGCTAGCCCTTTACGGAAGGCGGTGATATTGCCTGTGGACCGCGACCAAGACAATGATCGTATGAAATTCAAAAGAGCTATGATCAGTTGAGGCGGAACTCGTGCAGGTCTTCGAAATAGCAAGAGCATCTACTGTCCATTGTGTATACCACCGCTACGAGAAAGCTTCATTTGACAATATATCAACCCTAAAGCTGTGTCTTTATTGCTAATCTGCTTCATGCCAGCCATGACTCCATAGTAGGTCACAAGACACTATCTTACGTCTTTGCTCCGGATATCATGACCATCGTCCTTTTGATTAATCACACATTCATGTCAATTAGAACCTGAATAGTCAAAAGATGAAACGAGAAAAAAAAACTTTTCAATTGCACGTTGCCGTCGAATACAGGCGGCACGCCTCTCCATCAATCGCATCCACCAAGCCCGTCATTTAGCTATGCAAAGAAGCGCCCCCTCCATCCAACCGCCCGTATCCCTTCCAATCACCTCTTCGGACGAAGGGTATATGCAACACACAAAACAGCAGACGTCGGTGACCCGTGAATTCCTACAAACCCAGGAAGAGAAGGAGAGAAAAAGAAAAGCACCACCGGTTTTCCACCTCGTAGATCATGCCTCCCATGACTTACACGTTTACCAATCAGTTCAAAATTAATACATAAGTTTTTTACCTCCACTTTTCATGATCGACGAGAACGAGAGAGAAGAGAACCTGTTTAGTCCTCAGTAAGGTCACCGTACTCCCAGATACCCCTCCTCTCGGCCTTGGCCTCGTCTTCCCTCTCCTTCAGGGACTTCAGGATGTCACCGGCCGAGCGCTCCCAGGCCTTGAGCTTCCTCGGCACCATCGCGTAGCCGCCGGCGATGATGTCGGCGTTCACGGTGTCAGTCGAGTTGTTGCTGTTGGGATGGAACAGAGTGACGTAGAGGGTGTTATCCTGCATATGGTCGACGTTGGCGACCATCTGCTGGCCAGCGGTCTCCTGGCTAATGAATTCAACAGCGTCGCGGAGGTAGTCGGCGGAAGTGGGGAACTGCGTGAAAGAGAGGACGGCGTCAACGGCCTGGGGCTTGAGGTTCTGAACGCCGAACTTCGGGTCGAGAGCGCGGAGGCGGCTGTAAGGGATGGTTTCCGAGTTGCCGTAGTCGATGTAGACGACCTCGACCTTCTTGGCTTCACGGTCGTTGCGGCGGACTCTGGCACGGTACCATTCCTCATCCTCGGTGAACTTGGCCGAGACAAAATCGCCAGCCTTGACCTGTTCGATCGGCTTCTCATTGGCCTTGGTCAGGTGGAAGTTGCGGAAGGCGTTCATGAGATCAGTAAGAGCCGTGGTGCCAGCTCCAACCTCCTGCAGCTTCAAACGGCAAGTCTCCTCATCGACGTGAGTAATCATGACGTCGCGGAAGTCCTTACGGCGCTCAGCGGCCTCGCCGTTACCATTGGCTCCATTGGAAACTGCTTCCAAAGGAGTGCCCTCATCCTCCTCGTCCTGGGACGGGTCCCAGCTGTGCCACATGCCCTTGCGGGCCTCCTTGGCCCTCTTCTCCGCAGCAAAGAGCTCGGTAGCGTTGCCAGACTTCTCAGCGGAGTAAGCGTGGACGGAGGCAAGACCCTCCTCGACCAGGACCTTGGCGAAGCTCTCACGGTTGACGTAGAGCGTTCCAATGAAACCTCCGACCTTGTCGCAGTCCTCGACATCGATCTCAACATCACGCTGCTGGCAGCGCTTGTTGGCGAAGTCGTGCGCCTCCTGACCGAAAGGCTCGCTCTTCTCGGTGGGGTTCCTGGCAGACCTAGGTGCGCGGATACCAGAAAGGACGAAGGTGAGCTTGGCGTTCTCACGAGGAACGAGGACGGTGAAGCGCGAGCCAGACTTGACAAAGTCAACGATGGCGGGAACCTTCCTCTGCCTCGACAGCAGGGTGAGTTGCCTCTTGGCCTTCTCCAAGCTCTCCGAGTAGTCCACGTAAGCCTTGGTAGCCGGGGGCTTCGCCGCCCACATACCACGGCCCTCTTGTTGGGCATCCTGCTCAGCAAGGAGCAGATCGTCATAGATCGGGCTACGGTCCGAGTCGTCTGCGCGGTGCCTGATCACAGAAGCGTATCCGTTCTCGACAAGCAGCAAGGCAATGTTCTTGTCGTTGAAGATGACGGTGGCCATCTCACGCTCGTCGTAGCCTTCCGAGGGAGGGCGCTTGCCGTCGATCTTGACCTTGACGTGCTTGCCGATGAGACGCTTGCGAAGGAATTCCTTAGCCTCCGCTTGCCAGGGTGCCTGCTTAGGGTCCGATGGCTTGGGCTGTCTGACGCTGCTCAAGTTGACGCGCTTCTCGACACCGGCCTTGTTGCGCAGGAAGAGGGTGTCCGCACTCTGGATCCTGCTGACCACAGCCTCAATTGCTCCCGCAGCGCTTTGCTTAGGGGCAACGTGGCCCTGGAAAACACCTGCCCTGTTCTCCTTAGCGACCCTCTCAGCTTGCCTGAGCTTTCCCATTTCAGCGCCCAAGAGTGTAGTGTGTTGGTCCATGCAGCGTGCAAAGCCGGCCTCAAGCAGGAACGGCGCAACGTTTCCGCGCTGAGGGTGCTTCACTGAGCCGATGAGTTGGTTTTGCGGGCTCACGCCGAGGGGAGTAAACTTGATGGTGCGTTGTAGCAGGCGGCTCTCGATGAACTGTTGCGCTTCGTCGCCAAAGGGTTCCGCGGGCTGCTCCTTGCCGTCCGAGGGGTTTACACGCTTCGTGGATGGTGCGCGGATGCCAGCAATGAGAGTCATAGTCTGCACGTGTTTTGTGGGTGATAGAAGTAGGCGCGCAATGAGGCGATCGCCGCTGAGAACCTTCTCAACAATAGCTGCTCCCAAGTTAGTGAATGAACCCAACGTGATTGGTGATTCGAGCTTCCTTACAGTCAATCTCCTTGCCCTTGTTCTGCTCAACGAAGCCCTTGGCATCAGGCAAGTCGTATGACGTCTCGAGGCGGCTCGGGGTCTCGGACCAGACACCTTTCGAGTCGGCCTTGGCGCGCGCTTCGAGGACCTCGAGCTTTTGTACTATCGCTTGCGACGAATCCGAGTCGTTCTTGCGGTCGGCATCGTCGCGGAGCTTGACCCAGCCTTCGGCAACGGCGGCGTCGGGGAGCATCAGGCCACCGGGCAGGCTAATGATACCATAGTCGCGCTTCGTTGTTGGGATGGTGTACAGGACCTTGAATTGCACAACCTTGCCAACCAGGATGCGGCGCAGGAACTCGCGAGATTCGAAGGCGAAGGGCTATTACAGAAAAAATACGTAAGCAAGTTCCTTATGAGCAGGCGCTGACAATTGGCGCATTTCGTTGCATCCGCAGCTCAAGCCGCGCTGCTGGTAGCCGTTGGCCGTGCAAGGCCACACGAAGGGTCCGGGAAGGGTGCTACCGACCTCGTCGCCCTCCCTCCTTATCCTAGGAGCGGAGACGAAGGCGAGACTAAGAACGCGCTCCTGCTTGGGGTTGTTCACGTTATGCAGAACGACCGTGTCACCGGAGAGGACAGACTTGACCATAGCCTGGTAGAGAGCCATGATGAAGGACGGGTCGATGCAGCTGCAGGCGCAATTGGTGTCAGCTTTGCCACTTCACAAGCTATAGCTCCTGGAACAAAGTTGGCGTGACACTCACTCGAGCTGAAACCTTGGGGCGGAGGGGAGAAAGCCGAAGCAGCAGTGCCAATTGGCGCAGTCGAGGGTCGAGGGAGCGGGATGTTAGGTACAACTTTTGGGGTGCAGTGGAGGAAAGTTGCTGGGAGGTTTTGCGGTGCGAGTCGTTGCGGCGGCAAATGGAGCTGTGGGGTTGAGGTGGCCTTTTCGGCGGTCACTACTGACGACCTAGGGTCCCCTCGCACGCGAGCGCACGCGCATCCCCGCCGCCTCTTTACGTACCGCCTGCATCGCACGGCAAGAGCTCGCAGAGTCTGAAATTCACCCGTGGCTTTCTCCTCATTATTAATTTCACCTGGCCACATCAATTCAAGTTTTTCAAGATGCATCAAGGTCACTATCACTTTTCACACAGTAATTGGGATCTTCTCAATTTTTATTGCCTATTAACTGCTACTACCTCCGTGGTATTCGAAGAGCTGCAGCCTCATGGGTCTCATGAATAGTACGCGGTACCGAATATTTAAGCAGAGATACCAATGACACCTGCACGGCGCAAACGTTAGCTGTCGGCTTCTCGAGCACGCCAGGGACGGGAACATACCGCAGGCAGGGCGGGGGCCAGCGTTGCCAGTCTTCTTGGACTCCTCGTTGCCACCCTTGCCGAGGTCGTCAGTGCCGGCGTGGCAGACGACGGTGCGGCCGATGACGCTCTCAGCACCGATCAGCTTGACGAGCTTGTCGGTGGTGGAGCCGACGGCGTTGCCCTGGCCATCAGTCTTGATGTTGCCAAGGTCACCAACGTGGCGGTCCTCGTCAGTGGGAGCACCGTGACCCTTGCTGTGGGGGTTGACTGCACGCAACCGTCAGTGTCTGCATCTTCCCGCTGCGCTGTATCAGGGCTTCGTCTTACAGTGAGGGCCGGCGGAGGTGCAGCCGTTGGTGTTGTCACCGAAGGCGTGGATGTGCATGCCACGCTCAGCGTTGGCGTCGTGGCCGCTGATGTTCCACGAGATGGTGGTGGGGGCGGACTCGGACTCCTGCTCGAAGGTGACGGTGCCCTTGACGTTGGAGTCACCACGGATGACAGCGACTGTTTTTGTTCAAATGCTCGTTAGCCCCTGCTGCAGATGCTGCCCCGGACACCTTGATGGCGGAACGGCGCGACCGACGGGAGCGAATCCGTCAATCCGTCAATCCCAGCCCTTGGCTGTACGGTATTCATCGTTTTGGGTCCTCGCAGCCATCAAGGTATCGCTCGAGGTACCCAAACCGGCCAATTGGACTCGCTGACGGGCGACGAAGGCACCTTTCGGTCAAAGAACATGCTCAAACCGTCTCACGACGCCGCTGCAGCTGCCCCACTTCAGGCAAGAGCTGGCGTATGGTACGGCTGAGCAAAGAAAAGTTACCACACTTACCGGCCTTGACCATTTTGACGGTTTTAGTGTTTGTTTTGGGGTTTGACGTGAGGAATCGGAGCTTCTGCTGATGGATGAAGAGGAGAGAAAGCGAGCGACCCGCCGCGACACTCTTCATGTGCGGGGCTTCGAGCTCCCTCCTCGCTTTCGTCATCAACAAATCCTAACTCCGACGGCCTCCGGCCAATCAGAAGCTGCCGTCCCCGCAGGGGTCCACAGTCTCAGCCAGTCCCGCGCTTGGGCTTCACCGAGCGCCGTTTGGCCAGATTCACAGTCTCTCATAAGCTCCGGCACTGCTCAGTCATCGCATCAAAAGTCATCTATTTTGTTTGCAAGCGAAAATCATCTGCTAGCTAAGGGTTTATCATCAAACGCCCAGAACTCAGTTGCAATGATTGTCCATCCCAGCTTCCATTATCGTAACTTGCATTTTGGGGCTTCCCACCCGATATCGGACCAATTTAAGCCTTCTCAATCTTCTCCCTGAGGATGTTCTTCAGGGTGACGGCGTCAGCAGCGAACTTGGAGATACCCTCGCGCAGCTTCTCGACTGCCATCTGCTCCTCGTTGAAGTCGAAGCGGAAGGTCGCCTCGTCCTTGATGTAGGTCTTCTTCTCAATGCTGAGGGTGGCGCTCTGCGAAGCATCGAGCTTCTTGGGGACAGCCTCCTGCGAGTTGTAGAGGTCCTCGAGGAGGTTGGGCTGCGGCTCGTTAGCACATGCGGTTCTCTTGCCTGGCCTTTAGGATGCACTTACGGAGATGGTGAGGTAGTCGCAGCCAGCGAGCTCGGTGATCTCGCCAACGTTGCGGAAAGATGCGCCCATGACAATGGTGTTGTAACCGTACTTCTTGTAGTAGTTGAAGATCTGCTGCACGCTCTTGACACCGGGGTCCTCGGCGGCAGTGTACTCCTTCTTGGTGGCGGCCTTGTACCAGTCAAGGATGCGGCCAACGAAGGGGGAGATGAGGTAGGCACCGGCCTCGGCGGCAGCGATGGCCTGGACAATCGAGAACATGAGGGTCAGGTTGGTGTTGATGCCGTGCTGGCTCTGGAGGATCTCGGCAGCCTTGATACCCTCCCAGGTAGAGGCGATCTTGATCAGGACACGGTCCTTGGAGATACCCTGCTCCTTGTACAGCTAGGGGACTGTCAGCTCGCACATAAAACACAGCTTCTTGAGAGATCACGTACGTCGATGATGCGCAGCGCCTTGTTGACCGAGGCCTGGGTGTCGAAGGAGAAGCGGGCGTCGACCTCAGTCGAGACCTTGCCGGGGATGAGCTTGAGGATTTCCTTGCCGAACTGGACAAGGAGGTTGTCGAGAGTAGCATCGACCTGGTCATCGATGCTGCCGCCCTTGCTCTTGCCGTAGGCAACGGCGGCGTCGATCAGAGCGGCGTACTCGGGCTTCTTGGAAGCAGCCAGGATGAGGGAGGGGTTGGTGGTGGCATCCTGAGGAGTGTACTTGGAGATGGTGGCGAAGTCACCAGAGTCGCAGACGACGGTCTGTCGAGCATGGCAGTGTCAGCAGAGCTCAATGCAAAGTCTGCGTAAAAATGTGTTGGGTTGCGGGCGGCGCGGCGGACAGGCCGGCGACCGCGGGGTAGGCGGCGTGGCGGGGTAGACTCACGGTGCCGGCGGCCTTCAATTGTTCGAGAGAGCTAGGCATGGTGGTGGATTTGGGCGAGGTATACAGGTACGAAGGGTATCAGAAGAGGGGTGTAGAGATGACGATGGAGTGTTGAGGGAGACAGGATTAATAGGGCGGGCTGGTGGGGTTTTGTGAGCGGCATCGATGTCACAGGGTGGCGCCCGCAGGGAGCGAACGGTGCACGTTGCAGGGAAGTGGATGGCCGCGCGCACGTCAATCGCCGCCGTCGCGGCATCGCTGGCAGCGGTCGGCCCTGCGCTGCATCCTGCGCCGATAGTTCTCCGCCGGCCGTTCCCAGCGTGCGAAGCCATCGTGTTGCGCCGCGGGCGCTCCTTCCTCGCAGCCATCTCCGCGGTCGGCTGGAAACCCTTTCGCGACAACTTCCGCCGCGCGCTCTCCCAAGCAACAGCCGCCGCCGCCGCTTCTGCCAAGCGACGGCGCGGATAAAGAGAGCGAGGGCCAATTAGGGAATCTGCCGGCGCTTCCGCGGTTATTGGTCATTCGATGCGGCCTGGACGCTTAGCCTGTCCGATCTTTCTCTCCCGCAGAGGCTCCGACAGCCGTCATCGCTCAGGCGGCCACTTCTTTGTGACGTCTTGCTCCATTATCAATCCGCCCCATCCGCTATTATAAGCTTCCAGGCCGCCCGTGCGGTTTTTATCGTCGGATTGGTAGCACACGTTGCTGTTCTCCCGAGGACCACCCACAGGTTTACACGAGAAGCACACCATGGCACTGCAGCCTGACGATTCTTATCTGCATCATTGGCGCACGAGTCCTTCAATCAGGAATTTTTCCGTCCGTTGAATCATGCCACGGAAACCTTCTCGGGGTCGACCTACCGAAATACCTCACTGAAAGTATCGTGACAATTCAACGTCACACTGAAGATTTTTCCTAGAGACTGCACCGTCAGCATTCGCGGCTATTTGAGCAAAGAACCGGCAAAATTGCGACAAGCGAGTTTGACGGCTGATGGGCTTCTCAAGCGTGTGCTGGACTCGTCACTTTCTGATCTGGTCTGTCCCAGATTCACCGCCTCTGTGTGGAGATACCTTCCGGAGTTGACGATTGGTGTCTTCGAAGAAAATTTCCAAGGACTTGGAACCCCCAGTTCTTGCTACCTACATATTTAAAGTTATACTCGCGTCTCTAGATCACCGTCGCCCTCGATGCACTTTTAGTAGGCTCATGTCCTGCTACTACTGTTCGGAATATCGTCGATCGAAACGAGTTGAAAGCGCAATGGGAGCTTTCACTTTGGAAAAAATAAAAAAGATGTACACCCTGCTTTACCGGCTTAGTCGAGGACCAATTGGTCGGGAACGGTTGTTACGTCCAGAAGCTTTCACATTTTGATATTACGTATCTTTGATGAAGTTAATGGCTGATATGGCAGGGACATGCAGATGATTTGCGCTCGAAGTCATACAAGCGTAGTCGCCACATGCACCTTTTTCGTCATTTTGAAGCTACATGCGCTCGCCACCTGGCTGTCACAGAAAACACGATTCTTCCAGATGTTGCAAAGCTGATGATGCGTTACACATGAACGTAGTGTTGACTATGACCTGACCACGGAAAGTTCAGGTTTGGACCAATGACTGACGGTATCACAGGCACATGATTAGTCGGCCAATCGCATCTGTTCCAGTGCATGTACTGACAAACGCCGCAATCAAGACCCTTGTATTCGCGAAGAAGATTCATACGTAAGACGCCTTTTTGACCAGGCAATACCGACCGCCAATTGGAAAGCCGTGCCAGGTAACCTTCTCACGCGTAGGGACCCTGTGATCCGGTCGCTACGTTCAGGTCTGAATGTCGCTACAACGAAGCATGCCGCATGCACTCCAAAATATAGATATGCAAAATTCTGTGGTGAAAATGGGCTGCGTATTCCTGAAACTATCCAAGCAGCAGTAATAGGGCAAAACATGGGGACTGGACCGCTTCTATTGTGGTGCAACTGATGGCGTTTAGGCTTGACTGGGTTCCTGCAAGCGCGACTCCACTCAGTCTCAGAGAATAAAATCCGTCGATGATCAACAGCGGGATCTTCGCCCAAGGTCCGGGCCGTGTGGACAGAGTTTTCGGGCCTCGACATCATCCCGTCAAGCCGTTCGGGCGAAAGACGCCGGGGACCGGGTGTGTGGCAATGGCTATCTCCGGGAGTCGTAATCCCGGACAAAAATAAGCAACCAGTAGCCGTTGGCAGAGGCCGAAGCACTACACCAAGCTCTAGCCGAAGGCGTCCACGTAACCGTTTTAGGCAAACTTTGCGACTTTTTTGGATCCTACGGCCACGGCACTGCCAGAAACGAACGATATCTGCTCCACCAACACTGCATCCCGCGCCACGAACCCGAGAGCGAGGGCCTTGATAGGAGCCTTGCTTGCCTATCTGCTTCACCGGGCGCTGAAGGAATGGCTGTGCATGTCTCAACTGCTGGTCAGATATATTAAACGCCCTCCCCTATTGTCTATCGCTTTCTTCTCGTTTCGCTTCTGTTACATGCTTCTGTCAGATTTTTTTTCCAAGTGAAGTCCTCCGTCACCACATCTCCGCCAAAGAAGCCTTTCTCCACACACCTATCCCCGCATATTTCCCACAGGCTTCCTTCAGCCTCGCCATGCCGGCCGGCTTCGAGCTCCCCGTGCTGCTGCTCTCACGCGCCGACACGAACATTACTCGCGGCAACTCTACCTATCAAGAATGGAAAGACTACCGTGACCACTGTACTCTGGACACTTGCCCGCTGAGTCTATCCTACTGGGCATATCGGCCCTCCTTGGTTGCGAATGGCATTTTCCTCGGCATCTTCGCTCTCTCCTTGCTACTATTTTTGTGTCAAGGTATTCTGAGCAAACGTTTCCTGGGCTTCACGATCGCCATGGTCTCAGGGAACATTCTTGAAGTTTTGGGGTATGTCGGAAGGGTCATGAGCTACTATAACCCATTTAAAGAGGTAGTTGAATCTCGGCCAGGAACTGTACGCTCGTGCATGAGCACTGACAGCTCGCCTCGTAGGACGGCTTCTTAATGCAGATCGTCTGCCTGACCATCGCACCCGCCTTCCTGGCCGCAGGCATCTACTTCTGCCTGTCGCGCATCGTAATGACCTTCGGAGCGGAGAACTCACGCATCAAGCCGCTCTCGTACCCGCGCATCTTCATCCCGTGCGACGTTATCTCCCTGCTCTTGCAGGCGGCAGGCGGCGGGCTGGCGTCGGCGCAGTCTCATGCCAACAAAGACCCCACGACCGGTAACAACATCATGATTGCCGGCCTGGCCTTCCAGGTGGCCACACTCTTCGTCTTCATCGTCCTCGCGACGGACTTCAGCATCAGGACATTCACACGCGTGCGCAGGCTGGGAAAGGAGGCACTAGACCAGAGGCATGAGCAGCTGCGGAACAGCTGGGCATTCAAGGGATTCCTGGTGGCGTTGGCATTCGCAACGTTATGCATCTTCACCAGAAGCGTGTACCGCGTGGCTGAGTTGAGCGAGGGTTGGACGGGTCACTTGATCGAGACGCAGAAGTACTTCATTGGGCTGGAGGGCGCGGTCGTAGGCGCGGCGGTGTTGAGCTTGAACGCGTTTCATCCGGGGCTCTGCTTTAGGGAGGGCTACCAGGAACGGAAGGGGCTTGGGTTCGGAAGAAGTAAGCAGCCGTCGTAGGCAGGTGCGGCCGAGGTGGTGCTTAAATTGGATTTTTTTTTTCTGTTGCTCTTGCTCCTTTGCGCACCCACTACCGTCTTCCGCACACACACCAGCTCGAAGATCTCGTCCAACCCTCGCACATCCAGCTCCACACAGCGCTCGCCATCAAAGCAATCCCTCAGATACCTCCTCCTTCCACCAATATCCTCCTCAAACCAACAATATCTCCACCATGTCTTCTCTTCCGCCGCTCCCGTCCACCCTCAGCGTCAACATGGCGACCAACAAGCAAACGGCCTTGAACTACGCCAGGGCCGAGTATTCGAGGTCGGGCCGCCTCGTGATCTGGGTTGACGGCTCCGTCCGCAATGTCGACGGCCGCCGGGGCCGGGGCTCGCCCTCGGTGACGTCCTTTGCCTGGAAGGTGGTCCATGACGACGGCGAGACAGACTGGGCGGACGAAGTCATGTACCACGACGACGACCGCCAGACCGAGCCGCGGGAGGTAGAAATCTGGGGAGTGATGTGGTGCCTCCACAGGATGGTCGACCAGATCTTCGAGGACCACCCGCACATGCGCGCGGCCGTCAACACTATCGTCATCTACACGGACTGCATGGACGCGACGGAGAAGATCGCCCAGCAGCCGGGCGGATACCGCGTTCGGAACTGGGACTGGGCGAACGCCGTGGTGGTGGACATCTACAAGATGGTGGAGAGGCTGGAGGGCCTCGAGGTCGAGATCAACTGGGTCCCTGCCCACGAAGGGGTCGAGGGCAACGAGTGGGCCAACTTCGTCGCCCAGAAGGCCAATGGCGTCCCGTCGAGCAGCGGCGGCAGGGGCGACCAGTTGCGCCGCGCGGCGATGGCGAAGAAGTGGCGGGAGCGCAACGAGCGCGACGAGCGTCGTGGCGGGATGGGTATGTTGACTTCCCTTCCTCTTTTTACGGGACTGGATAACTGCGATCACAGATTAGAAGATGGAAAGCCACCACCTTCCCAGATTTGCGGTCTTTTCCGGCTTTTTGTTTTGTTTTTCTCGGCTTCACCATCACAGCATCGGAGTGGACGGCGGAATACCAGCATTCGGCCTTCTTTTTATATTCATCATCATGACAATTTCGAAAGCTTTCCCAGACTCCGCATTGCCTTTTCAGGAACAGATGCAGTGTTCACCACTGCGAATGTGTATTATGCGTGATTTGAGAGCTGACCATCTAGACTTTGACAACACGAGGGCTGACGGTTTCAATAGTTATATTGGTGGCGAAGGCACCATGAGCTGACGTTTACGGCAGATACGGTGTTAAAGCATCAACACGACGGCTTGCTCGGTACCTGTTTGAATAAAGTTTAGGGACCGTACATCAAAGTTCGCTAAAGGCTTGCCTGGGGATTGTTCCTGGGACTTGACAGGGACTCCACCGGAATCCGGAGCTACCTTCCTAATGCAGGTAGCGAATTCTCGTGTTCTGCCCATTCCGGTCTTCGTCATCCATCGGCCCCGCGTTACCCCATGGTTCCGGTGGGTTTTCCTACAGAAATTAATATGTGGCGCGAGGTTCCCACCGCAATAAACAAGAAAGAATAGGCGCCGGACCTAAAACAGACGCCACAATCGAAGTCACGAGGGCGCCGAGGCCGGAGAAATATACGACACCGGCACCGCGTTTCGACGAGCCTACGGAGAAGCGATTCGCGGAACCCACAGTACCTGCATAAACAGCCTATCGCGTCGCTTAGCCAGAGGTTTCGCGGTGTTTCATTCGCGGAAATGCTGACCACCAGATGGCGGGTGCTTCTGACCGGTACTTCGACTTTAGCCATGGCTCTCACCTTAAAAGCAAACGCATATCGTCTCCGTGTTGAGGAACTGTGCTCGCAGCTCTTCTTGCCATATCGGAAACCATGCGGCCGCTTACTTCGTTGATTTGCTGGCTCCTCTGGGCCCAAGCCCACCTTGCCGGGGCAGCAACCTTCTCCAACCCGCTCAAGAACCCCAATGGCTCGGATCCTCACATTGTGTACACGGGTGGTTACTACTACCTGATGACCACGACCTGGACCAACCTCCAGATCACCCGGGCCACGACGCTGAACGGCTTGAAGACTGGGGAGACGAAGACCGTCTGGACCGACACCACGGCGTCGCGCTGCTGCAACGTCTGGGCTCCGGAGCTTCACTATCTCGATGGGCTGTCAGTAACAGGAAAACACCACAATTGCCGAAGCAGACACTGACGTGGGTGACAGCTGGTACATCTACTACACGGCCGGCACCAGCGCCAACCTGGACGGCCAGCGTCCGCACGTGCTGAAGGGTAAGCCATATCCTCCGGCACAACACCATCCAAGAGTCCTCCGCTAACAACGCATCAATGCAGGCGGCGCGTCGCCATGGGATGCCTACAGCTACCTGTCGCAGCTGACGAACGTGTGGGGCATCGACGGCACCATCGTGCGCTTCACGACGGGCAACTACTTCGTCTACTCGTGCATGAGCAACAGCCTGCAGTCGCTGTGCATCGCGCCGATGAACTCGCCCGGCTCGCTCGGCACCAGCAAGGTGCTCTCGACGCCCACCGCGTCGTGGGAGACGGTCGGCGCCCCCGTGCAGGAGGGCCCCGCCGCCATGTACCACGGCGGCAAGACGTACCTCACCTACTCGGCCAGCTACTGCTGGACCTCGAGCTACCAGCTCGGCCTGCTGACCTGGAACGGCGGCGACCCTACCTTGTCGAGCAGCTGGGCCAAGAGCGGCCCCGTCTTCAGCTCGGCGAACGGCAACTACGGAACTGGCCATAACGGGTACGTCAATGTCGTTTCTTCAAGGAATGGGAACAGGATTCTAACATCAATTGGTGAAACAGTTTCTTCCAGAGCCCCGATGGAACCGAGATCTGGAATGTGTACCATGCGACGTCCAACAGCGGCGGCGCGTGCGACGGCAACAGGTACACGGCGGCGCAGAAGGTCAACTGGAACTCGGATGGCACGCCCAACTTCGGCAAGGCAGTTGCTTTGGGCACCAACCTTGCGGGTCCTTCTGGAGAGTAGAATCCTATCAACAAGCATGCGCTCCGAAGCGGGCCGAGCTGCCGATAGTGAGAGGGCAGAGACGACGAATATGAGAGCTGAAAAGCAACCTCGAACGTCTGGGTCAGTTTGTCCGTCAACTTTGTACATAGCAGACATGTCGAACTGGTCTCGGCCCGAACATTGCTAGTAGCTGCAATCCAATCCATCAATCGTTTTGGCTTCTGAAACTTAAAACGCTTCATCAGGGCGGTCCGCTTACCGCCGGTCCGGTTTGCCCTATATACAGTGGATCCGTATGTGGTTAGTCGATGAAACGAGCGTGCATTCTATGAAACATGTAGGCTTAAAAGCGGAAATGATTCCCAATGTGGTAACAGTGGATATCGCCCTTCGTGCTGACAGCGGCATTAATCGTTGTGGAGGCGATGGGAGCGTTTAATCACGCAATGAAACCGAGCCCGAGAATCTTACATATATGCCCTGGCGCTACATCGCTGACCAGATACCTGGCTAGTGGCACATGCTATCGATATATCTTGAGTCTTGTAGAGCGTTTTGCGTAGTGGCACTATCAAGGAAACAAGAAAACCAAGCAATCGGAGACCACACAAAAACGGGATAAGCCCCGCAGGCCTTAGCCCTCGGACTGGTCGTACAAATCACTACCGCTTGGACTCCTGGCCGGCAAATGCTGTTTGCTCGGGACGGATCGGGCAAGTCGATCGGCCCGCTGTGAGACAAGCACGGGCGGCGACAGGTAGATTTGCTTCACTACCCTTGACTCGACGTTGAACGTTGCACAGATGAATCGTGTAACCTTAACAGTCACCGCGCCAACGACTTCGCAATCGAAATCGAGATATATACAGCCATACGCTCCACTCCTCTCCGCTGTTGATTCACACAGACAAAAGCTTTGAAATGCTATATTGAGGAACGAATGAACGTCAAAAGCAACACTTCCCTTACGAAAAGGCGGATATTTTACCGGCTCTTCGACGCCCAGCTCCTCTGCACGAGCTTCTCAAACGAGGTGGTCTTCATGTCAGGAAAGAGCTCGGTGATGGTGTCTCCCGGGAAGTCGAACCAGCCCTCGGCGAAGGCGATGCCCCAGACGCAGAACAGGCCGTCGAGCATCTGCTTCGAGGCCAGCGCGTAGCGCGGCCTGTTGGCCGGCAGCTCGGTGACGCGGCCGGCCTTGAGGTCGGTCAGGGCGTCGTACTTCATGTCGAACATTTTGTCTGCATCGATGGTTGTGCCCGTATTAGTCCCCCAAAAAGTCACAGTCTCTCGAACGAGCAAAAGTTGAGAAGAAAAGTAACAAGAAGAAGAAAAAAAAACTCACCCCTCGCCCTCTCCGCAAACACCAGCGCCTCATTCCACGTCAACCGATCGCCGACGATCCAGCACTTCTCGGGCCACCGTCCGGACTCGAGCGCCAGCATGCGCGCGACGAAGGCGCCGATGTCGCTCGAGTGCGTCATGGCCACGTTGGCGTTGCCCGTGCCCGGGATGGCGGCGCGCGCGTTCTCGACGTCCAGCGCCACCACGACCGGGAAGCCGTTGACCGGCTCGTGCGGGTGCCCGAAGAAGTCCATCAGCAGCCCGCTGATGAAGCGCGTGAATGTTAGCTTGTTGGTGGTGGTGGTGGCAGGGGCGGGAGTGGGGGTGTTTTCGTCATTGTCGTTGTCGTCGTCGTCGTTGGTGGTGGTGGTGGTGGTGCTGGTGTCGGTGCTTTTGCTGTAGCTGCGTAGCTTTTCGATGGTTTCGGCTTTGTAGGTGGCAGGCTTGTACGCGCCTATGACGGGGATGTTTGGTGGGAAGCCACTGGGGTCGGTGTTGTGTCAGATGGGAATATTCATACTGAAGCGAGGAAAAGAAAAATTGAAAAATGAAGGGAAATGCTATTTAAAGACGGCGTGAGAGCATTCAAGGCTACTGAGAAATGCTCGGGCTGAGGGATTGAGTGGAGGAAGTGATAGTAAAAGAACACTGACTGCTTCGCCGCGCCTTCGTAATCCCAGCCATACTCGCTCGGCGCGAACCGCGTCACTGTCCCCGAAAGAGCAGCGCCCTCGATCAGATTCAGCTGCGCGCGATGGTCATCTTCAGATAGCATGCCGATGACGGAGACGACGGTGTCGATGTTCTCGGCCCGCAGCCGCTCGGCAATGGACGACGGCGATGAGTAATCCAGCTCCAGAGCCTCGACACCTCGACGGCCGGCAACGACGCCGGTGGCCTGTTTTTGACGGGGAAAAGTCGTCAGTATATATATAAAGCTATGCGGGAGAAGTGGGCACCAGTTGCTCACGCTCCGAGTCAGCACGTAGACGGTGTAGCGGCCGGTGTTGGCGATGTGCTCGACAATGGTTCGACCGAGGCCTCCGGTCCCGCCGGCGACGCCTACTCTGTGCGTAATATTGCTGGCCATGGTATGCGAGATACCTCGAGATGGCGAGGCGCGCGTGCTCGGACGGAGTGAGAGAGATGTAGATGTGGGAAGTGTGATGGTGTTTTTTTGGCCCTGACTTCTCAGCCTTTCTCGTTTCCTTTACTTTCTTTGCAGATCCCCACTCTTTTCTTTCCCAGCAAAAGCCAGTCGTGTCCTTCGGATTAGCAGCCTACCAAGCGGTTTGCTTTTTCAACCGCGCCGCAAATGCTATTCCGACGCGGACCATGACACGGGGTTTCAGAGAAAGTCGATCAGCTGGGTCCGTGGTGGCTTGGTTGATGCATTGCGGGCTGATGACATGCCGATGGCGCCAACAGTTAATGACGGGGTTGCTGACACAGTCCTCCTCGATCACTTGTCGTGCAATCTAAGTGATGTGTCCTACAGTTTTAGGTCCCACTGACGAGCCTCTTAACTAGATGGGGAAAAGGGAGTTCCAGCCCGGCATACTCTAACCGGAATGTTCCAACGGTTACAGGGTCCACCGACAGCCTTGGGTCTCCTTACCTGTCAATGCAGCCTATTCTTGAATCAAACCAGGGTCGAGAATGCCGTCGCCTCGACTCAGAACTCTGGTTCTGTTGGGAAGCTTCATGCTAACACCCAATAGGAATCCTCCCTTTCCCCAAGTCTCTAAAACTGCCTCGGTATTTACCCTTCTAGGGAAAGAGCAACTAGAAAGATCGCCAGGATGGCCCACTCTTTAAACCAGGACCAACGCCCAACTTACAGTTGTACGCACGTTGGACTGCTTTTGAACGGCTGAATTATTGGCCCGATTAATGTGTTTGCGTCCGTTTCACAAGGAAGCGAGCCTCGGTTGAGCGTTTTTGGTCTCTCGCATTACTGCGGAGGTTCAGTAATCTGTTAGTGCAAGCAGACTTTTGGAGCTTGACGGAACTAACTTATTCTCGTGCTCGGCTTCTACTCGTGCTTCGACAGTTGGTTGACGGCTGGGTGATGTCCACCCTCTTATCGGCACTCCGATTCTTCCCCGGATTCTGGACATCGAAAGAACTGTGACACTTTTACCAAACAACCTAGCGTAAAAGAGCCAGCAAATAAGTTCGGTCTATCAACAAGCCACTCGATAAAATCTCGCCAATTTTGGGGGGCATGTAGCATACTATAAATTATCATAGTTTGAGTAGGTACGTTATTGTGTTGCTGTAATACGAGTCTTTAAGAGCATTATGCCTTGCTCTTGATTAGAACGCGAATACCCTTCGAACCCACCTTCGTCTTCGGGATGAAGAAGTCCCGCTGCACCCTCACATCATCGATGCCAGTCTCGAATAGCTCCATCCGATCACCAAAGCGCCGAAGCACCGTCGCGAGAGCAATGTGCATCTCGGCATACGCAAGACTGCCACACCGTTAGCCATAACAGAATCGAAAAAAAGAAAAGAAAAAACTCACTTCATCCCCAAACACTGCCGACTCCCCTTCGAAAAACTCAACAAATACCCATCCAAATCGTGCCTCCGCCTCCCCTCAGCATCCAACCACCTCTCGGGCTGAAACTTCGTACTCTCCGGGAAGATGCGCTCGTCGTGGTGGATGTGCACGGCCGTCATGCCGACGGGCACGCCGGCGGGGATGAGCACGTCGACGTCGCCGGAGGAGGAGCTGCTGCAGAAGCGCATGGGCTCGTCGGGCGAGATGCGGGCCAGGCGCGTGGCCAAGCCGTACGACAGGCGCAGACCCTCGGCGATGGTGGCCGACAGGTAGGGCAGCTGCTCGAGCGCGTGCCAGGCAGGGATGCTGGCCGGGTCGGGGATGGCTTGCGCCAGCTCGGCCTGCAGCTTGGCGAGTGTGGGCGGCTGCGAGAGGAGGTAGTACAAGGTCACGCAGATGGCCCAGTTTACGGTCTCGGTTCCTGAAGACAAAGTGTTAGTTGATTGTGGTGGTGGGTTGGCGAGCAGTCTTCAAGTGCAGCGTTTGTTACCCCTCCATGTGCGAAGGAGTGAAGGCAACTCACCAGCTCCTATGACGGCTTGGCCCTCCTGCCATAACCGCGCCGTCTGTTTCTCCTCCTCGGGAAGGTCACCGCGCAAAATCTCGTGGAAGATGGTGGTCTCGGCATCCGCGTCTTTCTCCTTGCCCGCTCTTTCTTCCTCCTCTTTATGCACCCGATCAATGGCCTTCATCATGCTCCGCTGGAAGTCGAGATAGGGTGCCATATCGGGCATCAAACTGCGCGTCCAGGCCTCAGGAAGGGAATGCAAAAACGACAACAACCACGGGAACTGCTTCACGGTGGCGCCCAAGGCCATGCCGGCATCGATGCCCTTGGTCAGGTTCGGCAAGAAGGTGTCGGACTCGAGGAAGTCGTAGCTGTAGCCGAAGGCGTAGCGCGAGACGACGTCGGTGGCCATGCAGCCAAAGGCGTCGGTCAGGTTGACGGGGCAGCCGGTGCCGGCGAAGTTGCGGTCAAGCTGGGCGCACAGCTTGTCGACGACGCGGCGCACGGCGGGCTCGAGGCGCTGCACGCTCTGGCGCGAGAAGAAGCGGTTGAAGGGCGTGCGCCGCAGCCGGTGCAGGTCGTGCGAAACCGACCCGAAGCCCGCCTGCGCCAGCCCGAACTGCTTCGTGTAGAAGACGTACTTGTTGCGCTTCGCCTTGCCGCCCGCCGCGTACAGCGTGTCGATGAAGGCCGGGTCGTTGACGTGCAGCTCGTGCGGCGAGATGCGGATGATGGGGCCTGAAATCCGTGAGTAAACGAATATTCAGGGATGTGTGTGTTGCGTACCATATTGCTCGTGCAGCTCCTTCAGCTTAAAAGTGTATTGGCCGCCTTTGATGCCGTCGTAGTAGTACTCGTACCAAAGCGTCAGCGCCGCCAGCTTGGGTCCGGGGAAGCTGGCCAGCGGCGACAGGTAGAGGCGGTAGACGGCGCCACACAGGCAGTACAGCAGCACCGCCGCTGCACAGGCCACGTAGGGGTGCGCCGTTACGCTTTGAAGCAGCTCCGTCATCTTGGGACGAGGACGAGGGGGACGCTGTCGCCGGGCTACGGCGAGTAAGGGAACCGGCGGAGGCCATTATGTACGGCGCGATTGGCACACTTATCTCCCCTTCTCCCTATTTCAATCGGGGCGGGGGTGATTGCCATAATGGCGCTGGGCTCGGGCGTATTCCGCTCCCCATCGACCCATTCCCGTCTGTGCCGCAGGGAAAGAACGGCGCGGGACGCCGTTGGAGCAGCGGCGGCTTCGCTACGTTAGCGGGCGGGAGTCTTGCCCAGCCGGACGCGACTGCTCGACCTGTCACCTCGTGTCGACATGAGCCTGGTTGGACGGCTCCCTGTCCCGGCTGTGCCGATCGGAGAGAAACCAGACGACTGGGAGGGCGAGAATCGAAGGATCAATAGACATCCCAACCGACGGGGTCTCGGGGGAGCCGGGACGAAGGGAGACGCGAGCAGGGGTCGAGTCATGCGTCTGTATTTCCGCAGGACCACCGTGTCATGCTCAACAACTGCCCCACTGTGACGTCCGTTGCATCACACTACTTACCTGCATGAACCACCAATACGATATCAGCTCACATGGACAACTTTCTGCAGTCATTTGGAGCCCTCTCGCCCACCATCATCAATCGTGAGTGTCATCCAAGTGCTACTCATGCTTCAACTTTATCAGCCTGTCCTACGAAATAAATGCACACCCTTCGCCTCGTGGTTTTCGGATGACTTCAGCTCCTACATTTCAGTTGCGGGATAAAACTTCTAAGGCGATGAGATTGAAGCACATTTCTGCCAAAGATCGAAAATCCAACAAGAAAACATCAAAATAGAGGAGGCAGACTTCGTCGGTGCCTCTCAAGAAGCCTTGCAACCGCATTGAACCCCGAGCATTCTGCCGCTAACACCGCGAGCTCGTACTGATCATCTCCAAACCAAGGACTCTGCACATCTGCCCCAGCATCGAGAAGGAATTGGACCATGCTGATCCTTCCAAACTCAGCAGCTCCTTCAAGTGCTGTTACCCCCTCTTCCAGTGCATCCTCCGCGTCAACATCTGCACCCGCATCCACCAATTTTGTCGCTATCCCGACAAAGCCCCCCATCGCCGCTGCCTGAAGCGCTGTGGCTCCTCCAAAATCCGCAGGTGGTGCATTCACATCTGCTCCAGCCCGAATTAATTCGTCGACTATATCCATGAACCCTTCTTGTGCGGCCGACTGAAGCGCCGTTCTTCCGAATTTGCCACGTGCAGGCTGGTTGACGTCGGCCCCGGCTTCCAATGATATCCTCACACAGTCGAGGTTCCCCCCGAGAGCAGCACTGCTGAGGACCGAGTAGTGTCTCAAACCATCGTCGCCAGCAACGCTTTCTTCTTTCCAACCGGAACCGTTCGCATTTGCCCCATGACTCAAAAGAAGACGCATTGCTTCGCTATACCCATTGTATGCAAGTATTTGTAAAGGCTGAAGCCGGAGCTTCAACAAATCTTCGTTCCAGCAGCAAAGGTCTCCAATATGTTCCGGTAGATTGACAGGGCATCCGCTATCCAGGAGCGCTTTGATTATTTCAATATTACCCGAACTGCACACTCGCTGAAGGGCCTTCGTCGCGCAAGGGTCCCTCAATGAGACGCCTCTTTGAAGGAAAGCCCTGCAAAATTCGCCACTGTCGCAGTATGCAGCAGCGAAAACAGCTGGATATCCGAAGTGTGTAGTCGTGTATAAGGTCCGAAGTGCCGGTTGCGTCCAAATGAATTCCAGTATCTTTCGCTGGAAATATGGATCGTGTGCTTTGCAAGCTTGGAGAAGGACGTCTTTTGTGTCAAATTCTGCTCCTCTTGAAAGTAGTAGATCGAAGACACTAGTTCGCTCAAAACGGACTGCTTTTGTAAGTGGCTCACCTACATCGAGCCTGGCGCCGTGGTCAAGAAGTAGTTTTGATGTTTCGAAGATTTGTTGCTCCAATACCGGGCCAAAGCACAGGCGTTCTATTGCCGCGATCAATGCCGTTGTCTCGTTCGCAGATGAATTCACATCCACACCGGCATCAATACAACGCCGCAGCATCCCCAAATTCCCAGTTTTGGCAGCAGAAATAAGCGTCCAAGTAGACGGTCGGACGCCAAAATCCAGGAGAAACTCGATAGTCTCATGACGGTGGTACTGCACCGCACATGCCAACGTCTTGTCGCTCGGATTTGCCCCGGAATTGAGGAGCAGTCTAAGGAGGTTGAGATCCGGTGAAATTGCCGCTTGATCTACAGGGCGTCTATAACCTGTTTGAGGGTCAACGTCGGCCCCGGCGTTCACGAGAATAGTTGCCACTTCAAGATTGTCCGTGAATACGGCAAGCTGTAGTGCTGTTTCCCCCCCTGAACCTTCGCTTTTGGGACAATAGTCGACTTCAGCACCCCAATTTATAAGAAGTTCAGCCATTTTAGCCAGCTCTGGGTGGTTGAAATAGCTAAATGCTACCGCTTGCAGCGGAGTCAAGCTTCTCGTGCCTGTGGCGTTGACATCGACTCCGGCGCGCAAGAGATCGCTTGCAATTGCGATACTACCATACTTTGCAGCCGCATAGAACGTCTCCGTAACGTCGAAGATCGGTCTTGGACTTGATTTCTTGATTCGATCCCAGATCAGTTCCGCCGAGCTGACTAACCCACATTCCAAACAACTCAGCAGGGCGGGCATAAGATTTCTTCGAAAGCTTGGTAGGAGTAAATGCAAGGCCTCCTCGTTGCGTTCCCGCGCTGCAAGTTTCAGCATATCATTGCCACTGATCCCTGTGGCATTAACATCAGCACCGTGGTCGAGGAGTAGTTGCACCATCTTGGCATTCCTCGATGCTATGGCAGCTTCGAGCGGAATCCGGGCCCTACTTTCGGATAATGCACCAGATTCAACTTTCCATTCGCCCGGAAGAGCGTCAGCCAAATTGAAATGGAAGCGAGCGAGCAAGAGCTTTGCCAGACCAACATTCTCCGTCTCAATTGCTGCCTTGAACATTTGCTCCAACAGGGCATCAACCAACGGTTCATGGCGCATGTCGGAGGATCTCAATGTCCGGACCAAAGCTTGCATTCCGGGTAAAACCTCAGTCAATCCGGATTCGAGTGTTTTGCATGGACTGATACTACGCGGAGAGGGGATTTGGATATTGTTGGCCGCGAAAATGGTTGCAGTGATGATTTTTGTGTGGATGGAGGTATCCAGCATGTCGCGGAAAGGCTGTTTGATGAGAATATCCAAATCCGAATTCATGGCATGGGAAAGCCTCCGTACAACCGTCTGATGGTTTCCGATCACTGCCGCGCAATATTTATGGAACATCTCGGGCCGGGCTGAAGGTGTAGGGAAGGTTGACTTTGGGAATATGAAGTGGATAACGGCATCCGAGTCCATACAGGGTGATAACGGCGGAGAGAAGCTCACGCCTTCCGGTGTCGGTGACCGGCAGCTGGGTCCTGCAACAGAGTCAGCTGTGTGATCATATTAGCGCGACATCTTTGCCGTACCTCTCGCATACTTTCGATTCAAGACGTCCAATGTCGAGCCATGTCCGTATCGCGACAATGCCTTCTGGCGCTTTTTCTCCGGAACTTGGAGTCCATTGATCCTGAGATCAGTCTCTTTTCCTTCTCTTTGCCTCATATCCATCCGGCGCGACACTGATTTCCACTCTCGAGCAGTCAAGTTCTTGCGATATCCCCATTTCTTCAACTGCCGTTCGAACTGGTCGACCCTGAGTAGTGAGTGATGGGCCCAATTAGCCTTCGTGGGTCATGGCAGAAAATGGGGCGCAGTATTACTTGGCTTTGAAACCATGCCTATTTTCCATTGCATCGCGAAGATTGCGCAATGTCATGTCCTCCTCAAGGTAAAGACGTCGGATTGTTTCCTTGTGCGATTCCCAATCCAACGCCATCTTGGCCTGCTAGAACGGGTTTTGCGAAGAGAATGAACAATGGAAGACTGTGTGTTGTGGCGCCTTAAGAAATGAACTTTGAAACGACTGGCAAACGAGAAACAAAGTTGGGGCTACATTGAGTTTTTGAGGTTACTAGCGCTTGAATGCACAAGGCTGAGCTGTTTGGGGGCCTCGTAGCCCATTGGTGGACTCCAAAATCTCGCCCCGCTAATCTGTATACGGTCAAAGACCTGTGATTGGCTGCTTCCAAAATCTCATGCGGTGGCTGATAACATCAGATTGTGAGGCTGTATTACCACTGTCACACAGATTTCGCACCCTCGAACACAGCGATTGGCTGGTTCCAAAACCACGTTTTCCTCAGGCACCAGGACCAGCGTTAGATCAGGCTGGCGGCACGGTCCATTCTGTATGTCTCTTGGACGCCACGCAGCCCTCGTGATTCCGCTTCGGTCATTGGTGAATGCCAGAATCTTTCGGTGTGGCCGTGCACCTCTTGCATATCTGCTAACCCCAAAGAGTCCAACTTTCGTGCATATCAGCATGATTGGCTCAGTCCTATGTCTCCTACTTTGGTAGCTCTGCCAACTACGGTTCCCCAGCTCCAAACATAAAATAAGGCTCCTCGCAGAGTGTAGTATTTCATCAGCAGGCCCCGACCACTCCGGAAGTCAAGAACACGATTCTATTCTGTCACTGCTGCACCGATTTTCGAACAAGATGCCGTTGTCGACGGAAGCGCTCGTTGCTGTTATCAGCCTCTGTGTCTCTGCCCCGCCGACGGGATTGCTTCTCTGGCACTACTTCGGACGCAACCAACGTCGAGCTGATGACCTCGAGGAAATGCTGCTACTAAGTATAACGACTTGAAGCTGTGTAAGGGGGTCATTGGCACTAACATGTCATCTGTGATTCCAAGGCCCTAATGAGAGTGGACCGCGTATGCACCGGACGGTAGCAAGGACCGACTCCTACGAGATTGCGTACATGTCGAGGACGCAGACAGGGTTGGAGGCATATCTGATCCTTTCCGGTGCACCACTTAACCAGGTATGTGCGATGCTGTTGCGAGACTTCTACTCGGCGCCGCTGACATTTCAGCATGGAGGCTCGCACTTCTGAAGGGGTCAACTTTCCTCGAATTGCCCTGTGATCTACAGACATGGGCATCACACACACCATGTGGTGATCATCAAGCTTCGGTGTTCCCGTCCGCAGCAAAACTAGTTTTCTCATCAAAGCATAGCGTTTTCCATTCGCCTTTTTTTGTTTTTCCAAAACTCATAGAGCAATTTTATTCCTTCAGAGTAACAAGCCGCAATATTACTTTGCCTACCAAACATGCGGCGTTAAGCCGACTTTATCATTCCAAGCGTACACTTACCTCCCCAATGATCCCTTAATTCGGAACCACCCTGGGGTTGATTTTCACATCCACTCCCTTCACCCTCACGAACCACGAGTTTGTCAACTCCCACTCCTTCTTCGGGTCAACCAAATCAAACTATCCACAGCGTCAGCAATCACACATCCAAACCCAACTCAAAGGCAGCACTTACATCAAACCTCCCCAACACCGTCGGCACAACCTTATAAATCTCAAATAAGCTCAACTCCCTCCCCAAACACACCCGCCTCCCCGCCCCAAAGCTGAGCATAACATCCTTCATCCGCTTCACCCGCTCCTCATACGCCCCCTCCGCCTCGCCTTCAGCCCGCAACCACCTCTCCGGCACGAAGCTCTCCGCATCGGGCCCGAAAACCCCCTTGTCGTTATTCACGACCCACGCATTCATCCCCACAATAGTACCAGCCGGCAGAAACGCCGCGCCATCCGGCAGCGCGAGCCCGCCATCCGGCACGACGCGCTCGAGCAGCAGCCCCACGCCCGGATGCACCCTCAGCGCCTCCTTAACCACCGCATCCAGGTACTCCAACCGCACCGCATCCTCGTAGCGCCACACACCCCCGTCCGGCACCTGCGCCGCATCCAACTCGGCCCGCAACCTTGCCAGCGCGCGCGGGTTCCGCAGCAGGTAATACATGACGGCGGCGAGGGTGGTAGCGGTGGTGTCTGCGCCAGCGAGGATGTTGAGCAGCATCCAGCCGACGACGGTGCCGTCGGTGATGTTGTCGTCCGGACTCGACGCGGCCTTGATGGCGAGGAAGTGGTCGAGGTAGTCCTGGTTGGCCGTGTCGTTGGTCTCGGCGCCCGTCGTGCGCGCGACCAGCTTCTTGACGCAGAAGTCGGCGGCGGCTTGGAAGGAGGGCGGCCCCACGCGGTGAACCGGGTTCTTGTCGAGGAGCTCGTCGAGGATGGGGATTTGGCCGACCTTGTTTGTTTTTGGTGGTCAGTGTGTTGGCGGGGGAATTGGTGGCATGTTGTACGAAGTGTGGGGTGGTGGTGGTGGTGGTTGGGAGGCGGCTGAGTGCAGGAAGTTTGGGGAGGAGGAGGGGGAACTACGTACAGCGGCGAAGTAGTCGAGGGCTTTCTCGGCGGTGGAAAGTAGGTCGTCGATATCACCGCCCTTGTTCAAGAAGCCTTCCTTGATCGGCTTGCTGAAAGTGACGTCGGAGATGGCATCCCAGGCATCTGATCGATTCGAAACAGTCATCAAGTTAACTCAGCTTGTGGGAATATGAACGAAGCCAATACTTACAAAAGAGGAACCACTCGGCGATATCACACGACTTGCCCTTCTGCAAGAAGCGCTCTTCCAGCTTCGCACAGAAGTCCCTGATGACGCCGTCGACGCGGTGCTCCAGCTTCAGCAGCGTCGAGACCTTGTAGTATTTCTGCACCGGCGCGCGCAGCTTCTGGTGTAAGGCATTGTCACGAGTGCCGAAGAGGGTGCAGACGCGCTGGTCGCCCTGCATCACGTCGTTCCCGGCGTAGAAGTCGCTCTTTTGTTACGCATCGCCAGCCCTCGTCAGTGAACAAGGCTCCAGTCGGAAGGTGGGATGAAGTGATGACAGGCCTCTACCAACCTTGGGGAAGTTTGCCTTGTTGGAATAGATGAGCTTGATGCATTCTGGATCGCTCAAGCTGACAGTGTTGGGTCCGACTCTGACGACGGGCCCATATTTGGCGTGGAGCAGCCGGTGCGTGAGCTCAGCCCGGCCGCCCGCCGTGTCGAAGAAGCGCTGAGCATCCGTGAACTTGGCCAGCAGTGGGCCGGGGATGCGGCGGAGAGGGTGGAAGTAGTAGCGGTAGGCAACAAAAGTGGCGGCGAGCACCAGCACCAAGGTAAGGAGGGCCATGACTCCGTTGTTGTTTCAAAGTGAGGTGAGAGAAATAGAGACGTTGGTGTAACTACCGGGAAACGCCCCCTCCTCTTGCAGGTAGTACGGGCAACAAAGAGAGCTGTGGGGAGCAGCTCTTTTGAACCGTGGGAGAGGGACCCCCAGCATTGCAATTAATACAGCAGGTCGATGCTGCTTCAAGGGGAACCACGCCATGGACGCGGGATAGGAAATGGGTCTGCGGCACAGCAGTTGCTACCATTACTCAGGCCTCCCCACCTAACGGCTTCAGGAGAATCCGGCCGTGCTGCGGGAGAGGGACCATGTTGATCCGGGGACTGGGATGCAATTCGTGTTTAGCGCGTCCAATACGGCACTCATTCCCTGCAAAGAGAAAGACTCGAGCGCCTGGTCGCAACTGCCGATGCGATGACCTGATTTTTTGATATAGCGGTGGAGTAAGGCCCGCATAATGCAACGGTTCTGTGAAGAGATCTGACTCGCCCGGTTCTGTGGACCCATTGCCTGATATGGCTAGCGAAGGAACCGACGCAGCGGTGCGGCCCGCCCTCCGCGCGTCTGAGCGACTTTGGACCATCCGTGATTCGAGCTTTTGGATCGTCGAATTTCGCTTAGGCATGCTGCAGGTCTTTCTCCACAACTCGGAGTCTGCGGACGGCTACGAGAGACATGCCCGACCAAATGTGCTACCCTCCCCTACCAAGCCTGACTCGAATGCTTGTCACAACCTCCCTCGCGAGCACCAGCAGCCCTTCGCCTCCTCCCCTGTCATGGAATCTTTACTGTTCAAGTATCTCACTTTGCCGTTCGTCCTGCAAGCACTGGTCCCTTCTCCGAATCTTCCTCCACAACCGCTCCAATGAAGACGATGGGCGGCCTTGGGCCGACCATCATCGGCGTCATGCTCGGGCAGTCTGTACTGGCCATGCTCTTTGTCTTTCCAAGGCTGTATACGAAGGCACGCATCAACCGATCCTTGGGCTGGGACGACCACATGGCAGCTTTCTCGTGGGTAAATAATGCCCCTGGGAGCCACAAAGGCAATAGTGACGAACATGCTTTAGGTCATGCTATTGTGCTATTCTGCAATATGCTCGTATGCTGCAACAGAAGGATATGGGCGGCATGCCGAAGTGTTGGGCGGCGAACAAGCTGCTGTGGCGGCGAAAATCACCATCATCGGCCAGACTTTCTGTAAGTGTCAAGTCCTGTCTACTTACAAACTCCTGCTGACTTCTCAGGCATCATCGGTATCGCGACGAGCAAGGCCTGCGTGGCATTTTTCTTGCTGCGAATCGTCGTTTTCGTCTGGCACCAAATAGTGCTGTGGGTTTGTGTCGTCGCCATAGCAATCATTTGCGTTTTGTGCGCCTTGTTTGATTTCATTCGCTGCAATCCCGTCGCAGCAGTGTGGAACCCCACACTGGAGGCCAAATGTTGGATGGGTACAGAAGCATTTACCGATCTCTCAGTTGGTGTCGGAAGTCTGTATGCAATACCCGAAGGGAGAATCGGCTTGCTGATTTCGCTGCAGTAACGTCTGTGATATGCGACTTCGTGTTGGCACTTCTGCCATGGGCAATCCTTTGGAACCTCAACATGAAGAAAAAGGAGAAGAGGCTGATTGGTATCTCCATGAGTCTCGGAGTATTGTAAGTACAACGGAAGCAGATTGATATAGCCTTTCAACTAACCCCTTTGGAGTGCCGGAGCATCTGGTATCGTCCGTGCCATCGAGTTGAAACGGCTTTCAGGAAGATCTGACTATACTTGTAAGTACCCAGCTCATATTCAAGACTCGCACTGACGATGGCTGTAATCCGACAGATGAAAGCGTTAGCCCCATTCTGTGGTCGTCCACAGAGCTCTGCATCACCCTGTGTACAGCCTGCATGCCGATGCTCCGGCCTCTTTACAACAAAATTCGGGGCAAGAGCAGCACCGATGGCTACGAACAGTATGACAAAGCTGGGAGCGGAGCTACTCCGGCCCAAGGGATATCCCTTGACAACGTGGGCAACAACAGTAATAAGCGCAGAAAAGGCTCGACGAAGATGGGTCTCAACGAGACGACTCTTGGCGGCACCGTCATGGATACGTGGATAGATCATACGAAACGCCAAGGCAGTGACGAGGACATTTTGATAAACCAAAGAAGTGGCGGTATAACCGTCATAACCGAGATCGATTCCCAGTCGAGAAGATCAACCTCGGTCGCGGAAAGTGCAGCTGAGCATGCAAGGAGGTAGGATATAAAAAACATTGGAGGTGTCAAGGAATTCCATTTGTTTGACGAGACAATGAAAAACATTCCCGATCAGCTGAACATGGTCCAGCTCTGGCTGTCCCAATCGATGCTTTCCAGCCAAGGCATGAACTCGGCATCATTGCAGGAGAAGGGTATGGAAAAGTCAACATTCACCGAGGACGATCCATTCTCGGCCATGTGGACGTCGCTTCGTGATTCCGGGCTTAGGATCTTGTCCAGAATACGCCTGATGAATTTCCGGCCGTGTGCACATATCGACGAGCTAGGTTCATCTGCTGGGACGTAGGCAAGGGCGTTTGCAAATACACTGAGGTCCTGAATGGCCTGCGAACGGTTTAGTGGGAAGGATATTGGCTGGTGCGGGTATTGCTCCTGTCGAAGAAGCTCGACTGCAACAGCACATGCGGCTGGGAGACCTGGGCTTGAGAGCTGCATAACATGATTATCAGGAGAGGCATTTTATACGAAGCGATCGGCGACTGCTTACCATTAAGTATGCGTCTTGAAATTCGCCGAGGACTTCCCGCTTCCCAGCGACCGTGATGATGTCCGCGAGTAATCTGACCGCCACCTGCAGAAGCTCCCTCGTGTCTGCACCGGCCCGCTTGATCAGCGCTCGTTGAAGGAGAAATTCGTTATAGAGGTGCTCGATATGGATGAAAATGAGGTAAAGACATTCGATTGGGGGCTTTTGGTTGTTCCAGATGTGTTCCGGGTCTTGGCGGAGATATGTAGGTAGCGCGTCCCATGTATGCTGTGCCTTGCGCTGGATTTCTCTGCAATTCCATAATCAGCCTAGACAAGAAAATAACACACAGAGCGTAAGGCTCTCACCTTGCTCTGTCAACAATGTTCTCCACGGGTGCACCGATGGATAGCTCCAGAATATCTTCCCTAATTGTCTGTCGTGATGTTAGAATTGATAGTGTAAAGTAATAAGATGGAACGCACGCAGTACTGCACCCACGCTCTGGTCCAAGTTCGCCTCTGGACACGTGTGCCTTTCGACCACCCCTCGCTGTCGAGTGTTGCGAGGGCGGCCTCAAGATCTGGCCCATGCGATAATAGTTGTTGATCCGTGAGATCCAAGGGAAGCTGTACCACGCAGTAGCGGTAGCTGAGACGAGGCGGCCTACCGAGGAAGGCAGCTAGCCATTTATCATGAGCGAAAGCTGATGCAACAAGCCTCTTTCGAATTTCGACAAGGAAAAACGGCAGGCCTTTCGAGTTGACCTCTTGATGCCAGCCGAGGGCCATGATAGCGTTCATGATTCGGCCTGATTTCTGCCAACTGTCATAGCCTGTTGCGTCTGAATCAGTGGCACTGTTGTGGCAAAAGAAGGGAAAGCTTACAGGAGTCACCGTGCAGGAAAAGGTACATGACATTGATCTCGTACATGAGCCACATGCCGATGTCGTTTGGGATACATGTCTCTTCGCAGAATTTCAAACATGTCTCCGAAGCGCGATACATGGCAACGATCAAGCTTCTCTTGTTCTTGTACCGGCGATTATTGAAAGCCAAGAGTGGGTCCCATTCTTGGGCGAGTCAGCTTTGATGCATGGTGGTACAAAAAGCTTGAGCTTACCTGGCATAGTTGTCGCAACCACGCCTACTAGGCACAGAATGATACCGACGACTTCCCAACGGAGATTTTGGGCCGTCGACAGGTCAATCCACTCACGGGCTGTCTTGACGCTCTCGCTTCGGAGCTTCTGGTCAGTGTTCTGCCAGATGTGCTCGGACAGTTTCCTGAGCTGTCCGACATCCTGGTATTGGAGCACCTCGGCGTACTCGGACGATAGCGAGGTCATCCACTGCTTGATGATAGGTTCAATGGTGATGATTCCCTGAGTAACGGTGTACCATCGCTGTATGTAGCGCTCGAAGATGGGTATGTCCTTCAGCAGGCTGAGTATCTCGACACCTTTCTGGACATTTTCAGGACTGATCCTTGGATTAGAGCAGGAATGACAGTCATGGTCTTCCTGGCTCATGCCGAGGCTACCCTCATTTTCTGTCAGGACGGCGGAATAGCTGGTGGATCCAAGAAAACCAGCATGGTGACGTACATCCGACGGTGCAGTGTATTGGGGCTCTGCGTCGTTTGATTCATCGTCGACGACGGGCAGGGGGGCATCCAATTGAGTAGTAGAAGGAGAGGCCAGCTGAGCAGTACTGGGAGATGGCAGGTCCGGAGAAGCAGTTTGCGGGGGGCTGAGCACAGGCTCAGAGGCGCGGGGAGTAGCAGCAGCGCGAGGACGAGTCAAGGGAGCAGGATGGTAAACACACTGGTCCTGCTTGTTACGACGGGTACATCTGCCACAAGCGGGCATTATGTGGTCGCAGCGGAGTTTGCCCTTGCGACATGGTTCACACGACTGGAGCTTGCCATTCCGACGATAGGACGGGTTCAACCTTGGCGTTTGAGAGTCTCTGTTGAGCTGCTTGGGTATGGAGAATCGGGTCATGTTGATTCCGCAGGCTCATACGGCGTTCCCAGGGGACTTGGAAGAGACGGAAAAAGGGTGAAAAGTGTAAACGGGAGAGCGGTCCGCCGCGTACATAACGACGGGCGAAGGCGTTTCAAACGTGCAACACGGCGATTGCGCAAACAACGAATGACAGGAAGAACAAGTACGGAGTTCGTCGGAGTTGGTCGGAGTTGGCGGAGCGCTGTGGGCAGAGCGCTGTAGGCGGGCGAGGTCGCTACGGGCCGCCGTACACCTGTTCGGGTCGCAACTTCCCCGCTGAGAGCGAAGTCGTGGCCGTTTTCGCCACAGCGTTGTGCATCACATTTACGCCCCCAGACACAGCCATTGCTCGATCGGCCCGGGCAGCTTGGCCCTCGTGCCGCCGCCAGACTGCTTACACATTACAGCCCTACCACCACCAGGCCTCGATATCTTCTGCACACCCGACGAATGATCTTGCAACCCACCAGCGGTGTGCCATTGCTGACTGACCCAGCTGAGCGCCATGCGGCGTGGCCATGCATCCAGAAATGGAACACCCTAACGTCGTGGAAGCCCTGCTCGAGCAACATCAGCACCGCTACCAGTGTCTATAAAATAGCCTCCAAACTGCCCTCTGGCACCAGAAACCAGTCTGCACCGCATCAAGCTGCTTCAACAGTCTCTTCGTCTTCACAGCAATTTACGCCCAATTCATCTCGTCTTCCCTGTCCAGTCACGCCACCATGATTCCCCAGATGCCCTTCCGCTTCTACGGCTCCCTCGAGGGCAGCTTCCTCACAGCCGCCGAGCCGACCACCTACGCCTACAGCCCTCGCTCCTCGGTCTACTCGTCGTCGACCACCCTGTACGACGAGCGTGGCCCCCAGATCATCGAACCCCACCCGCCGACACGTCGTGCCGCAAACGAAAATAGCCAGGCAGCATCCACCACCAGCCAGGCAGCCAGCGACACTGACTCGGACCAAGGAGAGGCGAGCAAGGCTCCCTCGGAAACATCGTCGTCGCGCTCTTCGTCGCGTTCCTCGTCGCCCAAGAGGCCAATGAGCGGCCACCTGTTGTCGTCCGGTACGTAGCACCAAGGCTGCCACCAGTGTAGGACTAACAGGTTGCCTGCAGCTCCACGCATGAATGCAACTCGCCTGATGGGATAGGTGTCAGCCTGTGTCGATGAAAAAAGTCACTGCTGGGTGGGCCTCTTTTTTGCTTACTCAGGAGCCACATGCAGAGCAGCCTTCTTGGCAACGCTGCTGACGTCGGATTCCTCTTTTTGGCAACGTGGGGGCTAAGCGGGTACTGGCGTTTTGGGCATAGGGTAATTACGACATGAGATCGTCGTAGGATGTGGCTTTGTTGCGGATCTCCATCTTTGGTATTTATTGTAGACAAAGCAATTCCACGTTTACAGCCTCACTGTCTAGTTGCGCCACCGTTGCACAGGTGATTCCACCAAAACAGAGGCAGGACTCAGGCGTGCTTTTATCGATCAATCACCGGAAGGCCCGGCAGGGCGTTCAATTAAGCTCTTCGGAAGCCAAACCCGGCAAGCCATAGCGCTGCGCAAACTTGCGCAAACCTGCGCCGACTTCTTGTAGCGGAAGAGAAGGAACCCCGCGTGTGATGCCGTCATGGTCCGCGACCGGCCTTTTAGTGCGGCTGCCTTGCGGGGTGCCTCGCACGTCGGTTACACAGCCGTCGTCTCCGCCTTTTCGACAGTATCGGTGTATGTCTTGGCGTAAGCCTCCATCTATAAGTTAGTTGATGGTTGCTCCATAAGAGGGAGGCTCTTTCGCATTAATTTCCTCTGACTTGGCATTCGTGGTCGTGTAAGCCCTACAGACCGCCATTGATAGCTTCGTGTAAAGGGCATTTGACAATGATTCGTTCCACTCTCCAATGGTGGACGACTGTCCTTCTCGCACCTCTCGCTGCCTGTCAAGAAACGGCCATCCCCGGTCCTCAATGCCAGGATTTCGCCTCATCCTACAAGCTCTCGGCCGAACAGATAGCCAAAGCCGGCATCAGTAACATCACGGCGAACAATGTCGAAATCGCACTCAACTTCGAGCGCACCAATTGGGCCACTCAATCCGTCACCAACGACCCGTCCGTCCACTTCCTCTCCTCCTCTTCACTTCTCCTCACTAACGCCATTTCGAAAATCCAGATTCTACCACATCCCCAGCAACATCAACTGGACCTCCTCCATCCCGGCCGGCACCGTCTTCGCCGTCGAAAACGTGACCAACACCTCCCTCTACACGCTGCCCGCCCCGATCTCTATGTCGCGGATAATCTACCAGACAGAAACCATCAACGGTACCAACGTCCCGGCCTCAGCCTACGTCCTCTGGCCCTACCTGCCGCGCACCTTCCCCAACGTCACGGGCCTGCCCGTCATCGGCTGGGGCCACGGGACGTCGGGCGTGCTGCCGGACTGCGCGCCCTCGCACATCCGGAACCTGTGGTACCAGTTCGCGGGCCCCTACGAGATGGCCATGCAAGGCTACGTCGTCGTCGCGCCCGACTACGCCGGGTTGGGCGTCTCCTCGACCGCACCTGCTCCCCCTCCATCGTCGCCATCCCAGTCCTCATCCTCCTCCAACACCACTTCCTCCTCCTCCTCCTCCGACCCCCACCAGAGCATCCTCCACCCCTACCTCTCCAACCCCTCCCACGGCCTCGACATCCTCCACGCCGTCCGCGCCGCCCGCGCCGCCTTCCCCTCCCTCTCCACCTCGCACGTCGTCATCGGCCACTCGCAAGGCGGCGGCGCCGCCTGGGGCGCCGCCGTCGAGGCCGCCAAACACCCCCAAAACTTCCCCGGCTACCTCGGCGCCATCGCGGGATCCCCCGCGCCGTCCGGCGCCAACTACCTGACCCTCCTCTCCGCCGCGACGGCGTCTTACTCCCCGTTGGCCGCGTACATCGCAATGGGCGTCCACGCTGCGTATCCGGCCGTGGCGTTGGACGAGCTGTTCACGCCGGCGGGGTTGGCGCGGTTCGAGTTGATGCGCGAGGTGGGTGGGTGTAGTAGCGTTGCGACGGAGCTGTTTGCTGCCAACAGCGAGACGCCGGCGACGCCGTGGGTGCGGCCGGATATCGCGGACTTCTGGGCGACGCGGGCGTTTGCGGGGGCGACGGATTACGTCGGGGAGGATGTGGGTGGAGTAGAAACGCCGCTGCTGGTGCTGCAGGGGGATGCGGATTCGATCGTGGTGCCGGGTCAGACGGCGGAGAGCGTGCGGCGGGCGTGCGAGGCGAATGCCGAGAGCAGCGTGGAGTTGGTGAGCTTCGAGAACGTGACGCATGTGCCGGTCATGTTTGCCGGGCAGCGGGTGTGGCTGGATTGGGTGGCGGATAGGTTTAATGGTGTCCCGGTTGAGAAGGGGTGTCGGAATCGGACGCTCAGCCCGTTGAGGAGGGAGGAGGGGGCGTATTTGGAGGAGACGAATTTTGTGTTGGAGTGGGTGACGCAGGGGTATCAGACGGCGTAGAGTGCGTCAAGAGGAGGCTGCCCGAGAGGGTGTGGGAATGGGGATGCGGATGGTCATGGTGTGGTAGAACATGCAATTCCATTTCGTTCTTCTCAGATCGTGATAAGTGACTAAGTGTGAGCCCGTTCAACCAACATGGGGCACATTAGCAGCCCAAGTTGATTGGAATGCTTCTACCGGAAGAAAACCCAAAGTACGGAATGCTTCGACCATGATGAACAATCGAGCAGCTACGTATATAACTGACGAGATTCCGAGAGAGGTACGCGCTATGAACCTAGGCAATTCTTCATGAGACCCCAAAACCTTTTCTGCCAAGTAAAACATGATATAAACTGCAGGTATGAAGAGAAGAGGAAGGTTAGCTGTGATCAGTGAACTAATCCTCCACAGCCATCTTTCGGCGGTTGTTGGGAACGCGAAGTTCCAGGCAGCCAGGTGCACGGCCCCGAAGACTAAAGAGCCCGCGGCTGCTATAGTATAAGCATAGAGTTCCAAATTGCCAATCGAAGTGCCTATAGGATGTACTGCAGTAGTAGAAGTCCAAGGCGCCTTCTGAGTGAATCCGAAGTCTGCTGGAGCTCGTATTATGAGGGCTTCCATGTTTTCAATCGTGACAGGCCTGCATACATCTACCCTGGTCATAGTCATAACATCCTGTGGCTTCTCCCAAAGCAGTAGATAGATGAAGAATGCAACAACGGCGTAGGCGAGCGTCAGAATCTCAAGCTGTGTCGATGGAAGGTCTTCGTGCGCCCGGACCAGAATTTGCGTGACGAGCCACAGCACTTGGAGAACTGCCAGAGCTTTGACCAAGATGCTTCCGCGATTCTGATTCGCTAAGGCTCCCATGGAGAGTCGAGGCATTTTACCGATGATCCCAACGTCTTTCGCATAACAGCTTTGGCTCCCGTTAAGGATCCAAGTATCATACTGGAAGATGAACGCCGTATGCCACCACTTATGAGGAAGATATTCGGCTTCTCGGGTGATTTTTTGGGCCACTAATCTGACGATAGATTGATTAAAGACAGAAAAATAAAGTTTGGTTGGTCCCATACTTTCATTTTCCATGTCCTGACACTCAAGCACTTTTCGCCAATCGGACTCGAAAGGGGTATCCTCAGTACTCAACCCTGTGAGTAGTCCCGCATCTGGCCTTTCCGATGTCTCGAGGCCATGGTCGCCAGTCTCCGCCGTGGTATGATCATTATTTGAGGTATTTCGAAACCTCGCATCGGGTTCTGCGGAAGTCTTCATTATTTGGTCGGGAAAATGGACGGCAATTCCTCCCATGTCAAGAAGGAAACTGTCGGCCAATGTCCATGTCTCCCCTGTTTTCTTCGCGTACTTTAACGTCTCAAGGGCGGAAAAAAATTGCAGCCCGGCAGAAGCCATCTCTATCTCCGGTATGAATAGCATCCTGAGAGCGAACATCATCTGGCGTCTGAAGAGGTACAGCTGTTTCCTGAACATCTGTTTCTTATTCTGAGGCTCTGCCTGACTTGGCACATTTGGTCGATAAACCGACCACGTACAGAGCACGAAGATGCTCAGGCAGGACCAAAGGATGTCGAGAGTGCCGCGAACGGGTGGCGAAGAGACGAAATTCGTGCCCTCAGGGGGGAGTGTGCAATTGGGTGTGAACGTCGTTGGCATTGTTGATAACGGTGAGCTTTTCGTTTGGCAAGGCTGAGACTGAAGTGCTTCTGACTGCCTCTGTGGGGGCCCAGCTGAGCCTTATATGCGCGCGACGAGGCTGAGAGCGTTGGCGCCCGGTCATTAAACGCCAGAACAGCACGAGGCTATGCATGGCCATGATTATCTGCGTGAGGTGTGTTTTCCTGTGTAACAGACTATGAGAGGCCCAGAACAGCAGGTAATATGATGAGATTGGCCCACCGTAAGGGATGTTGTGGGGGAATCTGCAGTCATCCACCCTTCGGGGATCCTAGTATTGCTCGTGTTAGTGGTCAAGAATGAGCGCTCCTAACCCCCTTGTAGATTCTCAAGCATCCATTTGGATGATCGACACGCCACCTATAATATAGGGCCATGCATAGCCTCCTCTTGCAGCTGAATATTGGCGCCATCTTTACGACTCCTTAGTGACAGGGCGTCTAGGACTGTTCTGATGATACTGATAGGCCAAGCTCGCATAAGTTCAGGGAAAAGCAGCGTGGCACAAGCGGTCAGCCCTGGAAACTCTATTTCTTCGTTTTCATCGCAGGTTGCAATGATCGAATTATTGCTTGACTGCAACTGAAAGAGAGGTGACCACCTATGAAGTCTACAGCCTGACACGTAAGCTTCCTTGGCTAAGTAGCCAACCTGCTGCGACATTTTGTTCTCGCTGAGGGACCATTTGTGATATCAACGTTCAACCAGTGAAGCCTCTTCACACATCAAAACAAGAGCAAAAAAGGCGTTCGGAAACAAAAAGGATTTGGGTACGGTGACCCTGTCGGAAACTCGCATTTCAGCAGCTGTAAGCCACACGCAGCAATCGGTATCTAGCCATAACACATCCACAAAAACAATGAAACACTAATCCAAGATGATTAAGAAAAGGAAAAGGAGAACACCGGCAGTGCTCCGTGCGGGAGGCACATAATCCGCGGGTATCGTGTGCGTCGCGGGTATCAGGGAAGCATCAAAACAAAAACATCCCGACCCCGTACGAGGAGCCCGTTCATTAGCTTGAAAAAAAAAAGGAAATGTGAGAAAAGCGTACTTGTAGAACAAGCCAGGAAGTGGAAGCATGGCACGACGCTTTCAAAAGCGACAGATGCGGACGACGGATAATTAGCAGAAAAAGGGAGAATCTTGAAAAGAACGCCGAAGCAGTTTCGTCTAATCCCGCAACAGATGCCCACTCTTTGGTATCAAAACTCCGTCTCCGTCCGCTGAATGCTGAAGGAAGGTGTGGTGAAGAAAGGCAAAAAAAAAAAAAGAAACGGTGAAAAGAGGGGAACAGTCAAAGACTACAGTATCGAACACATGGATATCGAACAAATAAAACAAGAATCTGCATGCAAATGAATGGACCCGGGCTTCAGCTGTATTGCAAATTATGCAAAGCCGGGAAAGGCTTGATTAACCACAGCTTAGAGGTTGCGGATATGAATTAGGATTAGTTTCCTCAATCCTTGAGGCGAAATGCCTTTCTTAGCATTGGGAATTTCTTCTTCTTGCCACTGCGCCCAATGATGACGTTGCCTAGCGGTTCAGATTCAGCAGTTTCCCCGCCACTACTCTGCCGCTTGCTAAGGCGTGGTCTTGTTGGTGAATCATCAGAAGTCGTAGGCCGTCCTGCAGCAGCGTTAGGATTTTCATCCTGAACTGCAGGCGGGAGTGGCCATGATTCCGATGTTCGGCGGCCATGGGAATCACGTCTGTGAAGCTTAGCGCGTGGCGAGCCAGTCGTCACAGGGGAGGTCGCATCGGGAGGTGTCTTCGGGGGTACATCTGCAGAGTCGCGACGTTTCTTGCCCAGACCGAAAAAGCCCCGCTTCTCCTTGCGAGATGGGCTAACCGGAGAGTCCGTAGCTGACTTGCTATCGCGCAAAGAGTTCTTTAGCCCTGCTGTTGCACCATTGGGATGACCATTGGTGGCAGCCGCAGCACGTCGTTCAGCGTTTTGAGAGGTGGAAGCCTGAGCTGGTGATGCAGGACCCTCTGTGTCGCTCGCTTCATCCTCGAGCTCCGTTGAGTCTCCATCATCATCAGCCCGTCGCGGGATACCCCGAACTGGCCTCAGTCCGGACGAAAGTTCTGCGACATCGTCCTCGTCATCTGAATCAGCGAAGCGGGAGCGGAACGTCGGCAGCCTGGCATCATCTTCGTCATCACTGGAGTCTTCGTAGCGTGACTGGAAGCGCGACGAGCCCGACTTAGAGAGGTCTCGTCCCGAAGCCTTGCTGGTGGAAAACCTGGATGGTTTGGCAGGCTGTGAACCTTGTGTCCGTAAAGTGGGGTATGAAGAGTCCTGAGTGCTGATCATCGGTTTCCGTTTGCCGAAGAAAGAACCGGTCGGGGACAATGACCGAATGCTCAATTTTGAAGAGCGAGGTGCCGCAGCCATAGTGGATGGGGTCGCCCTCAGAGTTGGAGCTGGGGTAGATGCGTGGGCTCTTGGCGAAGGTCCAGAGCGCATACTTCGTCGCATGGTGTATCTACCATCAGTAAAAGACGAAGATGCGCGTCGCTGCCTTTTAAAGCTGCTATCGGACACATCCGAATCGTTGGACAGCGTTCGACTAAGAGGAGGCATGGTCAACACTCGATTTGGCGGAGCCGGAGCGCTCGGAGGCGCGCTTCGCCGATTTGGCGCGGGGGCAGCCTTCGCTGAAGCAAGCGGGATGTTTTTCTTCTGGAGTGCACCTTTTGGCTCACGTGCCTCAGCTATAGCAGGCTCGCTGTATCGGGAAACCGCAAAACCTGCGGGAGTATCTCGCATTGAGGTCCGCATCGGTTTTCGCATACTTGGTGCAGAAGCCCCATTATTATCCGCTGTATGCCTTTCCGAACGCATGCTCGTTCTCAGGGCTGGCTTTTTCGGTTGTGGCGCTTCGCGCGCGTGTGGCAAGGGCGCTGCCTTCTGCGTGGGTCCAACAGCCACCGCAACTGGCTCAGGAACCACTGTCGCTTTCTTTTTCGGTTTGGGAGATTTGAGAATCGGAGCTGCGTCATATTCAAGAGCGGCGGCTTTCACAGATGGCTTTTGCTTGTGTTTGCTTGACACTGCCCTGGTCGGCTGGTCTTCCCCCTTCACATCGCTCGTAGCTGATGGTGCGGCTGATCCTTTCTGAGAAGAACTTGGCTGCTGTTCCTGTTTGTCGACAAGCGGACTTTCTGGAGGTGATACAGAATGAGTCTCCGACGGCGGTGGGATAATCGGACTTTCGACGATAGCATCCAATGAGGCGAAACCACCATCTAGTTCAGAGAGGTCTTCAGCAGCGTCACTGTAGATGCTGCTATTGTCGCTGTCTTCATCTGAGCTTTCACTAGCTGAGTGATCGAGATAGCGGTCTACGCTGCTTTGGCGTGATTCGACTGGTTGAAGGTCCTTGGCAGAGAAAACGTGGAAGCGACCACCACGGGCTGCACCAGTGGTATCGTAATGTTCTTGAGACGCCAATGAAGCGGTCGTAGTGGCCAGACTTTCGTCGAACGACTCGTCATCTGGGTCTGACCATGAGCCAGGCATCTCGAACGGAGGCTCCTGATTTTCAGCATCGGTTCCTGGAGTCGCAGGCTGCACAGCTATTTGAGGCACTGCTGGTACTTCAAGAGCCGGTGAAGCCTCGGCTGACTTCTTCTCAGGAATGACAGGGAGAGTAGTTGCACCGCTTCCAACACCGTGGAATCGTGGTCTCTCGTTGCTCTCCGGCTCGGACTCATCGAGACTCGATTCCGTGTCGTCTGAGGCGTAGCCAGAGCCCTCCACAGAAGTGACCTCAGGTGCAATCGGATCATTTACACCCTTAGACCGTCTTTTGCTTTCATAGTCTCGAGCAAGGACACCACCGACGGCGTGGTCACTTGAAGCTTCAAGAGGCTCGGCCATGGTACTTGTGGAGTTGGACATCGACGGGACAGTTTCTGTGACCTTCTCAGCAATTTCCTCGCCGACAGGACGACGTTCTCTCCTGATGCTCCCAAATGAGGGCAATGCAGGTCTGGGTTTCATGATTTCATCCAGGTCATCATCCATACCCTGTAGAGTTCGGCCGCTCCATCGAGAGGACTCTAGGCCGGCGGGAGAGGAAGGCGAAGACGGTGAATCTTCTTCTCGAGTAATATTTTCCTCAAAGCTTACTCGAACTCCCTTCTTCTTCTTGCGAGGACTGGGCTTGTAGCCATCATAAGATCCAGCGTCTGAACTAACATCTGAATGCGCTCGTCCAACAGCATGAGAGGCAACGGGCGAGCTGGTTCGAATCGAGGAAGAAGGCGAGTGCTTCAATGCCGATTTCGCAGGCGATATCGATCTTGGCGGCGGCTGATGCTTCATACCAGTCGAGATGTCCACGGCGGTTGGCGCAAAATGTGCTGAACGAGCTGGACTGAGCGAAGATTGTCTCTCATACATCTTAGCACGTCCAGAATCAGGCTTCAGCTTCTCCGAGTCTGCACCTCGACCAATACGCCGATCATTTTGCGGGCTGACTGCTCTTTGTCCCCCCTCTTTGGACATTGTTGGTACCGGCGCCTCTTTTGCAACTCCTGGGTGTTCACCCAATTCGGCCTTTTCTGCTTCTTCCTCAACCTCAGGATTCTCCATCACCGTCGAAGGCTTCCTAACAAGTGGAGACGGCTTCGATCGCGGACCGGAACTCTCGGAGTCAGTCGAGATGTCGGACAAGGATGAGCTTTGAGGACTCTGCGGACTTGGCGGAAGCTCCGGAGCTGGGGCTGAACGTTGCGGTGACTGCATGTGCAACGACGAGGAACTTTCCGGAGATGCAGCGCCTCCCCGCGGCTTACTAGCCATGGCCCCCTCTGATAGATGCCTTCCCTCTACACCCGCCGCTTTCTTTTTCTTTTTCTTGGCTACTGGAGCATTTGCAGCATTTTGTATTGATAACCCCAGCCCAGTTGCATTTGTAGTCGAATTCTTTGGAACAATAGGTGCTGTCGTGCGGATGTCCTGCCTGGGCTTCTGATCGCTCGTGACCGGGCTGGTAAACCACCCACTGTGACCTTTCTTCATAGGCGGCGGACTCGCCGGAGGCGTGTCTCGAGGTGACATGGGTCGCGAAAAATTAATTGAAGCCCTCTGAGACCCGTCTTTTGCGTCCGGAGAATGACGCGGCGCCCGCTCGGTGGATACCCCCGCGCCCCGATCCCCTGGCTTGCCCGATCCTAACGCAGCTTCACTCGCGGCACGCCTGTGTTTGGAAGCCGGCGAAAGATCCTTTGGAATTGCTGGCACTGGAGGTGCATTAGCATCCGCAGGCGCTGGCGCCCTTACCCTTCCCGACGGTGACGGCGAACGAAAAGTCCTCTCACTCATAGAACCGGAACTCGGTTGCCTCCGCACTCCGGGAGCACTCGAGGAACTCCCAGAGGACCCCCTCCTTTGCATGCGCTTCGTCTGGATGCTGCCGACTGGAACCGGAGAGGTGCTGTGGGTGCGCAGGGCCGCTGCCGCTGCGGCAGAGGAGAGGGATGCATTGGAGTTTGCGCTCTTCAGGAATGCCTGACTGGCAGCGAGGGCAGCGGTCGGTGTCGGGGCGCTGGTGTTACGGTTCGGGGGCTACACAGCACATTGAGTCAGTGTCAAGGCAGGCGCACGCGGGAATGAAAGCCGGATCGGAGCCGCGGCGCATACCGGATTAGAAGTCGCGCGCCGGCGCGACCTGAACATGATGGACGGAGGATGTTTGGGAGCGTTGCTAGCTCGTCATAGCAGCCGAGGGTCGTAGGATGTGGTGTCGTGGAAGCAAGGGCTTAGCGGGCTGATGTCATGGGGGACGCGGATGTGCTGGACAGGCGCCAGCGGAGGCCCTAAAGGAGTGGAACGCGACCGGTGCTTCGCCTGACACACGCAGCCGCAGCTGAAACGCAGAGGACACGGAGCCGGGGTAGTGTTGAAACGATGAGTGGCCCGGCGGTGGAGCAGAGGCGAGGAGATGCGGAGGAGAGGGTCTCGGCGGGCGATCAGCGGCGACGTGTGGTGTTGAAGTGGGTTTGCCGGGAAAGAAAGGAAAGCATGCGCCCCAGGATCGTCACCAAGGGTGCAAGCATTGGCCGTGTCGTCATAAGCGGCCGGACCGCAGTCGACACCCATCCAAAACACATTTACGGCAGTGCTCGTCCGTCGCTAACGGCATTTGTGCGCCGGGCGAGAAAAAAAGACGCCGGCGAGGTGGAAATTCGTTGGCTGGCCTAGCGCATTGAAACGCATTGGAGGCCCTGTTAGGCAAAGACCTTTGATTGGCATGCATCCACAGCCTACTCCTGCGCCTGCCCTCTGGCACGCGGACGCCCAGCCTTGTACCTGTGCCGGTACCTTGCGTGCACGAGGAGACAGGATGACGCTTCTGGCGATCGGGCAAGGCTGAGGGCCCGCCGGCCGTACCGTAGCGTTAAAGTTTGCTGACGCTACTGCGCCGCCGTCAAACCACAGACAAGCGTCCCGACAAGTCACCGTCCAGCCTGGAACAAATCCGGCGTCGGTCTGCTCGGAACCCAGAGAAACACCAGAACCGGTTCGTCCCAGTCCTCAGGAGGCAAATGCGTACAATATCCTCTCGCAGCCGTGGATTTGTTTTTTTTTTTTTTTGCTCATGTCATGGGTAGCTGAAGCTATCGTCCGGACTTGTATGTAGAATTTTAAATTTGACATTCTCGTCCGGACGATAGCTTCAGCTACCCACGTATGTTACTTTTCTAAGGCAGAGCTGGGGTATAGTTACGCTATGCTCTAGAGCCCTGCTATTATTCGCGCTAGCCATCGGCTGCAGCACCCCTCTGTAATATCCCGTAGACCACTCATGGCACTGGAGACTGCTGCTACCGGCCAATGCAGTGCAGATCGTCCCCCATCCGCGTGCGCGTGCTCTGCCTGTCAGGCAGGGTCTTGCCTTAGGCACGTTCGCCTTCCCCGCAGTCTCCTTCCCGACCCGCAAGTTCTCCAGTGCTGCAACTGCTCCTCCTATATAAATACCGAAAGAGGTGGTCTCTTTGACCTCGGTCCACGATCGACTCACCCAGCGACGCTCTGTATCTTCCAACTTACACCTAAGTTGCCTTTCCATCCATAACACTCCACCATGTTCCTATCCAAGGCCAAGGTGGCAGATGCTTCTGCCGATCTTACACCGCTCCCTCTTCCGCTAGGCATCACTTCGCGTCAGATCCCGGACACCGCTTGCGGTCTCTCCTTTCACATTCTGGAGGCAGGGTTCGACTCGACCCGCACCAAACCACTCATCCTCCTACTGCACGGCTACCCTGAGCTCGCATACTCTTGGCGAAAAATCATGCACCCGCTCTCGTCGGCTGGATTCTACGTAGTTGCCGTGGACCAGCGTGGCTACGGTCGAACCACAGGCTGGGATGATTCGCCATACTCTACTGTTGACTTGTCCCAGTTCACCATGACGCGACTGGTCGGAGATATGCTGGTGCTGGTTTCGGCTCTCGGATACACTGAGGTTCGATGCGTCGTCGGCCATGACTTCGGAGCAGTCAGTGCAAGCTTCTGTGCGTTGATGAGGCCTGATGTGTTCAAGAGTGTGGTTATGATGAGCCATCCATTCAAACCTCCGCCGTCTCTTCCGTTCAATACTGCGAATCAATCGCCATCGGAGCAAACGCAAGGAGATACGATAGTTGGACGAGACATTCAAGGAGAACTTGCATCGCTCGATCCTCCCCGCATGCACTACAAGTGGTACAACAGCACGGCACAAGCAGCACAGGACTGGGATAATCCACCCCAGGGCCTGAAGGAATTCCTGCGGGGATACTTTCACCTCAAGAGTGCAGACTGGGCAGTTAACAAGCCATACCCGCTGAGCGAATGGAATGCATCAGAGCTGGCCAAGATGCCTGAATACTACGTCATGCCGCTTTCGGCCAGTATGCCTGACGTTGTGTCGTCTAACATGGCCAACGAGGACGCACGTGCAACTGAGAAGTGGTTGTCAGACGAGGACCTTGCGGTGTACGTGAGCGAATGGGAGCGGAATGGTTTCCAGGGCGCGCTTAATTGGTATCGGTGTCAGACCGACCCGAAACAGACGCGAGATCTCCATCTGTTCGTGGGGAAGAAGATCGATGTTCCGAGCGAATTCGTGACAGGGACGGCCGACTGGGGGAATTACCAGGTGCCTGGAGCACTGGAGAGCTTCCCGAAAAGCTGCAGCGACTTCAGAGGAGTTTCGTTTGTGGACAATGCCGGCCATTGGCCCCAGCAAGAGCAGCCGCAGATCGTCGTGGAGAAGATCCTAAGATTTGTGACGAGCTTGTAGGAGAAGCTTGGACGCAGTCGATCCGACGCAAGATTATTGAGAGAGTAGTAGGAGACATGAGAAGCTAAACAGTCGGGCCTACCTGAAGACGATTCACTGACGGATCTGGGACGCAAGGGTTAGGTATGCAGAACCAGACTTCACCTCAGAATTCATAGCACCCAGTCCAGTACAGAAGCTTCGCACGTGTCCTTGGGTCTTCTCCAGTAGGTCAAAGCGCGCCCCATGGCAGGTTTGTCTGCTGAGGATGGCGGATAGTCGTGGTTATCTTTCGTATTTTTCAGCTGAGCTGGGTTAGCGATTCATGGCGTCAGGCGAGGCCAGACACACGCGTCACTCGGCACAAAGGCTCGCTTGGACAAGGCAGGCAGCTCCGAATTTAATGGGTCGGTCGAGCGAGCGTGATTTATTTACGGTAGCACATGCAACAGCAGCCAAAATCGCATGTGCAAGGACGCGAGTCGCGGTGAGAAGCTTCTGGACCGCAGGGAATGCCAGGCAGGAGCCTCGTACCAGAGCGTTTGCATGGGCAGAGGCGACCTTTCTGGGGGCCTGCAGCAACGGGCGGGCGGGCGGCAACACCGATGTGAGGGCGAGGCTGGCTGCTGCCAGCCATCTGCGGGCCTTGGTGCGGCGTTGCGTGGAGAGCAGTCGCAGAAGCTGCAAGCTGCAAGCCACCGCCCAGCCGCGCAGGCATCGCGGCCAATGGCGAGCGGCGCGGGCGGCCTGGGGAGGCTGGGGAGCTGTGGGCATGATTAGCGGATTTGCCGTCAGAGCTTCAGCGCGTCAGCGCGCGCGCTCGACGAGCGCCGACTTTGGCAGCGCTGCGAGCCCGCGCCAATGGCACACCACCACGACGACCGGGAGCAGCTGCAGCGGTGGAGTCGCGCGACGAGGGCTGCCTGCGATCGCGCGCGGCCGGGCGTCCCGGGCAGGGCAAGGTGCCGCAGCGGTGCGTCGTTTCGCATGCGGGCGGCTGCGGCATCTTGGGAGCGCCTTGGTGCTTATTGCATTGGTGTTATGCACGCCGCGCTCTGCCTTGTGCAGTGCCAATTGTGCACTGGGCGGCGCCCTGCCCGCCTCAGAAGAAAGACCAGCTGTCGCGCCATTCACCGCAGTGGCAGGCGGGCGCGACGACCTCGGATGTTGGTATGGCAACAGCGTGACGGGCGCTGGATCGCCTGCGAGCGTGCCTGAGAGCACATGCAACGACCAACGGGCGGCCAGTGTGCGGCTGCGGGGCTGGGGAAAGCTGTCTCGGCCGGGCATAGCTCTGTTATGATCGCTCGCGCTGGCCCCTGCTGCATTGCCCAGCCGCGTGCATTAAGCTCCCTCGCTGTACCCACTTCGCAGGCAGCGCCCTCCCTCCGACTCGTCGGCCTACTTCAACAGCCCAGTCGATTCCTCGCTACCATTCATCTCACCGTCTCCATCACTCGCTCCCGCCGCCCGCGCCTGCAGCCAATTGCACACCCTTACGTTTCGGCGCCCGAGCAAGCTCATAAGATCGTGACGCTGGCAGCCCCATCCTCACCTTCTTCACCACCCGCCCGTGAGATATCTTCCTCACATTCCCCCTTAGGAGCCAAGAAGTTCTTTCTTGTCTTCCTTTCGAATTCCGGTTCGGAAGGGCTGCAAGAAGGAACGCCCGACTCCAGTCAATCTGGACTTTGAAGCCCGCGTCCCGATCCCCTTCAGTGTCTTCCCGTCCTCGTATCGGAGTGACGCTGCTACAGCAGAGGATTCTCAGGTCAAGGTAGAGAGTGAAGTTCACCTCTCTGAAAAGGCTTCGCGCGTCGGACGGGAAGGTCACGAAGGTCGCTACTCCGCCTCCGAAGCCGCCTCTGTCGCGCCCAGCCGTAAGGAGCACCGCTTCGAAGAAGAAGTCCGCGTCTACGAGAAGGACCGCCACCGACCCTCCGGCCGCCGCGAAGAGGAAATCCGCATCTACGAGCGCGACGACCGCCGGTACCCCCGCAGCGAGCGCATTGAACGCGACCGCTACGAAGTAGACATCGAGAGAGAGCGGTAAGTCGCGCGCCCTGGCACTTCGCCGCATGCCCCAAAACAAACGCACAGCATAGCACAGCACACAGACCGTCAATGGCTCCGCCCGGATCGGTCGGGAGCCGGGTTTCGTCATCCTGCCGTTCTGTTGGCCCAGCGATGGTCCACACTGGCGGCCCCGGCCGTGGACCTGAGCTGAGCTCTCCCTTCCTCGCTTACCTACTTGCCTCTCTTCTGCCATTGATCGTCGCTGACATTCTCCCTCTCCACCCACAGCTACCAGGAGCCCTACCAACGCTACGACGAAGCTCAGATCAACGTCAAGGATCGCACCTACGACGTCAACGACTTCAAGGAGCGCACCTACGACCGCGACTACCGCACCGTCCAGGGTCCCTCCAACACCTTCGCTGAGTCGCAGCTCGACGCCACTGAGCGTGACTTCCGCGAGCGCACCCGCCCCATTGTTGACGAGTCTCGCTACGGCCGCGACTTCGAGGAGCACCGCTACTCGCAGACTGCCCCCGAGCAGCCCCGCTACGGTGGTCGCGCCGAAGAGGTTGTCGACAGCCGTTACCCGCAGTCGGTTCGAGTAGAGTCCACGACCTCTCGGACGACGGTTGATCCCCCCAAGCACAAGCGTGATATGGGATATTACGACGACGAAGGTCACTACCACAGCTTCCGTCACGGTCTCCACAAAGCCGCCGATCGCATTCTGCACCCGATCCACGGCCACTCCCACCACTCTCACCACAAGCACGAGCACCACGACCACCCCTCTGACAAGGAGGAAGTAGTCATCAAGGAGACCTACACCGCCCCCTCCAAGCCGCGCGTGTCTTCGTCTGCTCCCCCGCCCCCTCCTGCCTCCGACTTCTTCCCCGAGCCCAGGCCTGCCCGCTCCACCTTCACCACCTACCACGAGACCGCCCGCACCAGCGCCATGTCTTCCGCCAACACCATCACCATTCCCTGCCACCACATCCGCATTGGCGATCTCCTGATCCTCCAGGGCCGCCCTTGCCAGGTCATCCGCATCACCACGTCCTCTCAGACTGGCCAGCACCGCTACCTTGGTGTTGACCTCTTCACCAAGCAGCTCCATGAGGAGTCCAGCTTCATCTCCAACCCGGGCCCGTCGGTCATCGTGCAGAACATGCTCGGCCCGGTCTTCAAGCAGTACCGCGTCCTGGACATCCGCGAGGATGGCAAGGTCGTTGCCATGACCGAGACCGGCGACATCAAGCAGGGCCTGCCTGTCCTCGACCAGAGTGGCCTGTCCAAGAAGCTTGCCGACGCCTTCGACAACGGCCGCGGCAGCATCCGTGTCCTTGTCATCAGCGACTCGGGCACCGAGCTTGTCGTCGACTACAAGGTCGTCCACGGATCCAGGCTGTAGATGTCATGTCAATGGTAAGCTTTCCCAACCGCAGTCCTTCCCGACACATGCTGATGTAGGATGCAGGCTTCGACTCCTCACATTTCTAGACAAAGAGCCTTGGGCCATCTTGGACCAAGATAACCATTCAACTCGTGTTTATACACCCTTTACGGTTTGCATCAGCAGGGGCAGAAGATCCATAGTGCCAATCAAGGCGACTCACGGTCGTCATTGGGTCTTGACTTCTTGGCTACTCGTCCTTCCCTTCTTTCGAACAATGCTTCTTCTGGTTCATTCCTTTAAGACAAAAGAACAATCTCTGCACGGCGTTCCGGCAGCGGCTGGCAAGTACGCCTGTCTAGCCGGCTGCTCATGGGGTAATGACTGGATGTGGGGGCTATAACGAAGCATATGCGATGATGGGATTTCCAGGAAACGATCGGCCTGTGGATAGTTAATGAACTTGATGCCTTCTATAATCATTCCCCTCTTGTTCGATTGGCCAATGACGTGGTCGTCATGTGAGCGCGCACGTGCTTGTCCATCCCTTCACCGCTGCGGAGGATCTTCGTGGGCCGCGACGTCAAGGCTACCGGCACCCGGGCACCTATTGGATGAAGGGCGCGTCACCGACCCTCGTCGGACTCCAAATCCCATCGAATTGGCTACGTATTCGTGGTGTTGTCGTGCGTTGCAAAATCCAGATCTGGCCGTCCAATGGATTATGTAAGTGCGATGACTTCGGTTGCCGCCCCAAAGCGCGCGCTTCCCCGCAAAAAGGGCGGCAGAGGTGATATCCACTGAGCCGCTAAGACCAAGCTACACTCCGCACCATCCTCCAATCGCCGCCGGCGCATTTCCGGAACGCCTTATCCGATGTCTTTTTTTGCTGTGCGGGGCAGGCGGGCCCCAGAACACGTTGTCGGTGTGGTAGGATTGCGGTTGAGGAGGGTGGTGGCTTATGTACTTCTTGTGGTATAGCCGGGGTGCGATTGGCGTTTTTTTCGATTGTCACGCTGATCCCGTTGTTAACTCCGCCTGGTGTTAAAAGCTGCTGGCGTTGTTGGGTCGTCTCCCACCTCACTTCAAGTGCTCTCTCACCTCCTTCCTATTCTCAATTCACCTTCCTGATTTGCTGGTAACTGCCTTCGCTCACAGCACACTATCGAGGCTCGCTCTCCTTCCTCCACAGCACTTTCGAACAACAGACCAGCCCAAGCACCCAGCAAGCCATCTCCACATCCCGGCTAGTTCCTCTAGCTCCGCAAAGGCAATCCCGAGCTCGTTTCCACGTACTACTCTCTGTTTCTCTTCCTTCTCCAAAATACCCGTTCTTCAGGAAAAACATATCCAAACCCGCAATTACCTCGAGAAAGAGACCGAAACCAGCTAGCACCGACTCAAATCAGCATCACGGCCACCCAATAGCCATGGCACCAGGCCCGGAACCTTCCTCCCCCTTCCCCGGCGACAGCAGCCCTCTTCCTCCTTTTCCATCGAAGCCCCACTCCTCTTTTCCGGACATCCCGCCCTTTCCCGCCGACGTCCCCACGTGCCCGCTCGTACGCGTGTCGCTTTCGCGCCTGCTGCACGGCGACGCGGACGAAGAAGATGCGCTGTGGCGCGCGTGCTGCGACCTGGGCTTCTTCTACATCGACCTACGCGGCGGAGAGATCGGCGACGATGATTATGACGACGAGGTCGTTCAGGGTGGGGGTGCTGGTGGCGGAGCGGTGAGGAGGAGCTCGCGGCAGGTCGAGGTGCATGTGGATGGCGAGCAGCTGTTGGAGGATGCCGAGACGTTGTTTGAGGTGCAGAAGGGGTTCTTCGATCTTCCGGTCGAGGAGAAGACGAAGTACGACTTCAGCGCGGAGGGCAGTTATTTCGGGTGAGTGATCTCTCCCAAGGGAGCAAGGTGTGGTTGGTTCTGTTCGCTATCTGGACGGTTTACTTGGACGTTCGCTGGACATGGGGCACGTGTTGAGGAGAGTAACATCACGTACTGACAGAACGCGCTACAGGTACAAGGGCTACGGCGCAGGCATCATCGACAAGGACGGCACGAAAGATCGCAACGAGTTCTACAACGTAGGCTTCCCCCCTCCATACCCCATACCCCACTCCCCACGCCTCACTCTCCCCCCACTCCGCCAAGTAACCGGTCCCCAGCTAATCTCCTTTCTCTCACACAGACCTCAAAAGATGATATCCTCGGCCACTCGGCGCCGCTACCCGCACCCTCGATGCTGCGGCCGCACCGGCGGCTACTCAACTCCTTCATCCGCGAATCCCACTCCCTCGTCAACCTCATCCTCCGCATCCTCGACGCGCGCCTGGGCCTGCCGAGCGGCACGCTGCCCGCGCTGCACCGGCTGACGGCGCCGTCGGGCGACCAGGTCCGCTTCGTCAAGGCGCCGCCGCAGCCGCGCGACGACGCGCGCGTCGCGCTGGGCGAGCACACCGACTTCGGCAGCGTCACGGTGCTGTTCAACCGCGTGGGCGGCCTGCAGGTGCTGCTGCCGCCGGGCATGGAGCCGGTGCATCCTTCGACGACCTCCTCGGCCGACGTGGACCGGGAAGAGACTAGGAGAGACAGCGCCAACGCGGTGACGACGTCGTCGGGGTCGCCGGGCAAGGAGACGGCGCGCGAGACGTGGGCGTACGTCCGCCCGCTGCCCGGCCACGCCATCGTCAACCTCGGCGACGCCCTCGTCAAGATGACGAGCGGCATCCTCCGCTCCAACATCCACCGCGTCGCGCCGCCGCCCGGCGAGCAGGCCGAGTGCACGCGGTACAGCTTGGTGTACTTTGCGCGGCCGGAGGACGACGTCGTGTTGCGGGTGCTGGAGGGCAGCGAGAGGATCGAGGAGAAGGTCAGGGAGGCGGGGCAGGTGTTGGGGAGGGAGAGGGAGGAGCGGGCGGTCAGCGCGAAGGAGTGGATCTTGCGGCGGGCGTTGGCGAGGCGGACGGGCGGGAAGTGGGAGGATAGCGCGGGGACGGAGGAAATCAGTCGGAGGAGAGGGAATGGGGTTGCGGTTTGAATGTGGCTGATTGTGATGAAGGGTTTGTATATACGCTTGCGTCGTTGTTGCTAACGGCCAATTGTATGTTACGGCTTCTGTAAATTGAGTAAATACAAGCGAAGATATCATCATATTTAACGCGCCATTTTCCCTGACACTGGGCCGGTCCCTTTTGCTACCCATCTCTTCTTTCTCGACTCAGAAGTATGAGAGTGCTCGTTGCTTTCCATTTCACCGATCCGCCCTTTGGCAGGATTGCCTGGCAGACAGACGTCCTCAACGTTTCACTTGAGAGCACCTACGAAGACTTCATTTGCCAAATTCTCCAACTGCAGCAAGACTTATCCCATTTCCTCGGGGAGGACTGGACGGCAACATTCCCTTTTCACGTTATGTGGCTGTCTCGCGATCACCATGGCAAACTTCCAGATGTCGTGAACGAGGTGCCTCCCTTCCAGTCGCATCTGAGGAAAGGAAACTGGCAGCAGATACTGCTGATGATGCAGCAGAGGGGATTCAGGGACGTTATCTGCGTCGAGATTGCGAGCCATGCGGCCGCAAAGAAAAAGCCTGCGGGCTGGGAGCTTGAGAGGGAGGCAGTGATGAAGCACGAAGCGGAGTGGTACCGGAAAAAGAATTCACTCATCGATGGACAGGCGTCGATGGCGACGACGGTGGAGGACAGTCCTTAACTGTTGATCGAGAGACACCGGGAAAACAAGAGGGAATCATAGCGCAAAATAGCAAAAAGGAAAGCTTTGTCTTTTTACACCGTTTGTAATCAAGCTGCAACGCACCACAGCGATCCGGTTACCACCTGTGTCTTTTCAACTGGGTGGGTAGCTGAAAACCTTCTAACCAAATGGTGGCTACCCGCTCGGGGATGTTGAATCCCGATTAGGCAACGCTTGGCGACCACAAATGACCCCCGCAGTACACTTTGAATACAAAGCCTTCAGATCAGTCCGACCACCGTGGATTTTGATACTAGGGATTTTGCGGAACTAATAAATAACCCTTCAAAGTTCGAACCCACATGGAAGCAAAATTTACCACCCACTCTGACAGACTTGCTGCCACCGCACAAAAGCGCAACTTGCTTCCTTCACTTCAGACGCCTCACTCGCTTCACCCGCGCCTGCCTCACTTGCCTCACCTAGCTCACTCAAATCACTCTTAATACCCTCGTCAGAGTCAGAATCCTCGTTTCCAGCCTTGTTCGCAATTTCCTTGTACAAACTTGAAAGCGCCTTCTTCAATGCAATCCGTCTATCACGACTTCCCTTATTTTTCTGACCGACAGACGCCCAGAACAAACTGTGTAAGTGCAGGCTGTTTAAAGGAAACTCAACATCAGTAGCAATCATCACACTCCCATCCGACACTCTATCTATCCACATTGCTATCAGAGCGAGCATCTGCCTCGAGAAACGCCACATCCAATGCAACAAAACAGAGATTCACTCCAACGATTCACTATGGCGGCCCCGACTCAAAACGAACAGCTTCAGCAAGACGCACAACCTCAGCAATACGCACAGTCTCATCAAAACGCACAGCCTTCTTCAAGCGCACCACCCAACAACAGACCCAAGCCCGAGCACATCCAAATCAATGTCATATTCTGCGTGGCCAAAGAAAATGAAAAGATGCAGTATACCGAAACCTTTCACGTCCCGCTCCCGGATAAACTGGAGACTTTCCGGGCCGGAATGCGAGCCGTGAGCCGGCGGGTGCAGGCTGGCCAGGGCGAGGAGTGGAGCTGGGTGTCGCCCGACCTGTCTGTGGTCTGGACTGACATGCCCTCCGCGATCGCCGTCATGGACTCGGATAACTGGACGAGGAATTTGCGTTTCATGCACGAGCGCAAAATGGGCGACTACATTCGTATTGACATGAAGTACGAGCGCAAGGCGCCGGGTTGAGGAAAGTTGGCGCATTTGGAATGGGGGAAGAGAGCGGGGCGAAGGGTTGTTGCGCACGGATTATTATGGTGAGACTTTGGGTTAGCAACGCTGTGGACTAGGCATCAATGGAACATTCATGGGTCCTGCATATGATAATTATCATCTTGGGCGTGCTAGGATTTCTTCGTGTGCTTGAATTTCGGCGATGCTGACAAGGTATATTCGCCGACCCACTCACTAATGGGCGACGACATCTTGAATGTTCTTGTACAATTTCACCGCCGTCCATGTACCCCACAGTCATCCTTTGAATATCTGCCATTGGGCTATATAATTTTCTTTGTACTACCATGACCGCCATCTTTAGCTTTGCATGTTGAGGCATCAATCAGAAACACCGAACACGCACCGTAATTCCGGCCACACCCCTCTAAAAGAACTCCTAAAAACCTGGAACATTTGAAGCTGATGTCTTAGACAGCCAATAAGCCCTCAAAACCACAGCCTCACCACCCGTTGTGCTTCCTCAGTTCCAATAATCATCCTCCTTGGACGAGCCACTGGGACACTCCACATGCTCATCATCTCCCTTGCGGCAATCAAGGCATGGCACCTCGATACTATCATACCAGCGCTTCAGATCGGCCTCTAACTCAACAAGACAGTCGACGAGCGAAGGGGCAGAGCGGCAAGCCGTACAAACGCCTAACTCCCTAGCGAACGTCCGCAAGCGCTTTACAGTGGATGGGCGGGTCGCATGTAGCCAGTAATCGAAGAACGAGGCGATAGTATCATCCCAATCCTCTGGCTCGAGGATGTCGTTTAAGCCCATGCCGAACGTGCAGGCGAGGATGGCACCGCAGTTCTGGTCGCAATCGCAGTCATCGCTCATGTTACCGTCGCTCATGTCGACCCACCGAAGTATGCGGCTTCTAACCATGTCAGGCAATTTGTGTACAGTCTCGGTTCTGGTCGACTCCATGGCGACTGTCGAGGTTAGCGCATCAAACCCAACTCTTAAAAAAAAAATAAGACGTACGCAAGATGCTAGCAGGTACGGCTTGGTCGCTCATATCCTCAAATCCGACCTCTTCGTACAGGATCATATCCCTGCAGATGTGGAAGAAAGCGCGCGGCGCTTCCAAGACGTAAGCCACACCAAGTAGCTCGCGGTCATCAGGACCAGAGTAGTTCCGCTCCCGTGCTTCCAGTACCATCTTCTTAACCCACTCCTCGCTCTTGTGCGTCATCTTCTTCTTCAGATCATACTTGTCGAGCACTTCAGCGTAGCTAAACAGACAACCTATGCAGCACAAGCCCTCGTGGTTCTCGTTATCATGCAAGACAAAGCAGATGACTCGCACTGAGCTAGCACGGTCTTCCGGCAAAGATATCTTCTTGGGGTTGGTCTTGTTGTGCTTAGACAGGTTCTGTCCCTCAGAGAAGTGCGGGCCGAACATGGCGCGGAAGACAGGCGATGCGGATGCGAGGACGGAGCTCTTAACTAGAAGCGTAGGCTTGCGGATAAGGGGACCGTCGTCGTTAGGGAAGGTGAAGAGTACGTCACCCTCGCCGTCAGGTGAAGCGACCCACGTAGATGCGTTAGTTGTAGCGCGCGAGTGTGTGGTCGTGGCGGATGCTGCAGGTGTAGATGTAGCCGCAGGAGGACCGCCGAAGAGGGAAGGAGGAGCCGCATTGACATTCGACGAGGCGGCGGTCGGCATCGCAGGCGTGGTCGCGGTCGCGGTCGTGGTCGTGGCCGAGCCCTTGGTCTTCTTCTTCTTGTTCTTCTTTTTCTTCGTCTTCTTGGGCTCGCCCTGGCCTTCGCCATCCGCTGCGCTGCTGGTAAAAACGTACGGCGACGCCGAAGCCATAGTTTCAGGTGAGACGAAGCTCGGCTGTAGCTGTTCAGAAGTGTTTTGAGCGTGGTTGTCTCCGGCACTGAGGCCGCCGGTGGTTGTGTCAGGTCCTTCGCCCGCCATGGTGGACAAGGGCGCGTGCGTCGGCCAGAATGCGCTGGGGCTGGGTTGCGGAGGAATGAAGAAGTTGCTCGGGTAAGGTCGGCAGGTCTACTGAAGAGAAGTATTCTAAGAGGTGGACCCTGCATTTTACCAGTAGCTGGTCTAAGCTTTCTATGTTGGGCGTTTGTCTCGGGTCTATGAAGAAAGCGCGCTGCCGCTCACCCAATTATGGCATCCATTCGCAACCGCACATGAAGCACTTGTCTAGATGCAAACGTATGGCAACAATTGCGACCACGCTCTGATCTCCACCTTGCCTTTTCTCCGAGCTCGCGTCGACACGGACACTTCTGGGCAAACAATACCGGGAGGCAGATGGCCGTCCTATACTTCCGAAGCTCAGTTTTGTGAGGCAATCAATCAAATTCGTAAAGACCTGTAGGAGCTGCAAATGCTAGTGTGTTCTCCCAGGAAGTCATACTGTCATCGTGAGCCAAGGCTGACTTCCTTGCCACCAACCATCTTCCGAATGTTTAGCAAGACAAATCATACAGAGGACTTCCGTCTCTTCCAAAGACGCCAAAGCTAGGCTCTTGGCTGTAATCCTGATACGCGTACCAGAAGGTATTCAGCCGCTGGAACCTGCACACCTGATTAGCTCGGTATGACACCCACCGAGTAAGATTGCCTTACGAAACACAACCGACGGCCTTCCAGTAACCCTCGGCGTTGTTGGATGAAGCGAAACTGCGGCCGAAGGTCCTGCCGGTGGCCGGCCAGCCTGTCTCCGTCACCCAAACCTCGAGGCCCGCCTTGATCGCAGTAACGGCAGTCTTGGTGTCTTCAATGGCTTTGAAGTAGGTGTCGAGGCTCTCGGGGACCGTGACGCCCTGCCAGTAGGGATACGCATCGCAGCCGACAAAGTCAACAGCTGTGACGACGGGCTTGTTCACCGGATCGACCCTTGATAAAATAATGTCAGCTAGACGGAAAGAGAGACTCGAAGGCTGAAGGAAGAGAGGGAACATCAGCAACACAAACTCACCACGCCGTCCACGTATCCACATGTCCCACCGCCGCGCCGACACCCACACTCCTCACCATCCCTCTAACATCGTAGATCTGCTGCGCGAGCCTGTGCGGATCCGCCTCCTTGCGGTACAAATCCTCACTGCCGACGCTGATCGCCGTTATCCATCCGCCGCCGTACGTCAGGATCGCGACCAACAGCGCCTGCTTCTCGGCCTCGAAGTGCGCCTCGTCCTCCGTCCAGACGCCGGCGAGGAGGCGTGTGTCCGTCGCGAGCGCTGCCGGCACCGCTCGCGCCAGCGTGTCGCAGTCGGATGAGGCGAAGACACGGACTTGGTTGAAGGGACCGCTGGAGGTGGGGAGCGATTGAAGGTCCCGGAAGGCGGTTTCCCAGTCGGATTGCGTTTTGCAGGAGCCATCGGGATTCTCTGCGGCTCTGGAGAGAGAGGTATGGTATGAGCAAGAGCGTCTGTGGGTTGGAGAAGGTTGAGGGGTGGGATAAACGGTGCGTACACGTTGAAACCTCTAAGAAAGGCGTGGCTGGTGGTGGACATGGCCAGCATGGAGAACACCTGGAGCTTCATTTTGAGAGAAGATTATCAAGGTTATGATACTGAATCGAAGGATCGGATCAAAGGGCTGTAAATGAGAGGACACCGTGTAGGATGGTTGAAATGAAGTCAGAGATGAAGCGCAAGGAGACTTAAGGATATCGACTGCGATGCTTGAAGAAAAGAGAAAGTACTACTTTGACTAGCGCATGTGCTCCTGGACTTCGGGTCGTATGGCCACTACCCCATTGAATGCCTACGGAGCCGCAAATTCCAAGCAACGAGCCATCTGCGTGGCAGGAGCCATGAAGGCAAGTACGCAAGACGTGTCTTTTCTGGCAAGTCTTGTCCCCGCTAAATGGTACGGGCAACGTGAAGTCTAGAGTAAGTTTCAGACGACTGAGCTAGAAGACAAAAGAAAATGCATAAGAAAATAGTATCGTTCTAGAGCTCTTCTGTGACCATTCGAGCGCACGGCCCGGCGGATCCGGAATCGGCAGCCGGCGGTGGAGAGGCGGAGGCGGGACAGCGTCATTAGGGCGGCGATAAGATAGGGTGCGGGCGTCATCGGCGAACGTCCCCGTCGGCCATTTTTCCCCACAAGCGTCGTGCGAGTGACTCCTCCGCAACAACCCATTGCAGCCCCGACCATGACCGCGACGAACGCCAGCCCGAAGCGGCAGATCACCGTCGGCGTGCTCGCCCTCCAGGGCGCCTTCAGTGAGCATATCCAGCTGCTGCGCCTGGCCATCGCGAGCCTGCGCGCCCGGAAAGTCCATGACGCCGCCGCCGCCGACTGGTCCTGTATCGAGGTGCGCACGCCCGCGGAGCTCGCAACCTGCGACGCTCTGATCCTGCCCGGCGGCGAGAGCACGACGATGTCCCTTGTTGCTGAGAGGTCGGGCATGCTGGAGCCGCTGCGGGATTTTGTCAAGTAAAATATCCTCAACCCCCGGAAGCAACTATGACTAACAGGTCGCAACCTGCAGGGTGCAACGCAAACCCACCTGGGGGACCTGCGCTGGCCTGATCTTGCTCGCAGAATCTGCGAACCGTACCAAGAAGGGCGGCCAGGAGCTCATCGGCGGTCTCGACGTCCGCGTGTCCCGCAACCACTTCGGCCGTCAAACCGAATCCTTTACCGCAGACCTTGACCTCCCATTCCTTCGCACTGCTCAGGCAGTTGACACCCAGACCAACGAGCACCCTTTCCCGAGCGTATTCATTCGGGCACCAGTAGTAGAGAAGCTGCTACCACACATGGATGGTATTCAAACTGAGGAGGCGGCCAAGGAGGAGACGATCGTTGCACCTTCGAAGGTTCCTAAGGACGATGTCGCGCGGGCAGACTTCAACGCACATGTCGAAATCATGGCAAGGCTTCCTGGTCGTGCCAAGGCTCTTGCAAAGAATGGTGTTACTGTCAGCGAAGAAGGCGAAGCGGGCGACATCATTGCCGTGAGACAAGGAAATGTTTTCGGCACAAGCTTCCATCCGGAGTTGACGGGCGATTCGCGCATTCATGCGTGGTGGTTGGAACAAGTACTCGCAGCAGTGGAGAAGCGGCAGAGTCTAGCGGTACGGTGAGGCATAATATGTCAATAGAAACGATAGATTTGGGTTTGGCTCACGGCGTTCATGGAGAAGGCCTGGGCAAGAACTGTAAATGAATAGAATTCAGAGGAATTTCTTCCTTCTTATACTTGCCGCCCCTGATTGCTCTTGAGAAATGGTTCTGACCCTCTTGGTATTCACCTGCAGCATCCTCCTTATGGCTTCTAGGTTGCCGCTCGGATGCAACTCTGATTCTTCGGTAAATGAAGTCGAATCTGCTCGCTGAGGTAAACGCGCACACAATTCTGATGTGGGCGCTCAGTACCTCCTACCGCAGCCGACTGTTAGATCATAATAGCCAAACCTTAAAGACTTGACGTAAAAAAACGCCCCAATTCCCCAAAGATCCTTGGTAAGTCCTTACCAAAGATCCTTACCTGTAGTCGTCACGGTAGGGGTCGTTGGCCCTTCCCCAACCGCCACGGCCAGGATCATACTCGTCACGGTACTCGTCGCGGACCTGACCACCCGACTTGCCACGTCTGAAACCCTGTTAGCCGTATCCAAAAGGCCGAAATGCGATCCCACGTACCCGTATTGACGGCCCTCGGAGAATCCCTCGTCAAGGTCAGTACGGATGATGCGCTCATCGAGCTTGGTACCGCCAATGTACTTCATGCAGTCGAGCGCATCCTGATGGCTGTAGTATTCGACGAAGCAGAAACCGCAGGGAGTCTTCTGGTAGCGGTCCAGACCCATGACGAGGCGCTTGATCTCACCGCATCTTGTGTACAATGTCAGCGCTGGTGCTGCAATCAGCTAATTGGTTACTTACTTCGCGAAAAGCTCGTGGATCTGCTCCTCAGTAGTGTAGAAGGACCTGCGTAATCTCAGTTTCTGTAGCAACAGAACAATCGAAACAGTATCTTACAAGTTGCCGACGTAGAGAGTAGTCGCGTCTTTCAGCTTATCCTCGAAGTCCGGGGTTTTCTCGCGCTCGTCGTGGGCATCGCCTTCGGCGGGAACGTATCTCCTCCTACGTTGCTGTGGTATTTGTGAGCTGAGAAGGTCCTAGACGAGGCGCGATTGAGGAGCAGAAGGCTTACCTTGCTTGCAGCGTAGGAGCTAGGCTTGTCGAGCCGGTCGACGGTGTTGCGCGTAGTCTGGCGCATGGTGACAGCGCGGATGGGAGGGCTGCGAAGTCTGTCGGCGCAAGCTTGAAGAGGCGCGGAAGCTTCGTGCCTTGCGTTTGTTTGAAGCTCAGGCCGGGAAGTTTAGCCGCAGAAACACCGACCGCAGCGCATCGCCGTTGGAACTTTCAGCAGGCGCGTCTCGTGGAGCTCCTCCGACCACGCCTCGTGCACTCTGCCCACAACCGCAATCCATTGGAATCCGCCATCCGAACGGGACCTCCCACGAGTGCTCGCTCAAGCTCCGCTTTGTTCGGCGCGTAGTCGGAGCATCATCCGGACTCTCACCGCGCTCGTGCCGTATTCCTGACCTCCGCCCCGAGACCTTCACGCCGCCGCGATGCCTAGGGTCCTCAGCTACACTCCCGCGTGGCTCTCGCGCGGCGCGCCGGGCTTCGATATCTTCGATCAGAGCTCCTCCAGGAGCAAATCTCCGCGCAAGTTCACCAACGGCACAAACAAACTGCAGAAGCCTGGACCCAAACGGACCATCGCGCATCGCGGCAATGAGATATTCGTGGTGGTAGGCAACGAGATTCGCTGGGCGAATCTACTGCACCTGCGGGAACGCGGTCTGCCTAAGGACAGGCGCGATTTCGGCCGCAGCTGGAGAAGCGCTCGGGGAGACCGTGAGCCATCTGCAGACGTGGAGGAGGGCCAAGCCTACAGGGTAACATCTCACCATTTCTGCTCAAAGGTTGCACTGTTGATACACGATAGATTCTGAAAACGAATGTCTCCGGGGAAATCACCGAGCTCTCTATCTCGCCGAATGAGGATTACATGGCCATTTGCACCTCGCACACCATCCACATTGCTCTACTTCCCGATCCAGCTCACCTTTCCACCGACGATACTGGTCCAATCAAACTCAAGACATTCCAACTCGGTCCCACGGCCCATGTTCTGGATCAGGCTCCCTTGGCGTCCGCGCTGTGGCATCCGCTTGGAAGGCACGGCCGTTGCTTGGTGACTGTGACGGCCGACGCCAATGTACGCCTTTGGGAATTCAACAGGGAGAACCGGGTGTCATTCAGTGAGCCAGAGCTGGCAATTGACCTCAAGAAGCTGGCCAGTGGTGTGGACTCGATGGAGGATTTTAGGGCTTCCCGAATCGGCGACAAGACCGGATTCACCCCGGACTCGTTTGAGATGGCTGTCGCTGCTGCTACCTTTGGCACGAGTGGAAAGAAGGGAGAACGTGGATGGGGTCCCTTGACGCTTTGGGTTGCCATGAAGAACGGAGACATCTATGCGCTTTGTCCTCTCCTCCCTAAGAAGTGGCAGTACACAACGCAGCACGCGGCTCCGCAATACCTGCGTAGCCTGGCCTTGCCCATTCAGGCCCGTATTGAGACACTGGGCACATCCGAAGACGAGGAATTCGAGCAGCAGACCCTCGATCAGCAGGCCGAGTGGTTTGAGGGCATCAGGTATGAACTTGAGGATGACCCGAAGACTGGCGAAGTTGTTGAAGTCTATTCTCGTCCTATCGCTCCCGGGCCCATCCCAAGGCTTCAAGGTCCTTTTATTCCTGATCCAGACCTCGACATTGATCATGAACTTACGGATATCATCGTCATCACTCCCGGCGACGGTTACTTGGATGAGCCGGAGCAAATTGATACTGATGGCGACCGGGAGGATCCAAACGTCACTGTCATTGGTGTTGTCACCAGCCAGGGAAAGATGCACATTTTCATTGACTTTGACGGGGTGGAGGGACAGTGGCTTCCAAGGGAACAGGCAAGTATTTCTAGCAGCACGTTTATGGTACGTATCTTGCTGACTCATCAAATGTAGGCCACGACCATCATCCCGAATTACGACTGTCCGCCACTGATTTTCTTCGAGACGGTTGAATTTCAGACGTCGGAAGACGGAGAGCCGTCTTGCAGCCCCATTTTCACTGGGGATGCTAAGGGTGGTTCGTCCTTGTTTATCTCAACCGAGACGGGCGTTTATTATGTGAGCATGACGGCTTGGTTCCGACCTTTGCAAGATGAGCTCAGCAACCCTGAGTCAGAAGGGTCTGGCATGAGGATCGACGCAATCATGAGGGGCTCTGGAAGCCTTCTGGAGAGCATCATTCAATATCGTCAGGATCAGCATGGCGATCTTTTGCAGTCCACCTCAGCCGCCATCGCGATCTCCAACTCGGAGTTGGGGTACTTTCTGCTCACGTCTGAAGGATCTCAGCCACACTCTGCGGTACTCGACTCACCTGAGTCCGACTACTATGGGGACGGCTATGGGCTGATCCCGTATGGCGACTACGAGGCGGAGCGCTTCAACATCCCGGAGCCCTGGCCGGCCTATCAACCCCCGCAGTCGCTGTTCGACTACCAATCACAGCTACCCAAGATGCTTGAAGCAGTTCCCGAACGCCACAAGTTCATGCTTAAGCAAGAAATTCGCCTCTCGACCGCCACGCTGGATGTTCTGACTAAGGCTCATCGCGTCCTTGTCAAAGAGACCCAGCAGTTGGGTCAGGCGGCGTCCAGCCTGTACACGCGTTGCCAACGCCTCCAGGATGAGCTAAGAGATCAGATCCGCAAGGCAAATGACGTCGCCCAGCAGATTGAAGGTGTCACAGGTGACGACGAGGAGTTCCCACAGGAGGGCGAAGACAAACAGATCGGCAGCGCCAAGGTGGACAGCAGGATCGAAAAGGTCAAGGCGAGGCAGAAGGAACTGCTCGAACGCACGGAGCGGCTCCGCAATAAGCTGAACAAGGCCGGCACTAGGGAGCTCAGCGACAAGGAGAGGGCTTGGTTCGCTGAGGTCGACAAGATGAAGCAGGCCATCATCAATGGCAGCGGGGCGGAGCGCAACGGGGCTGACGAAGACGAAGTGGAGCCAACGCCAGTGAGGCGCTTGCAGCAGGTCAAGCAGCTCAAGGACGATCTGATCCAGCAAGCAAGCGAGCTGCAGGACACGGTGGCGGAGGAACAGGCCCGCACCGGGGTCCAGGTACCAAGCGAGTTCCGCAAGGTCAAGGTGAAGCAGATCATGGAACTGCTGGAACGCGAGACGGCGATGGTGGAGGCGGCTACGAAGAAGTTGCGCAAGTTGACGGTTGGCGCGACCGGATATTAAGGAGAGGGGGGGTGATTGGTGTGTTGAACGGGTTTGAGCTTCGGCATTGGATGTTGAGAGGCGATGTCGGTTGGAGTAGGAGGTTAGTTCGAGATACCTAAAGGGGAAATAATACCAAGCGGTTCGAGCCCGATTGCGCCATGATTGGGCGAAAGTGGCTGGTGGCATGCGGACTTAAGAACGACACGTAGGCGGCGAACGCAAGAAGCGTCCGGGCGCACGCAGCTTCTCGGAGCTTGGCTGGTGGTGAGTGCTGGGATGCTGCGGCGCTTGGCCGAAGCTTGCGGGACGACGGCATGCTTGAGTGTCGCGATACATGCGGCCACGGAGATCCAAGGTCACATCACAATGTCGTGACACTGTACAAGGCGCGCGGTAACGGCCAAGATCACACGGCTCGCCGAGGTCGAGGGCAGAGCTAGAGATATGGAGGGTGCTTGGGTCGCACGCAGGCCGGACAGCCGAAGCGCCGGGCGCTTAACAGAGGCACGGGCAGCAGCGGCCATCACACTTCCCCGGCCACACATGGCGAATCAGCGGGCGCAGAGCCGGCGCTCACTCAACACTAGGCCGTGCGAGGACTGGCGCTCCCGGCCGCTCATCACGGCGTTCGCAGGCTCGTTTCGCTCGTTGGTCAGTTGTTCTCCGCCGTCCCTGTATCGGCAATATGCAGGGCGTGCGGCTATTCGCCAGCTTGTGCTCCGCTTTGCTCAGCTGCGCCGTGCTGACAGCTGCAGAACAGCGTGCAGCGCTCCCAATGGCGCCGGGGCCAGGGCCTCGCCGCTGCAAATCGATGCGCAAAGCTTGTTGCACACGCGCCGTCGCCATTAAGACGCGGGCGCCCAGCTTTCTTACTTCTTCGCAGCTCTGCACTGTCTAAACGCCGCCCGTCCGCCTGCCTGCTTTTCAGCTGCCTGCTTCCCGGATCCCGCCTTGCGGACCGCCCGCCTGAAACGCCTCTTCTCCTCCCGTACCCCTCAACCGTCGCCATGCTGCGGACACCGCTTATCGCCATCGCGGCGCTGTGGTGGAGCAGCCTCGTCGCCGCCCACGTCGTCATCACCTACCCCGGCTGGAGAGGAAACAACCTGCACACCAACGGTACCAATCAAGACGGCTCTATTCCCACCGGATCGATAGGAATCGATTATGGCGAAAACGGAACCATCGGTTTCCCCTACGGCATGCAGTGGATGTATCCATGTCAGTACTCGCCACGCGCGCAACCCCCATTGTCACCTCATCGCTGACTTCCTGTCCAGGCGGCGGTATGCCCACGAGCACCAACCGCACCAAATGGCCTGTGACCGGCGGCGCCGTTGGTTTCCAGCCCGGCTGGTTTTCCGGGCACAAGACGGCGCTCCTGTACGTCAACCTGGGCCTGGGAACCGAGCCCCTCAACATGTCGCACAACATGATACCCGTCTTCTCGATCAGTGGGCCCTCCAACAACATGTACCCCGGATCCATCTGTCTCTTGCAAGTGCCGCTGCCTGCGAACGTCAGCGTGAACGTGGGCGACAACGCGACGATCCAGGTTGTCGAGATTGCGCAGCACGGCGCCGCGCTGTACAGTGTAAGTGGATTGCCATTGCCACCAGTCCGATTTGGCAACTTTCTAACAGAGAAATCTAGTGCGTCGACATCACGTTTGCGGAGCCGCACGACGTTGCCGAGGTTAACGAAACGAACTGCGTCAATACTACGAGCCCCGATGCCCACATCACCTTCGACACCGTCTTCACCGCGTCCGGTCTGAGCGCCGCGAACTCTCTATTCCATACGAATCCCTTGGCGACAGCACTCCCGACATTTGGAGCGCTTCTGTGCGCGTTCCTGATGCTGTAAATGCCTTCTCCACCATTCTAGGGCCGGACCTGTCAGAAATGTGGGGAACATAGTACATTCCCTTTATTGTTTAGTGGATTTGGGTGGTGGAAGAAAGAAAGAGAATACCGGGTGGGCGCCCCGATTGCAAGATTTGATACCTCATCTCCATCCGATGGCCTATTTCTCGTTATTTTTTCCTTTTATGTTTGGCGACGAGCTGCCGTTTCCGGTACGCTTGAAAATACCCGGCTCAAACTGTATATATGCTGCAAGACGGGCGTCAGGGTTCTGGTTTTGCAAAGGATGCGACGTTAACGCGGAACGGTTTTCATATCGGCCGGCACAGAGCAGCAGGCGTCAGAGATATCATCAACATCTCGTTAATATATATAGCGGATATGGCTTCCGCTTTCCAATCACAACATGTTTTACGTTCAATTAGCAAAACATCCTTCAAATTTAGCTTTTGCAACGTCTCTCACGCGGTGGTCAAGCGGACTCTTCAATGAGAGTCATGTCCATCAGGGGTCGCGGCGGTCAGACACGAATCGCGAGACCCAGTGCGGCGGTGAGACAAGGTACCACCAAGCGCGTCGGGCTACGTCATGGGCCACGAAATCGGACGGTTCCCAAAAGCACATGCACGACGGCACGCCGGCTGGCAAGCGGCGTTCGGCGCTTCCTCGCCGGCGCCGCCCTTTCTTTCCGCGATCTCCAATCCTCACTGCCTGTCGAAATATTTCGAATCCGCCCGTCCGTGAGCTGTCGCGTGAGCGGGAAAAAAAAGTGCTGCGGCACGCGTTCCTTTCTCTCCCTCTCCCGGTCACCCCGCATCTGCGGCGAGAAAAGCGCGACAGGCGGCCTGAAATTAAACTTTCGAGAAACGCTAGAAAACCGCCAGCGCGCCTTCAAACACGCCGCGAGCCTTCGGAAAGGAAATCAATTGGTCGTGCAGGAAACGAGACAGGACGTTTCGAGCATAGCAAGGACGCCGGCATCTGAGACAAGCAACGGCAACCAAGCTGGTTTCCACCTTTGGACTTCCAGCAACGCGTAGCACAAAACGTCGGACATCCCCGCCCTGACGCGATCTGCCTTGGTGAAGGCGAACAACACTCCGAGGTCCGGGTTCCCGTCTTACCGGACGCTCTCACTACGGCAAGGGTCTTTCTATTCTCTTTCTCTTTCCCCTTTGCGGGACCGGGGAGGGGTCCGTTTTTGGCCTCGTTGCGAGGCAATATCGTCCAACAAAGTACCCACTACCTTGGCCCCCGTCATCTACTTGTTCGTTATAATTGCTACTCCACTTTCTTTCGTGGGGCCGGACCATCGTGGGGATTCAAAAGATAAAGAGAATTCGACCGGGCACCCCGGGGGGCCGCACGTAGGCCGCACGTACCCTCTTATCCTGCGTAAGCCCGCAGGGAAGGTAGCATCCAAGACATCCACCGCCTCTTTGCCCGGTTTTCCCCCACGCACACACACACAAACGCGCATTTTCGAACCCCTCCGCGCGTTGGATCTACGCCCTGGTTTCCTCTATGACTACAATGCCGCACAAGACCACCGACACGGACGACCTCGACACCGGACGCACTTCGAGCCCCACGGCAACGAGCACCACCACCACCACAACCTCAGCGTCCACAACAGCCACCCACCAGACAAACCCCACGGCTGCCACCACTGACGACGACGACAACCCCACCGCCTCCACCAAATCGGCGATCTCCACATCTCCTCCCTCTTCTTCTCCCGCCACCCACCACCGCCGCCCCAACACCACCACCAATACCGCCCCGCCCAAGCGCACCACCATCCCCCTCGCTGACGGCTGGACCCTCATCAGCACGACCAAGAGCCAGCAGCACCGCAACCGCAAGAACAACAAAAAGGGTATGCGTGGAGGTGGATACAGCGGGCTCAGCCCCGCCGGGCTGCGCGCCGCGCACGAGCCGGCCGGCCCCGCCAAGCTCATGCCTGGCGCGAGCAAGGAGTGGCTGATGGACCGGTTGGTCAAATTCCGGGAGCGGTGGGCCGAGTGTGCGTGCAGGAGGGGAATTGAGGAGGTTTTGGAGAGGGCTGGGGTGGTTGGAGCGGGGGCGGTTGAGAGTGTTGAGAAGGCAGCGGGTGAGGCGGGAGAGAAGGGAGGGGGAGAGGACGACAAGGGCGGTGGAGGAAAGAGGAAGATCCGGAATGCGGTGTGCATTGGGCTGGGTAGTTTGAGCGTCGACAACATCGCCGCGGGTGTGCGGAGCATGTGGCAGCTTGTGTGCTTTTTGGACATCGTCGGGATGCTGTCTGAGTCGGCTGCTGCTGGGGAGGAGGTAAAAATGTATGCTGAAGACCCAGTTTTCAATACGTTGGACGAGGAAATCTTCGAAGAGCTGGGGATCACTGTTGTGAAGGGGCTGAGAAGCACGGATGGCAGCAGGCAGGAGGGCGCGGCGCAGTTCATCGAGCCCGATAGCCTCATCTTTGCGCCGTTCATGCCGAGCTTCATAATGCTGGAGGACTTCTTGGCGGGCAAGGACCCGGCCATTTACATTGGGAATGATGTCCTGGCCATGCTCGACTTGGCAAAGAGCCAGGTACGGTATAGGTAAGTCGGATCCTCTAGTCCGGATGAACGGCGGCCAGATCGGGACTGACGCGTTTGAGCAGCGGGGACGTCGATGAACGCACCAGAAGGTGCATCCAGGCTGCTGAGGAGTTCCTCGCACAGGGTAGAGAGGTGGTGGCGTTACCAGAGTTCGATCTCCACGAGCACGCTCTCGCCGGTCAGATGATCTATTGGAGAAAGCCCACCGAAGAGTCGTAGGTTTCGTCAGAGTGCTTGAGTGCACAGCCAGGTTTGTACAGACGATTGCAAGTACGGACATCAACGTCTTCTAGTTCCAGCTCGCCGCATATACCCCAGCATAGCGTACGAAAAGGTAAAAAAGACTTGCTGATGACAACCGTTAATCTTTGCTAATCTGTGCATAGAAGCCAAGATCAGAATTGAAGTATGACAAGTAATTTCCAAATAAAAGTTAAAATGTCCACCATGAAAATCCGGCGTCCGGTAAGGAACAAAACTCAGGCTTTGGGGACGAGGCCGTTTGAAAAAAAAATCAAGGTTCACGAGATCAGGCTCTTAGGCAACAGGAATCCACGCGTAGTCAGGCCGTCACTCTATCAGTTGAAGTTTGAAATGAAAACCACCAGCACAGCGCAGTAGGCAGCAGACGCACCAAACAGCTCATGACGTTTGGCCTTTGTCAGCAGGGACATGGCTGCTGAAAAGAGAAGGGTAAACACCACAAGCACTCCAATCGCTCTGAAAGTCGATTGGCGGTCCCCGAAGCTGGTCAGTTCGTACATGAGGACCACAGGCAAGACTAGGAGAATGAATATGACAATAGTGATGATAAGGGCGACAAACGATTCGACTCTTTTAGCGTCGTAGTAGTGGAGGTGTTTGTCCTTTGTTTTGTTCGACAAGAGACGTGGCTGGAATATCCGCTGCAAGCCAAACCCGTATCAGCGACCAAACTGGTATTTTCTGGAGAGACTTCACTTACTCTGAGAAGCTTGCAGTCAAATTTAGTCAACATGTTTTCAATGAAACCATCGAATCCTGCCCATTCTCTGCCTTGGCGAAGGGTGAGCATGTCCTCTTGGTGCTGTAGAGAGATCCACTCTCTCTGGACCAACGGTTTCCAGTTCATGAACCATGTTGTGACGCTCTTGTAGTCACGTTTGTTTGGGCGCTGGAATGTCGCGGTCTCTCGGGCTTTAATAAGGACCTCATCTGCACAATTCTGTTAATATTCAAAGACAAATCATAACGGGGGTGACTGACCATATTCCACCAATTTCTGCCGGATCTCAGTCAGGATTTGTCGTCGAGTTCTAGTGTCCTGGTCCTCTTGCACTTCTTTTCTTGCCTCAACATCGTCTCGTCTCCTCGATATAAGCCGCCTTTGCCCGATGTCGCACTCAGCGTCGTCATCATCTTTAGAACGGAGTTCTTGTTCTAATTCCGAAAGCTCAAATTGTAGGTCTAAAAGCACACGAGAGTGCAAGTATTCGAAATTGCGGTAGATGCTGAAGGCGGGGTCACTCGATTGGAAAGCTGCAAGCATAGGATATCCCTCTGGGTGGTCCTCGACTGTGAAAGGCTTAGCGAGGCTACTTACGAGGCACAGAAACGCCATGAAGAGCCTGGTTTAGCTTACTTTGATGATGAATCAGCTCTAACTCGGGTAAAGCCGGTTCGTCAAGCTGCTGGCCTACATGCGACTCAATATTACGTTCTAAATTAAGAGTTGTGATCTCCCTACCTTTTTCGTTTACCAAAGTGTTGGTTCGGCTCTGAGGACGACTGTATCCATCCATGTTCACGATACAGTCGCCAGCGGTGACGGTGGCAGATGATCGTCTGGGCTCAACGTCCGACAAAACACCCGCCCGATTGGTTTCGTTGGCCATTCTGAAACATTGAGGGGAGGAACAGAGCAAGGCCAAAAAGGTTCTGATTACCCTCAGCAGCTGAGGCTGTGCCTACTGATAAAGACTAACTACCAGCCGCCCTCCTTTAGTCTCGGCTGAGGGGTTCCATCTTATGGCACCTGACCGGTTGTGCATGTGTAAACTAACCAGGATCATGGATGTAACGGTATACAATCTGAGTATTGCGCCACAAGGCAGGGCTAGGCTAAGCTGCGTCCAGCTTCCTCTCGGGAAACCAATCAACTTCATCCTTGCCCTGCAGCTCGCTGTAAACCGTCGTTTCTTTCTCCTTCACGAGCTGATACTCGTATCCTTTCTTATCTTTGTTCCACCGGCGCCCTTGGACTTTGAATTTGGTCGGCTTCTTTTTTGGACCCGTGCCCATCAGTACAAAGTCTTTATCGTCGAACTCTGGTTTCACATCCTATAATCATTCAGTATAGAATATCACAATCATCAAAATACACATTTGCACGTACCTTCTGGGTTTCCCACGTCACTGCATGGGACTTTTGCGGGCCGTCGCTCTCCTGATACATTCAGGTAGGGTTAGCCGTCCAATACTGTAAGGTATGACGAATTTGCGTGTTCGGAACGGTTGCCTACGTTGTCAGACATCTCTGATCTGGACGTGGAAGGCGTCGATCTTTGGCTTTGCAAGGCAGATTCCCCCGTGTTTGCGCGAATTTCGTGAATGGACGAGAATCAGGCTCGCTTCTTTGGCTGCTTTGATTTCAGGTTTGGATGGGGCAGGCTCTTGGACCAGCCTTATGGGAGCTAGCTCTCCTCTTTATAATATGTAAGGCTCGCCGATGAGGCTGAAAACACGCCACGGACACGACTGTCGACACCGCTTCACGTGGATGGTTCCTTGCGGTTGCATTGTCTCTACGTGCGCCTTCATGGGGTCGTTTGTTATTCTGGGAAATCGGAGGACAAACTAAGGTGAGAACGCCATGAGTGCTTATTGATGGCTGTGACGTTGCTCTACAGGGAGCCTTTCTTCATTTCATCTGAGGCGCAACTTGTCTGCTATGGAACTCTATCAAAGCTTCGCCCCATCCACGAGGCGGAAATCCTTCAAGCCTTGTTCTGTGAAGGTGTCTGTGTGCGACAGGCACTTCCCGTGGGTATCTTGAAGAGGCATGGTCTCGTGGTTGCAACCATACATGAAGGCTGTAAGTGGCTGAGCAGGATTACTTATTATATCTTATCTATTCGGCAGAATGGAACGGCAGAAGAAAGGTGCTTCTTCAGCTGCGGAAAAAGAGCGTGCGGATCCGCGCTATGCGCCATCTGCAGATAGAAGGGCTGGGCTTTCAGCCTAGGGCAAGTAGACAAACAAAGTCGATGTTGACCGCCCGCTTCAAACAGTTCAGTATCTTTCATGTGAATCTCATAGAAGGCTAGCCTAACATGGTGCGCAACCATTCGCGTGTGTAGAAGATTTGCTTTGCAGATGCTTACTCACACATGATGGTTGCGTAGCAGAATGCGACGCAGCCGCACAGGAATGAGCTGGTGGTTGCTTGTGAATGTGGTTGGCCGGGGTCTGCGCTGATTGGCCTGTGACAAAGCAGGCAGCAATGCTGATGAGCAGGCGCAATCGGTGTGCAACCAGGCTCCTTCGGTTTGCTTTTGAGTGCGGGGGTGGTGGGGGCGTAGGTTCACCACAGTTGCTTTTTGCTTAGTCCCCTCGGACCACTTCCCTCTAGCCTGTGCTCCACAGGTGTTCTGCGGCTGCTTTCTGCGCAGATGACGTGAGCGGGGGCCGTTCCGTAGTGGGAGGCCGCCTGCGCCTCTCTCAGCCCCCGCGGCGGAATAGGCGAATGAATGGCACGCGCTCAGCGCCTTCCTAATGTATGCCTCGCAGACGAGGCTCAGAGGCCGGCGAGAGATGGTGTGCGACAGATTCAGGAATAGACACTGACCCTTTGCTGTCTTGTCTTTCCGTGTTTGAGGCGACCACCATCAAAAAAAAAGCGCTGGTCAGGCAAAGAAGGCTTGGGCGTGATGGCTCCTTGCACCTGACTCCAAACTTAGCCTCTAGCCGCGCCTCCACAAACCGATAGCTGCCGGATGCTTGCAGATGCCGGCGCGGCTTCTGCTCAAGGCGTCAAATAAAACTGCTGGCAGACAACGTGGGCGTGCGTTCTCAAATGTCGTTTGTCTAGCACAAGACCGCCCAGCCTTCCCCGTACATGCACTTGCGTGCAGAAACCTTCTAGCCCTGTCCTTTTTCCACAAATCATGATCAACAGAAGAAGTTCTCCCGTCTCAATGGCCACGGCCGCTAATGCAACTCCGGCCGCGGCCCGCCGACAATCAGACGCCCGACCTATGGGATCGCAACGACGTGCTTCAGCTCTCGAGGCTGTAGCACCTTCGACAAATACTCCATTGGCACCAAAACCTGAGGCGGACGAAAAGCTGCAAAGGCAGTGGAACGAAGCGATATGCAGGAACATGGACTTGCCGAAAGGCTACGCTCAAGTAGCCGTCCTTATTGTCAAGTGGGCGGACCATCTTGACGATCTCAGTACTGGCGAAGAGGTTAGTATTGTAGCTGGAATAGCACCCCCTGTGACCAGTAGTATGTGAACATATGCTTACATTACATTTTACAGGTGGAGAGATTGACCAGTGTCTTCCGCGATGACTTTCACTATATCACAGTGACTGTTTCATTGAATGAGGAATCGGCACCGCAACACCAGCTTATCCACGAGATCACTGGATTCTTGAAACACTTTGACGGCCCAAACAACCTCTTGATCATATATTACACCGGTCACGCTGGTTTCAACCAGGATAGTGGTGAGCTCGAATTTTATGCGTATGTCGATTCGCTTCGAAGTTGGATCTTCTGCTAACGGATGCGTAGAAGAAATGCCCCGGAAGGCGCACCAGGAGCTGGCTATGCCGACCAGTGCGCAAGCTGGAACGTGGCAGAGAGCTTGTTCCTAAAAAGCACAGAGGCCGATACCCTTGCGATCCTTGACACGTGCTACGCAAGCAACGTCACCAAAGGCGCACAAGACACTGGAAGAGCTTACCAGCTACTTGCCGCAAGTGGGCACAATCGAATGACAGCAGGCCCGGGTCACAGGTCTTTTACTACCGCCATGATTGAGTCACTCAAAGAGTGTCTCAATGAGAATGGAGACAAGCCGTTCAGTTTGTGGAAGCTGAGTTCCAAGATCAACGAGAAGCAGTATAGGCGGCAGAATCCCTGCTTCCCGCACGACAGACTCAAGAAGCACGACCGGCAAATTGAATTGGCGCCTCTCAAGGAGAAAAGATCGAAGAAGGACGACAACAAGATGGTCTTGACGCAGAGGGCAAGTGGTGCGGACCTGACGTTGTGTTTTGCCCTTGGCTTCAATCCGGTGACCCAGGACCACATCGAAAAGCTGGCGAGGGGGCTTCCCCAAGCTTTCGAAACCGCCGGACTCATGTTACAAAGGATTGATTGGGTAAACCTCGAACAACGGCCGCCCGTAGACTTCAAGAGCACGGTTAGTGCTTTGAACGTTGCGCATCGCTGGCTTCAGAAGGCCTTCCCAGATCGGAAGAGAAGCGCCAGGCTTCAAGAAGCACCACTTGAGGCACCACTTGGGGGGCCACTTGGGGCACCACTCAAGGTCGGGACCGATGACTCCTCAACACGACGGAAACTTCCACAATCCGATGGGGTACCGACCAATGCGGAAACAGCAGAGATCGACAGCACCGAGCTTGACAACACACCTGCCGAAGCTACTCCGTCGTCCGTGGAAGAACCGCTTCTCCAGCATGATCCTGATAATTCGGCATCGGATGCTACCCGCGCGCCGCTGATGGAGCAGACTGTCTCTTTCAGGGTCGGAAGCATTGCTCAACTTACGGCGGCGGTGATCGGTATGGGCCTCTTGTCCTGTGTGACGACCGTTCTCTGCACACGAGCGGCTCTCAAGGCTTTCGGCTGAGATGCTTTGTTGGACCGCTGAGGCCATTTTTGCTCATCTTTTGTTTCAAAATGCTGTTAGTTTCAAGATTCCCCGGAGTTGGCTGTGGTGCATTTGACGCATTGATTGCATAGAGACTCGCTCATGAGTCTTTGCTATTACATTCTTGAGCATACGTCTGCCTTGATTTTGGTGCTGGTGGGTCTCGTCTCAGGTCGTTCATCTGTGCTTCGCTGGCGTTGGATACCCCGGATTGGAAAGGGACTTGCACGCTCTCTATCGTACTTAGGGTTAGTGTTGGAGGTAATTGAGGAGTCCTGCAATGGAATGTGTAAGCGTTCCTGATGAACATCGTCCGGCTTCTTCCTGCCTTGGGGATTGATGTCCGGCCAGACTCGTCTCAGACCGATTTTCATCCGTGCTTTGCTGGCACAGGGCCCCAAGCGCGGGCCACCGGGTGCTAAAGCTCTTCCGCATGCCGGCTCGACGCTGTGACCTGAGCGCTGAGGCCATGCCTGACAATCTCCTTCAGCAACGGTATCCTGACAGGGCATCATGTGAGAACTGCTAAAACTGCCGTTGTCGAAGGCCTGGGCCAATTGGCCGTTGCGTGCGTTATCTCCAAGAACGAGGTGTTGCACCCTTCCATCTCCCTCCTGCGCGCCTGGCATCGCCGCTATCGGCAAGAAGTATGTTTTTCCACGGTGGAGGCCCACTGCATCAGCGCTAGTGATGCCGGCAAGTGCGGAGAAGAGGCGGCGCGGCGCCCATTCGAGATCCGGGTGAGCAAGCATTGCCGCTGTCAGCAGCGAGCTTTGACGATGATCAACTTCCTGAGTTTCGTTTCGAGTCAGCGGATCCGTCTCAAGTCGAAGTTGGCGCGGATGCTTCGTTGGCGTTGGAAGCCCCAGAAGCCCCAGAAGGACGGACGGTGTGGGGTCGGGGGTCTTGGGAACGGCGAAGCAGGCGTGAACAAATCAGCAGCCGGTTGACTCACCATCCCCAGAGGGGCAACTAGCTTGGAGTCTATTCATGCGGGACCCCTATAGGGAGAAGAGTTATCATGGATGAGGCAGTGACTGCAATTTACTGGCGTGTCTTAGCGCGATGACGCAGGGCGCTGCGGCCGGCGGGATTCGGGAGCGGTGCGGTGGGCCCCGGCTCTGACGAGAATGAGAAATCCTTTTGCCATCTCTCCGCGCGCGCATCGTCTTGCCGTCACACCACAACCTCTCCTTCCCCATCTTCCCCGTCATACGGCCCACCGTCCCCGACAAAGCTCAGCCCTAGCTATATTATCTGCCCAGGCCCCGAGTGCTGTCGTGCATAAAACGCCTCCCATGTCCAGTTGACGACATAGCTCCGACAAACCCGGCACGCGACCTCGTCCACCAGACCTTTCGTCATCTGCGCACCGGCCTCCGACGCGCGAGACCCTTGAAATCTTCGCGCCGCCGTCCCTTCCTCCGCGACCACCATGGCTTTCAACTTCAACTGGTCGCCGCTCATCGCGGACACCTCGCGTGCCCGCGAGATGCTGACGGCCGCGTTGAATAAGTCGCCGAAGCCGCCCATCATCGTCGACGACATCATCGTCACCGAGCTCAACCTCGGAGCCGTTCCGCCGGAATTGGAGATTCTCGAGATTGGCGATCTGGCCGAGGACCGTTTCCGCGGCATCTTCAAGATGACCTACTCGGGCGACGCTTTCCTTACCCTGAAGACGCGCGTGCAGGCGAATCCTTTGAACACCTACCTGTCGACAAAGCCGAATTTCGCATCACCACAACCTCTCGCTGCCGCCGCCGGCCTGACGATTCCTCTACAAATCACCCTCTCCGATATTCGTCTCTCGGGATTCGTCATCCTCGTCTTCTCCCGCCACAAAGGCCTCACTCTAGTATTCAGGAATGACCCCCTTGAGTCTCTCAAAGTGTCTTCCACCTTCGATTCGATACCTTTCGTGCGGGACTATCTACAAAAAGAGATTGAGAAACAATTACGCGTGTTGTTCATGGAGGATCTCCCCGCAATCCTGCACCGCTTGTCGCTGCGGTTGTGGTCCCCGGAGTACAGGGAAATGGACGAGATGATCAACAATGCAAAGCGAAGCGGAACCGCAACCCCAGCTCCTGTGGACCCATTCGCAAGCCCTCCCCAGGATCCTGTCGACCTGTACGGCAACCCGCTTGACGACAGCCAAATCTCATCCTTTTCCTTGGACTCGTCCTCTGAGATTCACGCATCCTTCTCACAAAAGAACCTGCTTCGGCTTGGCGCTCTCAACGATTCCCATCGCACTCTTTCCCTCTTCACCCCCTCGATTCGTGACACAGTTTTCCGTGCTTGGGCAAGCAGCGCGGATCGGGCCGAGACATCAGGTGCACACACATTCCATCCACTCACCTCGTCGACCCTTTCGCGCGTCCATTCCTCTTCCGGCGTCACCTCGCCGAGCACGGCCAGCGTCTCTGATGGCACAGACAACGGAAGCACTCTCTCACGGCCAACTCTTGCGAGCTCGACCTCTACATACTCTGGTTTGGGTCTGGGAGGCAGCAGGTCTCGTGCGCACGCACAGAGGAAGAGGAAGAGGAGAGTGGTGAACCTGCGCCGCGACAAGGATGGCGCAGACGCAGAGAGCGTTGGTAGCGACATCACCACGCCAGAGCCGAGTGTGGAGGCTTCGGAGGGCTCGTCGGTCATCCCTGAGGAAAGAGAGGAGGATCTCATGACGCCCCCGACTACGCCCCCGCGCGAGTCCGGCCGACGCACTCGTAAAAACAGTATCGAAAAATCGCCAGCGCCAGCTACTGTCCCGTCCGCAGCGGCGCTGTCGAAGATCCAGGAGAGTGAGCACGAATGCTCATCTACCGCAAACGCTCCATCATTTTCTCGCCCACAGACGCAGCACTCGGCTGCATCTTCGCTTCCGCTCCGGTCTTTCCCGAGAGACGTCAAGGCGCCTTTCGCGCACTCGTACAACCCGTCTGCATCTGCCAACGTTCGACTCCAAGGCTCGGCGCTTCCGTACAGTGAGGCCGCGACGTCGGGCGGCATCCTGGAGCAGGCGTGGATGATGAAGATGGCGAATGAGATCGCGCGCAAGGTGCGCGACGAAAAGGAGCGCGAGGCCCGTCAAGGGAGGAGTAGCACCGACCCGATGACCGGTTTCTGGGACCGTCGCGACGAGGAGGAAGCACCACCGGCCTACGCCGCCTAATTTCTTTGTATATCCCTCACGAGTTACGATCGTTTGTGTACCTTTCTGTATTTCTAAAGACAAGCAAGAGATGGAAGACAGCTTGTACAGGATAAAAGTTTTGGAGCGGGATTTTGATCGACATTCGGATTAGCGGGTGGTTTCACGCGCGGGAATTCTCCTTGGCAGCGCGCGATTGGCGTTCGTTTTGCATGTTTCCTTGATTTTTGATACCCTTTGGGAGAATGGCGGGAAAGGAGGTGGCGGTCAGTAGCGCGCGGACGGGCGGGTGAATAGTGTGCGCCGCGGCAGAGCAGCTAGACTGTAGATACACATTCCTTTTTCGACTGCTTGAACAATGCCAGGGCTGCTTCGAGAGCAAATGGACGCGTTGTGACGTTTTTGAGCTTTGACTGGCAGCGGGTGTGAGGCCTGGCCAGGTCACACGGACTCGAGACGGCGGGCGGAGATCTGCCTCGTGTAGAGCACAGTTGGCGCAACCGCAGTGACCAAAACGCGGAAAACTGTGCGGATCGACGCGCGCACGCCGCGCCTACTGCATTTTGGGCGTGGCGCGGTGCACGAGGGTAGTTGTGAGGCAGCAGATTGGCTGCAGACGGACCCTTGAGAGATGCTGGCTCCGCGGCCTTGCAGATTTCCCACGGCGCCCAATTTTGAGCGCATCTCAGTCCACCGCCGACGAGTGCTCTCGAGTGCCAGAGCTTCCCCGCAACGCCGCCCGAGTCCTCACCGGCGTCCGCACGCTCAAGCTTCCTTGCGCACGCCCATCCCGCTCGTTGCCTGCCCATTGACCTCGAGATCTGCTCTCAGCGAGCGCTTCACAATCCCCGTTCAGGCCAGGTACACCGCCTCGACTTGAAACAGCGAGCTCCCCACTCAAACTACAAAACCGCAGCTCTGCGCTTTGCCAGTGCGGGTCTGCTTATTTCGAGCTTCCCTCAACAAAACCTACCCCTCTCTCGCTCCCCGCCATCCCTCAGGCCGCACCCTGCGGTCGTGATATAGCTTCGCCCGTCATGGAGCACGCCGCCGCCTCGCCTGCGACGGAAACCCGTGTCCTGCTGGACAAGAATTCCAACGGCGTCCCGACCCTTGCGCCCAAGGCCCAATTCCTCTCTGGCGATGGCAGCACCCATCTGGTCAAGGTTCGCAGGAAGAAGGCTCGCGATGACAGTCTGGCTGGCACCTTCTGTGCCTGGCTCGAGGCGCATCAGATCGGTACGGTCTCCGTCTCTTTGAGTCCTGGTGTAATACTTTCAGCTGACGACATCCCCCCCATCACAGGCCTCTCCGTCAATCTGTTGATCCTGCTCGCCCTCACCCACGCCTGTTTCCCTCGCGCTCGCCCTACCACCCGCAAGTTTTTCGAGCTGTCCTACTACGATGCGGCCAGCGGCAAGTACACGCAGGGCTGGGATGATTTCCCGTTCGTCTTCTTCGGCATCATTGTCTTCACGGCGCTGCGTGCTGCCACGATGGACTACGTGCTGAAGCCGTTGGCACGTCTGGGCGGCATCCAGAAGAAGAAGGCGACGGTCCGCTTCGCCGAGCAGGGCTGGCTGCTGGTCTATTGCTCCATCTTTTGGTCGCTGGGCATGGTGAGACATTGTTTTCGTTTTACGGGCGCCATCACCGTGCGCCCGCCATCCTGGGGCGGTGGCTGCCACGCTTTGCTGAATTGGGGCTAACCGTTTTGTGCAACCCGCAGTACATCAACTACAACTCGTCGTACTGGCTCGACCTCTATGAAATCTGGAATAACTTCCCGACGCGCGAGATGAGCGGCCTGATGAAGGGCTACTACCTGCTGCAGTTCGCCTTCTGGCTGCAGCAGATCCTCGTGATAAACATGGAGGAGAGGCGCAAGGACCACTGGCAGATGTTCACGCACCACATCATCACGAGCGCGCTCGTGTCGATGAGCTACAGCTACTACCAGACCAAGGTCGGCAACGTCATTCTGTGCCTCATGGATGTGGTCGACATCTTCCTGGCGGTAAGTCGAAATTCCGGCGGTGGTTGACGTCCCGAGGGGGGAAGGTTACGCAGTCGTTAATTCTTTTTTTCTCCACCGTCACAGGGCGCCAAGCTCCTCAAGTATCTCGGATTCCAGACCGCCTGCGACATCGGCTTTGGTGTTTTCATCGCCAGCTGGGTCATCGCACGGCACGTCCTGTACATTGCCGTCTGCTGGTCGATTTACGCAACGGTCCCAACGGCGATGCCTTACGGGTGCTACGATTCCGTCTCCGGCGAACGCCTGCCCGCTTCCCCGATGACACCAGCCGACGGCGGTGATCAGATCATGCGCGAGATTTTGCAGCCTTTCCGCGATCCTGAGGGCCCGGTGTGCTTCAACTCGCGCATCCGCTGGGCTTTCCTCGGCCTGCTCGGCGGCCTTCAGGTCATCACGCTCGTGTGGCTCTGGATGATCATCCAGGTCGCGTACAAGGTCTTGACCGGCCAGGGCGCCGACGATACACGCAGCGACGACGAGGGTGATGAGGACGAGTCCGTCGATACCGAGAAGGGCGGCTTCGGCAAGAATGGCAAGCCTACGAGTGGCGCGGCTACCCTTTCGATTCCCCAGGTGCCTCTCGAGGAGGAAGTTGGCGTCGAGGGCCTGCATTTCGGCACTCCGACCAGGAGAAGGAGCGAGAGGCTGTACAAGCGCAGCAGCAGTCGTGCCAGCGGCATCAGCATTTCCGGATCCAGCGACCGCAAGGAGTTGCTCGGAAGAATTGGCTGCGAGAAGCCGGTGAAGGACTAGAGTTCGGGTAACGACCATGGCCGGAACCGGATTTCGGCTCAAGGCTGAAGAAGGAAATGGGTTGATCCTGTGCCCGTTCTAGCATGCCTTGTCTCTCGCTCTTAAGATCATGAAGCCGGTACGACTGCAAGATGACGCTCTGGTGTCGTTGCGAGGAAAGGGAGACTTGATGGCGTATATAGGTTGTTTTTTTGTGTGCTGCCCCTCTGCTATGGATTTCGTCATTTTTTATCGTCGTCAGAAGTGTTGAAGAAAAGAAACAGTGGATTCGAAAAGGTAAGCAGGAGAAAGCACTTGAAGCATTGACTAGAAAATACCCCCCGATACCAGCACCCCTCGTCATCCTGCAGTTTTGAGTTACCGGATAGACCATTTGGGATGTAAAGGCGGGTTCGAGATGGGGGAAAAAGCGGAAAAGGGATCGCAAAAAGAAGCAAGCATCGATTATTCTTTTCTTTTCGTAAAAGACGGCCGGTCAGGAAAACGGACAGGTATGGATCTCGGGACACGCAAATGCCGGCAAAGGACCTCTTCAAATGGATGTACATTGTTGTTTTTCTCACCGTTGCGCGTATCGTTTCCGGAATCGTGCATGGTGGGGCGGGTGGCGGGAGTGATGAGAGAGCAACATGAGTGATGAGGGACGGTACAACAACGCAGCTTCTTGGCGGGGGGGTGGACCGTTAAAAGAGAGGGGTAAGTTCCGGGCAGACACGAGCATGTCCGGGTGCTAATCTCGGTGGCGAAACTATGTACCAGAGGTTGGATTTGCCGATGGGAAAGCAACGGTAGTTCAATGCGGGGAGAGACTCCCGGCCGCGCTGAGTCAGCGAGTCGTACGCATTCGGCCAATGACGCACGCGGCTCCAACGCCGGCCAGACCCTGCAGGGGCAAAGCTTCTGCCCCGACAAGCCTTGAGCTCTTTTGCACGCCCAACACGTTGACACCGCTTCCGCACCCGCACGTCGCGCTTTCCTGGCGTCATCGGACCGTCTCAGCATGCTTTTCCTCTACTCCAGAAGGATTTGTCCCGCGCAAGATATGAGAGTAAGCTAGCGGCAGGCGCACCAATAATTTGTCTGATGTAGATCGGCCGGCCGCCTCTCCGTCTCTGCTTAAGCATCCTTGGAGCGCACGACACCGCCACGAGATGGGGGCCGGAAAACGGGCCAGTCAAGGGCCAGCACGCCCCGGCTAAGCCCCCAGTTATTTTCATCTCTGCGACGCTTTGGGTTTAACCAATAGAGGCCATCGAGCTAGCTGTTGGCTGCTGTCGAGATTCGCCGTCTTTTTGGCGCCGGCTGCTTCCTTCTTAGCACCGTGGCCGTGGATACGAGACCGACTGCGCGGGTACCTCGCCAATCTCACCTCCGTCATCTTTCTCCCTCTTTCTAGTTGCCTGCCTTTTGTGGTGGAACCGTCCGGTTGCCTGCTCTTCTTTGTGTGTCCATCATCCACTCGCAGCATCGTTGCGTGGTCGCGTACTCCTTTTAATTGCTTTTTTTTCCGGCGCGCTTACGGGTGCTTTTGGTTGCGATGCGCGGGTCTTGGAGGACACCGCTATGGGTGTCAATGGTTGTGGGGCACGCGTGCGCGCAACCAGTCGAGGGTGGCAGCAAGCTGGAGCGCCGCGGTGATGGCGATCTATGCTACATCAATAACCAGAAGAGTGAGTGTTTGCTCCTGTAGTTAGCAAGAGGCTCTGCTAACCAAGCACCGCAGTGGCCTTGATCGACGATAAGCTATACTTCATGGGCGGCGATTATCACTTCGACGGTGACGCCAATGGCAAGACGTTTTCGAGCGATAGTCTATACTACTTCGACCTCAGCGGGAATACCGACCTCCAGGCCGAAAGCATAATATCGTCAAGCTCTCTCAATAAGATATCAGTACCTTTCGACACTACGTCGGGTCTCGAGAACCAAACCCACAACCAGGGCGGCGCTCTCTTCCAAACCCTCGACTCCTTTTACGTCTACGCCGGCCTGGGTGACACCTCCACCACCGAAAACAATGTCCTCGCCATGTACAACACAACGAGCAACCAGTGGTCGAGCCACACCGTGTCCGGCGGCAACTACAACAAGCTCAACCGCCTCTTCCCCGGCGCCGCCAGCATCCCCAGCACCGGCCTGTCCTTCTTCAGCGGCGGTGGCTCATCAGGCGTCAGCCAGCCTGGCCAGCCCACCGGCATGCTGCGCTTCGATGCCTCGAACCCGGACGCCCTCACCTGGCGCAATGAGACGGCGCAGAGCAGCTCGGGCGTGTCGGTACCCGCTCGCGTCGGTGGTAATATGGTTTACGTTCCCATGGGCGAGCAAGGCGTCATACTGCTGTGGGGAGGGTACAACGGGACCGAGGTCAACTCGACGACCGGCGCCCCGGCTTTCACATACCAGCTCATCGACAACCAGAGGATTTATGTGTACGACATTGCTAGTGCGAGCTGGAATATTGTTTGGGCACAAGGCGACTCTATTCCCGGACGGAGGTCGGAGACTTGCTCTGTGGTTTCGGCGGCGCCGGATTACTCGTCGTTCAACATCGCCATGTACGGCGGTTGGGATCTTTACGGCGGTGAGCTCTTGGGATTGTGTCAAGAAGTTCAAGGATTCATGCTAATGGCATTTCCACAGACGAGGCATTCTCGGAGACGTGGGTTCTCAGCGTGCCCAGCTTCCGGTGGATCAAGATAGACAGCTCGAACTACACGGGATCCAACACGGAGGCGCTCTCGGGGAACAAGCGCGGCCGCCACCAGCACCACTGCGCGGTGCACAACGACTCGCAGATGATCGTGCTCGGCGGCCTCGTCAACGAGAACGGAACCGACCAGCAGCACGTCTGCGACTCGCAGCTCCCGCCGCTCCGCATCCTCAACCTGGCCACCATGACCTGGCAGAAGAGCTTCGACGCTAGCGCCGAGTATAGCGTCCCCGAGGACGTGTATGCTGTGATTGGTGGAGAGTAAGTTCCCAACCCTATCTTTGTCTTTTCCTGGAAGACTCCAATACTAACTTCGAAACCCCAACAGCGGCTCCGGTGGCGCCACCATCAAAGCCCCCGACGGCGGCTTCAACGATACGTCCGTCGCCAGCATCTTCGCCACCACCGTCGCCCGCGCCGCCTCGACCGCCTCGTCCACCTCGACCGCAACTTCGTCCGCCGGCTCGTCGTCATCATCGTCCTCTAGCAGCAGCTCCTCCAACACCGGCGCCATCGTCGGTGGCGTCGTCGGCGGCGTAGTAGGCCTCGCGCTCATTGCGCTCATCGCCTGGCTCCTCCTCCGACGCAAGAAACAGCAACAACACGCACCCGTGCCGCAGCATGACACGAGTCCGCTAGCTACCGCCGGTGGTGCTGCCGGTGCTGCTGGTGCGCACCAGGGCAGCAGCGGCGAGTATCCGATGGGGGCGTACGGGAATGGTACGGCGGGAGCGTTGACGGAGCGGTACGGGGCGCCGGAGGCGGAGAAGAGGGCCGAGTTGGATCCGGGGACGGGCGTGTTCGAGGCGGAGGGGCAGGGGAGGGTGGTGGGCGAGATGGATGGGCGGATGGTGGCGGAGATGGAGGGGGATGGGCCGAAGGATGTGTATAGGCGGACGTGAAATATGAATGAATGATGAGGGGAGGTACAGCAGGAGGTGGTCTTGTTTAGATACCCTGGGATTTCGCTGTGGTTATTATATATTAAGATGGTAATGTATATACTATATGATTATGAAAGGCACCGCGCCGTTGGGCCTGATGAGCTCGCTTTCGTTGTTTTACGTTCTCGAGTGATTGGCTGAGGCTGGCGGTTTGCAATGGTGGTGAAATTGGAAGTCAATAGGCCTCTAAGGAGGCTTGTGTTGTATGCGGTATGAGATTGGTCCTTTTGGGATTAAAACAGAGCATGGGAATCCACCTAGACATGTATGCTAAGCAATTACGAACGAAGGCACACACAAAATAGCCTCAACAACCTCGACTTTCTTGCGCCACTAAGCGAACCATCCTCGTGGACAGACGCCAGTGGGCAACACGGAATTGTCTGCAGGGAACCGCAGTATGCAGAAGATCGAAAATGGAGACCACGCGACTCTTTCAGCTGCCTGAAACCGCTCAGCTTTGAAATGTTGCATGATTCCCTCACGAGGCTGATTTTCCTGTGCAGAAGGGCCATGCATGTCAGCAACTAAGCAGACACTAGCGTGTACAATGATCAGACAGCAAGGCTGATTACGCAGGGCTATTTAACAGATGCGGGGCAAGACTAACACTAATAATACCCGTCTCCCTCAGCAGTGCCGCGATAAAATATCTTTCATTTAGTGAAAGTAGATGAATTTGATTACAGTCCCCGCGAACTCTATACAAGGGTGCTTCCCGTGTATAGCTACAGTACCATGGTCCACAGCTTTCGCTAGCCTTTCAGAGAGAATAAGACGACGACCTACACTTCCGACTAAGCAGATTTACCATGACTCGTTTGGTGAGCAACTTACGGACTTGAACAATCAAATGCGGTGGGATCTTGCTGGAACCGCTCGGCAAGAATGGAACGAAAAAATTTACCCACGACTCCATGATATCATTAGAACCAAGGCTGAGGAGATATACGAGGGTGAAAATAACGCTGATTGCCTTATGATTTATCGATGCTATATGCTTGGCCGCGATAAATCATATACACATCCAACAATCGTCTTTTTCTGCACCGGGAAAAACGCAAAGCAGATTCTGGAAAGAACCATCAAGGTCATATACCAAGACGGTGAAATTCGAGGAAGCGGCTTCGAGTTACGCGCATCTCTGCTGGCTGACCTAGAAGCCAAGAAAAACTCGATGCGCCGCCCTGTAGAAACACCATCATGGGCCACGGGAAAGAGTATTTGTCGATTCGAGCTACAATGTGTACGTATATATACTTCCCTGGATTGTTCTACTTCTAACTCTGAACTTAGAGATGTACTGCGCGTATGGCATGGAAGGTGCAAAAAGCAGATATTGACTTCGAACCGCTCGTACAGCTTCTCACATTAGCAAACAATTTACCTGAGGACTCAGGACGTACAGTGGAGTCATACGATATTCAGGGAAATGCTGCAGGCAACAGGCAGGCTTCTTCATTGCCATCACAAAGCAATGTCAATAGGAGGAAGAGACATGGGAACAACCGACAGGCTGATTCGACCGGCCAAGATTTTCAGCAAGGAAATACCCACAGGAACGCCGGGAGCTCTACTGCATCGCATGAAGATCCAGGCGAATCAGCCACTGGAAAAAGCCAAGGACGGGACAACGAACAAGGAAAGTAGAATAACTTTGTCCTATCCTGCATTCCTGACAAAACCCTACAATCGCTGTACCAAGACCCTATCGAGCCTGAGACGGTCGTCAAAGATACTACATTGATCCGTACTATCCGCCGAAGATACATGAATCATCGCCCGTGGTATCGCAGAATGATTAGCCTCCGAGGGTTTAACGACTTGACAATCGCCAAAGTAGGTACCCTGATGTAGACTCCCGTGAACTCTCATTGACGAGCTTGCGTGAAAATAGTTCCGCCTCTATCATTCCGGGACTTTGGAGAAGGGTGTACTAAACCCCATTCGTTGCGACCAATGGAGCCTGCCAGATGACACCAAAGAATGGGACTTTGACAGCAAGGGGACTGATGACAGTACTCTATCGGCTTACATGTCCGGAATTTGGGCTGGATCGCTTTCTTGCAAGTGTGGTGATCAGAACGACTCGAGCCTCCAAGGTCCACCAACCAGCAGTTCCATGGGCTCACTGCTGCCGCTGGAGATCGTATGGGACAATGAAGCGAGGGATTATCTGCCACCATCAATACCGCTGAAATTCCCATGGTCCTGGCTTGTGATAGCGAAGACCATCAGAATCCACGCACGAAAGCCTACGAAAGAAGATCGACATGATGCGGAACAATACAGAGAACTACTCAAAAATGTCGCCATCGATGTATCTTGCGATTGCGATGGCTACTACATTTTCCACAGCTTGCCAAAGAAGCGCAATAAAAAGCTTGAACGGGCTCAGGGGAGACAGGCACCACCATTTGGTTGGGCTCTTTGGGTTGAAGAGGACTTTTTTATTCCCTGGTATTTCCTTGCTCTTATCAATCTCGTTACAATCGGCGCTTTCACATTTGGTTTTGTGTATTTCATTCTTCATGGCAACCAAGCAGGCGGCTGGGCAATCGCGAGTTTTCTTTTGTCTGCTGTGACCTTTGTTTTCACGCAGTGGGTCGCGAAAGCCAAGGATTCAAAGCGTCCTGTGGTTACGAAGGGCTTAAAACGCGAGTAAAAGTTGAATTAGAACCATGGAGGGTATCACTATTCTCACATTCGTGGCCTTTCACTGAGTGTAACCAAAAGTAGAGTGCCCATGATGGAAGTGGAAGTCCTGGAAGTAACTCAGGTGTGCATTTATGTCGTCTACCCATGATATCGTTAAATGTCTTCATAGTCCAATGCCATCTTCCGCTCTTCGCGTCGTGGTAAGATGCTGAAGTCTATCGTGTAGCTTCCATCTCTAATCTACGCGCACCGCACAGCACTTCATCTCTCTACGACGACTCAACGACCTTCAGGGCCTCGTCGAACTGGTTCCAGTGGTACATGATGTAGAGAGCACCGCACTCCTCCTTGAGCATCTTGGCGATCCTCTCCTGCTCCTCACCCTCCTCGTAGGGGCCGACGTAGCCGATGAGGGGGATGCCGGCGTTCTTGGCGGCCGTGGCGCCGCTCCTGCTGTCCTCGATGGCGACGCACTCCTTGGGGTCGACGCCAATGGTCTTGCAGGCGTGGAAGTAGATGGCCGGGTCAGGCTTGGACGTAGGCTTGGGCAGCGACGAGGCGGCGCTGAAGACGTGGCCCTCGGGGAAGTAGTGGTCGATCTTGACCTTGCGCAGCGACGCCTCAACGCGGGACAGGGCCGACGACGACACGACGGCCAGACCGTACTTCTTCTCGGCCGCCAGCTTCTCCAGCGTCTCCGGGGCGCCGGGGCACGGCTGAGCCTTGGCCTCCAGCTTCTCGATGACCTTGCCCAGCTCGCGCTCGACGTAGGCGTCGAACTCTTCCGGAGCCAGTTCGAAGTTGTATTTCTTGGTGAGCGAGACCATCATGCCACGGAAGTTCTGGCCGACGAAGTCCTTCAGGAGCGAGGGGCCGGTGTAGCGGTCGGAGACGCCCTTCTTCTCGAGGATCTCATTGGCGAGTTCTGCGCAGGCCTCGAAGGCCAGCTCCTCGGACAGGACGAGGGTGTTGTCGCAGTCGAAGAGAATCTCCTTGATCTAAAACGCGTGAGGATCGTGTCAGCAGAGGCGGCGAGTTAGCGTGGGGAAGCCGTACCTTGGGCATTTTGGCAGGCTCGAGGATTTTGGCGCGGAGAGGAATGTTGGCGGTTGTTGGAGAGTGAGGAAAGGTGAGGTTGGCAGAGGAGCGGGGCAGCTGCAGCAGGTAAACAATTTGTACGGGCAGCAGCAGTGACGCAAGCGGGGAAGCAAAGTGGCCTGAGCTGAAGCCGCAGATGAGCCGAGCGTGGGGCGCGGAAGGACCTTGGAAGAGCGAGGAAAGAACGGAGCAACGAGAGGTGAGAGAAGGCAGGAGACAGCGGTCAGCGGTCAGGGGGCAAGCGGGCCAGCGCTAGAGGGGTGCCGTGGCCGCACGCTACGGCAGCTGCAACCCTCAACGCTCGCCCAGCTGCGGAACCCAGCAACGCGGGGTCGGGCACTAGCAGCGATCTACCAGAGCCTGTCTCGACACCCTCCGTTTCCCTCTCTGCTTCCTCAACATTTTCGTCCCCTTACCGAGATGCCGCCAATAGCTGGAGCGGCTCCGGTCGTACTGCGGTCATCCACCCACCCTTCCACCACCCCCTTGGCGCGGCGCTTGCACGGCTCAAAGGAGCCAATCTTCGTGCCTTCGCCCGAAAGTGTGTCGGACCGCCAGACCGTACCTCCAATGAACGCCGACTTACTGCATACTAGCGCCCCCTCCGCATTCCGCCGGCCACTTCTGACGTAGCTCATGCCCAATCATCTCGCTGCTTTCCTCGCTAGGATGAATGTCTCTCAAGTGTACCGCATCAGGCATCCTGTGTATATCTGTGATACAAATGGTTATGCAAGGCTGACGTTGCGACTCTCATCACGCGTGTGCCTGCAGCTCCTCACCGTGTCTGCCCGTGGTTGACAGGGTGGTCCCCCGTCCAGACCACCTGGCGGGTCACCTCGGATGGGACCTGCGCAACATTGCGGCGAGCCAAGTGTAACGTTGCATGCTTCCTTCGTTCGACTAACCGCGCGGGTTGCCTTCCGACACCCAATAGAAAAATCAGGTTGACAGCTGTGTAACTGGGCTTGATATGGGTCGGGGATTCTATTCTGTCCGCTCGATGTAGCCAGAACCAAAGTCAAATTCTTACTGTGAGTTTGTTGAAATGGGCGCTAGACATGCTTTTCGTCCCATGTCCGGGACCGGTACCTTTACAGCCAGTCATTTGGTGGTGCTTTGGATGACTGATCATTAGCGCAGCATTCCCACGCTTCTACTCGCCAGTCTACATCATTTTTATTTTAAGTGTAATTTTGTCAAGCACTGTAGTGCTCATATTCACGTCCGGCATAAAGACTTGCTCTTGTACACACTTGCGCCCTTCTAGCATCGCACATGCTTACACAAACTGTGTATCTTACGTCTGTTTCGAGGAGTTCCATAGCAACACCAGCGCTTTTCTTCCTCTACTTTCCATATTCACAGGTTAGAAGTAGACCTTCACGAGCCAGCCACCTACCGACGAGTCATGTTAGTTTCCTCTCTGACAATCAGTCCAGCCAGCGCAGACTGAGAACCGCAGCTCAGGGCAGACCAATGCCTCGACCGTGCTGGACCAGACAGGCCCGTCAATTCTGCACCGCCTGCGCAATCTCATACCTGCCATATCTCTCATGCCACTCTCCTCCAAAAGCAAGCTCCGAGCCGGCGGGCAGCAAGCACCGACACGCCGATCGTGGATAAAGCAACCCCTGCAAACGGCAAGGGTCTGGCGAAGCGCTTGCCGAAAAAGGCAATTCTGTGCCACTAAACCCACCAGCCCCAAACTCCGTGTCGCCGATAGTCATGCTCTCTTAGAGATTCGTAGGCAGATTGCAGGCACAGCCCCTTCTCGTAGATAACAAGGCGTCTTGGCCTACTTCTTGGTATCATTGCTATCTCCAATCCCACGTCAAGTGGAGCGGAAACGGGAGACGGATTTGTAGATGAGGGTAGGCATTGCACTAGCGAAATGCCGATGGCCGACATAACTCCAAAAAAGGAGTTCTTTTCCTAGGTTTGAATTGAAATGATGGCGGTACCTTTATAGACACAGCCTCTGGCAATCTCTGCATTTATCTGACTTCGCTCTCTGCGTTCTGCCATCTTCCTCGTCACCTTTCCTCTTCTCAAAATCGAAGCGATTACCGGCCATCCAAAAGAACGCTATACCCATGACGCCAAGACTGGTCTTCTCTTGATGCTCCTTTTTCACGAAAGCGCCCCAAATCATTCATAGCTGCAGATTAGCTTTTTTGAAACCTCTACCAAATCTCTTCAATCGCCGACCCGCATTGTCAAATACCTATATCAACCATGATAGCGACGCCTAGCCCGACACGCAGGCCCACAATCGAGGAGATGAAAGGCTACCGCCAGGGATGTACTCAGTTGATGCCGAACGTACCCACCTCATACGATTACGTCCCGCACCTCTCAGCCGGCATCGCCTTCTGCGTACTCTTCTCCCTATCCATGACTGGTCACATTGTGCAAGGCGTTCGCAAGCGGAACTGGACAAGCTATGTGCTCGCCACCGGAGCCTTGAGTAAGTCCACCCTCATCATCGATTCCACTACCCAAAACTGCCCCGAGACTAACCAAAAGCCCACCTCCTCCTCACAGCCGAGCTCCTCGGCTGGACTGGCCGCACCTGGTCCTCGCAATGCCCCTACAACGAAACAGCCTTCCTCCTCCAAATCACCACTCTCATCATCGCGCCGACCTTCTTCTCCGCCGCAGCCTACCTCATCCTCGGCACTTTGATCAGGCTCTCTTCAACCAGCTCCCCCTCTCCCTCGTCACGACTATCAATCCTCTCCCCAACCGCCTACCTCGTCCTCTTCTGCGCTGCCGACGCCATAGCCCTCGCCACCCAAGCCGTCGGCGGCGCCCTCGCGTCCCTCGCACAGAAGCGCGGCACGTCGACGGCGACGGGCACGAACATTATGGTCGGCGGCGTCGTGTTCCAGATGGGCGCGATGACAGTGTTTGTGGGGTTGTTGGCGGATTTCCTGCGGAGGATGTGGCGTCTTGGTCGTAATAGTGGCGGAGGTATGATGACTAGCGGCAACAAGCTGCCGCTGCCTCAGGGTGCGAAGTGGATCTTGCTGGCACTGTTGACGAGCGTAGCGGCGATCTATGTGCGCAGCGTGTACCGGACGGTGGAGCTGCTACAGGGATGGCGCGGGTATCTGATTGTGCGGGAGGGGTACTTTGTTGCTCTCGATGCGGCGATGATGGTTGTGGCGGTGGGGGTGTACAATGTGTTGGATCCGGCTGTACTGCTGCTACCGTCATGTGTTCAAGAGGGGAAGGGTGAAGGTGTCCGAGCTGTACGGGATGGTGAGGTGTTGCTAGGTGGCGGTGAGGATGGTAAGGGAGAAGAAAAGCACTAAGAGTCAGCAAAGAGAAGATACGGCGATGCTTACCAGGCGAGTCGTGAATGTTTGGTTGGGTACTGTTTGATGGTCAATTAATCTCATGGTGGTGAATACAAGTACGCCTCGAATAGGCACCGACGTCTCTTGTGGGGGTCAGGATGTGAAATGGTATTCGTGAGTCTCGTCCCCGGCAAAGTCCAACTTCCCACCGCGATATTCTGCCCCCCTCCACTACTCGTTCATCATCTGCTCCTCGGACATGGCCTTCTCGGCGGCCAACACAGCCTCGATCTCCTCCATCTCCTGCTTCAAACTTGCTGTGATCGCAGTTATCTTGTTCTCTAGTAGAAGGGCTGTTGTTGAAGAGAAACTTACCGATATCCTCCTTCTGCCGCTTCTCGATCATCTGGCGGATATCCCAGTCCACCTGCTCCTGGCTCTGGCTCTTGGATTGTCCGCCATCGACCACCACGGACGCCCAGTAGTCGGCCCAGCAGTTACCCATGATGGGGTAACCACCGTCACCACCACCAGTCTTCCGATGCGCGTGCGCCTTGACGAGGGTAAACCTCACCACGCACGGGATGCCCTCCTCCGCCCAGTGCTTGTTCTGCTGGATCTCGGCGACGGTCTGGTGGATGCTCTTGCAGGCATCCTCGCCCCAGAGGCCGTCACCCGGCTGGTAGTCGCGGATGCGGTCCACGACTTTCCTGACCTCGCAGTAGAGGTCCAACTTGTTGTCGTCGGCGCGGAGCCAACGCTTGCCCTGGCGCAGTCCGAAGTCGACCGCCCGTAGCTCCGCCTCCTTGGAGGGCATCTTGTCGTCCGGCTCCAGCCGCGTGTAGTGCTCCCGCCACTGCGGGTAGTCGTGGCGCTTGAAGGCCACCGCCAAGCCGACTTTGTAGCTGTCGTCTCGCGACGACTGGTCCGTCCACAGGTCCAGGCGACCGGCCGTCGGCGTCACGCGGCGGGCGATCGTCATGCCCTCAGCCGCCGTGCTGGCGTACTCGACCTTGCCGAGGAACTGGTAACTGCCCTGGGCAGCCATGGTGTTGTTGTTGTTGGTGGTGGAGGAGGAGGCGGAAGAAGAAGAGGACGATGAGGAAGATGAGGAGGGCGAGGAGCTTGTGATGGATGTGTTTTTGTGGGAAGATCTGGGCGGCTTCTGCTGGTCGTCGGAAAAGTGTGTCGAAATGAAGCCGAGGAGGAAAGGAAGGTCGAGGAGAGGTGCGGTTTATATAGGCTGTGGCCGAAGCTCGCTAAACCATTGTGCCTGCTCAATTTGGAAGCAACGAATTGGGAAGGAACCAACTGGGAAGGAACCAGTTGTTCTCCCCAAAACTAGCCTTAAATTCCGGGGATTCTTGCGCCATCATGGTGCCTTGAATCAGCACCGGGCCGTCAAATTCCTCCGGTGGCACGTGGTGGAAACGCTTCGAACCAGCCTTTGAGATCTTAGTAGCCCTGGCATCTTAGTCTGCTCGAATCACATGAATTCTGCTGGAAGATTCAATTGGAAGCAGCAGCAAGAGATGGGTGGCTGTACGGTCTTCTCTAGAAAGACAATGCGCCAGTGAATGCGCTAGGGTCTATGGTAGAAATTGCTGGTCCATCACTTCACGACAGTTCTACCTTCCCGCAGCCTCAGCTGTCTGAGTACATTTACTCAGGCCCGCAGGCACTTCAGCATACTACTAGATCCATTGTTGACTCCGTAACTGCAAACGCCGAAAGAGGCGACGTCAGTCTTCGCCATGCGCCGAAAAGATCTTTACCGAATCGGATTAAGGTTGTCTGCTCATCCTCCCTTCGCCTGCCTTCTTCTTGCCCGTATAAACCACGGAGACTTCATTAGCTGGTCCAATGAATTATATGTCTTATAACACCGTAGCTAGCCTTCAACTTCCGACACAAGCATCGTGAAAATATGCTAAAGGCCGCGCAGTTGGCCAAGAAAGGCTTGCTATATATATAGTCCACCAGCAGACGTCATCTTTCACCTAAGGGTCTCGCTAAGCGAGGCCTATGGTGCGGAGTCTGTCGGTCATGGTGATGAAAATCCCATGACCAGCTCCACCACCTTCCCAGCTGGGGTAGAGGGGGAAAATCCCTGAAAGGGGTTTTGTAGGGCAAGATACCCAGGGTGCCATCGCACCCAGGGTGAGCCTGACTTTTTGGCACCTCGATATTGGCCGTCCTTCTTTTTCTTTTCTATTTTTCATCTCTTCAATATCTAGAGGTAAAAAACTTTTTATAAGAGAAAACCCTTATTGTCTGAGCATATAATTGCAGTGCAATCCATTCACTACACCAGCAAGTGATGAGAGGAACTTCGAGGTCTGCTCTATATCTAGACCAAGAGCAGAGTCCAAAGCGCTGTCAAAAAGCACCAACACATGGCAGAAGCCGTCCCAATCATGACGGATGCAATTAACCATTAGTAAGAGATCACCTTTGTAATGATTGGCCAAAAAAGCTTAATAGTAGGGGCTAAGCCCCGCAATGTGTAAAGGGTTTATTTGCTGGTGTCTGTAGTGGTTTTTGTGTCTTTTTCTTTTTCTTGAATGTATGAGTTGTGCCAGGTATTGTGTGTGCATGATTGGGAGGGGGAATAAAACGCAGTCCACAATGCCGCGCCATAATGGGGGAATGATCTGAAGTGAAGGATATATCCACACACCCCGGATCTTCTTTCCGCCAAAACAAAAAATTCGACCGTGAACAATCGTCCCTTCCTCCAGTCACGATACCAAGAGTGGGGTTTGCTTCCCTTCCATTTCCTCTGCCTTCGTTTCCGTCCACCATCTCTCCTCCAGTCTCCTCCATCCATTCATCCATCCTTCGCCGCGCTGTTACCAGCTATGCAGTTCTTTTTCCGTCGTATGGGTCCGTAACGTAACCGTCGTAGCCAAGAATGCTATGCCATGCCAACTGTGAAAGCTGTGAGAGATCGAGGGTCTTATAGCGGAGATCGCCCAAGAGTCCTTGCTCACTCCACAGCAGAATCGAGCTCAGAGCCATTGCCTGAGCCTCAGTCTCGGCGTCGCCGAGCAAGAAATGTCATCCAGAGAAATTCAATCCATCCGAAAACTCCCGAAAATGCAGATGAAACCAGCCCACAAACCAGCTGACAGAATCGACCCGGCTCTCACCAGCAAGGTCCTCCGTTCACCAGTTTCTTAACGAAGGAAAAGCTTTCAGCAACAAGCAGAAAAACAGCGACAGAAAGAGGCAACGCAACGGGAACCCCGAATGTCAAACGCTCTTGTCCAGCGCCGCAGGATCGGGGTCTCCGCGAGGGCCGTCTCCGTCGCTGAGTTCATCAGTTGTGGCCTCATTGCCATGGTCCTGAGAAATCAAGGTATCATCGGGGGGTTCAGAATGCGCAGGTGGAGGAACGTACCCAGCATCGACATCAGCATCAACGTCGGGCGGAGCTACACCATCATCATAGTCGTCCTCGAAGTACTCATCTTGTCCATCGATGGTTCCATCGGGGTGGACTTGGTGATCATAGCCGTGTTGGCCCCCGTGTTGCTGCTGTGCATGCTGGTTTTGTGCCACCTGCCGACCACCGGCGGTCTTAGCTGCCTTCTTTCCCTTCCGACCCTTCATCTTCGCCTTTTCCAACAAACGCCGCTTCTCCGCCATGCGCTTCTGCTCCTTGCGATCCTTGATTTCATATTGCCGAATCAAAGCCCGAGGAGGCTCGCCGAAGATATCCTCGTATTCGCAGAACTCGCAGATCCAGATGTCGTCGCGCGCTGGCGGGTGATGGTAGTTCGTGTACTCCTGCTGAAGACGACGACGGCGAGCGGCCATGGCGTAGATCTTTTCGGGCTTGCGACGCGGCTTCTTCGGCTGCTGCTGTGGCGCAGCCTGCTGGGCATTGGGAGCCGGCGCGGGCGCCTGCTGGCCGGGGGTAGGAGGCTGCTGCGCGCCGTTCATCTGTGGACTTGTTTGTGTGCCGTGGGTAGACCTTGTGGCTTGTGTTGGGAGGGGTATGCGGCTGGCTGAAGGTGGACCTGCAGGTGAGGGCGCGGGCGGAGGTGCGCGTGGGTCAGCAGCAGGGTAGGCCCCGTTGGCACTTGGCCAGGTCGGCTGGTTAGGCGAGCCGCAGGTGAAGGTGAACTGCGTCTTCTGCGGCGTCGTCTTTGCGGCTTCCTGCTGCAGCAGGCTGACGTTCTCCTTGCCCTTGCTCTGCTGCGAAGTGTGTCCGGCGGCGTTTGCGTTTGCAATGGCAGTAGAGATGATGCCGTGGTCGTAATTAGCCGCTGCTACGCCGTTAGCCGATCTCATGGGCGCTTGGACGCAAACGCGGGTGAGTGCATACACTTTCCGTTTGCCAACGCACCGTTCGTTCTTGCTCTGCCCGCGCCGCCGTTAGCATAAGCGTTGAGACTGGATGTTGAAGCTCCCAACGGCCGCCGTTCGTTTGAGGACCTCGCTGCTGATCTGCCATACCGTCCTCTGCCAGCTCCAGATATGCCCGTGCCCGAGCCCGGCGCGGGCATGGCCGACGAGCCGCTTCCATAATATTGTCCCACATTGTTCTCTCCATCGTGCGCCGAGTCGCCGCCGTGTGTCGAGATGCCCATGCTCGCCATCTCGGCCGTGAGGTTGCCGTGGTGTCCCGCGCTGCCCGAAACCGGTATTTTTCGCTTCTTTTTGTTGTTGGTGTTCTCGAAGGACTCGTAGCCGTCGGCCGATGACGTGGAGCCAGGTGGGAGGGGTTTCGACACGCCACCGCCTAAGCCGCCTGTCGCTGCTTCAAGTGTCAGAAGACCCTTGCTAGATATCTTTCGCCTAGGCTGAAACCAACCAAGCCGCTCGTCGTCGTCCTCCTCGCTCTCGGGCTCCGAGTGGTCCGCGCCGCAGCTGCACTTGTGCTCCTTCTCCCCGCGCTGCTGGCGTGTCGAAATGCTCTGCACCTTGTCCGGGTGTGTGTACGGGAAGTCAAAGACGGGCGGCGAGCTCACGGGCGGCGACGGGTAGCTTATGGAATCGGCCTGCTCAGGCGACAAGCGGGCGCGGAGGCGGCGCTTGGGGAGCGCTGTGGACTCAATGTCAGCGTCTGCAGGACAACGTGTGCGGTGCGAGAAGCGTCATACGCCTGATGGGACGGTCGGGGTAAAGCGGAGAAACTGTGTCTGGGGAGGAGTGGCGGATGGAGGTGGATCGCCAATCGTAGCCTGCCCACGAGAGTATACACATTAGCGAATAGGTCGCAAGGCGTACGAGGTCGCTGATCAAGGCGACACTTGGGAGGGCCGGACGAGGCATGGCTGGTGGGGCGCGGACGAGCACGCGTGGTGTTTGTGGGTGGTGGTAGTGGGGCGCGGCGAGGGTTGGGCACAAGGAAAGCAGCTGGGTGCGAACGAACCGGATCCTCGATATGCATCGGTGGCGGCTGCCATGACGGACGCTGTCTCCTTCCGCAGCTGGGGGAATTGCAGTCAAGCGGTGCGCGCGCAAGATGCAAGCTTCTTCCTCTGGCGACGACTCACACAGTTAGCTGCAAGATTCTCGCTTTGCACACACCCCTTGGGCCGCCACACGCAAGCACACGGTGGGCCCGCGCTGGGGAGCAGGCGCGCAGGCGCGCTGAGATGCACGCGGGCAGCACAGGCGGGCGCCGATGGGGAGCGGGCCGACGTGTGGGCGCAGGCGCCGTGGTGTGCGGTGTATCTCGAAATCTCTCGGCAAGCTGGGAATGATGCGTTGGCCCCAGCTACCTTTGCGCGGGCCTGGGCTGCTGCGGCGGCGGGGAAGGGGCGGTGGGCATCGGAGAGCGCGGGCTGACTCACAACTCGACGTCTTCAATGCAGGTGGGCGACTGTACAACGATTGTTCTGGCTTGCGGGTACGTCGCGGACATGGGGAAGAGGTCAAGTCGTTGGAGGTCCCATGCCACTTGCGCTAACCTCCATCGGGGAACGGTCTTATAAATTGGCCGGATATCAATCTCGCAGGTCCCGGCGTGCGTCATGCCGCGCTTGCTTGACCGGTCCTCCATCAGAATGCCCCTCTCACCGTGCTCCCGAGCCCGTTGTGATGGTCAGGGCTCTGACACGACCCCTACGTGCGATCACAGAAAGACAGCACTGCCAAAGTCGGGACCGATCCCACGCCAGGGTCCATGAGCCGAGGTCAGCGATGAGTCAAATTCCATTGCTTTTTTGATGAGTCGATGTACACCTCTTCGTATCAACAAAAGCACACGGGCGGCGCGGTCTCGCTCCCAAACGCCTGTGCTGTCAATCCCGCCAAATCCCGGTCTCCACCAACTTTCCGCAAACGCCGACTAATGAAGAAGTATGGAAAACCTATAGAGTAGGTCGCAACATGGCGGAAATCCGATGGTGCAGCAAGGGACGCCGTGGCATCAAATCCCAACCCTGAGTGCAAAAAGAAGCCCATTATACTACCGCTCGAATATTCCCAGAACGCCTGATTTATCCTCCCAGATTACCTCCCCAAAAAAGAGTCATTTGTCCCGGTGTTCGCCAAACTTCTGCTGCCATAACACCAAGTTTCGTGTTAGCACGTCCATCATCTCGAGGCTGTTCAACGTATCGTAGTTTTCTTCCTTCCCGTCCGTTGGTTTGGCAAGGCCGTTACTGCCATCAGTGGGTGCCAGCTTATCCGTCGTCGTGCCATTGATCACCTGGAGCGTCTTTACAACAGCGATCGCCGAGGTGGTCGTGGTCGTCTTCTCGCTGGCCATTTCTACTTGGACACGCGAGATGTACTCCAGCATGTGTGAAGCCGTCCCATTCATGTCCTTCCAGCTTATCTTGTCAAGCTTCGACACGCCCATCTTCTTCCCATTCTTGGTGGGCCTCCCCACCGCAGGAACGTCGCTGCCGCTGCCATTTGCAGCTGTGTCCGTTCCATTCACCGGCGAACCCTCTTCATCTTTGTCTTTGTGGTTACGCACGCCATTCCTGCCAGGCGATCCCGGCGCCTTGTCGACGGAATTGAGGTCGCGATCGCGGGTATACTGGTTGCGTCCTACGCGATTACCGCCGCGCTTCTGGCCACCGGACTTGCCGGGTCGCTTCGCGTTCGGGGCGGGCGCGGTAGGAGTTTCGCGAGTCTGGTTTGCGGGGGGCTCGTTCTCTTGCTGTTCGGATTCGTTCGGAGTCTCGCGCGCAGTAGTCTCTGTCTCCATGTCTGCGTGGAGCTCGTTAGCGATCGCGCCACCATGAAGCGCTCCAATCGGTCTCGTACCTTCACCGCGTCTTCTATCCGCGCGTCCTTTACGTTTTCCAGCGGCTTCTGCTCGCTCCCGCTCCTTTTCTTTTTGCTCTCGTGCGATTCTCTCCTGTTGACTCCTTGCTGCCGCACCGCGTGGCTTCTGTTTTTGGCTTGCCGAGTTGCTCTTTGAACGGCCATCATCGTCCGAATCGAGACCCTCTGACGGAGCAGGAGAGCTAGAGGAGCCCGATCCAGTTCGTTGCCGTTTGATTCCTTGCTTGACGCTGTACGCAGGCTCCCGTTAGCAAAGATGGCTGCTCCCTTGACGCGACGCCCCGAGACCGACAAGTCACGGACCCGACAGCAATTGACTCCACTCACTCTTCACTTTCGTCGCGGACTCTCTTGCCCTTTCTGGTTCCGTTTTCCGATGTGGCTGTGCCGCCTTCGCCCTTGCTGTCTTCTAGGACCTGACGGAGGACCTCGTCGTCGTCGTACGCCGCCCGGCTGTTCATAGTAGAACGACGCTTCGTGAATGCTTCAACGCTGGAGCGCGATGCCTTGTCCTTATCTCTCGAATTCCTCGACTCTGCCTCCTTGGAGACCGACGACTTCCTTGCAGAGTGTTTCGACGGGACCTTGTTGCCGACGACCGGAATGTAATGGGAGTACTTTTGTCTGAATGTCGCTCTCGTTAGCAAATTTCGACGCGTGCGTGATGGTATTGAGAGTTGGAATTGGCGCCGGTGGCGTCAGCTGAAGGCGAGCAGGAGACAGCTTCGAAACGCTTTCCTCGAGGCAGGAGTCGCTGATCGACTGGCCGACTTCCAGAGAGGGGGACATGTGCGCTGCCAGAGCGTGGCGGCATACTCACCCTTTAGGACTGGCCAAGAGGTTATGCAAATCCTTGCGGCACTCCTCGCAGAAGTAGTTCTCCGGCACCGACTTCTCCTCCATGATGCCCACGCAGCCACCGTGCTGCCATACCTTGCATTTATCGCACTGAATGAAGAGACCACCGACATCCTCGGCCTGGAGGTCGGAGCCGACCGCCAGATCCTCATCGTCTGACGGCGGGCCCGGGTACTCCTGGTATCCGCAAATGCAGCGTGTCGTCTCCTCCTCGTCGTCGCCGACCTCTTCGTCGAGCTCCTCGTCCATCTTTGCAGCCTCCTCCTCCTCGATGTCTTGTGCGCGTGTGCGGCGGCGGGTCTGGAGCTCCTCGCTGTGACGGGTGCGACCGGTGTCGTCACCGTCATCAGACGAAAGCGAGCCAGGCGAGTCGGATTTGCGTGGCGAGGATGCTTTGTTGTTGGATCTGGTTGTGCGGTCGCGAGAGGAGAGGGACGACGAGGAGTTGCTGTGCGCTGGCGGTGGAGCGCGCGATGAGCGGCGTAGCGTCATGGTGCAATGCTACGAGAGAAGGGCGGAGGGAGTGAGAGCGATGGCTTAGAGGGCAGTCTGAAGCCTGGAGAGGGTCGACAACGCGGGTGCACGCGTAGGGGCGCCGAAATGAGCGGCGGCCAGTGTGCGGAGTCGAGTGGGAGCTGTCGGCTAGGAAGGGCGGAGCTTCAAAGCTGGGAGACGATTGCGGGGGCAGAGTGAAGCTGGAAGGCGGAAGTGGGCATTCTCTCAGCAGAGACGAGGACGGCGAGCGTCTGGTGGGCTGTGCGAGGCGTAGAGGGCGAGATAGACGGGTCGAGTCTCCAGTGCGGGCAACTTCAGAGCACCGCGCGAGAAACGCATTCCAGGCCGAATGACGGCGCTAGCGTCGGGTTCGGCTTAGCGCTCGGCATAGGCCCCAGCGCACGTCAGGACCGCCGGCTGTGCGGGTCAGGCGCCGGCCAGCTGAGAGCTGCGAGGGAACGCCTTCCAGGGCCTGCAATCATGGCGGAAGGGTGCGGCAGGGTCGGGCATGGCGGGGACAGGCGTGCGGAGGCAATGCTGTGAGTTTCGGCGAGTTTGGCAGGTTGAGGTGGGCGAGGGGGAAGACGAGAGCGTGTTTGGGGGCTCTCGGTCGGCAGGGCAGAGCGAGCGCGGACGCGCTGGTCGGCAGGAAGCTGGCTGTTAAGCGAGAGTCTTGGCCATTTCCGGGGTTGCTTGCTGCGCGATGCCTCGCTGCCTCGACGGGAAGATGGAGCGGTTTCCCCAACGCCCCCGGGCCTCTTGTGACGGCATCGCGCGGGGGTCGTGCACGTGGGCTGGCATTGCACGCGCTGCAGCTCAGTCGGCCCGCCTTGCATCCATCTGCTCGAGCTCCTGCCGCCGCAATCTTCTTCTCCTGCATGGAAGCTCAAGCTCCTCCCACCTGTATTGCACAGCTCCACCTACCTCGCCATCCGGCTCCCCGTCGCATCCCAGGCCGACATTGACATCATGGTACCACAAGGGACGACTGTTGCACTAGACCACGAATTACCACCGTTCATCGGAACCAGGATCTGCCTGCCGCGTCTAGCTCCGATTCGTGTCGGATGATCATCTCCTTTCATCAGTTTCACAATCAGATCATGCTGCGATGATGTCTGTCCGCTTGGTTCGCGCTGGAATGAAACGAAATTGAACGGCTAATAATAGTGGCTGGCTAAAATCCTCCAACCACGTTGCAACATCATGCTAAGCAACCTTGAACTCTCAAAACACCAATCCTGCAGGGGTATCGTCCTCCTCTCCTCTCTGATATCAATATGTTTTCTCTCGCGTTTACGGACCCTCTTCGTCCAATCCCTGTACTCATTGATGCTTGCCTTGTTTCCATTACTCGAAAATGTCTCAGAACCGTTTACGCTCTCGCTGAATTGATGAAAGGATGGCGGAAAAACGACGCGCGGAGGAACTGACATTGCCGAAAGGGAGTGTACATGTCGAGTACCGTACTTCCACTGATCCACCCGCAGGCCACGCCTCGCGCCGCGACGGACAGCGACCATTCGGGACCGGCGGCCACTTGCCCCCTCAAGTACCGGGGCTGCAGACAGACAGACTGCTGGCAGGACCGCTGCTTGGCTCAAGCGTAGTTCGCGTACCTGCTACGCGCCCGCACCTTTGCGCCATACTTGTAGAAGATCCAAGGGGCCGGGATCAGCACAGCCGCAATGGTGCCGATCATCGTCAGTGTCCAGTGCACGCCCAGCGTCTCGAACATCGGTCTCGAGGCGACGTTCAAGCCCGCAGCGAAGCCGTACCGGGCCACGGTGACGCCTCCCAGCGCGCTGGCGGCGTACGGACCGTAGCTGTCGATGATATACTGGAAGCTCGATATCTGGATCGAGATGAGGGCGTATCCAAAGACAAAGCACGCGCCAATACCGGACCAGGGAGAGATGGACGGATAATTTGTCCAGCCCAGCCAAAAGATGCAGATGGCGAAGAACGGCGATGCTATCATGCAGGGCCATAGCCGCGACTCGGGCGGGAACGGGGCGTCGGGTCCGTCGATGATTTGGCGTTTGTGCAGAGCCTTGACGTCAAGCTTGTACCAGATGGGCGTGAGCATCGTGCTGAAGATGGTGCCAGCACCGATCGAAAGGAAGACCAGCGTAGTCTGGCCGCTGCTGAAGCCGTACGTATCCGCAAAGATGAACTCAAATGCCGAGAGGAAGACAAAAAGCAGGACGTTCAACACGACCGTGTAGATGCCCAGGATGATGATGACGGGTTCGCGGACCCAGAATATGACAGGCCGGGGCAGCGTCTCTTTGAGACGGGACCCGAGGCCGCCGCCCGTCTCCAGTCCGCTTCTGTACCGGGGATCGCCAGTCACGCGTCGCAGGTGTTCGGCTTTCCAGCTTTGTAGGAGCGGAGAGTACGTCTCCGGCAGGAAGAACACAGCGGCTAACCAGACCGGCACACTGATACCAAAGGTGATCCAGTCAGCCCAGTAAAAGCTTTTCCCGTACTCGACGATCCAGCCGCCTGGAATCGGTGCGAGCGCAGTGGCTGTGAAGGAATGTCAGAACAAATCCCTGACTCAACCCTCTCCGCGTTAGAAAGGCAGGGACACTTACGAAGCGTATTCATCAGCGCCAGTATAGGATACATGATGCTTCTCTCCTTCGCGTCGAACACATCGTGCATAACGCTTCCGCTCACCGCGCCCGTCACGCTCGAGAACAGCCCGACGAACAATCTCGACACCACCTGCCCGACCAAATCTCTCGAGAGGGCCGTCCCCATGACGCTCATGAGATACAGGAAACCGGCAATGAAGAAGCACCAGAACCTGCCGAAAGTCTCTGACAGCGGCCCCACGAACAGCGAGCCGACGGCGATGCCGATCGAGAACCCGGCCGTGTTGAGCGAGGCCGCGACCTTGCTGACGCCCAGGGCGGCCGCCGCGGCGCCCGTGTACGACGAATCCGCGCTGCCGGCCCAGGTCTGCGTGAAGGAGAGCCACGCCACAATCCAAAAGGCGGCCATGCGGTGCTTGAGGGGCCAGTGGCGCGGGTTGGTAGGATCCGACGGCCCGACGCTGTGGACGGGGATGATCTTCTCGGGCTCCTCCTCGGGCGGCACGGGCGCCGTCCGCGGCGTCTCGAAGAAGTGCGATTGGGCGATGGCGTGGCCGGTCGAGTGGCGGGAGAAGTGGCTGATGATGGACTCGGTGGACTTGGGGCGGGCCGTGGACTTGGGGCGGAGGGCGGAGAGACGGATGGCCGTGGGCTCGAAGTCCTCGGAGCTCACGTCGCTGCTTGTCGTCGTCGACGATTGGGTGACTTGCACCGTCGCCTTCTCGTTGGTCGAGGCGTAGCCGCTGTCCTGCTGTTTCGACTTGTCGGAGTCGGACAGGGAGCGGATGCTGTCTGCGTCTTCTTGCTTGGACTTGTCGTCGTTGACGGAGTAGTAGCTGCTCTTCTCGGAACGGATTGAGGCACAGGAGGACGAGTAGCCTTGCAGCTGCCCCTCGACATCGGACTTCCACTGCCGTTCGATGTCTGGACCAAGGTTGGGCAGGGGCAGGGACAGGGACGGCGGCCCGGGCTTCTTGACAACATCAGGCTTTTCCTTGGACCGGTTGTCCTCCTCGTGATGGGTGTGTTCGACGTAACGTCCTATCTCACGGTACTGGCGTATGGACTGCATGATGGGGAACTTGGCAAAGGGAGGTGTGGATGAGTACACTCTTGTTCCATCAACTGCTTCCAAGAAGCACGCTGGATGTTGAGATGAGGGGTTATTGCAAGGCTGAGGAGGAGGCAGCGAGGTGTTAAACTATGTGAGGCAAGAAGAGGATCTTCTTAAGTACTTCGACCACAAGGCCTAATAGCCAGGCGTGGTCGAGATCTTGGAGGGAGATTGAGCCGAGGAGGGGCGACATCATACCAATGTGGCGCTAACGCGGCTATGTCACTTCACCAGACGTCCACGATGCCACCGCCCCCCCCGTGGCCGCACATTTCGTCGACCGTCGTTGTGTTCCTGTTTTCCTGCTGGTATTTTCTCCTACCACCCCTACCCAGGATTCGGTATTAGTGCGCGATGGAACCTTACTCCACACACTCCACACCCAGCCTCTCCGCGTCGCGCGGTTTTGTCAGCAAATCTGCCTTTCATTCGCCTCTTTTTCTCAGCCGGTCGTATGTGCGGTGGATGGACGGCAGGAGCGGGGAGCGAGGTGCAAGATCGAGAGGGTAGCGAGAGAGTGAGAGCGCAGGGGGTCTTGTGGACGAGATGCCCTATGGCGATTGGTGCCCTGCATTTTTGGAGGCATGCAACGTGAAATTTTAGACGATAAGGAAGTACCGGCTACGCGCATGTATCGATATCAGATCGGCAGGCGTTGCGTAGGGGAGGTCTAGAGGCGAGGGCCTAGAGCTTGGTTACTGGGGAAGGGAGGGGAGGGAAAAAAGTGGAGTTTCTCCGAGAATGGGGAGGGCGAAAGGTAGGGTCTGTGGCAGCTACCAATGGGCTGTATGCAGTCTTCACAGTCCATATTGCATGGTGTTGAAGGACACACTTCCCACATCGACGTGAATCCCTGCTCGCCCAAGCAGAAAGATCAAATTTCCGGTGGTTGAAGGCCGCATACGGTAATATCGGATATGCATTCGCTTCGGCAGCACGTACTGTGCGTACTCCCTAGCTCGTGCAGCTTGACGTCTTGTTTTGAAGCGTTAAGCGTGAGTGTGACGATTGTGCACCCCCCTTACTTTCTGATCGAGCACAGAAATTGAAGCGAGCGGCGGTCCGAGGGCCGCGTTCTTTTGTTTCGGAACGACGAAGAACCGTGGGAGAGGTCTGGAGGGTCGAATGGTCATCTGCAGGACCCGGGTTCCTGGTGCGGCATGCTGCCAACGAGCAAAAAGGGAGGAAGAGACACCATCCGGTGCGCCCCAAGGCGCGGGTGATGTGATCTGCTAGACGCGCGCCGCTCAGCCCTTTGGCATGTCTCTCCTCTTGTCACTCTAGCTGACAATCGCTGGACAAGATAAGCATTCGCTTGACAAAGCCGCATCTTGGGATGAGAGATCGAGACAGATGACGGCATTTTATGATCACGCACACACACATATCGTCGTTTACCTCAATGTGTTTAATGTACACCTCTCCAAGCTCTCTCTTGCCTCCAGTAGCATGGCCAGACTATTTTTAGGAAGGCGACCGTTCCTACGTCCAGCCCGACTGCTCGAGTGACTTTCCCCTCCAATCATTCTACAGTTACTTTCGGCTATGACGTTCCCGCCCCCTCGGCACGACCGCGTCGAACAGTTGGAAGTACTAGAGAGAAATTTTTTTGCGACACTGATCTCGTTTGCAGATCAATCAGCAGGCTCAACAGCCACGTGGGAAGATGAGCCAGCAATCGGTGAGTCCGCATTGCGCGGCTGGTGTTGGACGAACCTCATACATGTCAGGGGGGGCTTATCATTCAGCAAGGGTGAAGGCGTAAAAACCTTGATCGCCATCATGACTGAGCCCACTTACAAAGAGACGTTTACTGAAATATGGTTAGGAAATCCGATTATCGGCTGTTGTATCCGTTTCAGATTGCGCTTCGCCAGGGAAAAAGAAATCCTACCCAGAATTCTCCGACGTAACCGAATCAAGGTGGACCGATGCAAGTGAAATGGGTGGTCTAGAGCGGGCTCAACGAACTGCTCTGCCATGCGTCTACAGGTTTATCGTCTGAAAGATTATTGGGAACGATGGTGCCCAGGCAGCCATGAAAAGACCCTGCCCGCTACTATTGATAGGTGTCACTGTGCAGGGATTATTGACATGGACGTCTGTCTTCTTCACGATATCGAACTCCTGGCTTGCACACCACATCGCATGCCCAGCCATGCTTCACATACCGCAGGGCTGACCAGGTCAGCGTGAGGGAGAGATGTCTCATGGATGCAGGAATGAAATAAGGGCAGCGCGAGGTTGATAGTCAAAATCGATGCACGGATGGGGAAGACGGATGTAGAGGGGTATTGCAGCCGAAGGCTAGTGCGAAGAATAACACCTGGGCAGACTATGCCTCCGCAACAACATGTATGGGCAGCGGAAGCTATCGTACGAGCGAAACTGTATGTGTTAATGCCACATTTACATCCGGATGATAGCTTCAACTGGCCATGGCATGAGCGAAAGACAAATCCACGCTAGGCTTCGGCTGCGATAGTCCTCTGTAAGGGAAGTGACACCACATCGATTTTTTCCCTTGTCCAGCTGAGGCGTGTGGCGCAAGTACCGCATATGCGCCGCAGGAATGACTCTCGTCCGCTACGGTAGCCTTGAGTGCCAACGGTCGGTTGCAACCTGTGCAACCAGAACTAAGGCGATGGAAGGGTCTCAAGATCGCGAAGATCGAACCAAAAAGTCATGCAAGCAAAAGATTCTTCATTTTGTCCATAAAGTATCCACAAAGAAGGGTAAGGGGGCAGCCCACGCGCTCGAACTCTCTACTCGGGGCGTGTAGACCAGGTCGTTATGCACTTAGATGCATTGAAAATAATATTTGTTCCACTCCTTGCAGGTCGCGCCACTCTCGCAGGCGGTGGAGCCAGAGTAGTTCACACCGCCGCACTGCCCGTACCTGGCGACAGCGCTGCCAGAAGCAGAGCCGGAGGCAGCGGGCGTGGAGCTAGGAGTCTCGGCGGCGGTCTCGGCGGGAGTCTGCGCCGGAGTCTCGACAGGAGTCTCCGCAACCTCGACCGAAGTCGCCGACGTAGCGACTACTGCGCTGCTCGAAGTCTTAGTGGCGGCAGGGGTGGGGGTGGTGGCAGCTGGAGCGGTGGTCTCAACTGCGGGAGTAGACGTACTGCTGCTGTTGGTGCCAGCTGCGCTCTGGAGAGCAGACAGGATGGCATCGTAGGCAGGCTTCTTCTCCAAGTTCTCATCCCAAGGAAGGGCAGCACCGTAACCGGAGAAGGTCGAGGGCCTGTTGGACACGGGTCAGCACGGAACATTCAAGTGTCCAATCCAGTACTTACACCCATGAGTACTTGTCAGTGTAGTCCCAGATGGTGATACCCTTGCAAGAATCCTTCTGGTTCAGGCAGGCGTTGACGATGGTCTTGTAATCGGTAGCCTGCTGCTCCAGCTTGGCGTCGGTAGCCGGGGTCTCCATGCGGATGTCGAGCTCAGTGATGGCGGTCTCAACGCCGAGCGACGCGAAGTCCTGGATAACGCCCTCCAAGGCATCCTGCGAAACGGTGTTGCCAACAGTGAAGTGGGCCTGAAGACCAACACCGTCGATCTTGACACCATAGGACTGGATCAACTCAACAATCTTCTTGGCAGCCTTCTGCTTGTTGCCGGACCACTCAATGCTGTAGTCGTTGTAGTACAGCTTGGCATCGGGGTCAGCGGCAGCAGCAGCAGCGAAGGCAATGGGGAGGTAGGCCTCGCCGATGGTGTTGTAGAAGACATAGTCACGGTGGTTGCCATCGTCGTCAAGGGCCTCGTTCACGACGTCCCAGTGGGCGCAGCGGCCCTTGTAGTGGGTGACCTCGTTGGTGATGTGGTTCTTCAGGATCTCCACGAGGGTAGCATTGTCGAAGCCACCGGTCTTGACCCAGTTGGGCAGCTGGTTGTACCACACAAGGTTGTGGCAGCGCAGCTTCTGGCCATTGGCCTCGGCAAGATCGGCGATGACGTCTCCCTTGGTATAAGAAAAGCTGTCGCGAGAGGGCTCAATGGTATCCCACTTCATCGAGTTGCCCGGAGTGATCTGGCCGAAATCGGCCGTGTTGTTCAGACCCGCAACATAGTCGGTGTCGGTAAGCTCCGGGTTGTCGGTGGCAGAGCCAAAGTACTCAAGGCCAGCGGCCTGGGCAGCCGTGTTCAGACCAGCTGCAGCACGGCGACTAGATAATGTCAGTCAGGCCCAAATAAGGCCAAGGCGTCTTGAAGGGCTCACGAGAAAGGGATGGCCTGAGCGGCCTGGACGGCAAGCAAAGAAGTGAAGGCGGTAGCAACGAATGACATTTTGAGAAACAGACTTCAAGTCTTTACAAAGAGAAGAGCAGTGCTTGAAACAAGCAGTGGAAAGCGAAACAGAAGCACATATATACTCCTGACGGCGGTTAGGAGAGGCTGCGACGCGCCGGAGTTCCGTGTTAAGAGCAGCATGGCAAGCGAGGCCCGACGGGACGGCGGAGAAACAGTAACAAACAGCCAATGAGGTCTGGCGCAGTGTATATTGAAACGGCGTTAACTGAGCAAAAGAGTAAAGGGCTCGGGAAGCAGGGGCGAACTGCCGCCAAGCGAGCGGTTTAACGAGACGAGAGTGACGTTTGATCGGCGGGAGGCGAGCTTTAGACCGTTCCCTTTCGCAAATGAAGGCGGGGAGGTCGAAAGATTCTCCGCCCACCGCCCAGCCCTGAGAGAAGGGCGGAGCGGAGAGCGAGGCCTCGTCAGCCTCGTACCTTCCGCTCGCCGTGCAAGGCGTGGTGGTTCGCGGCTTGGAGCAGTGAAATACGTGGCCGCCGGTTCTCCCGTGAGAATGGTGTGGTCTCGCGCGATGAGAGCCCAATGCAGCAATGACTGCAGGCGAGCTTGCTCCTTTCGATCATGACTGTGCTGGAACTGGGTCTTAGGCGTAGAGGCCACCAAAGGTTCAGGAGTGCAGCCATAGGTACGCCACAAAGAGGAGCGGAAGGGTGGGAAATACGAGTCCTATTCCAGTGCTTACCTCGGCTGCCCGAGTCAGGTGTCTTACCGTTGTAGCATCGCGAGAAAGATGTCTTTTATGTGCTGTACATGGACCGGGCGAAGGGGCCTTTTCATACTGGAGGGGCCGTGTACAAGGCTGAAGGGCCAAGACACAGATAGGGTCGACTGACACATGGGTAATTGGCTTGCAGTGACGCCACAGAACCAGTACTGTTTCACGGCGAAAAGCGAAACGGGCGGAAAGGAGAGTAGGCTGCAACGGGCGGCGGAAAGCGAGCGTTTCAAACGCCAAGAGGCCGTTGCAAAGTGCCCAGGAGTGGGCTTGTGTCGCGTTGAAGGCTGTCGCAGGACGTTGGAGGCCGCAAGAGGAGCATGATGAGGGATGCGCGGACTCCTGGCCCCGCATGCATGGTGGAGCAGGTCTGGAACATGAGCTTGGCCATGCGGGCTGCCGGCCGGTCAGTTGCGTCGACCGTGGAGCAGCGTCGCCAGCTGACTTTAGACTTTGCGTCACCCACTGCTGCTCTCGCTCTCTCGCGCATCCCGCACGGGCCGAGCGAACCGAGATAGAGGTGCGGCTGGCGTTGATAACTGGCCAGAGGCGGGCGGCGTCCTTAGGCAGCCGCGCACGGGCCGTGGGGTGCTGCTATTCCGAGCGCGGTGATGGAATCACAGGACTCTCGCAATGCCGGCGACCCGTCTGAAGAGCCAGTTGGTGATCCGACCGCGTCACGTTCAGCGAGTTGACGTACCCGCGGCGTCCCCGGCATGGCAAATGCTGCTGACCGGCAGCGGGCAAGCCCGATGCTGTAGTGCGCGCCGCGGATGGTCGCCAGGCAGCCGTCGATTGGCGCTCCGTGTCGCATGCACGTCGCGCTTCTTTTTTGCTCATGTGCGCTGGCGGGTCTTCGTGCAGGCAGCGCGCGGCCCGAGAGCGAGTCACCGCAGGGGGCGCGGTGAAGGCGGGCGGACCTGTCTGTTAGATTAGGGCTGAGGAAAAGCCCATCGGCTGCCATTGGCCCAAAACTCCACAGTTGGCCTAGGCTAGTCCCCTCATCCCTGCTAATTTAACCCCAGAGACCATCAGGTCGGTGCCGGAGTCCGACTCTGCAGCGGCCAAGCATTCCGCCCTCCCACCCAGGTACGCAATTACTGATATATAAACACTCACGCCCGCCTGTTTCTCTTGTCTCTCATCTATCGACCTCGTCTGGACTCCATCGCGACTCGAAAACAATCAACGAAACACAACAAACAATAAATGGATACCACCCCTCAGTCCAACATGGCCACCCGCACATACACCCAGTCCTCTACCTCGACAAGAGCCTCGGTTGAGCCCGCCTCGCCCAGCGCAAACTCGCAAACTTTCTGCTTCAACAACACCAAGCCAATTCCCCGCTCCGTGCCCTCGGCCGAGCAGAACTTCTTCGGCGCCATCAAGGAGAAGATCAGGGAACGCTCGAGAAGCCGGTCGCGCGACTCTCGCTCGCGCTCGCCCATGCCTCCTACCCACCTCCACTCTTCGCCCTCCGCTTCGCCCGTGAGGAGCCAGGAGGTGCGCCGTGTGAACTCGTCCTCAACCACCAGCTCCACTCTGTCTCCTGCTCCCACCAAACGCCAGAGCACCGACAGCAGCCATTTCTACTACGGAAGACATACGAACCAGTGGCTTTTCGGTGGCTTCAGCGTGCGGGAGACGGTCAAGGACGCCTATCACCACATCCGCGGCGAACACTAAATCTTTCACCACGCCTATCACACTTCTCTTCAACTGCGGTGCCGGTATACTGCTTCTTCCAGAGATTGATTCTCTGCCTCGTTCATTGAAAACACCAGCATGGCTCTGGGAACGAGTTCGACGACAACCCATGATCAATGAGACCGGGAAGCAAGATTATCAGGGGATGAGCACGGATTGTATGGATTCTTAATGCGGAGAAGACTTTTCTGGATTTGTACACTTTGATTAGACACTCTTATACCCCTTTGGAGATTCTTGTATCAATAGTTCCTCTGCTTCGACTCCATCTGGAGACCAAAATTTCAACATTCAATTCAGTTTGATTGCACCCCACAGTTCTGCGAATACGTGAGCCTAAAATTGGAAGCTTTGATCGCTTTCCATAAAGTCTTTATCACTTCATTTGCCACGCGCCTGACGCTGGCCCGTTGCAGATAAGAGGACAGCGCACGGCCCGTAGGGCTCGGGTGATCTCATTGCAACAAGGTTTAGCGCGCTTGGCAGCCCCTTCTCCCTGAATAACTCGCTGTAGGGCTGAACATGACCGCCCACACCACTCCTCGCCCGCCCCGACCACCAGAGCGCTTTTGCTCGCTCCACGCGTCGCTCGTCGTAACTCCTAATATTGCTCTCCTGCGCGCGACGGCTCTTGTGTTCCGACGACCCGCCGCTAGCAGCCCTGCCCCTGTCATCAAGGGTTCTCTGAATCCGGTGCGCCTTGCATAACGCGCACATGTCACTGCTTATGTTCCTAGCAGGGTTGGAGGATGGAATAACACTTTCTAAGTTCAGGCAATGTGTGATGACACAACTGCGGCCACGTCAACCAAGTTTCACAGCTCTTCCGATCCTGGTCAACCTCCATGTCCTCGCATCCCGAGCGCTTTAACGGAACCACTTGCTCATCTGTTTGTTCTTCACCACGCCAAATACGCGTGCAAAGCGCAGAGCTTACCGGAGTCATGTCCGACCAACCAAGAGAAAGAGGTCACTTCTCTCATCGTGCGCTGCAATTGACTGCTAAGCTTGTTTACGAGCCAACCTTTGACTGCCGAGAAACCCTTGCTCACCTGAGACTAACTTAATCCAGCATGTGCTCTTTGCTCTCGGCTGAAGATCACATATATGCCGGAGTGCTCTACTGCCGATCCCGTCCTACGCATCTCAGCTGAAAGGCATGCCGGGTCCGTTGGAGATCCCAGGAACGCGGACCTTCGAATGATTCGTCCCAACGTCATACAGAACGGCTTTTTCCGGCTGGGCCGACCCGCCTCTGCCGAATGGCTACCTACCCACATGGATCGCGGCTGGACGCTGGATTGTGCGACCGTCTTTCAGACACGGAATTAGCCTGGTGTCCCGCTCCATTCCTCAGAGTGCGATACGTCGACTTCGAGACTAGGCGTTCCCATGATTGCGGAATGGCTAGACAAGTGTCGTTTCAAGCAGTAAGATTTCATAGACAACCCCTAGCAGAGGGGATTTGTTTTCATGAAACGATTAATAATGGACGTGTACAATCCAGTTCATTGTTCACCATTCGCCACATGAAGCTTCGCCTTGCAGTCTGGGGTCAGAGGATCAGCAGTCGAGTCGTACAGAACGGATATACATGTTTTTAAGCTTGTCGGCAGGACGATCTGGAGTTACGCTGGATCTTCCGCCTGCGTTCACCCAAACCTTCGCCTGTATCTTTCAATTTCAGTGAAGGCGGAGGGTTGACATGACGCAAGCAGTATGAAGAACTAACAATGAGCATTCAACCCACCAAACCTTTCATATGTTCTATAAAGACATGTGATCTGCCAGCTTTACAGTGTGGAACCGGGCAACGACGAATCTGAGCACTGGTAGGTGGTAAGACCACGAGACGAATGGATGGAGAGAGAATAAATAACTGCCCGCCTCTAGTCAATCATCTAGATACTAGAAAGGCTAAACTCTAAGGCAAATTTGAGCTTGCGAACTTTGAAGAATACAGGTACGGAGAAATCCGGGCCGTACGCATGCGAAATTGTTATTGAACTACAGGGAATCACATGGATCGCGTAGGAATTCTATTCTAGGGCCGAACTTCTCGAGTAGTGGCCAGGTCGCGTTGCCATCGGTCTTCTTTCGCTATAATTCTACAGGGAAACTGTGTGCTTTAACCGAGATAGGAAATGCATAGCCGTATGGTCCTACTGACCTGAAACCCACAAACCCGCAGCCGGTTGGACATTTAAGAACCGACCATTGTTCCTTACTGAGATTTCCTTGCCGATTCTTCAAGTGTACTCCCATATGTTGTAGGATGGCCTCGCTTTCATATGCAGCGTGGTAGTGTCCTCTTCCGGACAATTGTCGGGCTTTGCGAAGCTTTAACAAATAACCTCGGAGGGCCCTTCAACACTACTGTCGACGCCGGCTGACATTGCAGCCGGCGGCAGGGTGTCGAAGGGCACCTCCATCACAGACTTGATAGTGCTGACGACATCATCGGGGGAGATCCAAGCTCCGTGAGCGTGCCTTTCCGCGAGTTGAGGTGAAGTTTTTGTTTTTGCATTCTCTTAACTCCGACTCGGTTGTCCCCAAATTCTGGGTAAGCATGCCCCACCCGTTGCGAAGTGGGGGCGAGAATGCTGAGGTTGCACAACGCTGACCTTTACCGATCGCCTCTTAATACTCCCGAGCTGCACCAACAGCTGGCACTGCCACGTCGTCACACACCTGGTTTCATTAACCAAAAAAGGTTCACTTAGCATACAAGCGTCCGGCGGCACAAGGAACTCGGCACAGCTTTGTTACTACCTGAGGCTGGCTATGATCTATTTAACCACGAAACGAATTCATTCCCCCACCAATGTTAGTGCGCCAGACGCGAGCGACGCTCATTCCGACAAAAAACAACGGACAACGAACAGCGATGGCCCCGAAACATTGCCAGAAGAGATATTTCCACAGCCGACAAACTCAGACTCAGCAGACCAAGAAACGACAATTTCAGTGACAGATGAGGATAGCTGCTCCTCGGAGTCGGAATACCTATCGACAGATGAGGAAGAGGAAAAAACCGAATTGGATCCAGAAGAGCTGTCGCACCTTTGTGACAGGTGTCTCAAAATTGATTTCGACGACGTTTTTTCGCGACAACCCATGGAACGTGGCGGTGACCCTATCCTTTGGTTCTATTCTGAGCACAAAGTTCTTGATGATCCACGATGTGCGTTCTGTCAGGCAATGCAGTTCATCCATCCATCTTTGGATACGCTGCCAGAATGGAAGAAGCGGATAGCTCCATTGGTGGTAGGGACAATCCAGAACAAATCCAGGTGGGAAAGTGGTTGGGATGTGACAGGAGACAGAATCTGTCTTACATTCGGATACCATCGGGAGCCTCCGGCCAATAGACGCAACGACATCCATCGTTGGACGAAGAGGAAAGTGGAGTTGCGGAACTCTGGTCCTGATGATCATTTATTCACTCATGAATTGGTCGGTTATCTTGCAGAGAAGCGGACTATTGAATTGGATAAAAATGCTCTCCCCGCAGCTGCAATAAAATCCCGGGTCAATTTTGGCACGATAAGGAGGAGGCTGAAAGAGTGTCGGGAGGAACATGAGGAATGCAGAAACAAGCGTGGCAAATACATTCAAAGGGTACCGGGCATGCGGTTGATTGACTGCAAAACTCGGACGGTTGTTCCTGCTCCTGAAGGAGCTTCCTACGCAGCTTTGTCCTACGTTTGGGGCACGATCGAGAATGAGCCGATCGGGAAAGATTGCTCTGGGAAGCTACCGGACAGGCTCCCGAATACGATCTCGGATGCTATACTGGTCACTCGAAAATTGAAGCTACGCTATCTCTGGGTCGATAGGTACTGCATACGACAAGGCGTCCACACCAAGGAAGAGATGGATGAGAAGCACGGACAGATTGTGAGAATGCATAACATTTATAAGCGATCATCTATAACCCTCATAGCTGCTGCTGGAGATGGGCCACACTACGGCTTACCGGGGGTAAGAACGAAGCAGCGCTGCCCGCCTCCTATCGTACGCCTCCCCCACCGCACGCTCTTTGCGACACTTCCAGATCCAAAGCTTTTAGTAGATGTTTCAAAATGGTCTTCAAGAGGTTGGACATTCCAGGAGGGGCTGCTGGCAAGACGACTGCTTGTTTTTACTGATCAACAAGTCTACTTCCAGTGTGGACAAACGGGAGATGCTGAAGCTTGGGAAGAATGTGGAGAAGAGAACATGGCCGAGTACTTTGATGTCAACCAAAACACGCCTCTCTATCCTTACTTTGCACTGGGAGAAGGAGGCGTTCCATCTGTCTGGCCAAGGATCGACCAATATGTCAATCTCACCTTAGGGAACCGAGAAGATGTCCTCAACGCCATTCTCGGTATTCTCACACACTACGAAGAATTAAATTCCATACGACATATTGCCGGTCTTCCGATGTCACCACGATCATCTCCTCCACAATGGTGCGAGGAGCTCGCTGACGCTTTATCCTGGGAATGCGACCACCCTGGAGAGAGATTCCCCAGCTTCCCTTCTTGGTCGTGGACTGGATGGACCTGCAAAGGCTTGGAGCGAAATGTGAGGGTCAACCGCCTTCCCGCACACAGGATCAGGGCATGGAGCATCTCAGTCGATGTTGACCTCGATACGCTCCTGAAAGGGGGCAACGACCTTTCTCAGGTAAAGTCTCTTCGCGTCACCGCACCATTTTTGGAGGCGACAATGATACCCATGGATGGGATATCAGAGGATTGCTACTATTGGATTGAAAACCACATGTGGGATGCTGACGGCTTTGACAACAACGAGAAAAGTCTCGGGGTGCGATATCTTGGGGTTGAAGAAGTTTATTTCATAAATCTTACCGACTCTAGTTTGCTGAAAACACCTTTACCTTCTGGAGCGATTCGATGTTCCGCTATCATTATGGATGAGGATCGCTTGGACATTCCGGACGACCAGTTGGGAAAGGATGGTGATCCAACACCCACGAGCATTTCGAGAGACCATGCCACTGCGCTTCTAGTGGTAGAAAGGGAGAACGGGTTCGAAAAGGTTGGCGTTTCAGGCATTGATCGTCGGGCTCTCAGACGAGTAGGCTCAGTGATTCGGGAATTTAGGCTCATATAGCTAGTCTTAGTAATACAGCTAGCCTCACCTTTGAGCTCTTCAGAAAATGCTCATCTCGGCACCATGTTTTTCTCGAAGAAATTTGGAGGAACATGCTCTGCAGCCAAGAGAATCTAATGCCCAATATTGAAGGTGATCTCAAAGGGAAAGTAAAGGTGTAGTTCGATATTGCTACAGTTGATAAGTGGTGTTGCTGAAATGTTTATGCTAACGTCAATATTTGAGCCACAGTCGAATTCCCCTTCAACATCTGGCTAAGCTCGATTGCGCAGCATTGAGCCGCCAACTCCGGAGCCACCGGCCAGAGGGCCGTCCCGTACCCTGCAACACCGAACGCCGGTCGAGCCGGGGTGCATTCCTTATCGAAATTTGGCAAGGCGCCGCACGAAAGCGATGGATCGCAGGCCCCGCATCGGAGTATTGCGAATCATGCTATCCCGCCCACTCTTAGGTACGGTTCCAATTCTTCTCACGCAAAACTACTCCGCAACCAATTCCGCATCGCCCAGAGCTCAAGACGTATTTAAAGAGCTGCCGGAAAACGTGCGGGGAAAGCGAGCCGATAACGCGGACCAACACAGCTAGATAACCGCCATGGCGTCGACGTCATCGTCTGAGCACAAGCCCGCGGGGCTGCCCGTCCCCAACTCGACCTCATCCTTCTGGCACAGCGAGCCCAATCAATTCCTCCTCGGCCATCGCACCACCCCCGAGCTCCCCGCCGAAGCCGACTTTGTCATCGTCGGCAGCGGTATCACGGGCACCTCGGTAGCGCGCTTTCTGGCCGAAGATGAGCGCGCCAAGGGCAAGAGCATCGTGCTCCTCGAGGCGCGAGAGGCCTGCTGGGGAGCCACAGGCCGCAATGGAGGTATACGCACCAGCCCAGCCCAATGCCTCACGGCCGCCCGCTAACCGCTGCATCCAGGCCACTGCCAGGTGCTCCCCGTCGCGCGCGCGCTCGATGTGACGCAGTTTGAAGTGCTCAACTACAACGCGGTCAAGGCGTACATCGAGGAGAACCAGGTGCCGTGCGAATGGCGTTCGCTCGACGGCTGCCGCAGCTACTACTCGGAGGAGATGTTCGCCGTGGCGCAGGCCGAGGTGGCGGCGCTGCACGCAAAGGACCCGGAGCTGGGCAAGATCGTGCGCGTCGTGACGGAGCGCGACGAGCTGGCCGCCCACCGCGTCGCAAAGGCCGTCGGCTGCACGCTGACCAGCGCCGCCGCCTCGCTGTGGCCCTACAAGCTCGTCACCTTCATCCTCGAGAAGCTGGTCAAGAGCGGCCGCCTCAACCTGCAGACCAACACCCCCGTCGACTCCATCTCCGCCACTGAGGATGCGGCGCTGGCGTCGTCCTACCCGCACACCTTAAACACCCCCCGCGGCGCCGTCCGCGCCCGCACCGTCATCCTCGCTACCAATGGCTACACCTCGCACCTGCTGCCCGACTTTGCGGACCTGATCGTGCCCGTGCGCGGCGAGATGTCGTCGCTGCTGCCGCCCAAGGGCGCGCCGCGCCTGGACGACTCGTACGGCCTGTGCGGGCAGCCGGGCCAGCCCGCCCACGGCGACGACTACCTCAACCAGCGGCCCTACGAGGGCGTGCCCAACCCGGCCGGCCACTACATGTACGGCGGTGGCGACGGCGCGGCCGACCACGAGCGCATCGGCGTGTGGGACGACAGCATCGTGGACAAGGGCATGGCGGCGTGGCTGCGCCGTCGGCTGTTGGAGTACATGGAGCTCGGGGGAGAGACGGAGGGGCTGGAGGAGCTGGAGGCGACGCATCAGTGGACGGGTATCATGGGGTACTCGCGCGATAACGTGCCGTGGGTGGGTAAGGTGCCTGGGAAGGGCGTGTGGTTGTCGGGTGGTTATACCGGTGAGTCTGTCTTGCTAATTTCCGCATGTTAGCTTGCTGACGAGTATGAACAGGCCATGGTATGCCCAACGGCACGCTCTGCGGCAAGGCTGTCGTGGAACTGGTGCTGGCGGACGAGGCGGGTGTCCCGGCTTCCGAGGCGCAGCAGAAGGTCGTCAAGGAGGTCGGCCTGCCGAAGAGCTACCTCATCACTGAGGATAGGTTTGCTGAGGTTCGCAAGCTGCCTACGGTTGCCGAGGCAGACGCGATGGGCGCGATTGGCAACCATGCGAGGCAGGAGTCCAAGCCTCAGCCGCGCACGTCCGGCGTCTTTGAGTATCTGAAGAGCTTTGTGACCTCTCCGAAGTAGTGAGTTGTCTGAAGAACGGAAGACGTAGATGAACTGATGAGATAGAGACCAAAGTGGAGATAAAGGTCCCAGAGACAGACAGTCACATCAATACAGTCATGTAGATCGAGACTTGAATTTCTCTGTTCACAGTTGCATATTCCTCGTGCGACCACCGGAATGTCAATTCGGTTCCATTGATATTGCAAGGGAGTGACTGAAGCGTCTAGCTGAAAGTGAATGTGTCTTGTGCGTCGGTGCGCAACAGCGGGGAGAGTGAATGCCACAAGGAATTTGGCATGGTGTATATAAGGCCCTCCAGTAAGTCATTCTGCCACTACAAACCCTGGTCAAGGGCGAAATTAGTGTACCATAGCGAAACCCCCGAACTAGTGGTGCCGGCTGCTTGGATGTTCAGACTGGGTTCCGGCCATTATTGTAGCAACATCTCTAAAGGGTTTCAAGCTCAATTCCCCATTCTTTTTTTTTTTTCACTCTTTATTTAGTCTTACTGGCTCTATAATTTTCATCACCATGTAAATGCTAACTGGAGATGTTAATCTTCAAGTCAGGACCGGTCTAGATGGCCTATTCGCACGGACCACAACTGGAGACTGATCACTTCCCCGCAAGAAACGTCAAAAAAGCTTGTTTATCTTATTTCAAGATCACCTCGAACCTCCAGGCAGCACTTCACGAAAAAAGGAGTATTCCAACGGACCGAAGCGACGGCTATCGTTAATGGCTTCAGGCAACAGCCCAATTACAGAGTAGCGCGGCATGGCGGCGGATCCTTCCGAGGTATATTTAATATGCCAACCGCCGCGATACACTTGAAGCTCCCTCACTTGATTGAGGACAACTACACACATAAACATCAACGATGCGTTTCTGGACCAGAGCTCGGTCTCGACGAGCAGACATACCGATGTGCGATTCACCTCGCGACACGCTCCCACTACCGGCCGAGATAACGCGGCGGATCCTATTCTTTGTCTCAGAGCCAACCATCACTTACGATGGCCGTAAACGGACGTACAAGTACGACCGGCCGCGCAACCTCCACCACCCGCCCGGCGACATCCAAAACGCCCGGCTCGTGTGCAAGACATTCGCCGACCTGGGAGCAGAGTTCCTCTTCCAGAACCTGATCATCTCGGCAGACCACCGCCAGCTCGCGCACGTCAAGGAGATCGCCGAGCACAAACGTCTCTGCAAGGCGGTGCGCAGCCTCTACTACGACAGCAGGACCTCGCACACCCTGTGGGCCCACGACGACTCCGACTCGATCTCGGACTCGGAGGACGACCAATGGGGCATCAACAAAGGCCCGCACTACCGCCGCAAGCAAAAGCGCTACTACCACGAGCAAGAAGACATCCTCGACCGCTCCCTCGACACCGAGTGCCTCCGCACCGCCCTCGCCACCACCCTGACGGCCGTGACCCGCGTGCGCTGCAAGCCGCGCGAGCGCTTCGACCATCATCACCGCGACCCTGGCGACGTCTCGTCGCCGACGCGCAACCACGCCGCCGCCAGCAACGACGGCCGCGACTCACGCCCGCTCTACCACCTCGCCGCCGCCATGACGGGCGTGCCGGCGCACAACATCCGCACCCTCTCCCTCGCCTTCGACGTCACCCTCCTCGCCGACGCCAAGCTCGCGCCCGCCCGCTTCGCCTCCCTGCGCGCCGCCCTGGCGCCCGTCACGAATCTCACGCTCGCCATCCGCGCCAGCGGCGACGACGATGACTACGACGCGGGCGACGGCGACCTGTCGGCGGCGGCGGCCCGTTCAGACAGGTTCGCTCGATACGCCGAGGCCTTCGGCACGCACAGCAGCACCGCCTCCCTCTGCCGCGCGCTGCTGGCCGACCCGGCGACGCTGGCCGCCCTCGCCGACGCCACGTCGCCCGCCCTGCACCGCTTCAAGCTCAACCTCAGCGCCGACGGCCGGCGGCGGTCCGGCTATGCGGCGTTCCGCTACGACGACGCGCTGCCGCTGAGCTGCTACCTCGGCTCTGCCGCCGCTGCGAGCGATGATGGCGCGAGCACCAGCAGCAGGTGGCCGGCGCTGCGGTATCTCTATCTCGGCTGCGTGGGCGTGACGCAGGATGAGCTGGTGCCGTTCCTGCTGGCGCGGAGGAAGACGCTGGCGTTTGTCGAGTTCGACCGCGTCACGCTGCACCGGGGCCAGTGGTGTGTGGTCGGCGCGGTGGTGCTGAATGCGTGTCCGACGTGGCGGTGGGCGAAGATGAGTGGGTTGAGGCAGGTCGAGAAGAGGAGGGAAGTTGTGGATTTGCCGATGGAGGTGGTGGAGGCGATCCGGGAGGTGGAGGAGGAGGAAGAGGAAGAGGGGCGGTGGAGTGGGGAGAAGAGGGAGGGACCGAGGAGGGTTAGGTGGGATGAGTGTTACTTTGCGGAGGAGGATGGGAGTTCGACCCTCTTTGGTGGGGTGGATCCGGAGGCAGAGGGGCCTGGGTATGGGAATCCGGTGTGATGGAGGAGGGGATGGGTGATGTGCTTTTGTGTCGAATACAGCAATATACTGGTATACTAGAATAGCAAATCGAACTCCATTCGTATAGAAATGAACTGACTAACTATAGTATCCGAAACCTGAACTCAAAGCAACCTTGCTGATTGTTCCTCGTCTTCAACGAAGTGCAATAGTCTTGACGTCCTTCTTGTCCTCGTCCTCGAAAGCTTTCCCATACATATATTCCTGCATGTATCCGGTACCTACCACCGTATAGCAACGGCGAGGTTCCGGATATTCATCACCAGCGAAAGGGATTTGATGCGGTCGAAGGATGAAGGGGACAGGACATCCGAGTATGATATGGACTTCATCACCAGGACATGCACCTGTAGGAGCCAAGCCAATCGATCCTCGTTCAGTCAAGAACATTCGTCTCTGCCACAAGCAGACCAGGAGATGGTAAATTGCCTTTGCATCCTTCCCGAGTAGGCTTTCGTATGAGCTGTCCGAGAGCGAAAGCTTGGCGAATCCGAGGAAAGGTTGAAATTTCAGTAGCATGTTCCACATTTCTCGTAAATTGCGATAGTCATTCTCGTCGGCTCGTTTGTAGAAGGGGCTGGTGCTCGTGTCCAACTCAGAGCAGTCATTGATCATAGTTCGCCAGAAGTTATCGGACTGCGAGCCGTGTTGAGGCGATTGTTCCGGCCACCCCATCATTTCAAGCCCAATCATCCCCATCCACTGACGGAAGACGTCTGGTACCTGTTCGAAATTCTCCAGTGCATCAAAGGCGGTACCAATACTTGCAATGCTATCAACCTCGAGGGATTGTAGCAGAAGCGTTCCATCCTTGGATAGCTCAAGCTGTGTCGTTTCCTGGCGGACAGATGCGGAGGCGGAGAAGCCAGAGGCCATTCTGAGTCTTCGCTGTTCGACTAAGACCCATTGCGATGGAATTGAAGTGAAATTGACGTCTGGAACCCAAGATGGCATGGTATCCTCACTGCTTCGAAACTGTCTTTCGCCCTGTAGAAATTCCGTGCCGTCTTGTTCTGAGATGCATTTGAAGACTGCCTTGGTAACGGCACTCTCCAAAGGAACTCCGTAGTCTGGTATCAGAGGAGAAGCAGAACGCCATGTCGTAACGAGACCAAGAAGGGCATAGTGGAGATCCCGTTTTTCAGAAGCATGAAATGCGGAGAACTGTCGACGAAGTTCAAACAAAGTAGTAGGGGCTCGATTTTTCCATGTCTCACGTGTAGAGACCATTGGCTCCACCTGCTCCTGAAAGACCATAAGTGGATCGAAAGCGGCACCTTTAAGTTCCATTCTGCGAGGTTTGCAACATGTTGTGGCGTGGGTATTCAGGACGTGAACCACTGATCTCAGAGTCTCATATGAGAACTCTTCAGATGCGTACAGAAACTGTACTTTCTCGGGTAAAACCATCTCCTGAACAACCCAAATTCTTGTCCACCACGGTGAATTCAGCAAATGCCCGAGTGCCTGAAAGGATTCAGTATACTCCGATGATATCTCAAGTCGCTGGCCGTTGTCGAATGAGAAACACGGCAACTCGTCGAAATGCTTGTCTCTCCCGAGCGTCGCGAGTAGCTCGCATGCTAGTTTGCTGGTAGTCGTGGACGTCGATCCCTCTTCGGTAGCACCCTGCTCTTCTCCTAGCCAGAGGACGGCTTTCGTACAACGGCTATAGATTTTGTCCATCATGGCCACCTGACGAGACTTCTCATCGTTGTCATTCTGATTGATACAGATAGCATCAATCCAAAGAACACGACGCGCATCGTGGTAGCGAAGGCGCCGTAATGCCATCCATAGATTCGCAGTGGCTTCGAAGGACTGATCGCCCAGTTGAATTGGCTTCCGCTTTTCCGGGTCTCCCCATACATACGAGAGCGCTTCGTATGTTGGCCCTTCGTCGAACGACACGACGTCAAGGCTGCAGGTGATCGCATCATCCCACGTCCCCGGCATCAACGTGACGAGTCGTATCTCTGGGTGGTCTGCATCCTGGCTCAACGAAGTGTATCGAATATGCTGATTGGGTGGCTCCGGAGCCATTCTCAGAAAAGAAATGATAAAGGTAGAAGCAGACGAGGTTCGTACGAGACTGTTGGGTTTTTGGATGAACAGTGATATGTTAAGGATCTCCTGAGAAGGATGGGAGAGAGACTTAATATATCCAAAGTGTTCGTGATGTGTTGGCATGAAATGCCATCATTAATGGACCCACAAGCTCGGGTTTCTCTGTATGAGAACTCATTGCAACTCCCAAGAAGCAAGACGCGCGTCTCAGCTCCACACTGGAGCAGCTTACTTCACACCTCCCCACTTCATTGTCTTTCTCTTCCTGCTAGAAGGAGTCTGCCAATTTGACGATTGGACCCTGTGTGCATGAGAAGCAATGTAGTGAAGGTGTGTTGTCATCAGCAAAGGCGGGGCCGTCAGATGTTGGCTCACCAGAATGGCATATCGGCTGACTGACTGAATGGGCCCAACAGCAGCATGTTGCTCAGCTGCAGCTGTTGATCGGCACTAATTATCAGCTGCTATCACACGGAATTCACTGTATCCTCACGCACCAATGGTGATAAGGCACATCGGAATCGGTATCCAGTGAAGTCTGGCCTCCGCGAATTTTTCCAGCTCGATGCCATACCTCCACCGCTACCAATTTATGCAATCATTGCCGGAAACAGGTCTTTCTTTTCTATGCTTTTTCCGTGAAGACTTACATAGCGTCATGATATGTCCGCTTCTGGATGCCTGCAGCGTCAAGATCCTTGCTCGTCCCACAATCTCAATTCAACTCTTTCAATCGGAAAGCCAGTTGATCAGAGAGCTTGATCCATAAGCGCTGATTCAGTAAGGGTGCGTTATAGTCATCGGATTGCACATGTGCATACCATTTGGCAGTTACAAAATTAACTCCATTCGAGTGCGTACATTTTCTCTAAGCTCAATAAAAAAAAATGGCAGCGATAAGAGAGTGGCAATGAAACCTCCGCTACGTTTACGTCTGTGCCTGTGCAAGAACTTGCAGTGCGCTGACGAAGACTGTGGTGCGAAACTGAAGAGGTGAACGGGTGATGTATTGACCTGAAGAGAAAGCACAGAATGTCCTCCTTGGCGATCGCACCTGCCAACAGTGCCATGGGGATCCACAGTCGTGATACGTGTAACTTGAGGCAGCGCGGACCACTTCACTCACGAGGCATGGCTTGTCACATCAATTTTACGGAGATGGCAAAGGAAGCAGGCCTCATCGAGGCTGTATATCTAGTAGCACCAGTGCTATCCTCCTACGTTCTAATGAGCGGACGATCACGTGTGGCACGCAATGAGGGCAACAGTGTTGTGTCTTCCGAGGCTGGAGTCTCCACTGGAGTGTGCCTCCGCCTCGCATATGTGGGGACACCCCGATAAGGTTTCATTTGCTGGTCTGAAGATTAATAGATTAGTTTGTGGAAACTATAATGTATTGACTCTCCAAGAGATACGCGACCGGCAAACTACGTACATTCAGAGGTGGGGCTGAGCTCAAATAGGTCTTCTATTCTGGGTAAATATACGTGCGGCTCTTCGTACTTTAACATAGTTTACCAACATTTTAAGTGTTTGGATCAAATGAGTACTGTTCATGCTATGCGGTATACGGATGATACTAGAGCTTGCGACGATAGATAGATCTGTTCTTCCGTGATCCGAAAGGCAGCATTAACGACCGTAGCGATCTTCCGCTTGACCAACACCTTGATGACTTGCCTAGGGGCTGTTCTAGAACATCATTCAGTCATCTTTTGGGGCTCTCGCCATGGCTTGCAGTAGGGTGATCAACAAATAAACAAAGATAACCTTAAATTTGTATTGCTTAAGGGGCGCCGCGCCCGACCTCTGCTTTGTTTGGTAAGTATAATTTCAAAGACAAAAAAAAAGCTACTATAATACTGATTCAGCCTGCCACAGCATACGCATAAGCCATCCCGAGGCAGATTTGAAATGTCGGTGTGCTTCGTATTATAGAAAAAAAGGTTCGGCCCGTTTGCGCACTTGAGAAATGACGACATCCAATCAGCCTCCAACTCAAGTACGTGTTGATCAACCCATTCAGCTACTCCACTTCGCGGACGTTTGACCAAAATAAGTTTATCGTCACGCTTTCTTCTTTTGCGATTGTGCCGCCTCCAAGTCCGCCGCGCGCACGAGACAGCGTCGACTGCGGCTAATTTGAAGAAATCGGAGCTCAATTAGCTCTCAAAGCACAGGATTCCGTGCCTACTACTATACGACAGTAGAGAAGATAAGAGAGTACGCGCGTTATCTGTTTTGGTGGCCTGTGCCACCTGGCATATATTGCCACGTCCGCCGATCGAAGTAAGTCGGTACAAAGTACAGAGGAGTGCTAGTGCGGAAATTTTTTCTTCTGTGTGTTGGGGGCTGTCTCCGGCTTCGCCGGAGCCTTAGGTTAAGATTCTTTTGGAGTACTGTTTGTGGATATATATTGCCCTCAAAATTGTTAAAATCTCGCTTTGCTACATCAACAAAACATCGCGATTACTTCATCAGCATCTATGATAGCTTTCTTCAATTCGCTGCTCCAAAACCTACATCTTCTGTACAGCAATGTTTCCACATCCCGAGATGCACTCGTTTCCTTCGAATATCCAACAAAATCATACATGGAGTGAGTGGTGTCACAACCTGCGTCCAACCACCCTCATACCGCAGTCTGTAGAAGATGTCGGCCTTCCGCTCCGGGTTATCTCATGTGAAGCCCTCGTTAAAGACAACAAGATCGAGTGGGTTAAGCCTACGAGTTGGGACTTCGTTATCATTTCGCATCGCTGGCTGGAGAACGTCGCGTGGAAAGCGGATCACATCCGCCCGTACCCTGCCGCCGGAGGAATCATGGTCCAGGCTGTCCGAAGGGAATCCCTCAGGGTTTTGGCTCGGCTTTGTCAACGCCTTAAGTGGGACTACTTCTGGATCGACTGCATATGCATCGACCAGAAATCTCAATTGGAAAAGGCTCGGGAAATCGTGAACATGGCCAACTACTACAAGTTGGCTGCCAAGACTTTGATTTTTCCGTTCGGAGTCGACAAGGTTGGACCCCCTCTGGATCGAGAAGGAGAAGCGCCAGTCTGGCACAGCCGTGCCTGGACTCTGCAGGAAGAGGCAATGTCAGGAGACAGAGCTCACTTTGTCTTGTGCTTACCTGGCACGATCTCTCAAGACCAGACCGAAGATATCAACCCGATCATGTCCTGTCATCAAACTAATGATGACAAGGATTTTTTACAAAGTTTCGCGAACTTTGTGCCTGTCGAATCCGGCGATAAAAGGACCCAAGACAAGGCATATCTCTATCTTGTCAAGAAAGAAAAGATGACGAATTGGCGCAATTCTTACCTTGAATATTTGGATGTGAACGTTCAGGAGAAAGCAAGGGAGACCATCCACTTACTGAAACCCCTGCAGGTTTGGACTCTCTGGTCGGCACTCCGAGAGATGTTTAGACGCGACGCGAGTAACCCCGAGGACCGGCTTTATAGTCTTTTAGGGTTTATCGGTGTCACATTAGAGCCAAACGAGATCCAGTACGGTATTGGCCTTCGAGCTGCTCTTCGCAAGTTCATTAGAGCTCTCCATTTTGACCAAAGACTTTTGGTCACCGTGGTTGAAGCTTACCATGGCAATTTCATCGACGGCTACGGAACCCTCCCAGATTTCGGGGACAAAATCACATCTCGACCTGCACCTCTCCTGACACACATACGCACTCTTGGGACTGCAGACTTCCTCGGGCATGAAGGCATGCAGATTACCGCTCCGTCAATCACAGTAGACCTTGAGATGAGGGACATCTTGGAAGAACAGGGGGACATCTTGGAAGAACAGGAGCAGGGTACCATGACTAACGGCAAAAAGGGTCCAAGACGGGTCCAGTATGGCTTCATTCAACTGGTCAATGCAGCCCAGCGCAAGTCCAGCACAGGCGATGCCTGGATCCAGCCTGGTCATCCATCTCTTGATGTCACTTTAATCGCGGTTACAGAAATCGTAAGTCCAAAGTGGGAACTTTCACCACAGTACCGGAAAGGTGGCGAAGGTCAAGTTACATTTTGTTGTCTCGTATGTACCAACGGAGGATCGGTCAAGCGTAAGATTGGACTTGCGCTTATTGTAGCAGCATCCCATGCATGGACGATGTCGAGACATCAAGTAGGCTAGTACAGCGACGGGCCTCGTCTGCTCAGCTTCGAAGTCAGCCAGTGGTCATTTGATAATTTTATTCTATTTGTTTTATTTCACTTTCATTGAGAAACCATGACTTTATATTATACTACACTGAAAACGGACGTCTTAAACCGTTTTCCGTCCCTCTCGGCAGTTGTCTTTAGCACCAATGGATCCCCTGACTAGGTTTCCCATGACATCATCGACCCAAGCCAAACTATACCGACTATCCTACATGCGGTAACCGCACACCACGACCGCAGTCGAACCGGCTTGAACGGTCATGAGACATGCAGCAGCAAAGACCACGTATGTACGTAGGGCAGCTGTTGTCTCAAACAAAGCGTGAGAAAGCAAGGTACCGACGGTATCTAAAAAAAAGTTTGAGATACCGTGAGACAAAACTCCTAAGACTTCGGGCCTGAAGGAAGACTGAGACAAGGATCATGTGGACTTCACACTGAGAGTCACAGACACCATAAAATGACGTGAGATGGGACGTTGCATGCATGTGTATGAAATTCTTGATTCTCGTTTCCATTCATCATCGTACACGGATAAAGGGGAGAAGATAAAAAAGGGAAGTAAAAAGCTATACACGTAGCTGAACCCATGAAACCCATCCCATCGCCATTTGCCATACCCATTTTCCCAAATTAGTTTTTTAAAACACGTACGTCATCACCCTAATTGCCGCCATTCAGCAGCGCCTCCTTGTGGGTACCGGCACGGGGAGCGCCATTGTTATCAACAGCGCTGGGATTCACCGACGTAGCCTGGCCGTTGGCGGCGTGCAGCTCCGGCCTCGCAGCCATGCCGTTGTGGGAGCCGTTGAAGCGGAGGCCAGCGATGCCCTCGTAGCCGCGGACGCCCGTCGCCTTCTCGAGGCGGGTGGCCAGGTCGTTCGAGACCTCGCGGAAGATGGCGATCTGGCGCTTGATGATCTCCTCGCGGCGGCAGGTCGACATGTGACCGGCGACGGTCGCGATGAAGCGGTTGCGCGCGCCCTCGTCCCAGACGCGCTCCCACAGCGCGCGCGGCGCGACGAAGTCCTCCGGGCGGATCTCCGACAGGAAGGCGACGGCGTCGCCGATGAAGTGGCCGTGCGTCTTGTTGACGTCGGTGGTGCGCGTGCGGAACTGGACGGGCTGGATCGACGAGAGGTAGGCCGGGCGGCCGCCCTGGTTGTAGAAGGCCATGCTGCCGTCGCGCTGGAAGTTGGCCATGCGGTAGGGCACGCGCGGCGCGTTGACGGGCAGCTGGTGGTAGTTGGCGCCGAGGCGGTGGCGGTGCGTGTCCGGGTACGAGAAGAGACGGGACTGCAGGACCGGGTCGGCCGTGGGCTCGATGCCCGGCACCAGGTGCGACGGGCTGAAGGCGCTCTGCTCGATCTCGGCGAAGTAGTTTTTGGCATTCTCGTTGAGGAAGAACTCGCCGTACTTGCGCAGCGGGTACTCGGCCTGCGGCCACACGTGCGTCAGGTCGAAGACGTTGATCCTCTTATGCTCCCACGCATCCTCGGCCTGCTTGGGCGTCATTGTCTGCACGTAGCAGTCCCAGCCAGGGTAGTTGCCCTCCTCGATGGCGTAGTACAGATCCTTCTGCGAGTAGTCGGGCGACTTGGTGGCGGCCTCCTCATTGGTCAGGAACCTGTTGCCCTGCTTCGACTTGAAGTGGAACTGGGCGTAGACCCAGTCACCCTGGGCATTGACGAGCTTCATGGTGTGGCCCGAGTAGCCGTTCATGAAGCGGTAGCCGTCGGGAATGCCGCGGTCACCCATCAGGATCATGACCTGGTGGACGGCCTCGGGGTTCTGGGACAGGTAGTCCCAGAACATGGTCGAATCATCGCCGCCGCCGAGGTTGGTCGCCGGGTCGCGCTTCTGCGTGTGAATAAAGTGGGGGAACTTGGCCGGATCGCGCAGAAAGAAGACAGGGGTGTTGTTGCCGACCATGTCCCAGTTGCCCTCGTCGGTGCGGAACTTGACGGCGAAACCACGCGGGTCGCGGGCGCAGTCGGGTGAGCCGCGCTCACCGCCGACGGTGGAGAAGCGGAGGGTGATGGGGCATTGCTTGCCGGCCTTGAAAATGTCGGCGCAAGAGAGGTCGTCAAGTGGGGCGGTGGTCCTGTAGAAACCGTGCGCACCACTGCCCTTGGCGTGGACAACGCGTTCCGGAATGCGCTCGCGGTCGAAGTGCGAGAGCAGATCTATGAGATGGAAATCCTGGAGCAGCAGCGGGCCGTTCTCGCCGGCGCGCTGCGTCTCGTAGGGGTGTGAGTAAGGAGCGCCATTGCTGGCCGTGTAGAGCGTGTCTTGGGAAGTGGCGTTGCGGTCGTCTGTTCCTAGTTAGCCGAAATTTGTCTCGCAGGTTTTTTGGGCAGGCGTCGCCGACCACTGTAGTCCCGGTAGAGGTCGCCGTTCTTGCGGGCGTCTGCAGCGTGCGCCTACGCGAGTGTCAATTGGACATGGTCAATTGGTGAAGTTGGGACGGAAACTAACCTGGTAGCCGGGAGCCATCGTGGTTTGGGGCTGGTCTAAACGGTCTCAAAGAATCTCAAAGAAACAGAAAAACTGGCTCAGATGACAAGTGGAATAAGAGAGGCAAAAGCAAGAGCTGGAGAGAAAAGGCAAGGGCGACCGGGTTGAACTTCAGTTTTTATACATAGCACAAGAGCCGCATGGCTTGGCCTCTTGATGACGCCTGTACGACGCTCGAGCTGTAGGTCCGGGACTGCGGGGCGAACGGCATCACCTCAGCAGCGCGCTCTCGACCGACCCAGAGCAGCCAATGGCGCCGTTGCACATTACTCACTTTCGTGTCTTCGGTGTTCCGATCACTCAGCCGATGGCGTCCGTTCACCGAGTCCGGCGCCCACCGTGCTCAAGCTTCAGATTCGCCCCACCCGCTACGGAAAAAGTGGTGACGTCGCCCGCCCGTCCAGGGTTCTTTTTCCCAATTCTCACTCTGCTCGCAAATCAAACACTGCACGAGGAGTCCAGGCCCACGACAATGTTTCGGAGGCGATATGCATGGGAAAGCTTCTTCTGGATCCGCGGAACAAACTCCACTGCAAGCTTCCCGTAGTGTGCCGTGCTGAACGTCTCCTCCTAGTCGGATGTCCCGATGCAGTTAGTCATCTGCTTCCCCGCGCTGCTCATTCGCTCTGCAACACCTGCCGAACTTGCCGTCTGCAGCACCACGCGACAGAACCACTTCCCCACACGCCAGCGTATCCCTGCCAACTGATTACCATGTCCCCGCACATCGAACTGCGTGGCTTCCTGATGCTATTGCGCTCAGAATGCCATGCCCGTCATTTCCCCGCCGCCTTCGAACGGTCCCATGTCCCACACGTTGCCCACTTCGAGCGGCAAAAACCCTCCGAACACGTCCATCCCCGTTAGCTGCCCTTGGCTTACAGCAAATTCGCCAATCGTGTTCAGGTCGGTCCAGCTAAAGTCGCCAATGCCCTCCACGTTTGCGTTGTTTGCCATTGGGCTCTCGCCCATGCTGCCGCTGCCCGCTTGCGATGATGCTGCCGGCGTCGCATGCGCCAGTCCTGCTGCGTCGCCAAAGTGGTTGCGGTGTCCGACATGGCTGCCCCTGCCGCGTCCCGGAGGCTTGTGGTTGTCGGCCTTTTCCCAAAGAAGCTTGAGGAGTTGCGAGTAGCGGCTACCCAGGTGCTGCATTCCCACGCTCGAGCGTTGCAGTCGGTCAATCGTCTCGTCGATCATGCGCCTGATTCCCCGCTCTTCCTCGCCTTCGATCACGCCGACAATCTTCGCTCGGAACAGGAAGACCCCGGAATACACCAAGTAGAGGAAGAACCGGAGAGGCATGAATCGGAGTGCCTTTTCCGGGTCGATGAAGTTGTTGCACGTCGTCAAGATCGCCTTTGCTGCATCGAGACCCTCGTATATAAAGCGTGCATCCCCGACCGCTCCAACATTGTTCTAGAATCAATCCATTAGCGTACTATCCCTGGCTTGGAGCCCTGTCCTACTTACATAGAACAGCCGAGATGGCGATTGCGGGATCATTGGGCTTGTTGCAGAGGTTCGCTCTTCCGCCAATGTGCTCTGTACTCTGCGCACTGTTGCCTGGAATGCAAATGCATTCACGTACAGCCTGAACCGCACGTCAAACGTAAGCTATTGGAGTTTCATTGATCCAGCACCGTGACTTACCGCAGGTAGTTGTACGACATTAGAAGCATGGCCTTCAAATTTGGAGAGCATGTCAGGGTTCCCCACACTGCGTTCCAGCTGTAGCTGGCAGCGCGGAAGTCATCAATGAATTTAATGTAAGATCCGCTCAGATGGGAGCGGAATGAGGTGCCAACATTGGAGTATAAAACGTCATGAACATTGCTGAAAAGGGAAGTCAACTCGAGAGTTGCCTATAGCTGTATCAGTATATTGGCTCTATCTTGAAGACATACTGCTTACCTGAAATATGGATGCATAATCCTCGTCATTAGGGGTTTGGGGTAAAAGAGAAGGGTAGTGATCACGGCGAAGGCTAGTCAGCGGACCAGGACTACAAGCAGTCAGTAACAGACCCCCTACCAAGGATGCTGCATCTTGTTGTGGCGTTGAACTTACCCTCGCGACCAAAAGGCTTTGCCTATTCTGATGGAAATGGTGCGATCGGCTATGTAGCAGGCTTTGGAGAATAGTTAGTGCTTTTGTCCGAAAACATAGCACAGCGCCACAGTAGGTCGCATGTTTTTATTCCTCCGTGCTTTGCGAAGAGCAACACACATGCCCTTCGTAAGGAATCGAAATAAGACATACCAGTCCAGACCAAAAGTTTGCGGCTGAATTGCGGGTCTTTGCCATCATCCGTTACTTTGAACGAGTACTTTTCCAGGCCGAGGAAGTAAGCCAGCCTGAGGGCCAGTCCACTGGAGTTCCAAGCTTCACGGTCCTCTTCGCCCTTGCCGACTTTGCCGGACTGTGCTCTCTGCGTGAAAGGAGCCCACTCAGCGAGCAACAGCAATGCTTCCACCGCATCGACGTCACCAGGGCCCCCAGCAGCGAGATCTGAGATCATGCTCTTCATGTGGTCCGCGCAAATCTCATACATGTGTGTTTCTTCCACGAGGTCTTTGGATGCGATCACGAGGATGGCCGTCAGCAGATGCGGTTCCTTCTGAGCCACTTCGTGGAGCCGAGATAGGTCGAATACGTGCGGAGGCGCGAGCGGGTAGTATGGGTGGTATAGGCTACGATAGCGCTGTATGAGCTGGACAATCTGGTTCACCGAGAGCTTGCCGTCAGCAAGCAGTCGATACGGAGATGCCCGCAAGCCCGGTGGATCTGGGAGCCGCGCAAAGCTCGGCCGATCCTGCGCAGTCGCGGGAGTATCTTCCTCGGCGACGCGGGCCAGGATACCCAGCGCATCTGAGGGATTCTGGAGATTGTCAAACTCCATGGGAGTCGTGCCGGTGCCTTGCACTGATGTTTCTTCTTGTGTGGGCCGAGGAGGATTTGGTTCGAGGCTCGAAAAGTTTAGGCGCTGGCCTAGCGGTGGTGTGGTAGTTGTCCCCATGTTGCCGAGGCCGTGGAAGGCTACATTGTCCCCAGGAACAGTGAAGGCAGTGGTGAGATTGCGTGCGGTGCCGCCGATGCTGTCAGTAAGTGTTTTTCTTCTTACTCGACGGCCGCCGCGATTGGAACCTCCAAGGACGCATTCAAGGTTCTGGGCTTTGCACCGTTCGCACGGAAGCTTTGGTTTGTCGTTCTCATAATCACTGCTCCCAGGGTTAGTCAACCACAAATGAGGCGGAAGACTCTGCTCTCCCTATGGGGGCAATTGAAACAAATGTTCGGACGCAGATGTGAGTTATGAAGCTCTACAAATGGATCCGGGCACAAGCTTTCGACTGCCCGCACAAGTAGAAGACAATGTCTCGGATGAGGCAGGGTTGAGAACGAGGGAATTGGCTTGAGGGCTGAGCAGAGAGGGCTGAAACGAAGCCCGAGCGCCCGGCTGCTCCTGAGCACATTCCCAGGCTTCGGCATTCAAGGGACGCGTGCTGTGGTGATACTGGCGACGCGCATCGGCTTTTGCGACTGGCTCGCGATTGGGCCGACGGCTGCGTTGCACGGTGGGACTCACAGGTGGCAGCGGCTCTTTCGCTTCCTGCATGTCAGGCAAGCGATAGTGGTGCGCTTTGACTTAGCGTCGCTACTGTCGGCGGTCTTTGTGGGAGACGAGGGCTCCGGTGGAGGCGGCGGCGGCGGCGGTGCTTCCATGTTCGACGTGTGGAGTTGGCGGAGAGGAGACGGAGAGACGTCAGATGCCGACGCGAGCCCTCAACTCAATTGCCGAAGGAATCGTTGATCCGTGCGCATTACCCCGCTTAGCTTGCGCTTGCCCGGCCGCAGTGCATCACGCCTCGGGGAAGGCACGCTAGCGTCCTCGTGCAGCTCCGGCCGCTCGGCCAGGTTTGAGTCTCACGCGTTTCTCTAAGCCGTGTCACATTTCTCATAAAAGCCTATACTTACCCCAGCACATCTGCCAACCGAACCCGAAACGAATAGCCTCAGCCATCATGTCTGCCGAGAACGACTTGCAGGGCCGAGTGGCTCTGATTACTGGAGCCTCTGGAGGGTAGGTTGAATGTCATCTGCTTTGATCATGTCTTCCGGTGTAGTAACAGAATCGCAGAATCGGTGGTGCCTGCGCTCGCAAATTGGCTCCGTATGGAGTTGATTTGGCACTCACATATTCATCGAACAAGACGGCCATTGACGAGCTTGTTGCCCAGCTCCAGAAGGATTTTCCCGCTGTGAAGATCACTTCCCACCAGGCGGACCTTTCCAACACCGAACAGACGCTTGCATTATGCGAGGAAGCCGCCAAGGCCCATGGCAAGCCCATTTCCATCCTTATCAGGTGAGTCACATGTGCCACAGGCATTTGATCATGACTGACCTTGTACAGCAATGCCGGCAGAGGAAAGCGCTACCCCCAGATCTGGGACATTCCAGTTGAGGAGTTCGATCTGACCATTGCTACGAACCTCAAAGCTTCGTTCCTACTGGTCAAGGGCGTTGCCGAAGGCATGAGGGATCAGAAGTGGGGTCGGATCGTCTTCATCTCGAGCATTGCCGCGTACGGAGCTGGTAGGTTTTCACATGCGTAACCTGACAAGGATCTCTGATTGACAGTTTTCCAAGGCGTAAACGGAGCGCATTATGCTGCAAGCAAGGGTGGCCAGCTCGGCATGATGAAGAACTTGAGCACGAGGCTTGTCGAGTACGGCATTACCGTCAATGACGTAGCACCGGCAATGATTGGAGACACTGGCATGTTCCCTTCTACGGACACTGTTCCCGGCGTTGTCGACACGATTCCGGTGGGCAGACTTGGCAAACCAGGTAAGCATGCTATCTCACGGCTTGGAAACGAAGAACCACTAACGATTTTTTTTAGACGAGGTGGCAAACGCAGTTGAGATGTTTGTGAAGACTCCGTACTGTACCGGACAGAGCGTGGTTGTTGCTGGTGGACTCATGCACAAGTAGGGTGTCCAAGGGTCCAGAAAGCTAGCGATGGTAGATAGAAGTGATCAGCAGTAGTCAAAAGATACCCACTTGAAAGACTGCAACCCCGTCTGAGAACGAAAAAGCGAGCTACACGCCTCACAACGTCTCATTTATTGCAGGGTGTACACTACTTCTCATCCTTGAGTTGAATACATGCAGGAAAGTCTCGGTCTCGCTTTTTGGAGCGTAGTGATAATTTCGTAACATAATCTGCCTGATTGCTGCCGCCCTCTATGAACGGTCCTTTGGGAGTACATTTGGAATCGAGCTCGGAGTCACGCCTCGATGAAGCCGTGGAAGGATCTTGATGCCCGCGATCCTCGTTATCATCCTCGGATTTGCCCCCTGGCGATGCCCATGGATTGTAAGTCAATTCCATGTACATGTCAACATAGCTGAGAAAGGGTGGTGTTCTGTCTCGCTTTGATGCAGCAGAATCAAGCTTTTGCTGTTTGCGGCATCTGCTGTCGTGGCCCGGAAAAAGTGCCGACGTTGAGTCTGAGTTTGAAGCTTTGTGGCTCCGGGATTTGCTTAGACTGCGGTTCAAATGCCGACCGTCATCAAGGCTTCCAGACCTCTTCCTCTTCGGCCCCGCGTGAGACTGCTGGGCGTTTGGAGCAGTCTGCGGCGGAGGACGAAAAGGGAGAAGTGTGCCGAGTTCGCGTGGCCTGCTGGCTGCGGGCCGACTTGGCCGGGTAACTCGCTCCATGGCTCGAAATCCCGATGTAGCCGGATGTCGCAAGCTCCGAGGGCGCGGTGGCCGAGTGATTGGGTCCGTGGGCAGCGAGAGTCTGGGGTCAGTTTGGCGGTCATGGGCGGGGGAAGTGCGGCCGAGCGGCATTTGGTCTCGGCCAATGACGTCTGGTCCCTGACCCCGCGAAAGATTTCCCGAGCGACTCGCCCTTCCCATCGCGGGGCTTTTGCGCATGACAATCCTCCGCTCGAATAAATAGTCCGTATTGCCCGCCTCGCAGCGCGCCGACTGTGCTTTTCCTACATCCAATTGCTCTTCTACTGCCGAAAATGCCTCAACAAGCCCTTCTCATTGGTGACATCACCCACGCTCGCAAGGAGTGGCAAGAATGCTCCTCGTTCATCGAGCTCCTGGTAGGCCTCAGCATGTGACTGTTATCCTGCGCCTGAATACTGATAAGTTATCCAATAGGAGTACCCAAGCGGCACACGGGAGGAGTTCCTCGCCAATTTGAAGAGCGGCAAATACGACAACGTCGCCGTCATCTACCGTAGCAACGACTCCACAAAGGTGGGCCGAAATTGAAGGAGGCAAGAGGAAGATTTGGTGCTGACAGCGGTACAGCACACTGGACCTTTCGATGCCGAGCTGGTTCAGGCATTACCGAGCAGTCTGAAGTACATTTGCCACAATGGCGCGGGTTACGACAACATTGATGTGGCAGCATGCACCTCTAAGGGTAGGTTTCCTGAAGCAGGCCTGGGCGCCCGGTAGTAACGGGGGTGGCTAACTCGTGGTCCAGGCATTTCTGTCGCCAACACGCCGCAAGCTGTGGATGACGCAACAGCAGACGTAGCCCTCTTCCTCCTTCTCGGTGCCCTCCGTCGCATTACCATTCCGTTCACCGCCGTCCGCCAAGGTAAGAACACTCGCGGTTGGAAAAGACTTCTGGGTTGCTGACAATACGTAGGCCAGTGGAGAGGTTCTGGCTTCGGCCTTGGCCACGACCCGCGCCAGAAGACTCTGGGTATCCTTGGTATGGGCGGCATCGGACGCGCTGTTGCAGTGCGTGCCGCGGCATTCGGCATGAAGATCCAATACCACAACCGCTCGCGTCTCCCCGAAAGCACCGAGGCCGCCTCCGGCAACGCCAAGTACGTTTCTTTCGAAGAGCTCCTCAGCACCTCGGACGTGATCAGCTTGAACCTCGGCCTGAGCGCAGCGACAAGACACATCATCGGAGCCAAGGAGTTTGCTAAGATGAAGGATGGCGTTGTTATCGTCAACACGGCAAGAGGGCCTGTTATGGACGAGGCGGCGCTTGTTGATGCGCTGGAGTCTGGGAAGGTGTGGAGTGCTGGCCTGGATGTGTTCGAAGAGGAGCCGAAGATCCACCCTGGACTGCTGAAGAACGAGAATGTTGTGCTGTTGCCTCACATCGGAACCGCAACATTTGAGACCCAGGTATGTCTGTCATTGTTGTTTCAAAAGCACCTTCACTAACCACTCTCTCAATAGCGCGATATGGAGCTTCTGGTGCTAGAGAACCTGAGTTTAGCAGTGCAGGAGGGTACTCTGAAGACGCAAGTTCCGGAACAACGCAAATGATTCCCCCTAGAGCAAGATTTAGACAGGAAACCTATGTAATGCACCGACGTATCACTTTCAGATACATGCCGACTTTTACAGCCAGTTCAAAACTCACGAAGAGAATGCAAGTGGGGCTCAACCTAAGCGAGCTTTTACCTTGAAGTACCGTAACTTTCCATTTGAATCGATTACCGATAGTGATTGCAATCATTGTGAGGGGCAAAATGTGAGAGGTAAAAAAAAAAAAAGGATCTCTTCAACCAGAGTCAGTTGAAAAGAAAGACATAATGTTGGGATGCGCCCATCGGGACTGTTGTTATGTTAGAATTGGACCAGGAGTGGAAATTTGGCATTGCCAGAAGGCTCCGTACCTCGAACCCGAATCTGCTGCTTTCGGCGGATGGAAGGCAGCAATCATAGCCCTTAGACCATAGGCGCGATTTGTGTTCAGGCCAACGGCTTCGTGAGCTTTTGACTAGCAAGTGGGCTCGGAGCGGTCTGGACCAGTGAAGCGAGAAAGCGTTGTGGGCCGCGGTTGGTGATAGAAATTGGATCGCGTATCTGATAGTCGTGGCCGCACGGCCCACCTCGGCCCCAGACGCCAAGTTTGCTTTGCCGCAGCTGGCCCGACGACGACGTTGTTCGACCGCCGCCTCACGCCGCTCCTCCATCCCCCAACCGACCGTCAACTCAAGCTCAAGCCATCGACTGGTGGTTCCAGAGGTCGCTGCGATCATGGCCAACTTTCTCAACAACATCATCGGCTCCAAGCCTTCGTCTTCGGCCGCCGCTGGCGATGCCGGTACGTCAGCATGCAGCACAAGCCTCGCTACCCTCTCGCCAGCCATTGATCGCTAACCCCCAGACCTCAGACTTCGCCGACTTCGCGGGCGCTCCTGACCCCAGCCCGGCCTCCATTTCGCCTGTCAGCTTGACGGGAGAGGGTGCCCCGGACGCTTTTGCGACCGACGTCGCTCGTCCCTACACCAAGTGGTACCGCGTCTGGGAGCGCACAACCCCCGCCGACTTCTACCAGGAGGCCTTCATCCTGCCCGTCATCATAGTCATCGTGCTGCTGCATGTCTGGGGCACCAAGGCGAACAGGCGCAAGGCGCAAGCCTTCGTCAAGGCGCACGCGCCCCTTCTGCGCCAGGAATTCGCCAGCGTCGGGTACTCCGGCCGCAAGGCGCCGTCGGTCGAGGATGTCCAGGCCAGCGGTCTCGCGAAGCTCAGCGCTGAGGATCTTGGAAACGGCGACGAGCTGCTGAAGGAGGTCTCGGCCAACGAGTACTCGGTCTACGCTACTGGCCGCCAGAACGCGGCTTTCGTCGACATCAAGCTGTCGCTGCTGAAGCGCTACAACCCTCTGATCCGCTACGGCGAGTCCATTCTTGGCCTTTTCTTCGAGTCCATGCCTGCCCCTGTTGAGCGCGTCGAGGCCACCATCTACGCCTTCGACGGCAAGGAGAGCCAGCTCATCCCCAATGCCGGCAAGGTGTCGAACTCGACTTTCGACGGTTTCGTTTGGGCTGTTGTTCACAAGAACTTGATGAAGACCCTGAGGGATGACCGCTACGATCTTTCCCTGACCTCCACCAAGGATCACCCCAAGCTTCCCATCTGGTACACTGTCATGAGCGAGAGCGCTGAGATCACCGAGACTCTCCTTACTCCGGAGCTTGTGAAGGCTATCGAGCAAGCCGGTGATTCGCTCGAGGCCATCATTGTCTCCGACCAGCCTCTGGATCAGCCCAAGAAGTGAGTTAATCTGGTAACTTTTTTTTTTTTCAGCCCCGTGTTGCTAACAATATCGCGCAGGCTCGATGACATCGTTTCCCGCAAGCGCGTCTCTCTGTCCTTCGCTCTGCCGTCCAACAACGATTACTCGCACATCCTGCCTCTGTTCCAGTACTTCCTGCGCATGCCCGACCAGCTCGTCAACGTCGGTCACTTCCGCCCCGAGGCGCTGCGCCGCGTTAAGCAGACGCGCGAGGACGAGATTCGCAAGATCAAGAAGGCCGATGAGGAGGGCAAGGCCGAGGAGAGGAAGCTGGAGGCCGACAAGGCCAAGAGGGCCGAGCGCGACAGGAAGCTCAAGAACCTGAGCGCCGATGAGCAGAGGAAATACCTCGAGAAGGAGAGGGAGAAGGATCTCCGCAGGAGCCAGAGGAAGAGGGTCATGAGGGCATAGAGAGGGAGCCAATTGGCTGTTTTTTTCGTGTCCTTGCGCGCTTTTTTCTCTCCCCATTAACTCGAAATGCGGCGACGGCGGCTAAGTCTTGTAATATTGACGTTGAAAAAGTTTAGATGCTCGTCGGTTTTTTCGGCTGTGCAAAGCAATGTCTAGCGGCTTCTCTTCGTGCAGTTTTCATGAAGCGTTTGAAACGCAATCAAACGCATTGGAATCTCGTGAGTCACTTGTTTCGAGGTACGGCAGATGCAATGCCGAGCAATTCAACGTTGAAACTGTGAACTTATCCAGCGCAAACAGCACATTTATTTACCAGTAGCCTTGTTCAGCCTCATGACATGACTACCGAATACAGGTGGTTATCGCAGTTGAAGGCTAGCATGAAGAATAATCGCAAGGCCCCAGGCATGAATATGCCTCAGCCTTGTCTCAGAAAAACAACGTGTTGGCAGCTGAAGCTATCCATGGCATGAGCAAAAAAAAAAAAATCCACGCTACGTAGCCTTCGGCTGCGATGCCCCCCCCTCCTCTCTGTACAGAAAGCCCATTCTTCCTTCCATCAAGCCGACAGATCGGCAACGAGCGAGTCACCCAGGCCGCGGATGCTATCTTCGAACTCCTCACGGCTCGAAGTGCTCCACTTGGCGTCGTCGGGCACGGTGCCGGTGCCGGTGAAGCCGATGTACAGGACGTCGTAGTCGCCGTGGCCGTTGTCGCCGTTGAGGCCCTCGTCGGGGAAGCAGAGCTGGGCTAGCGCGAGCGAGGTCTCGCCGACCGTGTTGGCGCCGTTGGTGTCGCCCCAGACGCCGTAGTGCTGGTGGTGGGGATGGTTAGTTTTTGTTGGCAATAATGGGTGGGGGAAGAAAAAAAGATGAAGGATGGCAAGAAGAGTATCTAGACGAGAAAGGGGAGACAAAGGAAGAAACAAGAGAAAGCAGCAGCAGCAACGAAACCAAAAAACAAAAAAAAAAAAAACTCACCAACTGTCCACCACAAACAACAGCCATGACGCTCAAGGGCTCCATGCCGTGCTGCTGCGGATCGAAGGCCGGGTCGTCGTTGCCGAAGACGACGTAGGAGTGCACGTTGGCGTCGAGGTCGTCGATGCCGTACTTGTCGGCGACGATCCACTGGAAGGCCGTCTGCGACTGCCCCGTCGGGTCGTTGGCGCAGTCGCCCGCGCCCAGGTTCGCGCCGTCGCAGTCGACATCCATGTCGGCGTACTGCCCGCCGTTGGCGTCCGAGTGCAGGTAGATGGTGTTGGCCGAGATGTCGGCGCAGTACGCGAAGCTGCTGTCCGAGCTGTCTACGCCCGGCGCGAAGCCGCCCAGGAGCTTGTTCGTGCATGTTCCTGACTGGTTTGTGGTGGTGGTTAGTTTTGGGTGATTGGGTGGTGGTGCGGCGGAGGCGGGGTACCTTGTGCGCATCGTAGATTCTTTGGAGATTGTCTGGGATGTCGTAGGCGCTGGTTATGGAGAAGACGGCGGCTGCGGCGGTGAGAGTGCTGGTGAAGCTGATCATTCTGAAGTTGTGAGAATCGGACTGTGAGAAATGGCGGGGATACTGGAAATGTGAATCTGTGAATCCTGATCTTCTTAGACCCTGAGACGGAGTCCTAAATATACATTTTTTCCATCCAGCGGGTGATCGGCACGTTCCACGTTCCAGTACGCAATAGGCACCTACTTATTTTCAGCTTTCCGGGATCATCAGCGCTCGTGTCACCCATCAACCGCCCACCCCGGAGCCCTGTCCTTGTATTGATTCCCCAGAAGAGTAACTACGGCTCCGGATGCAGTATGCCCATGAGTGATGAGCTAGCTTCCGTAAGCTCGTGCCTCGAAAGTGTGCAGCCTTCAGTGCTTGTTGGGTTTGTTCTTTCAATATTCTCTTCTGGCCCCCAAAATGCCGACCTCCACATTCTGCCGTCCCGCCCTCGTCATGGTTCAGCCGCAGAGATTATTCACCAATGGCTATGGAGAGCAATGTTTTTGATTGGATGATCGGACCGGCACCATGTTTCACGGAATCCTTCAAAGTGTCGGGCTCGTAAGGCCGACTTTTCCGCTCATCAATCAATCACATTGACAGGCTTCTTGATCCGGACTCGTGTTGAGAATTTATCTAGCCCCTCCCCCTAGTTAGACGAAGCGAGGGTTGCCGTCCAACTATGGTTTCTGACAGCGGCAATGGCTAACCCGTCCTGGAAACCCCGAAGTAGTCCCACTGCTCAATCTCTTGCCTTTTGCGGCAATCCGGGTTGCTGGAATTTACCTAAGTGGTGATGTCGACCCTTGCCGATCTGAGCTCTTTGATCTGAAGTACAAACTTCGAAGGTAAGCTCCAAAGCTTGTCATGTGCAGAGGGTTTCATTATATGTGCTAGTGAAAGTTGACATAATTTACGTAGCCTTTAGCATATACTTTATTTAATTTTCTAGCTATACACACCTTCTGCATGATGGAGTATTTTATACATCGTTTGCCAGTCACAAATCTTGTTCTTTTTTTTTCTATTTTCCTCGGAAGCGCTTCGCGGCTTCTCGAATTGGACTGATTAACAAAACCCCGCCTTCTTCACATGTTTTCCGCTTCCTCCGTATCAATTCCGCGAGCTTTCTGCAAATCTTTCTTTTCATCTCCCATACACAAATCCCGACAGAAGATTGCTTCCGCCTCGGCTCGATGATGGGCGAATCGGACACGTTCCGCTGACATCTACCCCAACCATGCAGCGGCTCTACGCATCGGGAGTTGCATATAACAACTACATCACTTCTTTGAAAATGTTCCAGAAACAGATATATCAAAGCGTTCAATTCCATCTGCTATTCTAACTATCTCCATCCTCTCATCTCTTCGTCCTCCCTTCTCCCCGCTTACTTATCTCTTCCCCGCAGTTCCCTGCAACCCCACATTCCCACTACACCCAATCGAATATTCCCACGAAACAACAACAACAACACCACACAGAAAAAATGGTCCAACACACCGACGTCCTCATCTGCGGCGCCGGCTCAGCCGGCCTCTGCGCCGCGACGTGGCTCGCGCGGTACGGCGTGCCCTTCAAACTGCTCGAGCGGCGCGGCGGCCCGCTGCAGACGGGCCAGGCCGACGGCGTGCAGTGCCGCACCGTCGAGGTCTTCGAGAGCTTCGGCATCGCTGACGCCCTGCTGCGCGAGGCGTATCACGTGCTGGAGGTGACGTTTTGGGCGCCGAGGGAGGACGAGGGAGAAGGGGGGATTGTGCGGACGAGGATCACGCCGGATACGCAGCCTGGGTTGTCGCATCTGCCGCATGTGATTTTGAATCAGGCGCGGGTGAATGGGTTGCTGATTGGGGCGATGAGGGGGTTTGGGGGCCCGGAGATTGAGTATGGGTGGGAGGTGAAGGGGGTCGAGGTCGATGAGGAGGCGGCGGTGGTGGCGGATCCGGAGGCGTATGCGGTGAAGGTGGTGGCTGAGATGGATGGGGTGCGGGAGGAATTTCGGGCGAAATATGCGCTGGTAAGGATCCTATCTTGTTGTGAGAGGGACTGTCTGACTGGGTTTGAAAAGGCGTGCGACGGGGCGCACAGCGTGGTCCGCAAATCGCTGGGTATTCAAATGGTCGGAGACAGCAGCGACACCATCTGGGGAGTGATGGACGTCTACCCGCAGACGAACTTTCCGGATATCCGCAAGAAAGCTATAATCCGCTCCAACGCTGGCAGCTTGATTATCATCCCACGAGAAGGCGGATCGCTTGTACGTTTCTACATCGAAATGCCACAGGGGGTTGCAGCAAAGGACATCAAGCTTCCCGATCTGCACGAAGCTGCTCGCCGCGTCTTTAAGCCTTACAGCATGGAGTTCGCAGATACTGCATGGTGGTCTGCGTACGCCATCGGCCAACGCTTGGCAGATCGATTCACCCAGTCCGGACGTGTATTCTTGACCGGCGACGCGTGCCATACGCACTCCCCAAAGGCTGGCCAAGGCATGAATGTCTCATTACAAGACGGATACAATATCGGTTGGAAACTGGGATCGGCATTGACTGGCCAAGCCCATCACTCAATCATCAATACTTACGTTACTGAGCGTCAGAAAGTTGCCGCTGATCTCATTGCATTCGATACGAGTTTTGCGCGGCTTTTCAAGACAGACGATAGCGCACCCAAGCCTGAGTATGTTAGTGAGCAGTTTGTCAAGGCTGGGCGGTACATGGCAGGTTTGACGGCACGGTACGACGACTCCCTCATCGTCGACAGCAAAAACAGTGCAGGCCCTCTAGTGGCCGACAGCAATGTTACTCCGGGTATGCGCTTTCCCAGCGCGCAGGTTGTGCGGTTCTGCGACGCAAAGCCTATCCAGCTAGCTGAGGCCCTTGTTGCGGATGGACGGTGGCGGTTAGTCTTTTTTGCTGGGAGTAACAGCACGGCGATGACAAGGCTACAAAAGGCACGAGTGTTCTTGTTTTAACCTCGAAATTTTGGTATCATCGTGGCTACCTGAGCTAACAAGAAACGTGCAGGCTGCAGACTTCCTCGGAGGGCCCAATGGACTAGTGGCGCGGCTCACGCCGCAAGGAGCCGACATCGATAGCTTTATCGAGTCCATCGCCGTCCTCTCGGGAAAACGTCATGAGATAGAACAGGAACAGATTCCGGATTACTTCCAGCCGGTCACTGGAAGATGGAGAATGAGAGGTGAGCAGACCAATTCGTCCTTTAAAGATGGTTGCTAACACGTATTGGATGCAGACTTGCACAAAGTTTACTTTGACGACAAGGCCTATAACAATACACACGGCCATGCATATGAAAATCTTGGTATTAGTCAGTCCCAAGGTGCTCTTATCATTGTACGGCCAGATCAATGTATGGTACCCTTCAATTTTCTGATGTTCGTTGCTGACCGAACCAGATGTTGCGGCAATTCGCTCTCCGTCAGACCTACAGGCCGTTCAAACATTCTTCATGTCCCTGAAATGCACGCGCGAACCGGATCTTCTCGCTGCAACTGCAGAAAAACTTTGACAGGAGTCAAAGTAGCTTCCGACTGTCCGATAATACATGCAATTTTCAATTCAGCCTTGCGTCCCGAACTTCTGGAAATCGACTATCATTGGTCGCGCTCTTTACCCCCTGCAGCAAACAGCATTTGAGAGAAAATGTTCGCCAGTGCAGGATTGCTCAGCCTCGTCCACGTGAACCAGGACAACAGCGAATCAATGCTGACTGATCGGCGAGGCTTGGAAGGCAGTGCAAGACTTTAAGAGGGGCCGAGGGCGCATCATCACCTTTCTGCCTACGCCCACCAGCTTCAGCCTTGCAACATCAAAACAACTGCGCGAGCCCTGACGCTGCAGCGCCATGGCACCAGACATTCACGTTAACTTCCGACTTCGCGGCGTTCCGCATGATTGCCAAAGCAGAAGCGAAGTCCGTGAGCTGGTTGGAAGAGTGCTTCCCGTTGAAAGTGGAACCTTGATAATCCATTCGCTTGCCGTCAACCCTACCGAACGTACCAGCAGGATCGCAACCTTGACTTTCAACAACATACCACACCCGCTTTCCGACAAGACTAAAGACCAATGGGTTTTTGATTTGCCTCGCAGCGACTCTTCGGATGATGACGACGCCTACGCTCGAAGAAGGCAGCTCGTTTTCGACACTCATTTTTCGGGTTTCACGCCGCTGCAACATACTGAAGAAGACGATTGCCGGGTGGAGTAAGAATCGAATGCCCAGAAAGTTGTGCAAATTGATTTTCGCTAATAGCCTTTCAGCCTGATCGCTCTCTCGGGCCTTGGAGGGCACGCATTTGGCTCGTTCAAAGAGAGGAACGGCAGCTTCATGTGGCTTCGTGATGCGCTCACGATTGATATTCCTATGGCGAGGATGATGATCTACGGATACGATACGTCGCTAGTTCGGAGCATTTCTTTCCAGAACTTGGCCAACTTAGGCCGGGCTCTACAAGCTGATTTGAAGATCATCAGGGTATGTGCCTGCCGCGTAATACTTAGACGAGGGCTAACCTAACCAGAATTCAAACCGAGGTCGTCCTATAATCTTCGTCGGCCACAGCCTGGGAGGCCTCGTACTCAAAGAGGTTAGTTTTAACCATGTCCGATATCTACAGCCCTCGTATTGCTCACTTCCCGCGAAGGCTATAATCAAGATGAAAGAGGGAAACACTGACGAGGATTGCGAGATCCTTCAGTCCACTTCTGCATTCCTTTTCTTTGGCGTTCCGCATGAGGGTATGGCTATTGAGTCACTCGTACCTTTGGTTGGCGATCAACCAAATCGAGCCCTTCTTGAATCACTCGGAAAAAATTCCGAAGTCCTTCACCGTTTGCAAGACGACTTCAAGAGGGCTTTTGGTGCTGTTGGCCCCAAAATCGTCTCCTACTTTGAGACTGAGAAGTCCCCCACAGCTCAAAAGGTGGTTATCCACATGCATATGACTGGCCTTCAAGAATCTCGCTAATTCTTCGCTAGGAAGGAGGCATATGGAAGCTAACAGGGCCTCCTGAGGTGTCGGTCGATCCTGCATCCGCCGTGTGCGGAAGCAAGGATCAGCACCCGATCAACCGGAATCATTCTGAAATGGTCAAATATACAAGTCACTACGACGAGATCTATACAAGGGTTCGGGCAACTTTGGAACGGCTAGTGAGCAGTACCCGAATTCTGTTTGATGATTCTGCAGGAAATGGAGGTTTGTAATTATGGCCAAATAGTCTATAACCGTATGATTGACATACCTCCAGCATCACTATTCCTTTCCGACCAGCAACAAGGTTAGTTGTATGACTGACTCTTCACTATCTTGGGCTAAAAAGAATAGAATGTCTCAAATCTTTCTCATTTGCCGAGCAAGACCAAAGATGTAAGGAAATTCGCGTCGGACGCGAGACATGTGAATGGCTCCGCGACAATTCGAAATACCGGTCCTGGATAAGTAAACCACGGGGCCTACTGTGGATCAAAGGCAATCCAGGGGTCGGGAAATCTTTTCTCATGAAATCTGCCTTCACCACGATGAGACGTTGGATTGCTGGGGAGCTCGTTGTGTCTTTTTTCTTCCACGGTCGAGGAGTGCTCTTACAAAGAACACCAATTGGTCTTTTCCGCGCTCTACTAAGCTCAACACTCCCATTTTTCCCGGAGTTTCTGTCTCACCTTGTGGTCGATTTCCAAGAACGGGAAAAGATTTTCGGATCTCACAAACAAGACCGTTGGGCCTGGTCTCAAAGAGAACTGGAGGACTTCTTGACAAAACTATTAACGCAGGAGACCAAACTGCGTCCAGTAGTAGTCTTTGTTGACGCCCTTGACGAATGTGGGAGAGATTCTGCCAGGTGGTTATTGTCCTACTTTAAGGACTTGATGACCGATGTCATGCAAGAGGGGGGGAAATTGAAAATTTGTTTTTCATCTCGGCATTATCCGGTCCTGGGCCTCGAGGTTGTTCCTACGGTAATTGTCGAAGAACAAAACGGCAAAGACATCCGATGCGTGATACACAAGCAGTTGAGAGAGATTCAGCCAGAAGAGCGCCAGCAACTTGAGAAAGAGATATTAATGAAAGCTCAAGGGGGGTTCCAATGGGCTGTCATGGTCGCTTCCATGGTCACCGACGACTACGCGATTGGTATCAATACTGAAAACCTCCGCGACCGAATTAAAGCGATCCCTCAAGCATTGGAACAGCTATATTCTGAGATCCTGAACAGTATTCCAGATTCAGAAAAGCATCAGACTCTAAAATTATTCGAATGGGTATTATTCGCGGGCCGGCCTCTAGTTGCGCAGGAGTTGCGCGAGGCACTGGTGACTGACAAGGACATGGCCTGCGCCACAGTCTCGGACCTTAGGCGTCACCGTGATTGGACTGGCACGGTGGAAGGCTTCGAGAGGCGGGTCAAACACCTTTCCAGAGGTCTGATGGAGTTTCAGACGCGAGAAGTTTGGGAGCAATATGAACTTAATGGGGAAGATTTCAATCGCGAGGTTCAATTCATTCACCAATCGGTGCCTGACTTTCTGCAGGAAGGTGGTATGAGCCGTATAGGGATCCATTCGATTGCCATCCCTTTGCTGGCTGGACCATGTCACTTCCAGCTCGGTATATCCTGCATAAAGTATTTGATGCTGAGAGAAGTGCTGGCAGAAAAGACGGCATCGCGAAGCTCAATATCTGCCAGATTTCCTCTAGCACCGTATGCCGCACGCTTTTTCTTTTTCCATACTCGAGAAGCGGACACACAGGGGTTATCATGTTCTAGTCTCCTTTCACTCATTCAATGGAGTCCACATTCCCAGCTTGTCGGAGATCTAGCCAAAGTATGGAGAATACTGGATCCAGATTATACACACACGCCCAATGGATGGCCCTTCCTAGGAGCCACAGCTCTTCACGCCCTTGTGGCGCTCGGATCCATGAGCACGTTCGAAAGCTTTTTACAAGAAGATCACGTCGAGGTAGACGGAAGAGATTCCGAAGGAAATTCCCCATTGCTTCTTGCAATCAGAGAAGGGCGCTATGACATGGCAATAATGCTGCTTCATGAATTCACCAAATGGAAATGCCAGGAAAACATCAATCAAGATCGCGCACCAGCCCAAAGCCATGCACAACGAAAGACTCGACATATTGATGTCAACGTTCAGAACAACGACGGCGATACACCTCTGACTATTTCCCTCACGGAGAAGGCCAATGCTGTCATTTTTGCCTTGATTGACGCCGGAGCTGACCTCAAATATTTTGGGAGTGAGTCCGCGTTGGTATTCCACGCGATTCATGTCCAAAATAAGCAGCTCCTCACGAATGCCATTGAGAAAAATCTAAGGCTGGATGGGGCTGTCTGCTTCGCATTGAGAGATCTCCGCAGGAATGAGATGGTCCTTTATGATTATCTCTCGATATTGCTCACAGCAGGAGCTAACACGAGTAAAGGGCCAGAATTCGAAACCAGCCTTGATTTTCTGAACCTTTCAGAAGACGATCTGGACGATTACTCCTCGGTCATAATCGATCCGCTTGACATCGAGGATGAAGCAATTCACCAAGCTGCAAGACAAGGTCAAACGGGTGTTATCGAACTCTTGTTGTCTCATGGGGCGTCTGCAAGTATTCTCAATTCTTCAGGACATTACCCCCTAGAAATTGCTGTGGATATGGGTCATGAAGAGGCAGCGACGGTGTTGTTTCGGCAAGCTCCCACAACAATGACGCCGATGATGCTGAGAGACTCGATCCGGAAAAAGATGTACGCCTTAGCTGTACTGTTCATCCAAAAAGGAGTCTTCGCATCCGTACAGCCGATGCTACTTTATCTTTGCGCAGCTGTGGGGTCATATCCTCCGGAAATCGTCAACGCAGCCACTCAGAAGATTTTCCCTATGCTGGCCGATGGATGTGAATTGCATGAGGAACACGATGCGGTGCCATATCCTTTAATTTCAGCCCTTGAATATGGCATGGAAGAAGTGGCAAAAGCGCTAATTCGCCGCGATTCCACATGCGTCAATGACATTGACACGCATGGAAAAACAGCACTGATCTGCGCACTACAATATGAAAAGGAGGATTTTGCTTTGTTCTTACTTACCGAAGGAAAGGCTGATATCAGCGGCAACTGCCATCGCCTGCACCCGCTCATTCCGGCTGATACCAAGTGCACCTTCCATCTCCCGCACCCGCTTATTCTGGCTGCAACAAAAGGCTACACTGCAGTTGTGAAAGCTATAATCCTAAACAATCCGACGTGTGTTAATTTCAAGGAATGCGATGGAAGAACAGCGCTGGTTTGCGCGCTAGAAAACGAAAATCAGGCTCTTTCCCTGTTCTTGGTTACCGAAGGAAAGGCATCTAATACCGGCCGCGACTCCCAACGCCGGTGTCCGCTTATGCTGGCTGCAATAAAAGGATACAATACAGTTTTTGAAGCTATCTTCCAGCAGGAAACCCACTCTCGTATTCCTGACGATCAAAATACAGCATTGACGCGCACCACCGCCATCAGGGATTTGGCGCGAATTCTACCGGAGCCTAGAGCCATGGCTACAGTATTCGATCAAGACAGGGACGGGAAGACTACTCTCATGCATGCCGCATCAGCCAGAGACTCTGAAATGGTCAATTTGCTCCTCAAACACAGAGAGGCTGACTCATTTATCAAAATGGTCGACCAAGATGGAAAGAACGCTCTGATGTATGCCCTACTCGGCACAAACATCGAGATGACCAGGTTGCTTCTCAATCACAAGGAGGCGGACTCCCTCATGAAAACGGTTGACAGAACTGGAAAGACTACCCTCATGTATGCAGCGCTCTTTGGAACCCCCGAAATTGTCAGGCTGCTTCTCAACCACGGGGAGGCCAACGCGCTGATGAAAATGGTGGACAAAGATGGAATGACTACCCTCATGCATGCAGCGCTCCATAAAGACTCCGAACTGATCGTCAGGCTACTTCTCAATCACCGGGAGGCTGACCCACTCATGGAGATGGTTGACAAAAATGGCAAGAATGCGCTTTATCACGCTTTCAGAGCAGGACATCTCCATATAGTGGAGATTCTAGAGTCCACAGGACACATGGATCTGATGCATAGCATTAGTCTTTCGGAGGTGATGACATTAGGATGCGAAGCCGCCACTTTACACATGTTCCTACGAAAACGGGCAGCTCCAGACTTTCCTACACGGCACCCAATTCCAGTCCATCTACCCTACAGTAGGCCTTGTAAAAGCTGCTGCATACCACAAGTTATCCAGACCCAGGTAGCTGCTCATGTTCGCGACATTGCACCGATTGTAGTTGCCACACTGTACGGAAGGGAACAAGCTGTAGAGATTCTACTCTCTACTGGACAGGTCAGTGAGCGCTCGTATCTTGAGGCACGTGGCATTGCGCAGAAATTTGGCTTGTACAAAATCTTGGCAAGGCTGGAGGGTCATTCTTGCACTGACAGTTTGCTAAGTCTACGCTAAGTCTACGCTTGGTGTGGACAGAAAGATAAGAGTTTCGCTCATGATGGCTGGATTTGTTCGCTTTAGTCTTAGCCTGTACTATTTTCACACTATCTGGAAAATTCAAAGCAAAGAATACGCCGAGATTGTCTCACAATCCTTGCTGAAGTATCGATGGCTCTAAGCGCTGGGCACACTTCACTAGCGTATGGCTCGTTTTTTATAGGAAGGCGTATGAGCCATCATCGCCCGCATTGCTGATAAGACTGAAATGTGCCGGCTTGTGTTCTTTCTTAACTACAATGAGGTAAATTTACTGATAAAAGTGGCGACTACTACTTATGTACAAGCGATTGTGCTGGGCCACCAATTACCTACAAATGCAAATGTGACTTAGCTTTTCTGACCCCATGCGTATCCTCTATCAATCCCATCTTCTACCTCACTATTCCCCCTCACGCTCACACTGACCTCCGGCTTCTTCGCGATCGTCTGCAACACAACGCAATACCTCTCCGTCAGCTTGCCTAACTTTTCAATCTTGGAATCGCCATCCTCGCCCAAATCACCATCCAACTGAAGATCGAAACCGAGGCGGATGGCCTTGAAGCCGACGGGGGCCTCGCGGTCGACGCCCATGGTGCCGCGGAAGTCGAGGTCGCCCTCGGCGTGGACGGTGCCCGCCTTGAGCGGGATGGCGAGGGCGGTGGCGACGGCCTTGAGGGTGACGCCGGCGCAGGCGACCAGAGCCTCGAGCAGCATATCGCCGCTGCACAGCTCGCCTGATATGGCCGGGTCGTCGCCGCCGGCGCGCGGGTGCAGCCCGGCGATCTTGGATCGCGCCTGCGCGGCCGCGGCGCCGGTCGAGAGCTTGCAGGTTATGCTGCTGCCGTCGAGCGTGCCGGATGACTTGAGCGTGACGAGCGCGGCGGACGGGTCGCTGCGGTAGGATTCTTTGAGGGGCGCTTGTTTGGCGCGCAGGGCGGTTGCGGCGTCGGACATGGCTGCGGTGGGCTGGAGATGAGGTCTGTGTGAGCAATTGATGCGTTGAGAAGCGATTTTAGAGCGCAATTGATGGCAGGAAGAAGGGAAGTTTGCGGGGGTGGGGAATGTGGAAAGCTGCAAAAAGCTATAGCTTCCTACCCCGCAAGGGTCCAGCGGAAGTTCAGCTGCCCCGCTCTGTACGTCCTGCTGCCCGAAAGGATCGGCCAGTCATTTTTTGCTCGTGCCTGGTGGCATGATATGGTGCATCTTCAGTTTCACAGGCCCGGTGGCCAGAATATATAGACCCAGACGGCCGGCTCGCTCGACCAGGAATTCTGTCAATGCGTTCCATGTAACCAGCATGTCGCCCTAGGCCACCCAATATTGCCCGTGCTTCGAGTGTTGGACCCCAGCTGCGAAGACTGCGGCCATGGATGTGGTCTGGAATGTCGTGGTTGTCGCACAGACACACGTGAGAAGTGCGTCATGGCAGCTTCCAAGATTTCCGTCTCCACTCGCCAGTTTGCTCCCATCGTCTCTTTCCTCTCTCATCACCCCCACCCACTCAACGATTACGACGTCCTTTATGCTTTTTCTTGACCTCAGCAATGGCACTCACGGACCCATCGGGACACTAGGCCTCGCTCACCCTCCCGCTTCCGCGAGCTCCTCGGCCAGCCAATGAGCGCTCGGCTTGCGCCGCGTCTCGCGACCAGACTCCGACGATGCTGGCATATGCCTGTAGTCTGGATCCCAACCGCCTCCACAACCACAGATATTACGTGAGAGTGCGACACCACCCAGCCTTCTTCCAGGGACCTTCGTATTCCTTGACTCGCCGCCGTCGCACAGGTCGAATATTGGATCCTCACGCAATCGAACAACCAATTAAGATGACCGACTTGTCTTAAGATTGTCGCACTTGAGTTCTATCCCGTTAATGTTGCTCCAGAGTAACCGCCCGTCTTGAAGAGTACAGTATGCCACCAAACAATATACCACACCTCGTACAACTCCTGAGAATAGCAGCGCTTGATAACCCATAGCCAAAACCCCGGACCCAAACACCCTCCCAACTCCAAGAATCTACTCCTGCAATGGTCAGCCGAGGATCACGGGGCAGGCGTCCAAGGATTTCCTTACCGCTGGGGTTGCACGTTCAATTCCTTCCGATAATGATCGACCGCGTGTCTACGATCTCGGTCGTCTCGCCCTGACCGGCGGTGACTCTGATCAGGGCGATCCTGATCTTGCACATGCCCTCCTGCCCAATGGCAAGGTCCGGGAAGTATGCGTATCCCACGACGTCGTCGGCGTCGTTCTCGATGGGGTGGAAGGAGTCGAACAGTCTCGGCCCCGTCAGGGCGTCTGGGCCGATTGGCACGTAAGCGCCGTCAGGGCCCCGGACGACGGCGGTGGCGACTGCGAGCAGGCGGCCGTCTTCTAGATCGCTGTCGGGGGCCGCGCGAGAGCGGCGGAGGCGGATGGTGACGGTGGCCCGGATGGGCTGGCCCGGACGGGCAGAGCTTGGGGGTTGTGCGGTAACCTCCATGAGGTATCCTGAGGCGCCGAATCGGCCCATTGAATTCTGATCTCGGGCTCGCGAGTTCAGATTGCGCATTCCAGCATTGCTGTCGTCGATCCGGATGCGCCGAGAGCGCCCTACGTCTTCAACCACCCGGGCACCGATACTGTCGTTGGTTTGCGTGCGGCGAGCAACGTGAGCCATTGTTTCGTCTTCGTTGGGAGAGGAGGAGGGGAGGTCTGCTGCGGATGAGCGTTCAGCGATGCGGCTTGAACGTCTTAAAAGGCTGTTGGTCCCTTGTCTGGACGATGATCTAGTCGACACTCTGGACGAGGCACCGGCGTCGCTGATATTTCTTCTTCGACCTCTGCCACCGCTGGGCATCTGACGGCACAGTGCTTCTGGAGCGAATTAGCAAAATCAAGAGGCGGGCAACCAATGGCGACTGCATGCTGCTGTTTGGGGAGAGACTGGAGCATGGCCCGCGCAAAAGAAAGTCTATCGTCGGAAAAAGAAGCAGAGCAGCTAGGCGCCGATGCGTCTCAGCCTCGGCGATCTAGCTGGAAGATACAGCATCGGGGCTCGAAAAAGGACGTCTTGGAGATCCTTAATCTCACGAGCGGCAGGGCCCGCCATTGGCGCCCCGGAGCGGGGTTGTGCATTCCTGAGCCATGCGGGATGCGGCCACGAGCGCGCCGCCAACGTGCAAGCTTCAAGCGAGCAGTCTTGAAACGGCGTGCCGGATGAAGGGCGGAAGCCCGACGCCAGGGGAGGGCGAGCGCGTGCATGCCGGGCGGCATCTTGCGTGCGCCGCATGCTCCCAAGACATGTCGCAATGGACCGGGGTGTCTGAAGCGTAGCGAGATTAATTTGAGCTTACCTCTGCGTCGTCCCCCAGCTCCTCAGCACAACCTTGGGTCGCGCCGCAGCCTTCCTCGTCTGTCCACCAATGCCCTTGGCCGCGGCTCGCTGGCCGTGCGCCGATGAAGATTGATCGTGGCTCTCTGTGCAACAACGGTTGCAAATGACGTCCGTCTTCACGCTCTCGATGCCGGTCCCACGTTACACCGGGCGGATTGTTCTTTTGCTCTGCAGGGGCCGCTACGGCCTCGCTCAGCTCCGCGTGGATCTGGACGCAGACATCAGTATGGCCAACGACCCCGGACGACTGGGCCCAAGGGGCTAGCGCTGGGCGGAAGAGCGGGACCAACCTTAAGGCGGGCGATTGCCGAGGCGGGTGCGGGTGCGGGTGCGTGGGCACGGCCGCGGTTGTTGAAATGCGACTGGTCCTAGGCGGACGAGAGGAGGAGTTGTCGGCCGATATGCTGCTGCTCTCCTGCTGCTGCTGCCCGCGGACTTTATAGACGCTCCGCCGACTCGAGGGCGCGCGCCCTTGCGCTATTGGACTCAGATGGCCAGGACGGCGATGGAACTTTGAGGCGACACTTCTGCTCTGGTCGCCAGAATAGTCGCATGCATGGCACGGCTCGCTGCCACGATTGCGCATTGCTGCAGCTGGGGCGAGCCACGAGGCGCGTGGCGCGGAGCATGCAACCTCGCTGCTGACCCCCTTCCGTGGCAGCGGGCCCGCCAGATCTCAGAGATCCGATGCAAGATGGAGAGTTCAACAGGCTAGCAGCGGCGAGGGCCCGCCGGGTTGGGCGATCGCGGAGCGCCACAGGGCCGCGCCGATCGCGCCGTGGCCTGGTGGCTGGGCCCAGCATGCCCGTCGTGCTGGAAACATGCGCCCCGGGCTGCTGGCTCGCACCGTAATACGAGGATTCCACCTGTGTCTCCAATGCTTCCAGCTCCACTCGCCCCGGCCGTGCCGCTCCTGCACGCCTCTGCTTCTGGAAGGCGCCGCAAAAGCCCTGCACGCCTAAACCGCTCCATGTGCCCGTCACCACCACCCTTGCGCTCCCAGCAGCCTGTTCCTGGCCTCGCCATTCCTCCCCGTAAGACCCAACCCCGCCCCGGCCAATCGTGCGCAAGCCTGGTCGTCTAGTGGTCTGGTCCCCCGTTACTCAAAGTATCCTCAATTGAAACTGTTTCATTCCCATCTCCAGCTCGCCTGCCATGGATTCCCGGCCCGCGCCTCGAGGCCGCGAGATGGGCCGCGGTTGGCTTCACGTCGATTGCTGCAGAGCAATAAGTTTCGCTGCGCATCGCCGTCTGACGCGCACCGGGGGACCCCAGCCGTTGGGCAGCAGCACCCGCAGCATCGACAATCTGTTCCGTGGAGCAAGCCGTCGAAGCCTCACTGGGCCTGCTGTCTCACCAACCGCGTCATTCATTGCCTACATCTGCGCCTGCAAGCCACGGACTCGGTCTCCCAGCCTACAGGAACGCCTGCCGCTGCAGCACCGGTCGCCGGGTTCTCAGATCTCACATCCGCGCCGTAAACGATGATGCATTCTAGACCACGTTAAGACATGCTACTAATATCCTACAGTCAACCCGCACGTGATTTCTCCACCACTGAACCTTCAGCTACTCCCAGCCTAACCGCGATCGAAGAAGCAACATGACAGTACCAAGAAAGATGTACCCGCATGTCCAAAGCCCCATCTCCACCGCTTATCATAGCCACCCGCCCATCGATTCGCAAAATGACAATGGCTGCAGATGCCGTCACCGGTGTCGTTGCCCCGGCCCTGAACACGCTAACCACGGCCCGCCCTGCCGCTGTGCAGCTATGCGGAGTGACTCAACACAAAGCAATCATGGCGGATGCAAGCGAGGCATCTAGGCCGCCGGCATCGCTCGAACCCCACGCTCAAGGTCCACATTTCGTGGACGGCACACGATCGTGAAACCCCTGCCCATCAATAGACACAGCATCGTATCGAACAGAAAGTCGAAAGAAGTTGGTCGTCGGCGCCTCCGATTGATGCATCGAAAGCATTGTTGCCGCCGCTCGAGTTCCGGACGTCATTGGTGACGGTAAGTCCGAACTGACCAGGGGAAGAACGCAACCACTCAAGGAGTGCGCATTAACAAACTAGAGAATCCAACCACGTCAGTTTCCCGTACCGGACGCGCATGCTTGAGATAATTTTTGCTCACCTGTATTGGCCCTCGCCTCTTCGTTTACCCTTGCTCAGGTGGAAGAAAAATAGCGCTGCTCGATCTCGGAATCGACGGCACCCTCGCCTTCCTCGACGACGGTGAAGAGGTCGAAGTCCGGGGCCCTCCACGAATGGCGGTACTTCCGCTTCTTCCTCATCCTCCCGTCAACCAGGTCCTGCGCCCTGCCCCTGGTCGGCTCGCGCACGACGGTCCTGTACGGTTCCAGCGGCTCGGAGCTCGGTCTTTGCAGCTTCTTCACATGGACCGGCGTGGCACCACTGCTCTCCTCGCTCATGTATCCCTCGTCCACGACGGCCACCTCGTCGTTTCTCCTCTTGCGCTCCTCCTGCTCGTCTCTCTCCTCCGCTGCCTCGTCTTCATCCACCTTCTCAAGCTTTCCTGCCGCTCTCTTTCCTCTGTTGCTGCTGCCGCTGCCGCTGCCGCCAACACAGCTGCTGCTCTGGTACTTGGCGATGTACTTGGCCCAGCGTCTCGCAATCTTGCTCCGCAGCCTGTCGTCGTCCCTCTTTCCCTCTTCCCACCCCTCGCCACCGGCATCCTCCTCGTCCTCGGTCGCGCTATCGTCAGAAACGATGATGCCGGCGCTGAAGGCCAGGTCGTCGAAGGGGTTGTCCTCGTCGTTCATGGGGCTGAGGAAGTGCGCGAACGGGTCATCATCGATGTCGGGCAGCAGCGGCGTCGCCGGCTGGTCCGGCGGCGTCGGCGGCGAGACGATGACCTGTGGTGTCGGCGGCCGTCCGCCAGATATCCTTGATGCGAAGGACGATGAGAATGATGAGGTGGAGGTGCTGGAAGAGGAGGAGGCGGGGCGCTTCTTCGAGTTGCTGCCGCTGGGGTTGAGGTGGAAGTGGACGGGCGCGACGCCGAGGAGGTGGCGCGTCGAGAATGGCGGCCACGAGTGCCGCCGGCTGTGGTTACTCGACGATGATCTCCGCGAAGGCATGATGTGTGTGATGTGTTGTGTGTTGGTGTGTTTGTGTCTCCTCCGCTCTTTTGGGGGAGGTAGGTAGGTGTCGTGGTAAGTGACTGTCGTCCTTCCTTTCTTATTCCTTTGCGCTTTTTTTCCTCCTATAGCGAGTCGCGAGTTTTTTTTTTTGTTTGTTCCCTTCTTCTTTTTCAAACGACCGATGGATGCGTGGGTCAATGAAGGTAAGGTGTCACGTCGTAGGTAAGCACGACGAGACGTCCTGGTTTGTATAAATACAAAAAGAAAAGGGTGGATGGCGGGAGATCTTCAGCGGAGTTCGGCGGGGCGGAGTGACTTATAATAAGTATTGCAAGGTGAGCAAGAGATGACGATACCAGGGTGGGTGGATGACTGGATTTCCTTCACACCCACAGCCCACCCGAACCCGAACCCACATCCATGTGCGGCGGTGCGCGCGCGCGCGCAACACCCAACTACGAGCGAGGCACACACCCACCACCACACACAAAACAGTCACTCTCACACACCGACAAGACACGCCGGCGCCAGCCACCCCGCGCGTTACCGCGCAGATCGCGAAAACCAAGGCATCAATGAAGCGAACAAACCCGATCGCCGTCTAGCATTTCCTTCCGACATCGTCACTCTTTTTTTCCCCGTCTGCCTGATTGGGCGGCGTTGCGGTTCTGCTAGTTGCCCCACTTTGCGTACACTCACAGCCACGCGGAAGCTCGCGTAGCCAGCGGGCGACGCGAGGATGATACACGCCATCTACAAGCGCGCAAGTGCGGGAATGGCAGAAGTGGATACAAGGAGCGCTGCTGCGCGGGTGCGAGTGACCTGCTTTGCTAGCTTAAGCCCGGACATCATGCGGCTCTTTTAGGGCGAAGTGTGGTAATGGATGTTGCCGGCACAGGCGACCGAATATGCAGGGGTTGGTTTTGGGCTGTGGCGCGTGGGCGATGCTCATCATCCTCACCCACCCCTCTCCTTGGCGGCCCTCCCGTATTGGTTGTGCTCTTTGCCTCTTCCGGCGATACTGCTCGGCCGCGCCGGCGCTTTTTTTTGCTCTACCTTTGTTGATTTTTGTTTTTTCGCTCCTCTTGCTATGGAAGAACTATTGACGCCTCGCTATACTACTACTATCTATTGCTCTCCTCAGACTCATCCATCGGAATGAAGCGGAGGCGCTAGTGATTCGAAGGAATGGGTGATGGGCATCGCTAGCTCTCGGCTTGGGCCGAGTGGGATGCAGTTCTACGGTAACGCTGAGCCTCGGTGTGGGTGTGTGTATGCGTGCGTGTGTGTTGTGGTTATTTTTAATTTGCCGTTTTCCTTGGCTGTATGCTTGTGAAGGCTGGGTTTGGCTTGGTTGTGGGTTGCGGTGAGGGAAAGAACGGTGATGGCGGTAAGTAAGGACAAGGATGCGGTGTGGCGCCTTACTTTTTGCCCCATCGAGACTCAATTTTTTTTATTGGAAAGTAGTTCATCACCGTCGCCCCTCAGATGGCGTTTTACTTCAGCTATTCTATGATGCTTGCTAATATTCAAAGGGTGGGCTTTGGGAGGGTGAGCGCGGAAGGCTCGGTAGTGATGGGTGCGGCCGTGGTGCATCATGTGAGGCGCCGCTGTGGCAGCTTATGAATTTGGAGCTAACGCAAGGGTAGCTTGACTACGAGACTACGCATGTACGTCGGGGGAGAACGGGGGAGGGTGGTCATGGTCAAGAGGCGGTAAATGATTAATATCGGCAGCGGTCGGGAGGTGTCCATGTTCTAGTTGATCGAGCGATATGGGCTTTTCTTTTCGCCATCATCGCGATGCGGTTTCCTCGCTGCGGGCGTGGGCCTTCCGCGTGCTCGCGGCGAGCGGAGTAGGTTTCGGTCCCTGGTGCATGCGCACGCAGGGGAAGCGGGCGGGCGACCCTGGCAGGCTCCGCGACCTGCAGGCGCGTTGCGCGCGTCCTGCGCGTAATACACTGCGAGCTGCGGAGTGGGCGGGCTGCGGACGCGTATGACTCGACGACGGGGCCGGGAGGGTGTGCGGCGGAGCGGGCTGAGGGTGTGCGGTCGTGTTGGATGAGAGGTCAGATGGGCCGCGACGCGAGTCAGGGTCCAGCTGGCCTCTCTCCCCCGCGCTGTCACAGTGTCCGATCGCCTGAAGATCGGCTTTGCGATCTTCCACCCACAACGCAACTTCCTCCACCTTTTCCATGGGTATTTCGCCAAAATACGCATCCCCGCGGCTATGCACGCCACCACCGCTGCAGGTCGGCGCACCCTTCCCCCCTCTTCGCCTCACTTGAGTCCTTTTTGCCGCCCCCTCCTAATTCACGCTCCACCCCAACCTCTTGCCTATTTGGGCTCTCCGCTGAAAGGCGCCCTTCCTGCGCCGCCTGGTCGGCAACGGCACACAAGATCGTCCCGATGAAACAGGCACGGTGTTACCTCGCAAGCGCTTGTTGCCTTCCTTTCTCTCCGCACGCCTCATTCACCACACGCCACCGATATGCTTGCACAGATGCGCGCTTGTAATGTGTGAGGCGGAGCATGACAACCCCGGCTGATGATGAGGCGTTGCGCCTCTGTTGCTTTTCGTTTTAGTCATCTCCCAACGCGCTGCCGTTATTTCCGTGCACTCTGCCTTGGTTGAGTCTTCACGCGTTCGCGAGCACTGAGACACGCCCAAAGGACCCACCGCCCGGGCGTAGTGGAGAGAAGGCCGAAGTGCCTAATGTCCGGGCAGACGATACATTGCGTCATCGACTTGGTTCCAGCTGCAGGTTTCCACCTCGACTTGTGGAGTCGTTCCAGGTACACACGGCGCTGCTGACAGGGAGATGTGAGCAGTAACTTGCCCGGGTGACCTTGGCGGCTGGGTACCGCCCGTCGTACATGCTGCAAGCTGCAAGCAGCCGCGCCTGTGGCTCCCCAACCGACAACCCAACGTTACCTCACCACCGCCGATCTATCTGCGCCTGCGCCTGATGCCTAGATGCCTTGGGCACTGTGATTTTCATCTTTTTTGCTTTTCTTTTCTCTTTGGATCCTGCGCATTCTACAGAGGGGTTAGTTTGTTTTTTTGTTCATGTCATGGGTAGTTGAAGCTATCGTCCGGTCGAGAATGTCGAATTTTTAATTCTACATACGCGTCCAGACGATAGCTTCAACTACCCATATGTTGTTTTCTTTTTTTCTAAAAAAAAAAAAAAGCCTAAGGCATAGTTACCATAGATTCGAGCGCCCTACTGTTCTTCGCGGTAACCGTCAGCTGCAAGACACCTCTGTATCCTTCCTCAACTGGGCCGTTCGCGCTCGCCCTGCGCTTTCGCTCGCTTCTGTTCCTTTTTGGTTTCTCGCGTCAGCCACCACCCAGTGCCCAAGACCAAGCCTTGATTTTGCCACCGTCAACCTCTGTCACCGCCCGTCTTCGTATCTTGTGTCTCTTTCCCTCTACCTCCTGACCGGTTACGCCCCGTGAGGCTCATGGCAGGCTTCCGAAACATGCAAACAGTCACTGTACATGCTCGGCCACCACCGGGGCTCAGTCATCCAATACTGACACCGGATCCCACGCTAAACCCAGGCAGCAGCACTTTCGTGTTTGTAATCACTCTTCTCACCATTGCCGGTTCATTGATGGTGTGCAAAAAAGGTCAGAGAGAGGGAGATAGAGAGCCGAGCGGTGTGACGAGGGCGCGTAGGATTCAACCCTACAACTTCTCAGCCCTGCCACCCCATTATTCAGTTAGTGCGGCTCCTCTCCTCAACCGAGATAAGCCGCCGCTGCCCGTTATGGGAAATCGTGCCTTCCTTCCCTCATCCAATAGATTAGCCCCGGGCCTTACGTGAGAACGTATCGGACAAAAGTGTGTATGTGTGTGTGTGTGTAAGCGCCGTCCAGCGACGCCTTTTTTCTCAGCCTCATCGCTTCCACCGCCTTCCATATTCTCGAACAGAGGTGGCTGTGGTCGAGACCGCCGTCGAGGCTTGCCGCTGCAAGCGAGCTGCCCGGCGCCTTTTTTCCTGGTACTGCACGACGTTCATGACAGGTTGGGGCTGAGGGGCGTTGTACAGTCCCCTATTGCAGCCGATGGCGTGGATTTGTTTTTTTGCTCATGTCATGGGTAGTTGAAGCTATCGTCTGGACGAGAATGTCGAATTTTTTAATTCTACATACATGTCCGGACGATAGATTCAACTACCCACGTATGTTATTTTTCTAAGGCAGAGCTATGTTCTAGAGCCCTGCTATTCTTCGCGCTAGCCATCGGCTGCGAGAGGGGGGCTGTAATTTCTCGCCAGCTTGGTAGGCCCATCTCGCTATCTCCGAGGCGGGCGCCTGCACGAATCAGAAAACTGGTATATTTTGGCTGGACGAGGCGCTGCTTCGCGAAATGCCGTCTGTACCAGTCAGTCAGTCAAGCAAAAAAGAAAAGAAATTGCGTGGCTGTTTTTCTTGCCTGCGCTTTGCTGCCTGTGACCGGCGAGTGCAGTGCAGTGCAGCGCAGCTGCCAGTCGGGATTGGGCTGCCACATACGATGCATGGCGTCAACAGCGTAACGAGCCACACCGATACGGGGAGGGGGGGAGCAGGGTCGAGTCCCTGTTGGGGGGCCCCAAAATCTACCCCGGCGTTGTAGACCCGGGAACAGGTTCCTGCGTATGTCGTGCGGTCGTTGGCGTGCATCGTGCGTATAGTCCCCTCTCGCAGCCGATGGTTAGCTTGGGCTTGTCTTTTTTTTTTTTTTTTGCTCATGTCATGGGTTGCTGAAGCTATTGTCCGGACGAGAATGTCGAATTAAAAATTCTACATACACGTCCGGACGATAGCTTCAACGACCCACATATGTTGATTTTTCTAAGCTAGAGCTGGGGAATAGCTGCACGTTGACAGAAGGTAGTAGAGGAGGCAAGACCAATCACGGACCACAGAACGGATAGAGGAGTCTCTACCAATTTTTTTTTCTTTCTCCTTCCTCTTCATCCAGCGGCTTTTCCATTCCATACAAATGGTGTGACACCGATTCATAGGGGTTTGTGTCTCTCCTTCTGGCATTTCCTGGTAGGAACCCTGGTTTTCTTCCCAATCCCCGTAACCTGGATACCGCGGCCGTGTGAACCGTGGCTCACCACAGCGGGCTGAGGTGTTCTAGAGGGCCGGTAGAACGTTGTCTATTCTTATCCGAATTGTTCTTTTCTTTTCGGCACTCAATCGTGCGTTGCATACAAATCGTTGGGATCAATTTCAAGATATTGTTCCTGATGGAAAGAGATTGGCGAAAAGTAAATCGTGGTATCGTTGCCCTTGTCCTTCTCTTCCAACTTTTCAAAAGACGAAGGCTAGAAAAAAGGAAAGTGAAAGCAAGAGCTCGGTTGGTGTCGCAAGGCGTCCTCAGCCTTCCTCTCTACCAAGGTTTCCTTGAGTCCTCCCAATCCTCGTTGTATGTACGTACCCGGCTTCATCTTTACCCCTTTCTCAACACAAAGGAGGCACAACCTTACACCGCATATTCCTTCTTATCCTCTCTCTGTCCCGCGGAAGATAAGGAAAACGGTTGTCTCAGATGTAAGGGCGGTAGAGCTGGGATGATGGGTTGGAAGCTTGGGGACACCACCTCACGCCACGCAGTCAGCGCTGCAGGCAACATGCGGTACCGTGCATGTCTTGTCCCTGGTTCTGTGGTATGTTCGATGAATGGATGTGGCTTCATATGGAGACTCCCGTAACAAGGGGGACAGTGCATGGGTGTGAACCAAATTGTTCACATGGATGATAGAAAAAGAAATTGAAAAACCAAGAGATCGAGAGGAAAGGGTCGTGGACCAGGTGCTGGCAAGAAAAAATTGAACAGAAAGAGGGGACCGGATGTCTTGGTCGGATGAACCGAGTCCCTGGATGCTTGGCTCTTTTTTCTTTTTCCTTTATCCTATTTTTCCTTTTTCTCATCTCTTGAATCTGTGACATGAGGTGCGTGATCGTCCCGTATTGTGTCTTACACTGCTTAGATCCTGGGTCCCTTTCTCATCTTTTTTTCCTACTAGGTACTAGGGTGGATCGAAGCGTGATGTGTCTTGCAGCTAAGACTCACCCCAGGCCCCTACATGGAAGCGGAGAGATGTATGTCATGGAAGCTGTGTGATTTGCTTGGTTGGTGCGCAGGTGTCGTAAGAATCAGGAGATGTAATTCCTTCTCCATCCCACCTTTCTTTTTTGTTCTGGGGAGACGTTGAAGTCGCGATGAACTGCTATTCGCACGTGTCTTCTTGTATTCCCCGTTTGCATTGCATTGCAACTGCCCTGGATATTTACGTTGGTCATGGCATCCCTCCCTACCGTCAATCATCTACTCCGTATTGATCATCCCGTTCGTGAGCCCATCCTTGTTCGAACGTATCCCAGTAGAAAACCCTGAACGCCCGCTTGCTACCCGAATCTCGGGAGGTATCGTCCCAGTCGCCGTCGTCATTATACACGTCCGTACCCAATTGGAATCAAGGAAAGAAATAAACCAAAAACAACCTGAGGCAACAATCTTCCCCATCCCTTCCGTCATCAGCATTCAATCAATCAATCACTACACGCCTTTCAACTTGACGCGTAGCACGCTACTCAGAATCGCTCAGGCTATCCCTCCTGGTGCGCATACCGCTCCTCCTGTAACCGTCCATGACGTTGCGGCCCCTGCGACCGGGGGCGCCGACCTGGCTGATACTCTCGTCGGGCAGGATGGTCGGAGGCGCGGCAGGGCCGCTCAGGCCGGGGATGTGGTGGCTGTAGATCTTGGTGCCAGTGTCGGAGTCCGTAGTGCTGCTGCCGAGTTCGTGGCGCGAGCCGTGGCGGGAGCGGCTGTGGTGGCGGCTGCTGCTGCCGCCCTGCCTGCGCGGGGTGCTGCTGCTGCGGCGCGTGTGAGACTGGCTGCGGCGCGACGAGTTGCGTTGGTGGCGCGGCGACGACGAGGGCGTGTCGTAGGAGCGCGCGGCAGGCGTGGGGCGGGCAATGTTAGCCTCAGCATTGGGGCGGTAAGACGAGTAGTAGGAGTCGTTGTTGGTGTAGACATCCGTGTACGCATCCTCGGTTGCCGTGTAGCCGCCCGTGTAGCTCGTCGCTTCAGTGTACTCGGTGTATTCATCATCGTAGCGGCGGTGGCCGCGCTCGGGCGAGTCGGGCGCGGTGGGAGAGTAGGAGCGGTCGGTCTTGCCCTTGTTCTTCTTCATCTCCTTGGCCTTGGCCTTCTCGCGCTTCTTGTTCTCGGCCAATTTGGCCTTCTGGACTTTGGCGGCTTCCTTCTGGGCCTTGCGGAGCTCCTTTTCGCGTGCTTCGGCTTCCTTCTTGACGGCCTTCTTGTCTTTGGGCTTGGTTTCCTTGACGAGCGGGCGTTGCGACAGCTCGGAGCCGAGTTCAGAAGGCTCGGTGTTGGTGTAGTCGTAGTGCATGCCGTCGTGAGCGCGGTTGAGACCACCAACGCGGGCGGCCCTTTCGTGACGGTAGTCTGCAAGCTCGGGATCTCTGTCCTTGCGGCGCTTCTTGCGGCCATCACCGCCTCTGATACCTTCGCCGGCTCTGCGTTGCTGTTCTTCCTTCTCGTCGACCACCGAGGTGCTGTCACTGTAGCCGACGCTGGTCGGGGCGCCATAGCTGCCGCCGTGCACGACGCTGCCGCCGCCCAGTCTGGTGCTCTTGGTAGCGTTGGACAGCGTGCGGCCATCGGGACCCTTGCGACGCAGGACAGTGCTCTTGTAGTCGTCCCAGTCGCCTTTACGCCATTTGAAGCCGCCGTTCTTGGCCCAGAAGAAGAACCAGATGGAGCCGATGACCATGCCGGCGCCGATCAGCGCGAACAAGGCGAGGAAGCCCTGGTTGTTGAAGTCGCTTGCCGGGCGCGAGCCTGAGCCGAAGTCGGGTGATTTAGTTGAGCGCTTGACAACCTCGTGAACTGTAGCCTTCATGCTGGAGGTTGCAGAAGTCACTCCATTGCCATCGGGTGAGGCGCCGCGGCGGAGCAGCGCGTTGAGGAGATGCGGGAGCGGCGCCATGTTTTTTTTCCTGGTAGTGATGTGGAGTTGAGTGGTGGAAGGTGCCTCAAGGCGGAGCCGCAGCTCGAATGCAGTGCGTGGTTGTCGTGATCAGCACTGCAACGCGGTCGATGTTTTGCCGATCGTGTAGATAAAGCTCGGTCGCGAGACGATACCTGGTCCGCAGCTCGCACGTGGAGAAGCAGAGCAGAAATGTGTGGATTTTTGGTAGAAGAGGCAGACTAGCCTGGAGTAAGGGCGAAGAATGCGGGCAGGAGTCTGGGGACTAGGTTGCCGGCGAGCGCGGATAATTGTGGTTGTGCGCGAGGCGGGTGGCTGGGGCGCGTATATGGAGAGGCTGGAGATGGCTGGGGATGCGCTGATGACGTGCCCTGTTTACTGCCGTTTCCCCGTCAACACCCCGCGACACCAAAAGTCGTTGCCGCTCGTCAACCCCCTTGCCCCTCACCCCTCAACTCCGTGCCTCAGGCATCCATTACTGGGACCCACGATCCAGGGACTTTTAAATCGTTTCAGTGGCTGACAGCTGGCATGTGAAATGTGACAATGACAGCAGCGCGGGAGACTCCCTATCCAATATCGACACACGGCCAGTCTTCAGGCATGGCCGCGACAGCAACTCATAGGCATCAAATTGTCCATTTTGCTCACTGCTGATGTTCCTTTCGTAGCGAGGAGAGTCCGCGCCTTCATTTGAAACACATCCACACTGTCTCTTAGTTCTGGGCCGGACGAATCCTCCGGAGCAACTTCGGACAAGACCTCCCGTCTGAACTGCTGCCTAGAGGTACATAAGATGTTAAAGCATTTAAAGTTGCTCCTATTCTGCACAAGCTTCCCACACGCCTCATGCCAAGGTGTTCGACCAATCTGTCGTCCTCAGGCACGTAACCCTATCGGGTTATTTATGATTACACCACCATAAACTCACGCCATCGATCAACACAACCCCAGCCGCAAATCATAAAGGCAATCACCGTTACCGGTCCCAAGAGAAAAAAAAATAGCACAATGTCCACCCCCGCCCACACCGTCCTCTACACCTCGGAGCTCCTCGAGCTCATCCTGCAGCACCTAGACACGCGCACGCTGCTGACCTCCGTCACGCGCGTGAGCCGGCGCTGGCGCGACACGGCGTACCTGTCGCTGCCGCTGCGGCGCCACGCGCTCTTCCTCGAGAGCGTGCCCGACTCGGCCCGCGGCGCGCTGCTGCCGCTCAACCCGCCCGGCGAGACGACGGCCAACCGCATCAAGCCGGGCGACGCCCTGCCGCGCGAGCTGCAGCCCGTCGTGAACGAGTTCCTGCTGCGCACGTTCCGGCTGGGCCGGTACGACGAGCCGGACATCGATCACGACGGCGGGTACATGCCCATGGTGGCGGTCAAGGGGTTGGAGCAGCTGGCCGAGGCGGAGGAGGAGCGAAGGCGGAGGGGCAGCGGCGGCGCTGCCGTCGTTGCTGCTGCTGCGGAAGCCGCGGCCGCCGGGGAGGAGAAGAAGCGTAATGATGAAGGAAATGCGCAATGTGCGACGGCGGCGATTACCGGCGAGCCTACGTGGAGACGGATGCTGATCATACAGCCGCCTCCGAGGAGGGTTGAGATTGTGATTTATGGGTCCGACATGTTTCAGAGCGTCAAGGCGTGGGTGGAATGTCAAGAAGGCGTGACGCTGGGAGTGTTATATGACAAGTGCCAGGAAATGGTTCACGGACGGGGCTGGCGCAAGAGGTCTATGGGATGGTTCTTCGAACTGTGATGGCCGGCAAAAGGAGGTCAAAGTCGGTCGATGGTGGGACCAGATGAAACAGAGCAGCGGTAACGGAGTTGTTGGCCTTGAAGCTCACGGCTTCTGATTCTTTTTTGGTTATAGCAGCTACAGGATTTCTTTAAATAAGACCGCTCAGGGCAACAACTTTTCCACCCTCAGTATACGTGCCGTTGATAGGGGCCGCGATGCCACCGCCAGTAGTCACGTAGAGGACGCTGCTGTCCTTGCTGGTCCTTCCAAACTGTGCAGATGTGGCACCCTCGACGAGGGTGGAAGTGAGGGAACCTGCAACAACCTCGACCGTGCCAGCGGTCGTGACCTTCAGGATCTCGTTCTCGAAGCCGTTGGCGGCGTAAGCAACCGCCTCGTTGGTAATGGCGAAGTCATCGGCGTAGGAGTTCGTGGCGAGGGTCTCGTACGGGCCGGCGGCCTTTCCGGTGGTCGAATCGATGGCGACGCGGCAGAAGAGCTTGGCGAAGAGGTTCTGGTAGTAGAGGTAGCCATTGAGGACCCTGATGCCGTTGACACCAATGGGGATCGAGGCATTCGACGGGGGCTTCATGGTGCTGTCGTCGAGAACGACTTCGTACTTTCCGGTCTCGACGTCAACACGATAGACGACACCGGCCTGCGAGTCGGAAACGAGCACTGAGTTGGAGTTCAGGGTCGTCATGCCGTTCAGGAACTCGGCTTCAGGGATGGCCGCAACCCTCCTGACCCCGGTGTTTCTGCCGCTGAGGTCGATCTGGTAGACGCTGTACGACCCCTCGGTAGAAGCAAAGGTGGAAAGGGAGAAGTTGCCGGTGATGACGTTGAAGACATCGGTAGAGACTTCAGAAATGCCAAAGACGCTGGTGACATCCGAGAAGCGGTAGACCAAGGAAGGAGAAGAGCCGTTGGCGTTAGGGTCTATTTGATAGACCTCAGGACGGTCAACAAGGTCAAGGAGCAGGTTGCCATTCTGGCGCACTGCAAGGTTCTCAACCCATGTGCCCTCGGCGAACTGATAGACGGTGCGTGAGTTGGTATCCCTGGCACGCAGGTGCGGCGCTGCCGCAGCCGAAGAAAGAAGAGCGGAAAGAAGAGTAAGAGACTTCATTTTGGCAAGACGAAAGAGCAAGACAGAAGCAACAAAAAAGGCTGTTTGGGATTATGTTGATCTCCTCTTCATGACAACAGGGCGCTTTTAAGACGCTCGCTTCAGTGAAGGGAGGCGGGTAGCTCGCAATCAGCGGCTAAAGGCCCCTCCGAACGGCTCTACATCCTGCAAGCGTCTGGGCCCTTCCGCCATGTGGCGACGGGGCCGGGTGTTGCCGCATTGGCCCTGGTGCCGTCCGGTAGGATGCTTCGCAGTCTCACCGTTTCCAATTGGGAACGGCAATTACCGGATGAGGAAGTCCATCTAATCGATCAACGCCCCGGGGCCGCGGATATAAACAGATCTGCGGATAAGGTTTGGAAGCAGGCAGCGTGTCAGGGTGCCCCTTCGCTGCGACTGGCGCAGAAATTACCAGACGTAGTCTGGCATTGGTGCCGAATAGACGGGTGCAGAAGTTGCAGTGGCACCCGCATATCCGGGCACGTTTACGTACATACCGAACGATTGAAACATGATCGGAGATAAGTGTGGGGCACGGCAGAGTTGCGGAATTGACAACCGCGCCGGAGCAGGTGCCGTGACATGGCTTGCCGAGGCCGGCCGTTCATGCAGGAGAAGGGAAACAGGGCGGCACGGAGCCGGTGCTGGTGGAGAGCGAGATCAATGTCTTCGCGACGCCGGTCACGTGCCAGGCACGCGCAAGCAACAAGGCCGCCTGCCGCTCGGCCGATAGAAGGCAACCCCTGGCCCACGATCTCCGGCGTCGTCCGTTGCTCTCGGGTCGCTGCAACAACGCTCAAATATCAACACTGCCAACGCTGGCCTCCCCGCAGTGCGCGACTCAGATCCCCACGTTGGGCCTCCATCGCCGTCGTCGTCATTCTTCGCGATCCTCGCCCCCCGGAAGCAGGCGTGCTTGGCTGCTGGCCACACGTTTTTGGACCACGCACTGGCCTATCGTGCAAACCTTCTTCCTGCCACGCGGGAGTGACGATGCCCAACACACGAGTTTCAGGCCCGTGAGGCGCGCGGACTGATTGGCCGGCAGATTCTCACCTTCTAGCCGCCTTCCATGGTGCTTCTAGCTGCAGGAGGCGCCACCATGAGGCGTGAATGCCAAACAGCGGCTCAGTAACGGTGTACAGCTGCCGCTGCTTCAGAAATGTTCAGCTGAAGGGCTTTGGCAGAGCGTGGCTCTGGCGGTGGTTCTCGGACCGCTCGGGGTCCATAGCCGAGCGCGCCGTTGAGGGAGCCGGCCGTTCCTGGCTTGCTCTCCACCGCCGACGGGGTCCATCCTGGCCTCTGTTCGGTCCCTCCACCACGCCATTGTAGCCTCATTTTCCTGTGCCTGGCACCACGCCTCTGAGTCTCCGCACTGGTGCGTCCATGACGTCCTGCTCAAGCCTTGAAACGCCCCCAGCATCCAGGGATCGAGCAGAAAAACCGAGCCGCATCAGGCCTGTGCCTGCCAGCGGCCAGCCCTATGAGTCCAAACACCCAATCATAGCGCCTGATACACTTCCCGCTTCCGCTGGGTGTCGTCATCTTGCTGCACTGTTCCTGACGCCGTTGTCGAGGGTCTCCATGTTCACCCGCCCTGGCAAGAACAGGAAAGGCTCGCACGCTAGATAGATGTTTCGCCTACACCTAGTTGCTGTAGGGATTGTCCGTGACCGAGTTTGCTGGTGGCTGGCTGTCTTAGAGGCTGGCTGGGTGCCTTTCTGGGAGAGGGTATAAATCCTCAGTGAACTCTGAGCTCAAGCCCGCCACGATACCTCTGAGCTACAGACTTCACAAGCATTCACCTTGTCTCTTCCTTGAAGAACTCACCACTACCAGCCGGCTAGGCCTCTGGTAAGTGCCAGTTGCTCGGCCTCAGAGGTTGACATCACTGACAACGCAGCAGAGAACTTGTCGACTTCAGGTCCACAACACTTTCTGGTTATGGCAGCTGCATCCAGAGACGGCACTGGATACGAACCTTTCCGTCCTGTAAAGGCTCGTTTCGACGCCATGAACCCTCATTCGGGCATCCCTGCTGCTTCCTCTCCTGGAGGGCATGCAATTGAACGACCATCCCTTGGCACACCCTCTCCCTCTATCCAAACACCTCCACCTAAAGCCACTACTCCGGGGTCGCAGTCGCGAGCCTCTTTCCAGACCTCGTACGAGCAGGAACGTGATCCTTCTGCGGATAGGAGGTCTCAAGACAGATCCTCCCTTCTGGGCAACAAGCGCAGGTCCAATGTGTCTGGCATGGGACCTGGTAGCATGAAGGACTACCCCTTCCCCGAGTATGGCACAGAGGCGGAGAGGGAGCCTGTTCCCAATCCCTCTATGATGGAACGGTCCAACACACAGACAAATTTCGACGGCAACACCATCGGCAGAACGAGGTCCAACTCGGCATATACCTCGACCCTCGCGGCCGAGACACACAGAGATACTTGGCGCAGCCGGAGGAGCGTCTCTCCGGAGCCCAACCTTTCTGCCTTCGTCGGTGCGAACGGGAGGCCGCTGTCGATATACGACATGAAGGAACAGGCCAAGAAGGCGAAGGCGGAGAGCATCGTCAATGGTGTCAGGCCTTCCGCCCCGCCGGAGTCTTGGAGGAGCACTTACAACACAGCCTACAACTACGGCGACATGGCCGACTACGCTGCGGCAAGATACCTCAATGCTGCGGCTTCAGGTGACAGCACCAGGGCGAGGGATAGGGACAGCGAGCTGCTGGCGTTGAGGCTCCCGTGGACCATGTGGATGAACAGCGATTTCAAGAACCACTTCGTTGGTAAGCCGTGGCCCCTGAATAGCCCCTGGTCTCCCCCACTGACACTGCCTAGCCGCCGTTGGCGAATGGGCCGGAACGACCATGTTTTTATTTTTCGCGTTCGCTGGGACGCAGGTGGCCAATGCGAAGAGTGCGACTCCGTCTCAGGCAACTACGACCAATGCCACTACCGGCTTCGACCCGGCGGTCATGCTGTACATCTCGCTCGCCTTCGGCTTCTCCCTGATGGTCAACGTCTGGATCTTCTTCCGTATTAGCGGAGGGCTCTTTAATCCCGCGGTAAGTTTGAGCAGTTCTAGTGGTATTCTTCACTTGAGGGTGAGCTAATCCCCTTTTCAGGTCACGCTGGCGCTGTTTGCAACCGGCGCTATTGGAGCTTGGCGTTCGGTCTGTCTTTTCGTCGCCCAGATCGCTGGCAGCATTACGGCTTCTGCGCTCGTCTTGGCGATATTCCCTACTCCACTTAATGTCCGCACGACGCTAAGTGATGGGACCTCTATTGCCCAAGGCTTGTTCATCGAGGCGTTTATGACGGCTGAGCTGGTCTTCACGTAAGTACCTCTTGGTGAAATGTGACGATGCTCTTGCTGATATGTGGTGCAGGATCCTGATGCTGGCAAAGGAGAAGCACAAGGCCACCTTCATTGCTCCGGTCGGCATTGGTCTGGCCCTCTTCATCGCCGAACTCTGCGGCGTCTACTACACAGGAGGTTCTCTCAACCCTGCTCGTAGCATTGGCCCGTGCATCGTCACCAACACATGGGATGGCTCGCACTGGATCTACTGGCTCGGACCGGCCATTGGCTGCCTGTTCGCGATCGGGTTCTACAAGTTCATCAAGATCCTCGAGTACGAGATGGCCAACCCCGGGCAGGACGGCGACGATCTCAACGACCCGACTAAGAACCCGTACCACGAGGTGCGCGAGAAGCAGCGCGAGATGACGGCCAAGATCCTGTCCGGGCTCAACATCAGCAACACGACGCCGCGGCAGCAGCAGCAGCAGCAAATGATGGTGGGCGGCGACGGCGACCGCACGCCGCAGCTGGGCGACAACGGATTCTACCTGCCCGCCGACGCGCGCCCGTCGATGGCGGGTGGACGGGCGAATGTCGGTGACCTGGAGAGCGGATTCGGCCCAGGTCCTGGGCCGCGAGGCGACCTGTCGACCATCCCGTCGAATGAGATGAGCCCGAGCAGAGCAGACTTTGTGGCGTCGCCGCAACGGGCATCGCCTCGGCACTCGTTGCAGGACATTCGGGAGGCGGCATGAGGGAGTGATTGGTCTTGCCAAGGCGGGGGGACAGATCAGACGGGTCCGGCTTTGCATGGAGTGGCGGGCGGAATTAGGACCGGCCGGAGATCCGGAGAGATCCATCCAGGATCAACAACGTGGGAGTCCAGGGCGCGACGGGGCGAAAGGCGGTCGAGTGTCCCCTTTTCTTCATCTTGGGCGCGCGGCGCTGTGATTGGCCATGTGTTGTATGTACGTTTTCGATGAGATATGTAATGCCAGATACGAATGCCACATTTTACGGCATCTTGCGCGCGCCCTACGCTTATTAGCCACAAACACGAGGACTGGTCGCACGAGCGGGCACGCGATGGCGCTGGCGGCGATGCTGGAACGGACCTGGCTGCGCTGACAGCCGCCTGATTTTTCTGGCGGAGCGTCGGCACAGCTGCCCAGACAAGGCTGCGGGCCGATGCGCACAAGGGGGGCGCGCGAGACTAGAGAGGCGGAAACTGGGGAGGACGACGAGGCAGCTCCACCCCAACGGCCACGCGAGATCTCTTGAGCCATTGCGGCACTTTTCGGGTGCCCGCGCCGCACCACCAGCTGCACTCGCCCTCCACTCACCGCGCGCACTCTGCAACGGGCAGAAAAAGAAAAAAAAAAGAGAAGACTCCAGCTGCCGCTGCCGTGCCCAGAGCCGCGCCTCCGCGACGCTGCTCCACTCCGCTTATAAACGCAAAATCCACCACCCTCGCCCGCGGTTCGACGTGCAGCAAGAAAAATCCCGACCGCCGCCTGCAGGACGCAGTCGACGTTTCCGCCTCCATCGCGATCATCCCATCCCGAAGCGGCTCCGCGACCTCGTCCCTACCTGCACCCGCACGCACACGCCCACGCGCACCACACCCACACACGCATCCTACCCAGCGACCTGGACACCACCCGGATCCCATTGGCCTCTGGTTGCACAAAGAAGACTCGCACACGCCCGCCGCCTTGCGCAAGGGAGCGCACGAACCTTTGGGAAACCCATCCGAGTACCGGGAAACGCGCGCCCTGCGGTTCGCTTCCCTGCCCCTCCTTCTTCTTTCCCTCTTTTCCCCCCTCTTCTTCTCTTTCTTTCCTTCTCTTGACCATGATCACCTCGTCGCCACGATCGCACGCTTCCTCCCCGGGCGACCGACAACCAGCGACCGACGAAGACGTGGCGGCGGCCGCGGAGCAGGCGCGCACGCAGATCGAGGTCGAGGACTGGGAGAATGACGACTACGGGTTCAACGACGGCGCGTCGGAAGCGGAATCGGGGTACTCGTCGGACGACGGCGGGTCGGTGACGACGTCGGTGTCGTCGTCGGTGCGCGACTACGTCTTCGAAAACGGGAGGCGCTACCACCGGTACTGCGAGGGCAGGTACAGCCTGCCCAACGACGAGCAGGAGCAGGACCGCGAGGACATGAAGCACGCCATGACGGTTGCCGTGTGCGGCGACAAGCTGCACTTTGCGCCCATCGGCGACTGCCCGGGTCGCATCCTGGATCTCGGCACGGGCACGGGCATCTGGTGCGTCGACATGGGGGACGCCTACCCGAGCGCAGAGGTCATCGGCGTGGATCTGAGCCCGATCCAGCCGACCTTCGTGCCGCCGAATGGTGAGGGATATTTCTTTTTTTTTTCCTGCGCGCTATGGGAGGAGCGGAGATATAATACTGGCGAGCATTGGCAGCGGAGAGGGGATCCGGTTTGCTGACTTGAGTTTCTGTTTGCGATATAGTGCGATTCCTGATCGACGACATCGAGAGCGACTGGGTCTACAGCGCGCCCTTCGACCTGATCCACCTGCGCGCCATGGCGCCGGCGATCCGCAACTGGGAAAAGATGCTGGCCAGCGCATACGACTGGCTCAAGCCCGGCGCGTATATTGAGCTGCAGGAACTCGACTTTTACCCGCAAAGCGACGACGGATCCATGCCGGATGACTGGGGATACATGCAGTATACGCGTGCCTGCCGCGAAGGATTTGGGAAATTCGGCGCAGACTTCCACGTTGCGCATTCGATCGCCGCGAAACTGCGCAACGCCGGCTTCGTCAACGTCATCGAGCAGAAGATCAAGGTACCCCTGGGCGCATGGGCGAAGAACAAGCTGCTGCGGACAGCTGGCTTGTACATGCAGGCGGCCGTCATCGACGCGTTCAGCATGGCGGCTGCTGGGCCCCTGCAGCGCGGTCTGGGGTGGAGCAAGGAAGAGGCCGAGGTCTTCATTGCCCACGCGCGGAAGGCCGTAAAGGACCCGAAGGTGCATGCGTATTACACGCTGCACATGGTGTACGGTCAGAGGCCGGCGTCGTAAATGAGCTGATACGGTGGGTGGTCGGCCGCCAATTGGCTCCAAGTGTGTATTCCTCCTCTTCTTGCAACTGATTCATCCCTCTTCTTACATCTTTCTCCCCCTTTTCTGGACTTTGCGCTTTGCTTATTTCACAACTGTGGGACACCGAAACCCCGTCCTTTCCAGCAGTTCATACATAGAGTCGGCATGAAGGGAGGTAAACAGCATCACGGTAACGACAATATTCGGGCTAGGAGTTAATTCTGGGAGCGTCTTTGGTACGGTTTTCGGGACGGTCGATACCTGCCTGGTGCCGAATGGACAGGCTTGTATTTTTGCTCTTTAAAGGCACCGCGGTGCTAAGCGGAACGGAGATACCAGGCGGACGTCAAGCTGCTTCTTGCAACGATCTCGGTTTGGAGAACAGGAGAGATTTAATATAATCTGGGTGGAGGGAAAGAGAAGAGAAGAAAGGTAGTAAATGAGAAAAACATTCAAAAGAAAAGTAAGACACTCATCAAGCATAGCGATCGATCAGCTCTGACGCAAGACCGGGGTTCCTGGACTTCTCATCACCCGTTACGAGGTTGATTCCGTAAGCATTGCAACAAAGCCGGGTAGTTGGAGCTCTCGTCCAGATGCATTTGTGCGCATTCATGCTGTGCAAACATGTCCAGATGAATGCTTCAACTACCCGACTTTTTTTTGCAATACTTATGGACCGGCTTTGTACCAGGATGGACGCTGATGAGGAAGACGCTACCTGCGACGATCTTATTGATGATGCAGGTCATTCGGGGCGGACCCACCCATCAGCCCTACACGCCATTTTCGTCGGGAACTCGGACTCGGGCCTTTGCTCCGGAAACGCCCAACGCTTTTTTTCCCGCTCGCTCGTCAACCTGAGGATCTCGGTCGCGCAGGTTGAGACGTGCTTCGGATGCGGTGTGTATCGCCGGGCACAGCCGAGGGGCGCTGCATGCATGCATACGAGAAGAGCTGTGGATACGCAAAAAAGCGCCGCTGCCGCTGCCACTGCGGTCAAGGGGTGGAGGAGATGGTACAGCTGGCCAGACGAGGGAGCAATCGGGAATGTGGTTCAACAGCGGCTGGCACTGACAAATCACATGGTGATGCAGGGTGTCATTAGCAGGCTTCCTGACTCTGCAAGAAGCCCAAAAATAGGATGTGTGAGGTGGTGCAGGTGGTGAAAAGAAGGAACTCAAGCATGATGAGGGAGGTACAGAGGGGTGCTGCAGCCGATGGCTAGCGCGAAGGATAGCAGGGCTCTAGAACATAGCGTCATTACCTATGCCCCAGCTCTTTCTTAGAAAAATAACATATATGGGTAGTTGAAGCTGTCGTCCGGACGAGAGTGTCGAATTAATAATTCTACGTACACGTCCGGACGATAGCTTCAACTACCCATGACATGTCATTTTTCTCAAATCCACGGTAGCCTTCGGCTGCGGGAGGGGACTGTAGGTAGTGTGCACCCTCCCGTTTTTTTCGTCACACATGGGTTTTGCTTGTGCGAGCGGGGCCGGAGAGTGAAGGAGGCGCAGGGCTTGGTGGAAGCTTGTTGATGAGCAGGCGAAACGTCCGCTTGTTCCTCAGCTAGTACTAGTGGCAGTCTGCCTTATGCAATTTGGGCCAGTAACCGGCACCTGCCAAGGGGCTGCGAGAGGGACAAGAGACGGTCCGGTTAGTCGTATTGGCTACCGCTCGGCCCGGCTGGTGACGGAAGCTCATGAGCCCTTCTGGTGCTAGCTAAAAATACCGACACCGTCACAACCCCTAGCTACCCTGCTGCTTCCAGGTATCAGCCCTAGCTGGCGCTACCTGTGATTGACATCACCCTCGCAATTTGGTCGGTCATTGCAACCCTTTTGCCATGGGCCGGGGCGTAGCTAGGAGATGCGCGGTTGCAATAGGTAGCAATAATATTAACGGCCAAGCCGACGGCACCAAAGCTTAAGGCAGCCCACCGCTCATCTATCGAAGATGATCGCCGCGCAGGGCTGTACTATGAGCTTGGCCCCCGCTCTGACCGAATACGATGCTACACCACATGCGATCAGCAGCTTAGACACTGCTCTTCGTACAGGGTGGAACCCTCTCTTTCCTTCCTGATTGCATTGAGTCGTAGTCGCCCTTTCTATATGAAGAGCTGTCTGCTCCTGATGACTGCTTTGAAGCTCCACGCCGGATTGACCTCTCTTTAATATTCTTCCTCAGTTTATTGCTTTCACAGTCGCTCGTTTGCAAACATGAGGTCATCTACCCCGGCCGTTGTTCTCGGCTTCCTGTCCTCCCTCTCCTTCGCCGCCCCTCTGCTCGACGTCTCACTCAATGCCGCCGACTGGACCAAGCAGGAGTGGGATGCCATCGTTGTGGGTGCCGGACCCGCCGGTATCATTGTGGCCGACAGGCTCAGCGAGGCCGGCAAGAAGACGCTCCTCCTGGAAGACGGAGGCAAGTCCTACGGCATCGTTGGCGGCACCGACCGGCCTGAGTGGTTGAGCGGCACTAACCTCAGCCGTGTCGATGTTCCTGGTCTCTGTAAGCAATATGCACACCCCGCAGAAAGCGTCTCTCGGCTAATAGTGATCTGAAACAGACAAGAGCATCTTTGCCGACGGAGGCAACCTGACCTGCGGCAGCCGCGTCAACGCCTACGGAGGCTGCACCATTGGCGGCTCGTCCGCCATTAACGCCGGTCTCTACTTCCAGCCCCCGGCATCCGATTGGGACGACTTCCACCCGGAGGGCTGGAAGAGCGCCGACGTGCAGGCCGCCACGCAGCGCCTGTACAAGCGCCAGGCGTCAGTCGAGCAGTACTCGATGGACGGCAAGTACTACCTGCAGTCGGGCTACGAGGCTGCCCGCAAGTGGATCGTCGACAGCGTCGGTTACTCGGATGTTGTCATCAACGACGCCGCGGACCAGAAGTTCCAGGTTTTTGGCAGGCCTTCTTACGACTACGCCAATGGCCAGCGCGGCGGCCCGACCACTACTTACCTGCAGACTGCGCTCAGCCGTGACAACTTCCAGCTGCAGACTGGCGTGCGCGTGCAGCGCGTCGCCCGCACCGGCGCCAAGGCAACCGGCGTTGTCGCCACCGTCGATGGCAGCGAAGTCACCATTCCGCTTTCTGACTGCGGCCGCGTTGTGCTCAGTGGTGGTGCTGTGCAGTCGCCGCAGCTGCTCATGTACTCGGGTATTGGTGATGAGGAGACCCTGACGCGCCTGGCGGCCGGGGGCATCCTCAAGGAGGGTCCTGAGGCCTGGATCAACAACACAGCTGTCGGAGCACGTCTATTTGACAACCCTAATACTTTTATTGAAATCCAAGGGCCTGCGCTGTCTTCTTACACTCACAGTTATGCCTCGCCTCCAGTTTCGGACGAGCAGCTGTACCTGGAGCACCGCTCGGGCCCCTACTCCTTCGCCTCCCAAACCAGCGTTTTCTGGACCTACATCAACCACACGGATGGCAGCATTCCCACTGGCGTGCAGGGAACCATCGACAGTGCCGGCTACAGCGACTGGAACGGCAACAAGACCATCACCCTCAACGTTTACGGAACCTCAGGCCTCCTCTCTGAGGGCCGCGTCGTGCTCGATGACAAGTTCATTGCAGGCCCTAGCGATGACGTCTACTACAGCGACAAGAACAACCGCGACGCTGATGACATCGCCCAGTTCATCCACGACATCTTCGCCAAGCTGCCCGCCGACCTGGAGCCCATGAACATCAAGCGCAACGCCACCAAGGAAGAAATCCGCACCTACATCACCACGCCTTCGGCTTACGCGAGGGGAATGGTCAACCACTGGAGCAGCAGCTGCAGGATTGGCGAGTGTGTTGATGAGAATGCCATGGTGAAGGGCACCGAGAACATTCACGTTGTGGATGGTAGCATTGTTGCCCCTCTGACTGTCAACCCGCAGTTCGGTATTATGGTCGCCGCGGAGAGGGCTAGTGAGTTGATTAATGCTTTGTAAGGAAATAAAAAATTGTACGTTTGTACGGAGGGGTGGATGATAGGTTGTAGATACCCTCTGTTTATGGTCTTATCCTAATGTTGAGATACCTTATGCTTTTAGATGCTGTATGTTGTTATAGACGAAGATTATAGAAAGTGTAGAAATATTTTAGATGTGGAAATATTAGTGAAGTGTACTCGGGGAAGTAATCAATATGTACTCGTCTAAAGAGAACCTACGCATCTAAAAATAAATAACATATACGGGTAGATGGAGCTATCATCCGGACGCATATGTGGAATTTTTAATTCGACATCTTCGTCCGGACGATAGCTTCATCTGCCCATGATACGAGCAATAAATCGTTCTTGAACCACTCAAGTTTGCGACAAGATTAGGCAGCACAGATTTGGCGATGGCGCAACGCATCGCGTTCAAGTGCGCAACTGCGCAATCATTGTCTGAATTGCGACGTTTGAAGATGCGGGAAAAGTGGTGCAGCACTTGCTCAAATTGGCAATGTGCATTACCCGGAAACCAATGAGCTCGCACCAACTTTCACCCTTCCCATTTCTGCGTCACCCCACATGGGTGCCTTGATGTCATCCAAGAGCTCGTTCCAGCGCACGCTGCACACCCTCGTGCGGCTTGCACGACGGCAGGTGCGTCGTTGATGCCTTGTGGCACTGCATTCCTTCCGATGCGTGTGATGGTTGTGGAACCGTCCTGACAACCCTTGGGCCCAAAATAGCGGTGATTCGATTGTGCTGCACTCTTGAGACGCTATCACACGAACGCCTGCAGTCCCTGGACTGAATTCTACGGCAACCTCCGGTTTAAGAAGTCTGTACCCTACCCGAACAACCGAGGGCAGGGTGCGGTGACAAGGATCGCTAACGGCTCGCATGATTGGACAAGGTTGGCTCACTTACATAGTATTGCAACAGAATCGGGAAGTTGGACCTCTTGTCTACATGCATTTGTTCATTTATATCGTACACTCACGTCCGGATTGATGCTTCAACTGCCCTTCTGCTGCAATACCAACGAAACTGATCTTGAACGAGCCATCCATCTCGCTCCTTCACCCTCCCAGAACTCCGCATACAATGCATCCTCTGTGTGCGGCGCGCGGGCGCCAACCGAAGCGTGGAGATGCAGCTGCAGGGGGTCTCCACCCTTGAAGGATTGTTAACATAATTTGGGGGCGGCTGCATTATGTTGTGTATTGCCTGACTTCCTCCATTTCCTCGTTCTTTCTCGCTTTTGCGATTTTCCTTTGTCTTTAATGTGCCGAGAGGCAAGCTTCCAGCATGTTCCCTTCGATTGACCGCAAATTGGCGAGCTGGAGCTTGCTCGTCGCGACTGCCCTACACAATGGGTTGACCGTCCACGCCCAGAAAGAAGCACCATCCGCCTCTGACTTCCTCCGCCGCAGCCAGCATGGCTCGGTAGTGGTAGGCGACTTCCTCTACATTGACGGCGGCCAGCTCTCGCAAAACATCAGCGGCGAGCTCGACACCATCGTGCCGCGCGTGCAAAACGCCACGCTCTCCATCGACCTGCGCAGCTCCTGGACGAACGACTCGGTCGAAATGACAACAATCGACCGGGGCGACACGCCCATCCTCACCTTCCCGTCGCTCTGGGCCTCCGAGAGCTCTTCCTCCTTCTATCTCTGGGACGGCATGCGCGCCCCGGGCAACGCGGTGCCCAACCTCGGCGTGTGGAAGTTCACGGCCGACGATTCCGGCAGCGGCGAGTGGTCCAAGGTCGGGCAGAGCGACCTCGCCACGTTCAACAGCCTGACGCGGCCGGTGGGCGGGTACAGCGCGGTGTTGAGCGAAGAAGTCGCCTTCTACGCCGGCGGCTTCACCTCGTCGTCGACGGACCCGGCCGTCGACACGGACTCAGAGGTGCCCGTGCCGGGCATCGTGTCGTACAACTTCTCGTCGGGCGCATGGACGAACGGCAGCGCCGCCGGCTTCACGACGTATGGCACGCAGATGTGGGGGAAGGCGGCAGCAGTACCCTTCGGCGACCCTGGTGGATTGCTGATATTTCTAGGTGGCGAGAGCGGCAGCCGCACCGCGCTGTCCAACGCCGCGGGCCAGCTCGACCTCGACACCGTCGCCGTGTACGATCCGGCGGCCGATAATGGGACGTGGTACAGCCAGGTCGCGACGGGCGACGTGCCGAGCACGCGCGACGGCTTCTGCCTCGTCGGCGCGCAGGACGTGAGCGCTGCGGGCACGAATGGCTCCTACGAGCTCTTCCTGTACGGCGGCTGGAACGCGGGCGACGGCGGCGCTACCTACAACGACACGTACGTCCTCAGCCTGCCCGCCTTCCGCTGGTTCCGCGGGCCCGACGCCAGCGCCGCGCGCCTCAATCACGGCTGCCATGCTGTCGGGAAGGGCCGCAGGCAGTTCGTCAGCGTCGGCGGCGCGGATAATAACGTCGAGACGGCGGAGCGCTGGACCGATGCCGATCCGTGGAAGCAGGGTTTGGGCGTGTTCGATATGACGGAGATGCGGTGGACGGCGAGCTACGATGCGGACGCGGCGGCGTACGAGGTGCCGAGCGTGGTGAGGGAGTGGTATCAGGGGGGAGACGCGGAGCCGGAGTGGAGCTCGGATAGTGTGAAGGCCTTGTTTGCGAATGGTGAGTGTGATTCTTCTATGAACCAAGATTTCATTCTGGCCTCTCCCCCTTCTCCACATCACTTCACGCTAACATCTCTCACATAGTGACCCGCACCACTGCCTCCTCCTCTACCCCCTCCGCTTCCTCCACCGTATCCTTGTCTTCCTCGTCCGGCTCCACGAACCACACCGGCGCTATCGTGGGCGGCGTCGTCGGTGGCCTCTGCGGCCTCGCCCTCATCGGTCTCGCATTCTTTCTTCTCCGCCGCCATCGCAGCCGCAAACAGCAAACACCTGCCATCGCGACGAATGTAAAAGCAGCTGGTCATTATCCACACGAATTGTCGGCAGGGCAGGAAAGGATGGAGTTGCCGGTGCAGGAGGTCAAGGAGATGGAGGGGGATTATGGAGTGCAGAAGTTTGGTGCGGTGAAGAAGGACCAACAGCCGGTGGAGATGGAGGGCACGCCAGGGGAGGTGGCGGAATTGGATGGGGGTGGGGTTGAAGGAGAGAAGAGGGATGGCGGGGAGAGGGGGCCCGAGTGGAGGTGATGATGGGGGAAGCGGCGGTCAATCAAGAAAAAAGCGCTGTGGATCTGGACACGCGTACTGCAAGGTTTGGTGGATATCGAAGTCTTATGATACCCTCTTGTTTCATGTTCAGTTTTTATCTCTGTATGTCCCAATTAGCCTGGTTTGGCTTTTCATCTATCTGTGCCCTCTGCTATTCGCCATGAATACCTGTTCGACGGTAAAACACAGGGCCCACCGATACTGACAATGTGTGGATACTCTACTGGAGCTCCAAGGTGCCTTTCAATCCCGGTAACATTCCAAGACGAGTTCGTCCACGCTCCTGTCACTGCCTATCCATTCACCATGTTTAATGAGGAAGGGAAGACCATCACTGAACAGTCAAGAGCTCGGGATGGATCTGCTACAACATCCTTACCTCATGGCTACTAGAGGCTCGATCGGTGCTAGTGACGGATCAACGGGAGCTGCAGGTGGAGCAGCAAGCACTGGTGGAAGTGAACGCGGTGGAAGTGGTCTGTAGAGCACGCTCTACCACAGGAAGACGGCTCAGGCGAGGTTTGCGGTTTGTTTCTCTCTCGTCTTTGCTTCCTTACACCGGCCTTCTTGATTAAAGATGATCCTACGTAGAAGACAGCCTGAGTAGCTTTGAAAGTCGGATGTGAAATGTCATCAGTAACGTCCAGTGGTACATCAACGACGCTTAGATCTTAGCGTCCGAGCGATAGATTCAACCACCCATAAATTATGCCATGATAGTTTCTTGATTTCCTCAACAGTGACTGAATGCTTCGCGTTGTGCCGTCCTTTTGGACTCCCCACACAAAACTGTCCCCTACAATTTGGCAAATTATCAATATCTATAGTGCTCGGCTTCCAGTGTGGAGGTCAGGCTGCGCTGTGTTTGTTGGATACGCAAGAACAAAGCCTTATATGACCACTTTTCAATATGTATTTTTCTTCATCTTTTGGCATGGTGAATAGAACAATCGGGACAGATACGGACGGCATTGGTCCTGCGGCATCGGACACGGTAATATTAACTGCGAATCCGAAACTTTCAACGCACTGGTTCTCTTTACCTCCATCACCATCGCCACTACCAGGGTGCGAACCACTTATGTGGGCCCAAAGCCCTGATTCCGTGAAAACCCTTTTTTATAAGGGTTCTCGTTACCGTCAACCAATATGAGAGATTTTACAACCAAATGGCTACCTATCGTGAACATAGTAGATTTATAGAACAGCATGATGCTGCCATACAAAGCGGCTGTAATATATCAAGATCTTCTAAAACTCTAAGAAAAGTGTAGGGTTGTCATATTATTTCATTATGCCTGTACCACATTATTCGCATTCTCACCCCCCCAAAAAAAAGTATGGTATATTGGTACCAGTATATTGGTACCGCGGCGCCAGCTCACCGTTTCTTTTCTAGCTTATAAAACAGCGGGCGCTGCCACTCCAATCGTACGTCTTCATTTGCTCTCAAGAAAACGAGCATGTCCATCTACCACTTTGGCGCCCTCAGAGAGTCACTCACCACCAGCGGTAGTGCTGAATCGCCCGAGAATACTTCAGCTATGATCAACAACATGTCGAACGCCATCAAAGAGCCACACAAGGACATCGGAAATGTCACGTATCATCTGGAAAAGACTGCTGAGATCCTCGAGGACTTGACAGAGAAGGCCGAGGGGTTGACAGATGAGGCCGAGGAGATGACAGAAGTGGCCCATGAGTTGAATGAAAAGGCCTTTGAGTTGAAAGAAAAGGCCGATGAGTTGTCTAATCACTTGAAGGCCCTGAGGGAGAATGGTTGCGACGATGTGCATGCACGCATCGAAGGCCTAATAACTCCAAGAAGGCGGGATGCCGTTTTGTAGGATTCCTTATCCTCTTCCCAAAATACAAAAGTTCTAATAAGCCCTCTAGATTCCACAACGAGGCAATGGTAGCGATAAACCGCCATCAATTCCGGACCTGGACGACGTGGCCGCATCCTTGGGTCAGTCCGATACCATTAGCGCCTCTCTGTTCCCTCAAAACCGGAAAAGCGATTCCTGGATTTCCCTTCGACAACGCTGAGCTTGGTCTTCTTACTGAGTCACGAGTGGATATCCTCTGTGAACATCTTGACCTGGAGCTTGAGGGATCCCGTGAAGAGAAGCTGGACAGGGTCTCGAAGACCATCGGTCTTTGGCGTGATTATTATCCTTACATGCAGCCCGTAGTGGTTGGCTAGCCTTGCATCGTTGTCACTGAATCTTGATAGTACGAGGCCAAAGTGGATAGACTATTCACAGAGCACTTATTGGAAGGCACCATCGTTAGCTCCAGTGTTGCGGGATTGATGCAGAGATTATCATTATGCAAAAATGGTCCAGAGTCTCCCGCAACCTCCGCATTACCGCATCCCACAAACCTCCGCGCTTACCTCCAGCAACTCATCCGAAAGGCGAACCCCTTACCTCATTCAGCTCCAGCATCAGCACCGCCACCAACTACACCAAAAGCGAAACAAACTTCCGGACAACCGTATCCTTTCCCACCCACCACCCATCCCCCCATCGCACAAGTACATCCATACATATCCGGCCCCACCGCCCGACGACCCTACTATCCAGCTCCCGGTTCCATGTCCAAACCGCCCAACTACATTTGACATGTTGCATCGTGCGATCCGAAACGTATGTACGTACAGAGAGGCGTATCACAACCGAAGGCTGGCTAGCGTGAATTGATTTTTTTTGCTCAAGTCATGGGCACTTGAAGAAGATAGCTTCAACCACCCACACAAGTTCAAATAATTCTTCGTACCAACCAGACTTCAGCCGTGCAGACCCTCTGTACATACTCCGTCCCAGCGAGTTCCAGTCGACGTGCGCGCGCGGGGGCCAAATGGGGCGCGCGCGCCCCCCGCGCTTCAGCTCGCCGAGGCGGCTGCGTCTATTTATAGAATATGATGGCGCGCGGGCGCGGGCGCGGGTGTCACGTCCGCTTGTGCTTTGCTTTTGCGCCAGGAAAGTCCCGGTGACAGGAGCCGAGCCCCGGGGATGTGGAGGAGGAGGAGGAGGTCACCCCATGCTGAGACGGGGGGCCGGCGCTAGAATCGAGGGAAGCCGAGCGCGCGAGCGCCGAACGCTGGATTCCACGTCGGCGTGATGCGGAAGGGCTGGAATCGACGCGCTGATGGTTGCGGGCCGTTTCATGGTGACTATTCGCTTCAGTCTTGTATTTGTTTGGACTGTACGATGAAGGATGGCGGAAGGGCCGTGGTCTCTCCGGGTAGAACGAAGGGGAGGTATGTGATGGTAGGACGCGGAAGTTTCAGGCTTCGGTGAGACGCTCTGGCGCCGAGTTGGTCAGCAGAAATGCAAAAGAAGCAGTCAGTGGCCTGACTGTAAGAGAAGGGTGATAACAAGTGTCTTGGGCTGTGAAGGAACAAACACGGTCTTTGCCGTTGTGTCACTTCTTGAACGTTGGCGAACGAAGCGATGACCACTTGCGATGCTGCAATTAGGGCTTTGTTCAAGCCATGTAGATATGTTGATTTTCACTAGAATGACTGGTGCTTTAAGGAATGCTGATGTCAACCTCACCTCCTACGTGCATACAAAGGGGTGCTGCAACCGAAAGCTAGCGCAAAGAAGTCGAGTTGTATAGGCAGCTGAAGCTATCGTCCGGACGTGAATGTATGACTGTCAATTCCACACGTACGTCCGGACGATAGCTTCAACGGCCCATGACCTGTGCGGATTCTTCGCGCTGGCCTTGGGCTGCAACACCCCTCTGTAGCCCCCCAATTCTTCTCGAAAATGAATGCTGCTCTGGTGTCTTTCTGTGATATTGAGAACGGAACCACCAATTCAGGCACAGAACGGTGTTAGTGTGCGGGCTATAGTTCGGCAAGGCATGGTTTGAAGAAAAAGCAATTTGCGGGTAGGAAGGGCATAGCAAAACTCTACGCGCATGATCGCTTGTAGTGCGACATGACAACAAAATAAGGCATCGGTAAGACTAGGCCGACGCTACAGACCCGACCCCGACAACAATAAAAGCATTTTCAAAATAGCTCATCGGAAGCTCGCTTACTGTTGTATGCATGCAGGCAGGATGTAAACACGTCTTTGACGCGCTGCTGTGCTGGCGTGTTTACCTGCATTGCCCAGCGCGGGGTCGCGCTACCAACCAACCACACGACCAACGTGAGTTCCGCCGCCTCCAAGCGCTGAGGATGCCCACTCGTCATCCGAGCACCAACGGATTCCTCGCCATCATGGGGACGTCGGGTCATGGCTTGAGTCATTTTGGCCTCATGATCCACTGCCGCCGCCCCGTTTCTACTACGATACCGGGTGTTCGTCTCATCATCAAAGCCGGGCAAAGAACCATCGTGACAGCGGCGCTGCAGACGCAGGGTAAAATCAAGGAAACGGCAAACCTACTCCGCACATGAGGAGGCTCTGGCGGATAAGTTGTGGAGATACAATTGGGTGCCGAAGTAAGAACGGTCCAGAAACCCCGGGAAAGGTGATGTGACTGACGCCATTGTGAAGGAGATCACCGCGTGCGACGCTTGATGCCACTGCTGCCTGTTCGATTGCAGCTCAGAGGTCCAATGAACGGAATGCTTACCTCCGTACTCCTCAATGCTTTGGGGCTGTGTTGGGAGGGGAAATCACCCGAACTCGCCGTGCCCCTCTCCCCTCATCCATCGCGTTTGTCGGCTCGCTGAGAGGTGCACCTTGCTTTTTTAGACCTTTTGAGTGATCTGAAACACTCATCGTGCACTGCTCTGCCATCCACTTCAAGTGGAAAGTCGCTTCGGCCCATGCTTTCCGTAGCACTGCATACGGCACGACACGGAGCTAGAGTCCTGCGGAGCGACGTCAGCGCAGCTTGCCACGGCAACAGGCTGAAATACGAGCTGCGAACGTTTCCGTTCTCTCGCATCCTCCTGACGCTTTGTTTAGCTTGTTAGCCGGCAGAGCTAGCGTCAGAAGTACTCGAAGTTTGTGTAGCGTGGGCTGAACGCCCCGGTTCGGCAGTGTGGATGGTGATATCGGCGGTAAGTCCCTCACCCGATGAACCGTTGCCGGCCTGTTTCGACAAGTCATGTGGGTTCTTGCACCTGCTACCCCAGGCTTCGCACGGCATGACTCGTACAGCAGAACCGAGTGCGGATGCCTGCAGGTCGGCAGAGCTTCCACAGCTCCTGCTGATGCGCGTGCTGCTGTGGCCACCAAAGAGATAACGTGATGGTGAGAGACGACTAGGGCGGTCAAAAAGGCGGGACCTGACCGGCGTCAGTGTCGGGAAGGCTTCCCCGTGGGAGAAATGCGGGCTGAGCCGTCCCCCGTTACAATATGGCAGGCAATATATGCAGCTGGAACCTTTCGTTCGTTACCTCAATAATTTCGTCTCCGAGATCCTCTCGCCGAGGCTGTCGATGCAGGCGCTGCTCCATATCGCAAAGTTTGTTTCGGGTAATCGGACAACCGAGAGCTGGTTGGAGGCCACAGTGGTGAAAAGGCGGCCTCCTCGGGATCCATACGGCGCGGCCAGCCCGTGACTGGGCAGCCATCGGTGCCGCTGCATGAACGTATGAAAACAGTCAGATCGTGATAAGGATCATTAGTTGGAATGCAGCGGCACAGGCGGCCGGCCGCGGATTGGACTGGGCCCTGTCGGGAAGGCTACCAACTGAATCAAAGGCGACTGCTGACTGTGACCGCCTTTTTGGAACCAGTCTTGTCGAAGCGGGTTGAGTGTATTACGAAGCCTGCGGTCTGGCCGATGCTTGCCGGCCGTCGGTCGCCACAGCGGTGACAGCGGGAGCAGATTCCGAGACGCTCTCCGTCTTCCCCGGATCATGTAGACGGCATCGTGAGTGCTCCCCATTCGTCATCGTCGCACCGGTCATCTGATGCATGCTGCACGAAGCCCCGGTCAAGAGATGGATGCAAGTTATGCACGCTCGCCTTGCGTCAAGGGCTGGCGTGCATAAAGAGGGCCTAGGCATACCTAGAACAGTAGCAGAACATGCGAAAGAAGCCCACGTCTTGCGGCACAGAGCTGCCATACTGTCCAGAGTTGTATCATGCAACTAAAAGATGATCTTGGTCCACGGTCCGGTCCTCCTTTCGGTGATACAAACGGCAGTCGTGGCCCTATTTGCCGTTAGAACGGGGGTGGTACAAACTGCGAGCCGACTATACACACGTAACGTTTGTAGCATGAGGAATTGTCGGAGTCAGCGGCATGCTCCGTGATATTCCAAGAATGGCATACTCCACATCTCTCGCAGGGCTGCAGAGCATTCAGCTGAGAATTACATCAGCCGAGTAACGAGCCCCTTGGATTAGAGCGAGATCCTCAGGCAACTACTGGCGGCGCCGGCCGGGCGGGTGTCGTGAGTCGTTTCGAATGTCGCACAGATCCATGTAGTTGGAGAATGATTGGAGGTCTGGCAGAAGTTTGTTGAGAATGGGCCATTGAGAGAAGTACAATGGGCGCAGGGGAAGATTGCTGAAGTAGTCTAGGCGCTTGATCTGGGCTGCATCCCCACGTTTCAAAAAATAGATGGACCAGTGGGCAGGCGTGGCACTCCGGCCTATTAGCTGGCATGCGGAGAAGTGCGACTTGTGCTCCAACGTGGCTAGCTCTCGGAAGCTTCGAGAGGGATCGGAGGTGGCCGCGGTCGTGACCAAGTGATACGTCAGGTACCTGAGTACCTAGGGACGGCCGTCTTTGCGTGTCCCTGATTTACATGTTTGCACGCGGGGAGAAAACGGGGTACTGATGCGTTGGCGGTCGTGCGTTGGAGCCGCAAGTACAGGGGTCCAGAGGCAAGATCATGTGTGCACCGTTGACGCCACCGCAGCAGCAGGCCGGGACGGTTCGAGGAATTCCGGGGGAAGGACAGATTATCGACGAATGCTCAATTGGGCCGAGGTCACGACAGCATGTCGTGCGGTGCTCGGAGAGGCAGACATGGCCTTGCCACCGTCAACACCGAGGGAGCGGGCGTTGCCGGAGCAGTTCGGCGCGCATGAAGGCTGGTACTTAGGTGAGCAGATCGTGAGGCACACATTGGCCGCGCCAGTTCACCGGTCGACGGCGTGGAGCAACGGCAGCCAGCACTGGAAATCCGGGGCGCGGCATTGAGAGCACTGCAAACATGTGTGTCGACGGGCGGCAGGCTGCAGGCGTGCGTGGGCGCGTGAAGAACGAGCGCCGAGCTGCAGAGGCGTCGTGGGGGAGTCGACGGTGGAGGGTGGTGCGGTGCGGTAGAGCGTGAAACGTGATGCTGGCTTGGCCGTCGTCGTCGGGCCAATGTGGGCGAGGGCGTGTGCGACTAAGATGCTGCTGCTGCTGCCTCCGGAGCGCAGGCGCAGGCTGCGATCTGGATAAGTGACTGGCTCAAATACTGGCCCTGCCCGCTCCATCTTCGCGGCCCTCGATCTTTTTTCCCTCGCCGCGCTCCAGACCCCAGACCTCTGCCCCGCGCCCGTTTTGTGCCGGCGGGCTTTGCTGCGCGCTTTTCTGCCCCTCCTGCTTGTTAATCTGCCCGGCCTGCAGCAGCCCTACCTGCCCAACCGCTGCTCCGGCGGCCCAAACGGCCCTCGCCCGCCCGTCTAAATTTATGCGGCACTCGCCCACCGCCCTCTCTGCCCGCCTGATTCCCCTCGCCATGTCCCCGCGCGCATTGTCCGACTGCTGAACACCATCCACGACCGAGTGCGCGCGCACACCGCCTGCTGCGACGAGCGTCTGCCAGCGCGTGTGTTTGTCGCCCGTCCGTTTCTTCGCTGATTGCCGCCGCTACTGATTACCCGAACCGAATCCCGCCGATCCGCCGTACCTACCTCTCCGCCATCATGCCTCCGCAGCCCACCTGCGAGACCGACAGCTCCTCCGACGAGGGGATCGCTCGATCCAAGTCGCGCTCTCGCTCCAATGTCTCTGCCAAGCGCACCTCGCAGTCCGAATTGGACAGGAACCACCATGCCGCCCGGCCGATGGACCTTACAAGTGATTCAGGGTATTCGAGCCGCACCGCCGCCACGGGTAGCAGCGCTGATTCCGCCAAAAGCCCGAACCACAGAAGACGCTCGCCCGTGAAGCCTCAGGCCCCACCTGCCGTCCCAGACGCACCGGCCATGGCTCCGGCCCCTGCCCAGACGCGCCCTAGACAGCCCGAGAGCCTCAAGAAGAAGACTGCCACGGCTCGCGAAAGCCCCAAGTCTTCCAAGACCTCCACAAAACACAAGGACAAGAGGCCAGTGCTCGTGCAGAAGTCTTCCACACAGGGAAGGACCGCATCTGTAAGCCGACGTCGTGACAGTATGAGGCAAGATTGCGATGATCCCGACTGTCGCGAATGCCTGGCAAGGCCGAAGCCGAAGCTACCGCCATTGGTGACTGGAATGAAGGATGAATACTCCACGTACGCCCCTCGATCGCCCCATGTGCCTCCATCTCCAGGCAGGCCTCCATTCGGCTACTACCATCCATCCATTGAGACCCGGATTGCCGGATCTACTAGGCCAATGTACTCACGCGAGAGACCACACAGCTATTACGTAGGATCTGGTATCTCGGAGCGCCACGATTATCCCCAGTCGGCCACTAGCCACGGACCGCCGCCACCCTCCATGTACAATCATCCTCAGTATGCTGCCATAATGGGCCCGAGTCCTCATTCTAGTTACTATGGCGGTCCTCCCCCTCCTTCTCCTCGAAGCGCTTCCTTCGACAATCGCTCCCTTATGCTAAGCCGAGCGAATGACGGTTACATGCCTCGACCACCTGCCCCGGGTTTACCAAATCCCCGCTACGGACCTGGTCTGGCTGCCCCTTCCTACCCACAGGCGCCTGTCAGTGACGGCTCTGATGATGATGATGAAGAAGAAGATGAACGTGGCTATTATCTTAGTTCAGCCGAGCGGGACAGAATGATAATGCCACCACCAGCTCAACCGGCTGCTGAGCCTTCACGACGACGCCCAAGCTTTCGGTCACAGACGACCGGTAATATCCCTCTGGCCAGAGCTGCATCCGTTGGCTACCGTGATAGACCGGACGCCCAGGAACAAGGTCTGGCCCCAATGGCTCAATCACTTCAGCTGCCTTCCAGACGCTCTTCGGTTGCTGGTTCCGATCGCACTCAGTACTCAAGGAACAATGTGTTGATTCAAACTTCCCGGTCTGACCGACCTAGAGATTCGGAACGTGAAAGGACTAGGCGCAACACGATGTATAACAGGGATTTTGCCCATTTGGAACTCGGTCCTACTCCCCGCCATGATGCCAGCGCCGGTGATAGTAGAAGGAGAGAAAAGATGCACAACGAGGTTAACAAAGTGGAGGCCTACCTGGCAGGCATGAACGGCAACTATACCACTGTCGTTGATGGTCTGCGCACCAACCCTGCCCGGGGCCGTGCTTCCAGCAACGCTATGCCAATTCGAACCACCAGCCACTCGCAGCACAGCTTTGATGGTGCCAGCCGCATTAGTGAAGGCGCTCGCAGCACTTCAACGCGTAAGACCACCAGAGACGGAAACGTGGCAATTAGGTTTGAGGGCAGTGACATGTTCGTCGAAGGGGACATGGGCGACAAGATACTGAGGGTCACCACTGGAGAAGATGGCAATCAACAAATCACGATTGCCGACGCCAAGGGCAGAGAGAGGAAGTACCAAGGCGAGGGCAGTCGCGTTACCACCAACACGAGCAGCAGCCGATCTCGAAGCGACCACGACAGCGCTCGCCCGCGTGGCGATAGTCGCAGTGCTCATGATCGCGAGATTGAGCTTAACCGACGCGGAATGAAGCAACGAAGTGTTCGCTACGCCGATGAACCCCAACGAGAGTATTTTCGCCCGGAGCGGTCATTTCGGCGATAACAGTACGACCACCGTGTGATTGAGAAGCAATTTTCGGCATTTCCTTGCATTTTCTTTGATGGACCTAGGTTTGGACATGGTTGGCTATTTGATATCCCCTTCGCGTGCTTTTTCCCTTACTTTCTTTTTCCTCATCCGTTGTTCTTTGGCTTGTTCAGAAAAGATTCTTGTCCTCGGGGTGTGCTTTTCCATTCTAAAATCTCGTCTTTATTCGTTGGTCAAACAAAACGGCGAATGGAGCCGACCAAAAATCTGGGTGGCAAAAAGGCGGTTCTTACAAGAGGATCAAAAACGGAAAAGTTGCATCTTTCTTCTCTTTTCTTTCCTAGCGAAGGCAACATGGGAGGATGACGAGTTATGGCCACCTAACATTACGACGCTACGGACGACATTTACGACCACAAAATCCCCGGTGGAGCTCTGTCGGCTTCTACGGGCAGCACTGGCACTACGACATTTATCTTTATTCCCATACTCTCCACCGAGACTCTCAGCCATACCCCCAATCACTCAACTTTCATATTTTTCCATGGGTAGCAAGGTAGCGCGAGTGTTCATTTCCCAACTCCCCTTCGATCTCTCCCTATAATTTCCGCCAACTCTCTTCATACCTCTCCGCGACATATGTTCTTCTTCAGTGCGCTCGATAGATCGCATTGTAAGTGGAACGTAAAATGGGCGGGCGGACTTTGCTTAGCATTCTTGTTTGGGGGGCCTTTTCAAAGACCGAGCGGCTTGGTGCCTTTTTACTTGTGAAATGGAAATGATCTTCTCACGAAGTCGATTTTCAATACGTTAGTTCTGTTTTCAATGACGTCAAGGAAGTGTTCACGATGTTCGTGTCAGAAGTTGTTCTGGTGTCCAGATTACAAGCAAAACCGGCGATGCATGGCAGGTAGTACGTGCAGGGCTGTCAGGTGAGGCATGTGGCACCGTGCGCACGAGGCAAGGGCGCGTTCGGGATATCGGGTACAAATGGAGCGGGTCCAATTTAGGCGGTTGGAGAATGATCGGGCAGCAATGAAGTGAGGGCAACCTCAAATGTGTAGCTGTAAGACAGTTCGAGTAGGATAATATCATTGGATATCTCGCTCCTGAAAGCACACTGCTTCGCTCGACGACGGGTGTTTGTTGTTTCCATGGTAGTTGCTTGCATTTTGAGGCAATGGCTGGGGGCACTGGCTTCCGATTCCCGGAGCAGAGTGTGTCCGATGAGCAGGATGCAAGGGGACGGGATATTTTGCGGGGAGTACAGAGGGGTAGCCGAAGACTAGCGTAGATTTATTTTCGGTCTGTCCATGGGGAGCTGAAGTTTTCGTCCGGATGCAACTGTGGGATTGATGATTGTACATTTATGTCCGGATAATAGCTTCAACTACGTTCTTCTTTTCCTTTTTTTTTTTTTTAGGAAAAAGTCAGCTGAGTCATAGTTGCCCTAAATTCGAGGGTCCTGCTGTTCTTCGCGCTAGTCTTCGGCTGTGGTACCCCTCTGTATCGGGGCAACGGCAATGCGAGATAAGACAAAGATTAAGCAGGGAATATGTTCCTTTGGGCGCTTGAAAGCAATCCTTGCTTTTTGCCTGAGAGCCCAATTGCGTGATCGGGCAGTAGCTACCGCTCAGCTGTCCGGAAAACCTGATCTTTGCCGCGTGGTTAATCAGCCTATTCGAAAATTTTGAGATTGAGAAACGCATTTATGATTCATAGAAACAGGGATATCTTCCGGAAGGTGCTAGCTGCCATATAGACGTATCTTTAAAGAAAACAAGACGTGGTAGGCTGAATGAGGAAAGAAGCCGCCAATAGAGGAATATGGACAAAAGAAATGTCATGGTTGTCGCTGCAACGCCGGATCGGAAACCCCAAATACCATGTACCTTAAATATTCTCTTCAAGCGCCAAGCCTTTTCCGGTCCCCCTCCGCGCACGGTGGTGATCATGCCTCGTTGGTCAGCTTCTTGATGGCGTGGTCGATCATGTCGTCAATGTTGTTGAACAGCGGGACTTTGGCGCGCTCGCAGACGAGCTCGACGTTGCCCTTGCGGTAGAAGCCGTCGGGGCAGCAGACGACCATCTTGCCCGTGTTGGCGAAGAGGCCGAGCTCGAGCAGCGAGATGGGGGCCTTTGTGTCCGGGTGGAAGTGCATGGCGATGACGTTGCAGCGCTCCTGCATGTCCAGCTCCCACTCGACCTGCTCGCGGAAGCGCGGGTCGTCCTTGCTCTGCTTCCAGTCGTTGTTCCAGTCCGGACGGCGCGGGTTGAGCACCGTGATGGGCAGGTGCGCCAGCTTGTCCGTCATCTTCGTCTGCCAGTCTTCGGCCTTGCCCATCTCGATGGAGCCCGCCAGGAAGACGGACCGCCCGACGATGGGGTTGGGCGGGTAGTTCGGCGCCAGGTAGATTTGCGCCTTGTTGGACCCCGCGGCGGGGGTGGTGGTGGAGTTGGCGGCCATTGTGGGTAGTTCTTTGGGGGCGGAAGTGTGAAAGTGGGTGAGGTGGGGGGTGAGGTGGCTGAAGAAGGTGGTAGAGGAGTGTTTGTTGCGATGTTTGGGTGGTACGAGAGAGCACTGGTTCCTAGCAAGCGTATTTGTATCGTGTGCCCTGGAGTCGAATGTGACTTGACTTTTGCGGCGGTGGGGCACTGGGGTTGGCGCCTGTGCCGCGGGGCTGAGTCTCAGCCATGGATTGGCCTCGTCGGTCATCCTCCAACCCAGCGGTGAGCGCATGATGGTAACAGCTCTGCCCACATAGTTGCCTGAAAGGGCGCAGCAATATTTGATCACTAGTTCCTAGCGGCGCTCATCTGTGCCTTTTGGACGTACCGCGCGCTATACTCGCCGAGCCCCCCACAGGACCCTCAGCCGCGCGCTACGAAGCTATATCCCAGGTATACATGGCACAGACGGCGCGTGCGCATAAGGAAAGCGTAGCTGAAGCCAAGCAAAATCGGCACCGTCATCCCGCCTTAGTTGGTGCCCGGAGGATAACTCCTGAAAAAGAGAGGTGCTGACTGTAGGAAGTGATCCCCAGCAATTGGTGGCTGGCAACCTGCGGCCGCCGCCTTGTATCTGTACAAGCACCATCCCGGATTCACGAGAAACGCTCTGAGGCTGAACATCGTCACAGCGGATCGCCAGGGTGTGGGCGATGATGCGCGAAGTGTGGTGCACGGAGTGGCTGGTGGGGTTCAAGGGTGCCTGAGTCATTCGAACAAATTTTGGCGCGCGCTGGCAAACGGTGACTGAATTGCGGCGACCCCACTTGGGAATTCTACATGCAAACCCAACGCCAACTTCTGCGCAGGCATTTGGACTCTAGTCTCCGTGCCCTATACCAAAAGCCTGCTCGACCGCCACGCCGAGCCTTCGCCCTGCTCGCTCCGAAGCTTCAGCACCGCCAATCCTTCACGCCGCAGCTGAGTCGTCCACCGCCGCCTGCCCGCCGTACTCTCACCATGGCGCAAACCCTCTCTCACGCACCCTCGGTCGACGAGGTCGCTGCCACCCTGAAGAACTTCGGCCTCTCCGACGTCCCCAAGGCGCCCAACACCCATCCGGAGCTGAATGCCTTCGACATCTACCGCTCGCACATCACCGACCTGCTCGCCCAGGCCAGCGGCGTTGACCCCAAGATCATATACCCTACCCTCCAATGGACCCAGTCGCTGGACAAGGGCGACCTGACCCTCGCCGTCCCTGCTCTGAGGATCAAGGGCAAGAAGCCCGACGAACTCGCCAAGGAGATTGCTGAGAAGGTAGCGTCATGCCACCCTACCACTCGCCTGCCGACATGAAGTTGACCTCACGCGCGCAGTTCCCCGAGTCGCCGCTCATCGAGAAGCCCACCGTCTTCGGTACCTTCCTGCAATTTTTCTTCAAGCCCGCGCCCCTCTGCAACCTCGTGATTCCTTCGATCCTCAAGAGCGGCAGCGCCTACGGTCTCAACCAGACCTTTGGCCTGAAGGACGAGTCGGACCCCTCCAAGGGCCGCAAGAAGATCATCATTGAGTTCTCCTCGCCCAACATCGCGAAGCCCTTCGGCTACGCCCATCTCCGCAGCACAATCATTGGTGGCTTCCTCGCGAAGCTGTACGAGGGCGCAGGATGGGAGGTCATCCGCATGAACTACCTGGGCGACTGGGGTAGGCAATACGGTGTCCTGGCTGTCGGTTACGGCAAGTTTGGCGACGAGGCGAAGCTCAAGGCGGACCCCATCAAGCACCTGGTCGAGGTGTACCAGCAGATGACCAAGATCCAGAAGGAGGAGGATGAGCAGATCAAGCAGAAGCAGGACGCCATTGCGGCGCTGAAGAAGGAGGGCAAGGAGGATGAGGCCGCGAAGGCGCAGCCCGAGCTTGACGAGCTGGTCAAGAAGAGCGTCAGCCAGCAGGCCCGTGACTACTTTAAGCGCATGGAGGACGGTGACAAGGAGGCTATGGAGTTCTGGAAGTGGTGCCGTGACGTCTCGATCGAGGCGCTCGAGAAGTCGTACGCTCGCCTGAACGTGCACTACGATGTCTACTCGGGCGAATCTCAGGTCAAGAACGAGAGCATGGAGGATGCTGCTAAGCAGCTGAAGGCATCGGGCACATCGGAGGACTCCGAGGGCGCCGTCATCGTCGACCTTACCAAGCACAGCAAGAAGCTGGGCAAGGCTCTGGTCCAGAAGAAGGACGGCACCTCGCTCTACCTGACCCGTGATATTGGCGCCGCCGTGGAGCGTTACAACACCTACCACTTCGACAAGATGATCTACGTTGTTGCGACACAGCAGGATCTGCATCTTGCCCAGCTCTTCAAGATTATCGAGCTGATGGGCCGCAAGGACATTGCCGACAAGTGCCAGCACATCAACTTCGGTATGGTCAACAAGATGTCGACCCGTCTCGGTACCGCCAAGGCGCTCGACGAGGTTCTGAACATCGTCGGCGAGAAGATGCACGAGGTCATGAAGAGCAACCAGGCCAAGTACGACCAGGTCGAGAACCCGGAGAAGGTGGCGGACATCCTCGGCATTGCCGCCGTCATGGTTCAGGACATGAAGGGCAAGCGCATCAACAACTACGACTTTGACCTCTCCCGCATGACGTCGTTCGAGGGCGACACCGGCCCTTACCTCGAGTACGCCCACGCCCGTCTGTGCAGCATCGTCCGCAAGGCGGACATCAAGGAGGAGGATCTCGTGAACGCGGACCTGTCGCTGCTGAAGGAGAAGCACGCCATCGACGTGCTGAGGCTGATCTCCCAGTGGCCCGACGTCTTCATCGACACGCTCAAGAAGCAGGAGCCCGCCACCGTGCTGACGTACCTATTCAAGATGACGCACGCCGTCTCCTCTTCCTACGACCACCTGCAGGTCGTCGGCTCCGAGGAGTCGGTCAAGAAGGCCCGTATGGCTCTGTACGTTGCCGCCAGGCAAGTCCTGAGGAACGGTCTGGCTCTGCTGGGCATCACCCCGGTCGACCGTATGTAAACGGTGACTGATGTTTGCGCCTCGTTTGCGCCCTCGGATGAGGCTGTGTGCGGATGATGGCTGTGACATGAATGAAAAAAAAAATTTAAGACATGCAAGGGATTGGATCAAGAAAAGAGGAGGAGGTTCCATGACATGATCCCAAGTTGTGAGAAAAAAAGAGACCTATTCTGCTACGGCAGCTTAGACGTTGATAGCATGAAACGAAAGCATTTGAGACATGATTTTTCCTCCTAAATTTTTCCTTCAGAGATCTTTGAACCGCACATACAATTCCACATTCTTTCTCCTTACGGTAAATGGACCATCGCCAAGCAGAGGGCTCGACTAGGTACTCGAGGCCCGTGCCTCGCTGCATACACAGCCTCCCGGCAAACGGCAACCCGTCATTCAGCCTCATCGGTAGATCAGGACACGGACACGGGACCCGCCAAAAAGCTCGTACGATGATGCGCCCTGGAAGAAAGAAAGGATCCGTCTAGTACCCGGGGTTCCCCAGGTAATCGTTTCAATATTCACGATACTACATCGTCACACCGCCGCCGCCGCATGCACGAGGCAGACATTCCTTTTTGGCCCCCTTCACCCGACGGAGATAAACAAATGATAGGGGCTAAGCCACAACTGCTATTTGAATCCTTCGGATGATGACTGTGGGGAAACCACAGTCAGATGTACAATCGTGGTGGAAAAGGGCGGGACCGTGATCGATCGGCTCGGAGAATTTTGTGAGGCACAGGTGCTGCACCGCCACTGTGTGGCGCCCTCGTGATGATGATGACGATGGTGGTACTGGGGGATGACCAGGCTGCGAGGCAGCCTTGCCTCACCGATCAGGTTTTATTGATTTGTGGCGGCGGCGCTGGCTCATTTACAGAGTTCTGCCTTGAGGGAAGGACGGGTCGCTTGTTCCAGACCTGAGTGGGTATTGTTCGAGACTGAGCAGAGAGGCACAGTGAGTTGCAAGAGAAAGCTGCCTTGCCGATAACACTACTTATTTATATCAATAGTCGAGGTCCACGTCTGGGTGCTGACGATAGCTTCAAATGTCCAAATATTTCCTCACAGATATTGTGAAAATTCGTCTGTCCTGTTCCAAGGCGCTGCTATTCTTCGCGCTACCCTTCGGCCGCAATACCACTCTATAAATAAGACAATGGATGGTAATGTGCAGTTCAGCAGTCTACGGCTTGTTCACATGGCTAATGGCGTAAGGTCATTTTAGTCACTCGGTAGCCGAAGGGGTGATAATATGATGGATTAATTATTGAATACAAGTGGCTTGCCCTAGATTTTCCAATCCCGCATAAAGGTCATATAGTCATTCCACAAGCGTGGCAGAATCCCGCTCATGAGGTGGATAGAATCTACTTGGTGCGATCGGGCAGCCTGTTCAGTAAGCCATTGGTTAGTACTCAAGCTCTCAACTCTCTCCCCCAATTAGAGGGCACTTCAGAACTAAGAGACCCTACCTACGCTTTCTCCTCGGCGGCCTCCTCGGTCAGCTTGACCTCGAGCACGTCCTTGCCGACGCCGCTGCGCTCGATCAGGCTAAGGACGGCTTGGGCGTTTTCGTCGGTGAGGGTGGTGGCGGCGGGGAAGGTCTTGTGGTCGCGGCCGGCCATGGCCCAGCGAACCTTGATGCTCACGACCTTCTGGTCGCCCTTCTTCTTGGCGTACTTGGCCATGAACTCGGCGCAGTTGGGCGAGGTGCCGGCCGTCGACTCGATCTGGGCCGTCAGGTCGGCCAGTGTGGCGTTGGGCGAGACGAGGAGCACCTCGTGCCGGGACGAGCCGTCGATGTTGAAGATGATGGGGAAGGCCGACATGGTTGGAAGAAGTAAATACGCTTTTCAAATTGAGGATTCGGGAGACGCGTTTGTTGTTGTCAGACGGGAAAGAGGATGGAAGAGGTTACTGCAGGAAGACGGCCGAGGCCGGTCGCGAAAGGACATTTTTCAACGAGCCATATGCTGGTAGCAAGTTTTCAGTCTTTGTGAAACGGAGACGCCGCCGGGGCGTCGACGTCACTGCGCAGAGGATGCAGGGTGGGAAATCCGGGATGAAGCGAGGGGACAGCCCTATGATGTTGCCCGTTGCGTTGGTGGCGTGGGCCGCTCTCCTCGGTTGCGCCTGCCCGCCCGTCTACTTTCCCCCTCTTTTTCATCAACACCATGCTTGCATCCTTGTCCTTCCATCATCGGTGGTGCGCTTGCACCTAAGATGCGAATAGCGGTAGGAACGCCAACACCGCAGTACGCTTTGACGACCGGACTACCTTAGGCAGCAACGAGGCTGAGCAGATGTGACTCAACCTGCACTCCGGCTTGAAAAGAGCGCTTGTCTCCCTGCCCGACTCCATGCTTCCACTAATCCACAGGCAGCCCACTTATTCTTTTGCAGCTAGACACCCCGCCTAGTATGGCTTGCATTGACGGAACAACGCTTGAGGGAGGCGGCCAGCTTCTCCGCATCTCGGCGGGACTGTCTGCTCTGACGGCAGAACCCATCCGTATCACCCGCATTCGAGCAAATCGCAGAGGAAAGAGGGGGCTGAAAAGGCAGCATTTGTCTGCCGTCCAATGGTTAGCCCTCGCCAGCAAAGCCATCACCGTGGGTGCTGAGCAGGAGAGCCAGACTCTCGACTTCTTCCCGCGCGCCGATTTCGACGGCACAACCAAGTCTTCTCAGAAAGCCAATGTCATCGATATTGGAAGCGCTGGCAGCATCGGTCTCGTATTCCAAGCCATTCTCCCCTTTATCCTGTTTTCCGGCCGCTCGTCAAGGAAACCATTCTCGATAACCATCCACGGCGGAACGAACGTGTCTCTTTCGCCGTCGTACGATTACATCAACCAGGTCCTACTACCCACCTTGTCATTAATTGGGCTGCCACCGGTCACGACGAAACTCCACGAAAGGGGCTGGATGCGCGGCCCCAAGGGCGCAATCACCTTCAACGTCACCTCCGTAACGCGCGGCCAAAAACTCAAGCCATTTCGTCTGGAGAACCGGGGAGCGATTCAAAGCATAACAGCAACCATCCTCGCTCCCTCGTTCTGCCAGAGTCAGGCCGAACGCGAGCTACGCAGAGCGCTTGGCGCCAGCTTCCCGGACCTCGGCGAGGACGCCTTCACGGTGAACTTTGAGAAGAGCCCGCAGAAGGACCTGTACTTGCTTCTCGTCGCGACATCAACCAACGGCCATAAGCTCGGCCGCGATTGGCTCTACAACGAAAAGATCACCGCCGTCCCGGCAGCGGTGGACAAGTTGATCCAACGGGTCACCGCCGAGTTGGTCACCGAGGTTCGACATGGTGGTTGTGTGGATGAGCATTTGCGCGATCAGCTCGTTGTTTTCCAAGCGCTTGCGGACGGCCAGAGCTTCGTGGATGGAGGCACGAACGAGCGTTTGGAAAGAGTTGCGCCGAGTCTGCACGCTCGTACTGCGGAATGGGTGGTGGAGAAGATCTTGGGCGCGCGATTTGATGGTGACGGCAGTTGCGAGGGCGTCGGGTTTGCGGCGGGGGAGCGGTATGCGGAGAGAGAGCGAGCGACAGGAGTGAAGAGCATCCGCAGAGCTGCCAGTCTTGGGTCTCTGAAGGATCGAAAACCGCCGCCTAACTGTGTGCATGAAGCCATGCCAGGAAGCACAATCCGAAGATCAATGAGCTTCGACAGCGAAAGCAGCCAGAAGTTGCGAAGACGAGTGGATGCAGTCAAGCCAGCATCTTTTCCTCTACCACTGCGGAGCAAAAGGCATGTGTAAGCGACGTTATCATATGGAATCCAAGTTTGTATTATGCAAGAAATGAGAGGATGTGAAGTTTGGATTTCAAGGTTGACAAGCAGCGCCACCCGTCGGGCCGCATCCGAGAGGTACCAGCAGCGTCATGAGCGCACAAACCAGGAGAGTCCTTGATAAAGCTTCTCCCGGCTTTATCTACGCTTATCTGCACCACCCCTTGCACTCGTTGGCGGGGTAAGCTTCCCAGCGCATGCATCCATCGGCATCATCAGCACCCCGCCGACGATAAGCCGACTCCCCATCTATGCTGCTTCGCCCTTCCTATTGGAGTATACCGCCGACCGCATGGAGTATGGAGGCACAAAGGTTGGGGTTGTCGCCTCATCGCCAGCCAATCCCTACCTATTGGGGTCATCCTCTGCCTATCAACACGCTTGGCCCAGTTGATAGGGTACCTGGACGAGCGGCCTGCGCATTAGCGTCCGTGATGCGTATTTCAACGATCTTATAACCTTGACCCCAGCGTGTCCTTCCGACTTCAACCCATCACTTCCCTCTCTTCATCAGCTGTGCGGCGTTCCGGCAGGCAAGCGGCAAATCAACATGGCGGAAGTCGAGAAGAAGATTGCGGACCCCGTGTCGGTGCCGGAATCTGACGTGGCCGAGGGTTCGCTGGAGGCAGCCGTGTTCGATCAACGGATGCAGGAGGACATTGGCGCGCAGCTTTATCTCGAGGTCCAGCAGTACTCCAAGGAAGAGCTTGAGGCGGAAAGAAAAAAGGTTCTTAGGAAAATCGACAGGGTCATCCTGCCCATTGTAAGTTCCCAATTCCCACATAATTTCCTAATTGCTAATGGTTGGCGGTTAGATCTGCATTACCTACACCCTCCAGTTTCTTGACAAGCTCTCATTAAACTATGCGTCAGCATACTCCTTGAAAGAGGACCTCGGTCTCGGCGGGTGAGTTGTAGTTATCGGATTACTGGTCTCTGGCGACTCTCAATTGACACTTTAGTAGCCAACGCTATTCTTGGACTGCATCCATCTTCAACTTCGGCTATCTGTTCTGGGCCATCCCATCCAATCTCCTCATCCAGAAATTGCCAGTTGCGAAATACACCGGTGGCATGCTTCTCGTCTGGGCTATCATCCTAGTCTGCCACGTCGCAGCCAAGAACTTTGCCGGCATGATGATTCTTCGCTTCGTCCTGGGCATGTTCGAGGCAGGCATCTCGCCGGCAATCATGAACATCACTTCGATGTTTTACACCCGCAGCGAGCAGCCGTTCCGCATGTGTCTGTTCCTGGCGTTCAACGGTATGGCGACCATGGTCGGCGCCCTGCTTGGCTACGGCCTCGGCCACGCAACGAACCATTCCCTCAAAGCGTGGCAGCTCATCTTCCTGGTCATCGGCGTGCTCAACTTCGCCTGGGGAATCATCTTTGTGAGTTTGCCCCCGATTTGAACATACATAAACCCTCACTAACAATCACCCAGCTCTGGCTCATGCCCGACTCGCCCAGCCAAGCCAAATTCCTCACGCACAAGGAAAAAGTCGTCGCGGTGCACCGCATCGCCGAGAACATGATGGGCGTCAAGAACAAGCACTTCAACCTGCGGCAAGCGCTCGAAGCGACGTACGACCCCAAGGTCTGGTGCCTGGTCCTCATCGGCACCGCGTGCGGCATCATCAACGGCGGCGTCTCCAACTTCGCGTCGTCGCTCATCAAGGGCTTCGGTTTCTCGGGCATCTACGCCACCCTGCTGCAGCTGCCCACCGGCGCCATCGAGTTCGTCGTCGTCCCGCTGTGCGGCATCGCCGCCGGGTATTTCAGGGATGTGCGCTGCTGGCTGCTCATGTTCATCTGCTTGCCGCCGCTGGCCGGCCTGATCGGTATCAGGCTGACGAGTCTCGATGAGCGCTGGAGCTTGGTCGGGTGCACGTGGCTGCAGTATATCGTCGGTGCGCCTGTTATTCTGGCTTGGAACGTCATGACGAGCAATGTCGCTGGCCACTCGAAGCGCACGCTAACGAACGGCTTGTGGTTCGTGTGGTACGCTGCCGGTAACATTGTTGGTGCCCAGATCTTCTTCACGCGCGAGGCGCCGAGGTACTCGTCGGCCATTATCGCCCTGTGCGTTTGCTATGCTGCGATTATTGTGCTGGGCTTTGTGATGAGGCAGGTCATGTGGTGGGAGAATAAGAAGAGGGACAAGGCCATGGGTGTCGGGGAGCGGACGGTGAATGGCGCAGATGAAGCCGCTATGAGAGAGGGTTTCAGGGATCAGACGGATTTGGAGAATAAGCATTTTAGGTACTGTTTGTGAATTGGGGGAAGAGGCAGTTGCGTCTGGAGTAGAGGGGCGGTGCGGTATGACGCGACGTGTTGAGATGAATGTCATGATAGGATGAAGGTGCTGCATGCGCCGTAGCACTGTTGTATAAAGAGCTGCGTCCTCGGGACTTTTTGGTAGACCATGCTTCCAGAGATAAATTGGAAAAACATTTAAGAGACAAATGAGGGTACCCGGACAAGCAAAATCCTTAAACCCTACCACAGCTCTTACATCCTCTAGTAGATACGCATTTAGAGTAATAAACTAGTAGAAAATACCGAATAATGCCTTTATGTTGTATCAAACGTGGACGGAAATGCCCAGATAGAAAGCACCGTATCAAGATTTACAAACATATGATTTTTGAATGGGTGGTATGTGATTTCCCAAACCAGAGTAGAGATAGGCCCCTATTCACCTCCTACGAGGCGTTGGCCACAGAAGCCGTCAAGAGATGAGACGAGCAGACTGAGCATTACCAAGTAGCAAAGAATGCATTTTTGGGTAGTTGAACGAGCCTCCGGATGCATATGTAAGCTTTGAAACTATACAAACACAACTACTAAGTCACATTTTTGGAAACATGAGCGCGAGCCCATTCGTACATTTGGTTTCCATCGGGTGGCTCCTGAGTCCATTCTTCTGAGGTACCCATCTCAAGCTGTTCTTTGCTGATGTTGAAAGCCTGAAGTGTGGCTGAGCTGAGGTGGAATCTGGCTCGGTAACTATACTAGCTCGTAAGAAACACTTTGAGTTCTCCATCATATTCGTAAGTAAACGACATTGAGGCCGTGAAGACATCTCTTATTTTCAGCTCCATGTGTCGTAGCGCAGGGGTTCGGCGTGTGGCCTTGCCTGCGGCAATGGAGAGCCTGTTTGTACCTTTGTGGTCTACATAGTCGCGCGTAATGCCCCCCTTTTGCCATTCTTGTATAGATTTGTCTTCGTTCACGTGTGCGAGCCATTCGCCTACGGCTTTGTTAGAAATTATATATTATTAGGCTCCCATATACTCAAGTACACCCGAGGCGCTGGTAGGCACATACCAAACGTGAAAATACTCCAGCTAGGGTCATCAACACTTGAGCGGATACGTGCGACGGACTTCAGCGCAGTCTTCTAAAGAGTACAGATATGAAATGAGTCACCACGACAAGTAAATAAACCCGCTTTAAGTACAAAATCTATACTCACTAATCTCTGAAAAAGTCTACAAACCCTAGCCTTTTACCCAATTGCATATTCGAACCTCATCTTTAATAATTTGTTCGAGAGCACAATAACTTTTTAGCAGGTATCTATCTCTACTGTTAATTGAGAATAACCATCATATATACTTTGGTGTTCTTCGTGGGGCATAGAGGGAAATCTTAAAGTTTCGGCTTTCTAAGGATACCTGCCATGTGCAGATCAAGTCCACCATGGTCGTAGCGTCGTACTTCAAACGGGCACCTTCCCAACAAGCTGCGGCGGCAAGTTCTTCTTCCCAATCCACCTAATCCACTTGGTCGAGTCCTCAAACTCATCCTCATTCGGCGCGATGCCGTCCAACTCGCCCGCCAGCCCCACGACGCCGACCTCCTTCTTGTACTTCTCCCACTCCGCCAATAGCTCCTCAAACACCTGCGGCTCCCTCTCTTTCAGATCCTCCGTCTCGCCCGGATCCCTCTCCAAATCGAACAGTTCCCAGCGCTGCGGCCCCTTGGGCAACGGCACGTACGTCAGCTTCCACCTGCCCCTGATCAGCCCCGCGCTGCCCGCGACCTCGAACCCAACGACGTAGTCCGGCGGATGCACCGTCTCCCCCACGACCGCCTCATCCGACGACGCCTTGACCTTCTCGATGAACCGCGCCCAGCTGGCTCCGCGGACCGGCGCGATCGTCCTCCCCTTATACTCCGTCCCGGGGTGCTTCAATCCCGCCAGCTCCAAGAACGTCGGCACGATGTCCATGACGGTGCAAAACGCACTCGCCACCTTCCCGCCGCTCGCCGCGGACCCCCCACCACCACCCGCGGGCTTCAGCACGAGCGGCACGCGGCAGCCGCCCTCGGTACTAAAGCGCTTGTGCAGGCGACTCGGCGCCGTCGCCGCCTGCGCCCACCTGGTGCCGTACCAAACAAACGAGTCCTTGCGGCCAATATTCTCAAGCGAGTTATCATAATACTTCTCGAGGTGCTTCAACACATGTTCCCCCAGCACCGGCCGCGCCTCGATGCTGGCGCCTTCCGCGCCATTATCGCTCATGAAGAGGATACACGTATTCTCATACTCCCCCGTCTCCTTCAGGTGCGCAATCACCCGCCCGATGTTCCAGTCCATCCGATCCACCATCGCCGCGTACGCCTCCATCGCGCGCGCGCTCTTGGCGCGGGTGTCGGCGTCCATGTCCTCCCACGCCGCGGGCTCGCCCTTGACGGCGACGACGTCGTGCGGGCGGACGTCGTCGGGCACGAGGCCGAGCTCGCGCAGGCGGGCGAGGCGGCGGAGGCGGAGTGCCGCGGGTCCGTCGGCGTAGCGGCCGCGGTACTTGGCCATGACGGAGGCCGGGGCTTGCAGGGGCCAGTGGGGCGCGGAGAAGGGGAGGTAGGCGAAGAAGGGTTGGGCTTTTTCGTCCGCGGTGCGTTCGGAGGATAGGTAGGAGATGAGTTTGGTGGCGTAGTAGTCGGACGAGTAGAAGTCGGAGGGGAGCTGCTCGACGTATTCGGAGTCTTCGATGTGCAGTGCGCGAGTGACCGAGTCGAAGAAGGGGCCCGGTTGGTTGATGGGGTCTTCGTACTGGGGCTCGTAGCCTGTTTTTGTTTGTAGTATGATGGTTGCGTCAGCCCTGGTGTCGCTTCAAGATGGAGAGATAGTGTCTCTGGCTTTATGACGACAAGTTGGGGTAGTTGAAGCGTCTATCCAGACATGGATGCACAATATAAATGTGACAAATGTATCCAGACAAGAGCTCCATATACCCTAACCTGTTGCAATTCAGAGGGGTTCCGCGTAGCGCGAAGAATAACGAGCTCCATTACAGGGATGATGGTGCAATTGGTCGAAGAGAAGGGAATGATACTGCAATATCCAACCCCATCAACCAAAAAGAAAGCTGGATGAAAAACCTACCATAATGGTTCGCCGCGCCCGGCAGCAGCGCAAACGACCTCTTGAACCCCCTCGCCTGCGGGCTATGCTCTTTCTTCAGGCCCAAGTGCCACTTCCCGGCCATGACCGTGTAGTAGCCGCCATCTCTCAGCAACTCGGGCAGCGCCACGACCTTGTCGTTCAGATACCCCTCGTGCCCAGGCTTTCCCTGGTGCGCCGGGGACTGGCGGACCAGCTCCGCGAGCGAGCCGAGGCCGGCGATGTGGTTGTCCGTTCCAGTCTGAAAGAAGAAAGAAAGAAAGAAGTATGAGCGAAAACGGAGCACAATTCGTGTTTTATAATGAAGTGAAGAAGAAGGGAAAAAATCACCATGAGCATGGACCGCGTCGGCGAACACATGGACGCGACGTGGAAGTTTGTGAAGCGCGTGCCCGCCGCATCCGCGGCCAGGGCGTCGATGTTTGGCGTCTCGATCTCCGAGCCGAAGCAGCCGCAGTCCGAGAAGCCGAGGTCGTCGGCGACGATGACGAGGAAGTTGGGCCTCTTCTCAGTCATGATTCTGGCGGGATGGGTTCACTGCTTTGTGAGAGAGAATTCCCGAGCGTAGGAAGGAAAGTGGATGAAAGATTGAAGCGTTGTTAATCCAATGCGGGGTAAGGTAGAGAAACTTTCCTGTTGCGAGCCTGAGGAACGTCAGGCTGCTTGGATGGAGGGGTTTAGGAAGTAATAGGTCTCGATATAAATGCTGCACACATGCAACACGCGTCCTCAGGCCCCTCAGGAACATGCCGCGCATCCCACCCGCGCGACTTTATCGGCCCCACGATGGCTGCGGTGCTAGTGGGGCAAATTGGCCAGCCAGTTGCAATGAAAATCCCATCGTCGGCCGAGGAAGCCGACCAGGCGTTGGACTGGAAACAATTCTTCCCTTGTGCCTAAGAACGGCAAGTTGTCGGTGCTACGAACGGCGCATTCGCCATACACATCCGCGATTGCGTTATCGGCCATCCCTGCTGCACACCCCGATTTGGCCTACTGTGTAAACCCGCAACTACCAGAACAACACACACGAATCAACACCTCGCTAGATGAACGCCCAAACGGATGCAAGAAGCCACCGATGATCCGAACCTCCGTCCCGCCCCCATCCCAAATACCCGAGAGTGATACAGAACAACAAACACATTCAGACAAAGCCATTAAGCTCCCGGCTTCTGCTGGCCCTCGATGAACTTCATGGCCGTGTCGCGGTCGACGACGTCGATACTACTCGTCTTGTTTGTGTAGCTGACACCGTAGCACTTCTCCGCCACCATGACCATCTCGGGCCTGAAAGTCGTGCAGATGAACTGACCACCGCCCTCGGTGTTGTTTGACAGCGTCTGCAGCATCTGCGCCACGGCCGTACGGTACTGGGCATCCAGGTTGGCATCGATCTCGTCGAAGAGGTAGAAAGGCGCAGGGTCGCACTGTTGGATGGCGAAGACCAGCGCAAGAGCGCATAAACCTAGGCAATGGCGTTAGAAGGTAATACAAACGGGCGAACAAGTGGGAACTTACTCTTCTGTCCACCACTCAGCTGCTGAATCCTCTGCTGCTCGTCGTGCTTCGAGTTGAAGCTGACACTGATTCCAACACCAGTGTAGTTCTCGACGCTTTGTCTTCTCTCCTCCTCTTCACTGTCCTCTTCTTGCTCCGCACGCGCTTGGCTATCGCTCTTCCGCTGGATGATCAAGCGACCTTTGCCAGCCGGCACGAGTTTCTCGAAGACGCTAGCGAACTCACGGCTCACTTGCTTGAAAGTACGCTCGATGGCCTCATCCTTCCGCTGATCGAGCACCTCAATCAGCTCTTCGATCGACTTCTGGCTGGAGTCAAGCTCTGAACGACGCTTCATGAGAGTATCCCGCTGCTTCGTGAAGTTGGCGTACTGCTCGAAAGCCTTTTTGTTGACGTGCGAGTACTTCTTGAGCGCTTCGTTGATTTTGTGCAGACGCTTCAGTGCCTACGGTGAAAATAAGTCAGCATAACTGTACTCTGTCCTGCAATGGGTCTTGTCAACTTGCCTTATTGGACTCCATGTTCTGATACTTCTCAAACGCCTCTTCAGGCAGCACGCCCAAGTCACGGATGTTCCTCTGGCACTCCTGATTCTTGCTGTTCAGCAGAGCCTTCTTGGCCATGCTCTTCTCCATCCGTTTTTGGTGGCGCTCGATGGCGCGTGCCACCTCCTCCTGCTCAGCCTGCTTCCCAGCCTTGGTCTTCTCAAGCTCAGCAAGTTGAGCATTGGTCTGATCCATGTTTTGATCGGCTTCCTGCAACCTCTTTTGAACCGTCTCGAGAGCCTTGTTGATCCGCTTGAGCTCACGCTGGCGGTCCTTGAGCTTCACAGAGCTGCCACTAGAATCGGTACCATCTTCGAAGCCCTGTGCGTTGATCTGATCCAAACGGAGGCGGAGGTTTTCACGAAGCTCAGACTCCAGCGTGGTCTTCTTGGCTTCAAGTTCCGCACGGCTTGTGCTGAGGCTAGAGAGCTGCTTGCGCAGGTCTTGGATGGGTCCCGCGAGGGACTCGAGTTGCTGCTCCTCCTCACGCGAGAGGGCCTTCTTGAAGTCGGAAGCCAATTCGGCATCGTATGCCTCTTGTTGTTCACCCAACTCGCGAATGTTGGCTTCAATGTTATCCCTTGATCTCTGCTTCGCCTCGAGAGCCTCTCTCTTGTTCTGCAGGTCGACCATCTTTGCGCGGAGCTCCTGCCTCATTGGGCCATAGCTGTTCTCCAGCTGTTGCTGTTTTTGCTGAATCTTGGTGAGTTCACCAAACGCACGCGTGATCTCTTGATCTTTCTCCTCGTTCAAGCGCCGCAATTCCACTTGACGTGCTCTCTGCGCTTCATACTCCTGGCGCCACTTGGCCACGTTGCGGACGCCATCGATACGAGACTTCCGAGGATCGTGGAAACCACCCGTCAGGGCACCCTTCTTGTCCGCACGGTCTCCCTCAGGCGTGATGGCGCTGACGGCATGACTCCGGGCATACTGGGCGGCAACCTGAAGATTGGGGCAGATTATGGTCTTACCGAAGACATGTTGGAAGGCATTCTCGTACAGTGGATCGTACTGAAGCTTAGTGATCATGTGCAGAGCGTCGCTAGCCTTGGGGATGTTGATCGGCTTCGACCTTAACCGATTGAGAGGCATGAAAGTAACACGTCCAGCCTTCTCCTTCTGCAAAACTTCGAGGACCTTTGTCGCGGTCTGCTCGTTGTCGACGACGTAATGGAACAGGCTGGCGCCGGCCGTCACCTCAACAGCGGTTTTGTATCTGTCAGGCACCTCAAAGAGCTCTGCGAGAGTGCCGTAGACACCCTGCAGATTATGTTGCTGTTTGATGCGACGAACAGCAGCCAAACCACGGCTGGTGTTCTGATCCATCATGTGAGACAGGAATCTTTCCGCGCGGTTGAGTTCCTGCTGAGCGTTGCTGATGACTGAATCAAGCTTGGCTTCCTCTCTCCACAGGTCCTTACGCTGATCTGAAAGCTGGTCGCGCTCCTCCTTCGCCTTCTGCACCTCTTCTGAGATGTTCTGCATGCTGTCGCCACGGTTCTCGATACTGGAGCGCAGTTCGGCGATCTCAGTCTCCAGGCGCCCAATGTCTTTCTCCAGCTCGGTAATGTCCTCGGAAGTCTGCATGGCAATCGCCTTGCGGGTAGCCAATGAGACATTGACCTCGTCGATTTCCTTCTTGAGCCAATCATCTCTCTCGCGTTTTGAGCGAAACTGTGACTGACGTCCTTGCTTGGCCAGCAAGCGTTGCCTAATACCTTCGGATTCGGCGAGTTGGGACCTGATTGTAGCCTCTTGCTCCTTCAGCTTGTTATATCCAGGCATGATGGTTGCAAGCTCCTGCTCGCGTTGGTTGATCTGCTCCTGGACATCTCGGAGGTCGGCATCGTGGCGGCTCTTAGCTTGCTTTGCGGCTGCCTGGCCATCGGTAAGTTCGTTGACCTGCAACTCAACCGCGGCCCGATCACGCGCAGTTTCACGGCGCTCCTCCTCCAACTGGCGCTTATCAACCTTGAGGAATTCCAGCTGCTGCTTGAGCTCCGCAATCTCGGCATCGATCTGTGCAATCTCCTGCTCGTTTTGAACAAAGCGCTCCCGATTGTCGTCGGTCTCGTCAACGCCGGCTTGCCTCTGCTCGTCCATGGTTTCCAGAACCCTCTGGATCTCCTGCTGTTCGCGGTGGTAGATGGTGTACTCCAAGCATCTCCGCTCACGGTCCTTTTCCTGGTATGCTCTGAGCTCTTCCTTCTCTTCCTCAAGCTCCTCAAGACGTTCCCTGATGTAAGCCAGCAGGTCATCAATCTTAGAGCGCTTGTTGTCCGTTTCTTGCATAATCTTCAAACTCTCGGTTCTCCTAGCCTCGTAGACCTGGGTACCCGCAACCTCCTTCAGCAAGTTCAATCGCTCACCATCCTTCATGTTCGTCAAGGCGGTGACACGACCCTGCGGGACAATGTAGTACGGGTTCGATCGCGAGAAACCGGCCGACTCCAGCAGGTTCATGACGTCGGCCTTGGTCGCGTTCTTGCGGTCGAGCGAGTATTCATCCTTCTTGAGGCCAATGGTGCGGCGGAGGATGACCTCGGGCTTTCCGGTGGGGAAGCGGTCGTCGCTGTTATCGAAGATGACCTCTACGTAGGCCGACATGACGGCGGAGCCCGAACCTTCCTGCGCGCATTGTCAGTCGCGTCGTCTCTCCCAGCGGAGCGACGTGGCGGGGCTTACGTGGAGGAGAGCCTGGCGCTCTTCGCGCCCCATCTGGGTGTAGGCATCGCTGAGGACGAAGCGAATCGCGGCGAAGAAGTTACTCTTGCCCGAGCCGTTGCGACCGACGATGACGTTGTGCTTGGGCGAGAAGGGCTCAATGACCGTCTGGTCCTTGTAGCTGCGGGACAGGTCAGCGCGCTGCTGCAGTTTCGCTTCCGACCGACGCACCTCTTGAAGCCCTGGATAATAATCTGTTTGATGTACATGGTGACCCGCGCCGCGCGAGAGGGTTGCAGGGTATCGCGCGCTTTTGATTGGAATGTTGTGACACAGTGGAACGAGGGATGCGTGGAGTGGTTCTTTCAGCTCAGGCGACCATTGTATTAGACCGCGAGCAGGAGGTGGTGATGCGCCCGGGCTTGGTTCTGTCGTCGGAGTGTCAAGCTGCGGGATCAGCGACGCGTCGCGAGGAGCGCGTACAGCGGGCTGCCGCGGCCAATCATCGGCGCCTCTCTCTCAACGCACGTGCCAGGTCAACAAGGTGAAGAGATATTGAACGCGGGGTACCAAGTCGGCCACCTGTCTATTTCCTCTTGTATACTATTTGACTAAAATTATTTACACAGAGTGGGATTGCAACATATTCAAGAATTTCTGGTATGATGAAGAACTTCAGGTCCAAGAAGTTTTTCGGAGGACTTATTCTTGAGCATATTCTCAGAACCTGTCCAGCACTTAAGTAAATGGTTTGCACGTTAGAAATCCGAATAGCTGCAAGTTGATTCCCTCTGATGCGAAGGCAGAAGGACTGGACAGATGGTTAATTCAGCGACCTCAAAAGCAGAGTTACCTTGCGTCGGAATTGGAGAGCCGGGCCTTGAAACGGCTGGCTGACGGGCAAACACTTCTCAAATTACACTCACTCTCAACACAGAATCACCAAATAAACAAGAAAGCACAATAAATCGATTTCATAATCCATGAAAGCTCATAAATTTTCACTGCAGAAGCACCTGCAAGTGGGATATCTTGAGGTCTATCGCCGACCAAAAATCCGCTCCAAACCATTAACCCACGACCAAACCCGCCACTTTCGCGACTCAGTCGCTTTCTCAGAACCGAATGTCAAAATTCAAAGAATCGTTGTAAACAAGAATGAAGTGAAAGTAAGATATGTAAAGAACCTCTCTCAATCCGTAGATACAGACGTCGCTGAAGAAACGGCCTCTTTACAGCGCCAGGACGGCAGCGACACCGCCGAGGAACAGCGCGTTCCTCATGCCACCACCCATGGCCATGGGAACGGCGGCACCGGTGAATACGGGCGGGGTGGCGGAAGGAGTGCTGACGGGGGTGGTGACCGAGGCGACGGGCGTCGAATCGCCGCCCTCGACGCCGCTGGTGGCGGGCTCCGAAGGGATGGGGTAGATGGTGCCGGACGGGGCGGAGAGGGTCATCGTGCCGCTGCCGAGCTCGTCGGTGGTCGAGGGGGCGGCGCTGGTGGACGCCTCGCCGTCGACGGTCGACGAAGGCACGGCGGCGGGGGTCGTCACCACAACCGGCGTGGTCTCGACGACGGGCGTGGTCTGGGCGGGAGCGGTCTCGCCGGGCTGGAGGGTGACGGTCTGGGTGACGATGATGGGAGCGCACGAGCCGGAATCGCCGGACTCGCTGCCGCTGGAGGAGGAGCCCGAGCCGGTGGGAGCGGTGCTACCGCCAGCAGCGGCGGTCTCGCTGAAGTCAGCGCCGCTGCTCTCGCTCGAGCCGGTGGCACCATCAGCAGAAGCGGAGCCGGAAGCAGAAGCAGCGCCAGTAGCACCGGCAGTGTTGGAGGAGCTGGTCTGGGTGGGGCTGGTGCCGACAAGATCGCAGCCGTCGGTGGAAATGTCGATGCTCTCAGCGGATCCGGTGGTGTCGGTGTAGTTGTAGCTGCAGCCAGGGTTGTAGTTGGTGATCTTGACGTCCTCGACGAACATGGTCCAGGGCATGCCATCGGCGGCATCGTAGGTGGTGTTGCCACCAGCCCACTGAATGGTCCAGTAGTCGTTGTCGGGGTCACCGCCAGCCCAGATACCAAGACGGATGTTCATGGGGGTCTGGGGGAAGTTGGTACCGCCGTTGGCGTCAGCGTAGTTGAGAGTGCGAACGGGGGTGTCGTCAATGGCCCAGACGATCGACTCCTTGGTCCAGTCGACGGAGTAAGTGTGGACAGTGTCCTGGGGAGTGGCAACGTCGAACTGCTGCATCCTGTCGTAGGTGGTGGTGTTGCCCTTGCCGAAGTAGTTGGTCTGGACGATGCCGTTGTTGCCACCGAGGAACTCCCAGTCAATCTCGTCCAAGTCCTCGGACTGCAGGACGATACTGCTGATGATACCCTGGCCGGGAGCCGACTTCATCTTCACCTCGACCTTGCCGTAGAAGATGTAGAAGTCGGTCTTGATGGTGGGAGCCTCACCACGCTTGGTGATGGTGAACTCGGCGCCGCTGGAACCATAGTTGACGGCGGGGGCGACGTAGCTCCAGCTGGTGTTCTTGCCGGACGAGAACTCACTGTTCCAGGACTTGGTGTTCAGGCCCGCGTTGATGGGGCAGGGGAACTGAGAAGCGTTGGTAGGGTTGCAGTCCGTGTAGGTCTGCGCGAAAGCAGTGGGAATGACTGCTGCAAGGCCAGCAGCAGCAGCGAAGGTGGAGGAGCGCATGTTGGATGTTGTTTAGGAAGTTGTTTCAAACACGGGAGGGAATGTGACAGCGACCGGGCACTGTTGAAGAATAGAGCGGGTGAATGAACGTGTCGCTCGTAGAAGAAAGAAATGACCAGCACAAAGAAAAAAGTGAGTGTGGTGGTGAAAGACTTGGTCGACGAAAGCACCAGCAAAAAACGTACACGCGCCAAAATGACGGGGCGGCGCCGGGGCTTTTGAAGGGCGGGCAGGCGGCCCATCGCGGTATCGAAGCCGCCGTCCAGGAGGTGTTCCACATTGTTTCAACATGCTGAGGTTCGCGGCGCTACTACGCACATCCTGGTGGGGCTGTCGGTCGCCGCCGCACGATGCCCGCCTCCGGGCCAATTGCAGCCCGGGCAAGCGACCGTGAACAGGGCCTGCCAAGACTCGCTTGCCCTGTGTCAGGCGTCGCTTGCCACTCAGTCGCTGCCGCCGCCCGCTGTCAAGTTGGCTGTGCAGTGGCTGGCGCTCCGCTGCGCCTGCACACTGGACCCGGAGCGCTCGTACGGCCGCCAGCGCGACCATTCCGTGTGCCTCTCTCGGCCAATCCTCCTCGTACGCTGTCGCCGACGCGTAACCCGCGCCTGAATGCGACGTTCAACTTAACTCGGCCTTGTGGCGCCAAGCTGCAGGGCACCCTCGCGCGCGCTCCTCCGCAGTCATCTCGCATAAACATCAATCTCGCACCACCAAATGAGCAGGGACGCCAGCACTCCGAAGCTCCGACGCCGTTTTTCCGGCTCGGCCTGCGATTGCAACGGGCGACGTGCGTTTCGTCTCCCCGTCACCAGCCTCGTAGGGCAGTCGAAACCACCGGGATTGATGTCATGCTAGCCGCCCGCCTTCTTCTTTAAGCTTGATGCGGGAGTCGATCTGCCCCTGACGCTCGTGACTGATCTCCAGGAACGGGCAGTTATCGACAACAGCCCGAGACAGGGCCTTCCATAAGGCGCGCACCAAACGAGACAAAGGTTCGCTGTTTCCGACGTTTGTGTCGCTCAATCTCGACTTTCGGCCTGCTTGCTTTCGTGGTGCGTCGGAGTGCTTCTCGCATCCCGATTATTTCGGGGATGCGCTGCTATTCTCGTAAAGCATAAATGAAGCCTCAGGCGCTTGGGGCTCCCTTCCGAAAGCGGTCGCTTGACGCATCCTCATACGAAGTAGTCAGCAGTACATCATTATGCCCGACTACTCGAAAGAAACGTCACACGAAAGGATCAGCGTTTGCTGATGCTCTCTTCTGAAGGATCCGAGCACTCTGCCGACTCAAAATAGAAGTCTTGACGATGAACATCGTGTATCCGAAAAGTGTGGTTCCGAAACACCAAACCCTGGCGCTAATTTCCCTTTCACCGCAATTTCATCCTCCAGTGCGAAGATGAAAAAGTACTACATACACGCAAGACCTCTCAACTCGAGGCGTCCTTTGCCGCATGAAAACACGACTCTTTGCGTTGCATGCATGCATCCTCGTGAAGTCTTTGTTGGGTGCCATGTAGCCGAGTCGGCCGCTGATCGAAATAAAGCTGGAGGCGCAGATCGGCATCCCGGGAGACAGGTAAGCCCTTCGAACACTTCGTTGGTTGGACCGGCTCGCGGCTCGCCGTCAAACCCTAGCGGCGACAGACAAACAAAATCTCCATGATCCCCGGACAGAGAGAAGATCTCTACGTCACGTCGCAGATCACACGCGATTTTTCCCCTGCCATCTACACCATCGTGACCTCAAGACAACAGCCATTCGGCCCAATTGTCTGAAGATCCCCAAGCTCCGTTCCCTTGGTAACCTTGGGCGAGCAAGCTCGACGGATGATCAATGACAAATGCATCCAGCACACCTCCCAATTGCTCTGCTAGACTAACTATATACAGTGTCGGATGCTCACCTACAGCAGACGATTGCTCTCATCAATCACGCTAAGCATCTACTAAGGCGTGGCAACGTTTCATATTCTAGTGATTAAGTATGCTTTGCGCTGATCGTAACAGCCCGACCCTCTGAAATATCTCCGACATATCTGCCGACCAAGGAATGTTATAAAGAACCTGAAAAGTGGAAACTGCCAGCAGGGAAGCAGTGATGTAGCAGCCATAACACAGCACAGCCAAGTTTATGATTTGTATGTAATCCATACATTCCGACACACTGATTCGCTCACTGTACTTGTCGCCCTCCCTGTTATGCCAAATGTGCGCAATCATTTCCTGCACAGGCTTCCTGCATCGCTCCACACTCAGAGGGGATGGGCGAAGAAGATATATATAGGGTTGCATACCGTTGAGAATGTTTCCAACAAATTATGCACATCTCCATGAAAGGTCACCTACCTGGGCCTTACCAACCACGCAACACTACTGAGCAGACCTGCTGGGCTGGCTCTTCTTCAACATGGAAATTCTAAGGTCCAATACCCAAATTTGAGCAAAAGGATTCGGGAGATGGCAGAATTAGGGTTGAAGATTTACAGTACCGGCTCCAGACATGATACATGGGTTCGAGATTGATATTGCGGTGTGAAGTACTTCGATGGCTGTTCAGTCCAAGGAGCACAACACATGGATATTGACCATTCATCAGTCCAATAAGCTCTCGTGTCCGCCACAAAAAGAGAACATTTATTTGCACTGAAACGGAAGGCATTCCTTGCTTAGGACTCCGAGAAATTTTACTAATCGCGCTCTCTTTCACCCCAAGTCACTCTACCAAATCACATATTATCAAGACCAACTTCAGTGAGAACAAAACCATCCGCTGGACTCTAGCCTTAGAAGCATGCTTTAATTCTTCTGCCACATCTAAACCTATTGCAAAACTCCATCAGGATAGCGAAAATATTCTAAAATCAAAGAGCTACTCCAACGTTTCGATGAGCTAAAGTGATGCATTTCTTGCAACTTCTTCACTCTCGCTCTTGGTAACAATCATAACTTGTCGGATGCGTTCAATCTCCTCTGTGGACAAGCCACAAACATTCCGAACGTACCCTTCGGCGCTCCCATACTTCTTACGAATCATGGCCAAAGCCGCGAGCATGCTATCCTTCCTGTGCAGATTGCCATTAGCGATTCTCTTCAGACATCATTCCTGAACACGTTCACGTACTTGCTGCCCGACATCCTCTCCGCGCCTTCCAGGCCGGCGCCATTCTCCTTGAACGCAGGGTTCTCCGAGATCTTCTTGATCATCAGCGGCCTCACATGGGCAAGGCCCACCTCGGTGAGGGCGTATTCGTCGGCGACCAGATCATCGGCCACCCCGAGCATCGACAGCAACACCGCCACAAACACCCCGGTGCGGTCCTTGCCCGCGGAGCAGTGCACTAGCAGCGCGTTCGGCTTCTCGGCTGACGACTCGCTCGCGATATGTCTGAGGATGGTGGCGAAAGCGGGGCCGCCACCGGCAAGGATTTCCCCGTACGCTGCGACGAAGCCCTACGGAGAAGACGGTGTCGTGTCAGTACAGATTCTGCTCGGAAGGAGACAGGAAATGTTTGAAAGGTGGGTAGACAACAGCGAGGAGGAGGGTGGGGTCCATTGGTGAATGAAGCAGACACCGATATTCCCGCATGCAAGCAGCAAACCCAGCCTTTGCTCTTTCGCTCCCTCTCTTCACCTCTTCTTCACCACCGCCCCAAGCGAATTGTACAGCCAGCCCCCTCTCGCATCCGAGAGCTAGCGTGGATTCGTTTCTTGCGCATGCCATGGGTAGCTAAAGCTATCATCCGGACGTATATGTAGAATTTTTAATAACTCCACATTCTCGTCCGGACGATAGGATAGCTTCAACCACCCGCACAAAAAGAAAAAGCAAAACTCACCTCCAACCCCTTCCTCGCATACTCCCTATACCTCACCGCCAGCCTCTCCGGCACAAACACCTCATCCTCAAACACCGGCGTCCACACCCTCTTCAACAACCCATCCTCCTCCTCCCCTTCTGCCCTCTCCTTCTCCTCCTTAAACGCCCCCACCGCCTCCAACCCCGCCTCCACCTCCGGCCTCGACCGCAAATCAAACACCCGCGCCACCCTCAGCCCGCGCAGCACCGCACGGTCCTCGGCCGTCGCCCGCGACGGGTCCGCGCTGCGCAGCAGGACGAGCGGGCGGATGCAGGCACCGGCACCGCCGCTGATGGGCAGGTTGTTGCCGGCGTCGCGGAGGTTGGGGATGGAGGGGGTGGGGAGGAAGGGCGGGGGGAGGATGGGGGAGGGGGGGATAGCATGAGAAGTCTTTTTTTCTGCGGCGGTGGTGGGCGATGGGGATGACATGGTTGCGAGTGCTGGTGGTGACGGGGGGGTGACAAGGGGTGGATGTGTGACTGTGATTGTGATTGGGGGGTTCGTTGGTGCGAGGGGTGATTGGTTGCGGGGAGGAAACGGGATGTGATTTGGTGATGATGAGGGGCGTTGAAGGATGGGGAGGGATGAGACAGGTGAAAAAAAGGATGTGGTGGTGATGATGGCGGTGGTCAGATTTGGGGTGAGATCTGGTTTTTCCTAACGGAGGAAATAGTCGAGGTATGATTCACTTTCGGTGGAGAAAGACGCAGACTTGTGTTTTCTTGATGTCGTCGTTGTGGCGCAGCCTCCGGAAATCAGTGCCGCTGGCTGAGCCGCCGCCTGCCGCGGGGTTCTTGACTTACCTCGGCTCGTGGGTCGAAGTCCATTTTGAGTAATATTAGATGAAAGACACCACGCCATATGCTATCACAAGGAATATAAACTGATATTTGAACACATAGAAGGTCATGAAGTGATGTTTTTGCAAAGGTTGCATTGCTCAAAGTATTGGGCGCCCACGAAGCTAAATTCCTCTGCAATTGCTTAATCGAGTTTGGCGTCTGGGCTTAGGTGTCTTGGGCTGATCACCTAAAATTCATTACAACAGTCAAAGAAAACCCGTTTTCACTATGCAATGCTTCAAACCCATGGACGAGTGAAATATTTCTTTCCTACAATTAAATAGTGTAGTTGAATGGTTTCAAACCATCAATCTCAGGACCACGCACCACGACCAAACCACTCCGATGCTCTCAGTCAGATACATATAGCACCTCAAGTAGACATTCATCCCAGTTCCCAATGTCTAAACTTCCACCTTCCTGCTCGCTGAAAGATTTTTTAACGGAAGGGAACCACTTCCGGAACAGATTTTGGTATAAAACTTTTTCGGGTGGCAAAGCAAGCCCGAGGGAAAAACGAACAGCAATTCAATAAACCATCAAGCACCGCGCTCCAGGTCACGCTGCGTATCGGCCTGTTGGCTTGTCTGTTCCTCAACCTTTTCCGACTGTATATTATGAGCTTTATCGAGTGTGGTCTGCGGCGTGAGGCTGTTGTTGCGGGAGGCGTCGGTATTGTATGAGTTCGCGGTCTTCGGAGGCTTCGCATCGTCGCCGATGTACTGGTCGTAGGTCATGCCAGCGCGCTTGGCGTCCTTGAGGGTGCGGCGGTTGCGGTAAACCCAGGAGAAGTGCCAGAGCATGATGCCTATTTCAAGGACCATGCTGATAGAACGTTAGCATCTGTGTTGTCGTTGCTTACAAGGAAGCTTGTGCATGACGTGTGATTGGATGTAGGGTGTCGTGGAAGAGAAACGATAATTGCAGCCAATAGAATCCGACGTACCAAACAATGTAAAGGATGCCACCAAGGTAGTCGAAGGTTTGTTGGACAACTACAACATTGGTTAGCATGGCGCTACATGTGCCTGATCCTGCATGGAACTCCTTACTCAAGGCCAGCAGCGAGAAAGCAGCACCGCAAAAGTCCGTGGTCAGGAAGAGGAAGCCTAGGTTTCAGTGAGCAAAAGGTCTTACAAGTGAGTACAAGTACGTACTGATGTCCTTCGCCCTTCCATCGCGCTTCCACTGTTCCCAGTACATGGGAAGCAGACCCACAGCAAGCAGCACCGCTGCGATAACGCCGACGGTGACAATCGGCCACTCCACGCCTCTCGAGTAGGGCCCCTGAATATGTCAGCCATCGTTATGTCATAGAAACACATGTTGCCTACCCTGAGGGTCAGAATTAGAAGCGCCTCGACGCCTCCAAAGATAAGGCCTGTGATTACGGCAGTCAGGGTGGCGGTCCAGACTCTCCAATGGCTAAAAGAAATGTCAGTGAACTGCTGGCGGTACTAAGGAGGCGGATACGCACTCATGATAGATTAGAGTTTGCGCCCAACAAATCAGGACCAACGCGCAGAAGACCTGAGGCTGGACCTGTAATGGAATGTTGAAGTTCTTGAAGTTGTCAGAAGGGCCCACTGTTTGGAACTGTGGGAAATGCGAACCTGCACGATGTTGTAGATGCCGAACGGCACGGCGGCTGAGACACGTCAGACGGTGGCTGGCTAGAATGGAAGCGAGGCGGCTCACCGGCAGCCCACAAGAAGGGCATAATCCATGGCAGGCCATCGGTCTCCTTATGGCGCCAATTGGTGTAGATTCTACTTTCGGTCAATGACTGACTCAGCGAAGGGTGGGTGAGTTTACGTACTGTGGGAGGATCTGTCACATTCAGGTTAGCTTGAGGCGTCGGGGATGTCGGGTACAGTGACAATGACATACCTGAACACACCAGCATCTTCAATCGGTACAGTAATGTCAGCGTGATGTTGTGGGGTGAATCGTGTCTTGGATGCCTTACACTACGAGCAGTTAGCACGGATATCCCGGTTTGGGCTCGGCTTAAGTGACTTACCAGTGCCGATAGTCTGCAGACACAGGAAATGTTAGTAGAAAGACCACAATGGCTGGGTAAGGCACGTACGCCTAGTATGCTCGCGGCCTATGATATCACCATGTCAGTATCAAGTTCAAGTGAGGGAGGCAGCATTCGGCACGTACCGGCGGGATGTGCTCCTGGGGTGCCATGACTCGTGGTTGAAAGGCGACAATGGCAGTATTACAATATGATTTGGGAAGTGAGGAAGCGAAGGTAGAGAAGGAGAAGAAGGGATATGTGACTTTGAGGTACGATGATGGCGAGCTGGGTGTTGAGTATTAAAGGGTTGGCAGTCCAATTGCATCAGCCTCCAGGCCGCCGCCACCGATCCATAAAAGATGCACAAAGTGGGAAGAGTGCATTTTTTCGGTCCCAGCCGGATCAGGCAAATGGCGCAGCGCTGGTTGGGCGGCGGGACCGGGAGAGTACACGCGGGCAGGGGCTCTGAATGTGACGAGACATGTTTTTCGGCAGCAAGCGCAGTTGACGCAGGAATAGGCAGCGGAGAGTTAGGGTTCGTGTATGAGCTCGGACGTCAGAGTTAGGGTCAGCCGTAGGTGCTTTTTTGCCCCCCTGCTCCCTGTAGCGCGGCGATTGGCGTGCAGCCGACAGCGCCACACTGCCCCTGCACCACGCTCCTCCAACGCCCATTCGACGGCGCCCCAGCTCTTTGAAGTCACCCAGCTGTGATGCTCAGCCCGCGATCCGCGTAGTCAGGCACCGGGTGCAGCTGGCAGGGCTCACCTGATGGCGGCGTGTCCGTGGGCCTCGCGGCGGGCCTCCGGCTTTCGCAGGCCCCCAAGAGCGCGAGCGCAGCCTGGAGGCCGCCAGTGGAGACGATGGCATCGGCAAGTGCCCCGTAGGCGATTGGGGCACAGCACGCCTGCACCCGACCGCGCACCGCATTGGCGCGGCGGAGAGGGGCGTATAACGACATAGTGCGCGCTGCACGTCATCGGCCCTGGTTGCTGCTAGGGTGCGTTGGGCGCGGCGGCATCGAGGTCGCGCGTCGCAGCCGGGGTGCCGGCGACTGAGAGCGGCCAGCGGCTCCCGCGCCCTCGCTCGATCTGCGAACACGCGTTCTCAATTCGACAACATCACCACTTTCATCGTGGCGTCGGATGCGCTCCCCCGTTTCCGCGACCGCCATGCATCATGCACGGCCTGGACTCGATCGTGGTGGAGCACAGAGTTGTTGTTTACTTTGCGCCTAGGCCCGCGATCTGTCACGACACACAGCCGGTCAGGGTCTGCCGCTCTGCCGGAGGCGCCGCCGGGCCTTCCCTCTTGCTCTTTCCACGGCCTTCCGGGGCTGCCGATCTGTGGAAGCACTTCCGCCCGACGCTCGGCTGCCCATCTGTTGCTGCTGTGCAACCGACGTGGTCCTCTTTCGTCTTCATTTCTCTGACGACCCGTCACTCCAATTCCTCATCTGCCGCGCGGGGCGCCGGGATCCCGTAAATATACTTCCGCCGTCCCGCGTCCCCTGCTCGTCGTCCTTGCATTCCTGGGTTTCGCACTGTGGGGGAGCATGCACGCTCGAGCGTAGCCCACTGCAGAGCAGCCCGAACGGTCTGGCCGCCGTGCACCCTATCTATCCGCCCGGTTGCACGCAGCAGGTGGTGGCTTGCCCGCCAACGGTTCCACCGAGCACTGCCTACAGAGGGGAAGACGTGCTGAAAGCGGTCATCCAAAGCGATTGCCCTGTGGACTGCCCTACGTGTACACGGATGCCTCCAACTCAGACGGCAGCTCGTGCTCCCGCCCGCCACTAAACGAGACGAAGGGGCCCTCCCGAGGCATATGCACTCCGCAACGGATATAACTCACCCCGCCGATCTCTGGGAGCCCCTCATCTCCGTCTGGAAATCATCAGCAAACCTCTTTAACCGCCGCACCTTCTCTGGTCACCTTATTGCTATAGCAGAGCCGTGGCCTGAGGATCTGCTCATCGTTTGGGCAGACATGCGCCGTTTGGAGGCCGGATGCACTAATTTAGCTAGTCTGCTTGCCCAAGACTCTCCAGGACCTCCGCAGTCCATTCATGCTCCCCGACTGCCGGACAATACCCAGCGACTTGGAAGCTGGATCATCTCGATAAACACTCTTTAAAGTAAAGCCTGTCCCGTCCACCTGGATCACCAATCTCCGGTCCCCACTAACTGTATGCTATGTCTCACCATCAGACAGCCGTTTTGAGCTTATACGACGACCTGCATGCTGTCTGGAATTGCCGACGTGGCCAGCAAGCCCGCAGCTCTTTGGCCTCTTGGGCACTGCAGGATTCTCATTCCCATCCTCTTCTGCGTACATGTCAAGACCAGTGTTGCAGCACTTTTTTTTATGTACCCATTCTCTGACTTCGTCTTTACTCTTCAACTCAGACATGGTACGATCAGTCCCGAACCGAACTCTAATGTTTTCTTTTTCCCGCCTTCAGCAGAGGCTCATCAGCCACCACCGGTAGATACCGGGTTGCCTTACCACTTCCTCCAGTAAGATCAGTGGAAAGCGGAACACCCTTGAACCGCGGCTCGGCAACGCATTCCTATCAACGGCCCCGGGCCGCTGTTAGACCAAAAGCCTCTTAGCCTCCCCGGGAACACCACATCGCGTCCATGTCTGCTGCACTCCGCCCGTTCGCTTTCTGTTGGCTTTTCTGTTTCACAATCCTACAGCACTGCGCCGTCCACTTTTACCGGACTTCGTCTCTCCGCTCTTGCAATGGCAAACTGTCGCTGCAGCCCCTGCTCAGCAGAATACGTGTATCCTCTTGGACCCTCGGTTGTCGCCGATCTCCAGCTTAATCCGCCATCTACTTACCAGGTCAAGTCTGCAGGATTCCGCTCTTAGCCACGCCACATACATCCACGAGGCCATCTCCCGTGTAAAGCCGGGCATTTGGAACTCCCGTCTTCATCATGCCTTGCTCAACCGCGCTATCAGGCCATTGAGGCCTAAGAATTTTTTTTTCTCTTAGCTTTGCAGATTCCTACGTCATGAGCATTGCATTTCCTTGTCACACGCGGTCTAGAGACAGGACCATCATAGTACGAATTGCACCTTCCTATTTGCGCAAATCTCGATTACCTCAACGCCACCTTCTTCGCTATAGCCTGCGCTCTCGGGTGCCCAGCTACTAGTGATGACCGTCGCACGTCGGAAGTTGGCAGACCAATTGATGGCATAATCAAGGTCCGTAGTGGCCTGAATCTCATTGGGTCAAAAACAGAAGTCATCTCCGATTGGTTTCTCTGGAGGTTGGCCGTCATGCAAGCAACAACATTCGGATACGCAAGCTGCGGTTGGAGGGCAGGAAGATCAGCTGCGCGCCGTTCCCTCGCACACGCATGGTTTTTTCAAAGCCAACGACATACCTTCAACGCAAATTTTTCGTGCTAGCTCACAAACAAATCGCTCGATTCAGGCCTCAACCCTCCATCAAGCGTCGCCATAGACCAAATCTCGCCGTACCTCCTGGCTTTAGCGCAACTCTTTCCGTATTTGCACGCGTCTGTACGTCAGGGTGCGTGACTAGGAAATTTGTCGGGCTGGATAGACCCATGACATTTTGAAAACAATGAGGCTGGCCAATCCCAGGCTATGACGACAACCTCAGCATCACGTTGTAACCTCGCGCGACCTTCCGCCAGGCGTCAACCTTCAAATCCAAGATAGCAACCCCTGCAACTGAGACAGCTTCGCACGTGCTATACGCAATACGCAATACGCCATTCTTAGTCCGCGCGATATCTTCTGATCGCGCCGTCATACTTCGATTCCGGCCACCATCCTCCCCGACATCAATTCACACTACGTAGGTCCGGCCCAGCCCGCTCAGCTTCACGACTCATGGCGACCATCAATTCACCCCACCACCAACCCCACCGACGCCCCACTCCTCTCTGACGCTTTTTGTTCATCCCGCATGACCCCCGGTTGCGTCGGGCCACGGCAAGCCTGCGGATCGTCAGCAGGCAGCGGCCCACCTCATTGGTCTCGCCAGAGGTCTAGGCCCGGGTGGTGAGCAGCAAGGCACAGCGAACCGGTGCTGCATGACTATTATCTCCGAAGCGAGAAAGGCAGTAATCGCCAATTGTGAGTCGTAGGCGAAATTGCCAGCTGTTCATGAGTCTACAGACAAGCGTCTGAGGTTGCGAATCCGAGGTAAACCAACACCTATCAATGTGGAGATGCTTGCTCCCCAAGTACAGCCTCATCAAGTTTGGCGCAGGGCAACATGATTGTCGAGATGCTTCCCGATCTCCCTCTTGTCTCAGACCCTGTTGCGCAGCGATGCAATCATACGCTCATACCTTGTCCAGATACCAGATGTTCAGCCTTGCTGCCCTACTGTTGCCCCACAGAAATGCCTTCTAAATCGTTGCTAGCGTGCGCGTCGATCACTTCTTTTTAATCCTCCGCACCTCGCACTCGGCCACCTCGTCGCTCTTGAGAATTACTAGGCTCATATGAGATTGGCATATTACTGCTATCAGGTGCAGCTATGCATTGCAATAATTGGAAGACATATGAGGCGTAGCCGAAATAGAGAAGAGCTTTGTGGGTCTCAATGGTAGTTTCAATAAAAGAGAGTCGTGCAACACCGACGTAATCGCCAACGTCCTTGCAAAGATCAGCAAAAGGAGGATGGATAGTCAGGTGGAGCCAATTCGGGTGATAGATCACGCCTGGTGGATCTTACTCGTTCTACGCGTCAACCGGCGACCATCACCCGAGCCTCGCCCCGCGGCTGCGCTTTTATGCCACGAACATCAATCAATTCGTCTCCACAATTGCACAGCATAGATATTGTGGCTCAGACATTATCGATAGTCCATGATTTCGCTGTTCCCGCCTCGCGTAGCCTCTCTGGCGATTATTCGGCGGCTATCGCGGCTAATTGTAAAATCGCGGATTGGTCAATTCACGTTGATTGCCTTTTTCGGTAACTTCGAGGAATCTACTTTGCTTTTCTCGGGATTGCCGGAACGGCGGCCAGATGTGGGAACGGTCGTTCCTGGGACGCCAGATAGCAACAACTCAAACCAAGATAGCTTACCATATTGCGGGTACCCCTCATTTCGAGACCACGCGCCTGCATTCTCTGTCTGCGGTCTGAGATCCTGAACGTTCATTCGGTGGTCTCCACCGACTGAAAATAGGCCACGTCCAAAATTTGGTTCACTGTTGCATGTACTACTCAAACACGGTTTCTTAATGAACCACAGCTTGTCGAAGGTGCTCCGCTGCCAAATCTGAAGGCGCCATTCCCGACTGCATCCCAATAAAACAACCTCCTCCGAGACACTTTCCTCAACTACCAGCCCGCCTCTTCCGCGAGTTTCTGCGGCCAACAGGCCTAGAATCCTTTATGCAGGCCACGCACTTCCTTCGCTCTCGCATCCCAGGGTACATGCAGGAGGCATGTAGGACTCGAAACAAATCACACTCAACCGCCATCACCGGGAAACGCCATGGGCCGAGCCGCTGCAATGCTCGCTCCATTGTTACATTAACTCCTCTTTAGCCCGCATGTGAGACCTTTTTTTTCTCCCTCTCAGACCCTGTCCCCCTATTCACCAACCAACCACAATCAGTAGAACACGCCATCAGGACGCATTTCAAATTGCACAGCCCCTCTTTTTTAACCCCCCATCACTCATCGTGTCCGATAGCCAAACAGCGTGGGCTGGATGCTGTGGAACGTAGACAGCGGCACATCTCTCTTAACCCAAAGTAGAAGCTCAAGTACATTTGAGAGCGGGGAGCGTGGATGCGGTGTATGATACAGAGGGGTGCTGCAGCCGATGGCTAGCGCGGAGAATTCGCACATGTCATGGGTAGTTGAAGCTATCGTCCGGACGTGTATGTAGAATTTTTAATTCGACATTCTCATCCAAACGATAGCATCAACTACCCATGACATGAGCAAAAGACAAATCCACGCTAGCCATCGGCTGCGAGAGGGGACTGTAGATCGCAGGTTTCGCGCCGTGTGGCACAGTCCTCGTGCGTGCATGCGTTGTCCACGTCGGAGAGAGATTGCCAGCAGTTCCGCTCCCTGCCCCCGTGCCGACAGATTCCACCACGATCGGAGCTATTGCGAAGCCAGACCGAAGAAGATGGCTCCTGCGGAAGCATGAACTCGGAGCCGGGTGGTGCAAGATTTCTGGCTGTGCCGATGTTGAGTGCCCTCGTCAAGAATCACTTCCCATGTTCTACGCCGCATGGTCTGTGACCGTCCTCGTATGCAGCCGCCGCTCTTATCGCCCTCTGGCCCATCCTTTCTGTGTTGGTCAGAGGTGGGGACAATTAGAATGTGGTCGATTGCCGCCCCCTCGGGCACCAATAACAGTTCGATCAAGCCCCCTGACCTGGGAGAAGAGACGAAGTTGTATGGAGAGACGTTTGCCTGGCAAAGAGGTGGTTCCAAACACATCGACCATGGGATTTGGAATGATTCACCATCATGCGGGAAGTCCTCCACCACCGTGTCATGTCGCCACATCGCGCCCTCTGCAGGTGGCGAACATTCCGCGCCGCAGGCGCCAATCGCGTCAGGGTCGCAATAAATCATCTTTTGGATCTCGACAGTCGAAATCCCGATCTCATCGAAATGCTTCTTAGGAGCAACGAGCAGGGCAGGCTGGTGACGGCTTTACGCGTCGACTTCCAGAATCTCTTTGCGAGAATTTCATCTTCCGATCCCTCCATTCTTGATGGTCGGGCTGTGATCTGAAAGTCGTTGTAGCACGTCATAATTGCGGTTGCTGAAAGAGCCCACATAGGTTCTAGCCTCAGTATCTTGCTTTTGCGTTAATCTGTGGTGGTGAATGTAATTAGTTGGTTGGTCGGGGAGGATGGATGTGATTTGGAGATGATAGGGATGGACCTTGTTCCACAGGGCCAATATAGTTGGTCGACTCCTCAACCCTATCTTTCAGGCATGGAAGACGCCGGATTACCTATTCAGGAAAGTCGCAGTACTCAGTAGCCCAGGTTGTCGTCGCCGGCATAAATGCCATCAGCTGATCCATCAACACCTAAACCATTGTCCTTCTTGATGAGCGCGTAGAGCGTCTTGGTAACGTTAAAAGGTTATGAGCTCGAAAAGACCACTACTTTCAATATTATCTGACAGATGCTGGTCATGGCCTCTGTGTGATACTCTTCACGCTGTCCGTCGAGCCGTGTATTCTTAGTTTATTCTCTGTTGGAATGTACACACTGAGCTGAATGTTTGGCAGGAAGCCATCAGACCACATGCCCTTAGCTTTACTTTTACCCTTAGCTAAGATGACATTGTGTCGCGCTGTTGAAGAGTCTCATTGACCGTGGGCCTCGGAAAGTTAAGGGCCAAATGACAACAAATCACGAAATTAAGTCTGGGGCGTTGAAAGGGAGACATGTTGGTAAGTGTGCTCTCTATCCTTTTCTGTTTTTTTCCCTCTCGAACTATACAGTGCCCTCTCGCAGATGATAATTAGCGTAAATCTGTTTTTTGCTCATGCCATAGGGAGTTATGGCACAAAAATATGAAGAGCCTTTGTAAGAAAAGGCATCCACCCCCAGAAAGCGCGTCGGAAAGTTCACGACTCCAAGGTCGCCCACGAAGAAAGCGCGCCGCGTTGGATATAACAAGTACAGCCCAGACGACGAGTCCAACTAAACGAACCCCGACGATCCGTTGTTAGCAGGCGCGATGGTCAAGGGGAGTATTTAGTGCTTTCGTTCGGGTAGCTCAATACATCACCCGGTCACCTCCTCAGCTTCTCGCCCCAGCGCACCGCATCACTGTCATCACACGATCATAACCGGATCTTGGAAAAACAGGATCCGCAACCGGCCCGGGAGATCGAGCCGTAAAACTGTACCATCCGCTCTTTTACCAACATTGTCGACAGCGAATATCGAATTAAAAATTCAACATACAAGTCCGGACGATAGCTTCAGCTACCTACACGTGTTATTTTTCTAAGACAGAGCTAAGACAGTTACGCCTGAGGCCTTACTATTCTTCATGCTAGCCTTCGGCTGCGATACCACTGTATAGTTTAAGAAGCTTTATGGGGTGCAGAAAGGAAAATGGCGTATACATATCGTCATAGCCACGACAGTCAAGTTGAATTATTGTCGCCTTTACCATTTCTGAAGCTCAAAAGGATATAATTAAATTTCCAATTGCATTGTGTTTATATGTACTAAACTACGGCTTCGATGGCTTGTCAATCTTTCATTTTCAAAACAGATGAATGCTGTGTGAGACATGCGAAAGTTTCGCCAAGTAGGACCATCTATTTTGATGGACCAAACAACAATGCAGAATACCACCCAATAACGCCAGCTCTTTCTGGTATACCAAAGTCCATGCAGAATGCATACAATTCGAATTCCTCCAATATCAAACGCCAGTCGCGGTCTATGCAAATTTGTACAACTCTAGTTAACACTGACGTTAATGCGATCCTGTGGGGGTTTCGATGGACATTGGATGGCTGGAGATTACTCCATGATCCTCTTCCAGCCATCCTTCCAGACAGCTCTACGACCGTCCTCAGCGATGCCGACGCGGAACCTCTCCCAGCGCGCATCTTGGCCGGCACCTATGATGAGCAGCTCCGATTCGTTGATCCATCCGATCACGCCCTTCGGGGGGCGACCGCCGGCGACGCCTTGGATCGGGGTGTTCCAGTTGAGGCCGCCTCCCATGGCAGACGACGTGTTTCCGACAGCAGTGCTGTTGGTCCCTCGGCGCGCGTACGTGGCAGACAGCTCGGGCTCGTCCCCGATTTCAAACTTGGCAGATGCAGTAGAATACACGTCGGAGAAGATGCGAGGGACCATGGGTATCTTGGAGAAGAAACCCCACTTCGATGCGTGCGACGGCTCCGCCGCACCGTTGCCGGACTCGAGGGCCCCGGAGAAGTCGCTGTTGACACTCGCAGGGCGGCCGCCGGATGAAGACGGCCGAGTCGCGTAGGGCAGATCGAATATGTGCAGGGTCCCAGTATCTGACGTCACCGCCATGAAGGCGTTGGATGGTGAAAGTGCAATGGAGAAGATGGTAGCACTTTCAACGCCACGCCTGTACTCACCGAACTTTGCGCCATTGTCGGCCATCCACAAGCGGATTAGGGTGCCTTGCTCGCTAGCGGTTGCAATTATCGTACCGTCCGGGCTAAGGGAAAGGGCCCGAAGAGCGTTGGAATGTGCGGGGATAATGTTGATATTTCTGGTCGCAAGTTCGAGAATCTGCACCTGGCCGGGAGTGCGTCCAGGGAAGACGACGATGTCCTGGTTCAGGCAGCATAAGCCAAATGGGTTGTTGGCCGTCTCGAACTCCTTCAGTTTCTCCGGGCGAGCCGATAACTTGTAGACGTGGATGCTGTTAAGCAGGACGGCGACGAGGTACTTCTGGTTCAGGCGGACGCGCTGGACAGGGGTGTTGAACTCGAAGGTGAGCGTGGGCTCTTGTTTGCTCTCGTTCCAGAAAATGATCTAAATAGCACAGGAGCGGACCTGTTTAGAGAGGCTCCGGCTGGTCAACTCCGAGGGGAATCCGCGCACAGATGCTCACCTTGTTTTGGGCAAACTTGGGGCTCTTTCCACCCCCAACAAGGGCCAGGTAGTTTGTCTTGCCGACCATCTCAACGCAGCCCAACCCTTGGCCGAGGTCGCGGACCTTCACCGGTCTGCAGTCCTGCGTGTCATAGATGCGAAAGCCGTTCTCGAGGGCGACGCTGAAATGGGAGAGGTCGCTGTTGTATGCGACGGACAGCGCCGGCGGCGGCGGCGAGTCGTTGATGGCTGCTCGCGTATTCATGGCGGTGGGCGGTGCGGAGCAGAGTTGCGGGCTGCGAGTTGTTCTCGAGCGTAGCGGACGATGGAGCTGGCGCACAGAGCAGCAGCAGCTCTTAGCGGGGCGAGCTTGGGCGCGCGCCGTGACACGCAGCTCCTCCACGCGTCGGGCGGCTTCTGGAACAACGTCTCGCCGGGCCGCGCATCCCTGCCCTTTCCAGGAGCAGCGGAGGGACCCTTTGGAAATTAGGGGGAAGGAGCGGCCGACGACTCTCCACTGCCTTCTCCATCACCGCGCCCTCAGCGTCCTCCTGTCCTTCCGCCCACCGCACTCCACCAAGCCACACCCTCAATTGACGCCGACAGTCGCTCGCTCAAGTGCAGTCCTCGGCTCATTGACATTCACCCCATACTAAATCCTCCGGGCTCCGCCTGTTTTCGCCCAACATGAACGCCGTATGACCATCCCTACCCTGGCTCGAACCACGCCATCGTGCGCCGCATCCTGCGCGCAACCCGATTTCCAGATTCCCGCTGACCGGTGCTTCGACAGATCAAGATCCGCAGGAAGAAGAATGTCAAGAAGGGTATCCAGTTCTGTCTGATGGTCTGTGGCGCATCAGGCACTGGTATGTACCTCCACACGTGTACTCTGCGCGCACTGCGCTGACATCGCCGCCCAACCACAGGTCGCACTACCTTTGTCAACACTCTCTGCGGCCAGGACGTCCTGAACCACAAGGAATCGGACGACCCGAGCAATGCTCACGTCGAGGAGGGCGTCCGGATAAAGCCCGTCACCGTCGGTACGATCCCAGATTGCGATCAATATTCGCGGCCTGTCCGCCATCGAGGAATTTCACTAAGCATTGTTCACCAGAATTAGAGCTCGATGAGGAAGGCACCCGCATTTCCCTGACCATCGTCGACACCCCCGGTTTCGGTGACCAGATTGACAACGAGGCCAGGTATGGACGCGACGACATCAAAGTAATTGCATTGCGTGCTGACTTGGCGTAGCTTTGGCGAGATCGTCGGCTACCTCGAGCGCCAGTATGATGACATTCTGGCCGAGGAGTCGCGTATCAAGCGTAACCCTCGTTTCCGCGACAACCGTGTCCACGTCCTCCTCTACTTCATCACCCCCACTGGCCATGGGTAATATCCACGCCCTCTTTTAGCTTTGGGAGTGGTCGCTAATCTGGAACATGCAGTCTCCGTGAGCTTGACATTGAGCTGATGAAGCGTCTCTCCCCCCGCGTCAACGTCATCCCCGTTATTGGAAAGGCCGACTCTCTCACCCCCGCCGAGCTCGCCGAGTTCAAGAAGCTCGTCATGGAGGACATTGAGCACTACCGCATCCCGGTCTACAACTTCCCTTACGACATCGAGGAAGACGACGAGGACACTGTCGAGGAGAACGCCGAGCTGAGGGGCCTCATGCCCTTCGCCATTGTTGGTGCGGAGGAGTTCGTTGATGTTGGCGGCAAGAAGGTTCGCGCGAGGCAGTACCCCTGGGGTGTTGTCGAGGTTGAGAACCCGAGGCACTCTGATTTCCTGGCTGTGAGGAGCGCTCTCCTTCACAGCCATCTGGCGGATCTCAAGGAAATCACTCACGACTTCCTGTACGAGAACTACCGTACCGAGAAGCTGTCCAAGAGCGTCGAGGGTGGTGCTGCTGCGTAAGTTTTGCTTTTCCCTTGAAGAATGCACAACAAATGCTAACAACCGATAGCGATTCGTCGATGAACCCCGAGGACCTGGCATCTCAGTCCGTGCGCCTAAAGGAGGAGCAACTCCGTCGCGAGGAGGAGAAGCTCCGCGAGATCGAGCTCAAGGTCCAGCGCGAAATCCAGGAGAAGAGGCAGGAGCTGCTGGCACGCGAAAGCCAGCTCAAGGAGATCGAGGCACGGATGCACAGGGAGCAAAGCCAGGCGCTCGGCTCGGAGACACCCGAAATCCCCGAGGAGACGGCTTAAGTACGTTCAACGATGATCGGGGGGTAATGGCTCTGGGGGTGTACCAGCACTGGCTTTTTTCTCTTTTTGCAGCGCGGATTCCCCCAATAATTGCGAATCCGACAAAACTTCTAACGCAGCAGGTGCAGGGAGCAGCTTTTAAGAAGATCAGGGTTTCTTATTTCTTGCACGAAAACGGCGAAGATGAGAAGACTCTGTTTGCCGAACGACAAACGTCTGTATATCAACAGACGCTGGCTACCTTCCTTTTTCGCCTGTTTTCATATGTCACTTGGCCATGGATGGGACACCAGCCTCCGCCTCCTTCCTCTCTCTCTCCGGCTCTTGGCTTTTCTCTCAACCTTAGTACCCTCTTCTTGACTTATTCCCCAAGTTTCTTAAGTTCTGATATGTAGCTAGCTTTTTAGTAATCGGTTGAAGTAGCGAATGAGTCTTGAGTTGACGCTGATAAAAAACGTGGTGTCCGCGTACTGGTGGGATACACGAGCGCGTGCATGTGGGGGGCCCGCTTCCTTTCGAGGTGGTCCGACTTCATTCGTTAATTCCATTTCCCTTTCCCTCGCTTGCTCTCTACTGGCGTGACTTTGATCTTGCGACAAGACTTTAACGAGTCAGCCTGCTGCAATGCAACCATGTCGGCGCCTTCGAGGCTGAGAAGAGAGGGAGGTCGCCTATCTCCCTCCCCCACTCGGCCCGTCTCGACGGCTGCTTTGGCCCCCTCCGTCCCGTCTATTTTTCTCGGGACCCGGCCCGGCGGCGGCCTCTTGCTCTCCCGGGCTCTTTCTTTCTATTTTCCCTGTTCCGTTCAGAGGCACGGCGATAGGCGAGGGACGACACGCGTGGGAACAACAACAAACCCAGGGAACGATTTCTGCCTCGTGCCTGCCTCATGTGCGACAGTTCATCCAGCCAGCCAGGGCGGAGACGAGGCAGAAACTGTGTATCGCTTCAACCACGCACGGCAGCAGCAGCAGGGCGAAATGCGAAACCGATTTTTAGTGTTTTTGTGTCATATCGATATGCATGCAATGCACGCATGGCGGCGGCGCCCGGATTCCGCCTTGCGTACATACATGCATAGTCTGTTTCGTAGCTAAGCTTTTGTGCCTTGTTGCTTAGCCCGGTTGAGGTTTCAGACAGAGACCCCGTGGTCTCTCTGCTCGTGGGAGGGGTTTCCAAATGTTGCTAGTCTGGACGTGGTAAGGATGAGGTGTACGGCAGGGGGTGAGATGGGATGCCCTCGGCCCGTCTTCTTTGTCCTTGTTCATTGTTCGATTTTGATTTCGAGGGGGAGGTAGCTATGCAAAAAAAGTAAATTCAGCACTATCGTGATGCCGTGACCAATTGACTTTTCTCCCAGGCCACCACAATTGCAAAGTATGTAGGTGGTAGAAAGGCTAGTTTAGATCACAAGCACATGCGGCACACACAAGAGGGACGGGAATCGATGGGTTGGTCTTGTCTCACAGCGCCAAAGAGGAACCACGGTCACTCGAATTCCTTTCTCTCCGTCAAATGTTGCAGCGGTTGCGATGGATAAGGGAAACCGTCATAGTGCGTGTGGTGCCAAGCTGATCCTTCCCACTCAGAAGATAAACGGAAAAGATAAGAAGTCCTTCAGAAACAGGAGCCGAGTTTTGGAGTAACCTCAGCCGACACTAGGGGAAAATGATAGGAGAGTTACTAAGCGCGACCGGAGAAAAAAAAAAGAAAGCTGCATCACTCAAAAGAAAGAACAGCGGGTGAAGAAACCCGTGCATCTAGTCAGCTTCACTCCCGCGCGGAAATGCCGTGCGGGGACGGGAAGAGAGGGCGGTGCACATTTGCATATCGTCTAAGCCTTCCGCAAGGTGCTTACGTGGGCCACCGAGGCTTGGTCTGTAGGTAAATGCGTTTTTTCCTTGTCGGGAACGCCAATAACAAGGGCTGCGATCAGATCCGCGATGCGACGCGATGCAGAACGGAAGCTTATTCGTGCCACGGATGCGGCCGGTATGTAAGGCCAGCCGGACAGGAATTGCGGGGAGGCGGCATGGCGCGGAGCTGCTGAGAAGAACGAGCAGTGTGTGTGACCGCGCGAGAAGAGGTACTAGTAGTATGTCTTGCCCGATAGTCATCATGGAGTATGGGACCAATTGTGAGACAAAACCAGACCTGCAGGCCAAGGAATCAAAGTAAAAAAACCGGCAACAGCGGGACGAAACACGTTACGCCTACGATGATCGGGAGGCTTGGTGTCGCGGGATGTTCCAAATACTCGAGCCATGATCTTCGGGACTTTCTTTCTGCACGTTCTGTTTTGGCGCGCTGCGCCACCTTTCTGCGGTAAATCTTTCCTTGCATTAATTCAATGATTCGTTAGGTCTCTTAATCTCCGTTGACAGCATGAGTCGGTGATGACACATTATTCTAATGCCCGACCAAGTTTCTAAAACCAAAAGACTTTTTTCAAACGCCAATCCAATGCTCCCCAAATGCTATGCAATACGGAATGAAAGTCGGCTTTTACTGCCGCAGCTGCAATCCCATCTCCATCAGGCTGACACAGGCATCCCACTGCTCCGGGTCCACAGCCTCCATCTTCGGAGCCAAGGGCAGCGATGCTTTGTCTGTCAACAAGATGCGGCTCGCAGCCCATTTCTGGTCAGAGCTCGCGCTGCGCGTCCAGGCGCCAGGAGCGGCGATCTTGCTGTTCTGCGTGGCGGCGAATTTCGCTGCTTTGGCGTTGGGATCGAGATTGGTGATGAAGGAGACCCAGTAGGCATGGAGCGACGTTTGAAGGGGCGCCAGGGTAGAGTTCTTGCCGGTGAAACCGTTCCAGACGCTCCAGCTCTCGGCCGTGTGGGTCGCTGAACCTACGTCCCAGCGGTAGGTCCAGATGTTGTTGTTTTGGGAGCGCGAGGGAAGAGCCCAGGACAGGAAGAGGTTGGGACACACGTAGCGGATGTCGCCGTAAAGCTGAGATGCGAAGCCGCGGTAGTTGCGAGCGGCGATGAGAGGCTTGTACTGCAGGTGCGCGTGGAAGTAGGTGAGGTTTCCCGACGTGAGTCCCGGAAACTGGCTCTGGACGAAGTCGTCGGCGGCCTGTAGCGACTTGCCAGCGCTGGAAGGCGTGAAGATTATACCTTCGTTCGTCGTGTCACCGACGAGAATCGGGATGTCGCTTTGGTGACCGGAGTAGAAGCTGCTGTACGGGAATTCGCGTACGACGTCTCCATCAAGCACCGGCCCATACATCCACACAGGAGCAGTGTCGCCGCCTGGGAGCGCAATGGTCTTGCCGCGGGTCAACGTCTGAAATGATTGGGTATCGATCGTCCGAAGGCATGCGAGCGAATCCCATTTGCCGGCACATCCTGTCAGGTTGAGGATGTTTTCGTACTGGTACTGGGTCGATTCAGCAGTCTGCAAAGCGGGCCAGGAGGCAGACTCGAGTGTTGCTCCGACGAAGGTTGCATTGTTCGCGGGATTGGCCAAATGGAGGACGACGGATCCGGCACCAGCGCTGGCGCCACCGATGACGATGTGGTTGGGATCACCGCCGAACCATGCAATGTTCTCTTTAACCCACTGCGCAGCCTTCAGCTGATCCTTCAGGCCGTTGTTGACACTGTAGTCAGGAGCCGACTTTGGCGACATGTTCGGCTTCGGGACAACGCCGCCCAAGAAGCCATAGGGGCCAACTCGGTAAGTGAAGGTGACGACGACCATGTTGCCTCCGCTGGTCTCCACAAGCGATGAGCCGTTGGGTGGCTTGGCCGATCCGCTAAAGCCGCCTCCCTGCACATAGAAGAAGACGGGCAGAGCGGCGCCCGCGGAGGCCGCGGACGGGGCATAGATGTCGAGCTTCAGACAGTCCTCGGACACACTAGAGTCGCTTGGCTTAGAGTCTACACCAATGCAGGCGGGACCGTGCTGTGGGGTGTTAGCGACGAGTTTTCAGCAGCCCAGCCATCCGGTGTAGGGGATTGAGAGAATACGAGATTACAAGGAACTTACTGAATCGGCTTGATACAGCTTGTTGTCGATCTTCAGATCTCTTGGCGCAGCAAAACGCAAGTTGCCGACGGGCGGTGCAGCGTAGGGAATGCCCATCCATTGCGTGACGCCGCTCTTCAATGACGTGCCGAGATATGAAGCGTAGGAGAGTTTGACCAGAGGGTTGACAGCGGAGGCGACAATGGCCCAGAGGGCAAGTAAACAGAAAGTGAGGCGCATCGTTGGCTGCAGACAGAGTGAGAGTGACGGCGATGACAAGGTTAAAAAGCCTGCGCAGCACAGCCTCTTGGTTGGAACGCGTTGGGTGGGCGAGCAAGGCGCGTCAAAACATCCGTGAGAGAGTTGATGATCGGACCTGAGTAGTGCAAGGCAGACCGCGGCGGTATAGGTGAGCTGACCAGGACTGCAGTGTCTTTTTTTGGGGGTGAGGGAGTAATAAAGAAATCGTCAGATGGTCCTGCGGTAAGCTAGGGCGGCAGAGGCCGGGAGGGAAGCTAAACGAAGGTGTGGAAGCAACAGAAGACCAAATTTGGAAAGCACGATGCGGCGGGACCGGTGGCTTAAGGCAGGGTCCGTGCTGGGGGCCCAGGATACGACACTGAGGTGAAAGAATGCGGGTCAAGGTGCGACGGCAAGGAGAGTCGAGGGGAGGTCATGGCAGAGCTGGCCAAGCGCCGGCCCTCACACGTCAAGCAGTTTCACTTCAGACGGCTGCGCGTCATAGAAGCAAGTGCCGATGGGCGGCGGCTGAAGAAGCAGTAGGGGGACCCTGCTAGGAGGCGGCTCGTCAGGCGCAGCGCAGCGCGAGTCGAGTGCAACGGCGTGCCATCGTGCTCACTGCGCCTGGCCGGGCTGGCGGACAGATTTGACAACCTAAGGGACTGGAAACGCGCTAGCCGGCGGAGCATGTGCTTGACAAGGCACGGAAATGGACGTGTCTGGAGCGCTGCTAGGGCTGTCAGCTCAGCAGCGTCGGCTGCGGTTCGGCGGGCCAGGTACGGCAGCGGGGAGCAGCGCTAGTCCGGAGCGGTGCCAGGGGGCCTGGAGCCCGCACGCGGAGTCATGATAGCAGGAGCTGCCCGGTGTCGCAAGAGAGAGGGTGTTGGCAGAGGCTGTGGCTGTGGGGCGGAGCCTGATTCGCCGGCGGCAGATCTCCAGCTAATTTTTCCCGGGCCTAGGCCAGGCCCCCTCGCCTTCCCTTAACGCTCCCTCGCCTTGGCTTCAATATCCGAAAGCTTGTCCGCTGCTGCCTGTGTTCCTTTCGCCTTTCTCGTGTTTAGCCCCCGCTGGCTGTAGGAATGTGCCCTGTCAGCCGACCACTTCGTTTTCCTTGCGCATCGCCTGACTGCCGGCCGGTCACTCTTCACGCTCGGAAAGTGTCAGATCGTGCCATCTGTCGGGATCCCCGGTTCCACAAATCTTCAGCCGCAAACTGTATCCGGGCGGACGTCATAGCCTCGCTCTCGTCGCAGACTGTAGCTTGTAGCAGCTGTAGCCATAATGGCCGTCATAGCTGCAGCGGCGAGCTGTGACCGCTGTGGGTTGTCATAGCTGCTGTTGATATCTGAAAAGCCATCATAGTCCATGTCGCTGTCTTGACTATTTTTTGTTAGCTTCTGCATGCTGATTAAGGTCAAGTCATCTTACTAGTAGAGAAGAACCGTCGCTTCACGTCCATCTGACGCTCTTGATCCATCGCTTCATCTCTTCTGGAAGTGCAGTTATCCATATTCCTCGAAAAATTGTGACCAGCAATCAACTTACTGTTATTCTCTCTACTCTCGTTCACGGTAAGCATCCAAAGCCAGATCTTCTTGTAGACCAGCCGCTCCTGATCTTGGTACTCTGGGACTGGAGAGAACCTGACGTGATGCATGGTGGTGGCAAGTTGACGGGCCCATACATCAGCAGTGTCATGGCCCTCGACATAGCGCCGACCCTTCAAGTACCGGACGGCCACAGGCACGCCCTGCTCTGCAAACAGGTCGTCGTAGTGCTTAAGACGCCGCAAGGCGCTCTCGTTGCGGCCACCTTGTCCAGGGATCCTAAAAAGAGCTGTTATTTACAAAGTTTGGTGTTGTCAAGCAAGAAGAGCCCAAGACTCACCAGTCTTTGATCGCCTGCAGCGCGTAGATGTTGTCTGTCATGACAATCACCTGCTGCTCCACATCCCATCGCTCTAGGAACGCAGTGTCCATGCACTCGTTCACTGCCTGCAGCTCCATTTCATCTGTCACCATCCGCCGCTTGATCGTGCGGCCAACGACGTGGTACAGCGGCTCGTCCTTGCGCTTCCAGGCCGCCGCCACGCCAGTCCACTGGGGAGAACGTGGGTCCTGGTAATTGCCGGAGCCGTCACCATACATTACCAGTGTGTACTTGTGGTCGGCTGCCCTGTGGGCGAAAGCAACAGAGCCGTCATAGTCCAGCTGACCACTCGGCAAGCGGTCGGCGTGGACGAGGAGCTTAAAGGACCTCGTCTGCTGGGTGCCATGGATGCGGTGGTCGGCTTGGCAGACAGTTGCGAGAAATTGGTCGGAGGTCATGTTGGCTCGTCGTTGGATGATATGGGAGAGTCAGAAAGATCTAGGCAACGAGAAGTCGAGGTGCTGGTGGGCAGACATTCAGTTGTTGTTTTTACGTTCATCAACACGCTAAGACTGATTTGGCAATCGTAAAACTTATATTTTAGGAAGGCACGGCAAAAGAGATCTAACCATGCACACGAGACCTAACCCGCGACCACTATTGGTATATCCCCCTCTACCTCGCTTAAGGAAACTTCTTACTTCATTACCCACCCTTAGAACAACCAAGAGACGAATCTCGAGTAGAACGTCTTTCCTCCCTTGTTGTTCGCCGCCTGCTGGGCCAGGAATTCCTGTTCCTCGCGGTCGATGATATCCTTGCCGGTCCAGAGGTCGGCCTCCGACGCCTTGATGCCCTCGGTCTTGTGCCACCACTTCCAGCCGAAGATCATGATGATGTAGAGCGGGATGCCAAGGTAGCCGGTGATGAAGTTCTTGTAGTCGAAGTCGCCGTAATCCTCGCTGTGGATGAAGACGCTGAAGTTCTTGGTGAAGGCGATCAGGATGCAGAAGCCGAGCGCGATGTAGCTGCCCCAAATGCCGAACGGCGACACGTACGCCAGCGTCTCCTTGGGCACGTTCTGCGCCTCGCGCGCCTTGACGAAGTAGATGTGCGTCACCAAAATCGAGATCCACGTGAGCAGGCCGAAGATGGTCACCAGGTTGACGAAGTAGCCGAACACCTTCTTCGAGTCGTCCGAAACGTTCATGTACGCCAGCAGGCAGAAGCACGAGGAGAGTCCGAGGGCGTAGACCGGAACGCCACGCTTGTCAGTGCGGGCCAGGATCTTCGGCGCCTTGCCGGTGCTAGCGAGACCGTAGATGGTACGCGAAGCGATGTACAGATCCGAGTTGGCGGCCGAGAAGACAAAGAGCAGAATACAGCCGTTCAGGATACCGGGGAGAGCGTCGATTTGGGCGATCGTGATGGCCACAACGAAAGGAGAAGCAGCAGCGCTGTTGCCTGCCTTGTTGGCGAAAGAAAGGAGATCCGAATCGTAGGGGACGATCATTCCAAGGAGCAGGACCGACAAGCAGTAGAAGAAGAGGATACGGTAGAAGGTCAGCTTGATGGCCTTAGGGATGGTGCGCCTGGGATTCTGAGCCTCGCCAACAGTGACACCGACGAGCTCAGTGCCCAGGTAGGCGAAGACAGCGTTGATCATGGAGCTCCAGAAACCAAGGAACTTGCCGGCGTCGCCACCTTTGAGTAGGAGTCAGTGCGTGATTCTGAATTCAATCCCGAGATTCACTTACCGACATACGCCGCCTTGAACGCTCCCGGCTCCTTCCAGTACCTGAAGCCCGTCCTGTCATGGGTGGGCCCACCGCCGAGTGCCAGGATGAGGGACAGGAGGATCAAAGCGACAATAACGACGACCTTCAAGCTGCTGAGCCAGAATTCGAATTCACCGAAGAATTTGACGCCGAAGTAGTTGATGCAGACGATCACAACGAAGAAGACAGTGATGAATACACCCGGGTTCACTTTGTCCGCTGTTACCCAATACTGGATGACCAGCGCGGCAGCCGTGAGCTGATTGGGAGTAACAATAATGTACTTGAACCAGTACGTCTAGCTCTTCGTTAGCTTCCACCCTAATAACGAGATTTGTTTTCAGAGCTTACGTAGCCGAGAGCAAAGCCAAGGGCGGGATCCACGAAGCGGTTGGCATAGCCAGAGAAACCAGATCCAAGAGGGAGCCAAGCAGCCATTTCACCGAGACCAGCCATGACGGCGAAGACGAGAAGACCGACGAAAGTGTACGAAATCAGGATCGAAGCAGGGCCGGACTGCGCCAGAGCCTTGCCAGTGCCAATGATCAAACCGGTACCTGGCTAATTGTCAATTCTGTTCGTGTTCCACAACGGGCGCGCCACATACCAATTGCACCACCAATGGCAATCATAGTGATGTGCCTGGCCTCCAGACCACGGTGCAAGTTCTGCTTCTCGCCCGCCTGCTGGACCTCGCCCTCGGCGGGATCGTAGGAAGCGTGCGCCTCATACTCGGTCTTGCCGCCGAACTCGGCATCGCGAGCCACCTTCGGCTCGTCGGACGAGGTGCTGCTACGGTTCCAGATGGCCATGGTGGAAGAGCTGAGATAAACCGTGCGACGCTGGCGCTCGAAGTTTGAGAGAAGCTTTATGCCCCCGACTTATTGAAAAGTGGTGTTCTCGTGACGACTCCGAGGTTGGTCGTATGTCCCGATGCGGATGCGAGCGGACTGGCTAGCCTGGAGCGGAGGGCAAGTATATACTTTCTCGCACCCACTACAGATATCCGAAGTCAGGAAGAGCTGACAATTAAAAGGACGGCCGGCGGCGAATAAGAGTGGACCCACGTGAGGAGATGCGCCCTGTGATGACAAGACCTAGGCCGATGTCGTGAGCGGTGCAGCAACCTATTCGGCAGCTAGCACGCAAGTGACAAATGCTCTCGTCGGAAAAGATTGGGTGCGACGGAGGAGTAGGCAGGTAGGCCAGGCGCAGCGGACATGCCGCGAGCTTGATCTTATAGCGGGAGATGGCGCACTCCGCCGAGACATTCACTCGTGCTGTTGCGCGACGCCGACCTACCCATTTCGACAAGGGTCAGGCCAGGACCAAGAAGCCGCTGTGCTACGGTGGCATTGGCCGCGAGGGCGGAAATCAGTTCGCCGCACGCAGGACTCAGCCTTGAGCATGCCCGCCCGCGATCCTTGTGGAGGGCCAAGGCTGCCAAGTCGCTGAACCAAGACCGCGGGCTCATGGGTGCGACTCCATTTGACGTGATTTGCGGAGTCGGGCGTTGATAAGGGCGGATTCTCTTAGCGGTTGCGCTCTTGTCATGATAGCGGCGCTCGTAGATACGCCGCCAGCGCGCTCATTTTCGCCGACGCAACGGTCCGCATCGCGAGGTTTCTGCGCTGGAGGCAACAAGGCGCACCGGGAGGACCGAGGCTGACGGCTGCCTTGGGCGCAGCCTCAGCCGTCAGCGGTGCGCAACGGAGGGCGGGCGACAGCTGCCAGTGGCTGCGCGGGGCAAGCAAGCTCTCAGTCGCTGCCGGCACTCACGACGCCAGAACCCGCGCCCGAGAGCCGTTCCTAGCCGCCGCGCCGCGCGGCAGTCTTGAGCATTTCTTCATTGCGGCAACTTCCCGCGCACCACGCGAAAACTTTTCTCTACGTATCTCCCACCAGCAGATGTGCCGTAATATCATTTTGTACGCCGCTCACCTGCTCACGGACCAATTTCGGCATGTTTTCCGTGCTGCTGAGTCGCGTCTGGGGTACTCCAGAGATACGAGCCGCGCGACGCTTCACGCGACCGCCCGGCCGAGGCGACCGTTTGTGCTGCGCGATCTGTCTTTTTCGATCAGAGTGCTTCTAGAAGATCTGCTCTCTGCCGTCATCCTGCGCCGTGCTCTTGGCGCCGCTTTTCCGCTTCTTCGTTTCCCTTAGCTCTCTCTCCCGTCCCTCACACCTCTGCGATAACATCTTCATCCCAACTTTCACAAGCAGTCTTGGCTTCGTGCTCGATTCCAGGAAATGCCGAACCGACCCCGTTGCTGGGTGGCTCTGCCGGTTCGGGTTATTTTGGCGCGGCCAGGGCAGTAGCTATAACATAACGAAAACCTCCTCCACGAATCGTTTCCGGGTCGACGGATTCAGGGACCTCAGCTTCTCCGCAATCCACTCCGCAAAAAGAGCTTCCCCCGCAATGTTGGATACCGCTCTTGAGGTTTTGGTGTGTCAATTGTGGGTCTGATATTCTGTCATCTTCCGCCATTTGCGAGCACATGATTTGTCACCGACGACGCCATGGATCAGTCTTTGTTACCACATCGCGGGATCTGGGGGAATTTCCTATATCTTCCGAGATCATCAATGCCAACATGTCGCTACCAAGAACTCAGAACCGATGACATAACTCGTTGAACGAAACGGGAGAAAGGTGTGTTTGATGCCAAGACTAGCGCGCACAGACTGCGGAGGTGGAGAATAGGTAGGTGCACTCCACAAGACTGTTCCTGAAGGACTTGCAACTTGACCTCGAAGGAAGTCATTGTTCAATCACCCTCTGCTTCCATGGCACCTGCCAGCGCAGTCATGTGCGCTTAGAACCACACAGAGCGTCCCCCTCGCAAATGCCGGACAATATGATGGCTTTATCATCCACCCAGGAACAACATCTTAATCTCACCCCGTCAGCTCCATAGCTCGGGATCTTGCTACGACATCTTCACTTGCATCCGTTTACTCTGACACTAACACCATGTCTGCTGAACGGCCACCTTGGGCCCAGACGTCCGACATCTGGAACTCAATCTCTGAATTAGACGATGACCGCAAGCTTCGAGGGCCTCTAAGAATACTTGGCCAAGCTAACGATGGCAGCATAGACCAGCAGCTACCCTATCCAGATCGCAGGATCGCGTTGGAAGTCTACGAAAATTATGCGGTTGGACCTTACGCAAAAATTGAGGCTTACGCCTATGACCAGTAAGAGACTAACTGCTTGTGCGATTCGCTGTTAGCGACACCAACCACAGATCTTTACTTGAAGCCATAACCCCATGCCGAGCAGTCTTTACTTACATCTTACCCAGGACACTCTCACCCTCAGAGAAGCATATCGTTGACTCCAAACAAATCGGATTCTGCATCGGCCAGGTCTTCAACCGCGAGCACGCCTTGGACAACTGCTTCAGCATCTCGTCTAAAAACGCTGACTACCAGACCCGAGTCTTTCTCGACTTCGCCTACGACGAGTAAGCCTCTCCAAAAAGCCACCCCAAATCCTCGCAAAACCGCTAACAACCGCCCCCGCCCCCTCAGCGCCGGCCACCTTCTCCCCAGGTTCGTCGACCCGGAATACAACCCATTAGACTACGACGATACCACCACCGACCCTCTCGCCAACCACGACCTCGTCAGCGAGCACAGCTTCGTCCTTGTCGAGGGTCTCGGAGTAGACGCCTCATACCGGCGCATAGGCGTCGGCGGCTCGCTGCTGGATGCGCTGTTAAACGAAGCCTTACTCATGCTCCCGTCCATCCGCTTCGCCGTCTCGTGGCCGAGTGCCAGCGACAGTACCGACCTGAACGACCCTGAACCATCCTCTGCGTCAAAGCCGGCGGAGATAACGGCGGGTGGTACCACCACTACTACTAATGGTGGCGGCGGTAGCGACGGCCCGCGTCGGACCGGCCAGATGCGGGCTGAAGCATTCCACCGCGCGGCGGGGTTCCGTCGGCTCGGGGTGACGCGCTTCTGGGCCAAGAGGCTCGAACCATCGGCTTGATTCGAAAAAAGAACTTTTCTGGAAGACCACGCGATTGGGGAGGGCGGGTTTGCTGGTTAGGAAAGGTACCCCAGCGCCGAAGTGGATTATTGCCAAGCTGGGGCGGAGTCTTGGGGGAGGCGGATGGATTGGCTTGGGACTATGATAGGGTTGGGTGGGATAAGGGACTTCCAGGCTGGTGGTGCGCGTGAGATCATCACGAGTAATAGCGAAACAGGAAGGTGATGCTGGTTGGTCGATTGGGGGCTGAGAGGCATATGCGGACGCGGATGGATTTTGGTGCATGGCCGGGCACGCCGACGCCGACAGCTCCAGACGGTCTGCGCAGAACTCTCGGAGGGGGCCTCGATCCGGCCATCTCGGTTCGGGTAAGTTCAGTCTGCGGATAATTATTTATAGTAAGCCGTCGTTGTCTCATGATCTAGCGGATAAGCTTGAACCTTGGGACATCAATTGGAGCCGTCCGCCGGGTGGCTTTTGCGTGTGGGGGGACGCGCGGGCGAGCCGCTTAGTCAGGATAGAGGTTTAGGGTAAACGTCGGCGGTGACGGCGGCCATGACATCTTCGCGCGGTGCCTTGCAACATTTCGTCGCGCGTCATTCCCCGTCCGCACTGCGCGCGGAACCTACCTCCGTCGCAATTGAAGCTCTCGCGCTACCTTCCTCCAGCTCGCATCACAAGAGCTCGCGCATGCTTCCCGCTCTACGTGACCACCCTCGCCCTAAGGAACCTCACCCTGCACAACACCCGCCATGAACAAGATCCGCCAAGTCAAAGAGCTCAACAAGCGCGAGCTTGAAGCGGGCATTACGCCCGAAGGCTCGTGGCATGCCGACTACAGAGATACAGTGCGCCGCCCTACCTTCCCTCCCTCGTACACATTGACCATCCAACCCGTGCAATCGAGCTAACGTCACCCGGCGCAGGCATTCATCTACATCGGCGGCCTCCCTTACGACGTCTCCGAAGGCGACATCGTCACCATATTCTCCCAGTATGGCGAGCCCGTCTACGTCAATCTCGTGCGCGACAAGGAGACCGGCAAGAGCAAAGGCTTCGCGTTCCTGAAGTACGAGGACCAGCGCAGCTGCGACCTGGCCGTGGACAACATGAGCGGCGCGCAGGTCATGGGGAGGATCATCAGCGTCGACCACACGCGGTACAAGAAGAAGGAGGGCGAGGAGCTGCGGGATAACACGTACGGCGCGCCCGAGGACGAGGATGAGGGTACAGGCGCGGTGAAGAAGGCTGCGGATACGGAGAGCGAGAGTGAGGAAGAGAGCAGGCCGGTGCTGAAGGAGGAACGGGAGTTGGCGGAGCTGCTGAGGAATCATGACGACGATGATCCGATGAAGGCGTATTTGATCAAGGAGAAGAAGGCGGAGGTTGAAGAGGCGATCAAGGAATGGAAGGCGAAGAATGGCGGCTCCAAGAAGAAGGACGAACGGAGAAAGCACAGACACCACAGGTCACGCAGGGATAGGGATGAAGATGATGAGGAGAGAAGGCACCGAAGGAGACGTCATCGCAGCCGCTCGCCGTCGGAAGAGAGGTCAAGGAGTAGAGAGCGCAGGCGGCGAGACTATTCAGAAGACCGGGATCGCAAGTCCAGGCGGCGGGATCACTCAGAGGACAGAGACCGCAAGAGCAAACGGCGCGACGATTCAGAGGATGGCGAGCGAAGGACCAAACGTAGGGATGATAGCCGGGAAAGGGAGAGACGCGATCGTCGGCGCGACAACTCAAGAGACAGAGAGCGGAAGAGTAGGCGTCGTGCTGACTCGGAAGACGACTATCGGCGCGAGAGGCGACGTGACCACCCAAGGGATACGGATGTGAGAGACAGTGACAGGAAACGAAGGTCCCCTTCATGAGAAGTCAAGGTTGATTTGCTAGTGATAGATGAACACAAAGTACATAGCGGGCTTAAAAAGTATTGCAATACCTTGCTAGCGCGCCTGCACACCGGCCTTCGCCATTCGAATCACCCTTGGGGCACTTTATCTCTCCCTCCACCTGGAGAAACAACATGAACAAACTACCCAAAGGCAAAAATTGGAAGAAAAAAAAAACCGCGTGCGCTCCTGCCGCCAGAGAGCGATCTTGGCTTCCACAAATTTGACTTCCCCAAGTCTAGATTTTAACTCCCCCTCAAAACTCCGCCTAAATTACAGACATCCTAAGAATACTATTAACTTGCTAAGCAACCTCAAATGCTAATTCACCACTACAAAATCACTACCAACGAGATTACCACTAACGAAATTACCAACTAACAACGTATTCACCACCACCACCACTAACAACGTATTTATCATCACCAACGTATTTATCACCACTAACGTATTCACCACCACCATTATTACCACCCGTGTCATTACCACCCGTACCATCACTACCTATACCATTCCGTGATAGGCGTAATTACTACTCGTAGCGTAGGCTTAAGCACTCTGGCTAATAGCAGTGCGAAAATGCTGTTTCTTATATAATATCACCAAGGGGAGTTAAATTTGTACGAGTCTTTTTTTTTTGTTTATTTCTACAATAAAAAGGAACATGTAGGTGTAGTTGAAGCTATTATCCGGACGGGAATGTGGAATTAATAATTATACATTCACGTCCGGACGATGGCTTTAAGTACCCATGGTATGAGAGAAAAATGAATCGTTATTCTACCTCTCAGTCTAATAAACGATAGTCGCGCAGTTTGAGGAGGAAGTCTTGGCGCGTCGGAATCCTGCTGAACTTCCACTGGCCCAAACAATCGCCCGGAGGGCCAGACGGGCCCGCCCAGTCAACCTCATCGAACCGATGGTTCTCGATCACACGACACTCTCCACCCATACACCCTTGATCCTTATACCCGAAGACCTCCAGTAAGTCCTCATCCAAATCGATCACGTACGCCCAACTGACATTTGCAAAGCTTGTCGTTTTGATGATCGGAAACGGCTTCGTCGACACTGCTGCGTGTTCTAGGATCATCGCGCCGATTTCCCCTAACATCGTCGGGCATACATGCCTCAATGCAGCGCGAAAAGCTTTCTCCTTATAGTTGTTGGTAATGTCGTAGAAACTGAAAGTGACGTCGCCATTTTTGTTCCTCTCCTTTACATACTCCACCTCTTTGAGAAAGGACAGCGACCGAGCGTCCGCTTCGAAAAGGTCTTTCTGATCCTGCGTCGGCTCGTAGAGGAGATCAGCGTCGATCACGGCTTTGAGCTTGGAGATGTTCTTCGGAATAGTAAGGAAACGGTGGATCTCAACGCCTTGGCCACACGGAGCGGGATTGAAACTGTGTGGGATTGGTAAGAAGAGGCGATGGTGTTGTTTAGAGGGTGGTGTTCTTACTCGCATAACTGTGCTATCTGCCACGCGCCTCGGTAGTAAACGAGAGTAAGGCTTTTGGAAGCCACGTTGCCCATATTAATATAGTCACCTAGGTGAAGCCGGGGTTAAGCAACTGTTCTGTAGCTCGAGCGTTTGAGAGGCTCAGATGCGAAAGATATTCTGGTAGAGAGGAAGGTAAGAAGAAGATGATGATGAAGAAGTTTGTCCATAGGCGCAGGTATTGGGAAGCAGCTGGGCTGCACCTTCCAGGGCCAGCCGTTGACTCTCAACACGCGTTAAGAACGCTCCGTATGTGATGTAACTCCAATGGGCTTGAGGCAACAACCAGGCCTGCCAGCATGGAAGGCTCCTTCCTAATGAGATTCGACTGCTTCACAACTCTTGCAAGTCATCACTGCTCCAGTAAGCAATTCACGGGGAATCAGGCTGTATGTTCCATTTAGAGGTTGCATGAGGTATGTCCAGCCCCCTCTCGCAGCCGATGACTAGCGTGGATTTGTTTCTTTGCTCATGTCATGGGTAGCTGAAGCCATCGTCCGGACGTGTATGTAGAATTTTTAATTCCACATGCCCGTCTGGATGACAGCTTCAACTACCCGCATATGTAAGGCTCAGCCTTACCCACTACGCCACGCCGGTTAACGTAGGCCCCTTTGAGGGTAAAATAGTGCTGGAATGAGCCGAATTGTTCCGGTTCATTGTGGCGTGGTCAGATAATACACTGTCCGTGACGGCATATGTCATTTTTCTAAAGCAGAGCTGGGGCATAGTCACACTATGTTCTAGAGCACTGCCGTTCTTCGTGCTAGCTATCGGCTGTAGTACTCCTTTGTACAGGTGTATGTTGTGGCTCAGTTCTCCTCATTCAACGGCCTCTTCTTGAAAAATCGCTCCGTCGAGCCCATTGGGAATGAGAAAAACAGTGCCTCCTGACACATCAGGTGTCCCAGCGTATAGTAGCCAAGCAACCCGGATACGAAGGCAAATGCACCGCCAGCCTTTTTCAGGGCTATTGAAGTGTCTTGTTTCCCGTCCGCAGCGGCGAAATAGCCAGCGGCAACGAGGCCAAATGCGAGTTCGACGGTGGCGAAAATGCCAATGTAGACGAGATTACTGTAATTGTTCAGACCGAATTTTCGCGGAAATATCTGAAGAGTGCTCGAGGGATTTGATTACTTACATTGGCAATGATCCAATTAGGAAAAACGTATTGAATACCGTCCACACTTCCTTCTGGTTAGCGGTTCGTTTTGACGGCTATAAGGCGTTGCCAAGCTTACACATCATGAAGAATCCAAGCGCATTGTTGTACTCGATTGTGTCGCTCCCATAGGATTCAGTGACGCCAAATGAGGGCGTGATGATGGCGCCGAAGCCCGCGTAGAAAAGACCTTCAAGACAGTCAGTTCGACATCCTTTCACGTATTGGATTTCCGTGTTTTCTGTACAGGGGGAAAAACCCACCAAAAGCACTCAGGACTGTGTAGCCGAATGAGTTCCCTCTCACAATCTCCCATTGCGCGGATATCACCATGCCGATGCCGGCGATGAAAAAGAAATTCCCGATGTAGACGTTCGTCGTCGTGACGCCGCGCCATTCCATGAGTGAACAGGATAATGTTGTCAGCGTGGTCGCGAAGGCGCCAATGGCAAGGGCAGTCTAGAAGAATGTTAGTTCATTTAATGTTTAAAGTGGATGATTCTGGATGGCGCATTTACCGGGCTGCCCAGATTTTGACTGATGGCAGGAGATACCACTATCGGCCGGGAGACTTTAGAGAAGGCATTTTCGTGCTCGTGTCCGGATCCATTCGTGGCGACTTTGAGGTTGACCGTCGGAAGGTCGCCATTTAAGTCTTGTTTTGACATGCCGAGACTTTGGAAAGTCGATGTGCAGTGGGACGGAGTTTTCGTAAAGTCCTTGGTCGACAGGAAGCAAACAAAATCAAAGAGGACGCGGGGTACAGAAGAGGGCTGTGAGACAGGAATTAAGCTTGATGTATATGAACTGTAAGCAGCTGCGCCATTGCGAGCGATAATTGCGTTTCTCTTGGTGCATTATAGTTGGAGCCATTCTGTGCGCTAAAAAAGCATGATTCAAGGCCCAAGATCTATCTACGTATATGCGGAGATGGATTTGCAGTGCTAAACACATGCGTGATTGGACGTTGTCAAGGATCAAACGCTCCTATTGGCTCAGGACGGAATTTCGACACGATGAATGGACGAACGGAACATTATGGGGCACAGACCAACCATGAAAAGTGGCGGTATAAACTCGATATTCCAATAACACGGGAAACATTGATGTGGGGTTCCATGTTCGCGCTCTTTGGTGGCGGATTGAATTGTCGAAGTCGGAGCACGGCATCGACTTCCCCAGTCACGTCATCGCAACCCGTAGAATCCGTAGCGGGGTAAGGCTGGCGGTCTGATTCATGAGCGCGGAGATCAGTTGTAGTTCCATAGGTATTTAAAGCCATAGTCAGGACCAAGTTCTAAAGAACTCTGATGCTGTGGATGTATCCGGGCATTGATATGCCAACAAAGGCTCGGCCAAGTCAACGATGAGCCGATCAGTTGGATTCCGCTTATGTACGGGAAGGCAGGCCCTTATTGATTCAGTCTGGCATTGAATGTGCGTCTTGTAGCTCTCACAGAATATTCGATACCGAAGTAGTATACCGAAGTACGCGACCGTCTTTCGTCATGGTTGTCTCACAAATTGCCGCCGCAGTTCCCTACGCGTGGCCCTTCGACGCGTCCTTTTCGCAGGAAACGACAGCATTGGTCATTATAGACATGCAGAATGACTTCTGCACCGATGGTGGTTACATCACCCACCAGGGTCATGATATATCCGGAGCGCGAGCAATCATTCCCGCAATCCAGGCTGTGCTCCACGCGTTCCGAAAGGACGGATGGCAAGTGTACCACACCCGAGAAGGTAGCGTCGTCCCTGCTGTCTCTGATTCCTTGCACAAAGTCATTGACCAGACGGATTTAAAGGACATCGCGCGGACCTATCCACGCTCCCCCCTCGAGAGGCTTTCCGGTCTCGCAACAACCCTTCAGGCCAAGGCATAGGCGCGCCCAGCCCCCTCGGAGGACGACTTCTCATTCGGGGAGGCAAGGGACACGACATCATCCCTGAACTCTATCCAATTGAGGGCGAGCCGATAGTGGACAAGCCCGGCAAAGGAGCGTTTGCACACACGGATTTCGAGCTCTTGCTGCGCAACAGAGGGATCAGGAACCTCCTGATTGCGGGCGTCACGACCGACGTGTGCGTGAGCACAACGGTGCGCGAGGCCAGCGACAGAGGATTCGACTGCGCCGTGCTCAAAGATGCATGCGCCAGCGTGGATGCGGCGCTGCACGAGGCGACGCTGAGCAGCATTGCCGGCGAAGGAGGGATCTTCGGGACTGTGTTGACGGTTGGAAACGTGCTCGAGGCAATGGCCCAGGCTGGCGCTCGCTAAAGCCAAGCCGCATTCCTGCGTATGCACGCTGCGCCTCGGCCGGCCCTGGGTGGGACAAGATAGCAGAACCGCATGCAGACTTCAGCAGTAGAGAAGCTAAATTGTGGTCAGAGTTCTGAGTGATGGATCGTGCAGCGGCCGCAGTTGCTCAAGCTTTCACAAGCTCTCCTAGTGGGCGATCCCCCCTCCTGTCTCCGGTGAGCACAGGCAGTCGTATAGGTCTCCACACATGGTGCCATGTCGCGGACAGAGTGGCGCTGAGGATGTCCCGAGGCGCGGGCTCAGGACAGGCACGGCTGACCGATAAGAGGCGCGCCAGGCAGGCTAGGGCGCGAGCCGGCAGGTACGGCGAATATACGATAGGCGCACGGCGAGCCGTGGTTGCAGAAGGCGTGCATGTGGCCGTTATAGGTGAGCAGACCGGTGGTCGACGGAGTCGTAAGCTGCAGGCTAGGCACTGCTAAAAATGGACGCGGTTGAGAGGCCGCGCAGTTGTTCCGCTCGCACTGCGCTCGTGCCCGAGGCGATCGTGGGCGCGTCACTGCGAGGGCGGAGCATTAAGAGGGCGGTTATGAGGCCAGGAGCCGGGTGGGTGTTGGTATAACAGCGAGAAGGTTCCTTGCCTGGGTTCCTGGGCCAGGGGCGCGGCCAGTCGGGGGGCGTTTTCGAGGCGCGACAACACCGATGCATGGCCACGCAAACGCGTGGCCCCCGGCGGCCAGATCGCGCATCGGCGAAACGCAGCGCTCGCAAGCTTAAAACCCCGCGGCGGCAGACAAACGGCGCGCAGGTAACCTTCATTCCCCGTGGCGCTCGTGTTCGATTACGACAGGGCCGTCGGCAAGGCCGTTGGCATCGCGCAGCTGTCAGAGCAGTAGTGAATCTGTAACACTAGGCCCGAAGCGAGGGGTTCAAGAAGGAAGCTCACAACACTTTAAAGCACCAATCATCCCGCCGCGCTGCCTGCACCGCCGCCGAGCCCGCCCTCAGCTGAGCTGAAACACCGCAGACAACCGCTTGGCAGGGTCGCGATCGCTTCCTTCTCTATAACCGATCTTCAAGGCACCGACTCGTGCCTTCAATGCCCCCGGGCCCCAGCCTATTTTTCTCTCCAACCTCAATCTCCGCCTCGGTCGCCGCCCTCGCCGGGCTCCACTGACCGCCGATAGGCCTCCAACTTGGCCAGCTTTCTTAAAATTGACCGCCGGCCTCCAGCTCACCCCTTCCAGAACCGCAAGCTCCAGTCTGCGCTCCGGCGGCCCCCCAGCCCACCATGCTTTCCTATCGCAGGGCTCTCATAATCGCCGCCGCGCTGCTCACCTTCTTCTTCCTATTGCGATCATCGCACACCGCAGGCCCCTCGGCGAAGCTGATTGTGCCCGAGTCCAAGTCGGAGGCCAAGCCTGCCTCCTCCCAGGCGATCGACACCGCGCCGGCCGGCCAATCTTCCGAGCGCAAGACAGAGAAGACAGCACCGCAGGCGGTGGCAAAGAAGGAGCGTCCGCAGATAGCTCTCGAGGATCTGCACACGAAGCCGCTGCGCCAGCAGCTCGAGTACCAGTTCCCCTACGACCCTCAGAGCAAGTTCCCCGCCTACATCTGGCAGACATGGAAATACACGCCCGCATCCGGCGAATTCGACGAGATTTTCCGCGAGCCTGAGGCGAGCTGGACCATCCTCCACCCTACCTTCGTTCATGAGGTCATCACCGATTCCGTCGCCGTGCATCTGATGCGCCACCTTTACGCTTCGATCCCCGAGGTGCTGGAGGCGTACCACGCGCTTCCGCTGCCTGTGCTCAAGGCCGACTTTTTCCGCTACCTCATCTTGCTGGCCAGGGGAGGCATATACTCAGACATTGACACTTCGGCGCTGAAGCCCGCCACCGAATGGGTGCCGGCTGACGTTCCACGGGAGGCGTACGGGCTGGTCATTGGCATTGAGGCCGATCCCGACAGGGAGGACTGGCACGATTGGTACTCGCGGCGCATCCAGTTCTGCCAATGGACCATCCAGTCGAAGCCCGGCCACCCTGTGCTGCGCGAGATTGTCGCAAACATCACCGAGGAGACGCTGAAGCGCAAGCGCGAGGGCACGCTGGTCGCCGACGTCAAGGGCATCGTCGAGTACACCGGGCCAGCGCTGTGGACCGACATCATCTTCGATTTCTTCAACGACCCGACGTACTTCGACATGAGTGCGAGCACCAAGAACATCGGCTGGGAGGATTTTACCGGAATCACCGCCGCGAAGAAGGTCGGCGATGTCATAGTGTTGCCGATCACCAGTTTCAGCCCCGGCGTTCGCCAAATGGGTGCTGGTGAAGACGACGATCCGATGGCCTTTGTCAAGCACAACTTCGAAGGTTAGTCTCGGTGGCACCGCCGATAGCGCTGTAGCACAGAAATTTACTCATCTTTCCCAGGAACGTGGAAGCCCGATAGCGAGCGTCACATAGGCGAGATCTTCTAGTCGCCGCCGCACCGTTCACGACCGACACGAATTTTCTTCAGCAAAAAGCTTTCAGCCCTAATATTTTGTACCTACTCGGGCGTGGAGCGCGATCGGTCCTATCGCTGCGTGTCGACAGTCGATGTTGTTGCCATTGGCCGAATCCTCAGTCATTCAAGCTGTTTGTCTGACAGGATTAATGCTGGCGTCCGTTCCCACCGGCCGCCAGGACTACACGCGCCGTCTTCTCCTCCTCCTCACAAGACCTATTTAAATCGTATTTTCTGGATAATGTGGATGTCGCTTCCTACCCTATGACGGAGCGAAATTACCTTCTTCCTCTCTAGGCGTCAGAAAAAGTTACAGCGAAGCGGAGTTTGTGGGATAAAGTTGTGCCGATTTCTCTATTCTGGTTCGATTTTAGAATGCATGGGCTCAAGTGCTGAGTCTTGTGGCGGTCACCTTTTTGCGTCTCCGGCGGGAAGCGACTCCTTTCATTCTAAACATTTGTACTCTAGGTGCTGATCATATTGTACCACTTTTTGAATTAGAGGCGGAATGTATCACTCACATGGCTGCTCTGGGCCAAGCCCGGAATTGCCATTGTTGGAACTGTTAGAGCTTTTCAAGTTGCTTGGTGCCATCACGCATCCTTCGTGTCCTGTGCGGTTGAACAGCTTCATCGGTCCGCCTGACGGTTTGTCTCCTGTCACATACGTCATGCGAAGTCAAGCAAAGTGATGAGAGTAAGTGTTCATGCATTCGTCGTTTAATGGAGTTAAGGTTTAACAGCAGTATAGGAAAGGATCTCCTTGTATATCCGACGAAAAACGCCGCCACATGTGTTGCTCCCCCTGTATCCGATTCATGCATATGCTGGAAGAAAAGAACCAAAAAAAAGTCTATCGGCCGCCCATCCCAATCTTGCCCGCGACTCAAACGCCATGAAAAATCCGAGAGATACTTTTGGTGTTACATAAAAGACGTCAGTTCTCGTTTCCGGGGAGGTTAGGCGAAGGTCGGTCCGTTGATGATGCAGAAACAGTTCGGTAGATTTCTCCTCCTGCGCTTCCTCCTTCCCCCTCCGGACTCCTCCTCCAGTCATTTCGTCATCTGGCTGACAGCAGCCGCCCCCAACTCCAATATCCTTCCTTTTCCCGGAAATGGGCTCTTTCTTTAACGCTTCCCGGACGGCGACCGCACGGCATCCCAGACGACGCCCCAGAAGGCGAACAGCGAGTCGCCCATGGTCGGCCGCTTCTCGCGGCGCTTCTCCTCCTCTTCTGCCGCCCTCTGACTGCGGGTCGAGCGATGCGAGCGGTGCGAGCGAACCGATCTGTAGGAATCGCCGCGCTGCGGCGCTGTCGGCGGTGCGGGCGCCCAGGGCGTGAGGCTGTTGTTGGTGTTGTTGGTTGCTGCCGCGTCCTTATAGTAGCGGGCGAGCTGTTGGTTGTTGACGGGTGGGGGCGCCGAGTAAGCTTGCGGTGGGGGCACGAAGTGTTGAGTGCCGCCGTTGTTTTTGCTGGCGCGGTAGGAGGGGTCGTTGCTGGCCATAGTGGTTTTTTGGGCTAGCTCCGGGCTGATTTTTTTGAGGGTAGAAAGTCGGATGAGGGTGATGGAGGTGGGGTAGGATTTGAGTTTGTTGCTTCTCTGTCTTTGTTTTAAACGCCCTTGCTTTGGTGTTCGAGTCTGCCTTGCGAGGAGGCAATCAGGCGGGACAGATTAACGGTGCAGTGTTTATGTGGTGTAAGCCAAGGCCAGGCAGGATCGCAGGATCGCAGCCTAGAGATGTGGGGTGGAACTTAGGGTGGACGAGAGGACAAAGGCGTGCGCATTGGCAGCAGAGCGGTGCGGGAGGAGCATATTTAAACAGAAGGGCTGGTGATCATCGGTCGTGCTGTAAAGTCAGCTGCTCGGTGTTGTGGGCGGGTCACTCGACTTCTGCTTTTCAAAGACTTTTCACGCGCCGCCGACTTCTTCCTAAGTATCGTCAAGTACCGACGAATGATATGGTATCTGAATAGACTCCGGTGACCGCGTGCCAAGACAGGACCACAATTCCTGGGGTTTATGACGTTTAGGGTGAGTCAGGCCGCCGCAGTGTGGAGGCGACGGCAGAGTGATGGACACTGGACACGCTCTGGGCCGTGAGACGTGTATTGCGGAGTGCTGCAGGGCTGAAGAGGCCGGGGCAGAGTGCGTGGGTACAGCGGAGACATGTGCAGCCATGCTGCAGGCATAGGCGCCTCAGGCCGCATGTTTGCTATTCACGCAACGTGCAGCGAACGGCTGCACAGCATCTGCAAGGCAGACGCCAGCGATCGGCTGGGCAGCACTCGCCTCGGTCTTGGGCCCGGGCGCCGGATTGGGCAAGAGGGGACCCTGGTCCAGAAGCAAGCGCTGACGGCAGCCTGCAGACCACCAGCAGATCCGGCGACATGCAGCGGCTCGCGGCGCGGCAAGAGGCGAGGGTACCAGCCGGTACTTTGCTGGCCCCCAAGCCAGAGCTCGATATAAGCGCCAACGGCTGCGCCTCGAAAATCATGTGGTTTGCAGAAAAGCGAGGGGCAACTTGTGGTGCGAAGGAAGAGCACGCGACTTTTGAGTGGCTGTGATCAGCTCAGCCTCGCCATCCTCGTCAGCCACCGCGCGCTCGTGCGTCATCCGCCTCTCTCATAACTCTACCTCGCCCACCACTTCGGCTCCGTGCCTGCCGTGCCAATTGCTCCTTCTCACTTAAGCAGTTAGTAAATCACCAGGCATGTCGTACTACCAGCAACCACCGCCTGGCGGACAACCGCCACCATTCCACCAGCCCTGTAAGTCTCATTGCGCCCCAACAACCTCCCAAGGCTCAGCACTTGGCGCTGACGTTGCACCTCTTCGTCACTCTGTACATAAAGACTCCCCTCAGCCTGGCTACAATCAGCCCCCACCAAGCCAGTCATACTCGCCTTATCCTCAACAAGGCTACAATCGACCACCACCACCGCCACCATCGATGTCGCATCACCAATACCCTCCCCAGGGCGGCTACCCGCCCCAAGGTTACCCTCCTCCCCAGCAGTACGGCGCTCCCGGTTACCCTCCCCCGCAGCAGCAGTACGGTGCTCCCCAGGGCTACCCGCCCCAGCAGCAGCAGCAGTATGGTGCTCCACCCGGCCAGTATCCGCCTCAACAGCATGGTTACAGCGCGCCTCCCCCTGGCCAGTATGGAGCTCCCCCGCCAGGACCCCCGCCCGGACAGTATGGCGCCCCGCCACCGGGACAGTACGGAGCGCCGCCTGTGCAACACTACGGCGGCGGTCCGCCCACACCTCCGTCGCTAGGATATTCTAGCCAGATGCCTTACGTCGATACAAATATGGAAGCTGAAGCCCTGCGCAAAGCAATGAAGGGCTTCGGCACAGACGAAAAGGCCGTAATCCGCGTAATTTCAAAGTTGGACCCCGTGCAGATTTATTCGGTCCGTCAGACGTATAACCAGCGCTTCATGAGGGACCTGCAGCGCGATCTGGAAAAGGAGACGAGCGGCGACTTTAGAGACGCGCTCCTGGCCGTTGCTCGCGGCCCGCTCCAGCAGGATTGCCACACGTTGTACCACGCCATGAAGGGCATGGGAACTAAGGAGTCGGATCTGAACGACGTCCTCTGCGGCCGTAGCAATGCCGACATTCACGCCATCAGGCAAGAGTACAGGAAGATGTTTAATAAGGACCTGGAGGCCGATCTCCGCGGCGATCTGTCTGCAGGCACCGAGACTCTGTTTGTGATGCTCGCAGCCGGCACTCGGCACGAGGAATCGACTCCGGTCATTCCTCAGAACATCGAGCAAGCCGCCACGGAGCTCCAGAATTCTATGGGAACCGGGCCAATCGGCTTGAACAAGAATGCCATCCATACCTGCCAGGTCCTTACTCAGCTGTCGGACAACGAGCTGCGCGCTGTCTCCGAGGCGTACCAGCGCCGCTACCACCAGTCACTTACCAAGGCCATCGAATCCAAATTCTCTGGCCACATGAAGGACGCCCTTCATCTGACCCTCGTCCGTGCTCTCAACAGGCCGATGGCGGAGGCCGAGCTTCTGGAGGATGCTATGGCGGGTGCTGGCACTCACGACAGGCACCTGATTGATCGCGTTGTGAGGGTGCACTGGGATCGCGGCTTCAAGGAGGCTGTCAAGCAGGCTTATAGGGCGAAGTACGGAAAGGACCTCAGGAAGCGGATCGAGGGCGAGACGAGAGGTGATTACGAGAGACTTCTCGTTGCTATGATCGAGTAATTGGGTTTTATACGTTCGCTGTTTACGACTTTATTCCCCTTCTTTTGCTTCTAAATATTATACCCCCCAATATGCAGACGGTTGGAATCAGGACACGGTTCCATTGGTTATGGATTGACGGGTATTCTGTAGTGTTAATGCATTCTTTATGCTCGAAATAGAATTTTAAGTTGCGTTACTCTTTCTGGTTCAAGACTAGTACCAACAGTCTATACGAGGCCGATGTACCTCTTGCTACTGCATGATGAGTGCGAATGTAGACTCGGTAAATGATGTGTATGTGGGCGTAGACTCACGGGAGAAATGCCAACAAAGAGAGCCAGCTACCGCCTATGTCGTAATTGTAGCGGTCTGGCTTCAACGTAAAGCAATAACAACCAGTAGTCGTGTGAGGTGAAGTGGAAGTTAAGACAGAGGTGGCCCAAGCGGACGAGCTGTCACCCTGGATCCGCGCGTTTGATCGGCAGCTAAATTCGGCTAGCGCCCCGCAATTCTGAACCTGTTGGCCCAGCAAATAGCTTTGCATCCTGCCAGGAGACCAGTCCGATTACGCCCCCTTTAGCAAACAAACAATGGCCGGTCGGCTCTCCGGGCGCACTAGATTGGAGTGTTGCTGACGGAGCGCGGATGATGCTGACAAGCAACTTCCGGTACCCGTATTGGGCGGAAAGGGCTGCGGGTGGAAGCTCGGAAATGGGGACGCGCGGATACCGAGCGATGAGCGCGAAGGCAAAAAGCAAGGCGCTAAAAAAGTGACGTAGTGGCCAGCCACACGTGGCGCCCGAGCGCCGCATCTGGCGCGTTCCAGGCGGGTGAGGTGCGAGAGCCCTAGAGTCTTTCCCGGGGTTCGCAGCAATCTGATTATTTACCACGCCCCTCTTCCGTCCGTCTCCTTCGATACCGGAGGTAGACATGGACTCCTCCCCCAACCGTCGCAATGGCTCGCCTCTGCACGGCGGCCGCGCCCGTCGCGCCTCCGCACACTCTGCAAGCTCCTCCGCCGACGGCGCCACCGCCCCGAACTCTCCTTCGCGCTTTGCTCAGCACACCAACCGTCTCTATCCCGTAACCCCGCGCCCAGGCCTGCAAGCCCACCCGTCAGCCATCCGCCTGCGACGCCTGCCGACGGAACAGGTCTCGCGACTGGAAACGATCCCGAGTCTTCGCCAGCAGCACCACCAGCAGCAACAGCAGGAGCAGCATGAGCAGGACCTGCGGCACCAGGCGCTGGAGAACGAATGGCAGGCCAACAGGCGCCGCTCGAGCTCCGAGCCGCACCGGCCGACGTTCGACGTTGGAGAACTCACGCGTTCCCGCACTACTGGCCTGAACAACATGCCATCGGTGCCCGAGCTGCCGCAGAACACGGAGAACACAACCTTTGAGCCCGTCCATCCGGCACGCCCGGGTCCGGCTGGCGGATCGGGTCGCTTCCGGCGAGCCAGCGTCGCCGCGCTCAGCGGGCTTGGCCTGCATCGGAATGCTGACGGCGCGCAGCCGCCCCACCAGGCCTTGCCCGAGAACCTGTACGATTCCAGGGTCGTCGATCTGCTCGACGTTATTGGTATGTCTTGGCCGCCGCCACGGGCCAGGTGCTAAACGGTGCTCGCGGCTGTTCGGAAGCTGACTTATTTCCCATCAGATCCCGAGGTTTCGGCGCTGTCGTCCTTGACGAATATCCAGAACTCCCTTTTCGTCCCCCAGCTGGGCAGGTTCGTGAACAGGCGGCCGACGTATGACTTGTCTCGCCTCCCCGCGTACCCTCAGCTGGGCGACAGGCAGACGTCGCCGAGGGAGAAGCAAGGCGAATTCCAGGCTACTGCCACTGCTGCTGGTGATGCCCCTGTCAGACCGCTGCGGCACATGCCAGCAACGACTGAACTGCGACCATCCAGTACAGAACGACCTGGGACTCCGAGCGAGCGTGCTTTTAGTATCACCTCTGCCCTGAGTGACTCACGCTATGCAGTGCTACCCCACGGAATCGAGCTTGAGGGCTGGACCGAAGAGGACAAAGCTGAGCTGAACGACCATGTACGGCACATGCTTCACTCGCGTCGCTCGAAATTCAAACGAAGCATGAAAGGCTTTGGCAAGTATGTCAGCAGGCCCTTGGGATTCCTGGTGACTTTATATGCCACGCTCATCACCCTCTTCGGCTTGGCTTGGGTGCTCTTCCTGATTGGATGGATCTATGTTGGCGACCGCCAGCATTACATCATCAACGTGATCGATAACGTGTTGGTTGCCCTATTTGCCATTATGGGTGATGGCCTCGCTCCATTCCGTGCTGTGGATACCTATCATATGATCTTCATAGCTCACTATCGTACGTTGCCTTCCTCGGATCAGATGTTTCTTACCTGTTGATGTATACTCACCATTCCACAGACCGGAAGACCTGGAAGCTGCGGAAACAGATGGCCCTACCGAAACTCGAGGACAAGAACGACCTGCCCAACGGGCCGGTCGTGGAAACCGATATCGAGGCTTCAAGACACGAAACTGAAGAGCTTAGCGTGCTTAACCCCAAGCAGCAGGCTACTTTGGTGCATCACCAGGAGAAATTCGCCAAGTCTCATACTTTCTACAAGCCGCACGAGACGGAAACACACTACGCGTTCCCCCTGCGGCTCCTCATCGTTATCGTCGTGCTTCTGGACTGCCACTCCTGTCTTCAAATCGCTCTGGGAGCTTGTACTTGGGGTATTGACTACAAGGTCCGGCCTCAAGCGCTCACGGCGGTCATTCTGTCATGTTCGATTACTGTAAACATCACCGCGGGTATCCTAATTTCCGTCGGCGACCGAAGGACCCGCAAGAAGGACGTCATCGAGAGGATGTTCCGGCAAGAGCTCACGGAGGAGGCCATTCACAAAATGCAGAGACGGCAAGAGAAGCATGAAGAGCGGTTAAGGCGTCTCGAAGAACAAGGCGAGGAAACGGATCTGGAAGATAATAATAGGGAGAAGAAAGGCCGCGTGAGTTTGGACATCTTCAGGCGGAGTGAGGACAAGCCGCGCCGGAGCTTCGACGTGCTCCGGAAGCTCGAGGACAAGCCGCGTCGGAGTTTGGATGCGTCGAGGAAGACTGAGGGCGTGCCTCGCCGCAGCCTCACCGTTACCAGGAAGAGCGACAAGACGGATGAACCGCAGCCTCGCATCAGCGAGGCGGATTCGAGACCGGACGAGAGCGATGTCAACATAACCACCGTCGCCGAGGATCATCGGGAAAACAGGTGATGGAAAGCGCTTGAGAGAGGCATTTTCTGTCCCCAGAACAAGGCGATGTTGACTACAATGTGGGGCCATAATTCTTTCGTTTAATCATCCCTGGCCTTGCAACCTGGACGTCGGATGTACTATGCTCCATGGATGCTCTGTCTCGGTCTACCAACCCGTGTTCACGACTGTCTAGAATTAGACGACCGGATTCTAAAGGACGACAAGACTCGACTGGATCTGTTGCAACCTCGAGCGAGCCCCAATCGGTCTATTCAGACATCCAGCCAAAAAAGCGTATGACGGCAATCGCATCTCCCCATTGCCGGCGTGCTATATTTTCAAAACTTCTTAAGGATTACGACAAGATAACTTTTAATTCCCTTTTTTTATGAGATGGTGGGCTCATAGGCGTTGGCACGACGTTTTGATGGAATACCCTCCTGATTGCATGAGTAGTGGCTATCTCGGCCACGGACAAGGCTTTGATTGAACAAAAAGCTGCCATAATGAATACTGAAACGATTGGAATCTCTCGAATTAATTTATTTTTCATGTGCATTTGTTGGGTTTCATTGAGCCTTTTCTCCCTTCGAATGTGGGGATCCCCATCTGTTCTTGGGCAGTCTTCAGATCATGGCGATATCGAGACGTTGAATAACTGATTTCTCCCCGCAGTTATACTCAATTCCGCAGCTACTTCAGTCGCTCAGGCTAAGGACATAAGAACTAGCACCCGGCTAAAGCACCACGGATTTACCCCGTACTTGCTCGACCAGCCTAAATCACATCAAACTGCTAGAAGAGCAAAACAGTCGTCGGCACGAATCACCATCCCCACACTCCTTAAGCTCTCGAGCGTCATCGGCGAGTTTTGGCTAAATGTAACATGCACCGTGCTATCGTTCTTCTGGCTAACTTAGCGAATACGCCGGGACTCCGCTTCTCAGGTGACCGCGCTTGGCTACGCGGCCCGGGGTGCGGCGGTGTTTTAGGTTTCGTTTCAGCACGACACGGGCAATTCCCTGGGTACCGGCCCGCCTGCCGCTCTCCGCTCGCCCATATGATGCGGCCCTCAGTACATTTAGGGGGCACGGAGGAAGTATTAGCATTGATCGACTAACGTCAAGCGGGGGCGTGCCGAGCCCCGAATGTGCCGTCGCTTGAATGTATAAAGTCATTGAGTAAGGGAGCAGCATCTTTTTGTTTCAATCGTCCACTCTTTTTCTATCTTCGGTCAAAACTTTCCTGTACATAGTTGTCTGATCATCGGCCATGGCGAGATTCGGCTTCCTTTCGGCGTTGGCCGCCACGCTGCTTGCAGTGTCCTCCAATGCCATGGCGCTGGAGAAGCGTGCTTCGCTGCAGCAAGTTTCGGACTACGGTGACAACCCAGCTGGCGTGCCCATGTACGGATAATGTCTCTCTCGATTTAATCTGGCGAAGCAGTTGGGCTGACTATAGCGCACAGGTACATCTACGTCCCCGACAACCTTGCCACCAACCCCGGTATCGTCGTCGCCGTGTAGGTCTTTTTTTTTTCCTCTCTTCCAGGCTACTCATCCCTGGGGGGCTCTGAATAAAACGTGCCATTTAGCTGACGTATATGGATGAAACAGTCACTACTGCACCGGCACCGCCCAGGCCTACTACTCGGGCTCGCCTTACGCCACGCTCGCCGAGCAGTACGGCTTCATCGTCATCTACCCGGAGAGCCCTCACTCCGGCACGTGCTGGGACGTCAGCTCGCAGGCGACCCTGACGCACAATGGCGGCGGCGACAGCAACTCGATCGCCAACATGGTCAACTACGCCATCGACAAGTACGGCGCCGACACCAGCAAGGTCTTCGTCACCGGCTCCAGCTCCGGCGCCATGATGACCGTGAGTTTATCCTTTTTCCATACCTTTCCTATAACTATTATAAGGCGACGCCACGCTAACAACCTTCCCCACAGAACGTCCTCGCCGCCACCTACCCCGGCCTCTTCCAAGCCGCCATCGTCTACTCGGGCGTGCCGGCGGGCTGCTTCGTGTCGGCCGCCGGCGCCGTCGACGCATGGAACAGCACCTGCTCTCAGGGCCAATCCATCACGACCCCCGAGCACTGGGCCTCCGTCGTCGAGGCCATGTACCCCGGTTACACGGGCTCCCGCCCGCGCATGCAGGTCTACCACGGCAGCACCGACTCCACCCTGCTGCCCCAGAACTACGACGAGACCATGAAGCAGTGGGCCGGCGTTTTTGGTTATGATTACGAGAATCCGCAGTCGACCCAGGCGAACACGCCGCTGGCGGGATACACGAAGACGGTTTGGGGCGAGAGCGTGCAGGGGATTTATGCGGAGGGCGTCGGGCATACGGTGCCGATTAGGGGCGCTGACGATATGGCGTTCTTTGGGTTTGCGGCTTGAGTGTGGTTTTGGGGTTGTAGGGGTGGGGCGGAGGGGGTTTAACGCGCGGGTAGTAGTGGGTGTGGCTTGATTCTGGTTCTGTGGATATATTTTTTGTGGGAGCTATGGTGCAGATATCGCCTAAACCTGTGCGGAGAATTTAACGAACATTGGTGACGTGCAAGCTGGTCCATAGTGGCAGTACTTAAACTCTCCACGCTGACCTACCTTGGAACTCATCCTACGTAGAAGGTATTCACACGGCTCAGTGTTTTTGTTTTCTATGCCCCCATAAATTCCTGTGGCTCTGGGAAATAGGTTTGAGCAGCTAGAAACCGAGATGTTCAACTATTGCCATACCTTGATTAAGATCTTGAAGCTTTCTTCTTGGAACAAAAGGTAAAAGTTAAAGGAATAAGCATTTGTTAGACTGCTGAAACATCAATCCTAACTGCATGCTTCTTTTTCTCAGGTCTTCTTCTTTCTTATAATAGCACTGCACCCGGAGAAACTTCTTGCATGAAGCGTTCAAGCTCTGGCCCACAATTTCCAACCCACCTGATGGCTGTTCAATAAATTTCGAACCTCTATCTAGTAACAATACCTTTACTTCCTTGACATGTCTATTTTGCAGACCTTTTGAAAATATTCGCGAACAGCGATGTTTTGGTACATGTCCCTTTGGCGCAGGGTTACTCCGGCAGGCCTTGCTGAGCAGGTCCCCCTATTACGTCAGAGTACCAAATGCGCAAACAAAAACTCAGACTGTATATAAGTCCCCATCCTAACTTCCTCAACCTCAACATCACCGTCTGCCTAAGAGCAGTGTTGCGTTACAATGCCACCCAGACGGCCGCGCGCATACGGCCCACCTGCAAGCTTTAACATGGATAGTAAGCTCTTCACACCTAATAAAACCATGAGTGTACGTTCGAGCATGCTGGCAAGTCAGTAATAGCTTTTAGATATGGAAATTTTTGGATCCTCGCAGACACCCAACCTCAAAGGGAGCGAGCCATCGATGAAGTCGCCTCCATTGAGAAAAGCGTGGCTGTTCACCTAGCGAGGAGGGCCTCTGCCCGCGAGTACGTTGAACAATCGCCTATCTCCATGGACAGGATCGATGCTTTGTAAGTTTATTTCATCCGCTATTCTCCCCGCTCTCTCACCACTTATTCTGAACATTAACATTCTGACCTAAATTCGTACCTTTAGGGTTCACAATAGGAACGCCCGCAAGGAGAACCTTAAGATTCCTTCCACCGCCCGTCTCGAGACACCCCTAACGCCTCTACACTCGTTGTATATCAATGAAAAGATCTCCGGCTTTCCTCCTACTGTTGGCGCATTTTTCCGCTTGTCCGAGCACGATCTGACCCGAATCATCATTTTATTAAGCCAACCGGTTCCGTGTGGCGATACGATGAAACTCAGAGACACTCTCGGGGACCTCATTGGTTTTCGACCCTCCTCGGCCAACGACCCGCCTGCTTTGGCGGACAACGATTCTCAACCCGTTTCTGATGATTATTGGGTAATATTGAAGTCCTAATACTTCGTGGATGATGGTTCCTCTCAGAAGGAGCATCCGAAAAAAAAAAAAAAAAAACTCAACAAGCGAGGAGGACGAACCTGCTGAACTTGGCGTTGAGGGGGGGGGGGGTTTGGCCATTTTGAATAAGCTTCAGGCGACGTCCGTGTCTGATTATTGTTAGTACACTTTTTTTTTTAAAAAAAAAAAAAAGAAAAACAGAGAGTACTATAATGGCTGCTGGTTATTGTTTTTAGGGATGCGTGAGTGCTCTTCACAAATGCTTTTTGTCCGCAGTCTCGATACGAAGGGTCACAAGGCGTGCATTTCGTTGATAGAGAAGCAAGATACCCCGAAGCGTCTGGAGCACATTTGGGAGAGAATAGATACGTACAGTACGCTCTTGCAGCAGATGTTCAGGGCGAATTTCTTTTTTCTTCACAAAAATAAACAGAGGACTGGGGTTGTGACCTTCCATGGCCCTTGGAAGGAGCATAATAGCCCACGTTTTTGACTTATCATATCACCACAGCGAGCCCAGTGTCCCTTGTAATGATTTTCGCGCTAGCATCCCGCTGAAATAGGTGGCTGCAAATCACGTAGAGTTACGGGCTCCGGTTTCAACAGGGGTGTGCTGCAGCCTTCTGTCAACGTCACACCCTCATGCCGGACAATTTATTGTTCAAAGAGGCAGATCTGTGTACCATGCGGGGCGTATAGTTCAACCAGATAAATCCATGTGCCGTGGGGATACATTGTTCAAAGAGACAAGCCCACTGCCGTCCCATCGATCAAAAAGTACCATCGCGCCACTCGGCAACGACTGCACCTCAGCCGCAAGGCTGCGCTGACGCACCGAATCCTCCTCCCCAGCAGCCTTGCCGTAAATTGCGCTCCATGCGCGGGTGGGGTAGACTCTGCACATAAATACTTGAGGGGATCCGAAGGGGGGTGAGAGAGAATCGGCACACACAGCCTCGCTCTTCAACTCACCTTACCACATCCACACCCACACCAAATCTTCTATCCACGATGGTCCTCGACGGCGGCATCATCACCATCCCCGCGGCGATCAGCCTCATCAACCTCCTCTTCCACGTCTTCAAACGCATCTCGAAATGGCTCAAGCGGCGGGCCAACACGCTCTGGAAAGAGGACCACCGCATCCTCAAGATCGTCAAGGACTACTGCTCACGCAACTCCAATCCAAGTACGCGACCCCCGCCACCCACCCTGCACACCGCTCATACATTTCCTTCGGAGGTGCGCTGACAATGTTTTCGTTCCGGTGCGGAAGACGCGAAGTTGCCCGATTACATACAAGTGCTGGTCAGGCGGCTGGAGGTCAGGAAGCTCCAGTGGATGGACGCGCCCGAGGCTGCGGCGGCGGTGCGCGAGGCCAAGGCTACTGAGAGATATCAGGATCCTGGGTATACGACGGACTTCGAGGACTCGGATGTGGGATCTGGGGCTGATGACGATAAGGAGACGGATGAAGAGGATGATGACAGCAACATTGATGAAGATGAGGAAGAGGATGACGATGATCATATCGATGATGACAGCGAGGATGACGATGAGGATGATGGAGACGACGACGACGACGAGGAGGACGAGGAGGACTCAGACAACTACGCCGGCAGCTACGATAGTGACGACAGTGACGCTAACTATGACAGCGATGACTCGTGAACTGCTGATTTCTATTGACTTGCGTACATACTCCATGTATCTAGTCATTTGGCATGGGATTTGGAGAAAGTGGAGCTGGATGCAATCTGCCGCGGTTGGTTTTCCATGCAGGTTCAGTTACATTCTCTTCTGTTTTCTTTTTTGCTCCTGTAGCTTCACATGCTTTAGTCCCGGCAACAAGTTCTTCTAAGTATGTGAGCCATGAAAGGTATATTCTCTTAGACACAAATGAAAGAGAAAGATGACATACTTTAGTAAGAGAACTGCGGAAGCCAAGACGGTTAGTAGATGCGGTGAGTGGTGGTAATAGGCGTAAGGCGTAACCTCTGCTCTATGACCTCGTCGTTCCGTCACAGACTTCCTCAACTTCAATCTTATCGGACCATCGCAACTCCACCATGGCGAACGAATACCTATGTTACGATGGCTTTACCCCAAGCGAACCACATTAGTAGGTTCGTGCTCCTCTGAAAGGAAAACAGTGCCATGAATGATCAACCCGCCATCCGAGCTCAGCAGCTCCTCCACGGGTCGACAGGCCCAATCAACCAGGCACGTTCAGCCAGAGCAACAAAGAGACGATTTTTCAAGCTCATCCTACACATTCAGCGACTACAAACGGCGCGTAGAGGCGGAGAACGGAGAGGTGACTACAGGGACGCGCTACACGACGATGACCTCGACACCTCACCTCTTTCGCCACCAGCGAGAAAATCGAAAGAATTCCGCGAGTGGCCGGACGCAGTATCCGGACCCTGCAATACATAAGCCGCGAAAGCAAGCGCTCCAATTACAGATGGTTAGTGTAGGGAGCATGCTACGGCACTATGCCTTGCCACCAGGACCTTAAAGGTGTAAAACCCGAAGTGTTTGTGATCTGTGGGTTGCCCGTTTAGGTGAACGTCCTTAAGCGGCTCACGGGTTCGATTCTAGCTTGGTGTCATGCTGAGCTGGGGTTTAGAGCCTGGGATACGTGGAATACGTGACGATCCTTCCGGTTGCTTTTTTGCTTTTTGTCTCTCCACGCTCTATTATTGCCTGTCCTCATGCGCCTGTATTGTCATCATCTCTAAGTGCTGTCTGTTTCTTATTGCCTTTCTGATAAAGTCCTCACTTCGGCCAGCTCACCCTGAAGTGCCTGAACGCCAGCGGCTGTGATATAGCGTAGAGGACGGACAGGAACACTCAGACAAATGAAGCGGAAAGACACATCGGAAGCCTCTATAGAGCACCAGTAGAAGATATCGGAGAAAGGAATGTAAAGACATGATCCTGACTTTTCTTTTTCTTATGCTTTGATGAACCAACCCCACGCGCCGTTCGTAAAAATACCTACAACATAACCAAAGGTGACATCTCACTTTTTCTCTACCACCGCATCGGCGGAGCAGCCCCCCTCTCCCTCCTCCAACGCTCCTTGCCAGCAACATCCGCTGCTTCCCGCGGCCCGACACAAACCTCCTCGCCCTCATCGTCGTCATCATCATCATCAAAGGAGGGCATGGAGGAGCACGTGCCACCCAAATGCACCCAACTACCAGCGTACTTCTCCAACTTCAACTTTTCCTTTCCCTTCTTCTTCTCCTTCTTGTCAATAGGCTGCTGCTGAGGCGGCGTTGGCTGCTGCTGCTCCTCCTCCTCCACCCCGATTCCCGCCAAATGTACATCCAACGTCCAACCGCGCTTCACGCTCTTCTTCACCTTGTCCTTCCACCGCATCGTCGTCTTCTCTTCTTCTTCTTCTTCCCCCTGCTCGACGACGACCACCACATGATCTTCTCCATGTTTCTTGCGCGTGCGTCTACGCTCCACCATGTCGCTGTACGCAATCCCACTCGAACTGTATTTCCTCTGGTTAACAAAATGTCAAGGGCTCTCACAATAGTACTTCGGACCAGGGGACACTTACAACTTTCCCATCATCATCACCCGTATACACCGTCTGCGCCATGGGCAAGATGCACGTCACAGCACCAGGGTAATTCCCACCATCCTCCCGCGCCGGATCGACGTGATTGAGGCGCTTGACGACCTCGAGGATCCACTCGCCGGTGCCGGGCTCGAGCGTCTTCTGCCAGACGTTGACGACGCCGCGGCGGTGGCCCGTGAGGATGAGCTCGCGCTCGAGCCACTCGTTGCCGACGCCCTCGTAGAAGGCGCACGAGTACACCACGTCGTCGGGGTCGATCGAGTCGCACACGTCCTGGTCCAGCAGCAGCCGCCCGTTGAGCGTGTACAGCAGCAGCCGCGACCCCGTGCACAGCATCACGTGCCCGTTGACGTTGTTGATGCGTGCGCAGCTGACGGGCGCTGCCGCCGCGCCGCCCGGCTTGCTGATGCGGCGGACGAATTCCAGCCGGTTGAGGTCCCACAAGAAGACTTCGCCGCTCGGGTCGGCCGAGAGGAAGGTGCTGAAGGCGCGCGAGGTTGCGAGCACCGTGACGGGCGCGCGGTGGCCGAAGAAGCAGACCTTCGGCACGAGGTCGACCGTCTTGGAGTGGATGACGACGTTCCACACGGCGACGGTGCAGTCCGTGCCTGCGGTGATGAGTGTCTTGCCGTCGACGAAGGTGGCGCACGATATCTGGCCTTGGTGCAGGTGCTCCCATAGGCCGATCAGCTTTTTGCTGTCGGTGGCGTAGAAGCGTACGCTGCCATCGGCGAAGCCCCATTCCATGTAACGGTCGTAGCTCGGGGGGATGTTGATCCGGAATGCTGCAGAGCAAAGGATACGCTCCTGCTTCGGGTGGTACGTCAAGCTTGCCACGGACTCGTGCGCGTCGAGAAGCGTGAATGGAAGGCGCGTTAGAGAGTCGGCCGCGCCATCGAGCCGCTTGGGCTTTTGCGGATCACCTCGCGGGGGATGAGGCTTCTGGAAGACTTGGTGAGGGGTTTGACCGAAGTTGTGGATGATACCAATGGTGGCAAGACGCTCCACAGGATCATCGATGTTGTCCAGATCCTTGGCACCATGGTAAGAGAGGTAGTGGAAGACGTTCGTAGCGTCGACCGCAGCATCGCCTTGCTGCTTGTATCCGAAGACCAGGTCGATCCACTTGTGGAGATTCTTTGTCACGTAAGGGCTCTCCAGAGCCTCTCTGTGCTTAGCGATGAAGATCTCAGGGTCTCCCTTTGCCCATGGCGGGAGAGCCACGTCGTTGATCTTCTCACCAGTCACCTGCTTCGTACCGAAGTTGTAGCCGTTCATGTTGCTGAGGAACTCTGGCAGGTAGAAGAACTCTGGGATAAGCTCACGGACATCCGTCATGTTGTCCCTCGACGCCGATTTCCACGCCTTCTCGATGGAATCAAACAAACGGTCTGCGTGATCGAAGCTACCACCTTGGAGGAGGAGATAGGACTGCACGAACGGTTGAAGACGGATGAGATAGGACGTAACGATCATTGCTGACGAGTAGTGCGTGCCATAATGGAACACGGGATTCGTCCCATCACTCATCTCGGCAAATGTCTGATAACGTTCCTTGAACTCGGCCTCTCTCTGCTTCGTCTGGGCTCCCATAGGCTTCGACAAATCTCGGAATGTCTTTGGATTAGTCAGGTCCAACTCCTCGCTAGTGTAGTCGGCCAGAATCCATGGGAACACAGGGTACTGGGTCAGATCGTTGAAGGTCCTTCCAGCCATGGTGTTCACGAGCATGAGATAGTGGAAGTTGGAGATTTCACCCTTCAACCACTTCTTCGTAGCAGGGTTCTGAGCCATTGGGTTCAGGGCGTTGACCCACTTCGAAGCCATGGAAGGCGGCGCCTCCTCCGGCGTGCGCAGGGACTCCAGTCGCCAAGCATCCTCAGACTGTAGCGCAGACGGGCTCGTTACTTGAGGAGCTCTGGAGAGAAGCCTGGCGTGGAGGTCGTCTCGGATCTTGGGTGCGATGGCCGTCAGAAGGTAACTCCGCCCGTCAGTGAAGAAAATCTCGATGGCAACGTCGCGGAACAAGAAGCGCCTCTTTGAGATACTGATCACCTCCGGCCACTTCCAGTTACGTGTAGATTGCTCGCCGTCAACCATCTGTGGCCTCCTCTCCGTTGCCTTCTTTCCGGAGATCATTTGGACGTAACTGTCACGCTCCTCGGGCGGTGCCTGCCACACGCGAATGATTTCTCCGTCAGACCGCTGGAAGAAGTTGTCCAATAGGTACAGCGAGTCTTTGCCGAGGATAAGCAATCCCTCGCATGCTTCCAAACCAACGATACGGGACACGTTGAATACGTGTTGAACCTGATCTCCTGATTGAAGCGTGCGCATGACTTTGCGGTTCTTGTCCTCGAAGCCATCTTCGCCCTCGTTCGGATCTGCAACAAACTCAAAATCGTCGTCGGCATTGGACTGGACGGAGGATTGGCTGACCGACCGATCCCTACCGTTTTGGCCACTGGGGTGGGCGCTGTTTGGTGTGGCATTGGCAGCATCGGGAGTTGCGATCTGCGGAATGTTGGTCACAAGGCTGAGTTTTGTCTTGTGAACACCTTCGGAATCCCGCCTCTTTGGTTGATATTCATCATTTCGAGCCGTGGTCTTATCCGGGAGGATTCGGAGTCTCATTCTATTCCGGCCTTCTGTTTCATCAAGCTGCCACTTTGAAACCTCTTCGGACTCGAGCAAGGCACACGGTTCGCGCAGCGAACGATCGAGTTTTCCTAATGCAGATGCCAGGAAGGCGAGATTGTCCTGTTGATCTTGCTGTGCTCTTTGATGCTTCAATCGCTCGGCAGCGAAGATGTTGGCACGCCAGTGTGTTGTCGAGACTTCATGGCGATGCCAAGTGTTGTCTGCTGCTTCTTCTTCGGCCTGCCACTGCTTTAAGCGCTCACGCCGCTTGCTGACCCTAGTCTTTGCACTCTCTTCCGTCTTGCGGTTCTCTTCCGTGACAAATTCTTCCCAAGACTTTGACATTGCGCCAAAGAACAAGTTATCCAATTCGCTGCGACGTTCGTCGACCCAGGCTAGAAAAGCGTCATTGTCGAGCTCTGTCAACTTCATGAACTCGGTGAAGAGTTTGCGATCGTTACTCGAAGTTGTCTGATTCAGCATTTGTGACGTTTCGTCAGGCTTTTGCACGAGCATAAGCCTCCAGAAATCCGCAGCTGCTGCCCTGACGCGAGGGTCTCCGGAGACAAACTTCGTGTAAAGCAGGTAGCACAGCAGCCTGAGGTAGTTCCCTTCCAGGTTATCCGGGTGCAAGATGATTGTTTGCCAATAAGTCATCTTGTGCAGGAATGCAATGGCTTCGGTCTCGTTGTCGGGTTCATCCAGCTCGGAGAGGCGGAGCAAGGCGACACGGAAGAAGACGGTACGAACGGTCGAGATTGCTTGCGTGCAGAGACGTACTGCCTTTATCTGGGCCACGTCCGGGCGGTGCAAGTAGTCCAGTACTGTCCCAATAAAATCGAGCAACGCTTCGGCCCCATTCAAGAACCAGCCCTCAAAGACGGCTTCGGCCATGTGGAGTGTATAACGAGCAAGATTTGTAAGGACTCTTGGCTCAGAGAGTAGATCTTGGCGAAGCTGCAGCTCATTGGTGATCATCTGCATGGTGTGAAGGAGCACGTAGGATTCGAAGTATGCCTGATGTTCCTGAAAGCCAGGTGGGACCTTTAGGAAGAGTCCGAATCCAGTAAAGTCCTTTTTATGCAGTAGCTGGTCCAGGAAAACGCCAATGACAAGCTCAAGCAGGGATTGCACGACAGCATTGCCAACCTTCAGGTCTATAGAACTCGACCTTGACCTCTTTGGCGAGAGAACGGTATGGAGCCGTGCTGAAGTAGCGGGATATTTCGCTTTGTCGGAACTAATCAAAATGAAGGAATTTCCTCGTCTGAGCGGTGTAGCCTTCGAAGCAGAGGGGCTGCGGGGTGCCTCAATCGGAGTAGTGCGGACGATTGAAGGTTGAGAATCGCCCGGCCCTGTTTGAGGGTTTATAAGTACATCCTGGCCTTCAAACGTCAGGGCAGACCCGCGGGAGTGCAGCTCTGTTTCAGCGGATACGCTGTCGGAGGTGACGATGACTGGGTAGAGGACAAAAAGAAGATCCTGAATGTAGTTCGAAGCAATGGCGTATTCGCGGAAGTGTGGGGACTTCATGTGAACATCTGCTAAGAACTGAATGATCGTATGCAGAATTGCTGCATAGTCTACAAGCTTCTGCCTCGAAGATGGCTGTGGTGTTTCAGCTGTGCGATGTCAGTGGGAATATTCAGTATACGAGAGAAACTCTACTCACCTCTTGATGAAAGCTCGCTTTCCAATGACATGGAGCGCTTTCTGCCGGGGCCTTTGGGGAGTTCTACAGACGGCGTGCTCGGGTTGCCGCCGTTCTCGCCCTGACTTGTGGCCGGTCTGTCGAGCGCTTCCTGTTGTTTCACAACGACTCGGATACCCGTCTCGAGCATTGCCGTCATTGCCGGGAAAATGTCCGGATAAGCTATGTTGATCTGACCATTCGCCGACGAGAACGCATCCATCAGGTTAAAGAGGTCGAAATCTCTTTCGAAAGTGATCCTCCCAACATCTGCACCGAAGAGAATGGCAAAGCAAATAGTCCAGATTGGTGGTGTGTTCCACCAAGCCTTGAGGCGGTGCTTCAGGTTGGTGAATCCTCCGTCCTTTGTGAATTTCTTCACAAAGTGCGGGCCTTGAATTACCAGGAGCCGGGCAAGTATTTGCATGGTTGGAACGATTACCCGAGCATCATTCTCGGCAAGAAGATAAACCAGCCACTGACCCAAATCAGCCATCTCGTCCGATAAATCGGAGCAAATGCCTACCTTGTTGGTCACAGTCTTTGCAAAGCGCCGGATCTCCGTGGCACTTGCATCATCACAGAGAAACGCGGCGTATGCTTCCAGGATCTTGACGCCCAACTCCTTCTTTGGCATCACCTCCGATTCGGTCTGAAGGCTTGGTGTCATGGGCCGTGTGGAAGGGCTGGAGTTGGATAATAGTGGCTGCGTCGGTGCCCGCTTCATCTGCCTTGCATTACTGCCGGAGCGGAGCGGACGATTAACCAGTGTTCTGTTTTCCTGCAGAGCAAATGTGATGAAGAGTGCAAGTGACCTGAGGATATCCGAGGAGACGCTGCATTTCAAGAGAGCCTTGAATGCATTGAGGAAATGGGGGAAAACTTCGCCAGTAAAGTTTTCTCCCTTGAGCGCGTCAAGAAGCCTCTTTATGATGCCTGTGTATATGTTAGAACTGCCAAAATTATGCACATTTCCGGGTGATGGACTTACGCATGCGAGTAAGACGCTTCGCATTAAAGACATGATATTTACTGTCCTTTGCAAAGCATTCAAACTGCCTGTAGTACAGCTTTTGTGTATCGGCGGAGCATTTCCGCCAGATGTCAAAATCGATCAAAAGAGCTCTGTAAGCTAGAGGATTGATGATCTTGGACTCCTGAGGCTTATGTTCCTCAAATCCAACAAATCTAAGAATGAGCTGCAATAATTCGTAAGACAATGATTCGTGGTCTGGGTCATCAATCTGCCCTGTCGTCGCTCGGCCAAAGACCGATCCGAGACCGAGCTTATCCCGGAGCAGAGCAGCCAAAACGGCAAAGCCGTGTTCCCTCTCCATGGCCTCGCTATTTCTCCAGTTGTCGTGAACGGATTCGAACATAATCTGGACGGCAGTCATCAAAGCATTCCGTGTCGTAGCCAACTCGACCAGCTTCAGTCCAATGGCCGTTGTGCCTCCAACCCTCCAGCTTGCATCGTCCAGTGACTGAGGTACGACAACGACAGGTTCGCCGGCAAGAATAGCGACGCCATTCACCTGGCAAAGAGCATCGTTGATCGAGGGCACCGCAGCGTTGATGGCAATGCGATGACCCGCGCTTCGCGTGTAGTAGCGAAGGTTCTTTGCTGCTGCCTTTGACAACGATTTGACCAGCTGGGTTTCATCGATATGGTTCCTATCGTCGTCGTCCATAACGGCCGTTGGAGAGATACTGAGAAGGATCCGGCTTTCGGGGAGGATCGCGCCAGCCTTGTGACGCATAGCGGAAAGAATTTCGGAGCGTTCTTCCTTAGCTGGATGGAGTAGCTCATTGTAAAGGTTTAGATCCGCCGATGCATGATATGTGAGAAAAGACCCGAGGCAGTCCTGGAAGTTGCCATGGTATCTTGGCCCAAGCTTGTGGTATACAGCAACCAATTCGTCAGATAAAGCCTCTTGGAATAAGTGGAAGGACGCAATAGAAAGCTTCGTTGAGACGACATTTCTACCCAAGCGTGGAGAAATGGTATGCGGAGTGCCGAGAAAAGCTTCTATCGGCGAGTATGTGCGTTGGTTTGAACCAAATGCAGTGAAGCTCTCGGTACTGCTGCTATAGCTCGGTGGGTTAGAAGGAAAGTTGCATTTCACTTGTTCAGCGAATTCCCCATTGATGAATAAGTTCGCACGACTCAAACCAGCCACTTTTGGTCTGCGATGTACTATGGCAATGTGATACCAGACACCTTCTTCAAAGACGGCGGACTTGAACCTGACGCTGGGTCTGGAAGAGGTCGTTGATGTTTGCAGGATCAGATAATGAGATCCCTTTTCCAAATACACCAGAACGAAACAGGTCTGCGTTGAATCGTAGGCCCCGAAGATTGTGGTATGGAAGTTGTCGTCGTACTTGTCTACTCGAAGCCAAGCAGTAATCGTGTACCCTCCGTTTGAAGAGGTCGGAGGAAATGTTCTACCGAGGTCCCGAAGCTCGATCGAGGTGTATCCATGCAACGACATGTCCAGCTGGATGAAAGGAGCTTGCCTTGACGACTGAATGGCCGACAAAAGGAATTTGGCAGCTTCCTCTGACTTGGCGGCGAGTTTGTATAGATACCTGGCATCATCCAAGTCATTGATACCGTACGAAATGAGATCTTCAGTCAGCCTGGAAAGAAGGAAGTGCTCCGACGAGTCCTTCTCTGCCTCGAACATCAACGGCAACAGTGTTTTCAGTACGCCGGTTCCATGGGCTGCCAGCTTGTTATGCGCAGACATGGCAATGATTCTCTCCAAGACCAGAAGAACCGAAGTAGACAATCGCGGCGATCTTGACCCGACTGTCTTCTCCTGAAAGAGCATCAACCACGTATTGATGATCACTGGTAGTATCTCTGGATTTTGAAGGACTTCATTCCCACTGAAGAAGCCAGCCAGATGCTTTTCAAGCATGCCAATTGTAGGATCCCGGGAGTGTTCAGCCGACTTGTCAGCATTTCCAGCCCCCACAACGACCGCTTCAGTGGCATCTGGCTGGTGGTCTCCATTCGTGGCATCAGGCTGGAGGCTTCTAATGTCACGGAAGATCCGTGCCATGTTCTCCTCAGCCAGTGCAAATGCCACGAGACAGCCAAAGAGCTGCTCCTGCCCTGCATCGTCAAACGAACCAGTATCCTGAAAGCCGCCGCCAACGCCAGTGCTAATGAGGGCTTGTTCCAACGCTCTCCAACCACCATCCTCCACTTTCTTCCGGAAGAACCTGCGGTTGCCGGGGTGGTCGTTCAAGGCTTCGGAGAGCACGGCCAGCACGGCCTTGAGGAGCTCGAAGAACTCGGTGTGGTCATCTTTGGAAAGGGTCGAGGGGTTGTAGAAGCCGGAGACGGATCGGAGCGTGTCAATCAAGGCGGTGAGGCCCTTGGCCTGGCGAAAGGCGTCTTTGAGCTGGCGGGAGTCGGGCGAGTCTATCAATAGCTGGCGTATTCGTCGTAGGCAATCGCATTGAGTCTGGATGGTGTCGGCGGTGGACGAGGTGGAGCTCTGCGGGAGTGCGGCGATAAGGTTATCAACGAGGGTAAAGAGCTCCTTCAGGGTCGGGCTGTTCGTGCGGGAGGCGGCCGCAGACGAGCGGCGAGTGTGGTCGTCCATGATGGTACCTCCGGCTCAGCGCGGTCTAGGGTCCGAAGCAAAGACGGGAGTGGTACTCGGCTGGCATCTCACCCCGGCAGAGCGATCGCCGTCGGATGTGTCGAGTCGGGGAAAATGTCGCAGAGCTCGCTCGTCATCTGAAGGCGCAGACAGGCATGCGAGGCAGCTTGAGGCTGCGCGGGTTCGGTGGCGGGGGAGCGAGTAGCGATGTTGCGGGTGATACAGCACCGGAGTGGGCGAGGCGGGGCGAAGCGGCGTTGGTGGACTCGGCGGCCTGAGTAGCTGCGGCTCGGGCGGAGGCAAAGCAGCAGCAGAACACCCTCAGTAGTCGCCGTCAGCCCGCCGGTACGCGGTGGGGGTCAGGTGTGGGTTTCACGCGGGTGTCCTCAAAATCGAAGGTAGCTGGGGAGCTCCGCGCGGCATTGCCCAGCACAGCAAGCACAGCCTGAGACAGCTCGACCAGCACCGAGCCACACCCTAGCGAGCCATGACGCTACATCTCCGCCTCAGGGACACTCGGCGCGTAGCAGCCCCCGGCGCGAGGCCACGGGCGCACGGCAGCCGCGGACGCGTTAATCCGCTCACGCAGCGCCGTCTCTACAGTACGCGGTGCGGGCTCGTAGCGCACGCCAGTGCAAGCTCGCAGCTAACGCGGTTGGGAGGTCCCTGTCGCCGTCTCGAACTGCGCGCATTGCTCGCCGCACCAGCAGTGTACCTGGATTGGAGCCTTGACTCCGGCCGGATGCGCGTGACTGGTGCAGCGCGCTATGGTCCGCATTTGGCTTAGACTCTGGGGACGGAGGCTGGCAGCAGCTCCTCTTCGTCATCCGCCTCACCCATTGATAAGAGCTCCAGCTCCAGCTCCCTCGGCTTCCACTTCCCATCCACCTCTCCCCATCCCTTCACTCCCTCCCGCTTCGCATCACATCGTCTTGTCTACTTTCGCTCTCTTTCCTTGACGAGATCCGGGCGACCTCAGCAATCATGAAGGCTGCTATCGGCTTATCGCTGCTGCCCGTGCTGGCGACAGCTTCCCCGGTCTTGAACACCGGCTCTATCCACAACGACGCTGCTCCCGTCATCTCCTCGGTCAACTCCAAGGAGGTCCCCAACTCGTACATCATCAAGTTCAAGAGCCACGTCAAGCACGACGATGCGACCGCTCATCACACCTGGGTCCAGGAGATCCACAGCTCGAGCGAGACCGAGCGGACCGAGCTGCGCAAGCGCTCGCAGTTCCCCATCGTCGACGAGGTGTTCGAGGGCCTCAAGCACACCTACAACGTCGCCGGCGGCTTCCTCGGCTACTCCGGCCACTTCGATGAGGATGTCATCGAGCAGATTCGGAGACACCCCGATGTAAGTCATCTGTAACATGCGCCCGCCCCGTCCGGTCTCGGACGCTCCCCATCGCACCACCATCCTCCCGTCTTCCCCACGCCCCTGGCATCTGCAAGCTACACGGTAGCTATGCTGTCGCACTTCCCCTTTGACACACGTGACTTGCTTTGTTACGTCTCATCACGCCATACTGACGAGCTTGGTGCCTAGGTCGAGTACGTCGAGAAGGACTCCGAGGTCCACACCATGAAGGATGACGACTACGAGGTCGAGAAGAACGCCCCCTGGGGTCTCGCCCGTATCTCTCACCGTGAGAGCCTGAGCTTCGGCACCTTCAGCAAATACTTGTACACTGCCGATGGTGGAGAGGGTGTCGATGTCTACGTTATCGACACCGGCACCAACACCGAGCACGTCGACTTCGAGGGTCGCGCTCACTGGGGCAAGACCATCCCTCAGGGCGATGCCGATGAGGATGGAAACGGCCACGGCACCCACTGCTCTGGCACCGTCGCCGGCAAGAAGTACGGTGTTGCCAAGAAGGCCAACGTCTACGCCGTCAAGGTCCTCCGCTCCAACGGCTCCGGCACCATGTCCGACGTCGTCAAGGGTGTTGAGTACGCTGCTGAGCAGCACGCTTCCAAGGTTGAAGCTGCCAAGTCCGGCAAGGGCAAGAAGGGCTTCAAGGGCTCCGCTGCCAACATGAGTCTTGGCGGTGGCAAGTCCACCACTCTCGACCTCGCTGTCAACGCTGCTGTCGATGCTGGTATCCACTTCGCTGTTGCTGCCGGTAACGACAACGCCGACTCCTGCAGGTACTCGCCTGCTGGTGCCGAGAAGGCCGTCACTGTCGGAGCCTCGACTCTCGCTGACGAGCGTGCCTACTTCTCCAACTACGGCAAGTGCAACGACATCTTCGCCCCCGGCCTCAACATTCTGTCCACCTGGATTGGCAGCAAGTACGCCACCAACAAGATCTCGGGTACCTCGATGGCCTCTCCCCACATTGCTGGCCTTCTTGCCTACTTCCTGTCGCTTCAGCCTGCCTCTGACTCTGCCTACTCCGTTGCGGAGATCACCCCCGCCAAGCTCAAGAAGCAGCTCATCGCTGTCGCTACTGAGGATGCTCTGAGCGATGTTCCCAGCGATACCACCAACGTAAGTTCCGATCATCCGCTATCATTTGAAATGCGTCTTGCTAATCAATTATGCAGCTCCTTGCCTGGAACGGCGGTGGCAAGTCCAACTACAGCGAGATCGTCGCCGACGGTGGCTACAAGCTTACCTCCAAGGTCATTGACATCTCCCTGCCCTCGATGGAGGATGTTGAGGAGGAGGTCGAGAGCGTCAGCCGCAAGTTCTCCGCTGGCTCCGAGAAGCTCGAGTCCAAGATCGAGAAGCTTGCTGAGAAGTTCGAGGACTTCGTCGCCGACGAGATGGAGGACTTCCTTGAGGAGTTCAAGCGCCACCGCGCTGCTAAGCACGAGTCCATGTAAATGGTGGACGTGCATTTCACTTGAGGATATCACATTATGAATTGGGCGGTGCCAGTGTGGCTCCCCAATAGACATATTTGGGAACAGGTTACGGAGCAGACATGTTTTTCATCTTGGGAGAGGTTACGGTAATTCGTTTATGGGTCATGGCATTCATAGGCATAGATTGGGAAGCCCGGTCGCATATGCTTCGTAGGTTCGCAATGTAAGCTTGAAATTCGCACACACGATGGTTCCCAACATTTGGTATCACTCGGAGGCGCGTCAAGGTGGCGAAGTCCGAAGTGTGGTTCTTGGCCAGATAAGCGCTGCCCCAACACCAATCAGCAACAGCAATGCAGGCAAACTGTCGTGTGTCCTTTTGGAGGTGCATCCACGGGGAAAGCTGTCATGGGGCAACCCTGAAAGCTTGGGCCCGTATCTCCATGCAGATCACCGGTGTCCTCCAATCGGCAAAGAGCTGTCTGCCGCGTCCGCAGATCTTACCCAACAGAAGCCGCCGCCAGAACAGGTCATCTGGAACAGCGACTGTGCAAGGGACAGTCACGCAAAGCTCTCCGCTTACCAAATAGCCTTCGAAACTAGACCCCACTTCTTGGTAGGTTTGGTGTGGACGCTGTGCTGTGGTAAGCGCTGACATGAACACGCAATCGAGCGGGCATGAGTGGAGTGGTTCTGCCCTTTGTTGGACCATCCTGAGACACTGCAAAAGCCTCACTGACAAGATCAAAGCACGACACTGAAAATCCCTTCGCAGTAGTTTTAGGTACATAAGTTCCCATTACACCAAGGCAATGTACCCTTTAGAGACTACTTCGAAAGTACCTGCCAATTTTCCTCTGCAGCAGTATTCAAGGCCGGGGTCTACCTTGCAACAACACCACATTTTTTCCTCGGATTTGCAATACGGTGACTCATTTTTTTCAACAAAACACTTAGTGGGAGTTTTAAAATCATTCGTGTCGTGCTAGTGTTGCTGCACCTTTCTTGTGGTCAGCTAAAATGTGAGTTTTAAACCTATACGCTATAACGTCAAAGGTGAGGCTCATCGCAGCATTCCTCGCGCTTTCCATTCTCTCTTTCCGATATTGGGCGAAATCTGATCAACCAAGATCCAGCTTCCCGGCCACCTGGTTTGGCGAGCGCTTGCCGAAGCAATGGCGGGCTGTCCCTGCCGAAACGGCAGGCCCAGCCTGCCGATTGGCTCCCTCCCTAGATCCAGATGAACCCTCAATAGTTCCTCTCTTCTCCACATGATACCGTTGTTTGTTCGCCGAAGCCGAACCCGCATACTTCTTCTCGATTCGGCATCTTGGATATCGTTGGCATCCTCGATACGACCGCGCTTGCGGTCGACCGCTCCCTCTACATCTGTCCATGCTATCGCGTGCCTCCAGTGACGCCGGCACACGGCTGCGACACGCCAAGTCAACGTCTTCGGTCCATTCAAGAGGCAGAAGTGCCGCAGCTGGGCCCTCCGACCCCTTCATCGTCCGAGAGCATGCCACCACCGCTGCTGTGCAGGCATTCGAACGAGCAAATGCATTGGACCGCGGCAAATGCCGGCCTGAACAAAGCTTGGAATTAGCAAGACGCAGAAGTAACGCGAGTAGGGCGTCGCAGGGCTCACACTTCCCGCCGCGCGGCTCAAGCCTTCGACAGGCTGGAGAAGACAGCGCAGCCAGGCGCCGGCAGTCAACACAGCCTCAACGAATCAGTCTCGACAGGGAACAGAATAACAGGCCTAACGCTACAGCGGCACTGGCTGCCACTCCTCAGCACACCATAACCGAGAGTATACCTACATCTATCGCCTCTGCCCCTCCAATTTCCAGAGAGATGCTTCCGGCTGCATCTCCGGCCATCGCCCCTGCTACACCGGTACAGAAGCACGTCCGCAAGTCTCGCTCCATGTACACTTCATGGAGCCTTGGAATTGGAAGCTCTCGCGATATACACCCAGGTACATCCATGAACAGCAGGCGTTCCAGCAGCCAGAAGGCCAGAGAAAGCAGAGTGCCAGTGACATCAATTAGTGAAGACGATACAATTCCCCAGACTTTTTCAACAGCACCAGCCTCTGGGGAGATCGCGGCGGCTCGCGATAAAGTGCTGCAAGATTTTCAGAAGAACAGGTTAATAACGCGGCCATCCTTCGTCTTCACTCCTTTCAAGAAGCGCCAGGACAGACAGCCACAGCACCAATCTAGTGCTACTTCCGAGGGAAGTCCCCCGCATGAGACACCACCTCTGAGCATTTCGGGACCTGCTATCGCATCTTCAAAGCCCGAGGAGAAACGATCTTTCTCCGGGTCTCTGAAGACAAAACTCAAAAAAGTATTTCGCAAGACGTCAAAGCCTACAATCTCCTTACCAGTTCAACAGGTCGATGCGTCTCGTGTATACTTCAGCAATTCAATCCAGGCCACACCAAGGGAAGTCTCGCCTGGCACTGCTACAGCTGCGCCGATGGACTACTTCACTACAACAGAGCCCCCCAGGCAGGTATCGCGTCAGCGAACATTGTCAGACGTCTCGCACCACTCTCGAGAATCCGGCGATGATCACGATGCAACAGACATTAGCAAATCTCGTGTCACTAGCTGGACAAACTCGTCGGCAACGACCAGCATAAACGGCCGTGATCCGAAAAGGCTTTCAATTATCCCAGAAACGGAGCCTGCATGTGAGAGAAAGCGCAGCGCCGCCTCATTACTGGGTAGAAGCACATTCAGAAAGCCTGCGAATACATCACCTGTTGCCAAAGGTCCCGACGCTTTTGATGTATTCTCGGCGTTGAAAAGCAGACTTGAAAAGGCCGGGTTGGACAGCAATCTTGATCCAAATCTTTTGACATCAGGAAATCAATCACTGCATGAAAAGACGGAGCGAGCTACGCTTCCTTCCCAGATCCGCAACACGTCGGGCGCATCATCCAGAGTCAGCCGTGCTACTAAGGCAACCATTCGCTCAGTCACACCGGACGCTTTTGGAAAGTCTCGTTCAAAGGAGCGGAGGGGTGGTGGCCACCAACAATTCGACGACCAGGACGATTCAGGTCGCGGTTCACCCGAAGATGATGATTCCGGACTTGTTCTCCCTCGCATCCGCCTCCAGCGCGCTGCGAAGGCAACGATACCCACACCTGAACAGATCGCGAGACGCAAATGCAAGTCAGAGAGCCGTTGGCAGTCTCAGCTCAACCAGGGTCATTCCCCGGTCTTTTCCAGAAACTTGAAGAGGGCAATGGCAGGTGTGAATCCTTATGAACTCACTCGACTCGACTCCTCGCCAAGCCCATCGAAGAGCATTGAAGCTCCTCCACGTACCTCTAGTCGCAAACCGCAGCAACCGGTCGATATGCTTAATCCGAGCTGGCCTTCAAGAGCCGACATCATGTCGCCCAGTGTCTATTCACGAGACTCTACCGGAGAGTCCCCTGTCAGAAAGGAGAGTGATGGATCGAACTGCCCACCTGGTACCGTAGTTATCGTTTCGAGCCACTCTGCAAAAAGCTACACGTTGGGATCTTCACCAAAGAAAGATGCCACTGTTGGAACCGTTCGTTCAAGCAAGGATTGGAAGAAATGGCTGTCTAAGGAAGTCTCGGAACTTGACCTGAGTCAGGACTTTGACATGAGCATGACGGAAGAATGGTTACTGAAGCCCGTTGGGCACCAAAGAGAACATGCAGAAATTGTTGGCGTGGGAGACGGCGATGACGAGGTCGTTATCTTTAAATCACGGCCAGCTTCGCACAACTATCCGAATACCCGCCCTGAAAGGCTCACTTTGATCGAGCCTAAAGAAAGAATAGCAGGACCATCTGATCGACCAAAAGCGGGCGATATGAAGTCTGGAAACCATGCCACCGGCGCAAGCACTGAGACACCGCCCAGTGAAGCTGAGGATCAAGTCGGTCTTCGCGGTATTAAGAGTAGCACCCACAAGAGCGAAGTCCTCGCAGAGAAGGACAGTGGAACTGCACAGATCGAGTCGAAGAACAGCAACAGCCCCAGCACGTCAGGATCCGGCTCTAGCACCGATCGTGAATCAGAGTCAGCATCATCTTCAGAGCCCGAGGAGAAGATACCAGTCAGCAGCCTCGCAGACCAGACCATCCGCACCTCCCAATCTTGCCAATCCGTCCGCCGTTCCGCAGGCCGCAGTCACTCCAGTCTCGCTCACTACACCACGTCCGCCGAAGATCCCGTCGTCATGCAGCAGCATCAGCAGCAAAGGCCAGCGGTCGTCCCTACTTACTCTTCTTCCGTCGAACCCGCCACTGCCCCTGCTGCTGCCAATCCGCCCTTCCGCTACCGCCCTGCCGGCACTATCACGCCCTTCTCCCGGCCCCGTTCCGCCTTCGACCTCCGCCAGCAGCGCAGCGGCGATCAGCTCCGCTCCACCATACAACGCAGCAGCCCGGTAGCAGCAGCACACAGCCCTACTGCCATCCCCATCGCCGCCGGCTCCACCCTCCTCCTGCCCCCTCCCCCTCACCCGCACCACCACCACCACCACCCCCACCACCTCCGCCGGAAGCCCGTGGCAGTCGGCGGCTCGCACCGCGGCCGCGGCCGCCTGACGCCGAGCCCAACGCCCAACCCCAGCATGGAGGGCGACACGGTGCAGACGATCATGCAGGGACCATACAGCAAGAGCAGCAACAGTGAAGCGGCAGCGGCAGCGGCGCCATCCCCCTCCACGCCCCCATGGATCCCGCCTCCGCCACCATCGCTCGGCCGCGCATCGCTTTCGCGGCACAACCACCACCACAATCCCGGCAGCCCGTCTCCGCTCTCACTGTCAGCAACAACTAGTCCTTATCATACTCACCATCATACCCATCACAACCACTATCAACAACAGCAACACCATCAGCAACTCTTGACGACCCGCCAGAGCACGCCGGCGCTGCGCGTCACGCCCAAGCCTAGCTCGATGCGCTTGTATCAGCAGAGCTACGTCGGGTTCAAGGAGAATGCGTCGCCTACCGCCTCCATGACGACGACGCCCGTGGTGACGGCAGCAGCGAAGGAGTTTTTCTTCGGGGCGGAGAATGGAGGTGGTGGCGCTGCTGGTACTGGTGCTGCGGAGAGCGATCGCGGGACGCCGAGTCCTGGACAGTTGCTTGCTGAGAAGTGGTTGTCGACGAGGCAGCAGCAGCAGCAGCAGAAGCAGAAGAAGTCCGGTGCTGCTGCGGTGACGCCGCCGGAGGAGAAAGGCGGGGGGAGTGGTAATAATGTGAAGGGGGAGAGCGGGAGTATGGCGTTCTTGTGAGTGTTGTGGGGCAGTGGTGAGTTTCTGGCGCAGGGAGGGGGTGTGGATGGATGGTTCGTTGATTGGTTGCTTTGGATGATGGGCACGTTGCCTGATGCGGCTCAGTTCTTCCCCCTTGGCTTGTGTTGCGTTGATGTTCGTCGTTCTTCTTTTTTGCTTGGGGGGCCTGGTTGGAGGTCCCGTTTTCAAGTATGCTCACTTCAGAGCTTCGCTTCTCTTCTTCTTGTATATTTTATCTTATCAGTCCCTTTTTTCATCTTTCGGAGGCTTTCCCTCGTTCTCCGATATTCACTGTTTGGCATGCAGCATACTACCTCTCTCAACAAACTTCATACGGAAGCGCAAGTAGCATGAAGTTCACGGAGTTGATATAATTCCAATCTCTCTCTTAGGAAAAACATCCTTTATCAAATTGTTTCTTCATTTTACGTGGTACCTCAGGTGTGAGAAAGGAGAGCCAGATCTGAGTGTAAAATATCAATGGGCGGTAATGCGTGCGAGAGCCGTGGGTCTAGCGCGGTGGTGGTGGCAGACGATTTGAGCTCTCTGTGCCAGGCTGCGAGGAATGCCGAACCACTGTTCGTTCTTGCAGTGAGTCCTATCATCAATCATTCGCCATCGTCGCTAGCCATTTCACCAGAGGGACTGCCGTTCTTTCCATTACCTAGGGAACCTCTGCCTTTGCCGAGGCTCTGGTTCGCCTGAATGGGTCTGTGGTGTCTCCAGCAGCATTGTTGTGCCATACGCCCAGCATGCCTTCGACATCTTGATCGAACGAAGCGTCATAGCGATCTTTGTCGGGTGGGAGCTAGGCCGTCGAGCCTTCTGCCGGCGCCTGCATTCCTGACTTCCGCCTCCGATAGAAATATCCGGACACAGAGGTGAGTGTTCACTGGAGTATACAAATCCATCTGGCGATTGGATTCAATTAACCCACGCAAGCAAGATGCTTTCCAATGGAAGAAAATCTTGGGGGAGGGAAAGCCCGATGGTTCCGTCATCGGGCTGTGCCAGCATCGCAGCCAGTCTTGATAAGGCTACCGGATAGACTGGAGCACAACGACCAGGACTAAACCAAAGAAGCCCTTAGCAACAGACGACGAGCACGATTGTCGTTATTTAACGATACGCCCGTAATCACCTCTGTCGTCATGGCTCTTCGGCGAAAATGAGGAGCGGCGGCGAAGGCCCAAATGACCGCCGTCATCGCGCCGCTAGCTGGAACACAGGTTATCTCTTGTCAGCCTTATCCCCGAGTGCATGATCCCTGGCACACACACAACGTCAAAGCAGCAAGAGGGCAAGGTTGCCCGGCAGATGATGATGAGTCGAAATGAAGTGGGTCAACAAGTGAGGCGGCGACGGAGCTCGGCCTTTGTGTGCTCACACTTTTAACCATTCATCTCCGGTTCATGTTGGAATTGGTCGTCATGGTCAAGAAGCAGCAGATACGGTGAACGCTGCGGATACAGTTCGCTATGGAGATCTGTCCGCGTCGTGAAAAAAAAAAAAAAAAAGCAAGCAGCACTAGCCACGTCTGCATCGCCATGACTTTGCATACAGATGAGACGGCGGCGGCGGCGGGAAAGTCGTTGTAACGTGGTGGACGTTGGGATGAATTTAAGATGTCCAACGAACGATAGCCTCGGCCCTTCCTCCGTGGCCAATCGTTTCGGCAGACAAGGATCGATCTCGTTCGGTCGGCCAACGGTTTTCAATCAAGTTTCCAATGCAGCAGGGATGGGGTGTTGGCAGAGAGGAAGAAGGAGGAGGAGGAGGAGGAGTGTGAGACGCATGTGTGTCCCTGCACACCATCTTCTCTTTCCCTTTCTTACGGCATTCCGGACCTTGCTTGCTTTAGCCGTCCGCCGCTGCTTGCTGTAACGAGGCTGGAGGAGCGGAAGCAGGCCAAAAGTCCGATCATATTCCCCACCGGCGCGGCCCTTGATCCAACAAATCGGGAAGAGGGGGAAAAGCCGTCCTCTGCATCCGGCCGACTCCACTCAATCATCCTAATCCTGCCATCGGCATCTGCCTGGAGGGGGGTTGGGGGGCAAAAAAGAAGGGAGATCTTTGCGCCGCGGAATCGGCACCGTCAATGACTGGCTGCATGACAACCCCGACCGGGACTGTGTGCAAGCCACCACATATGCATCACGCCCCCTACTCTGTCCTGCAGGAGCAGCGCGGGTTGGCCGGCAGGCAGCAGAACAGAGCGAGTCGAGCCGACGCGGAAAGGCTGCAGAAATTCAAGCGGCGGCGGCGGCGGTGGTGGCCGCACGGCGCGGCGCGGCACGACACACGACTTGTGTATGGCAAGCAGTATTTGACACAGCAAGGCCCGTAACCGAGTAAGTAAGCGAACGTTAGCGCAAAGCATTTGCCTCTTCCTTTTTTAAGGCCTGCTACTAGCGATTCTTCGATCATCAGCTCGATGGGTATTTTGGCCCAGAAAAAGAGGATCCGCATTTATTTCCCCTGGTGCCTCTTTTTTCGAATGATGGCAATTGGAGGACGGAGGGGCGCGCGCCCGGAAAACGGACCGAAGCCGTTCCTTCCGGCTCTCCGGCCGCCCGCTTTTTTCCTTGTGTGTGTCGTCTCTGTTGGCCCTATAACCTGCACTTTGCAGCTTTTCGTTACCCGGTCCCCACTTTTTTTCGGCCGCCTTTCTTTCGCACAGAGATCCAAGGGTTCGACGGCGGGCGGCGCCATCGATCGCCATAGCGAACCGTCGTAATACCGGGCTGCTTCCTTCAAGAAGTTTATTGTTCGCCTCGCCTCGCTTGACTTGCTACACCAGAGGAGCGGATCGACGTTCTTCGAGTCGTTTTTTTGCTTGTGATGATGGCCTGCTTGCTCCGGCGCCCGAGGTTGATGAATGCTCCTCCGGCATTGGTTGCGAATGGTTGGTTGTTTGTTTACAGTACGGGAGAAAGTGGAGAGCACTGCTCTTCTGCGGGAGCGAACGAGGGACGAACGGGCCACGCGGTTTTCGGCTCTGGTTGCTCTCTTTTTCCCGTCCTACTACTCTCTGTCGCCTCTCGCCTCTTCCCATCTCTCCTCACCGTAACCGAGCGGGATGGCGGATGCGCACGTGCCGAAGTAATACGCAGACCCTTGATTGGCCTCGGATACGTCGAGACCGCACATCACTCCTGGTGGAACAAGGCGACGGGGGGGGCGTACGTAAGTCGACGACAATTGTCGGCAAGCCGAGTCGTGCCTCGGGAAAGGAATGGGGGGGAAACGGGAGGCAGAAAAAAGGGCCGTGGCCGCACTGACCAGCCTCTACGACGACCCTTTGTCCTACGCGAGAGGAGTTAAGGATCGTAGGGCTTGAGGAGAGGAGCGGAGCGGAAGTGATGACCTCATTGGCGGAGAGATCAGCGCGTACACATACAATAATAGGGAGCTAGAACAGAGGGAAAAAAAGCAAAGGGCAAGTGGTCCAAGAGCAGGAGCGCAGGGTCCACGGTCTGAGACCTCAGGGTCCGGCTGTTGCTGTCATCGATGATGCAGGTGCGAGTCTTTCCCACGTCCTTGCGTTGGGAGCATTGATCATATAGAGGATGAGAGAGAGGGAGAGGGAGAAGGGACAGGAACGAAGGGGATAGCGGAAGCGGGGCGGGGCGAGGCGAGGCGAGGCGCGCCATTTTGCGAAGCGGTACCTATTGTACATCTACTCCGTACCTAGTAAGCGGAGGCGTGTCTAGACACGCGGTCCTGAGCGATCGAAGGGTCGAGGTTGATAGGCCGCCTGTTCTGCTGACCATTATTCGACCATAGTCTGGCCGCGTGGTTACCAGCCATCTACGGAGAAATAAGCAGGTGCTCAGCTACGGCTACCCGCGGCTGGGCGAATCGCCGGACGAGGACGAGGGCGTGAGGGCACGACTGGCGGAATCATCCCACTCTCAGGCTGGCTGATTGGGCAAATGAGGCTGGCATGCGCGAGCTTGGCTTCAGGTAGGGCTCGAGAGCAAGCGAGGACGCGGCCATCGCTGGGCGCCGAACGCGAATGCTAAGGGCAAAGGGTGAATGGTAGTATGGCCACCCGGCCTCGCACGCACACAGGGGTCGGTTGAAGCGCGATGCACGCACGCATCCGGGAGAGGCGGTGGCCTGATTTGCGGCAAGGCGGTGACCGCTTGGGATGGAGGCGAGACTAGCGAGCGAGCGTCAAGGTGGCGGGCCGCAGGGACTCGCCAGCAGAGACGAGAGATCTGCCTTATCCCCAAGAATTGCAGGCTGGGCGTGAAAGGGGACGGATGCCAACGGCAATTTGGAACGATCCGATGGATGCCCAGCCTGCGGAAAGCATCGCGATTGACCCCGTGCCCAAAATAAGACAACATGGCAAAGTTACGATTCAGTAGCCCAACTATGTCTTGCGGACTACTCCTTGTTCCTGACCGGCGGTGCGAGCAGTGAAACCGTTTCAGGTATCACGGCTTGAGAGCCCAATCTTCCTCGTATAGCTGCTATTATCAATGATGTCAACGTGTATCAAGTTGGGCCTCCGCAGTCCCGCTCAGGATTCCCATCAGGGACCCGCTTCTGGCATCAATCCGGGCAACACGGCAATTCTCGGCAGACAGCAACTCGGCATCGTGTTACTAGCATTAACGTTGGACTGCATACGTACGACGCATAGACAGAAAAGCCGAAAAAACAAGCGTGCTGGCTCGCCCCATGGCACACGAAACATTCACCCTCAAATCCACACTTCGCAGGCTATGCAGGAGGCTGAGCCAGTAGGTCATGAGAAACCAGCCGTTTGGAAGGCGTCCGAGAGGCCAGATCGAAGAAAACGGTGTCGCACAGACTATGTACAGGGGCCAGAGAAGTCGTTGCACGCGTGGACATTCGCAGTCATTTGTTTTTTTTCGCTGCTTCATAAACTACGGAGTAATCCGGCGTCTTTCCACAAGGAAAGAACTGGGCCAAGGGATGGTTGTGTGTAACACACATGGACAGGAAAGTCGCGCTTTCCAGAGCACGGCAACGCTGTCGGTGGAGCGAATGCCAAACTACGATCCATGGGGGTTGGTGGTGTTCCTCCGAGCGGGAGCAAGCAGCAGAACTGGATATCGCCGAAAGCTGATGGTGCAGCGCAGAACGAGCAGCAGCCGGATGTCCTGGACAGAAGCAAGGTGTTCCTCCCTCGTGAGACGCCGGACGCTAGTAATCGCCATATGAACGGTAGACAGAAAAGCAAACAACGCAGAAGCCCCTAAATGAAAAACGCATTAAGTCATGTAGTAGCCATCACTCCATCCCTGTGCACGCCATGCGGTAAAAGATGTGGTCCACGGAATCCAATACGGTGGGACGAGACTGAGAAGGACAAACAATCCAGGATGGCTGACCAGGTCTAAATCCGGCTCTGAAAGGCACCCAAGGAGACTGAGGTGGAACGCACTACATCCAGACTGGCGGCCAGTATCCAGGAAGACAAGGAAGGATTCTTTCTTTCCGAATCCGTGGAACAACCCTAGACCAGGCAAAGGGCCGGCAAAAGGAAGGCAAGACTCTACAATGCCACAGGGTATGGTAAAAGAAACATCATTTTAGACAAGCAGGCACGCTGGCTGCAGGCTACTGCCGACGACGACGATCGTTAGCTTGAGGGGGCGGCTGCGTGGCTGCTAAGAGGGACACGTTAGTACCGTCTCTCGGCGCCCAGTCCATCCAGCGGAGAAAGTGTCATGCAAACAGGAACTTACCACTTCTGCTGTCGGCATAGTAGTACTGCTGGGTTGTACTACAGGGAAACTTAGCCAAATCCAAAACATCCGTGGGAATATGATCTTCCATGAAATACCTTGGTTGCGGCGGGGCATACACGCGTTCGGGCGGTGCCGACGTTGACGGCGGGTAGCCGTATCTAGGCGATTCCTGGTGACCTGAGTAGTGCGGCTCCGGCTCCCTGCCAGGCGGCTGGCTGTATGATCCATAGGACGGGGTTGTCCTCACTTGGCCTTGTCCATATCCAGGGGCTGGCACATAGTGGGCTCCTTGCTGGGCATATCCTGACTGGGGCTGGGCATAGGTGTAGTCTCCTCCTCCATAGGCACTTTGGGCGGGCGCCCGGTATCCTGCAGACGACGGGTGGTCCGCGTAAACCTGGGAAGCCGAGGGCGGGGCATACGGCTGCTCCGGGGCCGGCGTACTGGGACCATAGTACTGCCTGGACTGGTGAGTCCTTGAATCTTGATAGGCAACTGCAGCTTTGTCAGGAGGCTTGGCCATCATCTTTGCATCTCTCGCGAGTGGGCTACCTCGTCCCTGCTGGACTTCAGCACGCCACCGCTGCGAATCCAGCTTCAAGTCCTGCACCATTTGCTGTGGGGCGTCGGGTCAGCGGGCGAACGTAGAACAGCCGAGCAGGCGCGACTCACCGATGTCAGGGTGCGATAAGCAGTGATCCAATATCCTTCAACGCCCTTTAGATGCGGGTTAGCGGAGATGCGCAGAGCGGGCAGCGCTGCGATGACTGACCTCGTACTCGCCAGTGCCGATGCCCGGCTTGACGAGGGCATCCGGGCCCAGGTAGCGCTGGATGTCAGCGGTGATGACCTCGCGGGCGATGCCATCACCGGGCTGAAACCACTGCCGGGTTGGCGTTGAGCGAGACATGGTCGATGGCATTAGACGATGGGGATGGTGTTGCAACGAAGGAAAAGTTCGCACTGATGTCAGCGTCTGAGGGAAGACGAGTGCGACGGCAAGGCTGGCAGGCAGCGACAGGTCCTAAACCAAAAGCAAGTTGCTCCGGCGATCACCTCGGGCTGAGGAGCGTGTGGGCGGGGGTCCCTCCAAAGAAAGCCAAAGGCACTGGTGGCAGCGAAAGCGGAAGAGGAAGAGGTGAGAGGGCGAGTGCGGGGCTGAGGAGAGTGGGCAGTAATATCGTCGCGGCTGTCGGTGAGCGGCGCGTGGCGGCGGCAGGGCTCGCGGCGGACAGGCCAGCTGGTTGCGCTGGGACTTTTGCGGCTCTGAGCGGGCCTGCAACGGCTGCAATTGGATAAGCCGGGGCGTGGAGCGCGACGGCGGCGGCTCGTCGCAGTAGCAGCACACGGGCGGGCAGATGACAGCTAGGCTGGTGCCCAATGCTCTGGTGCTCGCGTGGCCGGGGGGGGGAGGTGGAGGCAGAGCGCGGGAAATGCGAGAGAGAGTCGCCCTGCGCGGCCGGCAGCGTGCCTTTTGCTTTATCTTGCACCGTGGTTGCGCCCGGCGATGGATCATGGATGCTGCTGGGCCCATCCACGATGTGGACCTGGCGGGCGCGTTGGGCAGCGACCCGGCCAGGGCCCAAACACTGACGCCAGCGGCCCTGCACGAACGCAGCTAGCCCGCCCGGACGTCTAGAATTCGCGCGTCAAGCTGCTTCTTGCGCGCCTGTGGCGGTGAGCCGACCTCCAGCCCGAGTCTGCAGCGAGTCCCCAGCGCCTGCCGGGCCTGACGTTGGGCACAGCTGCAGTCGCTCGTCGTGGCCTCTGGCAATTAGCCCAAGCGAAGCACGTGTCGGCCCTCCATCGCTATGGACACGCCGTGTCGCGTCGCACTCACACCCTCTGCCCGCCCACACGTCTCACCAGCGGCCCAAGCCCTGACTAAGAGTAATACGCCCTCCCTATTACGCTGGTGGCTGTATCCCTACAGTGCGCTTACCCGCCACGCCGGGCTTGCCTGATATCATCCCGTCGCGAAGTCACAACCGCCGGGAGCAGAACATCCTACGCCGCGCCTTGCCAAACATGTCCATCGTCCAGCCTCGCGGCCGCCTCTACAGCTTGGCTGCCGCCCCCCGCGCTCCCGCTATCCTGAAACCCCACCGCGGGAAATGAATGTGTACCTCGCTGCCACCGGCTTGCGTCCTACTCGCCAGCACCATCTCTACTGGTGTCAGGCTGACCAGCGTACCCCGGTCTCGGTGCTGGAACCCGCTGTCGATCGGCCACACCTCTACCTCCTGACCTTTAACCAGGCCCAACGGATCAGCCGCATCAATATGGCCGCCGCATTCCGCAAGGTTTGCGCCAGAGACGAACGAGACCGCCTGCGCACCCTTCAGCGTCACGGGCTTGGGCCCCGACGACTTGGCCGCGCGCAGCGCTCCTCGAAACCTCTCAATCCACGCGTACACCTTGGGGAACTGCCGTTCTGATATCACCGAAGCCGGCAGCGCGCCCTTCATCTCAACGAGCCAGTCGAACGGCCATATCGCTAACCCGAGCATCAGACCACGCCTAGCTGCGGACTGGTGTCCGTCGTCATCACATGGGCAGGTCGTCACGCACCTTCAATGTCTGCCAGACTGGGGGTCGATGTCTTTAGGATCCACTCCCGCCCGTCCGCCAGCAGCGTCTCCTCCAGCAGCGCAAAGGCGTCGCGAATGTACACGAGACTTTCCGGCCGCGCGCGTATCATGGCCTCCTTGGACCAACTGCGCCCCGAGAATTCCTCCCTATCCTTGGCGAACTTGGGGTCCTGGAGGGCAGGCGTGTCGGGCGGGATCAGCGTGGCGGCGCGAGCGAATACCCCGGCGTCGGTGGTCCAACGGTCCAGTAGGCGCTCAATGGCTTTGTGGTCGCTGCCCGACGCTCCAAGCGCCCCGTCGGGGAAACGCTCCTCGAGCTTACGGAGAATAAGCCGAGTGTCACAATATACGTCGCGGCCGATGGCCATGAGCGGAATACGGCGGTAGGCGATTCCCAATTCGCGAAGGTCGGGACGAGGCATTGTCATCGGTTGTATCTGCGGTTGGCGTCAGCGTTCAGGGATCTTGGTAAGGCACACATCTGCTAAATTGCCCCCACTGGTGGCGGGCGGGAGCGGACGCACACATTGCGCAAATGCTATGCCGCGGAGCTGCAGATACCAGGTGATGCGGCGGGCGTAGGGTGAGAAAGGGTAGTGAAAGAGGACGATCTCGTTTGGCACCGACGCCATGACTCGTGCGAATTGAAGAGGCAGTAGATACGATGCGCGGCTCTTGGAGTTGGGCAGCGGGCCTGTTGCTAGTTAAAAGCAATGGGGTATCGGTACTTGCTGAAGCTGCAATCACTGCCACCGGAAGCGAGCTTGGTCGACAAGCGACTCCCGGCCGCTAACCTCGGTTCCCCCACACCAGCGACATCATCGTCGCAGAGCGGACGTTTTGACATCTGCTAGTAGGGTGCGGCCGACCAATCAATTTGGGCTGCGGGAAGTGTATGCGGCCGCGCGAAGCTAATTCCCACGAAGGAGCAAGGAGCAGCCGCGGCGCTATTCTCGCGTGGGCAGCTCAGGCAAACATCCGGATGTAGATGTGAGTTTCAAAAGTATTGCATCCAACTACCTACGTAAGCAAGATACTGTTTTGCAGGAGAAAATTTCGGAACAGCTCAGTCCTTCTGCTACAGGCCGTGCTACGTGGAACGCGAAGCATTGTTTGCCACTGCATGCATGAAGATCTTCAGTGTTTGGGGCAACTGTTTGAAGACTACCACCAGATGAATATGCGACACGGTACCCCATTTTTGTCACTTTACTGCCCCGGTTTTCCCCAACGTAGGACGCGCTGGATTCCTATTGCTGGCTTCCTCCGTGGCGACCTCTCTTCGAGTAATAGTCATTCCTATGCGGGCGTCAGGACTAGGACCGGTGATCATCGTCGATCACCTACAACTTCTTTCCCCGATCAGCGTCTGCCGCTTTGCCTTCCAAACGGTCCAACGCCTCCTCGATTAGACCGATGTGGCCTCGCAGCGTGCCCTCTAATTCGTCCATGCGAGCTTCGTGTTCCTCCAGATTGTACACGTGATGTGAACGCAAGTACAATGTCGCACCGCCGATGGCCGAGAGGTTGAGGATACCAAAAAGAGCTGCTGTGTTACGCAGAAAAGACATGTTCAACGAGATGATTCGCTGTGCCTAATATTGAAAAGCTGGGCTTTCCAGATATATATAGCAGCTCATGCTGTGCGACGTTGGAAGTCAATGATGACATTGGTCCGCACTAAGATCGGCTCTCCAGAAAGCAGCGTTCTCGGAGAGAACGTCCAGAGCTGCAGAAAGGGTCTTGGAATTATGCAAGTAATCATAATAGCCAGCTCTAGGAACATAACCATGTAGTGGAGGTAGAAGGCTGTCAATCAGCAAGATGCACGTTAGTGGTCGGGCCTCGACGCGTCCCGCCAATGACGCGTGCGGCGCTTCTACGCGACTTCTCAATCGCAGCCATCACCATCACCACAACCCAGTCAGCAACGCCTCGCCATGTTCTCCTCCCGCTGAGGCGCGCCGCCTCGACGACACATAGGCTCGCACCATGTCGTCCTCGCAACCCTTCATCGACTCCTCGCCCCTGTCCACCGGCAGCGGCCGCCGCAGAAAGTCGAATTTCACCTACCGGCACCTTTCGCAGCTCAGCGCCTTCACGACGACCTGCCCGCTGCGCGTCGTCGCACACATCGACCTAGATGCCTTCTACGCACAATGCGAGATGGTGCGCCTGGGCGTTTCGCCGGACCAGCCGCTGGCGGTGCAGCAGTGGCAGGGCCTAATCGCCATCAACTACCCGGCGCGCGCGTTCGGTCTCAGCCGCCACGTCACGGCGGCCGAGGCGCAGAAGCTGTGTCCAGACCTCGTGTGCCAGCACGTTGCGACGTGGAAGGAGGGCGACGAGCGTTGGGCCTACCACGACGACGCGTTCAAGAACATGGCGACGCACAAGGTCAGCCTGGATCCGTACCGCATGGAGTCGCGCAAGATCCTGGCGCTGATAAAGGACGCGCTGCCGAAGGAGCTGCAGAGGGTGGAGAAGGCCAGCATCGATGAGGTCTTCATGGACCTCTCGGCGCAGGTGCATAGCGTCTTGCTGGAGAGGTATCCGGAACTGGCTGGCCCGCCGCCGTATGATGATCCCACGGAGAACTTGCCGAGGCCTCCGACGACAGCGTTGGATTGGCAGACGGATCACTTGATTGACTTGGATGCCTCGGAGACTGAGGATGACGATCCGGACTGGGATGATGTCGCTATTCTGATTGGATCCGAGATTGTTCGGGATGTTCGAGCCAGGGTCTTCGAAGAACTGAAGTACACTTGTTCCGGTGGTGTCGCGCGGAACAAGATGTTAGCAAAGCTTGGATCTGGCCATAAGAAACCCAATCAGCAGACTGTTGTTCGGAACCGCGCCGTGCAGAATTTCCTCAGTGACATGAAGTTCACGAAGATCCGCAATCTTGGCGGCAAGCTTGGCGACGAAGTGGTAGCTATGTTTAATACAGACACCGTCAAGGACCTGTTGGAGGCATCGTTGGACCAGCTTCAGAGACTCGGTGATGGTACCGGTATCTGGCTGTATGACATTATCCGCGGAAACGACACCAGCGAAGTCAACTCCAGAATGCAAATCAAGAGCATGTTGTCAGCCAAGTCCTTCCGTCCATCAATCAATAATTTCGACCAGGGTCTCCGTTGGCTACGTATCTTTTGCGCCGACATCTTTTCCCGCTGCGTCGAAGAAGGTGTTCTTGAGAATAGGCGCCGACCCAAGACTATTAATTTGCATCACCGACAAGGACAACAGACCCGATCCAAGCAATCGCCTATCCCCCAAGCTAAGACGTTCTCCGAAGAAATGCTCTTCGTCCTTGCCAAGGGCCTACTTGCTTCAGTCGTCGTCGATGGACGCGCATGGCCATGTTCAAACCTATCTTTGAGCGTAGGAGGGTTTGAGGATGGTATTACTGGCAACAAGGGAATCAGTGGCTTCCTCGTTCGCGGAGCAGAGGCTAAGGCTATGTTTGCTAGCGAAAGAGAGGCCTCGTCAAGCAAGAATGACAGGGCTGATCCACCACCGCCCCAAAAGAGGCGCCGAGTTGACGAAAGTGGCATCCAGAGGTTTTTCGGTCCACGCCAAACCAGTCGTGACGATTCCGGGAACGAGCACAGTCCATCCATGAGCAGAGAAAACAGCAGAGCTGCGTCTGAGCACACCGAGCATGAAGTTCCGTTAGAGCCCCTAGATGACGGACACCATGGCCACTTCTCTACTGGCGCTGAAGATCCCGAACAGACGTGGGATGAAGTTGACCCATCGGAAATACCACCTCCATCTGCTCAACCGCCACCTGAAGGCCATTTCCACCAGACGGATTATTTCCCTACAAGCACGGAACCAGCCACTACTCACAACGTTGCTGCCCAACCTTCGCATCAAACCACACTAGATACGTTCGTCTGCGAGCGCTGCTCGACCCGTGTCCCCGTCTCTCAGCAGGGGGAGCACTCGGACTACCATGTGGCAAAGGACCTTGCAGAACAGCTTCAGGCTGAGGACCGCGCTTCTGCTGCCGCACGTCCACCCGCGCCACCCTCGTCCACAACACCCAAGCCGCGTGGGCGGGGAAGGCCAGCCGGCTCCGGCTCGTCGGGAAAGTCGGTCAAGGGGCCAGAGAAGGGGCAGATGAAGCTGGCGTTCGGCAAGGGTTGAGAAGGTGGACCGGCCGTCGTTCAGATGGCCAATGCTACGACAATCATTGTCAATCTCCACTCTCGTACCTGCATCTATCGGTGGAGACACGCAGGATGAATTGGGTTCCCACACCTCTGGTCCCGGGACGGGGTAGTATCGAATGAGGGTCTGGAACAGGCTCCATGGCGCACTGTTTCCAACAGTGGGCTCCCCCCCGCTATGACCCCCGTCGGGGAATTGGCAAAATCATTCCGTACCTGGGAGCAACAGGTACGCCCCTCAATTGGTGACGACATCTATGCCAAACGGGAGGAGATTGGGCTTCAATGTTGTTCGCGCTTGCTGTTGGGGGCCACGCGAGACTACTGCATTGCGGACCTTGGTTCAGGCGCGGCTGGCTGGATGGCTGCATGAATGGCTTGGGGTGAGGCAGCACTGCGCGCGGGAGCGGGAGCGTGAATACGCTACTGCAGGCCTTAGCAGAAGTTTGAGCGCCGCGACTCTACAAGGAAGAGGCGAGTGCCCCTTGCAGGATGGTGGCGCATTTGAGGCCAGCCAGAGAAGGTGCTATGTCGGGGGGATGCGGGTGGCGACCATCACGAAGTGCGCTTGTTCAGGTGGATTGAGGCGTGGCGCAGATAGCTCAAAAAGCCTAAAAAGTTTGCTCAGTGGCACGCGATATGACGAACGGTTGGGAGGGGATCGGCAGCGCGATTGGACCGTTGCTTCTGTCATCTTCTGCAGGGCCGTGCAAAAAGGTTGCTGTCAACCCAATCTCCCATTGCTTTTTTTCTCGTCCTTTTCTCAGATCGACACGAGGTCCCGGTCGATGGGTCGAGCCGCCCTCCGGATCAGCACAGAGCCGTTGGTTGGGATCTTGATCTGAACTGCCTTTTTGGGGCAGTCGTTTTCGGCCCCCGTTCGCTTAGCCTAGGTACTGCTTTTGCTTGCTTCTTCTCGGTCCCGCTGCCTCGGCTCCCTTTACGTTGGGCTGACTGTCGTCATACCTTTTTGCTTTTTCTGTGAACTGACGTAACCTCAGCGCTTGGGCTGTCGTTGTCTTTCTGCAATAGGTTACGGACGCGTTTGGGCTCTGCTTTTCTCTGAGCGACTTGAGCAGATGTCGCGCGGTCTAGAACTCGTTCGATTTCCCGTCGGCGTGTGGGGTCTGCTCTTCCCCCTTCCCTTTACGGCAACCCCGGCTTTTTTCGTCCCTCCCTCTCCCGCCTCCCCACGGCCACGAGCTAATCATGCAGTGCATTAGCTCCAAATCAAACACGACGACGCTTCTCTCACACAACCCCCCGTCTTCACCCTTTCTCCCGGGTTCGCCCGTAGAAATCTGACCATTCCTTTCGTCCCGAAGGTCGGCTGAGCTCAATGCGTCCGTGTCTCCCGTCCTTCCGCGCCCGCTCCGCCAGGGACATGGGGTGAACAGGTGGTAGATGAAGGTGCACGCGCACTCCCGTCTGATTAACTGCACGCCTGATGATGAGGAGGACCGGGAGTGCGTTCACCCGGGCCTCTCTCGAATGACGGACTATTGCTCTTTGCGTTACGATGCCGCGTAACATTGCTTTCCCCCCTCGTACGTACGTACGTATGCCTCGGGAGGCCACACTCCTGCGAAACGTCTAGTAGGAAGCCTTCCTCACAAGCGCTTACTACCCAGGCAACACTGCAGACCTAGCTCGTTGGACAGGAAGACGACTTAAACCTCACAACCCTCCCCCCAGCTGAACACCCGCCGCGGTTAGCGCTCACGCCTGCCGATCCTGCCACGCGCGAGCGTTTTGACAGGGAAAAAGATAATGCGGGATGGAGGATCCCGTCGCGGGTTGAGTGGGGAGAAAATAATGGGGTGATAATAATTCGTTTTCCCTTCCCGATACATGCCTTGGCTCAGGCACGCGCCGCCAGGGTCGGAAAGTCCCTTGTCGCTGCCATTTGCCGATCACGTACGGTCTGGATCGTTTGTTGTTGTTTTTTCTTTTTCCTTTCTTTTTTTTCTTCTTTTTCCTTTTCGACGGCACGGCACGGATGGAACGGCCTCTACGTCGTCGTGCAGCGCTGATCCCTCGTGTCAAACTTGCTCGGAGTCGGAGTTGACAGGGTGTACACCAGCCACGTGTGGCGCAGGGACGGGAAGACGTCATACGCTCCGGGGTGTGTTTGGGGTCTGGGATTGAAGGAAATGCTTCGGCAGGCTGACCACGATGGGCTGGATTACAGAGCGTAAGAATTAGCTAAGAAGTATGCCAGTGTTATGGTTGAAGGGGTGTCCATTCTCAATTCTGCTTGTTTGTAGGGACATGGAGAACTGAGTATGTCCGGTGCTGACATGCGTGTGCAACACGTGTTTGTGGCACATATATGCTTCTCAAACAACGTCTATTTCGTGCAATATTGAACTAAGTTTTCACAATTAACTTCATCAGAAGGCAAAGTTAGAATTCCTTGAGAATCAAATCTATTTTCTAGCACGTATAAAAATAGGTGCAGAGCTGCCCAAAAGAAAAATAGTGCGCTTCATCGCCACCCACTCATAGTGATTAGAGTATTACTGAGCGCTGAGCATGATGTCAAATTGTCAAATCGCAGGAAGGCAGTAGGATTCGTTTGCTTGTTTTTGTGCAGAGCCTTGCGGCTCGAAGCCTCCAAGGACTCTTCACTCAAAGGTTATGATTGAACGCGTTGAGGAATTTATAATGGCTGCCCACAATCCTGGTCGGAGCATCCTCGCCCAAAAGCATCACATCTGACAGCAAGGCCGGACACAAGTCACGTAGTGTTGTAGGGTTCCTGTCCCGTCATGTGCTGCCTTTCGACCACATGAGGGATAGGAAAGAGAATGATTGATATATAAGCCGGATTAGTAGCTATTGGGATATTCGAGACATCTCCCGAGGAGATGAGTAAGTAAAAGCAGCAACGGAAAAATACCAATCCTCGGACTGTTGTAGAGCTTTGCGGAGGAAAATTGCCCTTAGCATAGATGTTCAAGTTCCCAAATTATGACGCAGATGACATTGAATACAGTCGGTGTTCGGCAACAAAATTCCTTGCAGATGGAAATTGGACAAAAGAATTAATAATAGCAAAGAGATGCTGATGAACAGCATTTTCTGACCACGCTCACTATCTTCGGGTTAGTATCATTATCCACGAGATTCATTTGACGGCCCCGCATTGGGGCAGAGCGTCCTCTAGATGACAAGTGCTATATGAGTTGAATTGGGTATGAAGATACCGGAGGCCGCGGTGTCTTCTGCCAAGATGAGCCGCTCCTAGTTTCAAGATTATCACCGCAATTCAAACAATATGACCTGTCTCTACTAATTGTCACGGGCAGCTCAAACAAATTGTATGACGTACTTTGCTCGAGTGGATGGGTATACGGTCTCTACTTTTCATCAACTTCAAGTGATAATGAGCAACATCCTCATGATTTGATGGAGACAGGAAAGCCTGTCAAGTCTTCAGAGAGCCACGAAATATGAAATATCACTATCTGCAAACCACGGCGGAACAGTTCGTGACGGTCACTTCTACATAAGCAGACGAAGTGGAACACTGCCTGCACGCGGATTGCTACCGCAGAGTAGCTTCCGCAACGACACTGGACTCTCACAAACTCAGCATCGCCCCCTCCCTTTTAACCTCTCAACAAACCAGCGCCACCAGAACTCCCACTCAGTCACATGCCACAGGTGCATGGCCCGTCGCGAGCCGTCCTCGAGAGTGACCCCGCAAGTGACGCCATATGGCTAGTGTATCACACCAGCGCCCTCCCCAATGACGCGCGAGGGCGGTCAAATGACGCCGACGCCGCCTCTCCTCCTGCTGCCGAAGCTCGTGCCCCTCTGTGCCGCTCTTCGTTTTTAAGACAGGCTAATCGTGGGGGTTCTTCGGTTTGTAAATGGAGTGTGGATGCCCGCTTGGGGAGCACATGCCTTAACTAAGGAGATACTGCTCTTTGGCGGTCTTCTGGCCAACCAACCAACTGCGTGCAGCGGCCTCTCGTGTTGGTGTCAGTGAAAGGTGGTGGATCTCCGTAACCGAAAGGTAGAGGGAGCCAGCATGTTTGTGTCATGAAGCACTCCACCAAGTGTACATCATGATGAGATGCGGAACCTTCCGCATGGTGTTAGAACAGACACTATGTAGAGGAAGACAGCCGGAGAGTGAATCTAAAGTAATGAATTTTGCAAGGAAAAGCAGTCGCTCTTCACCGTGGGTCATCCAGCTTGGACCATGGGACAACTTGGCCAAGAGCCGGGAGATATCTTTCGCCTGGGCTTATAAACTACCAACATTGCATGTGAGTCACCAGGTCTGTGAACCCGAGCGAACAGGTGGGTAGTGCCGTCATGGGACTGGTCAGCAGAAGTTGCTTTGAGAATGTGCTCAGTTGATGTTCTTTGTCGAATTGAACCGGCCAGTTATGCACGAAAAACAGTCACTTCATTCAATCCCCGGACCGTACAGCATTTGGATAGGTAGCACAAAACTGTCAGGAATAAAGTCTCAATTCCCTCTCTTGTCTACGTGTCTATCGTAGCAATCAATCGGTATAGAACCGCTAGTAATATCCAATCAACCATAATTTTCCAACGCCAAACAAATATTGTCAGCTGCTCATTCCTGAGACAGCACTAAACCAGAGTTTCTCCCCGCTTATCCAGCATGATTTACGCGCCGTGGAAGAAGACGCGCTCGTTGAGCGGCTTCTGGTCCTTGGGGCCGGCCTCGCCGGCGCGGCCGCCGAAGACGAGCTGGGCGCGCAGCTGCCACTCCTGGGGCACCTTCCACTCGTCCTGGACCTTCTGGTCGACGACCGGGTTGTAGTGCTGCAGGTTGGCGCCGAAGCCCTCGGCCTCGAGGCCGGTCCACAGCGCGAACTGGTGCATGGCCGACGTGTGCTCCGACCAGACGGGGAAGTGGGCCGCGTACAGGGCGAACTTGCTCTGGAGCTCCTTGACCGGGGCGGGGTCCTCGAAGAAGAGGATCTGTGGAAGAATTGTTAGCAATTGCACTAGATACGAGCAGCATGGTCACGTACGGTGCCGTAGGCGGCGCGGAAGCCGTTCAGCTTGGCCTCAGTGGCGGGGAAGGCGTCGGCGGGGACCTGGGGCTTGAGGACGTCCTTGGTGATGTCCCAGAACTTCTCGTGCTCGCCCTTGAGCAGGACGACGACGCGGGCGCTCTGGCTGTTGAAGGACGAGGGGACGGACAGGACGACGTCGTTGACGATCTCCTTGATGCGCTCGTCGGAGACGGGAGAGGTGTTGTTGAGCTGGTAGTAGGTGCGACGCTCCTTGACGGCGTCGAGGAAGGGCTTGGTGGAGGCCATTGTGGTGGAGGTGGTGAAGGCGCGGAAGGTGCTGGTAGTAGAAGAGGTTGCTGAGGCTGGAGTCAGTGGTTTGGAGAATAGCAGTGAGGTTGCGGCGGGCGCGGCGCTTTTGTAGCAAAGCGTGGGAGACAAGCGGGTAAGGATTGGTAAGGATTTCTTAAGCAGGTGTGGGGCAGCCATGTTTGAGGAGGGCGTCTGTACAGAAGATGGCGTGGAGATATGCTCCGAGAAGAGCGGCGACCAGACCGAAAAGAAATGCCGTGAAGCGCATGGAAGCTGTGACGGAGCGGATTCAGACTTTCGGAGCCAGGATGACGGCGGCCTTACTCGAGACCGGCGGGCTCGACCAGTTAACCAATTGCACGCGGTTGCATGAGCTCACGCCTCATGGGCCGAGCCGGCGTAGCTTCGTCAGGATTCGCCATAGCTTAGTTGACGTCGTATCGGAGTTGCGTGACGGAGGGACTCGATGGAGGGGCAGCTCGATAAATCCGAAGGCCTCTCCGATCAAGCTTTGGCCTCCCGCTCTGGCGCCCCGCGGAATTGCCCCGCCGCCAAGGACCCTGCGCACGAGAACGCAGGTACGCCACCAATGAGCTGCTTACCAAAACTCAACACCAACTAATGCCATCTCGGGCCTATACACTCCCGAGCAGCTGTCGCATTCGTAAGCATCTCATCTTGTGAGCTCGTCGTTGTATGGTGCCATTCGGAGAACGGATGCTGCTCCTTCCGGTGCTGAGAAATGCGCGACGCCTGACCGCTTCCTATCCCAGCCTTCCCTTCTGTACAACGACTCGAACTCGGCCGAGAACGGAAGTAATCGTGCGTCCTGCTGTTAGCATCTCCTGTATAAAGTCTCCGTCTTCTTTATAGCAGGTTGAAAATGCCAGCTTCGACTTCTTCTGTACTGGGCTTTGAAAAGCCCCTTATTACCTGATTGCATGGTCTCATGATGAGTGTACCGACGATTCGGCGCGATCAGTAGCCACGATGAAGAAGGTCGCCTGTATGCTTGTCAAAGATGATATCCAAGGTGTCGACCCGATCCCAAGCAGGGGAATCCGACTTCTTTATGCTCATCGCAGTCCGGCATGTGGACACGGAAGTTCGGACATTCGCTGGCAACGAGATCCTGTGCACCCGCATTAAGCGAGGATTTCGTTGCCAGCGAATGTCCGAACTTCCTTGTCCACAAACTGTTCCGGTTCGTCCGCTAGTAATCTTCAAGCAACAGTTGCCAAGTACGCACCAAACCCGCACGAATTTTCTCTCCTCAATGAGTAAAGTGTCGGTGAAATGGCGAGAAGGCTAGACAAACCCTCAAAAGCTCACGCATAGAACCTCGTAACTGCACTGGAGTTGGCATCCCTCCAGCACCTTGTCTCAACGGGCCACTGTCCACTTTATTCTGAACAAAGTTATCCGAGTGACACCTGATAGAGGAGATGTCCGCTTAAAGTACCGGATCATCGCTAAAACATGAGGAGTACTTGCATGCAGAAACATTTATATCTCAGGCTATGCGTTATGAGCGGAGTTCAAAGTATCTCTTTCCATACGCAGGCTTTTGCTCAGCAGAATGAGCGTCGAGCTGCTGGGTCTACAAGACCTTGTTTAACGGTGTATCACACCGACGTCGCCCGGCCGGAAAGTCACGAGAGCTCGGTTGAGTATCTGCTTAGAGTCCCCACTTCCCGAATAAGATGGCGCCATAGGATCATCCCACGCTGATCTGAGCCTAGAAACCCCCACACGCCTCCGCCGGTTCGGGCCGCCGCTCACTGTGTCACTGCGTTGAGAAGATCTTTTTCTTCAAAGCTTCCACCGACAGTTGATAATAATCGGGTACGAGGTCTTCTAGTGGATGGAATCCAAATCAGAGCTCGTCGGCTCGGGTTGCGCAATTCAAACCATGCTTGTTGGGCTGCATTTCTGCGACGGATGCGGTGGAGGGGTCCAATCCTATAGACGGGAGACGCGGATCACAATGTTGAAGCTTCAGCAAGGGAGGCGAGTAAAAATTAACTTCGTATAAAAGTCAAAAGCAAGAAGGAAGATCATGGAAGGGTTTCAATTATTATCGTTACCATTCATTACTCATTCGATTATGCTTTAGAGCTTCTGGCCTTCGCCCGGCACCTCGACAACTTGGTCAATACCCTCGTAGGGCGGGATGTCCAGGCCGTATTTCTCTGCCATAGCCTTGGTCAGGAACCTGCATCATTTTCGTTAGACGATTCATTCTACAAGCAAAATTCTTCAAGGGGATAGTGGGGTTAGCGTGCTCAACCCACCTTCCACCAAGGAAATGCCTGCCCTTGAACCACTTCACCAGCGGCTTGGGCGCCGTCAAGCTGATCAGCGCGGGCGGGTTGAAGCCCTTTCCCGGTCCGGAGTCGGGCGGGCCGGTCTCGATGTTCCAGCTCGACGGTGCGTCGACGGCGAGAACGGGCACCTTGGTGTCGCGCAGGGCCTCGATGACCCTGGGGAAGGGCTCGCGCACCTCGCCGCTGAAGCTGAAGCCAAAGATGGCATCGACGACGTGGTCCGCCGCGCCGAGCGCCGCGTCAAAGTCGTCGGTGAATGGCACGTTCAGGTCCTCGAGCTGCTTCCGCAGGCGCTGGTACAGCTCGTTCTTGCTCTGCTTGGGGTAGTAGACGGTGGGTTGGTAGCCGTAGTGGTGGAGGTGGCGGGCCGCTACGAGACCGTCGCCGCCTGTATTTTGTTAGTGGGGGTGCTGTGGTCGAAGCTGGATGTCGAAGTGGTACCGTTGTTGCCGGGCCCGCAAGCTACGAGAATTCGCTTGCCTTGGCTGAGGGGCTGGAGCTTGAACACTACCAACTGATTAGGCTTTGTCATAATGAGTGCAGCAGACAGGCTCTATACCAGCTTGGGATACTGAAAGGCCAGCCAGCTCCATCAGTTGGTCGATAGAGAAAGCACCGCTACTCATGAGCTCCTTGTCGAGCTCGGCAGCGTTCTTTGCGGAAAGAGTCTGAGAAAGAGTCAGAGTCTGTTCGTTTATGTTTTGGCCATCACTCACCTTGAGAGCCATCATGAGCTTCCTGGACGTCCGAAACATGAAAGTGAAGGGTAACGGGAAACGAAGTTGTGGTTGTCGCGCAATGGAAGACAGGCGGGCACAGAACATTACATCACATCACGTTGATCATGTCAGCGCTCCGAAAGAGGAAGCAACGCTACCGCCACAAGCAATTTTTGAACACCTTGACGTCCACCGACCAGTCTCCACCCTAATTATCAGTCTTCATCCTCAATTACCACGCACAGACTGCAAACGTGCACAAAGTCGAGGAAGACACACCCAGAGCCCTGATCCCTGTCCAGAGTCGGCAAAACATTTCCCCGGGGTCTGTCCGAGAAACTTATCGTGGATGGGCTCACGACGGCCGTGTCGCGCGTCGGCAATAGCCAGTAATACCAGCAATTGTTCTCGCCCCAACCCCACCGCAATCATGGTCCTCAAGATACGGCTCGCGCGCTTCGGCAAGCGCCACTCTCCCTTCTACAACATCGTCGTCGCCCACGCTCGGTAAGCAATTGAGCAGCACCACCGACCGCCGACACCACGACACCAACCAGAAGGGAACCTTCCGGCAGCTAACATTGGAACTGCACACAGGACGGCAAGGGACAGCAAGCCGCTCGAAGTCCTCGGTACGCAAACACACACATCATTCCCGTGGTTAAGCCTCCGCCCCGCCGCCGCCGCACACCTTCCGGCCGGACATGGCGGAGAGCTCCGTAGAACAATTACTATTCAGCGGAGAAATTCCGTGACGTATTTGGCGTGACTGACGATTGGGCTCTTCTTGAAGGCACATACGACCCGATTCCCAAGCCCGCGAGGCCGGATGACCCCAGCGGCCGCCCGTACAAGGACATCAAGCTGGACCGGTCGCGCGCGCAGTACTGGCTCGGTGTCGGCGCCCAGCCTAGCGATACCTGCTGGAGATTGCTGTCTATGGTACGTCCAAACCAGAAGTGGAGTGGGGGGTGGGGGGAAGCATTCGGCGGGTGTTTTGTGGCAGGTCTGAAGAAGAGGAAAGAGCTATGTGAAAGAGGGGAATCCGGGGAACAGAATGTGGCTGACGAAATTCTGTTGAATCTTAGGCTGGTCTGCTCGAGCCCAAGTACCGCGTTGGACAGATCCAGCAGCAGGTCATTCAGGCGGACGCGAAGCACAAGGCCAACCCGTACAAGGAACGTAACCCTCCCGCTGAGGGTGCATAAAGGAATTTCGTAACGCGAGGGGGGTCGGATGGAGGCTTGCGGGCGAATATTCAGACGAGGACGGTTTGCATTGGGTTTGGCGTTATGGAACATTAAGGGATATAGCCCTGTTGGAGGGCTCACGTTGCTTGCTGCGTCAAAAGATGCACTTGTACCAATACCATGTACAGAAAGAGGAAACGAGCTGAAATGCTATTGTTTGCGTGGACGCTTTCAACAGGAGTGTGAAGCTTAATTGAAAAGCAGAGGCGAAATTTTGGTGACTGAAATTAATTATTAGAAACAATTAAAAAAACAGTCACCCTCCTACTTCTCATCTACTAGGTTGGTACCATAAGGGATAATGAACTGACAAATAAATCAATGAACGATATCCGAGCACCAGGCACCCGATCTATGCACCATACCCAACTCCAGCCAAAGCAGAAATGATGCGGTCTTCTTATCCACTCCTTATCCCTCCTCAATCTCTGCACTAATTCCCTTTAGTGCGCCGCGATCAAGAACGTGTTGGTTCCCAGGCAAACAACCATGACAATCAACCCATAAATCGCCAACGCAAGACTCAGTCTTCTCAAAAGCCCCCTTCTGAAGCTCCTTGTCTTTGTCGCCAAATTTCTAAGCAGAAGACCCGATTCTGTCATATTCTCTTCGTCTCCAGAATTCCAACCTTCTTCATCATCCTCATCCTTGAGGAGGCGCTGGTGGTGCGGGCTATGGGGGGATGAAATCTTGTAGTAAAAGATACCAGGTAGAATAAAGCTGATAGCCGTGCTGCCGGTGCTGCCGACGTAGGCAAGCACCTTTTCGAGCGAGGAAACGGTCATGGCGGTTATGTAGCTCAGTACAATGATGGTGGTAGTTATGATGGCGAAACGCATCTCGCTCATTGGCTCAGCCTTGGGCTGCAGAGGAGCCGCGATGGGCCCGTTGTTCGGCTTGGGCGGTCCGAGAAGCGGAGCGCTGTGCTCGCTTGACGGAGAGCCTTCATTAGTACTCGTGCGAGAAGATTTGGGGGCCCGCTGCGGCCGCCAGTTGATAACCGCGTCGATGGACGCGCGGCATGGGTGGACCTGTAGAGGGTAGGAGAACATGACCAGGATGACGATCGCCAGACGGCCAATGGTCGAAGCAGCGGACGGGGCGTCTAGAAATTGGTAAGAGACATGCAGTTTGCGGGTACGTCAGGTGCACTTACACATGCTGACGATGTTGCCGCCAACTTTATCGCCGTAAGACAGATACCCGGTAATACCAACGAGAATGTAAAGAGAGCAAGCCAGGCCGATACTGGCGCCGACAACAGATGTAGTCCGGAAGTGGGAGTTGTCAAAAATCTCATTGAGAATGGAAAACATCTGGAAGAGTCAGTGTCTAGCTTGAATAAAGCAACCTGGTAAGCTTACATTCTGGTGGCACGTGTAGGCAAAGACAACTACAGGGAAGACGGAAAGGGCGGCAACCGGGCCAGACCATCCGATTACGTGAACCTCGCCGCGGTCTGCCATAGTATCTCCCTTGAAGAAATGGGCAAGAACAAGGATGACGAGGTAAGTAATCGACACCAGCGCTATCATGCTGGTATATTTGAGAGAATCGAGACGACGAAGGAAAGACAAGGGAATGACAATGAGCCTATAAAAAGCGTTAGCATTTCTCTGTGTTCCGGCGAGAGACCCAGCCGCTTTGCAGATCGGCAAAGGATGCGGCGGCGTAGGGGGTACCAGGGGAAGAGACGCACATGAAAGCCGTGACCCAGAACTGACGGTCCACCAGGAATCCGATTTCTCCAGCAGCATCGCTAAATCCTCTTACAACTCCAGGCATGAGATCTCCGATGATGATCAAGTAACTGACTCCAACACCGAAGCACTTGATGGCGATCGCAGCATCGAAAACAACGGCGGCATTTGGATACGTTATCTTGGAGAGCGAGGCGAACGAGGCGGTTCCGCGATCCAGGTATTTGGCGCATCTAGTTTGGAGGTACAGGCCGAAGCCCGCTGTGAGGCCTGCCCACACGATGACGCAGCAGCCTAGCAGAATGCCCATTTGCGACAGGGCGTGCGGCATGGCGAGGAGACCTGCGCCCAAGACTTCACCCCAAATATCCGTCAGTGTGTATTCTCGTGACCGTGAGGGGTGTATGCGCACTCGTGTTGACCAGGTTGATGACGCTGCTAGCCCATGTAGCCTGTCCAGCGAAGCCGACGTCTCGTTTGCCGTGGCGCGACCTGGCGCATATGTTAGCAAGACATGCAGCGCAACATAGTAGAAGAGCGCAGACTGACCGTCTGCCTCTGTGAGAGGCTGCGCTCGCCGGCCTGTCCTCGAAATCCGAGGGACCGGCGCTTATCGCCGCATAGGTAGCCATGTTGGGATTTGTGATCCAGGAGGTATCGCGCGGGGAAGCAGCAGTCGCCGGAGGTGCACACCTCACTAGCAACTAAGTCATTAAGAAATGGATAGAGCAGTCGCGGCGCAGCGCGGCGATAGTGCAGAGCGAGCCGATGAGTCGCGTTAAAGCTGTAATGTCTTGCGTGCGAGCGGAGATGTCATGCTGGCAAGCCGCCGCCACGGGCGCTCGCGGATCATCCCGCCAATCCAGGGTTCTCTTGCCTTATCCGGCGCGCTCTTACCTCCGCAGTACCTACACCACCCATCCGCCCGACCGCATTCCCCGCTCAGCAACCCATTATGGCCGAAGATTTGGACGAGGTGCTTTTGCAGACGCTGGATATGCTCGAGTGGCGCCTCCGCCGCATCGAGTTTGTCCTTGGCGGTAACGTCTCCGCCGAGAGCCAACACACCGACGTGCCCGTCACGTCTCGGATACAGAAGCTCGAGAGCCGCCTGTCCAGCGTCGCCGGCAACTCACGCGCCATCAACGACATCCTCCAGCTACGTAAGGCATAAGAGTCCCATGGATTGCCCCGGTTCCATTTGCCTGACGATTTCGCCTAGAATCCAAGCACGCCGACATCTTCGCGCCGACCGAGCCGCCTGCGCGTCCTCCCCCGAGCAGCATGGACGATCCGACGCCCGAGATTAAGCTCGCTACCATCCTCACCGAGGCCCCGGCGTACCCCGCCACCGCTTCGCAGCTGACTTCGCTGCATGACCTTCCTCTGCCACCAACAGAATCGTTCACGTCACTGGTCGCACTCTCGCCTCGCATCGCTCAGCTTGGACAGACACAACTAGCTCAGGCATACGAAATATCGGAGCTGAGGAAGAGGAGCGGGAAGGCTGTGTTGAGATGGCACGAGATCATGGTGTTGGGCCAGGGCAGATGTTGGGCTGAGTGGGACTCGCGGGTCCGCGAGGCAGAGAGGGAGGTTCGTAGGGAAGAGGTCAAGATCGAGCGTGAATCTGGCGGCGCTTGAATTGATCTGCATGACAAGGAGAGCGGATATTCATGAAGGGAATGGAGGCACGCTGGAGAAGCGCAGACCATGAGGACCACATGCCCCGATCCGTGCGGGCGTCATCATTTGATAGGCACTTTGCTGTGGCTGGAGAGGCAGTCAAGGCAACATCAGGCATGCGGCTTTAGGTCACAAGTGTGGCAGGGACAGCAGTGCACGGTTGTGTGGAGGCATGGCGACGGCAGCAGCAAACACATGGTCCAGCCATTCCTCGCGGCACGGAACCGCGGCACGCAGACGGGACAGTGCATGCGTGGGCCTAATCAAAAGGTGGAGACATAGGGTTCGGGGAGGTCTCCAGCATGAACATGTAGCTAGCAGCGGGCTCCCTGCCTGTCGACGGATGGGTTCGGAGCACCACGCTAATATTCCAAATGTGGATGCGTTTAAAGATGAGGTCTTCTCTCCCAAGGGTCAGTGGCTCGCATGCGGTCCGCGAAAATATGCACGCGCCCTGTTCCCTGGAATTTGGCGAAGGCGGAAGCGGGCTGGACCGGGTCCGGAACGTATGACGAAATGCACAGGCCGGAATGTATGGTTCTTCAGAGACCGTCTTGCTGAGGGGCAGAGCGAGCGGGAGACAAGCTTTTCTGATGTTCGCAGGGAGGTGGAGCTTGACGCGGAAAGGGCCAGTTACAGCGCCGTCTGGGAGACAGGTCGCTGGTGGTGTCGCGGGCGGCTTTCTGGCGCCGCGGAGCGGGTTCTCAAAGTCTGGGCCCGGGCGCAATGGACAGAGGCGAGACGTTGGAGGAGCGTTTCATCGACACGCACTGCTGCCGCATCGGGCCAGTGAGGATCAGCAGCCGTCGCATGGACCAGCGCCTAACGGCAGCTAGGGAAATGGTGAGGCTGGCCTGCGAAATAACCACAGCGACAAATTTCGGGCTCGTGGGCGCGCGTTGGGGTGCGACAGACGGCGCCAGGCGCAGCACTCACGACGCTGTCTCGGATTACGATACGGTACGGCGCGGCAACGTGTGCAGCCCACGCCAGCGCAGGCGAGACAGGCCCCTTTGGGCGGCGTGCGTAGGCGCTCTCATCCATTGCACGACGTGGCGGTGCAGGAATCTCACACGATCCGCGCGATGGCCGGCAGGACGAGGCAGGCGGCCGGCAGGCAGAGGATAGCGATCGGTGCTGCAATAAAGACGGAGCCAGCGAGGGCTCCCCGCACGCCTGATTGAGGTGTCGTGCCAGTTTAATTAGTGACTGGACGAGAAGCGCTTGATCGCTGCAGCTTCGGCGCGTGTGCCCGGCCCGTGCGTCAAACACTGCCGCGCCGCTCTCCTATCGCTGCGTCCTCTCCAAAGACACGCCTCGACCCCGACGATCCGGAGCCTCTCTCACCATCCAACTGAAGCGTCTCTCCCGCGGCTGCGACCTCCAGACCCGCAACAAGACGCGCGCCGCGCACCCGCCGTGAACGCTGTCCGGCCCGCCGCTGAGGCTCCGCTTTCTCCAGTCCCCCGTCGCATCTCGTAGGGCCAGGCGCCTAACCACCCTCATTCGCTACTCTCGTCGCCACTCTCTTGAACCTCTCTTCTCCCACTCCCACCAGTCGACTCCTGCTGCGCATTCCCTGCTCTCCTCAGTCCACCACGCGCCGTCCGCTCGCGCCGCCGTCCTTCTCGAACCGCTCCGCCCGTGCATAAATGCCCTCGCTCGAGTCGCCCAACAGCCTTAAGAAGATGAATTACGGCATGCGCAACCGCTTCGGCTTCGACAACATCCTCGGCGATCCGTTCGCCCTGTCGACCATCTCCATTAGCATTGTGAGTCGCCCGCTGACCGCGCGCCACCCGCGCCCAGATGCTGACCGTCGCACAGCTCGCATGGATCATCGCATTCGTCGGCTCGGTCATCGGTAGCCTCCACGGCGAGTTCCCCAACTACACCTGGTGGGCTCTCGTCTACTTCTTCTGCTGCATTGTCGGTGTTATCATCGTCGTTGGTTCCGAGTCCGAGGACACCTACCACGTCGCGGTACGAAGCCCGCGCCTCGCTCCCCGCACGATTCCGTACCTAATATTGGAACAGGTCTCTAGCTACCTCGCCGCAGGCTTGGTCTTCACCAGCTCAGCCGTCAATGCCACCGTCTACCAGAATGACTCCGCGAAGGAGGCTGCCGCTGCCGGCTACATCCTCCTGTCGATGGTTGCTGTGAGTTCCCGTTGACGGATGCCGCCGGCCGTCTCGATTCTAACATGCGTAGATTATCTGGATCTTCTACTTCGGCTCGCAGCCCTCGGCCTCGCACCGCACTTTTGTTGATTCGTATGCGATGAACAAGGAGGGTCAATCCGTCCGCAACTCTCGTCCCATGTCGAACAACTACAGTGCCCGCCCGCAGACGACGACCACCCAGCCGCAGCCTCAGATGTACACTTCGGCCCAACTCAATGGCTTCGAGACGTCATCCCCGGTGTCCGGCTACCACGGCGGCCCTGCTGGTGCGGCTGATCGCAACTCTACGGCACCGCGCTTCGGCAATGGCATGAACGGCACCGCCAACCCGGGCGCACAGCCCGAGCAGGACGCACCCACTGAGTACCCGTACCGTGCCAAGGCCATCTACAGCTACGAGGCCAACCCCGAGGATGTCAACGAAATCAGCTTCTCCAAGCACGAGATCCTCGAGGTGTCGGACGTCAGCGGACGCTGGTGGCAGGCGAGGAAGCAGACGGGTGAGACGGGTATTGCGCCAAGCAACTACCTCATCTTGCTATAGATGCACAGGTTTCACTCATGCCTGGGACGACTGCTTTTCCTTCCTTTCTTGCTACATGGATACCTGGCTTAGGTTTCATTTCCCGGGACGCTCGAGCACCTCACCTTCTGGAGACCGTTCGCGCATCGGCTTGGACCGGTTTCGCGACGGAATCGACTCGTGGGTTCGTCTTTGGAACATCCTTGGGAGACGCTCTTGCGCCGCTAGATACCCGTTCTCTTTTCTGATACCTCCCGCTGGCTTGGGCTTTTTCTAAAAAGGGTAACAAAATTCGGTCTAATCACACCGACCACAACCACTCGTTCAACCGTCCCCTTGGATTCAGCGACGAAATTCCTTTATCTCGGATGCGCTACATCCTCTACGACGAATCATGTCACGCGCTACTACCGCCTGCGGACGCACCACTCCGGACTACTCAAGCGCTGCGGACTTCCCTTACAATTCTACTATTCCCGGACTGTAATCTGTCGGCTGGATCGAAGATGGCCACAGCAACATCACCGGTTTTTCTCTAAACTCTTTTTTTGGTTTCTGCTGAAGATGTGCGTTCATGGAATGGGCTATATCCGGTTTTTTTGAGTTTTCCTGGTGCACAGTGCAGTGCAGGTAGTGGTTTTTTTTTTTGTTGTTGCTTTTTTGGTTTGCAGTTGCGCTCCAAACATTTGCATGGCGTTGCTGCGACTGAACGCGTCTCAATTCCCTTTGGGTTGGGACCACGGAGATTCACACTGTTGCGGCGCTGAAACGGCCTCTCTGCTGATGGTGTTCACAAGCTGCCTATCACCCTTCCCTAGCGATCAAGTCCTTTTGCCTTTTTCACGTGTGTAGTCGTTTTTTGAACCCGCGCCCCCAAAAAATATCCGCTGTGGCGGAATGGGAGGAAAAAGCAAAGATAGTGTGGAGGGGAGAAATTGGTACAGGCGAGAGAAAATTGGATGCCTTTTGTTTCCAGAACGCGAGAGACCCAGCTGCTTTTTTCCTAGTGTACATGAAGTCAAAGATGTGATTTACATTGATATTGAAGAAAGTCATGAGAGAATGCTTTCAGTCCTGTCCCTACATCGTTCCCAAACATATCTCTTGGCTCAGCCACGCGTGCTCCCCCTCTTTACGTCATTTGTACCTGACATGGTCGGAGCATGGTTACCATTTGCGGCTATTCTCTTACTGATCTGCTGTTAGGAAGACGCAGCTGATCCGACTGATGATGTTTTAGGCTCGTCATCTTTGCCGAGTGCCGACACTTTTACTGCTTAAAGAGCCGAATTGATAGTTATATACTCTACCAGCGAACCCAAGTCTTCCGCCTAAGGGTCTTCGGACCTATGGCACGGATCGACGGTGTCGATGGTGATGAAAATCACCGTCCACCTCTCCACCACCTTCCCCGCTGGGATCAAAGGGGGAAAATCTGCGAAAGTGGGTTTTGTAGAGGTATGTGGCCGGCGGGGAAGTGTCCCTTCGGGTAGACCACCCCAAGGCCACTGTGAGCCTTGACTTTTTGTGTGTTTTTTTTTGCTCTATCATTTCGTACGTCTTCTATTTTTTTTTTTTTTGGTTGTCGTTGACGTTGTTTTGCGAGACGTCAAAAAAAAGAGCGGGAGTCTAGTCGTGAGGTCGTCGTCCGTCATCGATCAACCACCACAGACACATCATCCTTGCCTCAGGTCCCGTTTCAGCCCTACGGCAGCATGCGCCGCACGCCGCGCGCCGCGCGCCGCGCACCCGCCCGCCAAAACACGACATGCAGGTGAACGTGTCTCGATTGTGCGCTGGGATGTGCGTGGCCGTACCTGCGTCGTCGTCGTGTTCGAAGTTACATACGTGACCGGGTGCCTGGGTTCTCCCTTGTTCGGAGGCGCCGGGGATGAATGTATACAGGGTATATGTGGAAGGTACGTTTGATTGTGGCTGAAACAGCAGACGGATGGCTGCGGCTGCGTGTACCTGGATACGGGTGTCAGCGGTGCCCGCGGCGCCTCGCTGACCGGTGGACGGTTGCTTGTTCGTGTTCGGCAGAACGAAAACGGCGGTTCCGGCTGGAATTGGGAAGGGGTGGTCTGGTGGTGGTGGATTAAGCGCGAATGGTGGTTGGCTTTGTGTCACGATTGAATTTCGGGTCCCAGCGTCGCCGCCGCTTGTTTTTTGCGTTTGCGGTTTTCCGGGTTGAGGGTTTGTTTCGTTAGTGGTGGTTTTGGATGTGGTTGGTTCGCTGTGGTGAGAGCTTCATTTTGCTTGTGTAAGGGTCTGTTGAGGTCGAGAGAAACGAGGTCGTATTGGCTTTGGTCGGATGTTTTGGCTTGGGCGAACTGTCACCTTCCTGTTTTATGGGTTTCAGGTTCACTCCCTGCACTGCACTTTTTGTTTTTGCCTTTTTTTTCTCCGTCGGGGGGTGGTGCTTCTCTGATGATATTGGTCGAGCAAAGTTATTGGCGATGCTTGTCACGAATACGGCGTGGTAAGTAGTAATTCTTCCGCATTTACATAGCGCAAAGTGAGTTACAGATATGTGATTGAGTTCCTACCGTACATTCCCTCGCCTTCTGAACCTTTCAACCGCTTCCTTTCCTAATTAAAATCGGCCAACTCATTTTCAGAAATCATGGTCAGCGGTCAATTGAGACTACATTTGAATGGTAACATATGTACACATACACACAATGCTCTTTATATTCCGGTGGTCCGCGCTAGCAGGCACTGTTTCAGTTTTTCCTAACGTAGAGTGGTCTCAGCTGTTGGCCTCAGGGAGAATGAAGACCTTGTCCTACAACAGATAGCTGCTCTATCTTGGTAACAGTATTCATGAATGCGCATGTGCATGATATACTTTGACTTACGGAAAGCTTAAGGAACACGAGGTAGTCAGCCGACGTTTTTCTTTCTTTCTTTCTTTTTTATTTTTTTTATTTTTATTTTATTTTTTTGAACAGCTTACTTTAAAAGACTTTCACAAGCTCTGCACTTACAATTCCATATCTAGAACCCCATCGAACGTCTTTAACACAGCAAGAAACAAACGACTACTACTGGCCTGGCCCGCCTGCTGTAGTAGATTTCTTCCTATGTGTGGTTGTTGGGAGAGGGGGGTTTCAAAGCACTTCTTTAATTTTGAAATATCATTTCTTAGCAAAATTTTCACGCATCATATCTTATCATTGATGATTTTAAAGGTGCTCGACGATATTGTACATCAGCATTAATGATTGATGAGATATCATTGGCAAAAATTGCCCAGACCCGCCTCAAAACGTCGAGCCTTTCGTGACCGCAAAACCCAAGACAGAGAAGAGTGGTCGTCGTTGATAAATGTTATCAGCAACTCGGTATTTGTCAATACCTCGAAGCCAACTGCCATGGCTTTGAGGTGTCGTGATCCTCTGCTTGCTTTAAATATGGATGTTCCTGGGGGGATTATTCGCAGTGGTAAATAATGGATCAGCCGGTCGAACGCTCGTGACTGAGCGCAGCCGGAACCGGTGACTCCCAAGCCTTTAACCGCTTGGATGTTCGCTGCGGACTCACGTGTGCGGCAGGCCCGCTCACGGACGCCCACCTACACATGATGAGGCCTCAATAGACTATGACGTGGAACTGATTGTGGCAGCAGGTACATCACGCGAGCTTGGATACCCGCTGGGCTTCGAGGTGATATAAGAGGGTAGATCTCATGGATAGACTTAAAGTGACGGACACAGTGTCTTTGAGCATTGGACATCCCGCTGGGAGATTTTGAAGAAAACTGTTCGTGGTCTCTTCTTCGGATCGTATTTGTAGGGAGAGTTACGCACGGTACGGCGAAGTCTGCAGAGCAGTATCGATGAATGGCGAGATTCATCATGTATAGATAATGATGAGTTGATAAAGTTCGATAGGAGATCTCATCATCAGGGTCAGATGAAGCAAATGAATGGATGCGGTAATGTAATGGCCCCTTGTACACATGGATTTGAAAATATATGCGGGAAAGGGCAGTACACGTCTTCATGGTAACGTTCAGTCTGTAAAAGATACAGACATTATTGTCACAAATATGCAATCGGGACGCCTTTGAGGGCACTTAAATAGCCCATCCACCAGAGAACTCGACCTAGATTCACATGCAAACGAAGTCACGCGCTCCCCCACAAGCAAGCACGATCAAGTCCAGCAAGAAAGCGATATTCATTACGCTTTAACTCAAAGGCTAATATACAACCAAAAACCACATCACTAACGTAACGAAACGTAATCAGCATCGTCATGATACATACGTGCCGAAGCGTGTGTCCGAGCGGTCGTCAGGGCCGGGAAATAAGATCCAGCAAAGCCAAAAAAAATAATAAGGGGGGAGATTTGGGCCAAAGGCAAAAGAAGAAGAATCGAAGAAGAAAAAAGAAGCGAGTGTCGGGCGAAGTTTTCCAGGCGGGAAACTTCTTCGAAACGAAACAAAACAACAAAAAGGGATTTTTTGCTTTCTTCCTTCCACACTCGCTCAAGCAACGAAAGACCGTGCCGACGAAACCGCCACGCGCGGCGGGACGATGCCCACGCCGACGGCGGTCGCCCGGATGGAGCTGACGACCGACGACACCGCCGGCGCCAACGGCGTCGCCGAGCTGGCGCGCAGCAAAGAGCTGGGCACGCCGCCCGCCGACGATGCCACTGATCCCACGGCAGACGACACGGCCGGAACAGCGCTCGCCGCAACCGAAGCACCGCTCGCCGCGCCGGCGGCCCCGCTGCTGAGGACGGCGGGCAGGACGGCCGCGCTGACAGCAGGGCCATTCGAAGATCCAACAGAAGGGAGACCCGCAGCGCTGACGGCGGGTACGCTCGCGGCCACAGACGCGCTGACACCAGGCACACTCGCACCCACACTCGCTCCACCCACACCCACCGACGCCGAGACGTCCGCCGCAGCGGCAACCGACGCAGCCACACCGGCAGACGCCTCAGCCGTAGCATTGACGATGGGCAGCACGACCGCGACATCAGCCGCCGACGTGACGCCTGGGAGACCCGCGGCCGCAGTGAGCGAAGCGCCAGCGCCGAGCGCGGCGGTCGCAGAGACGCCTGCGCCCAGGCCGACGCCAGCGTCGACGTCAGGCAGCGCCGCGCTGAGGGACGCGAGGGCGGCGGAGGCGGACGGGAGAGCGGCGGAGGGGAGGTCGGGGAGGGCGTCGCTGATCGAAGCGATGGCGGCGGAGATGGAGGGGAGGACGGCGGACGGGAGGGCGGGGAGCTCGGTGTCGATGTCCTCGACGACGTCAGGGAGGGCGGCGCTGAGGGAGGCGAGGATGGCGGAGGCGGTGGGGAGCGCGGCCGAGGGGAGGTCGGGCAGGACGTCGCTGATAGACTCGATGGCGGCGGAGATGGAGGGGAGGAGGTCGTCGACCGCGGCGGTGGGGAGGTCGGTGGGGAGGGCGGGGAGTGTAAAGTCAGTGAGGTCGCTGACGACGTCGTCGGTGTCAGGGAGGGCGGCGCTGAGCGAGGCCAGGACCGCGGAGACGGTGGGGAGGGCCGCGGACGGCAGGTCCGGGAGCGCGTCGCTGATGGAGGCGATGGCGGCGGAGATGGAGGGGAGAGCGATGCTGGGGAGGGCAGTGATGTCGTCGACGACGTCAGGGAGGAGGGCCTCGAGGGACTCAATCGCGGCTGAAGCCGAGGGGAGCTCAGCAGAGGGCAGGTCAGGGAGAGCGGCGCTGAGCGACTCGAGGGCGACCGAGACGGAGGCGACCAAAGACGGCGCCGCGATGTTGGTCGGGAGAGCGTCGACGTCCGGGATCAGGGCCTCGAGGGACTCGATGGCGGCGGAGACCGAAGGCAGCTCGGCGGACGGCAGGTCGTCGATGATGGCGCTGAGGGACGCGATGGCTGCGGAGGCCGAGGCGACTACGCTGGTGGGGAGGGAGCCGAGGTCGGTGTCGAGCGGCAGGATATCGGTCTCCAGGGCCGGGATGTCGAGGCTGGCGGACGGCAAGGCGGGGACGGGGATGGAGCTGAGGACGCTTGCGGCGAGGTCGGTCACGTCGGCCGAGGGGAGCTCGGTGGGGAGGGCGTCCTGGATGGCGGAGACGACGGCCGAAACCTCATCGGAAGGGAGGCCGGAGCTGAGGGCTGCCACGAGGCTGGGAAGCGCGAGGGTGAGGTAAGGGAGATCGGTGGGGGCACTGGGGGGCCAGAAGTGCTCAATTATGGAGAAAACAGAAGGGAGATTAGCGGTGGGAAGAATGGTCTCGAGGACGTCTTCAATGTTGGTGATAACATCAGTGGGAATGTCAGTGGGGAGAGTCGTGAGGTCGTCTTCGATGTCGGAAACGGCAGCGGATGCAGATGCGGCAAGGGAAGGAACATCAGTGGTGAGGATGTCCTCAACATCCGAGACAACGTCTGACACATCAGCCGTGACGATGTCGTCAAGGTTGGAGACAGCAGCGGGCAGCGTCTCGACCGTGGGGAGGAAGGTGAGGTCAATGACGGGCGGGTTCGGCAGCATCGGGGTCGGGGCCCTGGTGAAAGCATTGCTCAGCTTGGCCGAGAGAACACTAGGAGTCGGCACAGGAAGGTTGGTCGAGAGGCGAGGAAGCCACCAGTACGTCTCGGTGGGCAGGCCAGACGGTAGACCGACGCCGATAGGGCCGCTGCGAGAGAGGGGAGTTGGCTTGCCAATCGATGGCGACGACACTAGGAGCAACGAGCCCGAGATGGGCAAATCCTCATCAAGCAGCGATTCCGCAAGCGACGTCACATCCGAGCCGAGCGACGAGAGCACAGACGACAGACGAAGCGACGACAATGCAGCCGACGGGAATGGATGCGATGGCCGGAGCAGAGTGGCGGGCAGCGGCTTCAGTGATGGAGACTCGGCGCACGCACCGAAGCCAGCCTGGCAGCCAAAGCCGCAGTAAGCCGTGCCGTTTCCGCAGAAGCCATAAGGAGAGCAGCAGCGACCCCAAAGCGGGTCACCCTGGGGGCACTCCCTGAGCGGGATCTCGGGCCAGAGCGCACCACAGAGCGCGTTGGTGCGCAGCGGCTGCGTGGCTGAGAGAGTGACCGATGCCGCGACAGACACAACGAGAGACGCTTCCTCGGAAACATCAGCGGTAAGTGTGACCCCGTTTGAAATGACCGTCGCCTCGGGAAACTCCAAATCGTCCGTCGCCGTGATTGGTGCCGTAAGGTCGAGATCGATAAGCTCAGATATGGTAGCGACCAGATCCGATAGAGAGGCCGGCACCGAGCCGTTCAGGGAGTCGAGCAGGGACGACAAGACCGACGGGGCGGCTGTCGGGATCCCAAGCTCAGCCGAGACGTCGGCAGAAACTCCGGCGGACACTGCAACTGATCCGGAAGCCGAGCCTCTGAGCTTGGTGGCATAGCAGCGGCCAGTGGGGGCTGCCGGAGCCGTTCCACTGGGGATAGAGGCCAGGAGAGTGCAAGGCTTAGGCGAAGTGGGATCCCAGAGGGAGATTTCGCAAGTATCGCCAAAGTAGTCGCAAAGGTTCATGCAGTCATCGAAGTCCTTGACGTCCGTTGGAACATGAGTCGTGATGTAGGGAGCGACTGCGTTGGAATCCACGTCCTCGCAGAGGATGGTGAAAGTCGAGTTGCCAATTGCGCGTGAATCAGAGGCAACGCCAGTGGGAACCGGTGGAAACCCGGGGAACCGCTGGCCATTGCTTGCTCGGACGAAGAGCAAAATGCCCACAGGAAACGAGAGACCGGCACGATGCATCATTGTTGCTTCAGATAGTGAAAGAAAGACAGAAGGCTGAGCGGATGGTCTCTAAGATGCAGACGAGAGAAGAGGTTTAAATAAAGTAGGCAGTGTGACAGGAATGAACTCCGGTTATCCAACAATGGACAGGCTGCAAAGGGCCCTTAAGCTGAGAATGGAATTCAACGGTTCGAACAATAGTGTTATACCATGTATTGCGGGGTTGCGTCCGGAAGAGTAGACAAGGGAGGGGGAGGAACTTGTTCACCTGGAATTTCATTAAAAAGAATTACCTAGTTTGCAACAAGGTACAGAAATCGAGGGATATTCAGGCACACGAGCTCTAGCGTGACCCGGCATGCTGGCTACGTTTTTGGCCTTTCCGTGGAGAAATTGCGGGCGAACTCCTTGCGCAGGGCAGGAAGTACGCCTTTAGGATGTTCCGAAGCGTCGTCTGACCTCAGAGCTTGAGAAATGGAGCTTCCGCGCCCTCCTGGCCAAATTAACGTCGCATTCTGTGGTCAGCGATCTTCGATCTTAAGAATCAGCAAAGGTGAAAAGAGAAATGTAGTTGGCGTCGGGCCGGCCGGCATGGGGGAAGTTCGGCGAAGGAGGCTTTTCACCAGGAGAAGGCCCGTGAGCATAAATATTTGCACCCACCACCCACGCCCGGTTCTACCCCAAATTTCTCTCCGTCTTTCACCATGGAACACTTTTTAAAAGGCCTGCAAGCCGGGGGCAGACTCCAAGAGCCGGGAGGATGGCCGAGTGGTTATGGCGCTAGTTTCAGGTCTTCTGAAAAGAGTCCCGAAGATAGGGTTTACTAGTTGGGAAACCTTCGTGGGTTCGAGTCCCACTCCTCTCATTATCGTCTCTTTTTGCCATTGGCATGGTCAGTTGTGGTGGTGGGCTGTTTTCTTTTTGTGTATAGGTCTGGGTGGGCGTCGTGGCGGAACCTACCGGGCTCGGCAACCTCAACACCAGGACGCAGTGTGGACGGAGGTTATGACGGTCCGAAGCAAGTCTTCGTGCATAAAAGTTGGCTAACACTATGTGGGGAGGGCGTTCTGTCTGTATCATACAGAATAGAACCTCCACAGAGCATTCGGCCGGGCGTTCTTTTACCGCAGCGTAGTCCGCGAGAACATCAACATGCAGTTACACGAAACAGAGGCTTACATGAAACCCAGCACGATCTGTTGCCGTTCATATGCATGCGTATCCATGGAGCTCATGGGAAGTGATACTTCCGACGCAGACGGCAATCAGCGGTGTCAGTGCGGATTTACGCGTAGCCACCGAAACAGCAATGCTTGAGTGTCTGTCTATCAGCGGCTAGCAACATGAAGCGATTGAGGCGAAATATTCCGTGGTGATATGGAACACGGCTTGCTGATAGGTGGAGTTCAGCCACGCGTTTGAGGGAACCGATAAGCGGCGGATGCGGAAGGATGCAGATCGTAGCGGGGAGGCGGGGTCGGCGTGCGTTTGCTTGCGATTGGTGTCTCGTGGATTGGGTTATCAGATGAGTATTGTGTCGGCCGCTTGGTGATACGGTTTCTAATCGTGACCCAGATCATCTCAGCCGGAGTTGATCTTGTGTTCGTTAAAATTCCGTCTACAAAGTAGAAGGTAAGGTTTACATGTCCCAAGTGGAAGGTTCCCGCTTTCTGGCCAAGTCGTGGTCTCCACCATAACACTCACAAGTGGTGATCTTCGGGGTACTCCGAGTTCGGCTCGCCAAAGCCAGCACCATGCATTCATGCTCTTCGCGAGATTTGTACATTGCCAGCAAGTTTAACCGGTAGTACAGGATGACTGAGAAAATCCTTAGAAAGCGGATCAAGCCTGAAGTGATGGTAAGCACCACTCCCTCATTACAACAGGCTCTGTCATACTTTGCATATACGGTCTTATGGACAGCAACATTCCAGTCGGTTGACTTAGGCTGCATACCTCAAATATCTCGAGCTCGCGGAGTATTTTTGAGTGAATAAAGTCAATTGAAGTCATTCTCCGCAGCAGCACCGACACTTGGCGTGGCAATCAAAGCTGCAGCCAAGATGGTGATGATGCACCCCAGTCTCATGCATGCAGGTGATGCAGAGGGGTTTTCGAGGACTCATATGTTTCTCCACGAAATGACCGAGGTCTTTTTCGTTGTGTAACTCGGAGCCGTAGTCGGCGGGTTGCCGTTCGGCATCTGCGGCATCTCCACCCTCGAAAGTCAAAGCGGCATCGTCGGCATCACCGGCCCCAATTCGCTGGCAGTAGGCTTTAGCGCTCGACAATCTGCACTTTACAGGTGTATGACATCTAATATGGAGCCTAAACGGCCGGTCTGGCTCCACTGTTTGGACGATAACGGGCCGCGTCAGAGCTCCCCGCAGCATACTGCATACTCCTCACCAAGCCGCTGGCTTGCCGCATCATACCACCAGGCCTCCAGAGTGCTACCAAATGCATGCATCCACCCTGTATGGCATGATAGTATGCCTGAGTTTCGGGACCCTTCGGACCAGCAGCTACGCGGGGCTTTATCAAGCCCTACATTGCACGTTGCCATCTAATGTCTATATAAAGTCGGGCTCAGAGCACTCTGCTCTCGTCTTCACCACGCCAACAGATCTCCTTAGATCAAAGACAAGCTGCCACCATCCCAGCCCTGACTGAACAGTCTATTCCCACCACCAAAATGCCCATCACCAAGTACAAGGCCGCCGCGGTATGCTTCCCGACTAGGTGCATTCCATCATCTCAATGCTAACCAAAGTCCAGGTCACCTCCGAGCCCGCTTGGTTCGACCTTGAGGGTGGTGTCCAGAAGACCATCAACTTCATCAACGAGGCTGGCCAGGCCGGCTGCAAGCTGGTGGCCTTCCCCGAAGTCTGTAAGTAGCAACAACAAACGTCCTACACATCTTCCTGCGCCTTACTAAGTATCTCCCAGGGATCCCCGGCTACCCCTACTGGATGTGGAAAGTCACCTACCAGCAATCCCTCCCGATGCTCAAAAAGTACCGCGAGAACTCCCTCCGCGTCGACTCGGAAGAAATGCGGCGCATCCGCCGCGCCGCCCGCGACAACCAGATCCACGTCTCGATGGGCTTCTCGGAGATCGACCACGCGACGCTCTACCTGGCGCAAGTCCTCATCGCGCCGGACGGCAGCATCCTCAACCACCGGCGCAAGATCAAGCCCACCCACGTCGAGAAGCTCGTCTACGGCGACGGCGCGGGCGACACGTTCGAATCCGTCGTCGACACCGAGCTGGGCCGCCTCGGCCAGCTCAACTGCTGGGAGAACATGAACCCGTTCCTGAAGTCGCTCAACGTGGCCGCCGGCGAGCAGATCCACGTCGCGGGCTGGCCCGTCTACCCGGGCAAGGAGACGCTGCGCTACCCGGACCCGGCGACGAACGTGGCCGACCCGGCGTCGGACCTGGTCACGCCCGCATACGCCATCGAGACGGGGACGTGGACGCTCGCGCCGTTCCAGCGCCTCAGCAAGGAAGGGCTGAAGATCAACACGCCTGAGGGCGTCGAGCCCGAGACGGACCCCAGCACGTATAATGGACACGCGCGCATCTACAAGCCCGACGGCACGTGTGTCGCGCGCCCGGACAAGGACTTTGACGGGTTGCTGTTCGTCGATGTCGATCTGAACGAGAGCCACCTCACCAAGGCCCTTGCGGATTTCGGCGGCCACTACATGCGCCCGGACCTCATTCGCCTGCTGGTCGATACCCGCCGCAAGGAGCTCATCACCCGCGCTGATCCGGATGGCGGTGTTGCGACGTACTCGACGCGCGAGAGGCTCGGCCTGCACTTGCCGCTCGACCCGCCCAAGGATGAGAAGAAGGGTCAGGTGGGCGTTGCGGGGCTGAAGAGGGAGGAGAAGGATGCGAGGAAGGCGGAGTTGTGAGTGTGATGGGGAATCAAAAAACTTGGGGGGACTTTTCCTTGTAAGATAAATAGGTGTGATCTACGCTCTTTGATAGTTCTTCTTTAAATATTTCCTTGGGCCCAACCTTAGCCGCTATTCTTGACTACGAAAGTGAATGTTGAACATGGAAGTGCATTGAGTCTACAGACCGTTTGACTCCTATGTCAACCGCTGTGTAGGCCACGGTGGATATGGATCTTCCATGCTAACTAGTCAAACTCAAAGCAGTGTCAGGTCATCACTTATCAGCACAAGCATCATGAGTGAGAGAGAAATGTGTGAATATTCGTCAGAAAGTCCAGATCTTCATGAAGATCGTCAAAATCATCCAGACTCGTGAGACTACCTATCGTCCCTTCGCAAGCTCATGCCGTAGGTCAGCCATGCTCGCAATCAAAAAGTAGCCCTCCATGCCATGTCTTCCACCATCAAAACCTGAAAAGCAAAACCAAGTTATCCCAGTCGTCATCTCCACCATCATGCTTTTCCCCATCCATCCCTCCCATCAAAACCCCGAAAAAGCAAAAAGAGAACCCGAGTTATCCTGAATCGTCCTCTCATCCCGTCCGTCCCCATCAGCGCAGCCCAACAAGGCACCCCACCACGACCGCAAACCCCGCCACGACGACCTGCACGCTGGCGAAGACCGGCTCCACCAGCGCCGCGCTGACCCTGACGAGCGGGTGCATCCAGACCTGCTGTCCGTCATCCGGGCCCAGGTATCCACCATCGGCGTTATAAAGCGTACGTGATACGGGAGTGAAGAGCCTGTAGCTGAGGCGTCCGCCGTAACCGAAGTGGCCGAGCGTGGAGAGGCGCGCGCCGTCGTTGGCGTCGTCCCACAGCTTGCGCTCGGCCTCGGACAGGCCAGCGAACCAGAAGAGCGTGAGGAGGGTGAAGAGGAAGGCGAGGAGGGGCCAGAGGTAGACGTGGAGGCGGGGGCAGGCGGATCCAGTGGCGGCGAAGGCCGCCGTGGGAGAAGTAGGAGAGGTGGGCGAAGACTCGTCGTCGCTGGTGGGAGAGTTGGGAGGCGGCGCGGTGGTGGTCGGCGACGACTCCTCGCTGGGCGGGGAAATGCGGATGGACGGGATGTCGGCGATGAGCTCCTTGGGATGGATGTCGACGGCCAAGCGCATGGGGCTGACGACGAGGTCGTTCCGCGACGCCATCTCGTTCAGCTCGTCCTCGGTCTTCTTCGCGTCGGGCCTGCGGTCCTCCAGGTACGACACGTCGATCCCTTGCTGGCGGATGATGAACTCGAGGGCGGCCAAGTACTGCAGCATGAACCTGATGCGCTCGGCGGAGTCCCTCCATATGCCCATGATCTTGCTCTGCGCCTCGTGGAAGTCGGTGAGGCGGCGCGCGTCGGCGGCCTCGAGGTCTTGGACACGCCGCAAGTCTGCGTCCTGGAGATCCTGGATCCGCCGCGCGTCGAGCTCCTCGAGGTAGTCGTTCATGCTGACCTTGATCGCCTGAACCTCGTCGGCTTTCTCCTGCTGCAGGTCTGCGATGGCGGCGTCCAGCTTCGTCTTCTCCTCCTGGACTGCACGGGCGAGGTTGTTGCGCGCGGCGCGCTCCTGCGGGAACATCTGGACGGCCTGCAGCGCATCGGAGGGGCCGGCAGCGTTAGAGTCGGGCTGGCCGTACACGGGCGAGGCGGGGCGGAAGGCTTCTTCGTAGGGGTTGTGGTCGTCGAAGGCGAGCGGGCGCTCCTGCATCAGCAGGGACTTGAGAGGGCCGTAGGGGGATGCGGCGGCGCCGGCTGGCTGGTCCTGCAGCTCGGTCGAGTCGTCCTCGGCGAATTCTGATCCGGTGAAGCCCAGCTCATCGTCATCGGTGAAGTTCGCTTCCGTGGTGGTAGTGAGGCCCTGCTCGTTCTCGTCGGCTGCGGTCTCGTCCTTGGTGGCCTCTTCTTCGGGGTATTCCTCCTCAGCGGGCTCGTCTTCCTGGACCTGGGGTTCGTTCTCCTGGACTTCGGGCTCGTCTTGCTCGGCAATAGGCTCTTCTTGCTCAATCTGAGCGTCTTCATGTTCAACGGTGTGGTCAATGTGAGAGGAGGTGTCGTGATCATCATCGTGAGTGAGACCGGTAGCATGAGTGCCGTCATCGGTATCGTCGGGGCGGTTGTCATCGTCGTAGGTGACACCGGTAGCATTGGAGCCGTCATCGGAGTCGTAAGAAGCGGAGGGAGCGGGGGAGGCGGCGGCGGAGGTGGGTGAGTGAGGGCGAGAGGAAAAGGGAGAGGCGGCGGAGGTGGGTGAATGAGGGCGAGAAGAGGAGGGAGGTGAGCCAGGCTCGCTGCTGAATTCGTCGCCGAGCTCGTCGGCCAGCGTGCGCGTTGCGGAGTCGCCAAAGGCGACCGGACCGCCGAAGTCTGTGCTGAAGTCCGTGGCCCAGGACTTCTTGCGCTCCTCCTCTTCCTCGGCCGCCGGCGGCGGCGGCTCCTGCGGGCTGACGCCCAGCTGAGCGCGAAGCTCCTTGACCTCTCGGGTCCTCTCTTCGAGCTTGGCGTTGGCGGCGAGAAGGTTGCCGGCGTGCTTGGAGCAGCGCGAGTTCATGTACTCGAGCTTCTTCAAGTACTCGGCCTGCAGGCCGTCCAGAGTTTCGTGGAGACCTTTGATCTCCCTGGTGTACTGGTCCGTATCCAGGGCCAGCGCGCCGACAGCTTCCCGCCGCTCGGCCTCCGTCTTGGCGAGCTGCGCAACCAGCTCCTCCCTCTCCCCCTCCGCCCAGTCCCGGCTCGTCTGGGCGGACACCAATTTGTCCTCAAGGACCTTGTTGTCCTTGTTCTGCTGCTGGATCTTCTTCTCCAGCTCCTCGTTCTTCTCCAGCAGCTCCTGGAGCTGCTCCTCCAGCTCGCTGATATATTGCTCCGAAGAGCCGCGCGACGACATGGTGGGTGGTGGTGATGATGATGATGTTGACAAGAAAAAAGGGGTCTGGGATGGTCTTGTCAAAGATGGAATAAAGAAATGTGGATGTAGAAGAAAGGAAAAAGGAGTCGGGGCTGCGAGCGGCGATGAGGTTTTAAGCGCAAGGACCACCCAAGTGACAATGGGTATTGGCCGCTATTGTGCCCATTCAGCCAAGCCCTTCACTCCAAGATAATAGCAAGGCCCGGCACATGCCCTCACCTCCGCCCGCCAGGCAGCAGCCAGTTTACCATCCGCCGCTTGTTGCCCTGTCGGCGCAACCCCTCCAGTTGCGGATGTTTACTTACTTACCCAATTGGGTAGTGCCCAATGCGGACGTCCCAGCATCTCTTGTCTGAAGTTTTCCATATCATTACCATCCAATCAGTCTACTAGAGAGCTGATTGACGAGAGACTGCCTCGCTGCTTTAGTATATAAAGCCTCAATTGAAGCCAATGAAAACAATAGAAGGTAAAAAAAAAAAAAGGTAGGTTGTAAATGAAACATTGTTGGGTAGCTGAAGCTAACGTCCGGACGTAGATGTGAGACTTAAGTTGAGACAAATACGTCCGGACGTTAGCTTCAACTACCCAGCAATGTTCAAATTTTCCACGGCGGCCATTCATACGCCAATATTTACTACTCCAAATGAATGGTGTCCAATGGAGATATCTCAGCATTTACCGTCCGAGGTTCTCCAGCTTGCAAAATCGAACATTGTCGGGTCGTTGAAGCCATCGTCCGGACGAATTTATCTCAATATAAGTCTCACGGCTATCCGGATATTAGCTCCAACTACCCAACAATGTCCAATTTCCCCAGCAAAGTCTGGGGAAAGCAAACATCTTTGTCAGCTGCCATACAAACGCCAGGACACGAAGCCGAGGCAGCAAGCGAGACAAGCAAACAAACCACGACTTACCAAACGGACACGCCCACTCCCACCTCTCATCATATCCACTCCACCTCCAAACCGCCCCCTCGCACTCCAGCAAACCCGTCCACACCCGCGCCGCAGCCGTCGACACAACCCATCCACCCCCGCACTCCCATCCATCCATCCGCCGCCGCCGCCGTCCTCGACGAGAGCCCTACAACAGCCCGACACCCATACCATCTCGAGAAACCCCCAGCTAGCTAGCATCAAGACCCGACCGACGTCCAGCGAAGCTCCGCGTGCGCGCCGCGCCACGCCGCCCAAATTCGCTTGCTCGCCCGGCCAAGGCGGGGACGGACAGAACCGATATGCGAGTGACGGAAGTGCGCCATCATGCATGCATGCCATGCAGGTCGCCGCGGCGGCGGGCCGCCGCCGTTCGTTCGTTTGCCCCACACGCGCGCTGCAAGAGAGGGGCGGGCGCCCGGACACCAGGGCGCCGCGTGCACGACCAGCAGCAGCAGCCAAGGGTGGTTCACAGACACCAGGAGGTGCTTCTGCGCGAAAACCGCAAAAAATTCTTCCTCTACTTCCTCCCACTTCGCCATGGCGTTGTAGCCTTCAACTATCAGATTTTGAAGAAAGTCTGGAGACACGGATCGAGCCCATAGTGTCTCGCCTTTTGAAGGCGGCGGCCTGTTGATTGCGCTGTAGAACTTTTCTATGGATGCGGGTATAATCTTGCGGCTTGTTCTTCTCGGTCTTGAAGTGCTTGTAAGGGTCTTGAGTAGTTCGGCGGTAGGCCGCCGGCCGCCCTCCTGCGACGATCGCATCTGTGAAAACAGCGGATTTGCCCCATCCTTGTTTATTTCGGTCGCCGGGAAGAGTGGAAAAAAGCGGAGTTGAAACGGAGAGCGGAGGATACTAATCGCGCAGGCGGTTGCCGATCGAAAGCGTCCCTCAATGTCCCCTGAAAAAGGCATTGTTTCCTCATGCATGCATTGCACGCATTAGATTTGCCAAGAGGGGAAGGAGAGGACGGAATGCGCGGAACGGAAACGTAGGTCTCGGCCAGGGAAAAAAGGAACAAAGCGCATTGTAAGTAGACGCAGGACCGCGCGTTGCAACGGGGATGCCGTGGTCGGCCTTGCTGCACGCAATTATATTAACCTTTTTGTCTCTCCTGCCTTTGACAAGCATCCTGGTGCATTGGTTCCTAGTGCGCCCCCGCATCCGGGGCCTGATGACGAAGAGTAGGATTCTGATCAGCGCACTATCTGTCTGAACCGCCGCCCCATCGAAGATCTCTGGTTCATCATCGACGTCGAACAGGTACCGATGTCCTAAATACATTCGGTAACGAGCAGCAGGGGGGAAAAACGATCTAGGTAGAAGCGAAGGGTAGTGACAATCGAAAAAAACATATTCATTTGCTGATATCAAAGGAAAAGCATGGCAAACTCCGCCGTTTCATCCCAAACGCCATTCACATTATTGAGACCGTCATCTTGACCCAGTTGAACCGCAATCCCGTTTCATGAATCGATTTTTTTCCCGCAGAAATTCATCCTTGTACGAATGAATCAGCTTACAGCTGGCGGTCCTCGATGCCCTCGTCCTCAGCAACGACCTCCTTTTCGGTGTAGACCGGGGGAGCCTCGGCGGGAATGCCCTCCTTGGTCAAAGCATCCTCCTCATCAGCGGCGACAGCGGTGTAGCCTCTGCCACGCCTCTGCTGGAGCTTGACGTACGTGTAAGCGATGATGCAGCCCAGCATCCAGCCCAGAGCGTAGGTAAAGGCGCCAATGGAGATGCCGATGGCGATGGGGATCATGATGCGGCCGATGGTGGCGAAGAAACGGGCCAGAGGGCTGCTGCGGTGGTGGCGCATGATGCCGTGAGGGCCGTGGTGGGGGCGGTGGTGGTGGTGAGGGCGCTCCTCCTGGTCGGCCTCGGGCCTGGCGGCGGCGGCAGCGCCGTTGGGACGGCCCTTCATGCAGCCGCCCTTGACCTTGTCCAAACCACCCTTCATGCTCTGGATGCGGTCGGAAATCATTGCACGCCACTTGCACAGCACGGGCCAGCCCTGGCACTCCTTGTCATCCTGCTGCGGCCTGCTTCCGTGGATGGGAGCCGCGACGGTGATGGGCATGATGGAGATTTCGCCCTCGGGGTGCTTGAGCAGCTTGACCGAGAGAGCCGGGACGCCGATGTGGTGGGCCTCCAGGGACGAAAGCTGCAGGGTCATGGGGACGAGTTCATCGCCATCCGAGCCGGTAACGGAAGGATCGATCTCCAGGGCATAGGCTGAAATGCGGAGCGGCCTGTCGGTGTACTTTCCAATGTTGGCGCGGATGTCAGTCAGCGGGATGTCGGCCCGAACCTGGTAGACAGGAATCGGCTGAGGAATAGTGTCGAACGCAGGCGGGTAGAGAGGAACGCCATTCAGTTCGACCTTGTGGCTGTCGACGACGGAGAAGTTCAGCAGCTGTGGCGATTATATTAGCATGCATGTTTCGCTGCGGGCGACCGGCGAATGACGTACCAGCGAGTTCTCAATCCCCTGCACCCACACCAGGTCCTCGTCGGATGAGCCGGCAAACGGGCAGCCGGGGCAGTCGAGAGTCAGCAGCTGCGACGATGTGTCGACGAGGTTGAACTCGCGGTTGGGGAGGATGCCGTCGACGGTCGAGGGAATCAGGAAGGCTGCGGAAGGCGCGGAGAGAGCAAGGGTGGCGCAGAGGCCAAAAGCGTAGGACTTCATGGCGAGGTCCGAGACAGAAAAAGGTCACGACAGCAGGAGAACGACAGCACAGATCGGGGGCGAGCACAAAGGAAAGCGAGCGGGTAGAGAGGTGTTTTGAAGTGTGGAGTGAGGGCTCAGACAAAGAAGGGCTGCGCTGCTTCCTTATGCGCCAGCGGGTAGTGCCTGACGCAGGCTTAGCTCCAGTCACGTGCGGGAGATACGCGTCATGGATGATCGTCGGTCGGTCCTAGCCACTATCCCCGCCGCAAGTCTTGATGGCCAGACGTACCCCCAAATCCCCTAATGGCGTTTCACGACGCGTTTCATCGCCGCATGTTCATTCGTGCTGCTCGCTGGCGGCACGTTCGTGCTCATCTCAATCGCACCGCTCCCTTTCGCTGCGCTCCACTCTGGTTCGCCCGCCCCGCCAGGCCGCGCGGTTGCACAGCGCCAGGCCTCAAATTGCGATGGGTCGGCATTCGTCAACATACCTCTCAGCCTTGCGCCGCCTGCCCTGTGCGGGGCCAAGCGTACGTGGTCTTATCCTTATCGTCCGATGGGCTACCGGCCACCGCTGCATAAGAAGCTCAATCTCGACGTCTAACATTCCCAGCAACCAGCCACTCGCTGGGGAGCATGCTCGGACCCCTGTTGCTGATTCGCAGACCCGAGTCCGGAAGCTCCTTCTCGGCCCCGGAGGCGGTGCTTCTGGACGATAAGCTCAACCGTAACCGTTTTTGTTTTCGCGCCTTCTGCTTACTTTTGCTGCGCTAAATGTGTCGCCCATTTGCTCGTTCGTTTTCATCGGTTTTCCCGACGGCCCGCTTTCGCTGTTTCCTGCAGAGCACCATGTTGTTCGGCATCTCCGACCACATCTCGGACTTAAGAAGAGCGAGCCAGCTGTTGCACGGTGTAGCCAGACGATGATATTATCATTGTGGCTGGCGTTTTGACAATCATCTTGATGTTCTGCTAAACTTTAGCAGCTTCATGACGTGCTATGACTTCATTGAGCCAAGTCGCTGTTTCAGCTTGGCATCGCGGCCTGGCACTGCTTCTGACTTTCACCGTTTGAACTTTCGGCTCGCAATCGCCTAATCTTCCTCCTTTTCCCGTCAAATCCAGGGGTTGACCGCAGACCCTTGGGTTTCGATGTCCTTATAGGCTTGAGTTTCCCCTCAACCAGGTACTGAAGAGCTTCAACCGTGCTTCAAACGCTCCTGAAGAAACTGTACCCTTCGTGGCCCATGGACATGCGACAGACAGCCTAATGCAGCCAATTTTCAAGCGGCCGCAGTCCCGCATGCGTTCCACATCACAACTGAACCTGCTAATGCTAGAGATAGTTATAATGTACCGTGCGGAGCCGCACGTTGTCGGTTTCTGTTTTTTTCCCTCATGAGAGACGTTGATCGGAGAGGGCACACGAACCTACTCCGTGCTTCAAGAGAAGTACCTGTCCGTGTGGGGGTTTCACTTTTCCGCTACGAATCAGTTTTCGTGCACGAACCTTCGCTATTAGTTGTCAAAGATGTCTATACTCAAACGTAGGGTTAGGCTCCGCCTGCCAGCAAGCCACGAGCCCGCGCCACATTGAAGACACGGTATCCATATCAAGCGTGGAGCTTCACCTTACTCATTTGCACCACGTTGCCACCCGCTGGTGAATAAGCGCTCAAACACTGCGACCCTGGTAGCTGCGCGTAAATCCGCGCTGACACCGCTAATTGCCGTAGGTGCTGAAGGTCTCACTTGTACACGGTAGCCCCCATGGGTGAATCCATGGGTACGTTTCCTGCTATTAGAGCTCGTGGGCTATCCTGGCGGTCTCATTTAAAATTACCTTTTTCGGGTAGCTTCCGGTCGATTCCAGCTGCAGCTTGATGCCAACCATGCGGATGGCGGACCGAGACATGGACCGAGAGAGGGGAGAGAGGAAGCGCGGGCGATAATAAACGTGATCTACCTCAGTGAGGGGAGTCGATCACAAGTGCAGCATTTCTCTTAAGTAGGCCATTATTATCTCGCAGATGAGGCGCGCAGGCGACCCTTGCTGGACGCATGAACAATGCAAACCCTACCGCCTCAAGCCAGTGCCACAAGGACCAACCTACTCATCACTAGCGTTTTTCTCAACTCTAGTATAGACGGATTAGTAGCCTGATTGGGCTAAGTTTTTGTTCTTTCGACGTGCGAAGATGAGACGTAGCGGCGGCTCGTGCGAAGGCCGTGCGGAGGGCCGGACAGGGCAAGTAGGAAACCAGAAAAAGTAGATGGGCAGACATTTGTGATTGGCCTGTGAATGTACTCTGTTGCCTGGAAAGGTTAAGCTAGTGTGGTTTTCTAGTCATAGCTAAGTTGTGTCTCAGGCAGCACTAGACGTTTACTGAGTCATTCATCTTTGAAGGACGGAGGGGGCGTCGACATTGGGCGACACTGACTGCGTGGAAACCCCAGAGCAGGTGCAGGCAGGAGATCAACATGTAGGAGGTCAATGGTGCCGCGTGAGTAAACTTTTAAAAATTTTCAAATAGTCAAATATGAATGGCTGCAGACATGCTGGCCTATTTCTGTGCCTCAACAATGGCCTTCGCAACAGCCGACTCCAGCGTCTCACTCGGCGGCGCCTTGATGAGGTCGTTGTCGCGACTCTCGTAGAGCGTGCCTCCCTGCGTCCAGATCCTCCGCAACGTGAACAGAGCAGCGTACGAGACGCCCTGCTCCCAAGCCTCCTGCTCCGCCTTCTCGAGCTCGGGAAGCGGCGTGTAGGACACGTCCCACTTGGCGTCGGTCTGCCGCTCGTACTCGGCCAAGATCTCCTTCGGCGTGGTCGTGAAGGAGTTGACGATGAGAGCACGATTGGCCGTGTTCTCCGGGTGCTGGAGCGCGGCCACCACGAGCTTGCCGACGCTGTCTCGAATCAGCACCACATATTCCGGGTTAAAAAAAAGATGAAAAATACTCACTCATCCATGGTCGTCAAGCTGATCTTGCCCTCCCCATCGCCCAGCAACGTGGCCTTCTTAGCCTGGACATCGAAGCTGCCAGCGGTGGCGGCCACGCTCTTCTGGATGTACAGATCCGCGTACGGCCCGGTCACAACGTACGTGTACTCGAGCCGCTTGACGGCATCGGACTCGAGGTACGCACGCACCTTCAGCTTCTGCTGGTGCGGCTTCTCGGTGGCCGACTGCGGCCCGTACTTGATGTCGGTGCCGTACTCGCTGGGGAAGAAGCGCTTGATGCTGGGCGACTGCTCCGCCAGCTTGATCAGGTTGATCTGCTCGGCGATGACGTTGCGCCCCACGGCGCTGACGACGGTGTCGAAGCCTGGAGGGACGATTAGCCTCTCGTTGTTTTTGGAAAAAGGATGTATATGCTGGGGCAATTGGTTCGTTGGGAGGGGACACCACGAATGGAAAGCAAACTGCGGGGTAGCACAGACCTTTGTAGACCTCGAGAATCTTGCTTTCGTCATTGAAGTCGCCGACGAAGACTTCGACGCCCTTTTCTTTGAGCGCCTGGATCTGCGCAGCCTTGTGCTCCACGGTGGCTGCGGATGTGTAGATGCCGATGCGCTTGAAGGGCGGCTGCGCATTCACCAGCGCGTTGGTGATATAGCGCCCAATGACGCCAGTCGCACCAATGACGAGCACGTTCTCAGTCGGAGGGGCCATGTTTGTTGTGAAGATTGACTTTGAGAGTAAGGTTGCCGGAAGCTTTATAAGGACCAAACGCCATGCTTATTGATCTTGCGACATACTACACGTGATGGCGATCCGGATTGTCGAATGTAGAAAGCGCGCCCTTCACAAGCCGAAGGGCGCCGGAAGTGGGGAAAATCGATCGTGGCCCCTCAGCCTCTTGCTGACCGAGGGGTGGGTCCCTCCACGATTGGAGCATGGACGCTTTAGGGGTAGTCATGCCAAAACACATTCACGTCGAGGGAGCAATTGTCATCCGAATGGATCATGTATTGATAAAGCTGGCTTGCGCCGCCATGTCCTTCATATCCATAAGCTTTGTAGAAACAAGCAGCATAACCGTCAAACTCCGGCCCAGCCCATAATCAGAAAGCAGAGAACCGTTCCCATGATGATATCCCAGCCATCGCTCCCATCGACACCCATCCGCTGATGTAATTGACACGTGCGCCGGAACCAGAATGAGCTGCCACGATGCGCGAAAGCCGGTTGGAGGTTGAGACGAGGCGTTTAACCACCGAAACCGTACAGGGTGCGGCCCTGGCGCTTGAGGGCGTAGACGACGTCCAGCGAGGTGACGGTCTTGCGCTTGGCGTGCTCGGTGTAGGTGACGGCGTCACGGATGACACCCTCGAGGAAGGACTTCAGGACACCACGGGTCTCCTCGTAGATCACTGTTGTGGAGTCAGTGGCGTGTTCCGGGACGCGTTGGTGTTATGATGAGTAGGACTTACTGGCCGAGATACGCTTGACACCACCACGACGAGCGAGACGGCGGATAGCGGGCTTGGTAATACCCTGGATGTTGTCGCGCAAGATCTTGCGGTGACGCTTGGCGCCGCCCTTACCAAGACCCTTGCCACCCTTGCCACCTATAGATGAGAGTCAGCAACGTGTCAAAGACGTGAAACTATTATGCATGTGCAGAGGCAGTGTGGTTGAGGGCGGTGGGTGAGGGTGAGGTGGGCCGATGATGCAACACCACGGGCGGCGTCGCGACGCGTATCGCGACCGGCAGCGCCACCCTGCGACGCGACCACCCAAGCCGACACCGATGCTCGCAGCAACATGCATGCAGAAGGTTCGAGGGCACTTACGGCCAGTCATGTTGGCTTCGAGTGTTGTTGGAAGAGTAGAGTGTTGATGATAGTCGTGGACAAAGGCGTGGTGTTGATGTCACGCTGTTGGGCTGCGGATGGTCGGAAACGGTGAAAAGAGAGGAGAGGGGAGGGCGAGGGACAGCCGGGCGGTAGCTTTAAATAGGAGGGCCGGGTGATTAGGTTGCGACTGCTGGAGCGAGGCGCGCTAGACCGGTTCGGGGGCGGTGGCCAAGCGCAGCAGCGACAGGAACATCAAAAAGCGCAGGCCAGAAAGGCGTGGGAAAAGCAGGCAGCTTTCCAGCACTTGATAGCAGCCATTTCTGTGCTTTCCGCACTGCGCGGGTGACCGCCCGGCGAGCGCGCCGCCCGCCGAGGTTTCTCCGCCCGGCCCTCCGAGGAACGCGAAAACGCGTCGCCCCAAAACAACACCACGCCCCTCCGATCCGCCGCACCGCCCGCAACCCGGCGGATCATCGCTGCTGCACGGGCCCAAGCTCCATTGACTGTCATGAGCTACTTTATGCTTGCCAGCATGTTCCTGATCCTCGAACAACTTCAGGACCTTGCTGTGCGATAGCTGACTATGTTGGCGACTCGAGTCACGGTTCCAGATTCTAATGAGAGCTTTTGAAGCAGCAAAAGCAGATTCTGCCCACAGCAAGTTGCGGATCACTAAGGTTGTCCGTGCAGAAGATCCAGAGGGAATTAAGCTCTCTGACTGGCATACCACCTACTAATATAGCTAACCACGTCGTCCGACATTTCGATCCACCGTGTCGGATCCCAAAAATGACGTTTGCTCACTTCCCGCCATACCGCTCTTGACTTTGTAGCGATCTCCGTACTGTATGTGCCTCTCCAGTGAACTAGCGACCCAGCGAAGCAGCGCGACCGCCGTATTTAAGTCAACCGGAAGTAATCCCAGCTGGAGGTGCGTGATAGTACTTCTCCCGCTATCTCTGTTAGAGCTTGTTCCAAAGCATATCATCAAGATAGCGCTCCATCAACGCTGCTGGCCGAAGGCCTCAATTCGCAGGGTAGGGTTGCCTGCAGCTCGCCATCCGTAGGTGCGAACGCGTAGGCTTCCGCTATTTCATCTCTCGTCCCAAGACACCCCATGAACGCGACATTTATTCTGCTTGCGCCTCTCTACTTCCCACAGAAACTACCCCCAACCTCTACGGTCTTCTAAACGACCGGTCACCACGCAGCAGATAAGTCCTCTATCATAGGACAGCATCCTACCATTTCCCCCGCCGTTAACACTCTCCTGCCTCTTGCTCGGCACCCACAAGTTCCTGACGATGACAGTTGCTCTCATTAATATTAATCATGTCTCTTGTGTTTTCGCAGGACGATGTTTACGAGGAACTTCACGCAATACTCGAACGAGTCAACCAAAAGAGAGATGGTGTAAATTACATGGGATTCGCACCATCTAAAGGCCGCAGATGCGAGAACCCAATTAGTACTAGAGACTACGCTGCTTTCAAAGCAACACTCTACGAACTCTAATGATCCTGTCATCTGCTCTTAACCACTAGGCCCTCCTGCCCATACGTCAACCTCAACATTGCAATTTCTTTAGCGACATATTCTCTCCAGGCGACGACTGCTTTCTGAAGATGCCCTTTAAAGAGAATCAGACTGGCGGATAGGGTCAGATTCTGGGCTCACGCCGGGCTTATCTGTGCAGATTGTGATGCCGATGCCGATAGCGGCGGTGAGTGTCAAGTGCTTGGCAGAGCTACTTAGGCTTCGTGTAAGAGATTGTTGCGTCCCGTTTTCTTTCTATTTTTCAGCTTCGTTTGTTGTCGGCGCTCGAAGTATCTTCTTTAATTTTAATTATCTTTATGAAGCAGTGTTGGCCATCGCTATCAATCTGAATCACTAGCAGACACAAATCAACCAGACCGTGTGCTGTCGGAGGAAATGTACTATCAGCATCAAAGAGCCTGGACGTTCTTACTTACTCGATCGCACAAAGCCAGAGGCAGATGCCACCGGCACCGTTTGGGTTCATCGTCGAAGGTACGTACATGCAGAGGCGCCCAATCATCTTTATGAAAGAGTGTTGGTGACTACTACCTAACTCAGGAATCGAATGATCTTCCGCAGACCGGAAAGGCCACCGCAATCTTGCTTTCTTGAGGTGGCACAAGCACTACGGCAAGGTACGGGTGTGTGGGAATCCGCTGATTTGGGGGCCAACTTGAGGTCATCAAGATTCTTGCAAACGGATTTGACTTCCCGTGGCCAACTGCCGGACAGCGTCCTGCGACCTGTGGATGCCCTTCTCTGCAGGTATGGCCGCCGGAGCCGACAATATTAACGTTTATTCGTAGGTCCAGAGCCTGATACCTCAGAGGTAACGAGATGTTTCGCGGAACTTATAGCTCATGCCACACGGAGTCAAGACGGTTCCACGACGTAATGTTCAGCTAGCCACCATTTCATGGCACTCGCTTGCAGTCGATTGTCTACGCAGCCTTGAGGAAACTCTCCAATCATTTCCTTACTTGGCAACGGCCCGGCGCTTAATTGTGATCCTTCGCCAAGCCCCATCTTCTCCAGGTTGCTTCCTCCACCCCCATCAATATTTCAGCACATACCGAATTCTGCAGCAATTGACAAACATCCGGTGGGGCCCTACCGTCAAGAATGTTTCTATATCGGGTCTATTCGTCTCGTCTGCCTGCGTCGCAGCGCTTGCGTGCTCAAGCACTTCGCTGTGCGGCGTAGAAACCCACCAACACGTTTCATGGGTGCAGGGATCTGAGAAAACTCAGCCTTCATATCGTCACTCTACTTGCGAATGTGGCTGTACACCCTGCTCTGTATATTCTAGCACACCAATTTTGAAATGACGTATACCTAATTAACTTTGGGGGTACATACGACAAGTAAGTCACACAAAGCCGCTGTTTTGGCAAACGGTCGGATTCCATTCCAAGGAGCGGGACGGTTCTTCGGCCGGCGCTAACATATCTCCAGCTTCAGTGGAAACATCTTTACAACTCATCAGATCTACATTCTACTTCTTTCTACGTTTCAAAAGACGTAGGTAGCCCCGATGCAAAGGTTGCTATTCCTGTACAGAAGATCTCGTGCGGATGTCTACCACTGTGCTGGGATCTCTGGCCCGGTCTTCAGCTTCCACTAGAACCGCGTTTGTATGGGGCGCGGCATAGACCCCTGTCATTTGCCGAAGGCAACAGGATGAAGTACAGCACAGCAGCCGTCAGAAGGTACGCTTGTCCATATCAGTGCATTACCCCTCTTATCATAGCCTAATCGGGTATGTTGAGATCATGTGTGCGGCGTAGCCGAGCGCTTAACCCGGACGCCCACTTTCACACCGCCCACAAACAGTGGCTTTGTTCGGACCGTGTGAATGCTGCGCATGCCCGAGACATGGCTGAGCCTTAGGAATTACTCGTGCTTGCCTTGTCAGCCTTGCTGTGCCGCGTCGGAGAGGGTGCAAACGCTACTTAAAACCGTCCCCCGTCGCAGCCCCCAAGAATTTGCGGCGAGGACAACAGCGACAACGGAGTTTACGCCCTTCTTCAATTTGTTTCTTGTATTACCTTTAACCCTTTTTGCCGTTTGGCTCTATTCTTATCAGGATGTCTCTCGGGCTTTCGCAGAGTCAAGTCTACTCAGCACTCAATAGCATACTCAAGCCAGAAAATCCGCAGAGGGGCAGTGTCACCTGTGTCGGCTACGCTCCATCCAAGGGTCGACGGTGCCAATGGGCGATAAACGTGGACAATCGAGCTGCATTTGCTCAAAAACTTGATGAGCTTGCAGGTACCGACCTCAAAGACATCTCCGGATACCTGTATGATCTTGCATCGTTGGGCCTGTGTTTGAGATACCACCAATCTCAAGCTTCACAGGTTGCTGCGCAATGGTCTCGACAAATAAATTCATGGTTGAGAGAGCAATCAACCATCGGGGCTACTCAGTACCGCTCAGAGCGTACCACTGCTTTTTCGCGATCGGACGCCATAAGGGCCGGCACGACTGGTGCTTCCGATGCGCAGGTCCCGGCGCGAACGGCTTTCCGACTGAATCGAAATAGCCAGAATACCGCTCGGAGAGAGGAGGTTATTGAAGTAGTGGAACGTACATCCGGACTCCACACTTCAACTCGCGACCGCTTTCGACCTCAAGTTGTTCAGCCATCGCAAGCCACACCCAGTTCCCCCAGGCCGCCGCAGACAAGCACTTTCAGCAACCTATCACCTACGCCTAGAGTTGAGCCCATCTCCAGCACCTCTCAGCCGTCTCTGAGAAGTGTCTTGGAGGACATACCACCTGTACCCAGAACGGAACCCACCAGCTCCCCTGGGTCCTCGTCGAGGGCTGACTTGGCGAACCTGCCGTCCCCACCCAGCTCGGAATTCACGTTCACTGCTGGCAGGCGACTTGCCTCTCTAGAGCAGGCATCCACCTCGGATGCTAACACTCAACCTATTCCAAATCTGCCATACGTATTCGCTACGAACTTCTCGGCAGCCACAACACTTCCAGCTCCTACACCCCAAAACCAACGTACTCCTCCTCCAACTGTCGTGGCACCAAGCCCGCCCACGATGCCAGTCCAAGCAACACCATTGCCTGCCGCAGCTGCACCCACCGTTCCTTCAACAGTGACAGCAACACCGCCCACCACCGCCACGCCAGCCACAGAAGAAAGACAATGCACCGCATCACACGCAGAGCGCAAGAGCCTCGAAGACGACTGCCCCATCTGCCAAGAACCCCTGGAATTGACACCACTAGCTGACCTAGTATGGTGCAAAGCCCAATGCGGCACCAACTTCCACCGCGAATGCTGGGCGGAGTGGGAAAGCAGCCAATTAGGCAGCACATCGACCGGCCTCCCAACCCTCCGCTGCGCCTTCTGGTATGTAACAACCCCCTCTTCCCTCCCCTCTCCCCTTCACCTTTACCAAGCTAACCCCTCCCCCCAGCCGCACATCTTGGCCCACCCCTTGCCACCACGACACATCCACACCCCCCGCCGCCCCGACGATCCAACCCGAACCCGCTGCAGACGACGACGCTGCCGCCGCCGCCGACGACGACGACGAGGAAGACACCTTCTTCCCGCCATCGTTCTTCGACCCCCGCAGCCACGTCTGGTCCCTCTGGTCGCCATCTCCGTCCGCCACCACCACCACCACCACATCGTCGTCACCAGACCACTCCTCCCCCCTCGCCGCCCTGTTCGACCCGGCCCGCCACACGCGCCCGCTACTACGCGACCGCCGCGCGCGGGCGGACGTCTTCTTCTTCGCTCTGCCTGCCGCCACTGCCGCCGATGCCGACGATGAGGAGGCACGAGGAGACGGTGACGGGGAGGGAGATGGACTGCACAACGACATCGCAGCCTCGCTCGCCGCACTGTTCAACCCGCGCGTGCATCGACGCGCGCAGGTATTTTGTGGGTGGGAGACAGCGGAGAACGAGGAGGAGGGCGGCGGCGGCGGCGGGACGGGGTTCGATGTGCTGTTTGATGCGAAGAGGCATGGGCGCGCGTTGAGGAGTGAGCGGTTGGCGCGGGCGGCGGTGTTGGATGCGGATGACGATGGTGAGGGTGGTGTGTTGGGGGCGTTGTTCGAGGAGGAGGTTTGTGAGGTGGAGGAAGAAGAGAAGCTGCAGCAGGGCGGAAAGGGGAGGGAGCTGCAGATGGTGTATGTGACGCTTGTGGATGATCCGGGGAAGGAGGAGGAGAGAGATGGGGGTGAGGATGAGGAGGAGCAGGAGGAGCCGACGGGGTTGTGTGAGCGGGTGGCTTGGTGGGTTTGTGGGAGGAGGTTTTTGTGATGGTGGTGCAGTGTTCTCCCTCGTCGCCGTTTTTTCTTGTTTCTTGTTTCTTATTTTCTAGGGCGTCTTTTTCTAACTTTCCAGGCTTCTACTTTGGTTTTCCTGTTTGAATTGGGAGGGAGGGACCACGACTTACGAGAGAGGGCCGGCTATGCACACGACACGGTATGACGACTGGATGGGTCATGATGGCGATGATTCCCCATGATTTCTTTTTTCTTTTCATTTTGCGAAATTTTGAGGTCCACCTCCCAGATATCCCGTTGGCTCTAAACTCAATCCTTGCTTGACTATAACGATCATTCGATGCCTTTAAAAATTTGGATCAATTCTTCAAGTGAGTTTTTATATCCAATGACATGACTCTTGGTGTTGCGCTAGGAACGGGAAGGCTGTGGAGCCGCCCGCTTAGATCTCCCCCGCAAATGTGGGAAGGCCGCGGCTAGAAGCGGCTTCTCCGCACCCCAGTTCCCTTGTACCGCTGGCAAGCTCCAAAACAACACTCAACTCCCTCCTTCCATTCCTCCTCCTCCGCCCTTTCCCTCCTCTCCCCATTGCAGCAAATAAAAATGGCGTTACGAATGCGCCCCGCCATCCGGCGCACCTCCCTCCTACCCTCGCGTCCCACCAGCATCCTCCCCGCCGCCCACGCAAGACCGCATCTGATCCCCCGCACCAGCGTCACCGCCGCCGCGTCCTCCCCCTCCGCCGTCCGCACAATCGCCAGCCACACCTCCACGCACCACGCCTCGCTCCTCTCCACCCTCCCCGCCGACGACGGCATCGACCCGTCCAGCCCGACCTTCCGCGACAACGCGACGGCGTTCGCGGCGGTGCAGGCGCGCGTGGCGGAGCTGCACGCGGCGGCCGCGCGCGGCGGGCCCGACAAGGCGCGCGAGAAGCACGTCGCGCGCGGCAAGATGCTGGTGCGGGACCGCGTGGCGGCGCTGATCGACCCGGGCACGAGCTTCCTCGAGCTGAGCGCGCTGGCCGGGTACGGGTGTTACGAGGGCGAGGACGTGCCGGCGGGTGGGATAGTGACGGGGATTGGGGTGGTCGAGGGGGTAAGATGCGTGATTGTGGCGAATGATAGCACGTACGTTAATAATAGTGAAGATAAGAGGGGGAAACGGAGGGCGCTTTGAGTGCTGATTGTGTTGGCTGGTTTCTAGGGTTAAGGGCGGGACGTACTATCCGATCACTGTGAAGAAGCACCTGAGAGCGCAGGCCATTGCGCAGGAGAATAGTGAGATGCCAGGGAGGGCTGCTGAGTGGAGCTGAGCTGATGCTTTTAGGGTTGCCTTGCATTTATTTGGTCGACTCTGGCGGCGCGAACCTGCCCCATCAGGCCGACGTCTTCCCCGACCGCGAACACTTCGGCCGCATTTTCTTCAACCAGGCCAGGAGTACTGAATACCTACCCCGAATGGCACTTCTAGCTTCTGGCTTACTTTTCTACAGTGTCATCAATGGGTATTCCTCAAATCAGCGTTGTGATGGGTCCATGTACCGCGGGCGGCGCCTACGTCCCCAGCATGTCTGACGAGTCCATCATCGTCGCCAAGCAAGGCCACATTTTCCTCGCCGGCCCGCCGCTAGTCAAGGCCGCGACCGGCGAAGTCGTGAGCGCCGAAGATCTCGGCGGCGGAGCGCTGCACAGCGAGATCTCGGGCGTGACGGACTACCTGGCCGTCGACGACGCCCACGCCCTCGTCCTCGCGCGCCGCAGCATCGCCAACCTCAACTACCCCAAAGCCACCTCCCCCTCTCCTTCGTCGCTCGACGCCCCCAACCGGACCGAGACGTGGGACGAGCCGCTGCACGACCCGAAGGAGCTGGCCGGCATCGTGGGCACCAACCCGCGGCTCCCCGTGCCGGCGCGCGCCATCATCGCGCGCATCGTCGACGGCTCGCGCTTCGACGAATTCAAGCCGCTGTACGGCACGACGCTGGTCACGGGCTTCGCGCGCATCCAGGGCCACCCCGTCGGCATCCTGGCCAACGACGGCATTTTGTTTTCCGAGGCGTCGCTCAAGGGCGCCCACTTCATCCAGCTGTGCAGCAAGCGCGGCATCCCCTTGGTCTTCCTGCAGAACATCTCCGGCTTCATGGTCGGCGCTGATGCTGAGAAGGGCGGCATCGCGAAGAACGGCGCCAAGCTCGTTACGGCTGTCAGCTGCGCCGATGTGCCCAAGTTTACTGTTGTTGTGGGGAGTAGCGCTGGCGCGGGCAATTATGGCATGTGGTAAGTCTTTTTCCTCCTCTCTTCCCCTTCGATAGCGGAAAGCTGATGTGTGCTTTTTTTTTCTTGCAGCGGCCGCGCCTATTCGCCACGGTTCCTTTGGACTTGGCCCAACGCCCGCACGTCCGTCATGGGCCCCGAGCAGCTGTCGTCCGTCATGGAGGCCGTCGGCAAGCAGGCCGATCCGGCGCTGAAAGCGCGCATCGAGCGCGAGAGCGAGGCCACGTTTGGTAGTGCTAGGCTCTGGGATGACGGCATCATTCCGCCCGAGCACACGCGTGCGGTGCTCGGGTTGGGGTTGGAGGTCGCGAGCCAAGGGCGTGCGGCGGAGAGGAGAGAGAGGGAGAGGAGTGAGAAGTGGGGTGTGTTCAGGATGTAAATATTGTCGACGTCCTAGGGAAAGGAAGAGGAAATTAAAAAAAAAAAAGAACGAAGAAGACTTAGAATGGAGAAGGTCGCATCGGTTCAAAGAGAGTGTGAAGCCATCTCACGATGCCTGTTTGGCCTTCTCCCGCCTACCTTCTACAAGAATTGTACATAGCTTCAGCGTATGATAAATAAATTAATGATGTCAAAAATTCTCGTGGGTCAAGTCGTAGTGTGAATGAATTGGGATGGCACATTCTTGTATTGGAAGCGTCTCTTTATGTATGGCAGGAAAGTGGTACCACATGTTTTTCGGTCTGAAGCCAGGTTGGTGACGATGAGAGTCTCTCAATGAAGTGGAGAAAGTACAACGGCCTTGAGAGTGAAGATTTGCATTCATTCGCAACTTTAGTCCAGCCCTTTCTGTTTCCTGGGCTTGGATCTAGGGTATTCGTCCCCTGTCATTCACAAGAAGTCAGTGTTTTGCATCCAAATTCTACTCGTAGAGGCCAGTAACCAAGTCACATGGGAGCTTCATCTGCTGACTCTTAAATCTCGCTTATGAGAGTCAGTAACCGACATATACAACCAATCAGGAAGTCGAAATAGCTGCTTTGGCGCCGGCTTACGCAAGTTAGCAATCGGACGTTATCGTTATGCAAAGAAGATCAGCCGCTATCTACCAAAGAGGACTTAGTCTTCTGAACCACCGCGCAGCCCGACCTGGACCCCTACAAGAATAACGATTCATAAAGCTTTCGGGTAGCAGTGCGTTGTAGGGAATCGGACCGTTGTTGATTGTGGGTGGGTGCGTTGTCGTCCCCGTGTTCTAGAATATCGGCACCTATGCTCCGCTCTCGGAGCCCGAACACGATGCTAAAGTCGCCGAAGTTAAGCGATGTACAAGCTAGGTCTTCAATCTAGTCATGAGTGAGACATACGTATGCCATTAGCGCTCAACTTTTTGGAATTGTCAAGGTGCAACCGAATGCTACCACACCTACTCTTGGCGCTCTACGCTCTCAGAGTCTTGCTCCCTAAACTTTCCTCCAATAAAGATTCTCTAATAAAGATGTGCTTAAAAACTACCAATACGCCAATGTAGTAAGCTATAAAGTTTAACTCAGCATGAAGAGTACACAAGTCACTGTGAATTCCTCAGACTTTATTACAAATAATGCTCTTCACTCGGCTACCAACGGGTTCACCTTATGCCAACATCCATCGTGATAGTACTCAGTCTAACCAGATCAGTGACCCTGGTGCCGTTGAAGTCAGGACCTCGGTTCTCGCTCGCGGAAATATCTCCGCCAGTTGTGCTTCCCAGCACAGACTTCAGAATTACGAGCTGAATGCTAGTGCATAAAAGCTGGACATCGGCGGCCGTGCATGTACGGGTCACGATTGACATCCCCGGGTCCAATACGCAGGTACTCGGCTGAGCATCTGACTTCCCGGCTGCGGGTACGGCACGACTCGCTGATCGGGTGAAGCACTCACGTACAGCCTTCGATGTGGAGCGATTTATTGGTTGCTCAGCAGATCGGGGCCGCGCATCCTCATCTTCCCTAGCCCATCCCCCGCGGGAAAGGATGCGGTCACCATACCGCAAGCGGCAAAGCACGCATGGAGCATATGCGCCTGCACGTCCAAAGCGCTAGCTACTGCAGCCCTGCGAAGGCAAGGCGAGGAAAAAATGGCAGCGCCAGGACCAAGGCTGAGAAAATGGACAGAGAAAACAGGGAAAACAGGGGACGTGCTTCAGCCGCTCGCGTGGCCGCAACGACCACCATCCCAATGACGATATGCGGGTGGGAGAAGGTTCCGTACTGCCTCCCCTCCCACGAATTTTCTGACAGTCGGGTATGCACAGTCGCGGATCACACTCTGTTCTCTTTCCAATAAATACACAGCCTCGATGCCCCCCTGCGTCGCCGCCGTCAGCCGACGCAAACGCACCAACCACGGCGACCTCCCTGTTGGACCAAAGATAGTACAGAAGATCCGATATATCGCTTTCTGCAAGTTTCCTCGATCCCTGCCGGGTGAATCACACCTTATTGATCGCCCTCGAACCTCCAGCCGGGAACGCGTCGAACCCGCGGGAGTGGCGCGGAAAGGGGCACGCATCCGCGGGCAGGGTGAATCTCCCGTTCAAGGCAAAAGTGGTAGCATTTCGAAACCCAATCCCCAGCCCTCTCGCACGGATGAGACACGGCAAGGGTGAGCAACAACCACATCCGCCCGCCCCGCGATACGCGGCCGAGCCGTTAAGCTGGTACAAGGGCCCGTTGAGGTGGCTTGGTTTCGTTGCTTTTTCCTGCTCCCCTGCCCCCTTCATATTAGACGAAGCACTCCGGGCCGCCCCTCGGTTATCCGCACTGCTGCTCGCCCTACGTCGCTTCAATGATGATCCGTGATATTTGACGACGCTAGTGGCCAGTGCTTCGCATTTCTTTTTCCTGAATCAAGTGGACACTACTCATGCAACACACCCTCAGCGATTCAACTAGGGGATGGGGTGTGAAGAAAGAGTCGCCTCTTCGCCGCAAACTCTATCTATGCATGAAGGTGAAACCCGGCGGTACAGGCGGTGTCGAGACTTGCCTAAAGGGGAAAGACCATGCTTGGAAAGAAGCATTCCCGGCGGAATGGTACGGCTGGTGAAACGTCGGCACAAGATGGAAAAAGCCACCCGCCGCGTGCATGCATCCTCCCCCCTGCCAACTCGACATCTCTCTCTTTGCGCAATGTGACGAATGCCGAAATAGCCAACGGTTCGAAAAAAAGAAAATGCAGAAATTTGCAACGCGTCCGACCGCGCCCTCACTATTGAAAAGCGACCTCTCACACCACACCACATGATCAAACCCCAACGGCAAGCTACATCCTCTAGGCTACCGTCCCATCACACACTACTTCCGTCTTTCCGCACATCACATCACCTCTTGTCTTGCATCGGCCGAGCTGTCCCGCTCCTTCCTAATAGGTTAACTTTTTTTCTTCTCCCTTCTGCTCTTGCGCGCGGCGGCCGGCCGGCGCCGGAAATGAACAACGCCCATCATCTCCGACCACGACTAATCACATCTTCTTCCCATCTCTTCCTGATTCATAACTTTTTTAACTTCTCGTTCTTTCTTTCTGTACCCCCACCCACGCACAAACACACAACACATACCGTGCACTTCGGCCTCTCTTATCCCGATACGTAGATACTCCGATAAATACTTCACTTTACACAAGTACATTTGTACACAATCATTAGGCGCCCCAAAAAAAAAATCCCGGCCCCCAAAAAGATAAAATCCCACACACACGCCACCACGGGCAGGGCCGCCACAGAAGACGCGAGACGAGGCGAGACGAGGCGAGACGAAGCGGTGCACATACCACCAACAAACCACACCCGCCCGCACGCGTGCGAGCAAGCCAAGCGATCGACGCTACCCGTCGGGACCCGCGCGCGCCTCGGCTTGTTGCGCTTTCCACCCATGGGACAGCTGTGGTAGTGGTACGTGTGCTGCCACCCGGCCGGCGCCAGCTCCCCCCATCCCCCAATTATACATGGGGTTTGGCACGTGGGAAATGCATGGTCATGATGATGGCGGTGGCGGATGTGGCGCCGTTTAGGCTAGTGGTAGGGAAACAAAAGGCGAAAGGGAAGTTAAAACGGTGAGAGTGGTAGAATGGGAGGGGAAATGCCGAATGCCGCCACACCCAAATAATTTGTGCTTTGCTGTGCGATTAGCCCGGGGGCGCGCCGCTGCCGTCGCCGTCGCCGCCGCCAAAGGATGGATGGCTTTTTGCCTTATTTCTCCATCGTTGTTGTTGTTTCTCCATTTCTCCGAGACCATGTAGGATCGTGTTTTTGTGGGGTCCGACGTTATGTAGCATTTATTGCGGAGGAACGCGAACAAGAGGTGGACAGATGACGCGTGAGAGGTGCGGCGGAAACGAAAGACGCGTAGGCATTCTCGCCACGCGAAAAGACGGGAGAAACCTTAGAGAAAAACCTGTTTAGTGATACTGACGGGAAGAGAGTACGACAGCAAAGCAAGGTGGCGACAATATAGAGTGTATGCATGTGTAGAGAAAACAGAATGGGGAATCGTGCGTTCCCCAATCCCGCCGCGGCAGACCCGGCGGCAGATCCGGCGTCCCGAGGAAAAAAATAAAATAAAAACATGAGATGGGGAATAAAAGACGAGGGACCACGCGGCAGGGTTCACGAACGGGAACGCCGGGATACTCGTCCGAGGAGAAGAGAGAGTCGAGATCCCCCCCAAAACCCGCGAGCGGTTCCGTTTGGCTGGGTTGCGGGTGCGGCGGAGGCGGCGGCGGCGGCGGCGGGGGTAAGTAGTCCGTAGTTACTTGTGCCAACCCCCATTCGTGAACGGGATCCCTTCGCTTTTTCCCCGCGGATAACCGTTTGGCATGCATTATGTGATCGACCGCGGATGACGCGCCGATGCAAGACACGGAATCGACTATCGTGACTACATGCCACACCCTTCCCTCTTCCGGTATTAAATTTTTCCCTTCTTTGCTTCGCCCCCCCCCCACAAGGTTCCTCCCTTTAGTTTGTTGAAAAAAAGACCGGCAGCCAATGACCGCAAGCTTGTCAGCAACGTGCCGTTCCAGCCCAGCTCCAAGCTAAGCGTGCAATAGGCAGCTGATGGAGAGTTGCTCGGCGTCATCGGGCTCGTGTTCGGTTCCTGAAGTGGCTTGGCGGCCTGCCTGAGCAAAAGTATATTGTCGAATTAGAGGGCTGGTATAGACCAAAGAATTGAGTAGGCGCAAAAAGAGAGGATTTGCTGTTCCACATGCTAGCCCCCAATGATTTCGGCTTGGCATGGTGAGACATGTGAGCCACCTCCAACGTCTTGCCTAGCCAGCCCCGAAGTTACGGGTTTCGGGTCCAGCCTCCGAAGGTGGGCAGAGCTGAAATAGACGACAGTCTCGGATCGACCAGTTGGTGGGACGAGCTCGTCTCTCGTGATGCTCGCCGGAAACTCGGGCGGCAAGTGGGCGCGACCCGGATCCCGACTGCTAATGCGAGGGGAAATAGGTGCAGATCATATGGAGTTTGGGAAGAGTAATCATACAATACTAGTAGCTATTATCGCAAAACCCAAGTACCTAAGGCATTACAAACTGTAGAATGCGAGAAATTAAGTCTTCGTGGACATTAATTTTCAGCCGTGAGCTGTCTGTTTCGTTCTATGTCGTACGTCTATCCGAATGTGATGGCGATGATTCCGCGGCTCGCTCATGCGAAGAAGACTCCAATCCGCCAATGATCCAACTAATCCCGCGGTCCAGCCCAGGGCCCAACAATACTGTCAAGAAGGTAATAATAACACCGCCACATCAAAACATTTCCGTACTCTTCAGACAAGCCTGCAATTAACTATAATATCACACAACGGTGCTCGCGGCGGTTTCGTCGTGATCCTTTCACACTGCTGCCGCTGCCGGTGCCGGGCGTGCCGCTGGTGCTGTGTCGACTGGACGGGTGGTGTCGCCGCGTGCTGGCGCTTGGTCGGCTGTAGTCCGTGTGCGAACGGGTACGCTCCATGTCCCTCCGGATAATCTGCCTGCAGAGATCCACAAAGACTTCATCGACGTTGGCGCGGCGGCGTGCACTGGTCTCGTAGTAAGGGCAATTGCCCCACGCCTGGCTCACGGCGAATGCGCGGGCCCGCGTCACGGCGCGGTCTTCTTCCAGATCCGATTTGTTGCCTACGAGCACAATCGGCACGCGTTCGTCGTCTTTTATTCGGATGATTTGGTCGCGTAGCTCGGCGAGTTCGTGGAGGGACGTCATTGAGGTGATGCTGAACACGAGGAGGAAGCCCTGGCCCGTCTTCATGTACAATTCTCTTGTGGCTAGTTAGCGGGGTGCGGGCGCAGCTGAAACGACGTGGGGCTAGTACCTCATGGCAGCTGCAGACCCGTTAGCAAAACATGCGCGCATACACGCAGGGAAAAAGGCGGTGGCTTACTAAATTGCTCTGTCCCTGCAGTATCCAGGATCTCGAGTACTACCGACCGTCCCTGGGAGAACCGTCAGGCTTCAATCGTCCTCAACAAAACAAGCCTGCGCAAAACTCACATCGACGTCGATTGCCTTGCGGTACGAGTCCTCGATGGTCGGGTCGTAGGATTCGATCCAGACATTTTGGACGAACTGGGCTGCGGCGAGGTCAATTGGGCTGGTTTGCGCGTGAGGGCAGTTTGGACTCTACCTGTTAGACAGCTTTTGCCCACTCCACCTGTTTACAGACGGCGTCAGCACTAGCGCAGATCGCGATCGGCGCGTGGGCGCAAGGGTCTCAGCATACCGGACCCAAGGACGACGATGTGGTACTCTCGTTGGGACATGCCTCTGCGACGATATCTGGCGGGGAAAGCTAGAGGAGACGGCGATTACGGGGCAGAGGTGGGTGCGCGCTCGCACGAGCTGGGGCGTGGGAGTCGGAGCCCTCGCGCCAGCAGCCGGCGCAGGAGGAGCACGCCACACAACGAGTGAGTGTCGGAGCTGCCTGCGAGCTTGCGGTGGCTCGGCCAGGGCGCAGGCGGAGGTGGTGTGCTGGATTGCTCGTTCTAGCTCTCGAGATGTGCGGCTCGGACGAGAAGCCGTGCGCGGCGCGTACCGTGGGAACGAGTCGACCGGGGGTCGCTAGGGCGCCTGTCAGCCATGTGCACGCAATTGGGAGGCTCAGCGCGGCGCCCGGTGCGTCGCGGCTGGGCTGGCGGAGCATTTACGCACCGGCAGCAGCGAGGGCTGGTAGGGTTGTGGGCGGGAGCAAGGATGGTGCGAGGGCCGCGGAGACGGGCGCGGGCAGGCCGGGGACAGCTCGGCAGCGGGAGGCGGCGTGAGGACAGACTGGCGCAGGAGAGTCTGGGGCCTTGGGTGGTGTTGGGGGGAGAGGGTATCAAGGTGGTGAGGTCTGCGACGGGGCGCGCGAGGAGGGCGTGGGCATGATTAATAGACGGCGCTGCGCAGCTCGTGCTGCGCTGGATTGTTTAGGCGTTGGCGGTTGACATAATTTCGCGGAGCTTGAAAGTGATAGGCGAGCGTCGACGTAACCGCATCAGTGCGCGCTTGAAGCCTTCCCTCGAGCCTTGGACCTGCCGGCGCGGGCATTGCGCGGTGCCGGGCCAAGCGGATGACAGCATGACGGACCAAGCAAGTCGCAAGCCGCCCCGTCAGGCACAGCTAGTCGCAGCCACTGAGCGAAGAAGGGGCGGCAGCGCGGCGGCTCTGTTCTGCTGCTGTTGCTGCTGGAATTCGCCAGGCACCAATCGCCCGGGACGTGCGTGCCCCTGCGTGTCGCTGCACAACCAGATCAGAATGCATGCACAACTGGCGAGACGATCGCCGTCTGCCGCAAGCGTAGGAGCCGAGAGTGCTGCGCTCCACGGCTCCCGAGTCGCGCCTCACCGCCAAGGCAGACAGGCACCCAGGCACCCAGGCACCCAAGCACCAAGCTCTGCCCGCGTGCTGAGCCACCGCTCCCTCTCCTGCGCCGCGCGCGCCCCGGAAGCTGGTCCGGCCTGATGAGCGCGTGGCTTCGGCCAGCCGACAGCGCAGCAATCTCTAGGGAGCTGGGTCAGGAGCGCGCGTCGGAGGGTAATTATGGGGGCGTGGTGCCAGCGTAATTGATTTGCAGGCCCTCCAGGACAATATACGAGTGCGTGCAGGAAAATCAGGGACGCAACGGCGCATGTCGTGTGCTGCAGCTGCAACGGCCTGGAGTGCCCTGTGGCACCGAGCAGAGCGGCCGGAGCGCCGCGCGCCTCGCCCATCCCTGCCGCTCACGTGCAGCCCCGCGGCAAGCTCCGCCCGCGACCGCAACACCGCGCTCAGCTCGCGATCCAGCCCGCCAGCCTGCCACCGACGAACGATGCTGCTCCCCAAGCTGCTGGCATTGGCCGCCTCGCTGGTCCCCGCGACCCTTGCCGTTTTCGCCGACGACGCGTACCATGTCGACTACCACTTCGCCCTGCTCGGCCAGCCCCAGCAGCATGCCACCTTCTTCCATCAGCCGCGCCCCGAGACCAAGGCCTCGCTGCTCTACTCCCTGTCCGACAAGCTCGTGCTCGGCGCCGTGAACCCGAAAGATGGCTCGGCGGTGTGGAGACAGAAGCTGCCGTCCGGGTCGGGCTCTGCTGATGGCTTCCTGAGGGCTGGCGAGAACCAGGACATCGTCATCAGCGCCGTGGAAGGCCAGGTTGCTGCTTGGGATGCCGCGGACGGCAAGCTGGTCTGGACTAGCACCTTCCGTGATGCCCCCGTGAAGGATCTCGAGGTCCTGGAGCTTGCTGATGCTTCCGCGGCTGCGAGCGGCGTCAAGGATGCTATTGTTCTGTTGGGCGGCAGCAGCTCGACTGTACGGAGATTGGACGGTCAGACCGGTGCAGTGAAGTGGGAGTTTGAAGACAACAGGTAGCACACATCCTTGCACGGCCAAATCCGGTGCTGACATCGTGCGCAGCGGAGATGCCCCGTTCCAGATCTCGACTTCCGCTACCGCAGTCTACTCCATCTCATTACACTCGACTATGCTAGGTGGCCTGAAACTGAAGATCACCGCCATCGACCCCCTGACCGGCCAAAAGCTTGACCAGTACACCCTCTCGTCTGACAGCGATATTGCAAGCACGGATGACATCCTGTTTGTTGGAGCCAACACCGCCTCGCCGCTGCTTGCTTGGACGGATAAAACTTTCAAGTCGTTGAAGGTTAATATCATCGGTACCAAGAGCGTCTCTACTTTCAACATTGAGAACAGCAGTGGAGAGGATATCCAGAAGGTTGTGCTGCATGCACCCCACAGCATCAATTCTCTGCCGCATTTCTTGGTTCACTATCAGACCGCGGGTAGCCATTGGGCCGAAGTGTATCATGCCGATTACAAGACTGGCTCCATTTCAAAGGCTTACGACTTGCCGAAATTGGCTGGTAAAGGAGCATTTGCCACGAGCACCACGGATGCGAACGTTTATTTCACCCGGATTACGCCCGAGGAAGTATTTGTGTTTTCTTCCGCCTCCCACGGAATCCTTGGGCGTTGGCCCCTCAAGACCCCTGTCTTTGATGACTCTGTCTATCCTATTCATGCCGTTTCCGAGGTGGCAATTCGCGATGGCACCGCGTCAGCCGTGAGGACTGCTGTCTATCTGTCCAATGGAAACTGGGATCTGCTCCGCAATGGCGATCCGACGTGGTCTCGGCCAGAAGTCCTAGCCGGTGCTCTTGAAGCTGTCTGGATTGACCTTCCCGGTGAGGAATCCTTGGCCCAGGAGCTGGAAATCGAAACACACCAGAACGTCCTTGAGGCGTATGTGCACAGGCTTAAGAGGCACCTCAAGGATTTGGAACATCTCCCAGAATTCCTGCAAACTCTCCCGAACCGTTTCTTGGCCCAGAATTCTGAGTCTGATGTCTTGGAGAAGGCGAGGCGGGATGCCTTTGGACTGAACAAGCCTGTCGTCGTGGCAACTGAAACCGGCCGCTTTGTGGCTATCAGCGGAGGTGAAATTGCTTGGAATCACGATATTCTGGAGCTGCCATCGGGAAGCAAGGTTGAGGAAGTTGAGCTCAATGTCAATGCAAAGGGACAAATCGCTGCCATTTTCCCACAGCTCAGTCGACACGTTCTCCTGAACGCAACATCCGGTCATCTCATTCGCAGTGTTCCCCTGCACTTGGCGCTCGAATTAGACGCCGATGATGCCACTGGTACCGCAGATGAGCCCGAGGTCACGTACAAGATTTCGGAAGGCGAGATCAAGGGTTTCTGGGCCGGCTCTGACTTGGCATGGAGGTTTGCGCCCACTGCCGGAGAGCGCATCGTTAACGTCACTCCCAGGCCAGCGAATGATCCTGTTGCTTCTATTGGCAAGGTTCTTGGGGACCGAAGTGTCCTTTACAAGTACCTTAATCCGAACTTGGCCTTAGTAACTGCAGTAGCTGAGCCTGCCGGGGTCTTGTCCGTTTACCTATTGGACGGTGTATCAGGCGCTATCTTGTGGCAGGCTTCTCATGACGGCGTCGACACGAGCCAGAGCATTGCCAGCGCGCTCTCGGAGAACTGGCTGACATACTCCTTCACCCTTGGCTCCCTGGAAACACCTTCAAAGGGCCACCAACTGGTTGTTGCTGAATTCTTCGAGTCCACGCTGCCTAACGACCGTGGTCCCTTCGGCGCCGCCTCGAACTACTCTGCAATTCGGCCCTTCGCCGGGGTGGTCGGCGAATCCGCCAAGCCGCACGTCCTCTCGCAGACCTATCACATCCCAGAGCCTATCTCGCACATGGCTGTGACACAGACGGCGCAGGGAATCACGTCCAAGTGGCTCCTAGTCACCCTTCCAGAATCCAACTCGATCGTTGGCATCCCTCGTCAGATCCTAGATCCGCGACGCCCCGTTGGCCGCGATCCAACTCCCGAGGAGGCAGCGGAGGGTCTCATTCGTTACACTCCGGCCATTGAGTTTAACCCGATGCAATATCTAAACCACAAGCGGGAGGTCATTGGGGTGAAGAAGGTTATCACGAGTCCTGCGGTGTTGGAGAGCACCAGCCTGGTATTCGCGTACGGACTGGATGTATTTGGGACCAGGGTGTCCCCCAGTTTCGCATTTGATATTCTGGGCAAGGGGTTCAACCGCGTGCAGCTACTGACGACGGTTGCGGCGCTGTTTGTGGGCGTGCTTTTCGTGGCGCCGCTGGTGAGTTTTTTCCCGTTTTCCCCTTGTCCCCGGATTTTCCCATGCATGTTCCTTGTCGACGCCACCACATCATGTTACTCTTCGCTAACGACCCTTGCAGGTGCGCAGGAAGCAGATCAATGCCAGGTGGCAGATAATGTAAAACATAGACGATGCGACGGTTGGAAAGATGAGACCTAAAAAAGTATGATAGATTTGACGACCTGAATGCCGGTATCCGTTTTGGTGAGGCGAGAAAATGATATGCGACATGTCCTACATCGACGGTTCCCAGGGTCCCTCGTTCTTGATAGTACCCTGCACCCGATTCCACCCGCGTCGATCAGGATGCGGATTTAAGCGCTGAAGCCCCGAGGATCGAGGGGGGTGGCGCTTGTTTAGGCGCGGCTCATCCTTAGCATGGCATCAACAGTCGTGAACCCTGTTTGATCCGCGGAGAAAGGGTGGCTTGTGGCTTGTGGCTTGATGTTAAGCACAGGGCAGCAATTGAATGAACGTCCATGCTCGGTATATTGAGCAGCTATCTGGTGCTCATATACAACTATAACCAAGGCCGGCCGAAGCGTTTCGTACGAGGTCTGGTACGCTGCGGATTGCTTACCAAGATCTCGCGGTGTCCATGCTCGAACACTAAGCTTTCTTCCCGTCAGCAGACCCGGCTCCGCGCGGCATGCTAAACTCCAGCCGACGCGTTGCCAGAGGGATGATGCCCAACATGGAAAGTTGTTCGTGGCGATGGCGTGCGCCTAACCACATGTAAGTTTTGCTACCCTGGCTCTACTATAGCCCGGGTTATGAGTCTAATTATAGTTGGGCAAGTACCTTGTTGGGGCGCCTCACACATTCGCCTTACCAGGAAACTTTAATAGGGTCTGTTGGGCAACATTGAGGCAACTTGTACGATGGAGCTCTATCTAGTGATTTCAGAATTATGAGGCTCAATGACCTCGTATTGCTTACAGACAGCAGCTTCTTTACCTTGCATAAGACTGCACAGTAAGAACGGAGTTTATGGTACCTCCGAGCACTTGAAGAATGCACAAGTGATACTACCACGTAATGACGGATTCCAAACAACATGGTCTTACCCAAATAGAGAATAGAACGCATAAACAATCTGCTCGCTTACTTCGTGCTCTCGTCAACTGGGTGCTTTTTGTCCATGGACGGGAGTTGTTCTGTCGCCGGCTCTCATGTATGTAGTGCTGACGTCAAGGATTGTACACCAGTATAACTCCGTTCAAACTCCGACAACACAACCACCCGTTATGGCCGTTAATGCCTTTCATCCACGAAGACAAACATTCACGCGCAGCTAATACAGTATATATATGCTTCAATTGAACCTTGACGGGAAGTTTTTACTGAACAAGTTCACTAACCGCAGATCTCAATCCCTGCACCTGATCACAACATAACCCAAAAACACTTCAACACACCACCCCTGCTCTCAGCGCCAATCATGACAGACCAGCGCAAATACGTATCCAAGCTCGCGGGCAAGCACGTCCTCATCATCGGCGGCAGCTCGGGCATCGGGTACGGCGTAGCGGAAGCGTCGCTGGAGCACGGAGCCACCGTCACCATCTCATCCTCCAACGCCTCGCGCCTGGACGCAGCCGTAGCAAAGCTCTCGACCTCGTACCCCACCGCCGCCGCCGATTCCCGCATCAGCGCCGGCGTCGTCTGCGACCTGAGCAACGAGGACACGCTCGAGGCCAACATCGCCAACCTCTTCGCCACCATCACTGGGCGCCCTTCGCCTGCCAACACAATCATCAACCACGTCGTCTACTGCGCCGGCGACGCCCTAGCCACGCTCCCCCTCGCCGACGCCTCCCTCCCCCGCATCAAGCAGGCCGGCGCCGTGCGCTTCTTCGGGCCGCTCCTGGCGGCGCGCGAGGCGGCCAAGCACCTGCCACGTAGTACTACCTCATCCTTCACCCTCACCTCCGGCTCCGTCGCGCAGCGGCCCCTGCCCGGCGGCTGGGCCGTCGTCGGCAGCTACGCGACGGGGCTGCTCGGCATGGCGCGGTCGCTGGCGCTGGAGCTGGCGCCCGTGCGCGTCAACTGCGTCGCGCCGGGCGTCGTCGATACGGGGTTGTGGCGGACGATGGGCGACGCGGAGAAGGAGGAGATGTTTAGGGGCGTGGAGGAGAAGCTGCCGACGGGGCGGGTGGGGAGGGTCGAGGATGTGGTGGAGGCGTATTTGTATTTGATGAGGGATGGGAATGCGACGGGGAGTGTGGTGAGTACGAATGGGGGGGCGTTGTTGGTTTAGAGTTGGGTGGTAGGTAGCATGCGTGTAGAGGTTGGAGTGTGGTTAATGAAGTTTTGATGCCCTTGGCTGTTGGTTTTGTGCTATCCGGTGCCTGAATTACTAAGGGTATATAGTGTCTGCTGGTTGCTATTGCCGTTAACTAGTAGCTCCCTGCATCTTGGGGCCCAAGGTGCAAAATGCAACCGTAGACCGGGAACAAGAGACGCTGGCGGCTGAAGGACAGCATCCGACCCATCTGGATCCCACGAAAAGGGGAGATCTTCCACCACCGTAAGCTGGGGATAAATGGGCGTAGAAGGACCAGATTGGGGAGTACCCTTTTGTAAGGAATCAAGTCCAAGCCGAAGTTCGGAAAATAGCTCGGTAAATTCTTGGAGCTTCCATTACAAGGCACATGCTTGGGAAACGACAACACCGTTGGTGTAAAGCATTTGACGGTGTTAATCTTGGAAAGCCAAGTAATGAACTGAGAAGCGTTGGTAGTAGGTAAGGAAGAGTTCTCGTTACCAAGATCGTCGTCGAGGGCGACATTTAAGGCAAAGCCTCGATATTCGTCAGAGTTGGTGTTAATGGGAGTAGTGGAGGGAAAGTCGTCGATCTCAGCATGCGGTTCTTGGGGTGAAGCTGACGTATCGAAAGGACCGGCACCAAATCTGAGCGGGATGGGGCTTGCTTCTTCTGAAGACTGAGACGCAAAGAACGCCTGAATGGCTGATTGAATAGTGGCCAGCGACCAGGCGCTAGCTTCTTCATTGCGTAATTCAGTGAACGAAAGGTTGATTCCAGCCTGGGTTCTCTGATCGGTCCTCTGCTCTTTGAGGTGCCTTGAAGCTCGAGCCCGAGCAAGGTTGTCATTGGGATCCCAACCCTGCTTCACGCAGTATGCCGAGATATCAGCACTGGATGTTGTCTTGCGAATCTGAGACGACTGCGACGATAGTATCGACTTGGAAGCCAGTACGTTAAAGCGATCTACTTTAATGCGATCGTTGAAAAAGAACATCTCTGGATGGCCAACGTAAATGTCCGTAATCTCTCTATTGAAGGTACTTGAGTCGTGTCTGAGCTGAGTAGACACTGCCTTCGAAGTAACACCTACGAATTCTTGACTGGGTAGGTCGGCAACGTCCCGAGCTGCACCAGACCGTAAATGCCTACTAGAGATTCTAGTAGTGACACCCGATAGGGCCGTAATTTCTTAGACGGATTAAGTTGATGTTCGGTGTGAACGAAGAGCGTCGAGATTAAACGGAATCTTTATTAGGTATAGCACCGGCCGATTAGGAAATCTCTAAAGAAGTCGCTCGCTGCCATTGAGAAAAGTATTCTAGAGGAGTTCTTCTACTAACGTCGTATAGACTATACCGTAGCGTAGAGCGTGTAAGAGTAGTTAGATAGTATAGAAAACTTTAAGGATTAGTTGCAACACGGAAGAAACGTAGTTTTAGGCGAGTAGAGGTATGCTTCTCCCGCTTCGTATAGAAAAGCTGAATAATTATACGAAGATCTTCTAGAGCACCGTAGCCGTCTAGTTAACGCTCTTAGTCGAAATAGATTAAGATGTCCCGATAGCGGAGAGCGAGGCTAGGCCAAAGACGCTGATCAGGATTGAGATCCCCCGGACGTGCTGCAGTGCCGTAGATAAGAATAAGACTCAGAAGCTTGAGGACGGTGATATCCTAGGATGGAGAACCAGTAGTAAGGTGATGATCGAGCCAGGCAGTGGTCATGTGGCGGACGAGGCGAGCCCCAACCCAAATCTGTTCTGACTGGACACTACGGAGAAGACGGTTGTCCAGACAGGCGCCGTTAAGAAACGATTTGAGCCCCGCAATTTCGTGGTCACCCCACTTGAAAGTTGGGTATTTCCATGTTAGGTAGTTCACGGCAGTCGCTTTGAAGCTCGATTCCGAGTAAGGTTGTCAGTAGGGTCCTAATCCTGCTTTACGCAGTATGAGCGCCTTATGCCTTTCCGTCACTAAAATATGTTGTCTTCTGCACGTCGAGAACACGAAGTTAAACCTGAGTTTGTGGTATCCTTCATACACCGGATCAAGGAATTCACTTCTAAAAATTCAACGAAGAACGTAAAGGCAAGGGTGGAACAACCAAGATGACAACCAGGAAAACTGAGGACAAGCCTCGAGCTTCGTGGTCTGGATTGAATTTTCATTTTTCGGTGTGACGAACGTCTATTTGGAAGCCCTCAACCAATGCCAAGTTATAATGAGATTCAGGAATTACAGCCTCAGTGACATGGATGAAGCTGGGTCCATCGATCCAATCCCGTTCTTCTCTCCAAGCATTGACGTTCCTCTTCCACCACTATACTTCGAATACCTCATCGTAATTGCTCGACCCCGAGAGGATATCGCTCGACCAGCCGTAATCAACCTCACAATACGGCCCCTTCGACGATCTTCTAAGATTGTTGATAGCATGAGCAATGTTTCTGTTCTCACCCTCCTTTTCGATCCATCGTTTTATTTGGTGAGCCGTCTGCGCCTCGCCCGCCGGAACCTTTTCTATCATCTTCCGTCCCTTCTCGCTCCTGAGAAAGCTGAGCAGTTCACAGCTCAACATACCAGCAGGCAACGCGCGAATGGCATTGACGCTATGCGGTATCCAGCCCTGGGAAAGGTTGAGATACGTGACTTGGCGCCAGCTGCCATTCCAATCGGGGCAAGGTCTGGCGTCCTTGATGTCCCAGTCTCCATCACGCCCTCCACGATAGCCACGTGCATAAGGGATCGAAACCTGCCGATCGTCGATGCCCCATACCAGCGCAGGCGCCCACTCGCAGCCGCAAAGGTCGAGCCATTTGAGACAGTACGTGTTGTTGGCTAATCTGCGCAGGATGTTCGCAGCTTCCTGCCAGTCGTTGTCCATTTCGGAGTAAAAGTGAGTACCACCGAGGTTGACTTGGCCATGCTGGCTGGTCATCGATGCTGTATTTGCGTGAGGAGTCATGGTTGGCTTGGGCCAGAAGGCCAAAGAGAGATGTGTCAGAGTTGGCAGGTGGGAGGACAGGGTTAAGAGTTGACTCCACGATGTTTTCCGCGGGTATGCAAGTGACAAGTGAGTCAGATTAGGGAACCGAGGATTGAGAGACGACTTTGGCAGGATAGGGATTTCGGCTTGCTCTGCTTCTTCCCAAGAATCTGCAACTTCCTCAGCCACTGAAAGATTATTCATCGCTTCAGAAAGGGCATCCTTCTTGGAACCCGTGATCTGCGTCATGTATTTTGTGATTTCTCCAAGGGTGAAATGTTTGGAGATCATGCCGGTCAGATCGAGGTGCACCAGCTCATCGCTGCCCGTCGCATCCTCAAGGTCATGCTCAGTCAAGAACAGGACCCGTAGAGTCTCCATGGTGATGCCCTCTTCCGGGCCATATGCCGCTAGGTAGCTGAGAAGAATATCCTTGAGCTGCACAGGTAGTGCTGCCAGATAATGCTGTTCGTATTCCAACAACCATTCCCAGTTCTTTGCCAGTGTTTTGCAGGTGTAGTGGACCAAGCTGCGTTGAGCCGGCATTCGTTCCGTGAAGCGCGGCCTCATAAGCTTCCATAGCCTGGGGGCCTGGGGGGTGGGGTCCGGGGCATGCCTGCTGCTTTCCAGCCAACTCTGCGGCGCCGAAGGGCCCGGCACGCGTCTGCCGTTCGTCGTTCTGGCAACAAGCCGAGGCCTGGGGACGGCGACTTCGGGCAGGTTGAGGATCTGCCTCACCGCCGGGTGGACTGGTCGCGCGGTGAGAGACTCGGTGAGCTCATTTCGGCGGTCGATGGCGGAGCGCGGAGCTTGCTCGCGGCGCAGCTGGTTCAGACGGTCGTTGACGGACTGCGATGACGATGGACCTGCATTGTTGCCGGGCGGTTCCCGGGACGAGGACAGGGACGGGTGCACGTAGTTGCTGGCGGACTTGTTGTAGCTCGGTTGGTACTTCTTTGGCATGGGGAACGCGGGGCGGGAGGCGCCGGTCGGAAAGGCTGGAGGAGCCAAGCGGTGCTACACTGAGCCTGCTTGACCTAGCTGAAGAAAAGTGGGAGAGAAGAGCAGTTGGATAAATGTTACATGGTGGACGGTGGCGTGGATCGTGGTCATGACTTGTTGGCGGCGCTTCCGCTCGGCAGCCATGACGCCTGCCTGATCTTATGTAATCGGAGACAGGGTCTGCGCCGCAAATGAGCCTCAACATCCTTGACTACACTCCAACACTCAGCTTTCCATACGAACTTCCAACAGAGCCATGTGTCATACTGGCGATTGTTGCCTTGTCGTTGAGTCACCCACGGGCCTTTGTCTTCAGGCCGAGCCCCATTCGACCATCTTGTCCTATCAGATCGTCGCATTCCAACCCCGCTATGCATCCGCGATGATTCATTCTGATTGGAAGTTGGACTTCTAAGCTACTTCTGAGCTTATTCATGAAGATGGGCTTACTTTCCGCTCAATTTTGTCCGCTGACCGCCGAGGGAGACTACACTGGAATCGGCTGAGGAAAGAATTGCAGCTGCACTTTCAGACAGTGGCGTAGCAAGTCTGCTACTCCTTCGTTTTTCCGTGTCTTGCTTTCTTCTTCGCTGTGGCTTCATCGTTTGAACCCACCACTAGCGTTCGCGTCATCGGCCCTACTGGGGTTCCCCGGCCTCCAGCGGACGATGCAGCTATGTAGACACTCCGTTAAGAGACCGTAGGGTACCAGGTACGTCGACAGCACTAAGGTGGTCATGAGGGTGAAGGGAAGTGAAGCAGCTCGGCGTGTACTAGTCCCTGGTTTTTGAGGCAATTGACGTGCATGGCTTGATATGGCCATGCGTGCATGGTGCATGGCGCTATCACGAACCCTGTGCCACATTCTTCACGCGTCGTGGATCAGTCGAGTAGCACGAGGCCAGACAGCTGTCAGCTCAGCTGCGCCGAGCGCCGGAATGCGGACTAGCCCAGGGCGGCCACCACTTTTGCGCGGACCCATGATCCAGATGTTGGTGTTGGAACACGAACAGATCGAGGATCTTGGCGGTCTGAATCTCGATCGTTGGGCAGCACGCGGACGTGCAGCTCCACTATACGCAGCCTATTTGAGCCCAGATTGTGTTATAGGCAGCATATCATACCACAAACCTGCCGATTGTTGTTGTACAATCGTCCCGAGACGCGCCAGGATTGAGATCGGCTGGCAATTTCGTGCATGCCAGCGGCAGCCGGCCTGAATGATAGAAAGCCGTTCTACACGACCTGGTGAAGAAAGAGGGGAAGCCGCGGCAATGGACATGGCGTAGGATGCTCGGCCGCAATCAAGCAATAAAAAAAGACATCCGCATCCGGAAGGATCCCCGCTAAGGTGGCAAAGAAAGGGGTTCTGGAAGCCGCAGACCGAGGCGAAACGGCGGCGGCGAAGCAGTCGCATGTAGCTTGCGCTCTAGAACTCCAAGGCGAAGATTTAGAGTCGGTGAGGGCTGCGGTGTTGTTGGGCTGCAAAAGTGCGGTGTCCAATGGCCCATTTCCCTTTCGAGACATGCATCGCGGCACTGAGGGTCGGCCGGCCGGCTAGCGCGCCAACCTCAAAACTTCGAAACACAGCTAGCAAACGGCTGCGAGAGCATTAGGAGACGCGGCCGGATGGAGAACGCCGGGAGAGGCGCTCGCCGTCTGGGCGGGCGCATGGCAACGGCGGCGGACAAGCCACTTGCGCGCTGCGCATGTGAAGCATCGCCGACGCAGTATGTCGACAGGGCTTGCCTTGCTTCGGAGCGGGTACGACGACGCACCGGGCCTTGTCCAGGCGTGAGGCGGCGGATGCGCTGGCGCGGGTGATTGGATCGAGAGATGAGGAGCATTTCGTTGCCGGATGCCATTTCGCCTGCGCGCGTTCGCATTATTCCCCGTCAACACCCAGGGCGCGAGTGCCGCCCGCCCGCAGCTCCGTTGCGCGCGCAGCATAACTACCCGTCGCCAGCATCCCTCGCCAGTCTCGCTGCTCATCTCGCGCGCCAGCCACGCGACATGCCGATCCGCTGCTACTAACAGGCCCCCTGCACGAGCCGCCTCTCTGTTGCTTCGCCGCAGCGCGCTGCCCACCGCGACCCCTCGCCCTCTTGGATGCTCTGCGCCGGCCACGACCACGATTCGGAATCGTGGTGGAAGATGCCCTTCCGACTGCGGCTCGAGAGCGCCCGCTCCAAGCTGCTGGGCAGCCGCCGGAGCTCCACGGCCTCCGTCGCATCCTCGGCCATGGGCGCGGGCTCAGAGCTATCGCAGCCTTCGTCCCCACTGCCCCGGCCACCTCGCACCCGTTCGTCGGGCACGCACAGCGTGCGAACCCCCCCGCCGCTCTCTACCTTGAGCAAAGACTCGCTGCCAGAGCCGCTGGAGCCGGAGAAACCGTCTCACTTGCGCGCTGATCAACACCAATCGCGGGACCGGCCGTCTGAAACGATCGCCGACCGGTCCGAGAGCTTAACCTCAAAGGATCTGCAGCAGCAAGCCCAGCAACCACCTGCACCATCGCCGCCGCTGCCCACCCTCGCGCTCGAGGAGCCCTCGCCCGTCCCCGACGCGCCGCCCACCCAACTGGGCCTCACGCTCCCCGGCGCCCTCAGCGCTCCCGACCTCCACGACGAGTCCGACGAGGCCCTGCACCCGCTGCCCACGCCCGAGGCTCTGCAGTCGCCCCGGCAGCAACGCCCGCTCGCCATCCGCCGCCAGTCGCTAGTCCACAACTCGAATGCCCGAGTCATCAAGACCCTGCTCGACTCGCAGCGGACCCGTCCCTCGACCGCCAACAGCCAGGAGGACTACTTCTCGCTCAACGCCGGCATGCTTCACCGCAAGATCTGGGTCAAGCGCCCCGGCGCCTCGGCCACCCTGGTCCAGATCAGGGAAGACGACCTGGTCGACGATGTGCGCGACATGATCCTGAAAAAGTACGCGAATTCGCTGGGCCGCAGCTACGACTCGCCCGACGTCTACCTGCGCATCGTCTCGCGCGATCCCGCCGCCCGCCCTGCCGAGAGGACACTTGGTCCCGAGGAGGAGATGTGTCGCACCTTGGACGAATACTTCCCCGGCGGCCAGACGGTTGATGAGGCTCTGATAATCGATGTGCCTCAGCGGCGCACGCCAAAGCCGTCGCCGCGCGTCCCCCTGCCGCCGCATGTCGCCCACTACTATGGCGAGACCCGCCCGGCCGAAACAGACGCCGACTACTTCCCGCCCATGCCCGCTCTCGGCGCGCCTTCTCCCGCTTCATTGACGTCGCTGTCCCACGACAGTCGCCAATCGCACCCCCACCAAGACGTTCGGTCAATTGCAGTCCTTACCACAGGTCAGGTACCTCCGCTCCCCTCGCCCGGTGCCACGCGCCAAAGATCGCATCGTCCGAGGCCTCACCGGAACCTCACCTCCTCTCCCACCCAGAGCACGCATCCGCCTACCTCTACCTCGACCTCGCAGCACCTCTCCCGGCCGAACCGTGGACGCCTCGACTCCGGCGCATCCGACACAAAACATGCCGTCCAGGCAGCTGCGCCGCCCCCGCCGACGCCCCCCGCGCCTGAAGCCGTGCCTGCTCCAACAAAAACCTCGACACCGCCTACGCCAAGGGTCCAGTCACCTGATCCCCGGAAGCCGAAAAAGAAGAAGAACAAGGAGACAAACGCAGACGCACCGAGCTTGCCTTCGGGTCTACTTGACGGCTCCGTTCCTCCTATCAATGTTCTGATTGTCGAAGACAATATCATCAACTTGAAACTGCTGGAGGCATTCATGAAACGTCTGAAGGTCCGATGGCAAACGGCCATGAACGGTAGAGATGCCGTCACAAAGTGGCGCGCAGGAGGATTTCACTTGGTTCTGATGGACATTCAACTTCCCATCATGAGCGGATTGGAGGCAACGAAAGAGATCAGGCGCCTTGAGAGGGTGAATAACATTGGTGTCTTCAGCAACAGCAGCGCCAGTAGCACAGCGCCGGTACTACCAAAAGACAGATCCAGTACCAACGGAGAGCCAAAGGAGAATGACAAGCTCGGCGACGGCATCATCTTCAAGAGCCCTGTCATCATTGTCGCCCTCACTGCCAGTTCCCTTCAGAGTGATAGGCACGAAGCCCTTGCCGCAGGTTGCAACGATTTCTTGACCAAGGTAAGATTGACGACTATCCAACCTCTAGTAATGCGGGTTATTGCATTTTGATCTTGATCGAACGTGTGCTAATTTTTAAAGCCTGTCAACTTTGTTTGGCTGGAGCGCAAGGTGAAAGAATGGGGATGCATGCAAGCTCTCATCGATTACGACGGCTGGCGGAAGTGGAAAACATTTACGAACGAGGTACCTCCCGAGGCGAACAAACTCAAGGCGGGCAAAAAGAAGACCAACCGGGCCTCGATGTCGAAACCTCCAGGGGCTCTTGCTGCGCTTGTTGCTCCCAGCCCTGAACAACAAGCGTTGGCGCAAGCCGTGCAAGCTCCCGCTACAGACGCAGTGGTGGATGGCGCGGTGGAGATCGAGGATATTCCACCTCCAGTTGACCTGGCCGACGAAAGTTGAGGCAGCTGAAGAGACAACATGTGTTTGGGGATGGCCATCATGCACCGAAATCGAACCGGATACTCGTATCGTCACCTGTCGAATACCTACCGGAAAAGATGCTACATTTCCAGAGATCGTTTTATCCAGGCCGAAAGACAGAGCCGAGAGTTATCACGCGTTCAACCAACCTTTCCTAGTTTCACTGTACCAAGAGGCGACGTTTAACCCGACCGACCTTTCTCCGAAAGGCCCAAAATTTTCCTTCTCATTGGAGATTTTTGTAATTTTTTTTTTTCATTCCGCCTCCTTCTCCTTATTTCTTCGAGGAGTGTTATAAGCATCATGGGGAAAAACACATCGGGCGCGAGGAGTACATCGTCACATTGAGGTTTCCAAATTCTCATGGCAAAGCGCGGCGCTTGGGTTGCCGATTTCGAGACAGATTTCCTTTTTTCCTTCCCCCTTATACATATCTATCTGTGCTTGCTCGTTCCGGGTGGGTCTTGACTGTTCTAACTAGCCTGGTCTTCAGCTGCACCCACAAATCCTTGTCGAACGACGAGGAGGGCCTAGCGCTTGAGACCTCGCTTTTCCAGAGCAGAAATGACGCAGGATGAGCCGGGCTACGGTTATTCTTACCGCCCCTTTGCGGAGTTATACGTGCGGGATTGTCGTGCGGGAATGAGGAAAGTGCAGTTTCATTTGTACGGAAAGTGATAGTCGCAAGAAGGAAAGTGTGGCTTGCCGAGAGTTTTCCTACTTTTGCTCATTATGTTCGTAGAGCCAGCCCGATACCAGAGAGAAGCTCCCACTTCCTCTGTTGTCTAGCTGCGAGACGGTGGTTAATATCATACGTGCCGTAATAGGCGAGAGAGATGGTAGAAAATAAATACGTGGATCGGATCAATTCAAGATTGTTGGGATGTTCATGTGATGAGACGTGTAGATTGAGATGGACGGAAGGGGAATGAGTGTGCATTTGCTACTGAGGGGCGGTGCTTCATTGGACAACTCACTAGCATCTCTGGTTAGAGAGGGTCTATTCTTTGCGGTCTATTGTGGCTGCTTTAACGGAAATAGTGAGATACGTCTATTCAGTAGAGAAGCTCGTCCGCGTTCGGCTAGTGGAGAGAGTGCTTGGCGATCTTGAACGGGGTCGCTTCTATGGCACTATCATGTGGCGTCTCAAAGTGATTCCGATCATTCAGCTTTCATCACGTTCCAACCCCAGCAGGTTTACGCGAGTTGAGATTCGGACGCCCTATGGCAACAAATTCTCGAAACTGGCGGGGGGTAAGAGAAGTCCTTGCCGCGCGTTTTCTGTCAAGTTGTATAAGCATACCGAAAATTCGCCGTCTGCGATCGGTGCTCCCCCGCTCCTCGTAGACTCTCTTGTTCATCTCAACCACCTGCCCAGGTACTAGACAGCGATACTTTGGCTCGTCACATATTCGCTGCGTCTCATCACAGCGTCCCAGCATGCGCGTCAAGCCACATCTCCATGGGGTACTATTCAACACCAAGCAATCGGACCTCGGGCTTAAATTGCTTGGCTATGTTTCCCTAGACCCTGTCCAACCAGGATTTTAAGCGCCTCTGCAATCGGTGTTTTGGCAATAGATCGTCGTGGAGAGCTTTGAACCATCCGCTATTGTCTGGGCCAAGCTTCCCATGGCAGGGTCTGCCAAGACGGTAGTCATCAAGTCCAGGCATCGCACTCACATCCCTACGCTGTGCAAAGGGACGGCTCCGCCTCGTCCACAGCCCCTCCCGCCGCAATGCGACAAGGTGGCTAGCAATTCGGAAGTATTTTCTGGGGAGGGAACCGAAGAATAGGGTCCAAAGCTGCCGCTGATCGGAGAATTCTAAAAGGTTCCAGCTTTCACCGCAAACGTCGGGGCTATTCGCGCTAGGGTCAAGCGAAGCGTCCAGACTTGCCCGTTTGAGGAGAGCTGGAGATGTTGCTAACGCGTTGCGGAAACCCTGCGTTCCCTTCTGGAAAGTCCCTCCGGATGTCCCGAAAATGCTGGTCTGGGGATGCTGCGGCGCGACGAGCTCGATGGCGCTTTGCGCTCCGACAATACTTCCATGCAGGGATGGGAGATGCTTCCAGACTTGACAGAAACGTGGTAGATTCGCATGGCTGTGCCTCTCCCCATGGGGAGAGATCTGTAAGTGAGCGATGCATATGGCACAGTGTTGGAGAGACGATACTTAAGCAGACGGGGCCATGCATCGAGTTCAGATTTTTCCATCAAACTCATTCACTCCTCACTCTCCCTCACTATTGAAGACAGTTGTCTTCGATCCTTCCCTTTTCGTTGAGCACTCGCTCCAGGTAAATCTTTGCCTCCTTCTCTGGGCACTGATTCCTCGACCCCTGCCAACCACTATCCCTCAGAGAGACTTCGATACCAACCGTCATCATGCACACTAAGCAGACCCTCATGGCGCTCCTCGCCATCGGCGGTATGACCGCCAACTGCGCTCCCTTTCGAGATAATCGCCAGCACGGCCACCATCCTTCCTTTCGTATCGACAGCTCCGGCAACCCTTCGCTCCTCGCCGAACGCGGCTACGTTGTGAATGAGCATCGCCTCCACGAGCACGGCTTGGGGGAGGAGACCAACTACGTCCTTGCCGGGCGCGAGGCCAAGGGCGCCGATGACGCTAATAAGAAGAGCACGGAAAAGACGGAGGCGGAGAAGAAGGCTGAGAGGGAGAAGGCCGACAAGGAGAAGGCTGAGAAGGAGAAGAAGGAAAAGGAAAAGAACGAGAAAGAGAAGAAGGAAAAAGAGGCAGCCGGCAAAGCAAAGACTACCGGCAAGCTGGTCAGGCGTTCTGGGGGAGGAGGAGACAACAGTGGCCCGGGCGGCGGCGGCGACGCCAGCAGTAGCCACGGCGGCAGCGGCAATGGTGGCGGCAACGATGGCAACGATGGCAACGAAGGTGAAAAAAGCAGCACCCCCGCTGCCAGCAGCGCCGCCGAGGCCGAGAGCAGTGCTCCCGCTAGCAGTGCCCCCGCCAATGTTCCCGCCAGCAGTACTCCCGTCGAAAACAGTGCTCCAGCTAGCAGCGCCGAGGTCGAGGACAACGCTCCCGCCAGTAGTACTCCCGCACCCAGTGCGCCGGCTTCCAGTGCCCCCGCCAGCAGTGCTCTCCCCAGTAGCAACGCCGAGGTCGAGAACAGTGCTCCCGCTAGCAGTGACCCCGCGTCCAGCGCTCCTGCCAGCAGTGCTCCCGTCGGAGCTGATGCCAGCAGCGCTCCCGGTCCCGCATCCAGTGCAGGTGATGCCAACAGCGCTCCCGCGCCCAGTGCTCCCGCCAGCAGCGCGCCAGCGTCCGGTGGAGGTGATGCTGGTAGTGCTCCCGCTAGCGTTGCTCCTGCTAGTAGCGCCCCCGCCAGCAGTGATGCCGTCAGCAGCAACGCTCCCGCAGCAGTCAACAGTGATGCCGCCAGCAGCGCTCCTGCATCCAGCAATGCTCCCGCAGCCGTTAACAGTGACGCCGCCAGCAGCAGTGCACCCGCTTCCAGCAATGCTCCCGCAGCCGTCAACAGCGATGCCGCCAGCAGCGCTCCCGCGTCCAGCAGTGCAGCCGCTCCTTTAGCTGCCAGCAGCAGTGATGCCGCCCCCGTAGCCGCCAGCAGCGGTGCTCCCGCTTCCAGCAACGCTCCCGCCGTCGCCAGCAACGGAGATGCCGCCGTCGTGAGCAACAGTGCTCAAGCTGCCCCCAGCAGCAGCGCTCAAGCTCCGGCCAGCAGCAGCGTCGATGTTACTGCCAGCAGTGCTCCTGCCGTCAATGCTCCTGCCAGCAGCAGCAGCAGTGCAGGTGATTTCGCCGCCAACGCTGGCACGTCTAGTGATGCCACGACCAGCAGCGCTGCGCCATTCGTAGCCGTCGAAACCGATGTCACCACCAGCACACCAGCTACTGCGTCTGAAAGCAATAACGCACCAAATGTAGTCTCCGAGAGCAACACCGCGACAGTTTCAGCCCCCGAAACCAGCAGCACTCCAATTGAGGCTCTCGACGATACCGCCAGCACGGCAAGCAGCAGCACGTCTAGCAGCACGCCCGCGCCCGCCGCCGTTGCGCCCAGCAGCAGCTCTCCTGGCAATAACTCTCCCGCCGTCGCTGCGGCCAGCAACAACTCTCCCGCCGCCGTTGCGCCCAGTAGCAGCTCTCCTGGCAGGAACTCTCCCGCTATCATCGCGCCTAGCAGTAACACTCCTAGTAGCAGCTCTCACAGCAGCAGCACGTACACGCCCTCGCCCGCTATTATCGCGCCTGGCAGTAGCACGCACATCAGCAGTGCGCCTGGTAGCAGCAACAGGCCCAATGTCGTTGCGCCTAGCCCCAGCAGCAGCACTCTTTCTACTTTCATCAAAGCCATGTCTAGTAACGCCCCTTTTAGTAGCACTACGCATAGTACTACTTTAAGCAACGCCGCTTCTAGCATTAAGCCCGCGTTCAGCAGCGCCGCGCCTATCAGCCCTTCTTCTAGCAGAACCACTTTCAGCAGTGCTATTTCCAGCATCAAGCCTGCGCCCAACAACGTCGCGTCTAGCAGCGCCGCTTCTAGCATTAAGCCCGCCTTCAGCAACGCCGCTCCTAGCAGCACCCCCTCAAGCATCAAGCCCGCAGCAAGTAGCGCTCCTTCAAGCATCAAGCCCGCATCCATCGCTGCCCCCTCGAGCAGCAAGCCCACATCGAGCAGCGCCCCGTCAAGCATCAAGCCTGCATCTGTCGCTCCTTCGAGCATCAAGCCCGCGTCGAGTAGCTCTCATTCGAGCAGTGCTCCTTCAAGCAGCAAGCCCGCGTCTGTCGCTGCCTCAAGCATCAAACCCGTGTCGAGCAGTACTCATTCGAGCAGCGCTCCTTCAAGCATCAAGCCCGCATCTACCGCCGCTTCGAGCAAACCAACGTCCAGCAGCGCCACTTCCATCAAGCTCGCGGCGAGCAGCCCCACTTCCATCAAGCCCGCGGCGAGCAGCCCCACTTCCGTCAAGCCCGCGTCCGTCGCTTCGTCGAGCAGCAAGCCCACGTCCAGCAGCGCCTCCATCAAGCCCGCGGCTGCGAGCAGCGTCGCTTCCGCTAAGCCCATGTCGAGCAGTGCCACTTCCGTCAAGCCCGCGGCGGCGAGCAGCGCCGCTCCCAACAGGCCCACGTCGAGCAGCGCTACTTCCAACCGTCCCGCAGCAAGCAGCGCTGCTGCTTCCAGCAAAGCCGCTACTGGCAGCACTACACTTAGAACTGTTGCTGCTGCCAGCAACGCTGCTTCCAGCAAGCCTTCTTCCAGCAGCGCCACTTCTAGAGCCACGTCTGCCAACCCCGCTCCTACTAGGTCTACTGTTGCCAGGCGCGACGCGAAGCATGGCAGTGACGATAAGAATAATGGTGCCGACGATAAGAAGGGCGGTGCTGACGACAAGAAGTACGGTGCTGATGACAAGAAGAACGGTCCCGACGACAAGACCAATGCCGCCGCTTCAAGCAACGCTGCTGCCGGCCCCAAGGTCAACGGAGATGACAAGAATAAGAACAAAGGGACCAGCAAGGTGAGCACTTCTGACAACAAGGGCAAGGGAGATGACAAGAAGAGCCAAGACCATTCCAAGCGCGGTCCTTGCTGGAAAGTCAAATGTTGAGCTGGGGGTTTAGTTTTTTGCTTCTTTTCTTTCCTTCCTTCGGCGTTCCACGGAGTGATGAGTAATGAATTACATATGGAATTATAGTATTTATGGTATATTTATCAAACTTCATACTTGCCTACCTTCATTACCGTGTTCCACTGCCACATTCAAACTCTTCTTAACATCTGCAGTGCTTTGATAATGTCCAGACTTTCTTCAGTGTGCTTCTTCTTCTTCACAGGACTCACCAACCCCTCTCGTTTCAGCGCGCCAGCCTCCCAGCGTAGCAACACCGTCTGAAACAAGTCGCAAGCCACTTGGCATTACCTACAACTTCCCCACCCTGTCTTTACCCCGACCATAAACCAACGCCCCCGATTGGTCCAAAATCTCGCCACGCACAAGCTTTGCTTGGGGCGAATGATCGTGCGGAGAAATCAAGCTTATAGCCGCCAATTCGCCGATTTTCTCAGACGAAAGCTGCACCAGATCTCATCTCCTGAGCGGAACTCGGCACGGCGCGGAAAGAGCAAGGCTGGACCCTGGAGAATAGGGTAATCATCGGGCTTGTGGATGTGTGTGTGTGTGTGTGTGTGTGTCGGATCGTCCTTGGCGTGTTCCGGCCACAACTGCTTATTCGCACTCTGTACTATGGTGTGTGAGGCTGGGCGCGACGATTCCAAATGGTCAGCTATTGAGGCAATGCCAAGATGTTGTCGTAATCTTAATGGAGGATAGAGAGCCTAGTTTAGCGCCAGACGTTGTATGCAAGTGTAATCACATCTCACCAGCGCACAGCAAGTCGTCGTCATGCGCGCGGGAAAGGGGAAAGGTTCAGTAGGTAGAGAGGAAGTCAGTTGCGCGCTTTCAGAGCTCTTTTGAGATTTCAGTGTTATCGTAAAGCCGTCTGGCGATTTTTTGTCCATCATTTCTGCTAACAGTACTTTGGTATCTGAACGTAAAGAAGTAAAAAAAAGAGGGGAAGAAGAAGAATCTAGCCAATGCGACTGAAGACCAGCGCAACACCAAGTGAGCCGTTACATGAAGTTTTTCTTCCTGTCCAGCCCATCATCATCCCGCCTGACAATCCTTCCCCCCTCTACATAGCTTTTAGAAGCTCAGGGTATCATCTCCATAATTTGAAAACTAATCATACACATGTTCAGACGTTAAGGAAAGTTCATTTCGTTGACCAAAGCAAGATCTCTAACTTCTACTCGCTTTTTTTTGAATCCCTTGAAAAAGCAGAACGAGAAGAAGGAGCGACAGACGTTGCTTTGCAGGTGTTTTTGCCATTTGCAATTAGAGACAATGGAAAGGAGAAGGCGGCGTCCACCGCGAACCGGCGTAGGAAAATTGGCTGGCTGTTCGACGGCTTCCGCCAACATGTACCGTGAGAATGCACTGCATCCCTGGTTCATAATTCCGAGTCTCTAGAGCGGCTCATGAGGGAAAAAGGAGAGGTTTTGGTTTGCGTTTTGCCCAGTTCCCCGGTTTTAAGCGAAGGCACCGACGATGGACATACCGGCAGCTGAAATGAAGTCAGTATTCGTTGTCGCTGGGTAAGGGGAGGGTGATACTTACCACCCATAAGAACGAAAATGAATGCCCAGGTCTTGTCCTTCTTGCTCATCAACGCCTGGGCCTCCTCCGACAGGAAGTCCTCGGCCAGCAAGTCGACGAGCGCCGCATAGATCAGCAGACCCGAACTGATGGCGTTGAACATGCCGACCATGATGAGGCCAAACGCGCTGTTGATATCGAACGAGTTCCTGGCGAGCAGACCGATAGCCTGGCCGAAGGGGGCAGTGGTACCGAAGGCGACGACGAGCAACCACGGCTTGTACGAGCCCTTGGGATACGGCACGGCGGCGATACGGCTACCCAGACCGAGACCCTCGAACGTCTGGTGGAACATGATGGCGATGAGCAGGACGATGAAGCCGTCGACGGTGGCCGAGACGGTGATACCGACGAAGACCGAGTGGAAGAGGATACCGCCCTCGAGGATGGTGATGTTGAGCGACATGCGCTTGAGGACCATGGGGTCGACGGCGCCCTGGCCACCCTCCTCGATGTCGTGGTCGTCGGCGTCGAAGAATGAGACCTCCTTGTCTTGGGCGGTGGCCTGCTTGTTGTCGTAGCCGGGCAGGACCGAAGCCATGTTGCGGTCGATTAGATTCAGCATCTCGTCGCGCTGGCGGATGTATTGAGAGTAGAAGGCGATGAACCAGGCCGGCATCTCCGAGGCATTCTGGTTGCCCATCGAGGGCATGGTGAGCTCCTCCCTGATTCGGGTGTCAGCATCATCCCGAGGGGCAGGGGCAGGAAGGGGTATGGCAATCTTACTCTCTCTCGCGGGCGTACGCCTGCTTGGCCTCGTTCCAGGTGTAAGACTTCTCGAAACTCTCTTCCGAGTCGCTGCGGCTGATCGGGCCCATGGGCTCCCGCATCGGCCGTGCGTGCGGGGCAACAGTCTTGACGGGGCCGTGAGCGTGGGCGTGGCCGTGAGCCTGTCCGCCGGAGAATTCGGCACCGGTGGGGCCGCCGTGGCTGTGGCCACCCATCTTGGAGTTGAGCCACATCTCAAGCACGAACAGGCAGAAGAGCGAGCCCATCATGATCACACCAGGCAGAGCAGGGTAGTCATCGGTGAAGAGCGGGGGGAGGCATGGGTCATTAAGCGAAGCGAAAGCAGTAGGGAGCAACTGATTCCACGGTAGAAGGTTAGCCTTCTGTCACATCGCAGTCACGCCAAGATCAAAAGTTCAACAGGGCAGAGAGGCAGAGTAACGAGACCGGACGTACATGAACGAAGGCAGTGGCAATCAGGACACCAGTACCGAAGTGCTTGCAGAAGAAGAAGGCCTTGGGAGGGATCTTCAGCTTAGGGAACTTCTTGGCTACTACTGGGAAGCCGGCTCCTGTTTTGCATTAGATTGGTCCAAGCTGGGTTTCAGTATAGCGAGTGGGTCTCGTACCGCTAATACTGGCAATAACGACAAGGACTTGGAGACGTTAGCGGACCCCGCATTTGAGCAGATCGGGGGTACTCACAAAGAGCGACGACGTGAATGGCGAGATCGTATTCCTCGCCGGAACCGGGCTCGCTGCCGCACTGCGGGCGTTGATCGGCGTCAGACATGGTGAAGGAGTGAAATTAGGGCTCCAGGCCGCGGTGATAGTAAGAAAAAAGATAAATCGGGCAGCACCAGCTGCTGGTATACAACGATGAGGGGAGAGAAGGGAAAGGATCAAAAGGGACAGACTCAAGCTGCCATTAGCCAAAAGGAAGGGAATAAAAAGGCGTGAAAGAAAGGGATGATGCAAGTCAACTCAGCCGGGAGTGATGCATCCGAATGGAAGCGTTGGATCCGAGCGATGCGTTTGCTTTATGAAGCAGACCAAAACCTCGACGTTAGTCTATATTTCTAAACGACTATCAGAGATGGTGGTGATTACCAAGGATTCTCGTGACAGAGGGCGTGTGTGGAGTGCAGCAGGTGGGCGGCGGGGCCACATCGTGAACATGGGCGATGGTGGCGCCGCGTCAATTCGCGTATAGGAATAGGCGGGCCTATCAGTTAGTCAAGCTTCTGTTTTGGGCGGGGTTGACGGTTTTCGACATGCAACGCAGCAGACTGGGCCGATCGGTATCGACCAGGCTCGGTTGGTGTGCGGGCCTAGCACATCTTGAGACGGGGTCCCAGCGCGGCTATGCAGATCGTGGACAGAGGGATCCCTTCTTGGCTGTCACTGTTCCAACAACAGCATCTGCATGGAAGCATGGCAATGGCCGCCTGGCGACGCTAGCGCGGGCGGAGAGGACGCGTCCCGAGCGGATGCTTGAAGCTTGGCGACCATGGCCTGAGGCTTGACGAGCAACACCCAGCCACTCAAGAGGCGCGCTGTGGCGGCTCGCCTCCTTTTGCCAAGGCCGCCGCGGCCGTCAGCGCGCTGCTAATGCAAATCCGCAAAGTGTGAATGGTGCGGGGTTCCCTGCGGCGAAGAGGATCGTCGTGATGTGAGACGGCGCCAAGGCGGCCCCAGGTGCTTCTCCTGCAACACCTGTGGGTCGTCGACGCGTTGATGAACAGCACCATCTGCCGCCGACCCAGTCTTGTGTGAGCTTGTACATGTTGCAAAAACGTTAGTCTGGAGAAGATGCACCCTCCTGGATGCGCAATCTGTCGCACTGAAAATACTTTGCGCTGCCGAGACCCGCTCCCAAGCACGCAACTCCATGGCGGAGCTGTTTAATGTCTATCGCAAGGCGCAATTGGAGCCGGTTTGAAGTCAGCCTCGCGGTACAGACTGCTGTATGGGTCGCATGAATATCACCAAGTATCAACGCCGAGCAATTGTCAAACCTCTTCGTTGCATCTTAAATGGATCTACATCTTGATAACGTACTTGCCGGTGACCTGGTTCAACGAAATTGTCAGCTCGAGCCGAGATAGGAGATTTGGGAGCCAAGCTGTCACCCACCTGCCCGGACGCACTCTTCTTGGCTATCTCAGTGAGATCCTCTAGCTTGGCCGTCTGCACCGTGGGCGTGACCTGTTTGCGGTCCACAAATTCCAACGCCTCGAGCACGTCACCTCGCGTGCCAACAGCGGAGCCAATAATGCGATAACCGTGGTCAATAAAGCTGAGCGGGTGGAAGTTCATAGTCTGCGAGGGAGGAGGGATGCCGATGCAAACTAGAGTGCCGAACGGTGCCAACATGCCGAGCGACGATTGATATGCCGCAGCACTGCCCGCCGTCACAAGAACTGCCGATGCTCCACGACCTCTCGTTGCCTCCTTCACAGCCGCCGCCGCGTCAGACACCTTGGTAACGTCGACATACGCCTCCGCGCCCAGCTTCAAGCAATACTCCCTCTTTTGGTCGCCAGCGTCGACCGCAACGATATGAAACCCCATGGCCTTTGCGTACTGGATTCCGAGCGCACCTACGCCGCCACCGGCTCCAGAGATGGCGATAAAGGTACCTGGAGTAGCGCCGCATATCTTGAGAGACTTGTAAATGGTCAGGCCGCCGCACAGGATGGGGGCTATCTGTTCATCAGAGAGCTTCTCAGGCAGCTTCATCAGGTAGCGGAAGGGCACGATGGTATACTCTGCAAAGGTTCCGTCGACCTTGCGTCCAGACTGCACGGTGGCGTAGCAGCGCGTCTCGCCGTTCTCGTGCAGGCACATGGCGCACTCGCCGCATACGTCGCGCAGCCAAGCCACGCCCACGCGCTGGCCGAGACGGACTTGGCTCTCGGACAGGGACGAGCCCAGCTTGACGACGCGGCCAATGCCCTCGTGTCCCAGGATAGAGCGCGCAGGACCGAGCTCGCCGGAGGCTAGGGCGAAGTCGGTGCCGCACACGCCCGAAGCAGTCAGGCGGACCAGCACGTCGTTGGGGCCGGGTGCCGGGAGTGGCAGCTCTTGGACCGCGAACTGAGGCTCGTGACCCTGCTTCTGTAGCAAGACAAATGTGGTTAGTGGGGCGGCGGAGGAGTGTTCTCCTGGCGCTCACGGATAGCATACCACGACAACCGCAGCGCGGTGAGTAGCAGGGAGACCGTTCTGAACGACAGTCATGTTGCAGTTGAGGTGGATTTAGTGATTGTTTACAGTCGGAGCAAGAGATGCTTTGGGGTTGGTGCCGTCGCTGCGCTCGTGGTTGGAAACGAAACTGGAACACGACAAGACGCGGGGTGTTCAGTCACGACTGCGAGGCCAGGACGGTGATTATTTGTCTTCAGAGGGGTTGAAGAGGCTCATGCGTAGGATTCGGCAATTGTCGATAGCCGTGGCACCCGAGGTGATGGGTGTTGGTCGTTAGGGCCCGCGTTGTGGCCTTAAGAGAAAGCGAGTCAGGGCGCGCGGAGACATGACCGATGGCGGACAATGGGCCTCGGCGAAGCTATCATGACTTTGTGGGGATATTCTGGGGCTCGTTGTAGTTGCCGGACGCGTGAGCCGGTGGCACTTACAGCGAAGAGCGGCGCGTCAAGAGTCGCGCGTCAAGAGTCAGTCGCAACCTGGGCAGGAGCAGCCAACGACGCGCCTTCTGTGACAGAGCAGCGTGCCTGCCGACCGTGCGCGCTCCATGTCCCCACCCGGCCCGCTCACTGCCGCCTTGGCGTTTGGCCTTGATGCCTGATTTCCGTTGTGTCTTCCCCACAAACACCACGTCGCCTTTCTTTTGCAACGCGCTCCCAACTCATAACGTCTTCCATCTGAACGCTCTCACCCTGCCGCTTGGACTCCTCTCGCCTCCATCGAGCGGTGGCTCTCCTCGCCGTCGACATCGGATACACCGCCTACCAAGAGTAAGACTCTTCAACTGACCGGCTCAGTCGGGCGAGGTGGTGCTACATGCACCTTTATGCCTCTTGCTATATGGGGACTTTTTGACTTGGACATGACGCGCAACATCTCCTTACAGCTTTTGAGCCTGGGCTTGCCTCCACTTCATCAGCGCTGCCGTGTGCCAAATCTTTCGCTGCATGCAATGATGCTTCGCAGCAAACTGCAAGTCATTCTCGGTGTAGCACCCGTAGGCTGCCTGCAGGCTCAACCGTCTACCGCCAACCCCCTTGTTACGACTGTGGCAGATCAACAGAGGAGTTGGATTTGGTGCTCACGGAAGGTCGCATTCCAATACTCTGAAAAGTTTTTGAAGAGGAGGGAGGTTGCACACTTCGATGATCACTCTGCACAGTGTCACGCGATCGCAGTCTGGCTGCTGGAACCTGATCTGAGGCGACAGATCGCTATTGGGTGGTATTTACTTTTTCTACAGGACTCTTCTTCACTGAGTTGTGAACAATCCCCCAACTAGTTCGGATATCACCGATGCGCGCGTCTACATACATGTCCGCGCCACTCGAATCTCTTTGCCGCTGTCAGTGCGCGACCTTGCATCTAGAGACACGAATCCTGCCAGTGTAAGCAGCATGTCTGACTGACAGGAGGTGCGCTCAGGGCTCAACCATGTCGACCTCCCTGCATCCTCCCGGCTTCCTGGAACCGCTCGCTCCCTGTTGCCCCTTCAGCCGCGAGAAACCCCTTTCAACCGACCCTTTGTGACAGAATGCTGCCATGCGGCGGGTACAGCCTTCTTTCCCGCGGGTCTTTGATTGGCTGACCTTGCTTTTTTCGTACTACCACGTCTTGTCCTGCAGCGCGAACCCAAATTTACTTTCGGAACATTACCAAGCACCACACGCCAAGTCCTATCTCGAACGAGGGATGTCAGCACCAAAGCAATTACTTGATCTGCTCAAGATCATGGCTTTCCTGCTTAACGCCACGCATCACGCCCAATTCGGCTTGGCCCGCCGCCCACAACTTCCTGCGAAGCGCAATTCTCCGCCAGCCTCTACCGCTGCGCTGTGATGTGACCACTCACTATATCTCCCCAGCACTGCAGGATGCATCATCCATGGGTGCGCGGCTATGAGTTCATTTGACGACGCCAAGGCCCGCTTTTGCTGGGCCGTGATCGGGGGGCGTGCCTCCTGCCGCGGTCTGTACAACCCTGGATAACCGTTGGATAACCGTCCAAAGCACTTCCGACTCGTGGCTCTGGGCGGCTTGTGCAACCGTACACGACATCTTCAATCACATGATTTTGCAGAAGATGACAGGCATATCTCCCAGGACATCGGAAGCGTAGTTTGCCTTCCGCCAGCATTTTTCAAGCTGCTGGACCGGGCCTTGACCAAGCCTTGACCAAACCTTGCCAGAATCTGCAGTCTTTCGTGAAGAGCTTTTCGTGAAGAGTCTTCATTTCTTGGAATCGTAGTTCACATCAGAACCTGATGATTCTACCCACACCAACTTGGAAGTACTTTGCCGCTTGCCAGTCTTTCCTCAACCTCTATCCTCAACCCCGGTTGCAGGCTGCCGTTTGCCTGCTTTTGTCCGAGTCTGGTAGCGCTCCCTGTCAACTCCAAGCTGTCAGATACGTCTTCCATTAATGCTTCAGCCCGCTTCATGTTCCACACACCATATCGCCCTTGAATGCTGAGCCCATTCAGCATGCATGAGTTGCGGTTGTCTCGGCCGCGGTATGCGCAGCAAAACAGTGCAGGTCCTGATTCCTCTATATAACTCCCCGGCGGAGGAGTACTCCCAACTCCCTTTTCCTTCTTTTTCCCAGAGAACTGAACGACGCAACAACTGGGGCTGTCCGAATACCACAATTCTTTATACTGATATTATTGCAACGTATTTCGTTTGCACCATGCAGCCAGCCTATCCAGGCTATAGTGGAGCGCCGTTTTCGCGTGTCCGCGCAGCAGTAGCGGTAAGATTGCCTGTACCTAGCCTTTTCAGACCCAATCGCCGCTCAGGATTCTCGGAAACACCTCCGTTTGACATGATTCTTCGAGCAGTGCACGCACTGTAGAAAACGGAAAATCCGATGCCAGAACATCGATGCTTCCGGCAGATGCCAGCAATGCCGAACTTACGGCACCGAATGCTTGTTCAAACGGGTGGGTCTGACCAGTAGTCTTGCCATCCTTTTCTTTTCCATTACGGCCGGTTTCTCATCGCTCAACAGATGGGGACCATAGACCAACTGCCAGACTCGTACACATGGGTGCGACAGCAGCAAGCTCAACAAAACTCATCCGACCCATGCGATGAAGCTTGGGTCCCGCTTGACGGACAGGGCCAGCCCTGGTCTCCGCATGAGGCTGCTTACGGCGGAGCAGAGAGCGGCGGCTACCCAGCACCCACGGCCACCCATGGCCTCCCCTTTCAGGCGCCGCGCGCTGCCCAGCAGCAGCCCTATCACACCACCCAGGGTTTCTCCGGCCACTGCTCCGCGCCCACTCTGCTTCCGGCTCCCCAGATGGGGGCAAACAGAGTGCCTGTCAACTCCTCCCCCGGCTGGCATCACCAAGCCCCACCCATGCTGGCCGAGACGCCACAGCCGAGGCACTTCACAGATGCGCCCGGCATGTACCGAGACATTGGCACTCAGAACTCTCAGCCGCCCGCGCAGTACAGCGCTTATGAAACCCGGAAGACGTAAGTGCTTTTTACCGATCGCTGACGCTGTGGCTGACTACGGCGGCAGATACCATGCGTGACTGTCTCAACTGGCTCGCATTACTTACCGTCCAAAGTCTTGCAGACAGGCGTTGATCGTGTCGAGCCCATTCAAGAGCCATTGAGGGGAATGTGGACTCTGGTCTATCCCCAAAAGTGATTCATCTCCTTTCGCCAACCCCACTTGTATGACTAGCGTGGATACTGGCGGCCTGTCAGAAGACTGGGCTTGCCAAAGCTGTTGATGTTTCTATATAGTCTTACTGTACCCACCTACATCAGTATCGGAACAGCCCTATTGGCTTTACTGGAGTCAAGTATAATTAATGGATATATTATCACAGTATTGCATCTTTGTGACAGACGTATACTCATGCAGCATATCACGCAACTGTTTCATTCTCACATCTTTGCGAACAGCCATTGGACGCCAGGCTCAACACCCTGGTTGTCACGTTCAGCCAAGCCACGAAATCTCTTACCTTGGGCACCAATGTTTTCAAGACGGAACTTGAACCGCCAATCACATGCCGTGCGGCATCAATGCGAGACTAATGAGCTTTATACACACTTCCAGCCTTTAGCATGCTCTAAGGGCCCAGAAGCCCACCACTGGTTCCGTATCTCACCGGTCGATCTAAAATACCTCCGTGACTTTTTAATGCTCATGGTTCTACGCTATTACCATCTCCACTCTTGCCAGCTTCTCACAGCTGGTGCACGTGTGACTGCACTACAAAGCTTTTGTCACACAGCTCGAACGTCCCCGTTCGCCACTTGGCCATAATGATGCCCCTCAAAGGACTGCGCTCATTCCCTCGTTTCCAAAGCATCTCTTCCAGTCCCTTCTTTGCACATTTTTCATCTCTTCTGTGAGAATCCGTGTCTAAATGTAAATTCGACGCTTGAAAAGTCAACCCCAGCAAAGCCATGAGACACAGATATCAGAAAGAACAGGCGCAGCTGCCGTACTACTTGACCTTCTGGGTAAGATTTTCTGGCGTGCAGAGATCTGACGGCACACTGCCTAGTTCCAGGGTCTCTTGGATGATCTGGCGGATCTGTTTCTTTTTCTGCTACAGTGAGCAGACGTCCTTAAGCGAGGTTACCTGCAGGGAACATGGGTCACATGTAAGTTACGGGCTCGGGCATGCAAATGCAGCGAAGCGAGAATTCGTGACGCACTATCTCCGATATGGCGTACATCGCGTCAGGGGTATCACATTTTCGAGATCTACAACCGAGAAGTTTGCTTTTTTGTACCAAGAGCCTGGTTCTTCACTTTTTACGCGACGTAGTATTTAATCTGTATCGGGGCCCCGCTCACCCACTCGCCAGATATTCCACGACCCACTTTACGCGAAACCAGGAGGTGGGTCTTCATATGTCTCGTTCGGTTGAAAGATGAACATAGGTGGGGCTTGATGATGGCTGAAATGCTGCGAGTGCCCGCTCCGGGTGCTTCTGCATCCTCTCTGACAGTTTCTGTACGGCTTATGGCGGCTACCGCCGGATAGAGGGGTTAAGAGTGCCACCCACGCCCAAACATTCCCATTTTTGGCGAGTCTTCTGGATCTTTAGGTCATAACATTTTTTACACAAGTTTCATAGACCTCAGATCCATTGTATGAATTATATGCAGATACACCCGCCGCAGGGCACATTCCATGCGGGGGAGCCAATAGTACCACACCATCTGACAACCGCCATAGCCCACTTGTAAAGCTTGATGCATCCCCTGAACTGCTCTCTCTCAAGACCAACACTCATATGCAGAGTCCACCGCCACGGTTTGTAAATTAGAGCTGGTGCTATCTACTCAATGGTTGACACCCAGTGGTGGTTCTGCGTCCGTTTCCAAAGCTTCCTTTGCAACGTCTGCTGGTGGAACCTTCTTCTGCCGGCTGGCAACGTTCGGATCATCTTGCTGATATGCTTCAAACATCCACCTCTCATCAAACGGCTCCGCTCCATCAACAAATCTCAAATCCGTCGAGAGTCGAATGATGCCCTCCGGGCTCTCATTCTTGCAACTAATGGTGAAGTCAATACCAAACCTCATACACACCTCAGGGGTACAAAAAAAAAAGAAAAGCATACCTCGCATGAACCATAAACGGGTCATGAAACACGACATCTCCCGCCTCGTACCGCGGCGCCACCAGCCACCTCCTCCCCCAATGCTTCCCGAACGCCGCCGCATCCCTGTCCAGAAACCCACCCGCATTCATGTTCCTGTTGAACGCCGACACGCGCTCCTCGTCCGACAACCCCTTGTTCCTCTCCGCAAAATCCGCTTCGAACCGCCTCCCCACCTCCACGGATTTCTCCAGATACATCAGCCCCCCGCCCTCGACCGCGCAGTCCCCCAGCGGCACCCACCCCGTCACCGCCGTCGCGGGTCCCGCGCGCAGGAAGATCTGGTCGTAGTGCACCGGTGTCGTCTCGCCGCCGGGCACGTTGCAGCGCAGCAGGCTGCGCTTCAGCAGCAACGGCTCCTTGAACCGCCGCAGCCGCCCCGCGAAGCCCGCCAGCGTGCTGCCGACGACGCGCTGCTTGAAGTCGTGGTAGAAGTCCGCGACGTGCGCTTGTACGACCTTGTCGACGAAGACGCCGGAGTCGGGGAGGCCGTTGAAGACGCGGAGAGCGCCGGGGAGGAGGAATGCCCGCCAGTCGGCGCCGGGAGAGAAGATGCCGTCGCGCGGGTGCGTGTTAGGGGCCAGGATGCCCGTGTCGCCGCCGGAGTCGGCGGATGACATGAAGGCGAAGTATTGCTCGCGCATGTGGAGGACGGCGGCGCGGTCGAGGAGGCCTTTCATCTGAGGAGGGGAGGTGTGATGCGTCAGTGTTTTGGGCTGGATGAGGGGGGCTGGGGTTTTGTGGCTCCATAACTCACCCACAAGTAGCCGTCTTCTTCGTAGCGCTTCCGGAGCTCTTCGATGGGGAGGTCTGTGGTTGATGGTCGGAGAAAACCGATGTCGGGAAGCGGGCTGCCGTTGTTGGCTTTCAAGGTGATGCTGTCTATGCCTTCCGGGCCGGTCTTGTCGACCGAGAAGGGAGTGCGATAAGCGGTGGCAGCAGCCATTTTCTGCCAAAGTCTTGTTGTAGGAATTAAACTAACAAAAACGAGCAACTGATCTTGCACAACCAGTAACTTGCTAAGCAATACACATGGCTTCGGCGCTGCCCATTAAAAGCCAAGTGCTTTGAAGACGTTTCCGGCCGGCTATGCGTAAGGCGATCTGCCCCGCGTAGATTTCCCCGCGCTGCAGGTTGTCGATCACCGGGGAAAACAAGCATGGATTGAAAACCGGACGGAAACCATCTACAAATGTTCCGGACCCACAGCTAGGTGAGATGGAGAACACTGAAGCGCCGCGATATGTATACAACATGAATCATGGTCGCCAGCAATTGAGTTGTCTCCACTAAACTTCCTTCAAGCCTTCCGCCATGGCGCATACTGTCTTGTTTCATTAACTCATTGCTTATCTGGCACTAAGCAGCCTCTTCCACCTTGACGTGGCTCTTTACGAGGCCTATGAGCCTATAGTGCGCCTAGATTGTTCGCCAGGGGTTGCTTGCATCACCCACTACGGCGCAGTGTTGCCTCAGCCATTCAACCGCACCGACGGCGGCGTCACCTCAACTTATGGAGACACCAACGCAACCAGCATCCCAGGATTTGCCCGAGAGCTGCAGGATCTGTGGATGGTTGTGAGTACTTTTCTTTGGTCGTGTAGACACCTTCGAGAAAGTGTTTGAGTTCCGATGCTGACGCAGATCTTTATTTGCAGGGTCTAGGGGGCGTAGCCAGAGTCCAGCTGAGGGGTGCTGGAAAGCCTATCACTAAGAATTAATAGAGTCAAAGCAAATGTTGCCGGCCCAGCAGTTTTTATGGTTAACGTGTTCATGGCCTAGTAATTTGGACCGCTGAGCCATGAACTTTAGGTAGCCGAAAGCTGACACAGGGACTATTCGCAATGACAGCACGCACGCTGTTTGAAATCTGCATTCAGTAAATAGACTATCATATACGGTATGAAATATGAGTTGGAATACGAGCAAATGAGCACACATATTAAGGAACCCGATACCCCTCCTCCTTCGCCAGCTCGTCGTCATCGACATCGCCCTTCACCTTGATGAGGTACTTGTCAAATTCGCCCGACACCGCAATCGAGTGCTGCAAGTGCCCAATGTTAAGCGGCTCATCATTGTACAGAGCCAACTGCCGTGCCGTCGTAATAGCATTGCGGATCTGGCGCCCATTCATAGGGTATTCCGACAAATCTTTAACCTTGGCTAAGATGCCATCGGCGTCCATGCTCTCGTTCAGATCCTGCAGCCGAGTGATAAAGTTGGTCCAGATCTGGGCGCGCTGCGGCTGATCGAGGTTCTTGTAGTGCAGGGCAAGCTGGATGCGCGACTTGAACGCTTCATCGAACGTGCCGACGCGGTTACTCGTCAGTATTAAAATTCCACTGTAGTACTCGAGCGTGCGTAGGAAGACGGAGACAAGCGCGTTGCGTGCTAGGTCCTCGAGCGAGCGCTGCTCGAGAAACACATCTGCCTCATCGAGAAGCACGACACAGTCCCAAATTCGACCGAGGTAGAATACGGACTCGAGGTACTTTTCCACCTCCCGCGGCTCGATGCCAATGTCGCCGCATGTGACACGGTACAGCGGCTTCTCAGCGATCTCGGCCACGCTTTCGGCTGTAAGCGTCTTTCCTGTGCCGGGACCGCCGTGGAGGAGGACGATGAGACCGGTGCCTTTGCCTGAGACCATGTCGGTGGCACGGTCGGCCGCGATTTTGTTGCTGACGAGGGCGCGGATGAGCATCTTGCTTTCGGGTTTGAGCTCGAGTGTTTCGAAGGCTGATTTATTCCAGCGGATCGGAGAAATGCAGTCCACCCGCAAATTGACTAGGGTTCTGCTGGTCAGCGCTGACAATGTGTAGTTGAGGGGACATGGGTTTCTCGGGGATTCAGTCTTTCACTTACCCCACTTCTTCTCCATGATGTCGAAACCGTAGATATTTGGCGGAAACAAATACAGAAGATGATCGGGCGGGTTTTTAGAAGCCATGGCGTTTGTGCCCAGATCATCCCGTTTGTTTTCATTGGCACGGCTGCTCTTCTCGTCGGTGCCGTGCATCTTCAAGTAAGCCGTCACGTCGACGAGGAAGCGGGTATCGAACTGCATTGAAATCAGCGCACGATGATGACCGCAGTCCTGTTGCCATTCTTACATAGTCAGTATCTTCTGTCACATTTGGGCCGTTGTATGTGACGTAATTGTAGTGGCGGCAGCTCCAGAACGTTTCGCTTCGAAGACGGAGGAGCTCTTCAGTCTCATATTTGGCGTACTCAAGAGGGTAGAGGCTCAACTTTGTGATCTTCGTAGTAGTTGTGCGTGGTGCCTTCAAGACTACGCTAACTGAGATCGTCTCTCGGAAGAAGCTTCCGTTGAAACTCCACGAGTGCGCGTCCCCTTCCAATGTGACTCGGTCTTCTTCATATGATGCTTCCGAGAAAGATGCCTGGACGACTCCAGTGATCTGCTTGTTCTTATCACGCCGCACCAAGATGTGTGCCGGTGCAAAAAGATATCGCGCTGTGCTGACATCCACCAATCCTTCGCCAAAGAGGATTTGGGCCTTTCGCCATGCATTTCCAAATCGTGTTTGAAGAAAGTCAAGAAGATCCTGAAACTGGTATCTCTGTTCCTGGCTCAGATTTCTGGCACCTTCTCTTAATCGCGGAAGGAAATGGTAAGCAAAAACATCCATGTCAAAGAAGTCTCTCCCGTCGTGGTGCGCATAGTACCGGTCCAGCACGGGATCATTATCGCTGACAATTTGAATTGCCTCCAGCAGGATGGGCGACAAGACACGAATGATGGTTTCTGCGCCGTCTGTGTTGACGGCATCACTCTCTGGCTCTGATGTCGACATTGATCTCATTCGAACAGATTCTGATCGATTTCTGTTTTCAAAGGTCTCGAAGACCAGAAAGGCCACATTTTCTCTTTTTTGCCACTCCTCAAACAGGGCCAGATTGTCGATACGGCTCTTGCTGTGATAGGAATACCTACCAGAATGATTCTTAAGCAGGACAGGCCGGTCAAGATAGCAGGCTGACCCCTTGGCATGAACCACTTTATAAAGGACAACATGGGAGGGTCTCTTTGGTTGAGCATTGCTCTGGTGAAGAAGCTTTCGGAGTTCTGAGTTCTGCCGCTTGAGTTGTCCAATCTCTTGTTCGTCGGCCAATGACTGTTTCCGTAGATTGGTGTCATTTTCCAAGTCCGCAGACTGTGCCCTCTGAATGTGCTTCTGTTTCGGTCTCCGCAGATGGCTTTTGTTGTTGCCAGCCTGGCTTGGTTTCAATTGTGGTAGGTGAATGCTGCGATTTCCCACCCCATCGATATCTTCTTCTGTGTCTAGATCGATCAATGACGGCTCAGCCGCAGATTTGTTCGTCCTGTTTGAGATGTTTAAATCCACGGGATTCAACATGCCAATACTAAGCGCAGCTTCTATAGCTGCACCTAGCTCGGCTCTCAATTTCTCTTTATTTCGATGATTAGGTGTACGATATCCTGATTCGTCTGCGGAAATCGAAACATCTGACTCTGCGGCATCTGCTTTGTAAACGCCCTCCTCATCTTTAGCAGCTTGCTCCGTAGGTCTCTGCCGATACCGATACTTTTCTTCGTTGCTTCTCATAGGGAGAATATCTTCCCGTTGAGAGTGCGTTTGTTTTCTATTGGATAAGAAGGGTGGTTCACCGTCCGATTTTCTGTCTTCCTGAGAGAGAGCTGACCTCGTATCGGGAAGCTCGACGGAAGACATTTCTGACCGTTCAGTGTGACTCTGTCTCTTGTAGACTCCAGTCGAAACAACATTCCCTTGAGCTCGTTTGGCTGAAGAAGGGTACGGAAGATATGGCTCAGAACGCGATATACAAGAGTCATCCACAATGGACGAATGACTTTCAGACTGAGCTCTGAGTCCTGGAGAACTGGACCTCAAAGCTTTGAGCAGGTCACCGTAGTTGAAAGCCTCTGCCTTAGCCTCATGCTGAGCCTCAGTTTTACGGTGGCGTTTGGGGATAAGGAGCTCCTCGCGGCGTAGGGATGCGGCGGTTCGTTCTGAATCGCTGTCGTTATAACTCTCTGTGATTTCAACATGTTTGTTGCTCGAAAACGATGTATCCGTCTCTGGACTCCAGTCGTCGTGATCGTCCTTAGATTCAAAATAGACCGCTCGTTCTAGTCCCCATCGCCTACGTCGTTGAGTGCTTTTTTCACCACTGAAGTACGGTTCGGGTGGCGGGAGCGGTGCAGGAGGAGCAACGACAGGGGGCGGAGGAGGAAGAGGTACGACAGGGGGCGGAGGAGGAACAGGTACGAGAGGGTGCCTTAGATCAGCAGAATATCCTCTGTGATTGACATTGGTCCGCTCGCGCTTCGTGGTGTCTCGCCTCCGTTGTTCGGATCGATTTTTTGAGAGTGATCGCACGGAACCAGTTCTCTGCTTATTATCTGCGGGCGAATCCAGAACAAGTCGCCTGTTCGACTCTCTGCTCCCTGGACCCCTCGCCGGAATTCCTCCATACTCTGAAAAATCGTCGGCATCCATGCCTCCCTCGCTTTTGCCGCTGGCCACTTCTCCTTTGAAAAATTCTGAAAAAATGGATTCCGGGTTGGAGAAGTTAAATGTTTTTGCGGCGTTGGTACTGAAGTGAAATGATCGTACCCCTCCAGGATCTTGTTGGAAATTCTGCGCCTGAGGCTGTGAAGCTGCTTGCGGTTTTATTGCATCCTTCAGGTGTTTCCCAAGTACAGAAAGGCTTTGATGCTCGTGCGCTTCCTTTCCAGCTGTCTGGTCTTGCGAAATGGTTGGGTCCATCGGCCACGGCACACGCTTTGACGGGCACTGCGGTGGTGATAGCCACAGAGTTGTTGTGGGAGCATGCAACGTGAGAAAATCGATTGGCATGGACAAGGCTGAGAGCGGGGTAATTGCCAATGTTGAAGGAGTCACACTGCATATCGGCCCCCACGCCAGCTCTCGATCATGATCAGCCTCGCGTGAGCCGACCACCTCATCTTTCCCACATTTTTGCAAAAGAGCAGTTTTCTTCGTAGAAAACTGTAACAGAAATGGCCACTGTCCAGTAAGTGTTCTGATAGTAGACAAAAAAACTCTATTCGGCTAAATTCTTCAAGGCTCGGTGCGACTGAGGAGGCTTACAGCAGAGCCATTGAGCTCTACAAAGAAGCTTACCCCAATAACCAAACCACGCTCTCAAAGCTCCAGGGAACATATAGGATCAATGATGTCGTGGAAGTGGTAGCAGCAGCTAAAGAGAAATACGACCAGCGGACGAAGGGTTCCAAGGCGCGAAAGTGGCTGTCGTACTTCTCTTCCCAAGTCACATACTATGGCCAGGTCTTGGACGTCCTGGCTCAGCACCACCCTGAGTATGTCTCGCTGGCCTGGGGAACCATGAAGTTTGTGTTTATTGTAGGCTTTTCTGCACCCAGGAGATGTCTTATCTACTGACTTGGCCCAAGCTGGTGCTCAACCACGAGGAGATGGTCACTGAGCTTTCGCGAGCCATGTCCGAAATTGCCGACGTGCTTCCACGGGTTGAAATCCAGCTCGATGTTTTTAAGGATGAAAAGTCCATCAGAGTGGCAGTTGAAGAGCTTTATGCCGAACTCATTAAGTTCCTGTTCCGCACCCTCAAATGGTATGAGCAGAGCCCGTGGAAGCATGCTTTCACTGCCTTTGCCGCACCTTTCAAGCTCCGCTTCGAGGACTTGAAAACCAAGATCAACAGGCATGCGCGGCGAATCGATAAGCTTGCCACCGCTCTATCTCAGGCGAAGTTGGCTGCGATGCACCGTCAGCTCCAGATACTGCTCGAAGTCCAAAATAGTACAAATACTTCCTCCAAGCACTCCGAAGAATTCTTGAAAAGACTTGAGCCCATGATTGTGGAAATCATCTCAAGCATGACCAGTAAGCCAAACAAAGCTCTGCGTAGAACTACAGCTGATCTAGAAAAGGGAACCACTCTGAATCACTTCACCACTTGACCTCTATATCCAGGGATGCCACGTCGATTTCGCAAGATACCAAGCAAATCCAAATCGCAATGGTCCTGTCAGCCACGAAAGATACACCGCTGGGTAGCCCCTTAGAGGCTTTCCGCTACTGTCAGGCCATCAGTCACGCTCGCCCAAAGCGACAAAAAATGGAATATGCCCACCTAACACCCATGCTTAGCGCTTGGGCAGCGTCTCCAAGCTCCTCCTTCATCATCGTTGAAGGATCCGCTCCCAGCCGCTCTCAAACAAAAGACCTGGCCACCGGACTCATCAGCGTGCTACGAGAAGCGGGGAAACCTACCGTCTGGGCAGTCAACGGCAGGGCCGCCCTACAACCCAGCGAAGAAGACTCGGTCCACGTTTTGAAGCATCTCTGCAGCCAGGTCCTCCAGGCTAACAACAAGCAAGCAATCCGACAGGTGTCGAACCACTTCAACGCGTCCAGAGTCGAAAGCGCTGTCACCGAGTCGGATTGGCTGCAGATACTGCAGGAGAGCCTGACAGGACTGCCGGAGCTATTCGTAGTCGTGGATCTGGAACTATTCGGCGCCGCTTCCAGTAGCAGCAGTAGCAACGCTCAGGTTCTGCTTTTCCTGCGCGCTCTTAAAGCGCTTCTCACAAACCTACAAAGGGTGCCCGTAAAAATTGCCGCTTTCACCTTCCGTCGACCGCTCCTCAGCGCGTTGCGTTCGGATCCCCGAGAAGCGACAATTGTACCGTTGGAGCAGAAGAGATCAGCGGCAGCTGGCAGTCGATCGCTGCGGAGCAAAGGCGGGAGAAAGCAGAAAAACGCGCTTCCGAATATGTTTAAGAACAAGTGAGGTCCGTTTCCGCGGTGGTGAAGTATGAGAGTGACCGGCAGGGTCGGCTCGGCTCACGGCACTGATTCCTTCGGCCCCGCATCTCAATCCCCACTCTTCGTCATCACACTCGTGGCTCTTCTCTTGCTACCTCGCCAACTTTTACCTTCGCGTTCCTGTCCTGGAGAATTTTGGCATGTCGTACGTACGCTTAAAAACTCTGCCGACGTCGAATTTTCAGAACCTTGGGTCGGACCGTTACATCGAGGCATTTTCGGTCCCAGCCTAAGTTTCACCGCCGCCTGCGCCGCTCATCTGCGCCATTATAATAGAGCCTGTGGCTCGTATTTTAATATCGCGCTGCAGGACATTACTCTTTCCCAAGTAGGTAATAATAAGACAGAGGTTAAACATTCTCGAGCAAGGCCTCTGTGGCTTTGCCCCAGCAAGGGCCACCGGCGGCGGGGGCTGTGCAACTGTCGTGTGCAAGCCACTTGACTCTGTCAGTTTTCCAGGGGGTGATCGGAACGTTGTCCACAGCCCTCATTGGCTCCTCTCCTACGCGCGCGCTGCGGCAAAACGGTTCCCCCGCTCTTACCGGTGAGATGTTGGTAATTACCGCAGCGAGTCAGCGCTCACAGCGAAGGTTGGACAGCCTGAGGGAGTGACGTGGTGATCCGGATTAGCTGCCAAGTCCTGCAAGCTTTTCGGTTGAAAGCTTGTCATTTCTTCTGCGAAGGCTTAGCCCCATTGGTCACTGCTAACCCGCGCGCGTCCCGCGGCCCCGTTCCCACCCAGCGGCGGTGCCCGGCGCCGTCTCAGTCGCCCTAGCGCCTGTCCTGTTCCAGTAAACTGCTGGTCAGCTCGTATCTCACAATCAAACAGGTTCTGCCGGCTTCCCGAGCCCTGACCCGTCATCAGCGGAACGGCGGCAATGAGATGAGCGTCATGACGGCCGCGTTGTCGCTTACCGCGGCAGGATAGCACCTTTTGCTGCCAGGTTTTCGCGGCCAGGTTTTCAATGCCGGCCACCCGTGAAATCATGGCAGGGGGGAGGGGAAAGAAAAGCGTGGCTGGTGGCGCAGATTCTGGACCCTTTCCCACTCTCATCAAGAACCGGGCTATCACGCCCTCTCTCTCTAGCTGCGCCTCGACGTAACGTTTCAGGCGCCGGCCTGTCCCGTCCAATCCCAAACTCCGGTCACATCTGTCAGTGCTGACCGTGCAGCTGTCACTCTCGCGGATTGGCTGCCCCGGCCGCTTGGGTGACGGAGGAACTGGAGTCAGGCAAGTGTCATCCTGCGTGCATAAATACCCTTGTTTGCTCGCTGGAGAAACCTGCCTCTCTTTCATTCCATCCTTCAATCCCAAACGCTCTCTCTGTGATACCCTTCCTAAAAGTCACCTCCGTCCATCCTCTCTCACTCTCCTCGTAAGTGTCCACTCACTTATCTCTAGAGCTAGGTCTTCGCTAACGGCTAGCTGCAGTACTACTCCTCACCACCCGCCTCCAAAATGCCCGGCTCCACCACTTCGTCTATCAAGTCCATCATCAAGCCCAAGCCCACCACCATGGGCTGCGGCGAGGAGTGCGACTGCTGCGGCTGCGAGGAATCCTGCTGGTGCGTGGTCATGTAAACGGCCAATGCCCTCCGGAACGATACGAATACAACGGATACGGCGAAGGAGTTTCAAAGAGGTCTTTTCTCGGTCATTCGGTCGTCTGCATTGCGAGACGGAAGGTTATGCTTTTGAGGGGTTCATTCATGTCTACCGAGCTTGTTTCTGGCTCATTTACACAGAAAAAAAAAGTCACAATTCTTGCAAATCAAATTGTTTCTTTTCAACGGATGCTACTCTTCTTGTTTGCTTGCTCTGCTTCACTCATAATTTCAAGGAAAGAATTTACAGAACAAGCTTTGCCTCCACGCTGACCATCCCGCGACCAGTGAGGCTCAGAGTGGCATGTGTCTTCAGCCGCACCGAAAGGGATAGAGACCCTGCAATCACATGTGTCCAGGAACCCGAGGCACAACGTACTGGCGTACCATGGTCTTCAATGCGTCTTTGCGCGCCTAGACCCTCCCTTTCTTCCGGATGAAGACAATCCAGGGTAAAAATAAAGGTGTTCGCTCTTGGTACCTTCGAAGCGTATATATCACGGACTACTCTCAAGTTGGAGCTATGTCTTAGCGAGCCGAGCTTTGAAGAAGCTCTGCGTGCTGTGTCCAGGAACGATTTGGGCAAGCGAACAGATAAGCACAGTGGCGCCGTAACTAGAAGCTTCCAAACCATTCCTTGCACAACTTCGTTTACGCTAACGCTTCTGAACCAGACCTCGAACAACCGCAACACAAACACTATAACCCCACAAAAAACAAGAACTGCACGTGCATGTTGCGTGTCACTCGCATTAAGGGTCCAACTCCTTTCCCTTAAATGGAGTAGATAACCAGGGTCGTCAGTACGACTGGAACAAACAATTTCCTAAACAATCACTGTAAGCTCAGTCTGCCAATATCAACTCTCTCCATCAGCTTACCAAGAAGCAGCCAGGGCAGTCCCAGCAGAAGGCGTGCTAGACGGACTCCCCGGAGTTGAGCCATTAACCGGTGCACTCGGCGTCACTGCAACAACTCCCATCAGCATTCTTCCTCCATTGAAGCCCCACAAAGCCACCTACCAAAATTCCTACTCGCATTCCCGTTCTCCGGCACCAACCCCTGCCCCACCACACTCCCCGGCGGCGCATAGCCCCCCGCATTCGTCACCGCGGCCGCGACCTCGATCCAAAAGTCGCACACAGACCTCCTATTCTGCTCGTCACTCACCAACTCCATCTCGAACAGATCCACATCCAACACGTTCCCAAACGCATCAGAACTATTATCCACCTGCGGCCACGCCGGGATACGCGGGACGCTGTTATTCCGCTTAAAAGTGTTCGGGTCGCCCGCCATCGCGAGCGACGTCAGCAAACTCCGATAACCGTCGACGAAGTCGGCGGTGGCGTTGGTGCTGATGAGCGACGGGAAGAAGAACGACGGCAGCACGTCCGCGCCGTGCGTGCCGGGCGGCGCCGAGTACTGCATGTTCCACACGCGCGTCGTCGTCGTCGTCGTCGTCGTCGTGCCGTTCAACAACGCATCCGCCAGGAACCTGATATTGCACACGAACCGGCTCGCCGCCAGGACGTCCTTCAGCCTGTCGCCCTCCGACCCGTACGTCCCATTCTCCGCGTCCGGGCCGGGGTACCGCTGCGCGATGGCCTCGGGCACGCCGTCGACGGGGTAGTAGTACGTCATATACCTGTCGAAATCCGCGTCCGTCTTCACGCCGTCGTCGACGTACGACGCCGCCTCGTCCCGCACGTGCGACAGCAACACGCTGTCCAGCCCCTTCCACGCGCGGCCGGCCGCCAGCTCCAGCGCCGCCGCCTGCCGCACGAAGCGGCCGTCGGCGACGGGCTGGTACGCCGAGCGCTCCTTGTACGGCGTGTACGCGCACGCGTCGTTCGCCTCCCGCAGCTTCTCTGGGTCCGCCGCGCGGAGGCACTGCATCACCTGCTCTTCCCCCTCGTCCTGCGCGCCCCCGCTACACCCCGCCGCCGCCGAGAAGTTCGCAAACAGCTCCTCCACCCTCCCACCCCTATCCCAGCGCGTATCAAACGCCGGACTCTGCAGCACCGCGTGCCGGAAAAACGGATCCAGCGTCCCGCCTTCGGCCGTAATCAAATGCAAGATCCCCCCGGCGCCAGCGGACTCGCCGAACGCGGTGACGGCGCCGGGGTCGCCGCCGAGGAGCTGGATGTGCGTCGCCGTCCAGTTGAGCGCGGCGCGCATGTCGTGGAAGCCGGCGTTAGGCAAGCCCAGGCGTTCTTGGGTCGAGCCGCCGAGGAAGCCGAGGGCGCCGAGGCGGTAGTTGGAGGCGATGAAGATGATGCTGTTGCGCGAGGTTTGCAGGAGGTTCAGGCCGGTGTAGAGGTCTTTGGTGCCGTAGACGTAGCCGCCCTGCCGGTGGTGTTAGTGGGTGCGGGGAGGGGAGGGGGGGAGGTGGGGGGAGGGAGGGAAAGCTTTACGCCGTAGAACCAGTGGATGACGGGGAGGGGCTTGGTGTCGTTGGATCGCAGCGCGTCGCCGGGGACGTAGACGTCGAGGTACAGGCAGTCTTCGGACGTGGGGCCGGTGAAGCCCTGGATGTTTTTGGGGTCGCCGATGCCCGTCTGGATGCAGCTGGGGCCGTACGACCCGTCGATTAGGGTCGTGTTGACGACAGGCGGCTGCGGCTCGCGCCAGCGCAGGGGTCCCACAGGCGGCGCGGCGTAGGGTATGTTTTTGAACGTGTAGAACTGCATCGTTAAGGTCAGCGTTGATGAGTCTGGTAATAGCTTTATGAACGGGGCTATACGTCGTTGATTGCATCGTAAAAACTGGCTCGCACCCGCGCATATGGCAGCGTTAAGATTGGTAGCGCATCAAAGCTAGAGGTATTGACTGAAACGCCTGTGGCTGCTAAAGCGGAGTTTTGCGGCGTGGAAAGCACACCCAAGAGGAGACAAATCTTCACAAGCAGCTGCATTTGTTCCGTTGGGATCTTCAGCAGACGGAGGGAAACATTGTCCTACAGGATTCACTCGGGAAAGGGGTTACACTAGAATTTAGCTATAGCTTGTCCCGTTTAAAGTTCCCGCGTGACGGGACCTCGTGGTCGTCATTACGTCATAGATGCCTTAGGCAACCCGGGTTTCGGATGTGTGAATAAAGACTCAGAAACATGAGGTATCACATGGGTTATGATCCCCGCAATAACCTTGAAGAATGACTCTTAATTTCCTCATTTAGTCGAAGTTATCGTCCGGGATTTGAATGCTTATATCCAATTATTGCTTCAAGTGCGCATAACAGGAGCCTTGCTGCGGAATTCTACTCAAGGAATCAATTAGAACTTCGAGATATTTTCTCCAGACTACTGTAAGTGGAATATCTTCCGTAACGGTTCCAGCGTAAAGGGTAGATTTTGACTCCATAACAGCTGATGTTTGCTTCCAAGAGCAAAAGCCTACATGTCAAGGAAATTCAGAGACCAAAGAAACAAGAAACAGCAGGCGTCTGACGATGCCAGGTATCACCAGCCAGTATTGAAAACTACAGACTGTAGCATTTGTGCCCTGCGCACTGTGGCCGGCCCAGGAGTACACACGAGCACGGCGAGTAAATCATTCCCAGCCTGACACGGCGGCACGAAATTTGCCTTTTGCCCTTTTCACTCGATCATGAATGCCCCAACCTCCGGATCAAGTTCCCCCCACTTCTCCAGGAAAACCTTTCCAAGACCGATGCGCCGAAAGATACCGCTGTTTGAATTTTCCACGGCCATGACGTTCAAGGTGAATGTATCGTTATCTTCCGAGCACAACGAAACAAGCTCTGGAGGCGGAAAGTTGAGAGCCCCGCCATTGCCCTGGATCATTTCGTATCTAGTACCCTTTGACTGACCCGGAACACCAAACGCTGCGGCCGTACTATCGAATTCGTCGAAGTCCACATGTTGTTTCCTTGAGAAAAAATTGATGCTGAGAGCGAGACTATCCATGAATACCTCTTCTCCTTCTTCTAATCTAGGCAATATGCTTTCCTCACTCTCTGTGTTGCCCAGAAAGAGAAATTCGACTGGGCATTTTGAGCTGCGGAGGATAGTCACGATCTTGTTGGGGGAAACTAGATATATTCGTGGATCCAGCATGAGCCTCACTTTCCGGGTGTGTATCAAGATGTGATCCCAAGAAGGTTGGCTATCACATTGCTTGTCAAGGGAGGGGGAGGCAGCAGAGGGTCATCATGACGAGGCTACGACATTGCTGCTGCCTTACGCGACCGAGATCTATGGGAGGTTCGCCTACTGCGTAAGCACGCTGGGATCTTCTTATCTATTCGTGCCCGCATTTGCATCCCTGGCCGATCACTTCACATGATACGCTTTGAAGCAACAACAAATTACCGCCTCGCTTAATTCTGCACTGCAATTCCCATCTTTTATATTGGCTCTCCCTAAAAGTAGCGCGTGAGGTATGTACCCCCTGTACATATCACATCACTTGTTCATATCAGCGTGTATTTATTCAGAGCATGTGACTACTCACTCAGAAGTAGTAGCAGTATTCAATTTCTCAATCCATACTGCTCAAAAATATCTTATCACCACATTTACGCCAATATTGTCATGGCTCATTATGTCAGATTTTGATGCGTAGAGAATAAATCGGCAGATTCTACTGAAGACCAAATCTAGTGGTGAGGGAGAGTCCGCTTAAGCTACAATTCTTAGCCGGCACGCAATGGATAAGGCAAGAAGGCATAGAGTTCGACTCAGTATCACGCAAGCGCTCGCTGCGCCTCACTGTAGCAGTGCATCATCAAAATCAAGTTCTAAAACACCTTTCAAATGATTATGCTTCGCAAATGATCTAGGTCAAACAGAGCCTTCTTTTCTATGAAAAATGAAAATAATTATTCCACGAGAGGGTGGCAGATGCTGAAGGTTGTAAGCCGTTGTGGGCAGTCCGGAAGGTCTGGCGGTGCGCTATTTACCAGCAACTGCCTGAAACAAACATCACACCCAATCCCGAGTCCAGCAGAACACTGGAAAGTACTTTAAAGATGCTTTCTCTGCCGCCGCATTACAGTCGGCTACTACATCAAATCTGGAGAAGTGGATTGAAACCAAGTAAACTTGACTATATGCACAGATCAGCACTGCACACATGGGAATTGAGATGCGGGGCCGAAGGAACCTGCAGTGGGCCGAGCCGAGCCGAGCCGAGCCTGCCGGTCCTCATGCTTTACCTTTATTCATTACCAGCCCCGTCAATCATGTCGTATGAGGTAACATACAATTTTTCCTTGAAGCTTGGCTTTAGAGACGCATTTTCTTGCAGCTTCATCTCTCAGTTAAGCCATCTATGAGGAAACAATGTCTTTCGTTTTGCGCCTTGGCGCCATGGAATCCAGGGAAACATTAGTTTTTGCCGGACATCAGGGTAATCGAAAATTTTCTTCTCTTCATGTCTTTCTCAATGCTTCTGTTTCGTGGTGTTTAATCATATTTGACTCAAAATAACGTTGAAACGGGGACCATGCTCCACACCATTCAACACGGCCTGCTCCTGTTACTGCTTTCTCTGGTCTCATTATCGGTTTCTCTTGAGAAGCCACATTCTTTTGACCACAAACCCATCCATATTCAAAGCCACGGCATACAAAGCGCAGCACAAGAATTTGATCGGCAAGTCACGGTCTGTACACGTGACGTCAATACTTCGGCATCATCCTGCTCATCCGCACGCAGATATTGGTTCACCACATTACAATCGTGACCGTGGTTGCATTACCTGTTATTTCTGAACATTCCGGTCGCATACAGGAAGAAACACGCCTGGAGAAAGCTTTGCAGAAGAGTAACGGAAAATGGAACCCCGACCACCCTCGATATCGACTTTTGAATGCATTGAAAGGCTATCTTCTGTACAAACCCAGAGCCATTGCCGACGTCGATAAGTGGAGGAAAGCGTACAAGAAGATTCCCAGAAAACAAAGAGCCGTAAGTATCAACGCCTCCACCTCAGCAGCCCATCCTCAGCCAGTACTGAAGACCAACCCCAATCCCAGTTCATCGAAGCAAACATCCACTACAGCAAAAAGCTCAACACAATCGAACACCTCATCGACACCAACGCCGAGCTCACTCACGCCATCGTCGACAACGCGCTCGCCTTCTACAACATCAGTCGGCGCGAACTCGACGCCTTCCTCGCGGAGACCAAAGACCGCGACACGGCCTCCGACGCCGCCTCGTCCAAGACGCACGTGCAGCAAGCGCTGAAGCACTTTGTCCGCGACTGGTCCGCTGAAGGCCGGCATGAGCGCGACCCGGTATTCCCATGCATCCTGCACGCCCTGCAGGAGGAATTTCGATTCCCTAAGGAGAAGGACGACCGAGCCGCCAGCAACGCAACCACCCCCATCCGCGTCCTCGTCCCAGGCGCCGGCCTCGGCCGCCTCGCGCACGAAATCGCAGCGCTGGGCGACGGCCGCCGCCGCTCCTTCGAAGTGACGACAAACGAATGGTCCGCCTACACCAACGTCGCCTACCGCTTCCTCACGACCCTCCTCCACCCCCACCCCCAACGCACAACCATCACCTTCCACCCCTTCATCGACTGGCTCTCGCACCAACGCACCACCACCTCGCTAACCCGCCCCATCACCATCCCCGACTTCCTTCCTCCTGTTCCCCCTCCTTATCCCCCCTCTCCCCCCTCCCCCCAAAGCCAAGTCCTCCTTATCGAAGCCGACTTCACCACCCTCACAGGCACCTACGACGCCCTCATCACCCTCTTCTTCATCGACACGGCGGCCAACCTGCTCGCGTACTTGCATTCCATCCACGCGCTGCTGCGGCCCGGCGGCGTGTGGGTCAACGCGGGTCCGCTGCTGTGGGGCACGGGGGCGCGGTTGCAGTTGTCGCTGGATGAAGTCGTGGCGTTGGCGGAGGGGGTGGGGTTTGAGTTTGTGGAGAGGAGGGGCGATGTGGTTGAGGGATTGTGTGGGGGGGAGGTGGGGGAGGGAGAGGGGATGATTCAGGGGAAGGTGAGGGGTAGGGAAGTGCCGTATGGGTTTGATGAGAGGGCATTGAGTCGGAATGCGTATTTGGCGGTGAATTGGGTGGCGAGGAGGAAGGGGTGAAAAAGAAGGGGGGGTGGGGGGGATGAGGGGAACGAACGTGGAAAAGGGCAAGAAATGCTGATCCTGTCGGAAAAGAGTCGTGCCCGTTCTGAACTACGTCTGTTCTTGCTTCCATGGGTGAATACTTAAAACGTCTTCTTGACACTCCAGTGATGATGAAATTACCTCAATGACTGAACAGAGAACAGATGGTTTAGATGCCAGAATCCGGACTCGGAAGTCATTGGTCGGGTGTATTTCAAGACCCACGATCAAAATACTACACTACCCAACACAAGGACTTTCCCTAATTCAGAATAGATGACTGTAGAAGGCAGTTTCAGCACTTTTCTCCTTCACCCGCCTTTACCTGAACAACAGAGACCCCAGAATCTTCCGCATCCTCCGACCCCACGACGAGCTGCTCGGCAATAGACTTCTTATCAAGCTGTTTCCCGCTCACGAATTAGCATATAGTCCCAACCACAGAGCAGATCAAGAGAAAAAAAAAAACAAGGAACAAGACGAAAAAGAAAGAAAAAAAAAGCCACTCACCCACTCAACAACCCACAACATCCCCACCAACACGCCAATAACCACACACATCGCCACCCCACCCTTCCGCCAATACGGCGCCTCATCCGCCGGATACAACGCGATCCCCCAAAACGTATACAACGCGCTCTGCACCGCATTCATCCAGTACAACAGCACGCTCCTCGCCGCCTCGTCCCCGCTCCTCTTCAGTATCACGTTCGCCCACCCGAACAGCAGCGGGTTGACCATGTAGCTCGTGCCGGCGAGGTAGAACGCGAAGAAGACGCCGGCGGCCGGCGTGGAGCGGATGAGGAGAAGGATGGTGGTGATGAGTTGGAAGAAACAGGCCGCGAAGCCGACGGGCGCGCGGCGCTGCGTCGCGTCGATGTAGAGCGCGGCGAGGATATTGGAGACGATGGCGACGGCTTGCACGCCGAGGGGGTAGGTCGTTATTTGAGCGCTGGTGTAGTGTGATGAGTGCGATTTGAGCCAGAGGAGGAAGAGGGATTGCACGCAGTAGGCTTCGAGGGCGCCGGTGACGAGGGAGAAGAGGCCGAGGATGTAGCTGTGGTGGCTGGGTGTTAGTTTTGGAATATGGGGGAGAAGGGGGGGGGGGGGGGGGGGGGGATGAGGGGAACGAACGTGGAAAAGGGCAAGAAATGCTGATCCTGT